TTTAGTCTTAGCTACGACCTCGTCTAGCTTCTCTACCGCGGCCTCTATTACCTCGGCCTCTTCCTCTGCCTCTACCTCGATTACTTTAGGTAGATTTAGCTTCTTTTAAGATAGAAACGGCCGCGATTACTATATTTACAGACTTTTTATTCGACTTATATTTAATAAATTTACCGAAAATATAGTTAAGTATACTATCTGGATTAGTTAGAGGTTTATATATATTTAAGAAACCTTTTATACTTTAGTAGCCGTTAATTATAAGCTTAAAATAAGCTAGAGCCTATTTAGGTAGTAATAGGGTATTTAGAATAGCTAAATTTATAAGGTCTAGAGTAGCTTACTATTTAGTAATAAAATTATACGGATTACCCCTAGTATATATAAGCTTAATTAACGAAGATAGCCTATAGCTTAAAGTAGTATAGTTACTAGTACTATATATATTACTAATTCGAAGAAATATTTTATAAGAATCTTTATAATCGCGTATAAAGCTACGAGCTAAATCGCTAAGTATATAATAGATAAGATATTTCGTAAGCGTATATTTACGGCGAAACTAGTAAAATCGGTTATTTAGTTAAGTTATATTTTTATTAATCTACTTATTAAATTCCTCTTCGGTAGGCTCTTGTCTAAGTTAAGCGAAAAGAACGTTTTAAATAGCTTCCTCTATAGGAGTATCACGAGGCTCTTAAATAGGATATATTATTTTACTAGTAATAATAGACTATAGGTCTTCGTCTAGGCTATCCGTAATAAATTAAAGCCCCTATCTCTACTTCTCGAAGTTAGCTCTTTCCTTAAGTATAGGGACTAATTCGGCGAAGGTTTTAGCCGCCTTATAAGCCTCGAGATCGGAAACTATATTAAATATTATAAATATATTAATCCTACTACGACGAAGTACCGCTATATAGATAACGTATAGCTTAAAAGCTCTAAATAGTATAAGAGCCGGAAGATATAAGGTCTACTATAACGAAGGTATATTATATAGTAAGCCTACTACGGCGAAGTACCGCTACGTAGGCGTATCTACTATAGCGATATACCGCTACGTAGGCGTGTCTACTACGGCGATATACCGCTATATAGGTAAAGAGCGTAAGAGCTCTAAAAATAGCGTAGAAGCTAGAAGGATTTTATATATTTTTAAATAGCGTTAGAGCCGAAGGAGGGACTTTTAGTAACGATTCGATACAATAGCTTCGGTAGCCGTATTCGATATATAGGGATTATTAAGTCGTAAAGAGGTACGAAGTCTGCACTCTGTAGAAGGCGCAAAACGCGCCGAAAAACGATAGAAAAAGAGGTTATTATACAATTTATACCTAGGCAGTGAGGAAATATGAATAACCTCACTCTTTATGCGCTAAGCAGGGCTCATAACCTATTAGAGGCTACTAGGAAAACGTAGCAGACCCAAAAGAGGGGAGAAAGGAATAGTAAGATTGCATCTGGTGAGAGGTGCCTATCTAAGCTACGAAGGTGGTGTGCGTGGGCGCGCACCACGCTGGTGACACGCCTGACCACCAAGCTATCTCAACAGATGACAACCTTGGACCTACGTGGAAACAACGGAGTAGAAAACGTTTGTATGCCTAGCTAGACTTGACTTCTTGGAATAACCCGAGTATGTGCAGTGATGGAGCTCCAAATTCTCAACTTTCGAATCCAGTATTATCAAGGTATGGATCTATCTGCGTGTGTTTCACTACCTAGCTTACATCACATTTTACACCTTATGAAATCTTGAATCTCATCCATGGATCACAGTATTTCACGCTTCCCGAATTGAGCAGGCAACCTTCCAACGATAGATAAGTGGAAGGTACCGGGCGGTGGTGGAGATATATCCTGCTCGGTTACTTGTCAATCTCCATTGGAATGCCTAGAACCTACATTGAGAGGCTGGAATGCAACATACAGGTCCGGGTTTACTTACATGTAATAAGCTCGACGATTACATGATTGGAAATGGCCGGGCAAGAAGATGGATGGGATGCGGCGCGCCTGCCCGGGGACCTGATTGACTATAGAGCAGCATAATATACAACATTACGGAGTTTACCCGCATTATCTCTGAGCAAACATCAAATCAACAAGGCCAACTTGTAACGTACGGGCCTATGGGTATCTTTGGATTAGTCTTAACGTAATTCCCGGCCGTCCCGTACACCCGGCTATGCCGTACACTTTCCCTATTAGAAAATTTCAAAATCGATTATCTCAACCAACACCTATTAATTTAACTAGATAACACGATTTTTACATGAACTAATCCTATGGCTAATTTGGCTATATCTACTGTAGGTAGGCGGAGCCCTTCTGGCCGGTTGAATCGGCTGACTAGGTAATTCAACCTCTGTATACGAATCTACCCTATTATCTTCCTCTGGCTAGTCTAGCTACTTAGCTAGCTATATAGCCTCTTTAATAGTTAAATCCTCTACGTAGGGTATCCTTCTAGTTAACCGATTACGCTTTTTGACTATCTTCTTATTCGCTATACGTAAATTCGTATTATCCTCTACTAGTAAAGCACCGCTATATAGAGCTAGGTAGTAGCCCTTAATTATCTAGTCTAGTATAGTTTTTGATAGGCTTAGTAGGCTGTTTAACCGTCGCTTTAGTAGGTCTTTTAATATAGAAGCTTACTTAAATAGCTAAGCGGCGGTTCTAGGCGTTTTTAGTATAAATTCGCTAGATCTACTACTTAGCCGGCTACTTAGTAGTAACAGAGTTCGTAGAGAGATATTAAGCTTGTTAAGTACTCTCTCGGTATCTAATAGTACTAGACTACTAGCTACGAAGCTGTTTTTAATAGTAGGATTAGTTAATTAGAAGGCTTCTAGCCGTACGCGCTAGTAATCTACTAAGAAATTATACTTATCGATATAGTTATATCCCCTACGCGTAAGATCGCTAACGAACCGACTATACGCGCGCTTAACTACTATAAAATACCTAATATCTAGTAGCTATAGTAGATACGATAAATACGTAGGTATATAAAGTAGTATAATATCGTTTTCTGCGTAGATTCGGTCGAATTAGGGTATAAGATAGCTACTATAGCTATTAAGAATTAATAGTCGAAATCGCCTATATATACGCGAATTCGTATATAGGATAAAGTACTTTTGTAACTAGCGTAGGCTAATCTTATTAGTAGTCTAGCTATTATTAGAGACTTCGATTCGCTACTCTTTCGGTAGGTTTTCGTTAAACTATCCTATAATAGCTACTTTACCTTTAAAGACGATATATAGTAGTAGTAAATAGCTATCTACGTAGATTACTTCGATCGTAGTAACCTATTCGCGATTTCCTAGTTATAGAAGAGATCTCCGACTATAGTATTTAGCTCGTATAACTACTTTCTGCGAAGATATAAGGCCTATTATAAAGCCTATCTTATTAAAGTTATAGATATCCTCTAGTTATATACCGTTCTCGTTAATCGTACTTTATATAGTCGTAAACTACTACCGAATTAATTTTAGATCTTCGTTTAGGGCTCTTTAGTAATTATATTTTCGTGAGAAGTATATACGAAGCTTAGGACGGCGGTTAATAAAGGTTAATAGCTAATTCTTTCTAACGGTAGTTAGAGAAGCTTCTTCGCGCGTAGCTAATAGGATATTAGCTATCTCTCGAATAGTAGAGGGCCCTAGGCGCTGCCCTACGCGAATCTATAGAGAGTATCTATTTAGTAAGCGAATCCTCTTCTAATTAAGTCAACTTATAGCTAGTTAGGCGGTAATTAACGCGTGTAAGTACACCTTTCGCGCGGTCGGCTAAGGTTGTATAAGGGATATCGTATAGCTTCGCTGCTGCGCGAATAGATTTAATTCGGCTATTTTTAACATCGTTAAGGGCTAACAAGACCTTACCTTCCTGATTGGCTGATTTCTGCGAAGATTTAGCGCGAATTGGTGGCATGGTAGGTGGTTGAAGGTAGGATGTAGGTAGAAAGACGCGATTTTGGATGGGGTGTACGGCATGGCCGGGTGTACGGGACGGCCGGGAATTACGTTACTTAGAGTTAGTTTAATCGCTTGAAAAGCCCCCACTCTTCCGTCAAACCACCGAAGGGAGAAGCGCAAGTGCGGGCTCGTCTATTCGTTGAAAAAGTTGAATGTTTATCACGCAGAATACTAAGGTGGACGCATAGGCGTGATCAATTACTGTATACAATCTTCGCGCGACAACGAAGATGACGAGGGAGGAGGACGACATGGTCACGTGATATGTATCCGCCGAATCCCTCTCTGATATCGGGCCAATCTCGGGATCACCCTCAGCTGCAAGTGTACGTCCGGCAGCAACCCCCCTCGTTGAGTAGGTTGAGATCCAATTCCTAGTCTCTGGCTCAGTCCTCAGAGAAGCGAAAATGAGTTTAGATTGATTAGAGTCCCCCTTAACACTTGGGCAGTAGAGCTCTGAAGATTCGAATTCTGCATCAGATTCAGAGTCATGGGGAAAATGGCACTTTTGTTTCGGCATCGAGTCATCGACCGAGAAGGTCAAAACGCCCTCCAGGCAGCAAGGCAGGCATTCTCCTCATCGCGCGGTGGGCTACGTCTTTGAAATTTCCGGTATAAGATCAATCATCCTTGTTTGGCCCCATGGGCCCACACATGAATCTGGCTGAACTTTTGTTCACATGAACTCGCTTGATCCCTTTTCGATGGCTAGATCAGAGGCTCCATGTCGAAGTTCATGATAGCATAGATTTCACGTCGCCACATGAGACAAACCAAAGCTGAGACGACGATAGCCCGAGAATTTTCATGATTGGTTTTGAGGCAACGAGGTACATTTCGCGCACCCGGACACGGTTCTGGTCATCTTCAGCTTAGAGTTGCGTGACTATGCTGCGCATGAGTGATGCGCAGCGTGTGATTCATTGAGACACCGGCTATTGCACGCAAGCATCTCAAGCCAGCCATTTCCACTTCACCGCGCTTAATCGTGTCCAGAGCTCCAAAATGTATCGAAGGGATGGCGCTCGAAAACGTGGCCAGCGAACCACCACATCTATTTCACCTAGACATCATGCCCGCCTGCCGGAAGAGGATCAAACCGGTCTTGCGAGATTGCGGCATCTTACTTGGGTCTGTAATTTCATGAGCCGCCCTCATTTCAGTGTGTTGCTATGCTGACCAGTAACCATCTTAAAATAGGCCTGGTTCGCATTGCTCATGGCGACTGGAGGCTTGGCTCCTCTTCTGTCACCACAAACGCAGCCACACTTTTTCCAAGGGCTGGACGTCATTGGAAAAGTGGTCTACATCTGCGATCTGGTCATCTTTAGCACTCTTATCACGGCCATGATCTATCGCTTCATACGCTGGCCCAAGACCATGCGTTCAAGTGCGACTCAGCCGAGGGAAAGTATTTTCATACCCACTATGTCCATCTGTCTTGCCAGCATGATTGCGTCGAACTCACCGTACGGTATTCCATCCAGTGGGCCTTGGCTATTGGTCACTTATCGCGTTCTCTTTTGGATCTACTATGCGGTCACCTTCTATCTCTGGCTCTTCATCAGTGCCGACCTGCATCTGGAAGACATGACGCCAGCGTGGGATTTGCCAATCTTACCATTCATGCTCTCCGGTACCATTGCATCAGTGGGGGTCAGCGAATAGCCGCCTTTCCATGCTCTTACCATGATCGTCGCTGGATTGACGGCACAGGGCTTGGGGTTTCTCGTCAGTTCTGCCATGTTCACTGTGTATTTGCGGTGGATGACCGTGTTTGGCCTGCCTGAGCCATCGTCTCGCCCGGCAATATTCATTGCGGTGGGCTCGCCTGCATTCACTTCACTTGCAATCATTTGGATGGCAAGAGCTTATCCGTCTCAAATGCAAATGTTTGGTCAGCTCAGATAACCGCTCAGGTGTTGAACATTGTTGCAAGCGTCTCGTCCATTTTCATGTGGTGCTTATCTTTCTGGCTCTTCTCCATCGCGATGGTGGCGTGTTTGCTCGCTGCACGGGAGATGCGATTCAGCTTGAGCTGGCGGTCCTTTGTATTTCCCAATATTGGTTTGATCATTGCAACGATCAGTATTGGTCGGCAATTGCAAAGTGAGGTCATTCTCTGGGTCGGTAGTGTTGCAACAATTCTGATGGCCATGTTGTACTTGTTCATTGCGACGATGCATGTCAGGGCTGTCATCAAACATCAGATTCTATGCAAAGGCCAAGACGAGGACATGTACGAGCGAGAAGCTCAACCGAAGACTGAAAAAATCCCCGAATATCAGGATATCGGGGATGCGCAATGCCAGAAACGAGACCAAAGATGTTGATAATGCATTCCATTTGCAAAGACGGGAGAGGCTTTCGGTTGAAGAAGTGACTCTGTAGGACTTTGGAGCCGATCGTGGGATTAAGACACATCTGAATGACGGTTGCCCATTGATGATGTATGTCACTAATACTTTTTTCCTTGTATCGTGCTCGGCATAGCGATATCGCTCGACTTGGTTCTCTTATCATACAACTAAGAGTCCAAAAAGCCGCCCAGAGGTCCGCCGTAGCTTCACAGACCAGGAACAGGTACTCTCCACCGTGCCTTTGACGATTGGCTTGATATTTCCAGCATCTTTCGTGAAACTAACCGTACTCGGCCGGTGTGAACTTACGCGAGAGGAAGCGAGTGGAGATTTGGCCGATCTTCGTCGCAAACCTTTTCCCGAAGTTTGGACCTTGGGGAGATCATTTAATAGAGGCAGGATCTGAGGCTAGGAAATGATACGCAAAATGGAAGGATATTGACTGATGCCTTGTACGATTGTCGTGCTCCCCTGCTCATATGACCGAGAAATTTTGAACGTATGGTGTGAAGTGTGGGTAACTTGGCACCCTCGGACTTGGACCTGATTGTGAAGTATGATAAGAGTCGTGCATAGGACGCGTGCACGTGTATCCACTTCGAGCTGACTAGCGCGGAGCTTGTCCGAGTTGGAGATCTCGGAAGAGAATCGGCTTCGTCTTCAAAGCTTGTTTTCTGCGCCGAGAATGCCGAATGTGATTCGAGGGCGGAATTTTGATCTTCCGCGGATATAGCGAGCCCAGGTCGGGCCCCATCCTGTACCCATCCCGGCAAATGAGATCAACTGCTTTGAATCATTATCACTGATCGAAAAGAGCAAGAGAAGATCAGTAGCCACTTCAGGAAGAACTTTATGGGAATGGGTTGGGGGTCGAAGCTGGTTGCAAGCTGGGGAAATCCCACAAACAGAATATGGAGATGAGGGGCGAAAATGGGGCGAGAGTACCAAGCATACATAAGGTACCTTGGTAATCATGAGATTTATCTTTGAAGAAGCATTCATCCATTTTCTTCGATCCTTCCGACCTTCATCGTGGTCTATACTTTGGCACTGAGGTGAAGTTTGGATCCCATTCAATGGCGCGGTACTTGGGTTTGCGAGGCCATCGCCTCAACTTGGCGACCATCTTGCTGGTTGTCTTACCGGCGTACATGTGCTTTGGTTACAATCTGGCGGTGGCTGGAGGGCTACTCACTATGCCTTCGTTCATTCAAGAATTCCCCGACTTGGATACGGTCAATGATTCTAGCGTTCACAGGTCGAATGTTCAAGGTATGTTGCTTTTGCATCGGTGTTTCCAAATGGCATAGAACCAGCTTTAACTGATGTACCATTCTTTTTTTTTTTGCTGGCTTCAGGTACCGTCATTGCGCTCTTCACCCTGGGTGGTATGTTTGGTGCATTGTCGACCATCTTCTTGGGCGACTTTCTCGGTCGGCGGCGGGTCATTTTCATCGGCTCGGCGTTGGTGATCGTAGGCTCTTTACTCATGTCGTCCTCGTATTCACTCGCTCAATTCATCGTGGCGCGCTTGGTTCAAGGCCTCGGAACTGGTGCGACAACCGCCACAGTACCCGTGTGGCAGTCAGAGATCTCGGGCTCGGCGCATCGCGGCGCTCACGTCGTCACAGAAGGGCTCTTTGTCGCTGTCGGTATCGCAGTCTCGTTATGGATCGATTTGGGCTTCTCGTTCGTTGACACCAGCTCGGTCGCATGGCGAGTTCCTCTCATCCTTCAGACGTCGTTGGTCATCATCGTCATGATGTTTGTCCTCTTGCTGCCGGAGTCGCCGCGCTGGCTCGTGGGAACGGATCAGTTGGAGAGCGCTCGCGAGACCATCAGCGCTCTACGGGAGCTGGATGCCCACAGCGACGCAGTCCAGGAGGAAATCTGCACCATTCAGTCTTCACTTGAAAAAGTCAAGAACAGCACCCGCTGGGACATTCTGGGCATGGGAGAGAAGCGCAATGCACACCGATTGATCCTGGGCATGACTGGTCAGTCCTTCGGCCAGCTTTGCGGCGTCAACTCCCTGACTTTTTACGCCACCATCATCTTCGAACAACGCCTCAACATGCACGGCACGGAATCTCGAATTCTCAGCGCTGCAATGGTGACCACGCAAATCTTCGGGGCTCTTGCAGCCGTGCTCACAATCGATCGCTGGGGCCGTCGCCCTCTGATGCTGACCAGTGCGACCGGCATGTGCTGCGCGATGGCTGTTATGAGCGGCACAAGCTCGGTGCCCGGGAACCACGCGGCGTCGATTGTCGCCGTGGTCGCGCTGTACGCCTTCAACCTGTTCTATCCCTTTGGTTTCCTGGGCCTTCCATTCTTGTACTCGTCCGAAATCGCACCACCCCACCTTCGCGCTCGGATCAGTGGTCTTTCCAACTGTATGACCTGGCTGTTTAACTTTGTGGTGGTGGAAGTCACCCCGACTGGCTTCCGAACCATCAGCTACCGATACTACATCATCTGGACGGTGATCAACTTTGCCATTGCGGTGACTGTCCACTTCTTCTTCCCCGAGACCAATGGGAGATCTTTGGAAGAGATGGATGAGATCTTCATGAAGACGTCGAATATTTTCGAGGCGCCAAGAGTTGCCAAGCACATGCCAAAAAGCTTACATGTGGAAAACCAATTCGAAGTCAGTGAGGCTTGATCTATGGCCCTCGCCACGACAGTTCTATCTGAAGTGAATTAAAAGGAAAGTTTGTACAAGCATAACTATATCTCGTCCCAATTTTGAGTAGATTTATGTAATTGAGATGCATGGAACGAGTATGACCTAGACGGCCAATTTTCCCTTTTCTATGAACCTTGTGAAAGGGGGACAGTCTACATACTGTACATCATTGATCATCCTGTCGGCCGGCGACCTATCTGTCCACCGAGATGAGCGCCACTCGCAGAAAAGCAAGTCCAACCCACCTTGACTCTCGCCCCTCGGGACTCTTGCGTCAATTTGCTCCACAACGTATTTTCAAAGTATCCGTATCTAGTCCACATGGCGAAGTGATGCTATCTTCGTTTAGTAAAATCAAGCCTTTTCCGGACGGATAAAGACAGACAGAGAAAGAGACAGAGAAAGAGACAGAGAAAGAGACAGAGAAAGAGACAGATAAGCTAGACAGATAAGCTAGACATGTCTCTTACGAATTTTCATCTGGTCTTACCCTTCTTCCGCCCCCACGCGAACCCGCATGACCGTCTTATCAACGCTCGCATTGCAGGGACCCCAAATGACAGCTCACAGCATCCATGGACAGGGGTGTACCCGGGCTGACAAAGATGGTGCACTGTTTCCAAATTCAAGCCCGAGGGCTCTGTCCGACATGGCATGGCCGGGCGAGAGCCGGAGTCATCAGAGACGAGATGATACTTCGACCATAGGGTAGGGCAGCTGATTCTTGTTCCATGTATGGATTGCCTTTCGGAAAAATGCGGGCAGTAGAGGTTTGAGATGATTTCGCGGATATGAGAGCTTGGCCTCTGAAGCTGTCAGATATGGATACAACCAGGTCTCTTCCACAGGGAGGAAACAGAAGTCACCACTATCTGGAAGCCCGTTGTGGATCTTTAACCTTGTAGGTTGGATCGGGGGATTCTTCTAAGACGAAGCCGAAGTGAAGACGATGGTGTCCCTCTCTTTGATGTCTCACCACTGGTGATGGCCAGTCGAAGTCAGGATTATATTGAGCAGTTCGTTGTTAGGCTCTCAAAACTATCAAGTACATATTTAAAGTTAGAACCTCCGAAATCTAAATTATTGGCGACGTGCAGTTCATTTTAGTGGTTGAACTGCCCATTTTGAATCAGATGGAAGCTCGGCAAGTGAATGGGATGAAATGTCATGAGGGTTAGATGTCTGGAAAAGAAGCATATATACAGTATGAGTGAGAGGTGGTCGGACACGGTGTCTATCATAACAGATGCAAGCGCTCTATCGCTCCAAAACGTCAAAGATGTCGCATCTAGTTTTGCCTTCCTCTTCGCATGCAGCTGACTCAACATCATAACCTCGTCCAGGAGGCTCCTCGGAGAAAGGGAAAAAATAAGTATAAACAGGGGGTAAATCGCCAAAAGAAGAAAAACACGAAATCATGAATCCGTGGGAGCCTGTCCCTCCAAGAGATTGCTATTGCCCATGATTTACTCAGGGGCAGCGCAAGTGAAAACACCGCGAACGGTTCCTTGGTTGTAGTTGTTGATCTGTGGAAAGGGAGAAAAATAAGAGTTAGCATTGCGGTGATTCGTCATGGGCCAGGGGGGCACAGAGCGAGGAAGCGAACAGGAAAAGCTTACAATATCAGCGATACTGGTGTAGGTACCGGCCACCAAGATGACCAAGCCAATCACGAGAATAAAGGCATTGAGAACGGCAAACATCAGATTCTTGGGCTCGGTCCAGCTGCCCTTGCGAACCAAGAGGAACCACATCAACGAGGGGAAGTAGAAACTGAAGCCCGAAATGAACAGTGCTGAGGACAGAGACAGAAGGTCACTGAAGAAGGGGATCACTTCCGCGATGATGAATGCAACAACAGTGCCAGCGGCAATGATTCCCAACCACGTGAGCCAGCCCATCTTGGTGTTGATGAATCGGACGGGAGAATTAGCGAAGATGCGGCCGTGCACGAGACGGCCAAAGACAACGGTGTTGATGGATCCACTGATGAAGATCACGGGCAGGGCGACACCAAAGGCGACGCGGCTAAGGGTGTGTCCGGCCGAGAGGAGCGCGGGACTCTTGACGTCCTCACCCACAAAGGCGTAGATGGTCGCGCCAGTGACGGTGTAGATGACAATCTCCGTGATACCGAGAGCCCAGACTGACTTGGGGAAATCACTGGGCGTGTGCATCTCGTCCATGAAGGAGAACTGACACATGGCGAAACTGTAGGCGAAGATGATGTTGGAGATGGCGATAAAGGCCTCGGTGAAGCTCAGATCAGGCTTGGGCCATGCGGACCAATTCACCGCGGCGAGCCCACCCGGGGCATTTGTCGCCTGCACGCCGGTACCGATGATGGTGATACCAATGGCAATCACGATGGAGGCGAAATCCACATAGCCGAGAATTGCGACTTCGGTGAAGCTGGGTGGGACCGCGAGTAGGAACAAGATGATGGCCGAGATGACGGCAAAGATGACGGAACAGATACCACTCTCGGTGATGTTCTGGAACGCGATAGTACCCGTGAGACAGTGCGATCCGGTGAGCAGGATCAACTGCAACGCCAGCATCAGGTTGATCAACTCGTAACCGAAACGACCCCACATGAGACGGCCCGCGTCGGCGTAATTGGCGACCTCGGGGAAGAGCAGCTTCACCTGTCCGACAATGTAACTTGTGTAGATGGCCACGAGCCCCAATCCCACACAGGAGATGACACCGGCCACCATGCCCAGCTTGGCGAATGTGGAGGGGATGGAGAGACTGCCCAGGGCGATGGCCTCGACGATGAGGACCACGGTGAGTCGTTTCCACCCGAGACGACTGAATTTTTGAATGCCATGGTCGATGACATGACGCTCGGCCTCACTCATCTCCCCCACGAGGTCCTTGTCGAACGCGGGGGGCTCCTCTTGCTGCATTCTCTTCTTCTCACCCACCGACTCCAGCCCGACGCTGGAGTCATTGCCGCTGGAAACCTCGTCGACGTAACCCATAATGACGGGAGACTGTGTTCTTGTGTGTTGGCTGCGAAAGCGAGAGAAGGAGGCCCAGGTGGAAGAGGAATCGAGATTGATCGGTCAGGAGGAGGAAAGAGGTCAATGAAGAAAGAAGAAGGATGAGAAGATTGAGAAGGAAGAAGAGTGCCAACTCTGCACTCGATCAGGACGAATTGGATCGAGAAGAGAGGTCAAGCAAGGACGATGTCGAAAACCACATGGGAAGACGGGGAAGACGGGGAAGACGGGGAAATCATGATGGTATATAAGAGCGGGAGACGCGACTTCATCTTGCGTCTCCCTCGCTCTCTCGTTCTCCATGTGCTACACTGCCAATCCGGCGTTATCTCTGGGGAATCACCGCCATGAGTTTAGTTTTCGTGAGTGGAACCCCGACTGGGGATGGTGCTGGTTCAACTTGGGGTGGAGATGTGTGCGTGTGTGCGTTCCAACCCAAAAGAAGGTGGATGAGGTGGATGAGGGCAAGATTGGGTCATTGCCGTGACACACCGGAATGAATAATGCACCAGCAAAAGATTCCTTGAATAATCATCGTCGTAATAATCCCCTCGGGCACGTTGCATCTTCGGCGGCCTTCTGTGCAGCGGGGATCGACAGTCAAGAACTGCTGAGAGCGAGATTTTACTCCATTCGGGACTAATTTCTCTATTTCTCAATTTCTCTATTTCTCTATTTCCCTTGTTCTCTTTTTCTCTTGTTCTTTTTTTTCCTATTTTCTTATTTTATTGCTTCTTGATCAAGGAAGAAAATTTCGTTTTGAAAATTCACTGTGGAATAATCGACGTTTCGAAATTCTCGTGATAATAGTGGATCCATGATCGAACGATGGGCCGTGGTTGAGGTGTAGATTGGCCAGATCACTCGGTGTGACGACCCACTATGTCAGTCACTGGGGTTTATGGTGCGTCTGGCTGGTCCCACCCTGCTCCACTTGGCGCCCAGCCGTTGCCTCTCTGGGACGGCCAACTCGGTGATCGACCGCTTCAGCACGAGAGGGACCGCAAGCAGCCGCTCGTCATCCAGGTCGGACAAGCTGGAAACATGAAGAGAGTCTTCGAGTTTGACGGGTTGCGCACGATTCTCGTGTCCAAGGGGTATGCTGACGAGAGAACTCACTTTTCAAGTTCCTCCCGAAAGTCAGAGTGGAAGGATTTCTCTCCCAAGAAAGCGGTCGCATGAATTCATGTTCTGAGAGTGATGGGGGAGGAATGAGTCCGAGATTCTCGTCAGGGCCGGAGAATTCTCGGCGTGTGCAACATTCATGGATTTGGATGGTGTGACAGTACAAGTCCTGCTGATAACGACGATAATATATAGGAATCGACCTCAGAGATGAGGATGATCCGGCATCATCGTGCGATACAGATACCTGCCTAGCTTAGGGTTTCTAACTATCATCTCTCTTCCGGCTTCAGATGAGGTATCAGCTGTACAACAACACCTTAGGTCCGAACCTCGCGGTGACCTATGCTATTCTACTCCTTGGAAAACGTGTGAAGGTTGATCATGAACTCCCCTGTATCTCTTTTGCGGGCAGTTCCAACTTCCAACCGACCTCCCGTCCAAGGATAATTTTGACTGTACATTTCAGCGTCTCTCTCCCCCAGCGGGTTTCACCTTCTTGCCTCCCCCAAAACGGGGCCAGGACCCAACGAAACGGGGATGGAACCATGGTGAATGGGAGAGGATCCAGAGTCCCGCGAGAGAGACATCTTAGGTAACACAAACTGCAACATTGGCTCCCCTCTGCTCTTCGCGGCCCATCGTGTGTCCACTTTCCTCGCCAACTTTGGCTTCACGATGTCATTCGGGGGCATAGTCGAATGGAGTCACGGAGTCCAGTCTCCCCGCGTCTGCATCGCATTGGTCTCCCCAAGATACAGAGATGCGGGGGAGCATGTCGTGAAGCTGGGGAAAAGAGCACGGTAGTACTGTACAGAATCAAAAGACGCTGCAAGGATTTAAACTCATATCAGAATCTACTCGATTCGTGATATCGCGCAGAGTGACCCTTGGGACGCAGGATCGGGGCGCAAGGGAGATCGATATCAAGTAACCAAATTGACTTTCTCACTCCCTTGCCTTTTTTTTTTTCTTCTTCTTTTTTTTTCTCGCTCTCGGGTCTCTGGTTCCCTTCTTCCAGAAAGTTTCCCAGCCAAGCCGCCTCAGCCACAAGCGACCGATCTTGACTTTTTGACTCTCTTAGCCCAGTTTTCGGGACCGCGCAGCCAGTCCGGTAAGTCCGAGGCAGCCCCCAACGACGGGATTGGCCTTGCGCTTGCTGCTGTCATGATGATTCCCGCGACTCCCGTCATCGGAATCCTGACTAGCGACCGGTGATGCTCTCGGCGAAATGCCGAATGGGTACAATGCGAGGCAAAAGCATTCCTTTCTCCGCCAAGGAAACAGCCGGTTCGACAACCTTACTCTTTCTCTCAAATCTTCACCCTGACCAAGTCAAGCTTCGTCCCTGGGCCCAGAGGGCCCTCTGGGCCCTCGGGACCAAGGCTAGATTCTGTTCGCCAATGGAGCCCAGGCAGTCTTGTAATCGGTGGAGAGGAAGAAGACCCCGGCAGCGAAGGTCCGACAATTCCAGTCGGAATACTGGCTGCAAGGTCACGTGGCTCCCCCCAAAGTGGCCACCGGAGAGTGAGCCGTGACAGCCGTCTGAGGAGAGAAGCGGCGAGCAGGGCCCCACCTGCGGTACTTCCATGATGGAGATCTCTTCACCCGCCAGCCTACCTTAGTAACTTCACCTTGCAATTACTAATAATATTGTCGATTGGGTTTTTCGACTTTGGAGGTGCCTTTGAATGATGGCTGATCTGTTCCTGAAGGGTCAACCACACAACTACGGTGCACTGTGCAGTAGTGTGCTGCCAGTCTCATACTTGGTAGCCTCTAAGCACGATGGAGGGGCCACTGCTAAACCTGACACCAGTCATAGCACTCACAGTCTCACTGCCACCCCCAGCATGAGAAGATGACATCCACAATCCACGAAGCGCGGTTGCAGGTCTCGGTCTCGGTCCCTGGCGTTGATCCTGAAGAGTCTCGACTCTCGACTGCTCTGTTTCCCCAGTTTGATCGCTTCTTGTTCCTCCATTTCCCCCGCAAAGGTCTTCCCCACTCCCGTGCTCGACCCCAGAGAAAAGCAGTTCAGAATGGCAGACTACCCCGGCTTTCCCCGTATTCATTACTTAACAAAATCGCTGCAGCCGCGCCTCCAGAGTTCTGAAGTGGATAGCTCTGGTTCAGTGCTGACGAGATGACCATGGCCCGCCTGATCAAGAAATCAACAAAAGTCAATGAGATCCGACCATGCGAGAACCTAATCCCGCTTCGGTACTTGCCATTGGCGCACTTGTGACCCTTGCCGGAGGTAGTGCCACGAAGTCAAGATGTGGCCAAGCAGGAGAAGGAGACTTTCTCGAGCCTTTTTTTTGACTTTCACACCGAGTCGGACGGCCCGCACCAGCGCCACTAAGGAGCCAGCCATACGGAATTCGGAGCTCAGGGCACTTCACCTGGAATAAGGCGTAGCGTCAAAGTCTACTCCAACACACAAACAAAATAGGAGCAAGGACCAAGAGCCCTGCCCTGGCGTTTCTGTGATTCGTCATCTTCGCCGATCCAAAGGTTTCTCCAATATATCAATTCTGTGGGGCAGAGAGTAGCTCCAGACTTGAATGTTGGAAAATCATCGGGGTGCAGATGAGATTGAGTCCGCCTCATTGTGAATCACCTCCGGTTAAGCTCGGAGTGCGGTCGCACGTCAAGGGGGGATCAGCGTAGTGTTCGAGCAGGATTGACGACTATCCGAACTGCTCGGTGGTTGTCTGTGTCCCTTCAGTGTGGACACCTTCCCAGCAACCGCCCACTGTCCACTCGCCCTGTAACCGTCTCGGCTAGGTTCACCTCATGGCCTTCTACGCCCGATGCAAGGGGGTGACGAAAACTCTCCCAACCCCTGCTCCCTCGTGGCTGAGCCTGGCGGATGAGTGTGTTTACTGCACAGAGGCACGGGAATACGACTTTCACGTGAATTGCACAATCGAGTGATGCTCTGCGGAGCCATGCTGCGAATCTCGTGGCTCCGCAAACGTGGCGAACCTTTGACGGCAATTGCACTCAAACAGGCTTCGAAGGGCAGCATCATCCTAGGCGTGCGCGGGCCGATCTCTTCTCCAAGTCGGGACAGAAAAGACAGTTTGCTAAAAAAGAGGCCTGTGCCCCCGGTAACCGGATCATATACGGTGATTGTGAGGTTTGAATTTAATGCGTCTACGAGACCGAGCCATCATCTTACCCCGAGCAGCTTCGGTCAAGGGACTTGATTGGCTTTAGTCCCTTCTGGACGTAAATAGCCGGATGGATGGCCTCATGCAACCGACCCAGCCTCATTGCTCCGGTAAGGAGCGAGGTTGAGCGTCAACTTCTGATCCACGAAGGAGGGCGTGCAAACCTAGTAGAGACTCAATCTGATCCGCTGGTGTCTCCCCCTCCACGTGAACAGACCTCAAGCCATTGAGGCCCGTCTAGTTGCGATGATCGGAGTCGCGCGCCACTTACGGTTCTATAGAAGAAAGCCACATTCCATGGTGGATTTTTGATGTGCTAATCGTTTGCAATGACTCCAACTGGTGTTTCACTTATTTCTCTCGTGTTCTGACCGATGAGGCACTTTCCGCAACACTAGGCAAGGGAATAACGCCCGGCTGAATTGAAGCTGGTCGAATGAGAACGGGCGCCGTGTATGCTGCAATCAGACCTGCGCGCTCCGCGTTACGCGCGCTGCCATCGTTCACAGTGGTCGTGGTCGTAAGTAGGGAGAGTCCCTCAAATTGGGCTGCATGGATACGAGCCTGGATGACAGCTTGTTGCACGCCGCGGCCGCGATATTCGGGCAGCGTGCTGTCCAGATACAGATAGGCCACGGCCTCATCTCCCTTGTAAGACTCAATTTTGGCCATTGCCGCCGACCCGGCAATCTGATCGTCGATCCGGGTAACAAACAACGCCGTATCTGTCCGCTCCGTTGCGATGCGAGCCAGCGTGCCCAGCAACTCTCGCGGGCGACCGTTGGTTTGAAATCCTGCAATCGATGATTCAATGAATTGCTCCCTCTCATGAGTGGATAACGGTTGCTGAATTTGACGAATCGTGACCTTGTCGAACGTACTTGTCGTTGCAGATCCGTCTAAAAGTTTGTCCACAAAGCCATGGTATGTGCTCAACATCACTCTTTCCTCATAACCACGGGCTATCAGGGACTCTAAGGTCATCGACGTCGCAAACGGACTGAGATGAACCTCCATGTCGAGTCCGGTTTCCAAGTACATTGATTCGAACTCTCGGAGTTCATCTTCACTGAGTGTCCCCTGGCTACCTAGTCCAACGGCCCTGTTCAACTTGCCCAGGAAAACAGGAAGGGTCCGAATGGCGATACCTCCCTTTGGTAATGGACGGCACATGACCCTTGGTCGGGATGAAGCTGGGAGCATATCTCTGCCTGGCGTTGATGGTGCATTTCCTCTGCGACTTCACACTGCAATACCACAAGCGCATTGGCCATGATTCCCGGTGAGACGACTCTTCATGTAGACTCTTGCGGGTTCTCTTTTAAGAGCAGGCAACTGTAGTTGACCAACGAGATTGTTTTTCGTGAGATGGTCGACTTCCTTACGAAGGAAAGCCGTCCGTCACAGCCCTGCGCCCCTACACGAGTGAGTCACCTCTTCGACAGATCAGCGCGAAATCACGTGCACAAAGTTAAGCAGTTTTCATTATGCTATGCTTCCGTTTGATACAATTTCCACATCGCAGTCGATGCATAGTAGCTCACCGCGTCTGCAGGTGGTTGCTATCTGACATATCTTGGGCCTCCAGTATGTCCCATTTTATGCTGATTCGGTACACTCACCGAGAATTGTCCTCTTAGAAGCTCATCGTCGCAACCCTCCAGCACCAATCTGTAGCCCTGATACCGAACATTTACCTGGTAAGCATGTGACTCTGCTAGGGCTGGGCTGGCTTAGAATCAGCCTCTTACTCACCACAATCCATCTTACTCTTTCTTTCTCCCCACCGTTGGCCATATCTACTGTTACCATCTCTCTTTTATTCGTCATCTCAATTCAGGCGTCATCGCGCAAGCCTGCAGGCTGACGCCCACGGTGGCCTTGCCAGTAGGTATACTCGTCTCACTATGTCACAGCAACCGTACAGCGATGAATTAATGGCTCGATCAATGATCCTGCTTGACTAGCCGATTTCCAGCATGGAATTAACCTGAACTTCCAACTGAGTATCTCCGCACGTTGAGTAGACTCGGAGATCAACCGACCTTCCCCACTTCCGTTGATTCGATGGAGGATCTTCGGGCGTGAACTCCACCCCATCGGCTGGCTCATCCGATGTTTTCATAATACATTCTTCCAGCACTCGGCAGCACCGGCCGTGATATCGGATAGCGAGGTGATCGTAAATACGTCAAATCAGGGGGTTCAGACCCTGTTCGACAATGCTGGTTCTCCTGATAAGAGGTTGGGACAAGACTAATCTCGCCGACCACTTACCTTGAAAATGCAGTGATGCGGGGGTTGAGGGGTTGTTCCTCGGGAGCAACTTGAAAGTACTCTGATCCAGCTCACTGGCTTCTTCGCATCGCTCTACTCTCATCGACTCTTTTCTCTCTCTCTCTCTCACACACACACCCTCACTCTCTATCATTTGTGTCAGTCAGCCATTGTCACTTTTGCTCCGAACTCGTCAGAATGACCTCGTCGTCAACACCCTCTCCTCAGCCACATGTCCCTCCTGCGGGGGTTTGGTGTCCTGCCGTCACATTTTTCAACCGTGCGAAAGACACCCTGAGTCTCTCCGCGCAGTCCCGATATTTTGAGTATCTATCAAAGACCGGACTTGCAGGACTAGTGATTCTAGGTACCAACTCAGAGGCATTTCTATTGACACGGGAAGAACGCGCCGAACTTATTGTCACTGCTCGTGCTGCCGTGGGACCTGATTTCCCATTGATGGCCGGCGTGGGTGCCCACTCAACCAAGCAGACTCTGGAACTGGCTCGCGATGCTGCTGAGGCAGGGGCAGACTATCTTCTCGTTCTTCCTCCTGCGTACTTTGGCAAAGCCACCAGTATGACCGTCGTCAAGCGCTTCTTTTCAGAAGTCGCAGCCAAGGCCCCGATTCCGGTTGTGTTGTACAATTTTCCCGGCGTGTGCAACGGAGTGGACATCGACTCGGACACGATTACGGCTATTGTCCGAGAGTCGGCAGCCACCAACCCGAACGGTCGGTCGAATGTGGTGGGTGTGAAGCTCACTTGTGGCTCAGTGGGCAAAATCACCCGACTGGCGACCACCTTCAAACAGAACGAGTTTGCGATCTTTGGCGGCCAGTCTGATTTCCTCGTGGGTGGCCTTGCTGCTGGTAGCGCCGGCTGCATTGCAGCTTTTGCCAACGTCTTTCCAAGGACGGTCTCACATATTTACACTCAGTACCAGCAAGGTCATCTGGACGAGGCCTGGCGGGTTCAGGGTCAAGCGGCCCTGGCCGAAAGCGCGATCAAGAGTGGAATTGCCGCGACAAAGTATGCAGTTGCTTACTGGACTGCTCCGGGGGCTGGAATCGCAGATGGCGAAGGGCTGCTTCACCCACGCCATCCATACGAGCCCGTGACAGAACCAGTCAAGGAGATGATTCGCACGACTATGGCGACTGTTGCAGACACCGAAAGAGAGCTGCTAAGGATCAGCGAAAGAAGTCCAATCGAAAGAGAACCATTCTGATTCAAGGGTATAAAGAACAGGAACCTACTAAATGACGGAGATGCCTGCCCTGGATAGTCAGGATCGGTCTTTGAATTGAGGATTACAAATACTTTTGATATAATCGCAGGACTCTCATCCCTTTCTTGAAAACATGATGACTTTGTCGAGCTTTAGCTCACCTTGAGCTCACCCCGAGATTTATCACGCAGGAGAATACAACCTACTCCTCGGTGAAGACTGTGTGTGTGAGCCTCATATGTATGACGAACCAACCGAATGTCCGACGCAACAGAACCCCCGAGCTAAAATCCTCGGCCAAGGGCTGGGATAGATAATTGAAGCACAACCCAGGCACCGTAGATAGAACACAGCATGCTGAAATAGCCGCGTGCGTCATTTAATTGGCAGCTTTGCCCTTGAGCCTGGTTGGGTTTCTTATAACGTTCACGTGAAAGAGTTTTGGAACTCAATGGTGAGGCATGCCCTTGGGCTGAGAACACTTTGCTCTTCTGATGCTTATTGTCAGGAATGGGCATACACAACTCAGATCGTCGGAACAATATGTGGAAAAGCCTCCTCGCCAACATTAGACCCCAAATATACGTACTACCTAGAAATGGCAAAAGGCGGATTGGGAAACAAAAGCTTCACCGCTAACTCTCACAAGGAATACACCGGAAAGATGAGTGTATGGATGGTGTTCAGACACGATTGTTCTGGGCAAAGTCGTCCGGGCTTTGGCTTGTTAGCAGTGTCCGACTGTCCGTCGTCCCAAAAGCCCAATTCTGCCCCCGGATCTCTCTGTCTCTCTTTCCTCCTTGACTATACTCATGGATCATTCGATTTTCACGAGACTTGGTCTCATACTTTGTTTTCTCAACAACGGGCCTGAGCTACAGTCAATAGCCTCCCATTTCCCTCTTATTGGCGCTATGTCACCTATCGCACTACCTACTCTACTGAGTCAAATACTGTCTTCCCAGAACCTGTCCGTTACTTTAGGTCGATGCGCGTGCCAAAACTCAATTCCTAAGAGCCAACTGCTGGAAACATTCAGCTGTGAGAGCTATCCGTCCGGCATGTGCCAAATATCGATTGACTGTCATCCAAGGTTCCGTCTTATACCGTAATGCATCTCTTGAAACTATCCGCGCATTTTGGGGCCTACGTGGAGATTCAAGTGCGTATCAAATGAACACCGTGGCAGATGTGTAGTCATCGACGAAGAATGCTTGCAGATGCTAAAAGACACAACGGTCGAAGCTCTGGAAGATGACTTGGCAGGCTACTCTCAAGACCACTGCAAAATATCATATGTTCAAGTTCTCAAGGTCTTTCTAGAGGTCGACCAGTATGATTCATTTCCAGTTCGGATGAAGTGCTGAACATTTGCGCTTTGGAGATTTTGTGGTCAAACATAGAACATGCAGTACCGATGAAGCTCTAGTGGGACACCACGGACGGCGAGGACGAAGGGATATACTGCGGATGGGTCATATAGGAAGATGTTTGTGTTTGTATGGCATGTGATACTGCCGTCTCACCGCAGCCCATAGCTTAGATAGAATCTCTCCTCGTTAGTCAATCTCACAGTCATCCTTCTCCCCCATCGTGCAGCTGCCGCTACTATAGCTGCATCCCACCAGTTCGCTGCATGAAGCTCTTGCGTATGAAGCTTAAAGGGGGCAAAATTGTCGCTCCGCCTCTGATCACAAGTATCTGAACTTTTAACTAAAATTTTTCTAGGGAATATCTTCCCTGTTGTTGCTACTCACCTTCAAGATTACAAGTCACATTTAATATACATCTTTACAAGTATGCTTCCATGGCACGCTCACCAGCGCCATGATATGCAAGAGTAGCTGGAGGGAATCTCAAAGGATAACCTTATCCACGTGACGAGCCTGTCTAGTTTCTAGCAATTTTGATGGGTTAGGCTTTCCATTGGTACAAGTTTTTGTTATTTAATATCTCTTATTTGATTCTGCTACGGGAGTAGGTAGCTTCTGAGGCAGGTCATTCTAAGTCAGGTAGAACGGGGCTCCCTCCCTTGAGTCCTAAAATCAGATAGAGACTCCACTGAATTGCGAAGATGCTTATTGTAACTTGCGGCCTGGTGAGCTATAAGAGAATGACCAGACCAGTGCAGGAAAATCGAAGTAACAGTTGATGTAGTAGCCGGAATACGATTGTATGCATTTGGATGTGGCTACTGCGTTGAGTTGCAGCCTGGCAGGCCTGGTGTAGAGAAATAAGCAGCTGGAGACTTGTGGTCCAAGGTTGCTGTCTCCCAAAGCTGCCTTAGGCTGCGAATTTCCTCCTGTAGTTCTTAAGGTCGGATTCGGTTATTTGCAGCGGGGGAAGTAATTCGACTAGTCTAGGAGGGCAGTCCAGATCAGAGAGAGGGTTTCAGGATGGCTCTTTGTATTGATAGAAAATAATCGCCAAGGGGCCTGAAGGGGTATGTAGTAATATACTATGTACTGCGATCTGAAAAGCACACAAGTACAGAGGAATTGACCCTGTGAAACGGTATCTCGATTCGCAGGAGCAATACGTCAAGAGTTATTGGTCATACATCCATTTATGCCTCGGCACAACAGTATTCAGGAACCAAGCCAAGCACAAGTGAACCGCCATATGTCAACTCGAGGTCTAGCCCTCAGCTGTTTGATCAACACTTAGATGGGAGACAGAAGCCTGTCAAAGTGGAGTTGTGGACGTGGTTCTCGAAGACATGTTAAAAGCTCTTCTCAGGTACAGGCACCGCCAGGGCTGGCCGTTGGTCAAATCCATTCTGGCTAATTTCCGGTCCCGCAACGTGGTTGAAAGATCTAGGTACACTGTCGGTTTTCGATGATGCATGTTGGGGGTCTTACTCGCTGAGGCCTTCTTGGTCACGAGTCAGAATGCCAGTCGAACAGTACAAAAGGTGGACTGGCCGGTTTGTCAGTTAATCAGCATGTTTTCTTCTTCAGCAATGATCGTGATAAGTGGTTGATTTGGAGTCAAGTCAACACATATATACCTATTCGGTCTTGTTGTCTGTAGGGCGTTCAAATATACAACCGAGGTCAGGACGACCTGCAAGATTCAGTGCCAATGTTAAGTCAAGAATAGCCTTCCACTACCTTAGTGGAGACCGCAGAGGGCTGAATAGAGGATGTTCACACGTGGTGCCTGACCTTGATTTTCAATCATATCCCTCGGCTTAGCTGCTCAGAAAGTTCTCTCTATTCGACTGAATTCTGATCTCGCCTGAGGAATTACCAAAGTTGCCTCGGTTGAAAACAGAAAAACAAAGCCAAGTGGACTCCGGCGGATTTGGATTTTGGCCGCCACGCGACGCCAAGCGGATCCACTGAAACCAATGGAACAACAAGACTTGGACAAATGAGTGGATCGGCATTGCCATCGGCCCACCCGACAGGGCAAAAGCAAATTAATCGGGCCGAATTGACACGAAAAGGGAGCTTGGGAACCGGTGCCAACCAAGGCATTTCAAATCTGCGGCAACTCGCAAGGATTCATCGAGTCGCTAGAGTCGGTTGTAGACATGTCGGATGCCTAAGTCTCTGGAGTCCGAAAGAGAGCGTACATAGACTGCCTTGGCTGTATTCCAACTGAGTAACTCCGACGGGACATGGTGCATTAATGCGATATACGAACATCCTCGAGTCATGCATGTACTGCAGTTGGAAAATCAAGGCCGATTGGAATGATCCGATATGACCTTATCTAATCAGTCTCGCTGCCTGCCAATAAAGTCGACGAAGAAAGACTTCAAAGACACTCCGATCTCCGACGGCATTCGTGATGGCCGTCTGTTTGACCCACTTGGGGGCACTCTTAGTGTGCTCTTTCCAGCAAGTCCTCCGATACTGCACTGGTTCCATGTCCGCCTTTTCTTCACAACCCACTATGCACAGTGGAATTGTGTATCATCATGCACGATTGGAAATCGAGACTGCTCGGGCTGATGCAAAAGAGGGCCTCAGCAGGTCTTTGGAATGGTACCTGATTCGAATTTTTTTACCCCCTAGAATCTAAACAAAAGAAACAAGGCCCGCACTTGTTGATCATTCTATCTTCAAGAATTTCACTCATTTACGATCCTGATTGAGCCGCCCGCCCTCACTCAATACCGCGGTCTGACCTCTCCCTTGAGGTACACTTGCCCGTCTGCTGAAGATCCTTGTGGGCAGAAAGAGTGTGAGTAGCTGAGGATTGCGGCTACATCGAAAGCTTTCACCCCCAAGCCGCAACCTTATCCTTGAACAAGCCATGACGACAGAACTCAAAACCCAAGCCACCGGCCCGGAGCCACAGCTGCCAACTTCCATCCCATTTTGGCGTATGGTCACTCAACCCGGTGTCATCACTCAGGAAGTCTTCGACCACCCGTACGCTGGCTCAGGTACTGAGGATGACCCTTACACCGTGCAATGGATGCCCCAGGATTTCCGCAACCCAACCCAGCTGAGCAAGCCGATGAAATGGGGTATCACCATGACTGCCGCCATGGAGACCCTGGTTGTCGCTCTGGTCTCATCCGCATACACTGGCGGCATCGTTCAGATCCGACAGGAATTTCACATCGAGACAGAAGTCGCCACGCTAGGTGTCTCCCTCTACGTCCTGGGTTTTGCCTTGGGTCCCTTGATCTGGGCTCCCATGAGTGAATTGTATGGTCGTCAGCTCGTCTTCATTACGACTTACTGTGGATTGACTGTTTTCTGTGCCGCCACTGTTGGAGCAAAGAACAGTGCTTCATTGTTGATCTTCCGATTTCTGGCCGGTGCCTTCGGCTCTTCCCCTTTCACCAATTCCGGCGGCGTCATTGCAGACATGTTCCTCGCTCAGGAAAGAGGTCTCGCCTTGTCGGCCTTCGCATTGGCACCGTTCTTGGGACCTGTCATTGGACCGATTGTGGGAGGTTTCTTGGGCATGAAGGCCGGCTGGAAGTGGGTGATGGGTCTGTTGAGCATCCTGTGTGCTGTGATGTGGATCTGCGGTGCGGCCCTGAAGCCCGAGACTTATGCCCCCGTGCTGCTTCGCCGCCGTGCCGAGACCCTCTCCAAGATGACCGGTAAGGTGTATGTGAGCAAACTCGATCTTGATCAAGGTCGTCCCGTACCCAAGGAAGCCCTGAAGACTGCTATGTCTCGTCCATTCATCCTCCTCTTTAGCGAGCCTATTGTGCTGCTGCTTTCGATCTACCTTGCTATCATTTACGGTACTCTCTATATGCTGTTCGGTGCATTCCCTATCGTCTACCAAATTCACCGTGGATGGAACCAGGGTGTGTCCGCCTTGGCTTTCTTGGGCGTCATGGTTGGTATGTTAGCCGCGATTGCCTACTCGATTCCCGAAAACACTCGGTATTCCAAGCTGCTCGCAAAGAACGGCGGCTATTCTCCTCCCGAGAGCCGCTTGCCTCCCTGTATGATTGCCTCGGTGGCCCTTCCTATCGGACTGTTCTGGTTTGCGTGGACCAACTCTCCCGATGTGCACTGGCTCGCCAGTATCGCCGCCGGAGTGCCTTTCGGATTCGGCATGGTTCTCGTGTTCCTGAGCGTGTTCAATTACCTCATTGATGCCTATACCATCTTCGCGGCCTCGGTCCTGGCTGCCAACTCCTTGCTCCGATCCCTCTTTGGCTTTGCTTTCCCTCTCTTCACTAGCTACATGTTTCAGAACCTGGGCATCCACTGGGCGGCGAGCATTCCGGCCTTCCTGGCCTTGATCTGCGTGCCGTTCCCCTTTATCCTGTACAAGAAAGGTCTGGCCATTCGCAAGCACTGCAAGTATTCTGCTCAGTCCGAGGCCTTTGTCCAGAACCTTCTCAAGGGAATGGCCACCACGACCGAGAATGCTTCTCCAGAGAACGATTCTGGGGACAACTCCATTATGGACGAGGCCGTCACCCGTGTTCCTTCCGCCGTGAAAGATGACCCCACGGTGACCTCGCAGGTCTTGGACAAGGAGATCGACACTGGAAGATACTCCCTGGAACGCCCGCTGTCTCGTGTCGAGACACACTTGTCTCAGGTTCAGAGGGTCCCAACCTACGAGGGTAACCCATATAACGTTGACCGTGTCCACACTCGTGAATCGTTCAGGTGATTTCACTATACCTACCTTGCATGCAGGTCTGAAATCACAATCTGCATTTGATTTTTAATGTTTCTTTTCGGTCATTTTCCTGGCAGAGATTTTGGAGAAAAGCTGATCGTATTTTATGGTGATCTTACTCGGTTGGTTTGAGACTCTTGCTCAAGGAGGCGTTTTGGCTAGACGGAGCACACGGATGGTTCCATGTCGATTTTTCCGGATACCATTCATTGCATGTCTGTGGGGTTTTTTTTCGCTTCCGGTCTTTTTTTTTTCAACTGAACGAGCTACTTTAATGTATAGACTTTGGTTCCATCTCACTTTTCAAAATCAATCACTTCACTTCCGAACCTGTGGTCTTTCCTTTGGCTTTGACAGAGGAATGCATCTTCCAGACGCGACACGCACCCGACGTGGACTGTTTCATCGGGGAATCATGATTGCCGTAGGTCAATCGCTTCGAAAGAAACAGGTCTACTCATACTATGATGGGATCATCGTGAAGAGGGCTGGGACGTATTCACCGATTGAACAAGGTACTCATGAGATATTTAAGGTCCTGGGTCACATGATTTTGGCTGAGACCCGCAGTCAGGAGCTGGCTGGTTCAACCAAGTGATACCAAAGTAGTCTCCATTCAAAGGTCGCAAATGGTACTTTTTATATTACAGGAGCATAAGACACATCATAGGCGATCACAAGGCTCATCCAGCGGTAAGATCTACATCGAAAAAGAAAGACTCGAAACAAAACAAGGGGCCGTGGCATTCACATTCATACAACACCACAGCAGTGTCAACGACGAGAGACGCAGCATAGAATACCAGATTTGGCGAGGAAATAGAGCGAGCCGAGGAACCGGAAGATGGAAAGACCAGCAGTGGTCCAAAGAATAGCCGCGAAGTAGTTGGCAGTACGGACTGTGGACGTGTTCTGCAAATAGAAAAAGAGGAGATCAGTTTCTCGACTCGAATTGAGTGTCAGAGAAAAAGGGGGAAAGACAAAGACTTACCGTCAAGCAGAACCGATCAAGACCTTCGCTGGTAATGCACAACGCCAAAATAAGATTGCTGAAGATCCATAGGAGGACAAGATTCGTTCGGAATGCCTTGTACGAATCATCCATACTCTTCTCATGATCTTCCTCGGGCGCCACATACGGCGCCAGCGCACGTTTCACAGTTGCCTCGAATTGACTGTCGATATCAGACTGAGGCTTGTCGACCTCCTCGATGAAGTTGGACTTGGCATCGTCCTTTTTGGTTTGCGCTTCGGGTAGGGCTTCGCTCTTGTCTGATCCCTTGGTACCCCAAGAAACGTCGTGCCAGTTGCAGAAAGCGTACACCATCAGAATGTTGATCGAACAGGTCATGCCGCCAAAGTAGGCCCAAGAGGATGTAAACATGTGCCAGGGATCCATGTAGAGGAAACTGGCGAGAAAATAGAAGCCGTACGTAGAGACCAGAGCAATCAAGACTATACCAGCCCCGGAAGAACTGAAAAAGGAGGAAAGGAAGGCGCCGACACCCTGCGTTAGGTTAAAGTCCAATGTGCCTCCAGTGAACGCGTTCTTCACCAGGTAGAAGGACAAAACCAGAATGTAAGTTTGGACGATACTGAAGTACACAAAGGAGAGTGTGTAGAACAAGCGAGATCTTTTTTGTATCAGTTACCTGCCAGCCAAACTTATTGAGGAGCCGATAAACTTACCCTTTGGGTCGATTTCCGAGAGCCAGGATGAATTGCAGCATTAGGAAGAAGACATATCCATATTTTAGGAAATTGTTGACAATTGGCGTAGCCTCATTACCGAATGGCCAACCTTTATATCGATTGCTTTCGCTTGGTGTTCCGACGAGATCCATGATAACCGACGTTGTCAACCAGAAGGACGCTGTTGGATGCGATGTTAGAACCCAATATACACACATGACGCAAGCCATGCACAGACTGGGGCAGTTAGAAGATAGTCAGGTACATACCCAAAGAGAACCACGTCATCACCAGACCCGCAAAGTTATAGATCATCTGAATATGAAGGAAGAAAAGTCGGATGAGGTTGTGTCCACTCTTATAAATTCGAGTGAAGTGAATCATCGCATACAGACTGGCCGCAAAAGATCCGTTCAGCCAGCGACGACGCTGACCGATAAATTCTGCAGCGCCCTCGGGAACGTCTGTTTCTCCCTTGGAAGCCTTGACGTAGGTTAGATGCCATTTGAAGCCTGCCTTGGCCACTAGCTCAAAACACAGAATTCGGTCCTCGGCAAGGAACATGTTCTTCTTGAAAATATTCATGCCTTCGATACCCTTTTTGCCAAGCTGTTTGGAGAGGGTGTGATCGCCATGGAAATATTGCTCGAGGGGCCGGCCCATAATAGCACGGTAGCGATAGGCTGAGAAGGCGCCTGGTAGGACAGAGACGTAGCCAAAGGCAGATTCCAGGGGTTTATCGAGAATATTCGAGATTTTGTACTCAAAGTTCTGAGCAGCGACCAGAGGATTCATCAAATTCTTCCATCCTTTACCCAACATCGCATGAATCTCACCACATGATCCACCGAGATTCCTGTCATTATAGAAGGACTCCCATAGAGCGAGCAATGACTTTTTGCCAGGTTTCGTGCCGGCATCGATCAAAATGACTACTTCCGGGTTTAGGATTCGGGAAAAGGCGTTGAATAACCAGCGATGCGAGTTGATTTTCTTGCTGTTCTTCTGCTTTAAGCAGAAGATCATCTGGACTGGAGGTAGGTTTGTCGATTCGTCACCGTGGGGGCGAATGAGCTGTTGACTAGACGTGACGGAGAGCTGGGTGGTATACTCGAACTATATACAGGATTAGCAGACAAGCACTAAGTATATCTTACTCTCTGCCATAGTTAAGATGTTGGGGATCTTCCTTGGCAAAGGTGCTGCTTCGAAGAGGTAGGCGGCTTACAATATGTGCGACCGTCTCCCGCCCATCAACAGATCGCTTCATGATGCCATCTTGGTAGACGCCGATTGTTGCGAGCATATCGAGGGTATTCTTGTCACAGGGGTCGATTCCATCAAATACCAAGGTGACCACGATCTTTTGCCAGGCCGGTCCACCTTTGTTCCAGAACTCGGACTTTTTCAGGTTCACAATGTCGCGAATGTTTTGCATGACTCCATGGAGCGTTCGCGCGGTAAGCACTTTGTCCTCGTTGTAGTATGTGATTGCGATCAATAACTCGGTGTGTCGGTTGTACATCGCCGGTCGAAGATTGTATCCATTGCGCAGAGTGAACTCATCGGGGTCGCAAGTCGCCGCCGTATCTGAATGGGAGGGGAAAGGTCAATTCCATCCAGCTGCTGAAAATCACCTATTCCATAGCCGGGACCACTACAGGTATCGCAAACAACACTTACATCGCAAGTGTGAGAACTCCTCTGGAAATCCCTCCTCCGACTCTCGATATTCCTGCTGGATTGCATTCTGAATGGCACTAGGTACTGGGTAATCTACGCTCAGCACGGAGCCCTGGACCAGCTTGATCTTGCGAGTGGGATATCGACGCAGGCCCGACGCGGCCGTCTGTTGGCGGTGCTGCCAAGCCTCGGATGGCGTCTCCGACATGGGAGTGGAAACGCCCGACCGAGACGGAAAGTAACCCGTTGCGACCGTTGGATCTTGCAATGCGCCATCATGGAAGACGGCGGCCCCTGAATCTTGTAAAGTGTAGCGTTTGAGAGAGTCGGATGATGCATAACGGTCGTCAAATGAGCCGCTGAGTGGGCTGGGCTGGCTTGGATAGAGGAGAGACGTGGAACTCTCGGTCATGAGGTTCTTTTCTTCATGACCGTATTCGTTCTAGCGCGAGGACGGGGAGATCCTTGTTAGCGTCCAGGTCTCCAAGAGCTGTTATACATGCTGACCACGATGCGTGGGTGATTTGTTTCCAATGTCTTTTCCAACTAGCATCACTCGCAAACATCGCTGAAGACGCTCGTCCTCGTACACGAGTCAGCACACTTGATTGCAGCTTACCTCTGGTGTACCACCGGCAACATATGGGCTGTTCCCCTCACGGGCTGGAGCTGGAGCTGGCCGTGATTGATCGGGGGAGACTGTCCGCGAGGACTGAGCAGAGTCTGAGTGGGGGGTGTTCATGGTCATGTTGATCGCATTTGTGTGCTCTTGCACGAGAGGCCGATCGTCGTCGATTGGGGTTGCGGTGCCAGATTGAGAGTCGCCCAGGCCAACAGAGATGGAGTGGATGGTGGAAGCCTATGGTAACAAGCAATCAAGCGACGGACGAAGCAATGGACTTTCCAAAAGAGCGACTGGCTGTCCAATGTACCCAGAGGAAGCGAGTGAAGGGGGAAGGGGGGCTGGTAGCTGAAGAGTTGGAGGAGCCAGCGAGGAGGGAGAGTGGAAGAGACGGGGGACGCAAGGTATGAAGGTGCTGCAGCAGCCGGTCTGCGTTCAGGTCACTTAAGGGTGTGGAACTGATGTGAGTGCACCTGGGGATGCACAAAGGTTCTTGACAGGTCGACAGGTCGACTTTACCGCAATGCCGCCCTGAAGTGAAAGCGATCGGCCAACAATGGTGAGATGATCTCAATTGACGATCTGCCCCTACTCAAGGGACGGAGCGGATATACTAGTAGCAGTACTGTAGGTAGGGGTATGGGGTATGAAGAGGACAAGGAAGGCCCGGGTCGGTTCTAATGAAAGAATACGCATAGGCATAAGAGCACGACCACCTATTGACCAGCTAAAGATAGTCTGTACTAAGGACTTTGTATGAGTCTGTACCGTTACTGGCCTTGAAGGAAGCCAACACTTTCAAACGGATTGACGTGGAGGCTGGGTGGGGATCGTGGATGTCTCTGTGGATACTTGAATGTATACGTGCATATAGTCCAGTAGTACTCTCTGGAATGGATTTTCCTAAAAGCACATACTTCTTCAGTACATCACGTATGCCACTGGCTCGCACCACACGGACTGTACTACTTGGGTACCAGGAAAATGCTCTGGGATAGTCGGATCATCGCGAAAGAACCACTATTATTGATCATGAAACTGTGCGGTACTATACAGTATACACCACTGGTGACTGCCTATCTACCTAGTATGCACTACCTAAGTAGTAGGTAAGCTAAGGTACTCTCTTGTAGCCTGATGACCTTAGCATACCTCGGTCATACCTATCTATGCAATTGTCGTCGTAGCCAAAAAATCTCATCCCAAGTAGAACAACTAGCAACGTAGTGCTGTGATGGTATAGGTATATGCTCCAGCCATCATACTGCTAGGAGGCTAGGAGCAATGACTCTCTGTCTCAACGTCCCTCTAGCATTGCCACTGCTAAATTTACCAAAAGGCTGCGTTGACTGCAAGAGTTCCCCAGCCAAGTGAGTGAGTCGTCGTTCCACTAGTGGGTCTAGTGGATCCCCGACGACGCGTTGTGGCGGGTCTCTTTGATGAATGCCAATACATATGGTTGGAGTATGCCGGATGCTCCATCCAGGTGAGTCCATTCCTTGTCTTGGTGGTTCGTCATCGCCTGTCCAAATCCTCGGCAAGTGGTACTGCTGTGAGACTGGGCGACTGTGCGAGTGGACATGACTGTTAGGCAAGCAAGTCTCACGCACCACCCCACAGCCGGTCGACCTGACCCCAGATGGTGGAATGCCTGCCCAGTTTTGGACGCTTGAGGGGAATTTGAGTGGTACAACGGTAGCACGGTCGACCATTCTTCTAGTCGATCATAATCATTGAGCAAACAGAGTCAGTCAGTTCGTAGCTCCAGCTTTTGACTATAGTCAAATCTAAAATCTAGTACAGGTAGATAAAGCTGCGCACATGGAAGTCTATATCCAATCAATATCGCGTGATCTGGGTTTGCAATATTCGCAACATCCACCCGACTTACTCGAGCATGTATACCTGATAGCGTTAATACGCTACTGTACTTGCTTTGCAGAACGCCTGCAGGTCCCAACCAACGCTCGGGTCAAGAGAGTGGAGTTTTGGTTCTAGACTTCAATTCGCTCACTCCCCCGATCCGATTGATGTCTCCGAGTGAAACCACGGATGAGTACGTACTACTCTACTCAACAGACTGAGTCGACTGGCGCATTACATTACTGAACTATATATAGTAGTTGTACAGAGAACAGAGCACTGGACCACGGTGTACCTATGTAGCTACCGGACTGTACTTGCACTTTCTTGTGTGAACATTCTACCTTGCCAAGCCTAAGTCCAGCCTCCTAGGTACCTACCATGTATTCGGCACATATTGAACAGACATCATTCGTTTACTGGGCAATGGGCACTACATAGAAGATATTAAAGGTTGAAGGACACTATACCCAAGCTCAGACCATTAGAAGAAGTTGGACCATCATGGATTGATCAGGAGAACGTATCCTTCCAGATGCAAAGCCAACCTTATCACAAAGATATAAGGGGCCAGTGCCAGACCTGGAATCACATGGATGGAACTCGATTCCAGAGCGACTCGGAGGCATCCCCGAATGTCACAGACCGTGGCGATTGTAGCAGAGGTGGACGATCTTCTCTTGGTGTCGAATTGGAAGTCGACTGTCTACACTCTACGGTACCTCCTATGTGAAGATGTCATTGCTAATTATTAATTCAATATCACAACAACAATAATTAAGATAGTAATAATAACAACAATAATAACACCAAGTTCTTCCTCTAGTATTCTGGAGAGCTGCCGTCTGGATCTCGCTTGTGGGTGTGCCGACCCGACCGTCTTTCATCTCTCGGGCGCGAACCCTAGTTCAACATTGTGTATGGACTTTCAAATAGCCCCTTGAAAGCGGTGGAAGGGAGAACACTTCCAGCACCATATGAATAGGATGATGTACAGCTGTGTGTTCAGATGGAGGTACTAATTAGGTTTCTGATCTATCAACTGACAATACACCCCTGCAGGTCGACGGGAGGGTTCAAGTCCAAGCTATAAGTCCCAACTATTGTTATTGAATAGTAGGTCTCGAAAAGTTCCCCGATGGAGTTGGTTCCCAGCTTAATCACGGAGACTCTTCTGTGCGAGAAGTCTCATGGTTACAATATAATAGTATGTATAGAATCCCTATCATTATTATTATGGAAGATAACACTTTCCATGGACTCGGAACGGATGCAGTGGTGTTATCATGCTTAGAGTCTCCATATGGTGTTTCCTCATGACGCGGCTTTGGGCTGGATCAGCGGGAGACCTACTCGCCTAGTCACCTGCGGTAGTGTCCGGGACCGATTCACGCTAGAGGAAGCGGGTCCGATGACGACAAACCGGGTATATCTTTAAATGGTGGGAGAGAATGGTGCCTTTTACCTCATGGCAACTGGTGGGATCATTCAACATTGACATTGGCATAACTACTAACTAGGTACAAGGCTATATATAGTAAAAGGCCATGAGCAGCAGTTAAGTACCGGACCACACGGGAAGCGCGGCCACCCTATCACGTGAACGCACACCCATTTGGTACTGTCACATGACCATGACCCCGGTCGCGACCCCTTACCACTTTAGGTTAGCACGGTGGTTCCTGGCCGAGTATATATAGCAGTTCCAGAACTGCCTTTTTTTTCAGGCTAATAGAGGCAGTTCGCCGTTTACATCAATCAATTGTTTGACTGGTTATATGGAGCAAATTCATCTTTAACATACTTATCGAACGAACTCAACCCATTTACTTCAACATTAAAGATAAAGCTCAATTAATATAAAGCCTAATCATGAAATGGCGGGACAATTAACAATTCCAGATTCAAGTAGATGATACCCGCCCAGGGAGGTATATATGCACACAGTCGGGTATATACCTCTTACGTCGTAGGTTGGTAGCGGTGGTATATACTATCTGCCATGTCTAGAGCCTCAGCCACCTACAGTATTTCAAAAATCCCAACGAAGACCGGGCGTCTGCCCGGGCCTAGACAGGATCTTATACCGGACGATGTTTTCACCTTATCTAATGAACATTGGTACAACATCCCTCTCTACGGTGTATACCACCTCGATATCTGGAAAACACCCCCTAATGTGTCCAACATCCATTTCCTCTAGTTAGTAGGTAGGAGGTACTGAATCAAGGATATAAGTAGGAGGTAGTTTCCAACATTTCAGTTGTCAATGAGTTGAGCACACCACATATGAAATGGTTGTGCCGTACAGGGAGGTCACCCGTACATCCATGGTTGAATCCATGAATCTCGTGCCAGCTTCGAGCTACCTTAGAGATTGGATGTACTATGTATAGGTTGAACAACAGGTACTGAAGGAAGATAGGTTGACCTGCTACCTGTAACTGTCGGGCGGGCATCACACGAATCAACTTTGAGGTACAACCGACCGGCCCTTTCTCTAACTGCTTTACTTTGCACCATCAAAGTACGATAAGGTGAGGTGAATATCGAATCTGGGTAGCTAATGGGTATGAATCCTGCGTCCAATCATACCTACACACACCTAGTACAGGAGTACAGGGGTCACCTCACGATACTGATACGCCGAAATGTTGACCGAGGTCACAGCGCGTCATTACTAGTGCCGAGCTCTGTTCAATTTGCGGGGTATTCAAGCATCCATCAATCGGCATAACTTGGAAGTAGATCAACCAAATCCCAGTTTCGAAAGAACACAACTTCATCTCTCGCTACAACGTCTACGCTCAAGACTGAGCTTCAGTTCTCTGCAAATCGTTTGCATCTCGAGCAACCAATTGGCATCAGCTTTTGACTGACACCACCTTTTTGGTTCAAGATGACCACCGCAAAACCACCATTTGAGTCTCTGCCGCTGCGCAAGGACGGTCCAGCCGGGAATGCTTGGGGTCTGTTTGGAGAGCATGATGAACTGGGCATGCTTAATTTACTCACCCCCGCGACCACCAGAGCTGCCGCACAGGAGATTAAAGAAGGAGTTCGAGTCTCCACAGATTGGTCTCTGGACAGTATGGCCGTGCCCTGCTTTGGACGGGTGCCATTTGAACATACACTCAAGAACAAAGCTCCGCGACCGGTCAATGATGATATCTTGACCTTTAATACCCAAAGCAGCTCACAATGGGATGGATTCCGTCATTTTGGATACAAAGATGGATCGGTGTTTTTCAATGGATGTTCCCAGCAGGACATTGAGCGCTCCACACGCAATGGTGTACATGGTGAGTCTTGTGAGATCAAGGGCGAGTGGACCTGTGATAGCCACCCGGCCTGATCTTCAAATATGGACCACCCACCGGCAGCTTTCTGATGTCTTCTTGTAGTCTGGGTGGAACATGGTGGTATCGTCGGACGCGGTGTACTCCTCGACTACAAAGCCTGGGCGGAAGCCCATGGGCAAGAGGTGGATTGCTTCGACACCCAATCGATTTCCGTATCGACTCTTCAAGAGGTGGCTCGCAGCCAGCGAGTTACTTTTCAGACTGGAGATATCCTCTTCGTTCGCACCGGATGGACCCAATCCTACAAACAGCTCTCGCCGGTGGAGTGTCAGCAACTGGCGGATTACAAGACGCCGCCCGTGATCGGAGTCGAGTCCTCGAAAGAGACACTCCGCTGGATCTGGGAAAACAACTTTGCAGCCGTCGCCGGTGATATGCCCAGCTTTGAAGCGTGGCCTCCTCAGAAACCTGATTTCTTTTTGCATGAATGGCTGCTGGCGGGTTGGGGGATGCCCATCGGAGAACTCTTCGATCTTGAGCGGCTGAGCCAGGAATGTAGGCAACGGCAGCGTTGGACCTTTTTCTTTAGCAGTGTCCCATTGAAGGTCCCGGGAGGTGTTGCTAGTCCTCCGAATGGCATTGCCATCTTTTGAAGTTCAGACGGTCGTGGACTGTTTGAGCTTTGAGTTGAATCTTAATCCTTACCATACACTAGAGTGACTAGACTACTGCCAAAGGTCGAGTGCAAAGATGCAACTCGCAACTCGCAACGCTGAACAGGAAGATGGTGCGCATGTGATCTTCCGCTGGGTTGTTTCCCCTCCCACTTTCCCATCGTGGCCGCTATCGGCTACAACCGCCTCGGGCGGGGAAACGCGGCCGTCGGACCGATCAACAATCGCCAACAGTACTTACTCTCTTTCCGCTGGCACGGGGTGTCGTAGTCCATCTCTACAGACTACAGACTACAGACATCCCTCAGAGTGGTACACAGGAAGACACCGTGCTACTTGGTGAGAGTCAAATCACGGCAGGCTGAGGGTCACCAGTTCAGATATTGGAGGTGTGATGCAGTGGCCTTGAACCTTGAATCCATGATCTGAATTGTGTGGACAGTTGGATTGGCCCTCTGTGCATGTCGCCTTTTCTTCTCGCTCTCTCCTCCCCCCCCCCCTCTCTCTCTCTCTCCGAGATATCGAGTTCCTCATCTAGTCACGTATCATGAGTGACGGCAAAGGAGTGGTGCGTCGACTACAGGATCTCTCAAAAACACGATCTCTTGTCGCGTAAGTACATATCTCACACATGGAGCAGGGACCTTGATCCTCTGGAGAAAGGAACCGACACAGAGGGCACTACCTCCAACATCTTTCGTCACTACCAGGTGCAATCGGTGTCGTTCTCGAAAAACACGATGCGCAGGAAATCCTCCACTCCCATGCGCGGCATGTGTCGATGTCAGAGCGACATGCGTGTACTCGGAGGCTGAAAAGCGCCGCTCCATCACAGAAAGGCATGTTACTTCGATAGTATAATTGGAATATACCTATTCAGACAAAAATGTCGCTCAAGCTGATGAGACATCTAGGGAGTATCGTGAACTACTCTCCCTGTCTCATGCTCAGCCGGTATCGCCACAGCCGTCGCAAGCAACATCTCGTTCTCAGGCCAAAAGAAAGGGGCGAGAAAAGTCGCGCTATCTACAGAGGCGAGAATCCTCCCTTCACGACTGTAGTCTCGATACGCCTCCAATTGCACCACATACTATTGAAGCTTCCGCCTCCGGCAATTCCCAAAATGAGACCGTCCTTGAACGAGATGACTGGTGGTATGAGGGAACCAGAAATGTGCTTCTGCATCGATCAGGCGAACATCGTAAGTCAGTTCATCCAATCTAGAGTACGAGCGTGACATGATTCATCCGACAGACTCCAGACTTCCTGGGACCCTCTGCGGCTACTCATATGGTTGAGCGCCTCAACCCTGGCTCAAAAAACCTGGCTTGGGATGCGCGTCCGCTATACGGTGACCCATTGTCTCTACAACGGTCTATTACGCCATCTCTTCCGGGTCTCCCCCCGATCGAGTTCGCGAAACATCTTTTCTGGGTGCAATTCTCCTACATCGGTACCATATTTTCCCTTATTCATCCCCGACAGTTCGAGGAACGACTGCTTTTCGTCTACAATCGACCTGCGGATTTCTCGCGACTCGAGAACCGTCTCATCTACTGCCAAACCCTCTTAGTACTGGCATTTGGTCTGATGTATTCGGTAAATCAGTGGTCAGGGGATGACGGTCCTCCAGGTTTCAAGTTCTTTAAACATGCACTGGAACTCTTGCCAGATATTCACGAAGAAGGCTCAATCTTCTTCGTTGAGGTTCTGTGCTATGTTGCCTACTTTATGCAAAATCTGAATAGACGAGATGCCGCTTTCATTTACGTACGTTGACGATATGTGGGTGTGATATCAATCTCTCGTCGAGCAGAAGCTTACAAGTCCTTGATTTTTTTTTGGCAGATCGGTCTTGCCCTGCGCATGGCAATTTCACTAGGGCTTCATCAAGAAGTCTCCGACCCTATGATCAGTGAGAAGGATCGCAATCGCCGCCGCAGTGCGTGGTGGTCCGTCTACAGTCTGGACCGGTAAGAAGTTTGACTTCCACCCGGGCAGTGCTATCATCTTGGTTACTCATCTTTGATCTATAGCGTCCTCTCGGTCAGGTCAGGCAATCCGATCACAATTCAAGATGACGATATAGGTACATCTTGGCCGGCTGCTCTTGTACGTTTTCGATTTGCATTCCACCTCTTTTCACTGTTCACTGAATCAAATGTTGGTGTTAGGACGGGTCAATCCGCGATCCTTGGCCATCGATTGTCTTGACCTATTACACACAAGTCTCTCGAATCCTCGGGCGGATTGGAGAAGGTGGGCCTTCACCAAAATCTGACCCTAGACCTTTCTCCTCTGACCAAACTCGACCCTAGAAATCTACCGCAAGAAACCTCGCTCCGGTTCCAACCTGATCAAATCGGTCCAAAGTGTCATGAACGACCTGTCAGCTTGGTTGGGATCAATCCCGGACTCCCTTCGGATTGACTTCAACGAGCTAGAGTCACACGTGAACCGGGAGACTGTATCAGTCAATCTGCATTTCTACTCATGCGTCAATATGACAGCACGACCTTTGGTCTTTTACGTTATCAAAAGACGCCTTGACGCCGGCGCGAACGGAACCACCCTAGAAGACTGGAAAGATGGACTCGCGCCAAATACCGTCGCAGTTATCGAAAGCTGTATATCTGCGGCCCGAGCCACCATCATGATCATGGATGCCGCTGATAAGCACAGCCTGATTGGTATGAACCAACTCGCCTTCTACTCAGGCACTGATTGCTTCGACCACTTGTTGCAGGGCAATTGCTGACAGAGTAATGCTATGTGACAGCTACATATGGTTATCTGGATGGCGATTATATTTTTGCTGCAGCACTATTACTGGTCATGGTTAACGCTGCCTTCCCATATAACGAAGCCAACGAGCGTTCGATGGACATGGCTCTCAACCTTCTCCGAAAAATGGCCAACAAAGGCAATGCATATCTTGAATCACGTCACGCCCTTCTCTTGGAACTTAGGACAGCGATTGATCCCCAGTGCAATGGGAATACTGAGCAGAACCCTAATCCTGACCTACAAGTTCGTGATAACCCAAACAGTGACAGAGCGCCGAGTTCAGGAGCTGCAGCTGCCGATCCAGAGACGCCACCGATAGCGTTGAATGATTGGCAGCAAGCTTCTCTCTTCCCATCATTCGGGAATGCATCATTACAGATTAGTCTTGACGATGATCCAGCTCTATGGGAAGGTGCTCTGGACCAGATCAATATCGACATGGATACGGATTGGATTGAGAGTACTTTGAGGCGTTAGTCTTGCGGGTTGCACCGACCTGATTCATGAATCTGACAAACTGAGAATTCTTTACATTCGACCTCGCTCCAATTTTACTAGGCTTCTTAGGATAGATGCACTGTTAGAAATCTGGCCTGCTGATGCTGTTTCGCGACGAGTGTGTAACTGTGTGCTAGTGTAGCACTAGGAACAGCCGCAAGTTACTGTCAGAAAATCTGGCAATCATCGTTCTGACGGCAACTTGCGTACCAAATGACCGCCACTTGTACTAGAGCCCATATCAGAACGCCACAGGCTCAGAATCTGAGGCCCCGTCTACCTGCTGACCACCAGGGGTGCATGTTTTGGGACTTGGTATTTGACTTGAAGATGATAAGAAGCTTGATCTCAAAGCCGCCAGTGGCTTATCGAGTTGTTGCGTCGGCCCGACGGTCCCGATAGCCGGCCATCGGCCCGACACGTGACTCGTCTTCAGTAGAGACGAATAGTTGGTAATCAAATCACAAAGCATTGAGGACCAGTTGGAGGGGTCCATGTCATAAATAAGATCCCAGGTTCTTGTATATCTCTCCAAAGTCGTTGTCCTGGCCAAGTACCAGTCTTGGCGAAGTATCGAGATGGACAACACAGGCAAGATCACCATTTCTATCGACCGAGGGGGCACGTTCACAGATGTACATGCCATCGTGCCTGGTCGTTCTGATATCATCTTGAAGTTGCTCTCGGTCGACCCATCTCACTACCAAGATGCCCCAACGGAGGGGATTCGGCAGATTCTAGAGCTCGCTACCGGCAAGCCACACCCCCGTGGCCAGCCATTGAAGCTCGACCGCATTGGCTGCCTTCGCATGGGCACAACTGTTGCTACAAATGCTTTACTGGAGCGCAAGGGTGCCCGATCAGTGCTATTCACGACAAAGGGCTTCCGTGATCTTCTCAAAATTGGAGACCAATCTCGCCCAGCGATCTTTGACCTATCCATGACACGCCCCGGTGTGCTGCCCGAAGGTGTTGTCGAAGTGAATGAGCGAGTGGTACCCTGTCACTCTGCAGCTGACGACAAATGTTTTCCCGACGCTCGATTGGTCCAAGGTGTGACTGGTGAGAAGTTTCGGGTCGTCCAAGAATTGGATCTTGATCATGTACGGGCCGAGCTGCAACGTCTCAAGGAGCAGGGTTATCAATCTCTCTCAGTAGCTCTGGTACACTCCTATGCATATCCGGACCACGAGAACCAGATCGCCGAAATTGCGGAGCAGATGGGATTCTCTGTTACCCTCAGCTCCAAGCTCCAGCCCATGATTAAGGTGGTGCCACGAGGAATGTCAGCTGCAGCTGATGCCTACCTTACCCCTGTGATCAAGACTTATATCGACTCTATCTCTGCCAGCTTCGAAGGCGGCCTCGGCAGCAACCAGTCTTGTCGCTTCGAGTTCATGCAGTCTGATGGAGGTTTGGTCGATTTTCGCAAATTCAGCGGGCTGAAGGCTATTCTGTCTGGGCCTGCTGCCGGGGTAGTGGGATTCGCAGCGACGAGCTGGGATCCCGTTGAGAAAATTCCCGTCATTGGTTTTGACATGGGTGGCACATCTACTGACGTCTCACGCTATGATGGACACCTGGAGCATGTATTTGGGTCCAAGGTTGCGGGAATCATGATCCAGTCACCGCAACTGGACATCAACACGGTGGCGGCTGGTGGCGGCTCGATATTGACATACCGCAATGGGCTCTTCTACGTTGGTCCAGAGTCTGCCAGTGCTCATCCAGGCCCTGCGTGCTACAGGAAAGGAGGGCCCCTTACTGTGACCGATGCCAACCTTTTTTGGGTCGATTATTGCCCGAATATTTCCCTCATATCTTCGGTCCCAACGAGGACGAACCGCTCGACACGGAAATCACTGCGAGGAAGTTCCATGAGCTTACCACGGAAATCAATGAAGAGCGTCGGCAGAGGTCACAGTCCGAGTATTCGGCCGAGGATGTCGCGCTAGGATTCTTGAAGGTCGCTGACGAGTCAATGGCCCGACCCATTCGCAATCTCACCGAGGCTCGCGGATTTGAGACCGCATCGCATCATTTGGCTTGCTTTGGAGGCGCTGGAGGTCAGCATGCTTGCTCTGTGGCTGAGTCTCTTGGAATTTCGCGCATCATCATTCACAAGTACTCCTCAGTCTTGTCCGCTTATGGTCTGGCGCTTGCAGAGGTGGTCAAGGAGTCTCAAGAGCCGGTATCGTCGGACTATCTTGCTTCTCAGAGCTCCCTTCTTCAGCGGTTCGAGAATATGGCCGCGGCCGCCACGAAAGAAATGCAGGGTCAAGGATTCGAGCCGAACCAGGTGCGACATGAACAATATCTCAACATGCGCTATGAAGGATCAGATACTAGCCTGATGGTCTTACGGCCAAAGGATACTTCTGATTTCCTTGCTGAATTCCGTGAGCGTCATCGACGAGAATTCAATTTCAACTCCGATCGGCCTGTGTTAGTGGACGATATTCGTGTGCGATCCATCGCCTCGTCGAAAGTTCGTACTGAGCGCAGTCCTATATTACAGCTCAATGATGCCACTCTTCGCAACGTGACATCAGCGCCTGCAGGCACAACTTCGGCGTACTTCGATGGCCATAGTGCGCGAGTTGATACTCCGGTCTATCTGCTTAATCAGCTGGAACGACACACTCGTATTGAAGGCCCTGCTATGATTATTGATAAAACGCAAACGATTGTTGTCGCTCCCAAGGCGGTAGCCAATATACTTGAGACTTGTATTGTCATCGATATACTGGAAGATAGACAAACAAGCTTAATCCCAGCAGCTCAACAAGCAGCCGATGTCGACCCAATCAAGCTGAGCATCTTCGGACACAGATTCATGTCCATCGCCGAGCAAATGGGACGGACACTTCAGAAGACATCCGTGTCAACTAATATCAAGGAGCGTCTGGATTTCTCGTGCGCTCTTTTCTCGCCAGACGGAGGATTGGTTGCCAATGCGCCTCATGTTCCCGTGCACCTGGGCTCCATGCAGTTTGCTGTCCGATATCAACATCAGAAATGGCTGGGGAATCTTAAGGACGGAGATGTTCTTGTCGCGAACCATCCCAGTTGTGGTGGCACCCACCTCCCGGATATCACGGTAAGAGAAAGCGTCCTGGATTCATAACTGTACCGGACTGGGTTAACGCTTTGTCTAGGTAATCACGCCCGTCTTCGACAGGCCAGGCGGCAGTGAGATCATCTTCTACGTCGCCTCACGAGGACACCATGCGGACATTGGTGGAATTTTGCCAGGATCCATGCCACCTAAATCCACCGAACTATGGCAGGAAGGCGCTGCGATTGAGGGCGACAAGATCGTTAGCAACGGAGTGCTTGACGAGGCTCGTCTGATTGAACTCCTAGTCACCAAGCCTTCGCAATACCCTGGTTGCTCTGGAGCTCGATGCATCAGCGATAATTTGTCTGATCTCAAGGCGCAGATCGCGGCGAACACGCGAGGTATCAATTTGATTCAGACCCTGATCAACGAGTACGGCGTGACCACGGTTCAAAAGTACATGTATGCCATACAGGCTACTGCCGAGACTGCCGTTCGTAATTTGTTGAAGGGTCTGCATCGAAAGTTTGGGGGAAAGCCTCTCGAAGCGGTTGACTACATGGACGACGGCACTCCCATCTGTCTCAAAGTCACCATTGACGGATCTTCAGGATCTGCAATCTTCGATTTTGCGGGCACAGGCCCCGAGGTCTACGGCAGTTGGAATGCGCCGATTGCCATCACCCATTCAGCCATCATCTATTGCCTCCGCTGCATGATCAACGCCGATGTTCCGCTCAATCAGGGGTGCCTGGCTCCGATCGACATTCGAGTCCCGTCTCCTAGCATCCTCTCTCCAACAAAGACGGCAGCAGTTGTTGGAGGCAACGTGGTTACATCCCAACGTGTGACCGACGTTGTATTCAAGGCGTTCCGAGCCTGTGCTGCATCCCAGGGTTGCTGCAATAATCTGACCTTCGGTACCGACGCCAAGATCGATGCCGAAACTGGAAAAGTCATCACGCCGGGCTTTGGTTACTACGAGACCATCGCCGGTGGTGGTGGTGCAGGAAGTACTTGGAACGGCCAGAGTGGTGTGCAGGTTCACATGACCAACACTCGCATCACAGATCCCGAAATCCTGGAAAAGCGCTACCCTACATTGCTTCGACAATTCACCCTTCGTAACGGCTCGGGCGGTCGTGGCAAGAATCCTGGCGGAGAGGGAGTCATTCGTGATATTGAGTTCCTCGCTCCCATGCAATGCTCCATCTTGTCTGAGCGCCGCGTGCACCGTCCCTATGGGTTGGAAGGTGGTGAAGATGCCCAGTCGGGCCTCAATATGTGGATCACCAAGGACACACAGAGTGGAGAGCAACGCTGTATCAATATCGGGGGCAAGAATACAGTTTCTGTTCAAACGCACGATCGAGTGGTCATCATGACCGCTGGTGGTGGCGGCTGGGGCTTGCAAGATGTCGCTTGTTGAATTCAATCTCATGTAGGCCTAGACACTTGAGGTGAAGGCCTACTTTTCTTGATCTTTTCAGATGACGATTATACATACAAGACTAAGATTACATGATTCTGGGAATTCAGCGATGATAATTTGGCACTGGTTTGGCTGGCAGTCGTAGATAGTGTTGAGATAGCTTGGTGGTCAGGCGTGTCACCAGCGTGGTGCGCGCCCACGCACACCACCTTCGTAGCTTAGATAGGCACCTCTCACCAGATGCAATCTCACCATTCCTTTCTCCCCTCTTTTGGGTCTGCTACGTTTTCCCAGTAGCCTCTAATAGATAGAACGCTACAAACTTAGTGCTTACACTCTCTTCCTGAAGAAGAACAGCCAGATAGTTCGGGTGTTTTGAATGACTTAACTCACTCGTAGTAAAGAACAGCATGGTGTCAAAAGAAATGGAACTTTATCTTTCTGTATAGGCCTCTTCAACAACACAGAACTTTCAAGTGATTGATCTGGAGACAGACAATATTGAGCATTCGTTCATTTTCTGATTGTGATGACCTACAATTTCATGGCTGTTCAACAAAGCGCGACACGACCCGTGACATAGATTTTCTCATCAGGCGAGTTTCTGTCAGTCTCGACTTCAAATAGGTCTCTTGAGGAACGATCGAAGTCACGACATACTCCTACTGTACGCCGTACGGAGCGTCGGCTGTAGTGGACCGTGATTTGCTCGAATACAGTTTGCCACTGGCCCCGCTGACGAAAGATCTTTCACTCTAAATCCAGGTACGCCTTCATAGTCGTGATGCTGCGTAGGTGAGTGTGGATACGATCAAGTTCGCCTGAGAAAAAAAACTTCTTCACTAACCGAACTTGAGGGGGGACGCGATTGAACCTCGGATGATCGCAACGATTTAACCCTCGGGCAATACTCGGGTCATACTGACTCAGAACGGAGTGTTTGACTTTCACGTCATCGGTCGTCGCATCCACTTCTAGAGAATTTAGCCGGGTCTTCCCCTAGGCACGGATCGTTTGGTCCGACGATGCAGGCGCGACCAGTGTGCATCTCGCTATATTCTCCGGAGGGTTTTATTGGACAAGCAATCGTCAGTTGTCGGCTGGCCGGGGAGGTAGCAGCGAGACAACATCACCGCAGTGCATTGGTAAAGGCGGACTCGAAATGAATTTAATCGATGAATTTAAGGTTGACTCCCGAAATGGAAAATCCGGTGGATCTTAACCGACCCATTGGGTCCACGTGCCCGCAGTTGCTCAGTTACATAAGCATCACATGTTGCCGTGCTTGGTCTTTTTTGGTCGCGTCAACTGATCAAAGGAAAAAATTGGGACGTTGTGGGCAGCTTAGACAAGGCGTTGAAGCCGTTTCGCAACTTCTCTGATCATGTCCTCTCTCAAACTATCCATCTGCTGAACTCGTCATCGCCGTCGCCGTAAGGTAACTACACTACGGCTGTCGTGGTGCTAATTTCACTCCAAGATTGTTTCCTGGTTCCTCCAACTCCCCACTATTACTCTTCGACCCCTCTCCGAATGACGGAGGCTCCGCCTATTGTCTTTATCGCCAGGTAAGGAGGATGGCTCAGCTTTAGCTGGCATATTCGTGCCGTAGCTGATGGAAATCACGCAGGCATGGTGCCCGCCTCGATGCAGCAGATAAGAACTGGCACCTCACATCTCCTACCCCGTATGACCCCCCGCTGTCGTATGGGGGTTGGCTACAGGCGAGGGCGCTGGGTCTTCGCATCGCCAGCCTCCTCGAGGCACCTCAGTATGCAGGCAAGGAACCAGAGTCTCTTCTTGGTCATCCTGCCGCCTCGAGCAACCCGACCACAGCCACCTCGTCGTCGATAAAGCCAGGACCGCCTCTGCGATACAATTTCATCATCCACACTTCGCCATACCTACGATGTTTGCAAACGGCTATCGGTGTGAGTGCAGGCCTCAGTCATCATCGATCAGCTGAGCATACCTCGGAATCGTCGCCCCTTTCCGGCGCGACTCAGGATCTTGTGACTGAGAACGGGGCCCAAGACAAACGGCCACTGTTGCGCGTGGACGCTTTCCTGGGCGAGTGGTTGTCCCCAGACTACTTTGAGCAAATCATACCACCTCCTCCATCAGAGAAGATGGTCGTCTCGGCAAAAACCGAGCTGCTTCGTCGAGGCGAGGGAATTCCCAACCCCAGAAATTCGCGGTCGACGTCAGGTCACTTCCCAGGAGGCTGGGGCAGCGACTCAGCCTCGAAAACCACCGAAAAGGAACATGAACGTCAAGTGTTTCCGGGGAACGCTGCTGGTAGTTCAAGCCTTGGGGAGCTGTCACAAAGACCGCGATCGAGCACTTTCAATACCCCCACAGACCCCGCCATCCCACGAGGCCGAGCTCTAGGCCGTCTGAACACCGACATTCGTCCCTCGATTCTCTCTGCATACAAACCTCCCACGCCCAGTTACGCCGTGTCTCCTTCAGATCCGATTCCAGTCGGGTACGTCGCGCACGCACGAGACGCCTGTACCAGGATTGACTATCAATGGGATAGCATGCGCACCCCGTACTGGGGTACAGGAGGCGAGTACGGTGAAGAGTGGGGTCTGATGCACGAGAGGGTACACGCTGGGTTCCAAAAGATGATCGATTACTATCGGGACGGTGAAAGTCCCAGTGACAGAGGCCGTGCATTGTCGAACGGATCATCCCCCGTCGAAGGTCCCACGCAGACCGTGCTGATCATTATCACCCACGGAGCAGATTGCAACGCCTTGATTGGGGCGCTTGCTGGGAGATCAGTCCTTCTTGACATTGGTACTGCCTCCCTGACCATGGCTGTGCGACGCGATCGCCTCGGGGTTGCTTCCAGTCCTTCGTCCGACCGCGTGCCAGAATCTTTGAGGGCCCCTAACTTGCCTTCCTCATTGACCGACCGAGGAGCGCGATTAGTCTCCCAGGAATACTCTTTACAACTCATTGCATCTAATGATCATTTGCGTGCGGGGGTGAACCCCTCCCAGCTCGCCTCCCTCACTTCCCCGACTGCCCCTCAACCTCTGCCGCCACCATCGATCTCCTCCTATCGCAATCGAACTGCCTCTCGCCCATCCGCCTCTATCCTGCAGGGCTCCTTTGTGATTGATTCCACTCCCAAAATCAATACAAATATGCGCAACTGGTCTCAAAACAGGCGCTCCTCTCCGACCTCGGCACCGCCACGAGGCGGACCTGGCCTGTGGGGCTCTATCAGGTCCCCCACAATCGAGGCCGACGAAGACGCCGACGAAAACTATGTGCCCAATTTTGGAAATCCAACTTTGGCACGTCCTGAGAATCACGAGAAATCAGATACTGACCCTGACCAAACCAATGGACCGGGTGGACTGAAGCAACTGCCTCGGAGAACTGCCTCTCAGCGTGGCTTGTGGGGCAGCGCTCAGACTTTGGACGATCGCAATGCCACCTCACGACGACGGTGGACGGTCACCGATCAAAAGTTGTAATCATGAGACATGAACTCTTCTTCTGTTACTTTCGGGCGAATCTGCTACTACGGTTTCCATGAGGGCTTCTCAACTCTTTCATTTTCGATGGCTTCTGGCGCGGTGTTTGGCGTGAATCCAGATCCCTCCCATGTGAGGAATCCAGACATAGCATCTCATAGCGAACTCATAACGAAATCATATCATTTTTTTCTATTCAAGGATTGCTCGTATCAAGAATGGAGTAGCGTACATTTACTGGTCAACAATGGAGGATTGCCTCCGTAGAATCGTAGATTAGTGATCCCAGAATAGATAACTCAGGCATCAAGGCACCCGTGCCTGTCATGGACTCAGCCACAATCGGCGATCGCTTCCCCGGATCTTCGGGTCTCTTGCTTGTAGCTCTCCAAGTAAACAACAGATTAACTGCCCTCGTTCTGATGTCAGCGTTCGAGTCGGGTCCTCCATCCAGCGTATATATTGCAGTGCCTCATTGGTCTCACTCAAGCGATCCAAGCTCTATCCCTCTCTCTTGTCTATCTCATGGTACCTATCAACTCCGACGGTCTGACCGTCACCCATGATTCGGGCCGAACAGGCTCGCCCGATCTCCGTCTGATCCACTTCAACGACGTGTATCATATTGAGTATGTCTGTCTTGACCGTCAAATATTGCTTCCTCATTTTACCGGCTTCTTCCAAAAGGACTCTGCTAATACGTAGAACTGCAGGTCAGGGTCCGCTGAACCAGTGGGCGGTGCCCCCCGCTTTCAGTCTCTCGTGAATCACTACCGCGATGACTCGCAATACGTGAACCAGCCTGGTGTCCTTACCTTTTTCTCGGGTGATGCCTTTAATCCCAGTCTCGAGAGTACTGTCACGAAGGGTCGTCACATGGTTCCCTTCCTGAATAAAATCGGTATCGACGTCGCGTGTGTGGGAGTCAGTCACTTCGTCAAAGCCACATTCATGTTTGTTTTGGAACACCTAGCTGACACCTGCAGAATCATGACCTGGATTTTGGCGTGGCCCAATTCCGTCATCTGTCAAGTCAGTGTCATTTCCCGTGGCTGTTGGCCAATGTCCTCGATCCGGCTCTTGGAGAGGATGTGCCGATCGCGAATTGTGGTAAAACACATATGCTCACTTCCTCCAACGGGATCAAGGTGGGCGTCATCGGGCTAGGAGAACGAGAGTGGTGAGAATTTTCTACTTTGCCCTTCTACATCCGTTCTCCTTCGAGTGCTAATCTGCAAGTAGGCTCGGTACAATCAACTCTCTTCCACCGGACCTGATCTACAAATCAGCCTCCGCCACCGCCAAGGAGCTAGCACCCAGGCTACGAGATCAGGGGGCGGAACTAGTCATTGCTGTTACACATCAGCGTGAGCCAAATGATGTCAAATTGGCCAATAGCTTGCCCTCGGGCCTGGTGGACATTGTCATGGGAGGTCATGATCACTTCTATGCTCATTCCATTGTCAACGGAGTTCATGTGCTGCGGTCCGGAACCGATTTCAAGCAATTAAGCTACATTGAAGCCTTCCGCAAACCTGGCGCCGAGGAAGGCTGGAATTTCAATATTGTGCGGCGAGATGTGCTTCGCTCCATTCCTGAAGACCCCGACACTGTCGCGATGGTAGACAGGTTGACGTCGAGTCTCAAGGCCAAGTTGGAAAAGCCCGTAGGGTACACAGCTAGCCCACTTGACAGTCGATTCACGACTGTTCGTCAGCGTGAGTCGAATCTAGGTAACTTTGTGTGCGATCTTATGCGACACTATTACTCCGCCGACTGTGCCATGATGGCGGGAGGCACGATTCGCGGCGATCAAATCTATCCTCCTGGTGTTTTACGGCTAAAGGACCTACTGAATTGCTTCCCTTTCGAGGACCCTGTGGTGCTGATTCGGGTCAGTGGACAGGCCTTACTTGACGCGCTGGAGAACGGCGTCAGTCAACTTCCGGCTCTTGAGGGGCGTTTTACGCAGGTTTCCAACATCGCATTCGGCTTCAAACTGAATAGTCCCTCTGGTTCACGTCTGACATTTGCTCGTGTGGGAGGGCAGCCCATTGATCCTGAAAGATGTTACACTGTTGCCACTCGTGGATACATGGCCCGAGGCAAGGACGGTTTCAGTTCGCTCCTTGTCGAGTCCGAGGGGGAGATGTAGAGGAACTCGTCAGCGAGGAGAACGGAGTACTTATCAGCACAATTCTGCGCCAGTACTTCCTGAGCCTCAAGGTTCTGGGCAAATGGCGCCGTTGGAGCCCAAGTCTTCGACGACATTGGGGAGTAGTGCATCGAGGGTTACATAGTGGCGGTCGTCTCAAGCCACCCTCAGCCCTATCATCACCGGTAGCAGAGAAAGCACCAGCTCGTCGCCTCGAGTCACGACCAGGATTTCAACGGACTGGGCGCGAAGCTTACTATTACGGAAGATTTCCCGAAGAAGTCAAGCCAGAAAACGTTGCCACTAACGAAGCCAACAGCGACGCCATGGACTCGGACTCTGATGATGACCCGGAAATTCTCACTTCGCCTCGGCCTACGAGCAACTACGTCACTTCCCCTGCAAAATCCTCTGCAGACGAAGAACGTCGTCTGAAGCTCGCACGCCGCGTTGTCAGAAAATGGATGCGACATGCCGGACTGGAATCGTCCTTCCTTGACCCAATGGACGGAGAACGCGAGTTCATTCCCCCTTGGACATCGGGCATTGCGCCTCGAATTGAGGGGCGAATTGTGATTGAGAAGGATTAGGCATACATCGCTACGAATCTTGTTGCAAGGGAGAATAGCTGTTAAGCCGGTGACAGAGCTCTAATATGGTCAGCTTTCGTCAATGAACTTGAAGTACTGGCCTCAGGGATGGGCTGATCTGCATCTTCCCTGGTATACTGTGACAAATTTCGGAGGTTCATCCTATTCACTACAATCCTGTTCGCTTTTAGACGTTGCTAATTGAATGAGTGATGATTCAAGTGACGGTTTTAAGACACCTGGGCATAACCTAAGTAAGTAACATACTGCCAAGCAGAAAGATGGCCTAGGTATCAGTTGGAACTTGGCAGGTTTCAAAAAGCAGTTGCAGTAGATACGGCGTATCTTGTAGTACATACTTCGATGCTGTGTTCAAAGCTGCCGTTTATGCTACTACATCGATACTCTCATCCTGGATGGTTTTCGTTGTCAGCGGATAGCTTCTGTGAGGGTCTCTGCAAAGACCTCTTCAATAGAAATCATAGACCTAAACCAGTGATCGTTATATTGCAGCTCTCTGTTTACACAATTATTGTCTGATGATTCACGCTGGTCAGACGGGAAGAAGAGCGCCGCGGTTGCCTCTACACCCGACATAACCGCCATAAATCATATGCCGCTTGGTTGTGATTCGGACACATAGTCAATCCAAGTTTTGATCGTAACGACCAAACATGGGTATCTGCGATTATCTTCCAGAAATTCATGCGCTCCATTGGCACCATTGCAGGGCATATAGTAGGCAAACTTATTAGGTCTACGACCCATATACAGATTATTTAAGAACATCATTCCACATAGATCGAGTCACGAACATTGTCCAATATCCTTCATTCATAGCATTGAGTTATGACAGCCAAGCCTTTGAGCAGAGCAATACGGGTTTGTATTCAGAAGTCAAATCGTAACAGCCAATCAAGCCCCGGAGCTCATTGGACTCCAACGGGTCGAGCACCCGACAAGTTGACCACACGGCCTCCACCGGCCGCGTCCAGCGCTCCTGGTGGTGGTGGACATACCCAGCCGGGAACATCTGGGTCTTCTCTTTCACGGGAGAAGATAGTCTCCCAGATATTGGGGAATCCGGTCGGTAGAGCACCTCGTTGCCGGGCTCCAGGAATGGCGAAACGTGGATTTCTGTGTGTCAAATAGCCGCGCATCAAGCCCTGGCTTAGGAGGGAGGCAAGAATTGTCTCAATTTCTTCCATAAGTAGGAAGTGTTTGTCCGCATCTGGCCCATCTTCGGTGGGCTCGAAGTACGGATTCAAGTCTGCAGGATCGAGATCCGCGCCCGGGTCGCCATCAATCAATTGCCCTGGCACATTATCATGCCAGCAGCCCATCTCGTCGAAAAACCCATCAGGTGCGAGGTAATCCCCAAATCTCTCCAACAGATATTCTGCTGAGGGCAGTTCGGGAGTGTCTAGATTTTGAAAGTCCGGATCGGTGGACTGGTGGATAGTTTGAGAACCGTAAAAGTGAAACTCAACATCTTCGGGGCGTGCTCCTTTTGAAATCTGCGATTGGCCATGTTGCACTTGCAACCACCTGGTAGCTACAGCCAACTTCTCGAGGTAGAGGTATGGTGGGGGTCCACGCTGCGCCTGCGCTTGAGGGTCCCCGAGGTAACCGCTGTGGATGAAGACTTTTCGACAGAATGACCGCCAGACCATGATCTCGCAACGGTTCCGGAGGGTGAGCAAAATCCCCTTTCGCGAAAACCACTCCGCGGCAGGCGAGCTCGGGGAGAGGTACTCTCGAAATGCGATGTAATCACCCCGGACAATCAATCTGCACAGTTGCTCGAACTGCTCAGTCAATCCATTTGCCTCGGGTCGCTGCAAGAGCCCCCGAGATGGGAAACGGCCCATGATAATGTTACAGGGGATTAAGTACGCGAGAATCAGGTGTCGCTGGCTGATTGCTTGTCGGTGACATTGCTCATAGGCGGCCTGGAGAGCCACAAGAGCTGGGTAGAACAAGTTGTTGGAGAATAGATATCGACCGAGGTAGTAGAGGTAGGTGACTCGCTGTGAGGCAGGGAAATGCGCTAATGGAGGGGATTGGGCACTGATACTGGCGAACATTTGTTCGGCGTTGCGTAGCTTGCCACACTAAAGAGGTCCGTATTCTCACGTCAATATTTTCAAGGTACCAAGAACCGACGAATCGCGGCTTAGGCAAAGGAAATCACTTACCTGGAAGAGAAGTTTGAGACACAGATTGGCCATGAGATAGATTCCCACCCGCTTTCCCTCGGGCTTGCTATGAGGGCCTGGGTTGCCGGTGCGATCGGTCAAACACTTGATGAAAGCCTCACGCACGACGTTCGCTGACTGCTCCACCAGTGTGACTTTCTCATTACCTTCTTCGTTACCCATGCTGTCCTCCATACGCAACATATGTGCGATCAGTTCCGGCCGGCGGTCTAATCCCATGGCGAGCTTTGCCAAGACTTTTGATAGGTAGAGAACGGTAGGCAGTACTATGACACCCATTTGACTGTCTCCAAGAGCTAGGACGCATTGACTGCAAATGGCGCAGAGCGAGGCTCGTCATCAGCCTCCATGTTTTTCTAAGATTGAATCGGGCGCCTTTCGGGTAGGAAAGCGAGCCCGGGTCTCGTAAAATTGTACTCGAGAACACTCACTTGAGCAAGGCTTTTAACTGTTTGTATGTGTCGAGTAGATTATCGGTATTGACGTCGCGGAGAAATGTGAAGTAGAGCTTCATAAAAGTCGGGAAAGCCGTCCATGACGAAGAGCCTTTGGTCCGCGGCACCAGCGCCTCGCATCGTGACAAGAGGGCGGACTCGCTTTCGTTACCGGGCGGATATCGTTGTCGAAGTTCCTGGACTATGCGCTGATAGGCATCCGACAAGGGAGGTTCAATCTGCAGAAAGTCTTGCAGCTTGGCGCCATCGCGGTTTTGGATCTGGACGGCGACGCCGGCGAGGAATTCGTCCAATATGGAGGGAGGACCCGCCATTAGAGGCTGATTGACGAGCGAGACTCCCAGAATTTGAGACGTGCTGATCGATGGATTAAAGCGACACTGATCACAATTCCATGATGCGAGATGGGTACTTGAACAAATTTGCGAGGTGCAGTTTCATGCAGCTCGGCGCAGTTTTGCAGGCAGCTGGTGGTCAACAAAGATCAAGAAGCTTATCGGCGCAAAGTGACAGACGGGTTAAGATCGGCGAATGTCCGCGTCTTCTTGGGGGCACTGGGCCAGGGCGGTCTCCAGTTCACCGCTTTTCAGACTTGTGGCCTCGGAAGCAATTTGAAGCAGCGTTTTCCTTTGCCATCAACTACTGGGAAAAATTCGGCGCAAGAGAACCATGAACAACAATCCTGGATGTGTGTGGTGAAGTAGAGTTGATCATCGAAGAATAGGGAGAAAACAAGTCCCAGAGCCGATATTCAATATATTCGAGCGTTCGGCCTCCTGTGTCTTCGGTCCCACAGGGCCCGACTGTACACTACGCTTCCAGGTTTACGCTTCGTTTACATCAATTCAACACTGGCAGGGCCTTGTCGCTCACTCGTTCTAAGTGGAAGCAGTATCTGCTCGACGCCTGGAATGGTCCAAAAATGTTCCCAACATTTTCAGCTACAGCGCATTAGTCTTGGTAAAGACGCGGTGCAATGGATGTATCTCTTTGTCCATGCCGATTTTAACTAATAGGTAGCGCGCTAAGGTGCCATTGTCCGCTGTCCGATGAGTTAGTCAGCTCGGTGCCTGTTGCCGCGAGGCCAGAAACTAAGTCACTATGACTGTCATTCCAATACTAGCATTAGATGGTATCTAGGTAGAGGGTTCCATGCAGATAGAATATCATATCAAAGGGCAGATAGGCGGCGTCAAAACATCAGTTGGTTCGTTGGTATTCCGCCCAGCTTCAAAGCATTCAAAGACGCTCTTCGCCTTGTTTACCGTCGCCTGCCTGGTGTTACCTACAGGGCGTAATATCGAAGTCACCTGATACGAGGGGAGATTGGAAACAAGTTGGCTCGATCCATGATGCGCATAGCTTACACCATCACATCATGACGGCCCGGACATGTTCTTGAAGTTTGCACATGTCACCGATCGCCCTTTGAAACACTTGGAGCTTGTCTTTTCGGCAAAGAGTATGCAGTCGATCTCGAATCGTGGCTGGTGCAGTTTGAGAAGGAACTAAGAGTGGATGATGGTCAGAAGACTCGGTCCCATTAGTCACTCGACTTAGTGATAATGTTGCCGGATAAATCATTCGGGGTCTATGGTTCCGGGTATCACAACGCCCGCCTGGACGTATTCCTGCGTTATCACCGGACATCCATTTCAGGTAACTTATCTAGCCGCCGCGGGGACCGCCTAAGAAGTTAATGAGTAGTAAGTTCGCGCGTGGGCACATCAATAAGGTATACGATTCAACCAGCTGTGTTTACACCCGTACACTACTTAGGTAAGTAGTGTACCACTGTAACTCGTAGTCAACTACCTACTAGTATACTAGTCACAGGTCAGGAGTTACTATCGTTGGATTCGGGAGTATAGCACAACATTCAAAGTTTGTTTGAACAGATTCCAAGCTTTGACCTTTTCTTATATCGAAAAATTAGAGTAGTAGTAGTAGTAGTAGTAGTAGTAGTAGTAGTAGTAGTAGTAGTAGTAGTAGTAGTAGTAGTAGTAGTAGTAGTAGTAGTAGTAGTAGTAGTAGTAGTAGTAGTAGTAGTAGTAGTGATAGTAGTAGTAGTAGTAGTAGTAGTAGTAGTAGTAGTAGTAGTAGTAGTAGTAGTAGTAGTAGTAGTAGTAGTAGTAGTAGTAGTAGTAGTGATAGTAGTAGTAGTAGTAGTAGTAGTAGTAGTAGTAGTAGTAGTAGTAGTAGTAGTAGTAGTGATATTCGCTCGTGATATTCCTTGATGTTAGCGTCGATCTAAAGCGGAGTACCTGTTGAGTCTTCATCTTTGGTCGACGGGTCCAGGCCGACCGAACCTTTACAGGGAAGAATGACATCATTCCGATTGCATCCACCCTTGAACCTTGACCCCGTCGGCAACTGCCCGGTCCTGACCTTTCCGGCATCCCAGCTCGAGCGGTCCGTCTTCCTTGTTGACGACTCGACGAGTGGAAGTGAACTCCCAAGCAGGTGCGCGGGGACAGTCGGCAAAATTGACGTGTTTACACGTGAATCCGGTCTAGGCCGGGGTTCGCTGGCTCGGAGGGGAGGCAGAGCCCAGGACCAGCCATTGAAACCGCAGGAGGGAAACGCCAACGGTCACATTCACATGCCAAACCACGAACACAAGCTCCACCGGTCACGTCACTTTTGGATAACATCTCCCTTGGTACATGATAGTCGTAGAATAGTAATAGATAACCAAGTCATCCCTCAAACCTCAACAGACCTCGTTCGCCTCCTTCATCCAACCTTTCATTTGCCCGTGTCCTGAACGGACCACCTTCATTCCACCATGGCGGGCTCTCGATCATCTATAGTGGCGCTGATCAAGCATCCCTTTGTGCAGTCTTTCACGTGGATCTATCTGATCCTGCAAGCGGTGCTTCGATTTGTCTTCTCACCTGCACCGCCTCCTCCTTCCGGCCACAACCAGAATCTGCCCCGAAAGAGGGTTGCCGTCATCGGTGCCGGTCTCACAGGTGTCTCGTCTGCAGCACATTGCGTTGGACATGGATTTGATGTGCAGATCTTCGAAGCGAGATCTAAGGACCGAGGTCTCGGCGGGATTTGGAGTGTAAGACTCCCCCGGCGGATGGACACGCAAACGTACAAGTACTCACCGTGCAATAGCGAGTCAATTCAACCTCCGCGCTTCAAGTTCATAGCTTGATGTACCGATTCCACCCGTCAGTCCACTACGACAGTGCGTATCCGTCTCAACAGCAAATCAAAGACCAAATCATCCAGCTCTGGAAACGTTATGATCTGGAACGACGGACTGTGTTTGACACCAAGGTAACCTCGGTGAAAAAGACCGAGGACGGTCAATGGATCATCAACGACGACGAGGAGCAGTACGGCCGCTTCGACGGTGTGTTGACCGCCGTAGGTGTCTGCGGCGATCCCAAGGCGCCGTCTTTACCCGAACAGGACAAATTCAAGGGCCAGATTTTTCACTCTTCAGAACTGGATGGCAAAGATGCCAAGGGCAAGAAGATTTTGATCGTCGGCGGTGGTGCAAGTGCCATTGAAGCCCTGGAATTTGCAGTCAAGTCCGGCGCCGCAGAAATTGATGTCTTGTCCCGTTCCGACAAATGGGTGATTCCTCGCAATATTCTCGTGCAGACTTTGCTCGCTTTGAACATCTTTGGGCAGGAAACTTCCCTTTCGTGGATCCCCGAAGGACTGCTCCGCAAATTCTTCTATCGTGACCTTCAGGATATTGCTCCCACCGACGATGGCATTTTCACTCAAACCCCGATGGCCAATTCAGACTTGTTCAATCAAATCCGCGAAGGCAAGGCTCACTGGCTTCGGGGCGACATTGTCTCCGTGGAGGAGAAGGGCATTGTATTCAATCACCGGTCAAAGGGTGTCCCCAAAGGTGGGCCTGGCAAAGAGCGCTTGGTCGAGGGAGATATCATCGTGATGGCTACCGGCTTCAAGCGTCCTTCGCTCAACTTTTTGCCAGATGAGGTCTTTGAGGAGCCTTACAGCCCGCCGGATTGGTATCTCCAGGTGTTCCCGCCCAAGTTTCCCGACATTTGCGCCAACAACAGCACCTACGTGAACGCCATCGGCACCGTGGGCAATATGCATATTGGCATATATACACGCTTCCTGATTATGTTTTTGACCGATCCCTTGACACGTCCTTCGGAGGGACGCATGAAGACCTGGATTGACTTCACGCGTTTCATGAAGCAGTTCGCACCCACACGGGCGTTTGACTTCTTCACTTACGCCGAACTCATCTACTGGTATGTGTTTGTCCTACTGGTGAACCCCTTCCGATGGAAGTGGGCGCTCTTCGTGTTCTTTGGACTAGGCCGGGCCTTGCCTCTGATGGTGGTGGAACAAGAGGAGTGGTTCCGAAACGAGTTGAAGAAACAACACAAGATTGACAGACCGGATAAGGGAGAGAAAGGTGAGAAAGGCGAAAAAGGCGAAAAAGGCGAAAAAAGCGAGTGAGGCGTACCCCAAGATGATTAGGCGTGGGCCTCGTCAAGTGATGTTGTAAAGGTTTCGATCTAGACGGCTCTGTCAAGTTATTGAATGATCGATCTCCTAGATCATGGCGCCAATTACTAGTACATGGAGTCCAATTCCAGCATTTAGTTCAATTACAGCGTCTAGCTAGAGTATCATGCAAAATTAAGGGTAATTGTAGCCTTAGAGTGTCACTGACCCCAACCTGGAGAGGTTCGACTCGGAGTAGACAAATCTAAAGCCTACTCCTTCTTGATCTCAGGAAGTTTCTCCCCAATGTCATAGGCCAGGTTACCCCGCGAAATCCAAACTGGCAGGTAACCGTTCTCTTCCAAGTACAGCATGGGCCAGAGCGCAGTCACACCAACAAGACAGAAGAAGGTGGCCATCAGGTGCCAGGCCATGACGAGCCAGTAACCAATATGCGGCAGCAGGAACTTGATAAAGTCCGAAGTCTGATACAGATCCTCCTGTCGGGTGATGTAGTACTTGGTGTGGTCGCCGTTGGTAGATGCATCACTTTGTGCCCGGTCGGTGGTCAAATCCAAGACTGTGGTCAATGTCACAGGTGCGACATGGAAGGGGACCAGCCAGATTGAGAAGATCTGGGACATGTTGACATAGAGCTTCAATTGATCCTCATCGAATGCTGTGAATGGTTCCTTAGCACCTTGACTTTTCTCGTTCTTGTAGAACACAGATCGAGAAATCAACGGAGTGAATCACTTACCGACTGAGTGAACTTGCATCTCAATCCGTGGAGACATGATCTTATACCACTGGAAGATCTTGGTAATCCACCACCGGCTTCCATTGAAGCTGGGCACCCGACAGAACGGATGCGCAAACGATGCATCGGGGACGAAGAAACGCTCAATCGCCTTTTGTTGGAGCGAAGGAGGGGACTGGACGAGCAGTTGGATCACTGTCCGGATTTCGGCCACTAGGAAAAGATGCTTGTCAGTCGAGGTGTTTCAAGTGTCATAATTCTGGCAGGAAAGAACGTTGATTCACCTGGTCTTTCCATGATGTATGAGTGTGAGTATACGTTACAATAAGCTGGAGCTGAAGGATGGAAAGTGTCTCGGTTCAAAAAGTTCTACAGTGCGAGTGCAGGATACGTTAAGTCATATGCAGCAGACGAGAATACAATAGAATGGAGTGCTCCGCCAAAGAGTGACATCATTCCTCCGGAACAGACATGTGAAAGGCATCGGAATCCGCAATGAACTTGGCAGCCTGGTCGGTCCACATGGAATTCGGCAGACTTACAGACCAGATACTCATCCGGGGCTTATCATGATATATACAAATAGAATTCTACAGTAGTTGTCTATTTCTTGGCAAGGTATTTACCATTCTGTAGCATCCTTGACGTGAACTTGCAAAAGTCGATTGGGTTTAGATTACTGTGCTTCAGGCGGGATGTGCCAACAAGAGCTTATGGACTCATTGGACTCTCTATGGATGCAAACCTCAAGTGGGTCCTCGGCATCCCGATTCCGCCTGGACAACGAACCTGATCGGGTCGGTTCGAGATGGTTTAAACAGTGGTATCAAGCAAAGCCAGAGGCGCTGTGAACACCAAATTCTATGGGATGTGACATCCTGTCCATGGATACGATCAGACTCGATCAGATTTAATGACTAGACTGCAGTACACCCATCAAGCCCCTGAATAACACCCCAACTCCAGTCAATGAGCACATGACTTTTATGCTTTCACAGCGCGGTGCAGGATGGTTGGTATAATAAGAAAATCATAGATGTGGAGGCGAGGTCCCCAGAAAAACTCCTTTCAAAGGCTTTACCGCTTCCAGGTATCAACCTTCTTGCGGCGCTTATCAAAGATATCACCAACAGCCACACCATCGCTGCGTTGCCCGTCCTCATTTTTGCGCTTCCGGCTTTTCTCAAGCGCGGAGCCACTATTCTTAGACCGACGGGTAAGACGCTCAATACGATCAGCACCCTCGGTAAGGCCTTTCCACTCATCACCACCATAGGTCGAGTCGAGGCGACCTCCACGCTTGGCAAGATCCTTTCGAGTTTCCTTGGGAAGACGGACAAAGTTGGTTTCTTCGTACCGTGTACGCTCCGCCTCATGCTCTCTGTCTTTCTTCGACTTGGTTTGCCGTCCGCCGGCAATGATGGTACTACCGATACTGGGTTCAGCCATAGGCGCCGCCGACATCTCAGCACTGACGAATTCGTCAATGACGTTAGACCGGCGAGGTCGGCGCTCTTGTCGTTCGCGCCGATCAAAGCTGGGCAGAGCAGTAGGCATGATCTTGGGAGGACGGTAGATGCCATCGCTGGGCTCCTCCCTCGAGACCTTGTCTTGAGGTTTCTTCTGCTCCATCTTGGCCTTGGCGAGGGCTGAGATGTTGGGCCGGTATGCCATCTCATCCATATCTTCCTCCTCCTCGTTTTCACTGCTCGCCTCACTGTCATCCCCATCGGAATTCTCGTCGCTGCTTGCATCGACATCCTTGCGGCTTGTCTTGGACTTTTTCGTTTTCGCGGCAGGCTCAGTCCGCTCGGCATCCTCCGCAGCCTTGATGACCTTATCAATTTGGTATTTAAGTCGTCCCTCGAGAGGCCGAACACCACGATCAAGGTACGTTCGCAGCTCGATCAATTTTTTCACAGCCTCGTCGTGAAGATTATCATCCGCAGCATTCTCGGAGCCTTCTTCGCTAGATTTCGTCTGTTTTTGTCGTAATTGAATGATTACCAAAAACACTAGGTTCTGGAGATATGAGAGAAGGATCTCGCTCTTTGTGTCTAGAAGCGAAATGCCGTCCTGGGGCGGCGTGATCGAAACGTCTGCGGGCGCATCTTTCTTTGAGGCTGGTAGGGATGAGGCAGCGCCAACCAGTGAGGTGTTGAGAGTTTCCAGAAGAGCAGAAATCCCGGGGCTTGTGGATTGAACAGTATCTGCCGAAGCCATGATGAATTGCTTTGATCGACGAGTGCGCAGTCCGCGAGCGTCGCAAATCTGTATGTTGCCGGAAATTTTTTGGATAGTTGATTTTCTTATCACCACGTGATAGATGTAGAGCTCCTGGCTTGGTCCATGAGCACCGTATGTATCCGCTTCCGGGTCACGTGTCGCTACCGGTAGCCTTGTCCTTCGTCATGGTGTCTGTCTTTAAAGGTCATCCTTCGTGTTTTGATGGTGTGGTCTTAACTTCTACCGGAATTGAAGTCTGTGACTCTAAGCGCCTCATCGCACTGGTATTCCGCATCTGATTGGCCTAGGTCGGAGTTGGGTAAGATCTATCTGCCTCCTAACGCCTGAATCTCGTACCTACCCTCGTACCCGGTGTTGACATCCATCAAAACACATGAAGCTGTCCTGAACGGAACCACCACCGTGCAACCTACGCGCCCACCATGCGGTTCACCGCCCATGTTTCCTGGCTCGTCCCTGCTTTTCTCTCACTGGCGTCTGTCTCATCGGCCTTTTATCTCCCCGGTGTCGCTCCATCCTCCTACGATAAAGGCCAAGCAGTCCCGCTAAATGTCAACCACTTGTCACCCGGGCTGTCGCGCGACGATCAACTTCACTCAGTCTTCTCTTACGACTACTACAAACCAGAATTCCACTTCTGTCAACCGGAGGGTGGACCAAAAGATGTTAGAGAATCATTAGGAAGCATTCTGTTCGGCGATCGGATTCGCACTTCGCCGCTGCAGCTTCATATGGCTCAAAATGAAACGTGCAAAGCAGTCTGCGGAGAGGTTACATTTGACGCGCGCAGCGCCAAATTCACCAATCGTCGAATTGCGCAGGGATATAACATCAACTGGATTGTGGACGGCTTGCCCGCGGCGCAGCTCAACTACGACAGCAACACAAATACTCAGTTCTATACCCCGGGATTCGCTCTTGGCGACGTGGATCAGAATGGACAATCGGTGCTCTACAACCATTACGACATCATTGTCGAATACCACCGCGTGGGTTTCAGTGGGAAGGATAAATACCGGGTGGTTGGCGTGCACGTGCAACCCGAATCCCGACGTGATTCCCGTGTGCTGGATGATGGTACCGCCGAGTGCGGCACCCAAGACGACCTTCTGAGATTGAGCGAAGAGGTTGACACTTCAGTTACCTGGACATACAGCGTGTACTGGAAAGAATCTTCCACTGCATGGGCCACGCGATGGGACAAGTATTTGCATGTATACGACCCCAAGATCCACTGGTTCTCCCTGATCAACTCCGCCGTTTTTGTTGTCTTCTTGGTGGCCACGGTCAGTATGATACTAGTGCGCGCTCTCAAGAAGGACATTGCCCGGTACAATCGGCTCGACCAAATCGATCTGGATGATTTGAACGGTAGCTCGGGCGCAGTCGAAGACGGAATTCAAGAAGACTCCGGATGGAAGCTTGTACATGGCGATGTCTTTCGCTGTCCCCAGTCGCCTCTCCTGCTGAGTATTTTACTTGGAAATGGTGCTCAACTATTCATGATGACAGGCGTCACCGTTGGTAAGTCGCAACATGAATCTATTCCATTCTTGGATGACTGCGAGTTCGCCGCTTTTGGAGCCTATATCGCTGACCTGCCTCCTCCAGTATTTGCCCTTCTCGGTCTGCTCTCCCCCGCCAATCGCGGGTTCTTGGCCACCGCCATCCTTCTAATTTCCGCCCTCTTCGGGGCGATTGGAGGCTATGTTTCGTCGCGTGTCTACAAATCATTCGGTGGTGAAGCATGGAAGCGCAACATTATTATGACACCTCTTTTGCTTCCGGGGGTCATCTTTTCCACCTTCTTCATTCTGAACCTCTTCGTTTGGGCCAAGGGGTCAAGTGGCGCTGTGCCTTTCGGGACTATGCTTGCGTTGGTTTTGATTTGGTTTGTGATCAGTGTTCCATTGAGCGTGGCCGGCAGCTGGTTTGGCTTCAGGCAAGCGGTATGTTGAACAACATTCTATTCCCTGGCGATCATGACTAGCGATCCACCGTCAATAACCGAACTCAATACTAATCCCTGGCGTCATGAATCTAGGCTATCGAAGGTCCCACTAAGACCAACCAGATTCCCCGTCAGATCCCTCCGGTGTCTGGCAGTCTCCGGCCCATCCCATCTACCCTCATGGCTGGCATTCTGCCGTTTGCCGCCATTTTCGTTGAGCTTTATCTCATAACCACCTCTCTCTGGACCAACAAGATTTATTATATGTTCGGCTTCTTGTTCTTGTGCTATGGGTTGATGATCATCACTTCGGCTGCGACCACCGTCCTGCTAGTGTATTTTTTGCTTTGTGCCGAGAACTATCGGTGGCACTGGCGCGCCTTTGCCGGTGCCGGTATGACCGGTGGCTATGTCTTCCTCAACGCCCTCATCTTCTGGGCCACTCGCGTCAGTTTCGGTGGCTTGACTGGCGCGGTGCTTTATGTGGGATACTCGGCACTGATTGGTTTTGTTGTCTTTGTCCTCACAGGTAAGACCATTGGGCGAATTTTTCAATTCCGTCCGCGCAACCTGCTGCAAGGGAAGCTTGCTAACTCTTTTGAACTATAGGCTCAATCGGCTTCTTCGCTAGCTGGGCATTCATACATCGCATTTACGGGTCTATCAAGGTGGACTGAGGCTGCTTTCCATGACTGGGAAACTTTCCTCTCCCTGGCGACCCTCGACCTGACATCTTTCTTTCAGGGCGATTTTCCCTCGTATACTTTCTCTTGTTTTTCGTTTTTGGCTCTATCCATGTCGACCACAGGCACTTGCATCTTTCCCCGGGGTTGCATTTGATAATGAGACGCATTGTTGTGCTGCGGCGAAAGAGTCCAGTTGTGATTCCCCGGGTATGTTCTTCGTTTACTGCACTCCACCGTATCGTTGCGGTTCGTCTATCTCTTTCGGCAGGATAGATTGATTCTTCGAAAAGCGATATGAAGGTTGAAGTTCTTGTACATAGTAATCCGCTATAATGCATTTATGTGATCACTGAGATGACTTCCTGGTACAAGCACTACTACTACTACTACTACTACTACTACTACTACTACTACTACTACTACTACTACTACTACTACTACTACTACTACTACTACTACTACTACTACTACTACTACTACTACTACTACTACTACTACTACTACTACTACTAGCAGCTTGAACTCAGTTGAAGATAGCAACACTCCCTCCTGTATCAAGTACCATTGTGGCAGTTGACGAGTACTGTGGCTAGAAATGATCTTCCATTCTTACACCGCCAGATCGCATCATCCTCTTGTTGAGGTTCTAGAACCCTCAGAAAGCGCCTATGCGGCAAATTCCAAGATCTTCAAGATTGGAGGAACCCTATCTCTTCACACTGAGCACTGCCCAAAAATAGGTCTTCTCAGAGTCATCGATTTTCACGCCGAGTGGCGTTCTCCACCCACTTCGAGCGATCGGACGGTCTGGACTCGAGGCTTTGTCCCTCCCACATGGGCACCTGTCCTCCAGTACTTCCCACATACCCGGCCGGCAGTGGGGTAGAGTAGGGGACACGCAGGTCTCTCCCCGGTTCCTTGCCATATGGCGGTACCTCAGCCCCGACTCTCGTGACGGGGCTGTTTCATCCCAGCAGGACGCACCCGTGACCTCATTCGGCATTTCCCCCTCGTGGCCTGTGGCTTGAAGACTTGAAGACTTGAAGGCTTCAGACCCAAACGGCGGAAGATTGGGACGGCGGAACCTCCCACGCACTGGGATTATTGTTTTTCCTGTTCACCACTTCTTCGTCACCCAACATACCCACTTCGAACTCAGTCGTGTGGATAGACAGGACGTGCCCCGAGTCCCGACCATCTACACTTGTATTCGAGTCGCTTCAAACACACCACGCACTACTACTACTACTACTACTACTACTACTACTACTACTACTACTACTACTACTACTACTACTACTACTACTCTTCCTCTTTCGTTCTCTATCTTGGCTCCCCCGCTCGCTCTCTTGTCCCCTCCAGCATCCGGCGGCCATCGACCTGCTTGTCCTCTCTTCAACCTCCCCGCCTACGCCACTGGACATTTCAAACCGAGCCACATCTTCTTCCCCGTGCTACCCCGCGTCACCAGATTTGCGATCCCCCTTTTTTTCTCCCGCCTCGTCTTTGAGTAGCGAGCGGCCATACCCTTGCAGCAAACCTCGCCAAAGCCAGACGAGAGCAGATCAGCTGCCGGCCTTCTCTGTCAATCGCCATTTCACCGCAATCATGGGCAAGTCGTAAGTGCGCTCGAGGTTCATCACTGTCAAACATCCTAAGGGCAACCCCGCCGTCATTCGCTGCGCAATTCGAAAGCAGGCGTGAATGCGACATGTACCACGCAATTTTCATCATCGCGGAGACCGGTTTCATGGAACCATGTCCACCTCGGATGAGTCGGTGTTGTTCACATTGTGGGGTATGGTTAGTCTGACACTAGAATCCCAGTCAATCGAAGCTCTCCCCCGCGCAGCTCGACGAGCTGCAGAAATCCACCCACTTTGATAAGAAAGAGCTTCAGCAATGGTATAAAGGTGCGTCTTGATAACAGCCATGCATGAGACCAGGCAGCTATCTCGTCGTTATGCTGCTCTGCATTGCAATTACCATGCTTTTTTGACGCGCAATGCTGATCTCTCGTTGTGTTTCGACACCATTAGGCTTCCTCAAGGACTGCCCGTCGGGCACCCTCACCAAGGAGGAATTCCAAAAGATCTACCGGCAGTTCTTTCCCTTCGGCGACCCCTCATCATTTGCAAATTATGTTTTTCGGGTATTCGACTCGGATAACAGCGGCATGATTGATTTCAAGGAATTCATCTGCGCCTTGTCGGTTACGTCACGCGGGAAGATGGAGGACAAGTTAGACTGGGCCTTTCAATTATACGACATTGATGGCGACGGAAAGATCACCTACGACGAAATGCTAGCCATTGTGGAGGCAATCTACAAAATGGTATGTACCGGCCCCCGGACAAGGCGACGGCACACCATCATCTTCACCCATACTTGGGCTCGTCTGAGTTGCGATCGCATCTGCCGGAAAGGTCCGCTAATGCATCTTCACAGGTCGGCTCAATGGTAAAGCTCCCCGAGGATGAAGACACACCAGAGAAACGAGTACGCAAGATCTTCCGCATGATGGACAAGGATGAGAATGGGAGCTTGGATATTGAAGAATTCAAGGAGGGCAGCAAGCGTGACGAGACTATTGTCAGCGCCTTGTCATTGTACGATGGTCTGGTTTAGCGCCCTGACGGGCTGGTTTTTCAAGGCACAGTGCGGCGCACATGTTTTTTGACTTGTTCTCGTCAATTTTGTTTTTATTTTCTTCGTTTTTCATCCCTCTTTCGACTGCTTCTTTTCCACCAGCTTGGATACTTTTTTTGGGGAATGCTTCTCTTCGTTCTCCTAGCTGGCTTTGTCATTGGGAGGTTCTGCCTGCTTTTCATCCGTCTGATCTTTGCACTTCTTTTTTTTTTTTTTGTTCCATTTCCCTCAGCCTCCCTCAACTTCTGGCCAGTCAATTTGCCCTACCGCTCAAATTCGGCCGGTCATCCTCGGACAACATGTACATGAAAGAAAGCTCTTGTATTTTGTCTGTCGCATACTTATCGTCACATCGTGTCATATCCATCCAGAGACCTACCTCAAACATGATCATTGATAACCTACCTAGGTACGCATGGATCGATTCTTACATTGGCCTTGACCCAACAATCTACGCGCGTACCAATTCGACGAGTAGATGGCACCATCCAACTTGTTCACCTGCCAAACTTCCTTCTGTTCCACCCCTACGAAGGCTACGATGGAATAGATTAGAATCTGAAGCAGACTGTACATGGATTGACTGATCGCATGCATAACGGTCTCTGTAAACTCCCCAAGAAGACCTGCGAGAGAGAAAAAGGTCGCTATGCAGCACTCTATTGGGATTTGATATACAAAGGGTATCGCAAGATGCACAAACCTCCCCTTCTCCCCCTGCGAATACAGGGCACGATCTATTGTACTGGGGGAAATCAGAATCAAAAGAAAGGACACAAGTCACACGCACATGGCAAAGCACATAATGCTAGAGACCACCGGCGGTGTACGGCAAACAAGCATGACAAGAATAACCTTCATCCTTGACGCAAAAAGAGGCATAATTCGGACAGACATATGACATTGCAGAGAAACTCGAGAGCAAAACGAAGAGACAACGGGGGTGGGGGAGTTCCAAGCAAAGATGAGACTCGTTATATGGCGTAAGGAAGATAGTCGAGTGACACAAGAAAGCGACAGTAGGGGCAGCCATAGTAGGGACTGAGATAGTTTTCAGTTCATCATCGACAAACCGGCATACTTGCAAGAGAATTTGTCACGATTCGATGAGCAATCCTTTTTGGACGGAGGAAAGCGGGTGAGATGGTGATCACTTGCGATCAAAGAACCAGCTCGACCGCTTGCCTGAGGACTCTTGTGTTTGCACACCCGCAATGGTGGCATTTGTTGGACCGTCCGACCCACCTCCACCACGAAGGGGCTTCGCAATACGTGAACCGCCAAAGCTGAAATTGCCATTGCTGTCCATGGAAGGAAGACCGCGCGTGGAACCCTGCTTGGCAGCTTCCAGGCGCTCCTTAACGGCGGTGAGCTGCGCTTCGAACCTAAAGGATTTCAGTTAGCATCTTCTGAGAAATAATGCATGCCTGTTCTTCGACGACGACGTGGGAAGGTTGAAAGAACGAGGATAAGGCTGTGTCATACCTGTGGTTCGCCTGAGTCAACTTCTCTTGGCTCTCCTGAAGCAGACTCTCCAGACTGGCAATGCGATCATTTCGCGCAAGCAGTTTGCGCTCCGCGATGGCAACCTCCTTCTTGAACAGGCTGTTCTGTTCCACGAGCTGTCGTTGAACAGAAGTCAGCTGCTCCAAGTTACGCTCCAAGAAGGCCATCTTCTTCTGTTGAGCCCGGCTGTTGGAAGATCGCAGCACGTTATTGTACTGCTCCCGAGCGTCGTCTAGTGAAATCTCAAGCTCCACAACCCGTTCACAACGGTTCTGAAGATCACGCATGAGAGACTTCTTCATGGCGTCGAATTCTGCGATACGCTGATTGAGATCGTCAGTTGCAGCCTGATGAGCCGGCGTGCCGGACTTGTTGTCAAGTTGCACCTGGCGGAGCTTGTGCAACTCCTCGTTCTTCTCGGTGATTTGCGCTTGGAGGTGTTCAATCGCGGCTGTCTCAGCCTCCTTCCGACGATCGAAGACTTGCTCCACACGTTGAAGAATCTCGCCCGCATCAATATCGCTGACACTGCGGGTTAGTAGGTCTTCGTAACCATGTAGCAATCCGTCGAGGTCCTTCAGCAGCTGCGCATAACGGCCGTCTTTCGCCGCATCAGCCTCTCCGCGGTCATTCATTGTGAGTTCAGCTTGGCGAATGAAGCCTTGGGTTTCCAAAAGTCCAGTTTGGAGCTCCAGCAAGTCTTCAGGGGCAATTACTTCGCCCGCGGCGCTCACTTCGTGAAGCGACTTGACACGAGCGATCAGCGCTTGCAATTTGCGCTCGTTGGTCGAGAACAGGTCGTCGCCCAAATCAAACCCAGCCATCATCTTGGCCATCTTTTCGGCCTTCTTCTTCTCCTTCTCATCCATTGCTGCGCTGGTCTCCTTCGCCTTCATGCGCACATCAAGAAGTTGTTGTTTCAGCTCATCAAGCTCAGTGGTCAACTCTGCGTTGGCCTCGCGCAGGCCATCCATGGTGATACCGGCTTCTTTACTTTCATATGACACCTTTTCCAACTGCATGCGCAGCTCGTTGACCTCTGTACTCAGACGCTCGTTGTCCTTGACAGAACTTCCAGCATTTTCTTTCAAAGACTTCAGTTCATCCCGAACATCGCGGAGACTTCGCTCCACATTCGCAATGTGTGTTTCCCTCTCAGCGAGCTGATCCTGCAACTCGTTCTCACGACGTAGGAATTCCTCGCGCTCGTCCTTCTCCAGCACCAGGCTGGGGGTACTGGAACGGTCACCGACCCGTGAATCGGGGCGTGGGGTTTCCGAACGAATGGTTTCTTGTAACCGTGAGGGAGTGCCAGGCCTGGGTCCACGAGCTTCTGCTTTCGCAGCGCCCACAATCTCGTTGCCTCGGGCGGGTGTCCAGTGGTCTTTGGGAACACTGTCTCCGCCACGCCAAAGATTGACTTCTCCTTCCAGCGCAGAGATATATGATTCGTAGCTTGTGACTTGAGTCTGAGCCTTGCGCAGCAGCTGCTTGAGCTCGGCCGGGCTGAGTTCCGCGTTGACCTTTGCCTTGTTCTTGATCGCCTTGGCACGAACACCGAAGCGAAGAGTTGAGATCGTCTCTGCATCGTTATAACTGCTAGGTGAACAGTTGATGATCAGTGTTGTCCGGGAATTTCCTCCCAGTGATTCCTGGAGAATTCGAGTGAGCTTCGAGTCTCGATACGGCACGTGGCTTGATTTTCCGTCAGTCAAGGCGTTGATGACCATGCCCAGCGCACTCAAACTTTTGTTGATCTTCTTGGCTTCTTCCAGGGTTTGACCACTGGCACCTGTCTTGCCAACCTTTTCACTGCCAGCCAAATCCACGAGGAAGAGCTGCCCACTCTTGGCTGAACCCGTTTCCACATTTTTCTGGCTGACTGTGATGACGAAAATTGAATGCGAACGAGACGACTCTTGATTCATGTTTGTCGCAGCAACCGCACGCGCATTTCCACCCCGGCGCATCACCTCGTAGACTTCTTGGACGCTGGACACGTAGACCTCCAACAGGCCCTTGACGTACACTCCGCGGGATTTCTCCTCGTGGACGGGGAGGTTGTCGTTCTGCGGCACAAGCAAATCTCGAATGCGCTCCATGTAAATTTCCATGTAGCTGACCCGCACCGTGTACTCAATATTGCTGGGGCTCGTCAAGATGCTGGCGAATATTTGCTCGACGATACGTGGAATGACACCTTTGCCGATGTCATCATCAATGTCGGAACCCATCATTGTATAAGATTTTCCCGCGCCGGTCTGGCCGTACGCAAAGACCGTTCCATTGTAGCCGTTCAGAATATCGTCCACAGTCGGACGAATTGAAAAATCGAATATGTCGGCTTGGGCTGTGTCCATAGGAAATACGCGATCGAAGGTGAAGGAGCCAGTACCCTCATTTGACTAATACTACATATCAGTATTATTTCATTTTCGCCTTTTGATTCCTATGGCTTCACCGTGCTTCTCTCTGGTTGCAATCCTGTCTAAGCGCAGCAGGGAAATCCGACTCACATTGATGATACATGAGTCCTCGCTCTCGAACTCGACGACTGGCTTACCACCAGACGCCAATTCTACCTTGTTCTGCGGTCTGAATCTGGCCACCACTGTGATATTGCGGTTAGTCGGTCAAATTCGGCGTAGGTCGCCTTCTCAGTCGTGTTGGGCATGCGCCTACCCTTAATGGTGTTGGACCCCGCGGACCTGATTGCAAAGTACTTTTAAGCTTGTGTACGGACTTCTCGCAACACAGTTGACATGGTGACTTACGCCATATTGACGGTTGAGAAGGCTCTCCGTTCGTTTTTGTCGGACTCTCTTCAGAGACAAAATAGTCCCCAAAGAGGGGCAGTGGAATGTCCGGTGGTTGTAGTGTTTGGCGGTGTCTTCTGAGCGTCCAGGATCAGGGGTGGGCTATGGTTGTTTGCGTGTACGGTTGCTCCCCAACCTGCTCTCTGCTCAGACGAAAATCCTCCAGGAACTTGAGGCTCAGTATGTCAACATGAACTGCAGTCCCAGGGGAGATTGGGCGTCGATCTGGTCGGAGCTGGAGGTTGAAGTGGATTTGTTGACACGCGCCCCCCCATTTGGGATGGATGGCCGACCGACCGCCCGACTGGAATTGAGTGGGACGTGCGGGACTGGCTGCAGTCATGCGGGCCAGGCGCATGCATGAATACTACTGAGATAATCATCTTCGTACGTGATGCTAATGATGACCTTTTTACTGACACCACGCGATGATCGGATTATTCAACGCTTTTTTCTTGTCGCCTGCACTCTCAAGATGCCCGCATGAAAGTTACTTTTTTGTAGTTGCCCATGAACCCCGTTCCTCAAGTCAGCAACGCCCTGCGGTACGGAAGCCTCGAGTGTTGAACGGAGGTTGTCTGGGCAGATAAGGTCCTAGAGCTGGAAAAGCGAGGCATACCTGCTCAAGGCGATAAATGCATTCAGGCTAAGGATAGATGGATTTCGGATGTGGGCATATGGGGTCATTCAGAACATCAATGATGGGGAAACAAGATTATGCGCGGAACCCCCAAAAATGGAAACCAAAGCATGGACGAAGAGGGAGCATGCCAAGTCATAAAAAAAGTGTAAACCATGCGCCAAAACCCCACGCTGTGCAGATCAACTGGCTCGATTCAGATACCCCAAATCCAAAAATCTCCTCGTGTCCGCAACGGAACCTGCAGATAAGCAGAAAGAGGACGAAGAGAAAACTGGAGGGGCTTGTGGTTGACTTTCGATGTCACAACATGCCTTTAGTCCTCCCAGCTCTTTTCAACCGTCTCACGTACTCGCTTGATGTATTCCTTGCGGTTGTCCTTATACAGGTTCGAAGCCTCGACGTTGGCTGGAGAGGAGGTGTTGGGATCGTTTAGGAGACTGCAGAAATGGGAGACAAGCCTGTCAGTAAGTCGTTCTCATTCATTTGTCATTCCGCGCCACTAGCCCATGCGACCCATACCTCTGGATGCTGGTCAGAATAGCGGCCACATCGTAGGTGGGACTCCAGCGGTTCTGAAGAATATCAAGACAGAGCTCGCCGGTTCCATAGACATTGGGGTGGAACATCTGGCTGATGAACTTAACACCTGGTGGCTTGTTTGGATATTGCTCCTCGAAATTCATCACCAGGCGAAATGTGCCATCCTCAAAGGGCGTGTCGGCGGGGCCGATGATGACGGCATTCCTGTACTTCTGTCAGTCATTGCCGAACCAACAAGTCGGGTGAGCCCCGCGGTCTGGAATCAGGTACACACCAGGTCATCACATTGTCAGCTACTGGAGATGCAGAAACACCAGCAGGAGGGTCGGTTTGCATGCGCTACAATGGAAGAAAGACAGGTTAGCGGGCGGGGGCGAACTTCAATTGTGGCAGTGTTGAGCTCGTGTCCGACATCAGGCCTTAAAAAAAAGGACGAATGCCCGCTTCTTGACTAGCACTGGAAAGGTGTGGCAAAATCCGAGCTCCAGCCCGCAGCAATGATGGTCGATTTTCAAAACTTGGGGCATCTCTTATGCACTTTGTCCATGTTGTGGTTGAACTAACCTTGAAGTCACGCATCAAGCGGCGGCGAGCGGAGGTCGACATGGCGGCGATGATTATGCTGGTGTCTGTGCTTCCAGTTATATGGAGTAGCTCTGGGACTGTAGAAGGAGACAGACGAGGCAGAAATGAGAGTGAAGACGAATAGTCAAGAGCTCTCGTTAGGCGGCGTGCGGGCGGTGATTGATAAATAGGGAAGAGGGGAATCGGCATAACGTTCCTAAATAGGAGTGATGAAGAAGGTTCGGATAAACTGACCCGATGAGGTCATTGACAGGAAGCCTCCCGTATCTAAATATGATTACCTTCCGGGAGTGGATATCGCGTGCGAGCTTTAGTAGTACTCACTACTCAGTACGTCAGTGTTGTAGAAACAGTGATATGGTATGTTTCGCTTTCATATCTGATCAGTACGTTACAGCTCAACGAACTGTAGCTCAAGTATGTTGTAATGAAGATCAGTCGACGGGCACTTTCTTGATTCGGTCTTGGGCCGAGTTGACCTCGACCGCACACTCAAATGGATGTCATAGATGGAAAACTGGAGTAGTCTTGTTCTAGTGAACGCTGTTGCACCGCCAGCACCCATACCAATAGGTCCCGCTTTCATGAACAATCTTGCCGCAAGACCATTTCCTTCACCTGTGGGCATCATCGCCAATGGATGCCGGAGATAAGAAGGTGGAGTGTGGGTATGCCATGGCGAGAGCACCCCAGGATAGATTTGAAGCATGGGTGAGATACTGAATGGACTGGACCTAGGAAAGGCTCGCGCATAAGGTCATGCCAACGCTCTGTGACGACCCAATATCTCATAGCAGAGTTCTCCCAAGAATGTGCTGGCGATGCTATCGACAGAGTAGCAACTTCTAGTATTCTACTATCTAGAACACTAGAGCACTGAGTAGATGGAACATGGTCGAGTCTACGAGTTATGACTAAGGAGTTTGGACGGCGGTGTGACACAAAAAGTGTCTTTTGGCCAATGATATCACGTGGATCTGCTGATAGCCTCGGCTCGGCGGCTACAGGCGGCGCGCCAGCGGCCCTTCGCAGGGAGAGGCGGGCATGCAGCAGGTGTGAGTTACGTTGCTTTCACGACCAGACTCTTCTTATTCAAGATACTTTCACTTCTGAACATCAAGTATCGGTACTAGTTGATAGTCTTGACTATTTGAATATAGCACGATCACCCTTTGCATTTCCTCACAACATGATGAACGTCGCAGGGCTATCCGCCCGACTTCCGTCACGCATGGCGATCCCCGCAATCCGCGCTCGACACTTCAGCTCCGGTCGCATGGTGCTGAAGGAGATTGAAGATGCCTACATTATCAGTGCATCTCGTACACCTACCGCCAAGGTATGTTATATTGTACTCATAGGTGGAAAGAGAATACGCCTGGCTATTATATCTCTTGGCTCCTCTAGTACCACCAACTGACAGCCCCTTCTAGTTCAACGGTTCCTTCGCCTCCGTGTCAGCACCCGAGCTCGGAGCTGTGGCAATCAAGTCTGCCCTGAGCAAGAGCAAGATTCCAGTAGAGAAAATCACTGATGTGTACATGGGGAATGTCTTGCAAGGGTCGGTCGGACAAGCTCCTGCCCGGCAGGCGTCTATGTTCGCAGGTCTTTCTTCGAGTGTGGAGTCGATGACAGTGAACAAGGTCTGCGCATCGGGTCTGAAGGCTGTCGTGCTTGCCGCCCAAAACATTCAGCTCGGTCTAGCGGAGGCTCAAGTTGCCGGTGGTATGGAGAACATGACCCGGGTGCCTTATTACTTGCCTCGCTCTAGCCAGCTCCCGCCGTTCGGTGAGATCAAGATGGAGGACGGTCTGATCAAGGACGGCCTTTGGGATGTCTACAACAAGTTCCACATGGGAGTCTGCGCAGAGCAGACTGCCAAGAAATACGAGATTTCCAGGCAAGATCAGGATGAGTACGCCATTCGTTCTTACCAGCGGGCGCAAGAGGCTTGGAAGGAAAATAAGTTTGCCGACGAGATTGCTCCAGTGACGGTCAAGGGCAAGAAGGGTGAAACCATCATTGACCGAGACGAGGGATACGAGAACTTGCGCATTGACAAGTTGACCACACTCAAGCCCGCTTTCCTCCGAGATGGAAACGGCACTGTCACTGCGGGCAATGCCTCTACAATGAACGATGGCGCATCTGCGCTGGTGCTGGCCAACAAAGCTCTGGCACGTGAGTTTGGCACTGGTGCTCGGGCTCTAGCCCGCATTGTGTCTTCAGCCGACGCTGCCATTGACCCCGTCGACTTTCCTGTAGCCCCAGCCAAGGCTGTCCCCATCGCTCTGGAGCGTGCGGGAATCACCAAGGACCAAGTGGCCGTCTGGGAGTTCAACGAGGCTTTCGCGGCCGTGATCAAGGCTAACGAGAAGGTAAGCTATTCAAATTATCTCTTGTTTTCACGTTGGAGGTTCCTGTGCAGGATTAACCACTGACTTGAATTCTAGATTCTCGGCCTGCAGGACGCAAAGGTCAACATGCTGGGTGGTGCTATCTCACTTGGCCACGCCCTGGGTAGTTCCGGCTCCCGTATCCTTGTGACACTTCTCCACCAGCTCAAACCCGGCGAGTATGGTGTTGCTGCCATCTGCAATGGCGGAGGCGCAGCCACTGCTATGGTTGTGCAGAAATTGGAGCGCGTGGATTAAGCAATCCCCAAGATGTATATCTTTGCATCTTCGTTCTAAGATACCCTCGCGTTGACCGATCTGGTCGAGCGTGGGCGTATTCACCTTTGTATATATCTAAGCGACACCTCAACATGAAAGTTGAAATACCTTGTGGAATGGACAGCTTTGTACTAAAAGTCGGCTCAATCAGCACCTGATACTGGTAAATCCTTAGGTCCTCCCGTCAGATACCGATAGAGGCGCATCCCGTCTCTATTGGGCACCTTGTTTGCGATGCGCGGGCCAGCCCCGAACCTCAGCGCCCTATGATATTGCTCAAATGCAGGTACCCATCGCCAAGGTTGCTTCAGAGAGGCATATGGTCCTTTCCTTCATGAAGCCAGCTATTGAGTTATTACATCCTTTTTAGTGAGGACTACCAGGCAATTCCTGGGAAACCCCTGATTGAAAGAATGGACAGATCCTTTGTGCAATGCGATTGTTCAATGGATATATTGTTGCATTCAATAGTACTCGGTGTTCTACATTGACGGATTAAAAAGTAGAACTTCTAGGTAAAAATGATTGGCTAGACGTAACGGATTTGGCTACGATGCTGGCGAGCCTAGTGTAAACCTGGCTGCGATGCTGGCTACGTTCCTGGGCCCCTAGCTACGGATCTGGCTGCGATACCGGCTGCGATGCCGGTGCGAATCTGGTCGCGTTAATAGCTACGATGCTGGCTGCGATGCTAGTGTGAATCTGCCTGCGATGCTGGCTACGATGCTGGTGTAAATCTGGCTGCGATGCTGGTGTGAATCTGGCTGCGGATCTGGCTGTGGATCTGGCTGCGATGCTGGCTGTGTGAGTGGTGTAAAATTAGCTGCGATACTGGCTCGGTGCTCACTGTGTATAGAATTCAGAATGTTGTTGTGGCCTCTGACGAGGCACATTCCAGTCCTAAGACCACTTTGGTCCTAGGATAGCTAGTATGTTGAGTGGCAAAAATCAGAGCACCTCTGCTTCACTGATGACAGTTAGAACTGGAGGAAGGAGCTGGTAGCCGCGAGTAAAAGTGATGGTATGATGGGTGGTGTAGCACAAGATCTCGTAGCGATGTTATCTTAGGCAGTTGTGCTAGATATGAGTTTTTTTCAACATTGGTATGAATCTGGTGTATTGAGTGAGCTCTTTCGCTCACGGCTACGCCCACATCCATGTAGCATCCAATGGCAAGGGACGAAACGTATCAAATACTATAAATTAGGAAATTAGGTCTGAGCGACAGGAAGTCAATTCTATATATCTGCGAAGAGATAAACATCGGCATAGGTGCTTTTTCAGCATGGGTCGTTCAACAGTTCTTCCAGGTAAGTAAATCAAGTAAAGGCTGAGGCTCATAGCTGACAGTGACAGTCAATGACGCGGGTCTATCTCGTGGCCAGACTGTCGTCGAGGGTTTCATACAGCCCACAATATCATCACCTTCAAGATAAATATATTTTAAGTTTTCTTGCTCCCCCAAGAATTCCTTCTAGCCAAATTCAGCACAACCACGGTCAATCCCTCAATATGGCATCGATAAGTCCATATATCGCTCCGCCAGGAGTTGCGGACTTCGCGGAGTCAAAAAGCCGGGGTGATTACATTTCATGAGGCTCGCCCAAACCGAGGTATCCTCCCTCTTTTGCCTACTATAACTTGCTAATGTTTCTAGTGTCTTACCAGAGAGCGTCAGTATGAGCATCCCCTCAGAGTTCATACGTTACTTGCCATTTTGGTCTTTCTGAAAACACAGTGTTCAAGGGGAAGACACATCAGTCCCACTTCTTCATCTCTGCTACATGTAGACACCGTCGTGGAAGCCGTTGTCAGGACACAAGTTGGGCAATTGAGTCAGGCCCTCTTTCTCCCCGGTATATGCAGGCTTTTCGCCGGCTTGGTAAGTTTTTTCCAATCTCATTTTCACAATGGACCATTGTTGACGTGTCACGTAGCAAGGAGGCTCTGCTGGGTGACAGAATATAATTCGAGGTGGTTCAAAGTCTCTGAGAGTAGATTTCACGGGGGAACAGGAGATCGATCCGCAGGCTGATTGAAGATTTACATAGGACTCAGGGCTACGTGTGTAGCCTCTTCTTGCATGTCTTTTACATGTCTATTTGCTGGTCAATGTACCCTTCGTGTCTTTTGACGATTGCAGCGGATGATGGACAATATTCACACCATAAAGATGTTTCATCATACCGGTTTTAGCTAGCTTAATTTCAATCTCTTGTCTTTGCGAACACGCCCATGGACTGTTTAGCTGCATAACCAATGTTGAAATGACTCTTCAATCAATTCATGCACAAATTTGTTTGTGCTGTTAGTCAGAGGCGACGGGACGAGTATGTTTGGCCTTTGAAGTTCCAATAACCTTCACGAAGTATTTAGAGCCTACCTACTACCTCTCTGCTCTCCCATCAAGTACATAGCTCTGCCGGTAGGTCAATAAGATCCATATGTCCACGAGATGAAATTAGACGTTCCCTCCGGTAAGGCTGTCATCGTAACTTATAAAATGGGACTGAATTTCAGCTTATCGCATTCGCTTATCGGGCTGCTACCTAATGGAGAAAATACTCGCAAGTCCCGATCGGGGTCCTTCAATCTAGCAGCACGCGCACTGCGACTTCTTGTTTACGTGCGAACTTACCCTTTCTAACTCTACACACAGAAGATGCAGATTGCTTTGACAACCAGAGAAGTGTGAGCTGGCGCACAATGCTGAATTCAATTCACTTACCCTGTGTTCCATCAGGCTTCGAGAGTTTGGCTTGGTCAACCGATGGTGACCTTGCTGTGGCCGCCGGCGAGTATGTTCAAATTTTGGTAAGTGAAAATAATTCTGAGCCGGAGAAAAGCTACCTATTGCTAAGCTTCCCTTAGACCCTCAAACGCCCAGATGAAGACTCGTCGGGTCCACTCAATAAAGATGAGTGGAACATCACTCGGCTTCGAGTCAATCTTTTCACGCAGGCCGAGTGGCAGAACATTCAGCCTCAGAATCGAGATGACTTCTCAGTTGGCGTGGAGCAGTCAACGAGCAATGTTGTTGGTATTGCATGGTCTCCACCGGGGCTGGCTCGATTTCGCCGGAGTGTGCTCGCTGTCTTGACATCCAACCTGCTGTTATCACTATGGGAGTTCGCTGGTATGCCAGGCCAGTGGAATAGAGTTGCTGTCATCAACCATGCGTTTCATTTGGATCCTAAGGCACCTGAACCACTGAGTGGACTAGAGTTGCGCAGGTCAAACATTCGGTCATTTCACTGGTGTCCCCCTTTGCATATCCCGCCTCAAAATCAAGGGCTGGCACGGGAAGCGGAAAGCCGATGGGGCATTCACCTTCTTATGGTGACGAATGATGCGAACGAGGCTATTCTGCTACGGGTTCGAAGAACTGCGCACGAAAAGGGGCTGTCTATGCCATACTCGGTGGAGAAATTGGCTCTCCATTCTTTGCAAGACGAGAAACAGCTTTATCCCCAAGTCTGTTCAAGTTCCCTTCTTCGGAGAGCCATGCAGATAAAGGCCAGGGCCTTGTCGGCCTCATGTGGGCCATGGCTTGAAACGGCTCGGACTTCAGATGAGGATATTTTCTCGGTCACTGCTATGATTGCCGTAACTCTCGGCTCCAAGCTACGAACATTCAAGGCTGTGGTGACTTTGCAAGAGTCTGACCTAGGTCGAGGCGAATTCACGAGTATGCCAGTGCGCGCGAGACTTTCGGGTCACTCAACGAGCCCGATGGTGTCTGATTCCACGACTCGTCCAGTCAACGGTCCCATTAGGTGGATCTCTACCGTAAGTCAAAGGTCCACCCATTTCAAGAAAGCAGTCCCTGATCTTGTATACCTCCAGACCTCGTCCACAACAATCATCTTGACTGCCGCGACAAATGCCAGTCTCTTAACTATACCCTTGCCCAGAGATCTTTACCTCGACAATCCTGCCAATGAGGTCAAGCTTAACATAGAAGAGCGGCTCTTTTCAAGCTTTGTCGAGGAGGATGGGGAAAGACCTCACAGGTATATGATGCCTGTATCAGGTGAGTTCTGAAGACTGGCAAAGATCTGCTAAATTGGTCAGAGCTGACGACTTCTAGAAATTATCTCTTTACTGGACGAGACTGGCGAGACGGCGAATATTCACGTCGGGAATGCTGGTGGTCTTGGAGCCACATTCCAAGTCAACGGAGAGGAGATCAGTCGCACCCCGCAGACTCCTTCATGGAATCATTTTATGCGAGACTCTCTCGAGCAATTCGACCTGGATCGTGACTTGGGAGGGCAGAGTATTGCTCGAGTATGGGGTCTAGCCTCCTTCAGGGATGTGGTTGCGGTGCTTTTCTCTAGACATCCCACAGACATGATCGAGTATCGTGTGGCCTCCGACGAAAGATCTACTATTGCTTTCACTTCTGAAACTTCGAACCACTCTGACGACATACACGCTCTCTTGGCTCCTAGTGCATCGGCAACTCAATCCTGGTCTCCGAAGGATCAGCGTGAAGCAGTGATTTCGTACGTGCTCTCCAGTTTAGATTCAGAGGCGGAGAATGATCTAGAGACCCAGAGACTAGTCTATGCGTCAGCCTGCTGCGCAATTGTGGATCAAGAGGGAAAGGCCATTCGCGAACATGCTCGTCTTTCCTTGGAAAAGCTGGCGGCACTCACGGGGGCCGACCTTAGTGAAGAGATAGCCAAGTGCAACGCGGAGCCGGCCGCAGTATCTGCTAAGACCACCGCGCAGCTTAATGGCCCCGGCATACATTTGTTCGAACGATGCGAGATCTGTGACGCCGGTATCTCATGGACTTCGGCTGATGAAGCGCAATGTGACGACGGTCATCTCCTTGGTTTGTTCCCCGGGCTTTTTCGAGTGTAGTCAATTTGCACTGACTTGTTTTTCTTGTTGTAGTACGCTGCGGTCTAAGCTTCTTGACTATTCAGGAGCCTGGGCTATCAAAATACTGCTCCCTTTGTCAAGCAGAATACATCAACGAAGAGACGATCGCTCATATCCATGAAGGCAGCCTTAGCCCTCTATTTAGAAGTATCTTCGGGGCTTTCGACACATGCCTTTATTGCGGCGGCAAATTTCAGGCCGGGCTGTAGGAGCCCGGGGTCAGCAAAAGTTTCGAATCTGTCAACTGACAGCCCCTCCCCTGGAATGTCGGTTGAGAAGTGCCACTCCTCGAGAGTTCGCGCGAGAAAGACGCCCCTGGAAAGGCCCAGGTCATGTGAGGCCTAGCAAAGTCCCTGCGATCGGATCCCACTCATCCTCCCAGCGGCGGCCGCTTTCCATTTGCGCGCCCGTCCGAAGACGATTCAGCTGCTGCGGATATTTGAAAAAAGTCACCAATTGATCAGTCAACTCGGCCGCGCTCCCAAAACCCATTCCGTTGACACCCTCAGTCACCAATTCCGGCCAAGCTTTGAAGCGATTCCATCCAACCACGGGCAGTCCTGCACCAAACATGTCTACAACTTTCATTGGAAGATCTACTCCACTGCTGCTGGTGTGCAGACTGACCCCCAGTGATGCCGAGGCTAGAAGTTGAGCGTAGTCCTGCACTGTCAGCCATGCAGTCCGAATGGTGACCTTCTTCAGCTTCCCTTCTGCCTCCAATGCCGCAATTTGCCGCATATACATCTCCTTCTGGGGTCCCTTGCCAGTGATGACGGCCAGGATATGGGGGAGGCATGGCTCATTCTCTGTTTGTTCGGAATATTGTTGGAGAGCTTCAATGAGCACAGAGAAATCCTCGTCCGGTGTCCAGGATGTAGAGCTGACCAGCACCTCCGCGCCGCCGGATTCTAATAATTCACGCAGTGGCTCCGCCCCGGGGAGTGTGACCAAAAACTTCTTGCGCTCTCCCGGATCTTGGATCGGGTGGAAATGGTTTGCTGGTCGATCGTGCAGGGTGAGAATAGGTGCGCGGAGGTTGAATTGATCTTTGAGCACGGAACCCATTGCGTCTGTGACACAAAAATGGACTGAAGCCGATTGGGCGAAGGTCCTTTCATACCAAGTTGACACCTTGACGAGCGGATGGTTTCGACCCAATTTCAAGGCGAGAATCGAATATCCAAAGTTGTGCCAGTCGATGATCAGTCGTGTATGTCGTAGAAAGCAAGACACCGAGGCGACCACGAGTGTGGGAATAGATGGCGGATTCTGTGGGATGTTGAACAGTCTGGTTCCGTAAATGACAAGGAAGTAAATCTTCTGGCTGCCTTACCTGTACAATCATCCATTGAGCTGGCGCAGTCGTATATGCCAGACATTTCCAAAGATAAGCGACCTGGAATAAGACCTTTAGAGGTCCATATAGTATAAACAGTATCTTGTTGCTCGTCTGTAGGAATGGCGGGTGAGGACGCAGTGGAACTATCGTGATATTGGGGTCGGTCAGAATCTCAGGGTGAGGGTCAGACTCTATTCGAAGAAGGCATCGGTCAATTCATTTGAATAGCAATCAGAATCTGCTTTGGAGCAGAAAATCGGTCAGAAATTTACCTTGATAGCCAATGATGTCGACTTTCCCGCCTTTGCGGGCGACACTCAGGGCATGATACTGCATGCGGGGGCTCCGTCCGATGTCTCCCAAGACGAGGATCTGGACAGTCGGCCGCGGCGTGCCGTTTCCGCCTTTTGCCTTTTTCGATGGCTCATATTGCGACGGCAGGAGCAGAATGATCAAGGTCAGTAGGCTGGATAGACAAAAGGCGATGCTAATGAGTGATTCGATCATGTTGACCTACGACCGATCGGCCACGCGCACGCCGAGGTCGTCCCGCGTCTGTCGCCGAAAGTCGACTGACAGCGGCTTATCTCATGCCGATAGCAAAACCATGTGACTCTTTATCAGACTCTGATAACGGAGATTACGGCTAATTGAATGGATCTGAAATTCTGTCTGGAAGTGTACTGTAACAATGGGGTTAGGACGTTGGGTTCCTAGATTTGGATCTTCTCTGATATACAATTGCAGACTATCGACTTGCCCCTGGGTATCTAAAAGAAGACCTCTGTACTTCCTCGAATCTTGTTCCATACCAATTTAGCATCAGTAGAGTATGATTGTGGTGTTCCAGCTGTCAGAGCTGGGGAGGCTGTACTGTAGGACTAGGAAGTTGGAACTAGAATTGCGGCAATTGCCTCTTCTGTATGTAAACACCTTACGCCATCTAGCATGCGTCAATTACCGCTATCGGGTTGCCCCCAAATCGTCGAGGCCCGCGCAAGGTACTCCGCAAACTGCTCCGTGCACACATCCTCACCATCGATTGTCGGACCTTCGATACACTACCTCACTCTCGCTTCATTGTCCTAACCGTGAGCAGATCCCACTTGATATCTCACTCTTTTGATACCCTCTCTCGCAATGCTGTCAATCTCTTCCCATTTACGCCCCACTAAATAAGAGCATCGGAAGCTCCTCCACAAATCGCACTGTTGACCCCCAATATTCTTGGCGCTGCCCCTGTTCCTCCTTGTCCGTCACCAGTCAATCTCTCCATAGTCTCCTCGAGCGTCATTCTCGGAGGCGACAATGTCAGCGGGAGCGTCGCCTTCCCTGGTAGAGGTCACGGAGTTGCCTACAGCAAAATCCCACTCCCATGGTCGAGGTCGCGGCCATGGTCACAGTCGGTCTGCGCGCTGGGCGCAACCGCCACTTCCTAGCCCACAGGAATACTCAAATGCTTCCAACTCGCCCCTCTCGAAACCGCTAGACAACGAGCCAGGCAGCTATTCCTACAGACATGCTTCGCGACCCTCTGTCCATGCACATGGTCACTCCAATTCTTTCCAGTCAAGCGGTCATCACTCGAATCCTTCGACCGCGTCCACGATTTATCACGACCCGTCACACTCGCATGCACATGATCATACACACAGCCATGACCACGACCACCACCACCACAACCATCACCATCATCATGAGGGAAACCCTTCCCAATCGCACAATCACCAGCTTCAGTCGGCCATGACGACGCAGGACACCCCTCGCGCGAAGCCGAAATTGCTGTACGTTGGTGGCTGGTCATTCAAGAGGGCACTAGCTAATCGCGATGTATAGATCTGAGACGATGAGGGGCGTGTTGCTTGCGTCGCCCTGGATTATTTTGTCGTGGTCGGCGCGGGGTTACGGGCAAACGAACAGCCCGGAAGACCCTTCCACTCCCTTCAACGAAAGCCTTGGACGCGTTGGTACAATGGTTGGGATGCTGACAGCGATGACTATGTTCACCTTTGGCTGTGGGGCAATCGTGGTTGAGAATATTCCCAGCAGCAAGTCGTCAACTGCCGCGTCCTTCAAGTTTCCCAGGCTTCCAAGAGCCAGCGTGCAGGTGGGAAAGCTAGCTATCCTGCAGACTCTCTCGGTAGCATTGCCGGTCTACGCTGCTTTGAATGTTGGTGGCTTCTTGGTGGCCTTTATCCATCTTCTCATAGCGGCGTCGGGAATCCCTGGTGGGGTCAGGAGGGGCTATCTTCAGCAATACAGCAAGAAGATGTTTACCTTGGCCGTTCTCGGAGTGACGGTCTTGCTGAGCTTTTTTGGTATGAACAAGCCCTGGGGTTCTTCACCTACTGGAGGATATGTCGCGCTTTCCCTTTCGGCAGTCGTGTTCCCGCCGTTTTTCCCACGCTCAATACTGGAAGATCCCAATTCAGAGCCCGGTCTCAGTGTTCAATCTATAGCTCAGCAAGACAAGCCTCAGGGGAGTGGACAGAGATCTGTGACCCCGAAAGCCGATGGTTCCCTCGCTATACTCACTGGACCTGTTTTGGCCGCTCTAACTATAATCCTTTCTGGTGGAAAGACCCTGAGTGCATGGGAATTGATCACTTTGATGCCCACCGCAATCCTTTTCGCGCTTGCATTGTTCATCTGGTCTCCACAAAGTCTTTTCTCTCGCAACAAGATTGGTCTCGCCGCCAGCAGTTCAATCGCGGCACTGCTCTGTTGTCCTAACAAAGAAGATGATCTTCTTTTCAATTACGCCGTCCGCGCTATTCTCGTATTAGTGGGCTTTTATGCTTCTAAGATGGATGATAGGCATCTCACCGAAGGCGACCACTCCCACGCGCATACGCACCCGAATCATCACCATGGTCACTCTTCCGCTGCGAATGCCGAGGCTACCCGAGTCACGAAGTGGTTACTCCGGCGCAGCGAGGATTATCCCTTGTTGCACAGCATTCTCAAGGAGAGCGATTCTCGCAGCATCTTCTACTTCATGTGGTTCGTCAAAAGAGTTTTCGATCAGTACTGGCCGTAAGCTAACTTTTCTAGTCTGAACTTTACGTTCATGCTCGTTCAATTGTCCTATGGTTTCCTGACGGGTTCTTTGGGCTTGTTGAGTGATAGCATTCACATGTTCTTTGACTGCCTGGCGCTCGTTGTTGGCCTCTGCGCGGCCGTCATGAGCAAGTGGCCCCCAAATTCACGGTTCCCCTATGGTTATGGTAAAGTGGATACCTTGTCTGGGTTTGCCAATGGTATCTTTCTCATGTGAGTCTGCGACGCACCTCACGTGCAGAAGCGATGAATCATCTTGTTCGAGTTATGCGATTCCCTCGGGTCTGACGAGTTTCTTCTAGGATCATTAGCGCGGAGATCATCTATGAGGCGGTGGAGCGGCTGTCATCGGGAAGTCAGATGCATCGCATTGGTGAGTTACTAGCTGTCAGTGTTGCAGGTCTGCTCGTCAACCTAGTAGGCATCTTCAGTTTTGAGCATGGGCACCACCACCATGGACATGATCATGGTCACGATCACTCTCATGGGAATGAGAACATGCATGGGATCTTCCTTCATATTCTGGCCGACACACTGGGCTCCGTGGCCGTGGTGATCTCCACGATCTGCGTACACTACTCGGGATGGGCAGGCTGGGATCCTCTGGCGTCATGTTTCATTGCCATTCTTATCTTTGCCTCTGCAGTTCCGCTGGTCAGTGGCACAGCGAAGAGTCTTCTCCTCACTTTGCCAGCGGATACCGAATACAATATTCGTGAGACCTTGGCTGGAGTGAGTACGCTCCGTGGAGTTGTCAGCTACACCGTTCCGAAATTCTGGCTCGATGACACCAATTCGGCATCGTCGTCCGGACACGATCATGCGCATGGTCATGGCCACATTCATGACCAGAGCCATGATCATCATCATCATCATCCTCATCATCATGATCACGATCATAGTGGCCATGATCATAGTCATGACCACGACCACGACCACGACCATGATCTTGGACACAAACACAAGAGCCAGAATGTTCTCGGTGTGATACACGTCATTGCGTCCCGTGGATCGGACTTGGAAGATGTCCGTCATCGGACAGTGGACTACCTCCGCGAAAAGGGCATGGATGTCGTGGTCCAGGTAGAACGCGACGGGGACGGTCGTTGCTGGTGTGGAGCTGGCAACAAAAGCCCTTGAACAGCCTCGTGTTTGAGTTGTGTCTTAGCACATGCATTGACGTATGAAACTCAGGCTACCGGCATGGGCCAGCGGCCAACCTGTGTATAGCTTGGAAGCAAATCCAAATCTTCCGTTGTCCGCTATGATGTACAAAAGACGGCAATTTCCAATTATGGTGCTTGGATTTGGACAGTAGGATGCTTTGATCCATCTGGACGAGATTGTACTATTTCTGTTTCTCACTTGCTGTGAAGATACTACAAAGAAAACCCTGTTCAGGAATACACGATGCTGATAGCCACCCCCGCTGATTGCTCCTCTCTTCCGATCTCCCTGGAGGGGTTTCGGCTCTTCAATACATTGCAACATGTCGATGCATGTGTTACGTGACTTTTGAATCGGGTTGCTGGAGCGCTTATTCCCGCCGCATGGAAGATTAGAGTTGTAAGGTGAAGGAGACACCGGCCTGGTTTGCTAATCGCTGGAGCCATGTAGAATCTCAGGTCGTACCAGACCCATGTCGACTCCGGGACATGGATGGTTCACACACACCAAAGGTCGTTGGCTATACATGGTCTTTTTGTACAACACAGCTTGTCCCACCGTGACTGCCCCCCTTGTGCCTGGCATGATCGAGATATGCCGCGTCGGCTCCGTTACCCTACCTAGTACCACCATCGTCATCATCCCGTTGGCCAACGGTTCTTCCACCGGGAAAATGACATGATTGAGGTCAATTCGCTCGAGTGGACCTGTCGCGTCCTGCTGCTGACAACCGAGGCCAAATTCGCAGAAATTCTATAATAAGATGACAAGGCGCACTGTTCCAGACGAAAATCTGCCTGGAAATCCCCATGGAGCGCAATTGGCCGCCAGCATGAACTCGTTCCCAAATCCCAGAGCCTCGTTTGCCGACGAGATCCTTCGTGAAGGGTACGCCAAGTTTTTTGAAAGACAAACAGTCTTGTTGACTGGCAGTACGGGCTCCTTGGGGGGATGTCTCTTGTATAAACTTACTCTGCAACTTCCAACCCGAAAGATCTATGCTTTGATTCGGAGCACACCCGAGGCAGCTTTTGCCAAATGGCGCAAGGCCATGCCGATTCAATCCCAGGCCATTGTATCGTCCAAAAAGGTGGAATATGTGATCGGCGACATCAAAGCCGAGAATTTCAATGTTGCCCCCGACGTGCTGGAAACGCTCAAGAGCGAGGTCACTCTGGTTATTCATACCGCGGCCAAGATCAGTCTTGATGCCAGTCTACACGACGCGATCGAGAACAACTGCCTGCCTTCGCTGGAATTGGCTCGCATGGCCTCTCAATTTCGACGGCTGAAACTGCTCGTTCAGATCTCCACCGCGTATGTAAATAGTTTCCTGCCCGATGGACCGGTCCTCGAACGTGCATATACACTTGCGGACCTCGACCCCGAGGAAGAATTAGCATCAGCTTTCGCAATCCAACCGACTAGGAGTCCCTCTCCCGCGGCCAGTGATCGATTCTCGTCAACGTATGCACATGCCAAGTACCTCATGGAACGACTTCTTCTCTCGCGTTATCCACTCCTTCCCATCTTGCTTCTTCGCCCGACCATCTTCGGCCAAGCCATACGCCACCCTTTCCCACTTTACGGCCTGGAGAACTCCACCCCCATGAACAAATTCTTCCAATACCTTCTGTCTGACCGTGGAGGTGTCCAGATCTGGCACGCAACAGAGGGCTACAAGACCGGCGCCAATATCCTCGACGAGATCCCCGTGGATTTGGTCGCCAATGCATGTCTCCTGCATGCGGCGGCCCGAACGACGGGGATCGTACAGATCGGATCGGAACTTTACCACCCTCTCACCTTTGACGATTTCCTGGAGATTGCGGTGTCGAATGCCCCGCCGGTGATCCGACGCGAATTGCCGCAGGTAGTCTTCACCGAGGATCGGACGGCTCAGCAGTGCTTTTTGGCGGAGATGGTGAGGGTGGCGTCGAGGAATTGGTTGTTTCATTGTGGTCGGTCGTACTGGCTGAAGCAGGTCGGGGGGGCCTTGAGTCTTTGTGTGGACAAGGGGGAGGCCGAGGAGTTGAATCGGAGGCGTATTCGCGACATTTACAAGCGTGCTGTGGACATGGCGAAGATTTAGGGGTACATGCTACATACTGCATACTCGACTAGTAGTGCACCCAATGTCGGGAGGATTCGGTTTGTTTTGACAACCTGAAGAAAACAAAAAAAAAAAAAAAAGGTCTACCGGGAGCTCAGCATCGAAGCGGCCTCGGACCTGCAAAGATACTGCAAAAGTGAATGTCAGGGGATAAGGATGGATGTTCACTGAGCATTAGCATTTTGTCACTATTATTACATACATGAGATGAGATGGAGAGATTCGAGGGGGACATGGGAACACATTCTATGAAAATCTTGTTCATTTTCCGCATCACTTTAGTAAGATCGTGGTTTTCACGGAGAAGATTCGATATATTTCAAAAGATGTGACCTGAGCCACTTGTGCGTGGTGATCGCGAGGACAAACCGCCAACGTCCCACTACTTTCGTATTTGAGCAGTGTTCACCTCGTCCCATTGGGTGGTCCAGTCGTATTCAATTAGGGGGTAGTTTCGACTCTCGACGTAAGAGCCAGGCCAGTATGGCGGCCTGCTGGAATCTCTTTCATAATGTGCAGATTCCGCATAGAATGGGTTGGCTACTCGACAAGTAGTTGTGTCGAGGAGATTCAGTCCCAGAGCATCAACGTTCACCGTAGTGGAGGCACTGGGTTGGGGCACCTTTGCTCTCTGGGGGTTGCTGTGAAATTTGACACATATCGATCCCTGTTCAAAGCCCGGTCACGGCAGACCAGAGAAACCGAGGGGGAGAGACCAGAGAGTGCTTTCAATGAAGCTCTTGATCTCTGATCCATGTTCTATAATGAAAGAGAAGAGTATCGTCCTGTCAAGGACTTCCACAAGGGTCAGAGACCCAGCCTGCGTCGCGGCCAGGTCACAAACTCTGACCATCGCGCACCTGCATCACTCAGTGATTGCGATAATTCGGCCACCAGGGACTTGCCAGACCCTTGAGCCCACCACCATCGGCCATGAAGCTCGCCTAGCAGGACACCCCAGTGCATGAGGATAAGCAGCGCCAGGGGCTGCCGACGCCGCACGGTATCCACAAATTCCTTGTCCACGGCTGCGAGCCACGACAGGACTTCTCCTGGGTCCCGCGAACTCATGTACAAGGTGAAACACTGCCTAAGATGTCCTATCACCTCTTTATTGGTACGATACTGTTGAACGTCGACCCCAGCCACAGCCTCCTCGTTCAGTCGAGCGAGTCGGTCAAGGGCAGCCGCAGCGTCACCATCTAACTCTGTTGGGGCCGCCGCTTCGTAGAGCTCTCGATGGCGAGAGTAGAGGTTAATCTTGATCCAAGATCGGCCGATGAGGATGATCTTTTTCACCCCTTGCAGAAGCTGGAAGACCACCAGCATGTTTTCGGTCATGTTCGAGGTCTCATCACGCGAGGCCGTCAGACGCGGCAACGCGATACCGATGACCGTTGTGACTATCGACTGCGCGAGAACGGCCTCACAATTTTCTTGGGTGAGATTGTCAATTGCCGCGCGAAAGGGCGCAAATGAAAGGTTATGGTATTGTAGAGCGGTGTCGATGTAGGCCAGCGAGGTCGGCGACTCGGTCGTGGCGGCGATATGTGAGGCGGCCAAAGCGAGAATGCCATTCATGAGAAAGTCATATTGGAGGGCCAAACGGGGGATGACAATTTGCCAGACGTGATATTTTGATTCGGCGGTACAGACGGTACTGAAGGTCTCTGTAGCGAACTTGTGCATCAGCTCCAGGTCGCGCACGCCGGAAATGCTTGAGGGCGTGGATGCTGGACTGATGGGCGCCAACGGTCGGGCGACCTCCAGCTCTCGGGTTGATGCAGACGCAGTGCTGCGCTTCCGCACAGCCGTCCCATCGCGTGGTGGAGCTTTCAGATAAGTACAATTGAGTTCTCGGGAAATGCAATTTGAGCAAGGCGGCCCTTTTTCATCGCACTGTATTGAACATTGATGGCCTGGTTAGCTCAGACGGACGCAACCCATCGTCCATAGGTAGAATGGGCTTGAAAGTAAGATGTCAGATGAACGGCGGAGAGTGATGCTGTTGTCAAGTCCCCAACATCACCCGTCCGGTCGCGCGTGCGCGGAGGCCCGAAGATCGACGGAGTGACCGTTTTGAGGGGGGGCGAGCTCGAGTGGGCATTGAGCAGCGCGCGGAGCCGCCAAAAAGTGTATGGGAGATGGAATATCCACGACCTCGAAATCCGTGCTTTGCATAATTCAGACTCACCTTGACTCGGCGTCGCTTGCATTGATCGCAGCCGTTACGTGATTTGGTGTGCGCTCGTCGCGGAGGCATAACGAGTGGTCAACCATGGACAACTCATGTCATTGAGCTGGGTGGAAGTCGACGGGGACGACGTTGGAGCGAGGGAAAGACGGCCGCGAAAGCAGTCAAGTCACGTGGCATAGTGATCTGGAGATGCGCAGACTCCAAATGACCCCAAGGGAGACGAATGAGAAGAGCTCATGAAAAATAATAATAATGTGGAAATAACGGGCTCGGAAACCAAACAGAATCAAATTGGTCAGATCTCACTAAATTTCCTACCGATCCTTAGGCCGGCACTTGGAGAGGCAAAAAGTGACCGGGCACTGAATGAGCTGTGGATAAGCGTCGCCTCCACGGAGATTGGGGCAACGCTGGACATCATTCGGAATGGGGAGGCTCATGGGAAAAGGGGACAGACTCTGCAGAGTGCTAGTCACCGGACAGTCGACACAGCACGAAAGAGATCAGCAGTTGGAAGGTAAACTGGGGGGGCGAGCTGATGTGAGGCAGTGTTTTCGGTCTGTCATCTGTGAGATGTTTTTTTTATCTCCGAGAAGCCGACAGGGAGGCGATGACCAGAGAGCATTGCCGAGATCTTCTAATGAAGCTGTTAGATCAGTGCAGGGCGTGGAAAGGGTCCAAAGAGTCGCGAAAGGAAGTTTGAGGAACAGCGTGGAGGGAAACATGTCTTTTTCAAGCAATCTTCAGCAAACGACCCCTTTTTTTGTGCTATTAAAGCAGTAGAAATTACGACCGGTTGGCATCCTCAAAGGTAGGGCAGCAATGGCAGATTTAAGACCAAAAGCCTGATCGTCGGCAGCAGGAGTACAGGAGGAGTTGCTCCCCCTCCACGCAGGGTGTTTCGGTCCGATCCAGGCCTCGAGGATCAGCCATTGATTGCTTCATCAAGTCTCTCGACCTTGAATTTGAGGATCGAGGAAAAGCGTAAATATTAAGGCACTGCTGGCTTGGAGGGAGGGGGGGGGGGGGCTAAAGCAGACCATGGGGATGCGAATACGATCCTGACTGAGCTGAATCCAACCCCGGATTGCATCAGTCACAGTGCCTTCAGCTTTACAGGGCTTGAACCGGGCATGACGACGGCCCTGTTCAGAGCTTGAGGGCTCAATCCTGACGGCACGAGTACCTTATCTCCAATCCTCCACTGTGAGATTGCCGTAGACCGGAGAGCCCGAATATGCCATAGTTGGAGATCGTACATGACAGTGCATAAGCTGCCTACTGTCAGTAACTACCTACTCCTATTTCTAGTAGTTCATTCCCTGTGAGCTATGAACAAGGGAGGCGGCCATCGACGCCCGGTAGAGTCAGCGACCACCATACTAGGTAGACTAAACCATACAAAACATTCTCGGTCGATGGGACTACATCAACATTGCCTACATTGTACGCTTTACCTAGTACTCAACTAGACCTGAAATAGTCGTGTATAGTCGTATACCATGAAAACTGTAGGTGATGTGCCTAATCGATGGAAACCAGTGGTCGTGACCTGCAAAGTGACTACAACAGTGGCAGTAATTGAGGTCAATGATTAGGTAATAGGTACAGACCTTGGTCACGGTACATTCAGCATTGAGGGTCGGCTTCGGCGATAAGAAACGATCTCCGATCGGAAGAATCACGACCGACGGAGTCAGACAGTATCACTTGTGAGTCGTGACTCGTGCGACAAACCTGACTCGCAGCATCCATGGTGACCACGGGGGATTCTCATTCCATTATGATTATGTTTTTTATTCCCCTTCCAGTCATGGGCAATCGTTCCGATCAAGCTGGTCTTGACACGACCGCAGTGGAGCTCGCTACGAAGCTCGCTTGGGGCTAAGAGCCCCCCAAGAGAGATAAAGCACCCACGTCCAAAGGGGAAAAGCGAGGGAAACGGAGACAGAACGTCCAGAACATGTGTCCCGCACTGCGAAAACGAGAACGAGAACGACGGTAATCAATCATCGTCCCACTCAGACGTCGGCGCTCCACAGCTGGAGGGTTGCCCTCAAACGGTCAGCGACTCAGCGACTCAGCGGTAACCAGGTATGTGGTACCCCTTAACATACACCATGTGGCGGGCCTGCCAAGGTACTCAGTACATGTCAGGGCCGACCCGACCGACTGCGAGATGACGCTCAGGTATGAATGTGCTTCTTTGCGCATACCTACCTACCAGCATCGTAACCGGCTTGCCAGAATATCCCGGTGCTGAGTGAGAGACACTCCAAGGTAGGCGAGCATATGAAACAGCTTTTTCCCAGTCTGCTACCCATATCTCTATCCGGCAGAATGACCTGGATATTGATACTGATAGTCGATTCTCGACAGGTACACGTACCTTTCAATTCGCGTCAGCAACAGCCGCCGTCCAGAAAGCAACTTGCCCAACGTGGTCAACGCTGCTGTGCCGTGGGCCCCTCCCCCGTCTCCATCTCACACCCAAGACAAACCGGTGTCAATGCTCTTCCAAAGCTGATGCTGCATCAAGGAACACGTCCAGGGTGGAAAACCACAGAGAGACGGTCAGGAGCGTAGAAGGAGTGTTCTATTCCTTTGCTGATACTGAGAACAGCCATCAGTAAGGAAATCCAACCCCGGCTGCGGGTGGATTACTAGAAGATTCGCGGGAATAAAACTAAGTTAAGTAGAGAGTAAGGTAGTTAAGGAAGACGTACACAATAATCATCGGCCTTTGCGAGACACGATCAGATCAAGTGGGTCCTTGACAGCCTCTGTTTCCACCTTTTGCATCTTCCAGATTTCCACACTAGCGTATTTGTAGTATTGCGACTCCCCTGACGTGATCATCCTTCTTTCCTCCCTCTAGGCCAGACCCGGAGCGAGACGACAACTACTTTAGGATTTGAATTGACGCTTCTGGTGGCCCGAAGTCCTTTCGCAGTGACAACCGACCAACCTTCTTCTCAAAAGTTGCGCCGCGCCTTCTCTCTTTTCGTCTTTACCTTGTCTTTCCCTTTTCCCTTTCTTCCGTGACACTCCCCTCATCGAGGTAAAACAGCCTTCAACATGCCGAGCTACGCGGACTGTACCGCGGTAGGCCCCGGCTGCCCCGTGCAAGCAACTACCTATGGCTATTATCCCAACTTGGGCGGCAACATCTTTTTCACGGCCTACTTTGGCGTGTTGGCTCTGTTACAACTCGGGTTCGGCATCTACTTTCGCACCTGGACCTTCATGGTCGCTCTGGGAGCCGGCACTCTGATGGAAATGGCCGGGTACATTGGCCGAGTGCTCATGCATCACAATCCATGGAATCAAGGCGCATTCAAGCTGCAAATCGTGTGCTTGGTCCTTGCGCCTACTTTTGTCGCCGCGGGCGTCTATCTCACCCTCAAGCACATCGTCTTGAACCTCGGGCCGGAACACTCCAAGCTCAAGCCCCAACTGTTCACCTGGATCTTCATCAGTTGCGATATTGGCTCGTTGATCCTGCAAGCCGCGGGTGGCGGTGTTGCCGCGGCCGCCGGCAAGAACAATGCGTTCCTTCTCAAGGTGGGCGATGATATTATCATTGCCGGTATCGCCTTTCAGGTTGCAACCATGGTGATCTGCGGTCTACTTGGAGCCAACTTCTTCTGGAATTTATATCGCAGTGGGAACGGCCTTTCTGGGGAGAAGACCTATGAGGATCCCTCTCCGTCGGTCTCTCCTTCGCGTATAAAGCTCGTGATCATTGCTGAGGTCTTTGCCTATCTTACTGTTTTGATTCGTTGTATCTATCGGTAAGACGGCCTTGTCCTGTGTTTGCGAAGTAAAGATGCATGAAAACGAAGAAGCAGAAAGAAAGAAGAGAGGGAAGACCATTTCGAGGATTTTGCTAACATGAAATTTCTACCACTCCAGTATCCCCGAAATGGCTGGCGGTTGGGGTAGCCCTCTCATGCAAAAGGAGAACGAATTTCTCGTGCTCGATGGAATGTAAGTGCTTCCCCCAGAAACGATTTTTATATATTTGTCACTCAAAAAATTTTTTTTAAAAAAAAAAAAAAAAAAAAAAAAAAAAAAAAAAAAAAAAAAAAAATACCGGCTAAAGTTGCATTTCAGGATGATCGCACTCGCCTGTACGGCCTTTACCCTGGTTCACCCCGGACTCTTCATCCCATCCATGCGAACGGGGTATAAGAACCGCCCACAATAGGGATTTGCGCCATATGCCTCGCTATATTTCTACAAATCGTGTGATTCCGTGTCCATGAACTTGTTTCTACTTCGGTTTGATTCCTTTTTTTTTCGTTGTCTGTGTGATCTTCTATACCCTTTGCATTTATTTTCGCACGGTATAGAGTGCTGAGCATTAGCGTGGACTATTCAAGTATTTGATGATTATGTACAAGCCTGATTTGATAGATTGCTGGGCAGCTCCCGTCTTTCTCTCTTTTCCAAATCTATTCTCCCTACGTTTTCGAAACTTGTCTTGCACAGGAGTCTTCATGAGGCCTCCCCTCCCCGTCTTTCCCTCGGAGCTTTCCAATGACTCGCAGAAGCTCGGGCCTGGTGATCTTCCACGCAGCACCTCAAATCGATGAGTGGCAACTCCCGGAGGGACTTATACAATGTGCGAACTTCGACACAAGCAGTAAAAGGCAGCAGACGTCTAGAGCCACCATCTGGCGCTGCGCGATACAACCAGTCTCAATCCCATTTATCAAGATCTGCCACGATTCTATCCGGAACATGACCCACTGGTGTGATGTACTACTGGGCAGGCGGCGGTAAGAAGCGAAAAGGGTCCATATGTGCAGACGAATATGAAGCCCCCATCAGAGAGCAGCTTTGTTTCTCGCCATATACTACAAAATGCAAAGATTCTGTGCAAGGCCCTCGGCGTCCTTTACTCCCCCAAAGCGGGAAATGCCCAAATGGAAATTTGATATCAGCACTCGCTCCGTAATGCAATCAATGGAAGCAAGACACCGCAAAGGAGGCCAAGAATACACGTAGAGCCCTGACCAGGTCAGCTCAAGGCCAGTTAACCCTGACCAGGGTCATAGAAGGAGATGGGTGAGACGGGTCAGAAAGATATGTGATAAGAGGCAAGGTGAGGGCAAAAGAAAAAGAGCAGAACAAGACCAGGTCGCATGCACCGTGCATTAGATGAATAAAAGAAGAAAACGAATCATCAAATCTCCTAAACGCTCAATCCTCGCCTTGGCTTAGTCGAACACAACGGCGCACTCGTTTCTTGAACTCGGCTGGGTCCTCGCGCCATAACCGCGCAGCTTCCACATTGGCGGGGCTTTCGTCGTTGGGACTGGAAAGCATCGAGATGACCGAGAGAAGGATAGTCTCGGGGGTCTGAACGGGCGACCAGCGCTCCGCAGCGGATTCGTATCCGTACTTATCCTCCTCTGGGGGGTGCAGAATCGATATGCACACTTCGCCGCTCTCGTAGACTGCCAGAAAAGCATGAGTTAGCATCAAGTAACTCCAAGATCAAGGTATCGATTGCTGTCTCCATCACCCCATCCACGCGTAGGGACATCACAATCGATGTGTAATCATGCATCTCAAAACGGGCCATCACTCACTGTTCGGGTGGAAGATGGGTGACTCGAACTTCATCTTCGGGGGCATGTGAGGATACTCTGGTGGGAATGTGAGGCGAGCGCGGAAGAAACCACCTAAGATTCACACACAAAGTGTCAGCAGATCGGCCAAGTATCACAAGGTTGAGCGTATCTCTCCCGCAGTCCCCATCCTTTCAGTATGTATGATCTTGAGGTGAGGATTTACGGGCGGTGCCTGTCCGTATGTCGACAGGCCAGGAATCGAGCGTTCACATACCTCCATACAGCTTCACATCATCAGAGATCATCAACATGACTTCCCACTCAAAGACATTGTTGTCGACCAAGCCACAGCTGATCCCGGGGATATCCTTATCGGACTGCATCTGCTGCAGCTGGCGGGCCAGCATACGGCCAGCGGGAGAGGCTGCCATGGTGGATAAGGATGTGTGGGACGAGTCGCAAAGCAGAAAGGGGTTGTGAGGACTAAATGAGAGTTCTTGCGATCAAGCGATGCCTTGTTGTCAATCAGAGATGAGAGTCGGTTGATGAAGAGGCAAAGGTAGGAGGGGGAGGGGGAACACAAAAAGTGATGAAGGCGGTGACTAAGGAAACGATGAGCGGGGAGGCAAAGTCGGGAAAATTACTAAACGATAAGACTCGCGCCGCTTATCGATGGGGTTCAATTCATATGCGGGGGACAGCAGAAAGATGTAAGTACGTCTGGGCCAGGAATAAAGTGGTCAGCGACTCACAACGCTCAGATTGCTGATCAATATAGGAGATTATTGACTACGGTAGGAAGTCCTTATGGAGGAACGGAAGAAGTACGGCGGATACAAGAATACGTCAAATTTGCTAGTCACATCTTCAATGATCCAAGATAGAAATGCAAGGACGGGCGGAGCGGAACCTGGCTAAGGGAAAGTGTTCTATACACTTTGATGATCGCCTTTGTTGTTTACTCATGCAGCGTCAACAGCATCTTCATCGGCAAAGTTTCAGTGACGGGATGGTCACTAGGAGTTCTTATTCTTCAAGGCCCACGACATTGGGAAAATAGCCATGAAGAATGCAGTGAGCATGAACACTTCGATGACAAAAGTCTTAATGATGACTTTGCCGTAGCGAACCCGAGCAGGCCAGTCAAAGGTTCTCCAAGCGTCAAGAATGCCAATATGGCCACTCCCGCCCATGATTTCGGTCTGAACCTTGCCACCGAATGAACGATCGAAGGGCACGATAGTCTCATCCTCCTCAGGCAGCATGGACGCTGCCACCCGGACAAAGATGACTTGGGCTGGGATTTGGACTACCCACGCAAGCAACGCGGGGATGCCATATCCGAATGCCGCAGGGCTCAGCGTGGAGCTCTGTCCATGCTCACCCAGGTTCCGTGCGATAGCCACGGCAACAAAATAGACAGCTGTGCCCGAAACATCCCTCAGAGCAATCGCTGGGGCAATCTTAATCCAAGTGCGCATGCTAGGAATCCGCTGGTAGAAGCGCTTTGTTGAGGGCTCTGAAATGACAATGTGCACCCAAGCCATGTGCAAAGGAGCAAAGAGGAGATTGAGAGACGTCAAGATTAGGAATGATAGTATCACATGTGATGACACCAGACTCATGATAAACACCTGAGGAACTGTAATGCATAGATGGATAGACAGTCCTCGAAAGCGAGACCAAAAGCCCGCGCGGGCGCGAAGATGTCTGACGGCACTTCGTAGCCCACTCGTGATGGGCTGAATGGGCCGTGGGGGTTGCGAGAAGGAAGCCTCGTCAGCTCCGCGAGGAACGAAAGGTTTAGTGGGATCTGTGGGATCCGGGTGGACGGGATCATTGTCGATGCGGATATAAATATCTGGATTGGAATCCTCGACCGCGGCCAGAGTGCCTACAACCTGTCCGTAAGTGTAATCCACCTAAATGAGAGTCGGTAATCAGCGATCGTCCTCCTTCTAGTCAAGATCCATGTGCGAGTCTTGGATCCAGCGATAATTCAGCCGGCAAGTCACTTACTGCTGCGACCGCACAAGGCACGACTACTACAAGAACGCAGATGATCAGAAAGATGAACAGCCTCAATCCATCTCCTTCCGAGTTCTTCGAATGTGAGGACGCATGTTTCAACCAGGCCTCATCGGCACTGCGTCTGACGAGGTGACCCACGGCGTAATACATGGTACGTGGCCGCCGTCTAAGGGAAGAGTGTTCGGTGCCTGACTCAGGATGCGAGAGAACAATGAAGTATTGGAGTTGAGAATCACTTCTCAAATGGCGATTCAAGAACCTTTGGGGCCAGATGGGGGCTTTTCGGCACCATATATGGGAGAGCCTCAAGAACAAACGAAGCAGGTCCTCCGCGCCACCAAGGCGGTAATATTCTTGGAGTTTAGGGGCAGTGCTGAACTGCTGACATCAGCCTCGAGTTGGAAACCTACTAATCTCGAGTTGACTGGCCAAGCGCCCACCGACGTGTGTCTGTGCACTTTGTGCGGAGTGCACAGCCCAGTTAAAACGGCAATCCCCGTCCAGCGTAGTGAAACATCCGCTGTCTGCCTGGCTCATGGACACTGACAGGTCAAAACGAGGTGAGCTTCTCCACTGTTTGGCGACATTCTCGGTCGATGACTCGAAGGTCGAGGACTTGGCGCTGTGAGCTAGCGACAAAGATAGGAACACGCCTAGATAAAGCGTCAGCTTGTCTATACGCGACGGGGCTCACGAAGACTACTCAGCTGTACCGAGGGACATTGAATACCCTTCTTGTGATTGTACCGTCCGAAATGATATTCCACCTCTCTCTCTCTCGGGTTGAGACCAAGGGTCACGATGGGTTTCTTTGTTGTCTTCCTTGAACGTGGAATGGAGCTTCCATTCCTCTCTTGGGTGGTGGAGAGATGGATCGCCCGGGGGGCGGAAAGTCAGCCTTGAAACTGTGAAATGTGGGTCCGAAAATGTCCGGACAGTGCCAGTCTCTGAGATCAAACTGGAGCCATGTATAACAAACAGGTAGGTCCTTGACGGTAATCCAATCTAGTCGAGCATAGTGATACTGTGACATTTCAGTCATCAGTATGTAGGTCGCTGTCTGATATACTCTTGCGTCGAATCTGAACAGTCGCTCACTAAGTGGAGTATGTCTACTCTCCAGTGCACTTGGCCAAGCGACTTGCATCACTTCGAGGGGAGCCCTTGATGCCGGTGTAGATCGCGAGGTTCTCTCCGCCCTCAGTACACAGGTGTGTCCCAGGGCATGTGGCCCGCCAGGTGCGTGTTGACTGCTTCTTCGAGACGGGCACAGGGATCGCCGATGAAGTAGTGGACTTCACTTCGAGAAAAGCACGTGCGGCTTCATTCACTTCGTTCCTAAAAGAAAGCCAACGAAGAGAGGAGGACTTGGAGGGAAGTGATACACTATCATAACAAATGCGCAGGGAGAGACCTATGATATTTTGAAAAGGTGAATGGAAAATTAATCTAAGTAGGTATCGTATCAACATCCAAAGACGCCCCAGCTATGATATCTCTCATCGAGTCGTTAATGCTTTGACCCCAGAGGCAGAATTCTCGACCAAGCGACAGAGCCGTACTTGGAGAAGGAGAAAATCGCTAGCAACAGAGGCACAACGAGCCACCAGATCATCCAGCTTGCCCGCCCGGCATTCTGCTTCGAAGCGTCCTTCTGAATGAGATCGGTGGTCACTTTGGCACTCATCAGGGCCACGGGCACGCCCGCACCGGGATGCGTGCTGGCACCCACAAAGTACAGGCCCTTGATATCCGGGTGTCGGTTCTGCGGCCGGAAGCTGAGGACGTTGAAGAAAGAGTGGGAGAGACCCAAGATGGCGCCACGGTCCAGATTGAACTTGGCCTTCCAGCTGGTCGGCGTCTCGACGGTCTCGCGGATGATGCTTTCCCGGAGTCCCTTTGCTCCCGTGCGCGCCTCAATCGTCTTGAAGGCGGCTTCTCGCGCACGGTTGACCAGGGCATCCCAGTCTTGGGGGTTAGAAGGGTCATCGTCAATGTGACCCACGGGGACGAGAACCACGGCCGAGTCCTTGCCCTTGGGGGCTGCTGTGGGGTCAATTCGACTGGGGACGTTGACGTAGAAGGAGGGATCGCTGGGCAGTTGGTGGCGGTGGAAGATGGAGTCGAAACTCTCCTTGTACTCCTCGGCCAAGAAGATATTGTGAACAGAAAGCTCGTCAATCACGCGGTCAAAGGACCAAAAGAAAGAGATACTGCTGCAAGACGCCTTTCGCTTGGTTAAGCTCTTGGCGTAGCTGGTCTGCGGCAGTAGGTTGTTGTAGGCGTACACAAGGTCTGCATTGATAACCACCACATCGGCCAAGAGCTCCTCTCCGGACTCGAGACGAACTCCCCGGGCAGAGCCATCGGGGCCTTGAATGATTGAGGCAACTGGTGTGTTTAAACGGAACGTCACACCGAGGCGTTCTCCAACTCGCGCCACTGCTTCAAGGACCTGTTTTCGTCAGTCCTAACTCCAGAAGGGAATGCACTGCGTTTAGTGCAAAAATCATAGTATCTCTTACCTTTACAAAGCCACCTTCTGGATATAGGATGCCATGTGCCAGCTCCGTATACTGCAAAAGCGAATATGTGCCGGGGGCTTCGAATGGATTCATGCCCAAGTACATGCTCGCAAAAGTGAACGCTCTGCGAAGCTTGTCGGACTTGAAATACCGCTTCACACGGCTGAACATACTCTCAAACGGGTGCAGGGCTAATAATGATTTCACGAGACCGGGGCGGAGCATGGCAAAGATGTTAGGGAAATCTTTACAGAGAACGTGCTCCATCGCTAGGTCGTAGTGGGCGCCGGACTCTTTCAGGAAACCAAAGACACCCTCCAGACCATTAGCGCCCTCGAGGCGCTCAATCTGAGGCTTCATTTTGGCGATATCGGTGGACATTTCCAGGTGATCACCATCGGAGAACCAGATGCGGTAATTAGGGTCACATGTCAACAATCTGACGTTCTCCTTTTCGGGAGTCGTGCCCAGCTCCTCGAATGTTTGTTGGAAGCATTCAGGCATCAACAAGAGCGAAGGCCCTTGGTCGAATCGCTATCATAGCTGGTTAGACAATTTGGAAAAATCGCGGCCTGGCAAGATCTGCTTGCACGCTTGATCACAGCCATCATCATTGGAGGAGGGTTTGCAGCTCACGAATTCATCATGGTGCACAAGAGAACACCGGCCGCCGAGGAAGGAATTCTTCTCCACGACCGTGACTTTGTACCCAGCTTTGGCGAGACGAGCAGCCGTGGCAATGCCGCCAGCGCCAGCACCTACAGTCACAATCAGCCATCTCCCTCTTCAATGCCGATGAAGAAGACCCAGCTTCTAGAACGAGTCCATTTGACTTACCAACGACAATCGCACTTCGAGGGGCCATTAGTTTAAAAAAGGGTATGTGTGGTAGGATTGGTTGACCTTAGGTTGACTCTGTCTGGTGCATCAATAAAGGCTCTCTCTCTCTCTCTCTCGATTGACGAATTTCGTCAGGTTCTTTAGAAAAGACGTGGAGATGGTAAGACTGAACGTTTTCTACCCCGTTTATGAATCCCGTGTGGGCTTCGCTATCTATCATAACAAACCGGTGTCAAGCCAGCCATCGTTCTCTCTTTTTCTGGGCCTGGGCCGAAAGTCCCGGATCTGATCAGGTCTCAGTCGCTGGGGTAATTTTACGGCATGTGAACGAGTGGGCAAATCCACGTTTGGGTAATACAATACATAAGATTACAGTATAATACCGTACATCTGTGAAAGATCGTACAGAAAGTCAGTCCGATCGATCGAAAGACCCACTCCAACATTCAGGCCTCCGCTCACGTAACTCTCCTCCCCTGCAACAAGGTGGATTGGTGGACTCTGCCCGACAGACCTGCCACCAGCTGGGCAGCTACCAGCTGCGGCCCCGTTCTGGACCAGATTTTAGATGCTTCGGTACGTATTAGAGTATCAGAAGCTTGGAAGCAGGAGTGAAAAAAAAAAAAAAAAACTAATCTGAATGAGAAACCAAGATGAGAGAGATGTGTGTTTCCGATCTATTTGCCCGGGCCCCCCCCATGCCCTTACAGCCCGTGGAGCCTCCCAAGATATTCCTTCTATCCACCTTTTCCCCCCGACCTCTCCCTCGTTTGTCCCGCGACCGACGGAGCAAGAGGTGAAATCGAATGAGACCCGCCCGTGACAAAACTGAGATGATGGGGCAGATCGCAGTCAGACTCGACTGCCAGTGAACCGAATGCCTTGATTCACGTCATTCCGTTCCTTGATCCTGCCTGTCCCCCCCCACTTGACAGGCTCGGGCCACTTCCAGTCGGACAGAATCAGGCCGATCGGAGATGGCTGAGCACTAAGCGACTTGACTTTTGTTTTTTTTTGTCTTCTTTTGTTCTTGGCCGACGTCCGTGAACTCCGTTAGAAGCCTCGATGTCAGTTTGTTGACTCCGATCGTGCGCCCGATTATGCGTCGATCGGGAACCGATCACCTGGGTCTCGGAGAAAACGGGTGTGGAGAGCAGAGGAATGTTTAATTCAAGCGATTACAATAGATTGAATCACATGCAAATCTCAGGGTCTTGACTACTGTGGAGGGATGGATACCTTATTGGGTCTGTTTATTTTGCTTGGCTTGATTGGTCATCTCTATCGTCAATTCCTGGATGGGGGCGAACAGGGACAAGATATTTATTAGAGGGCTGGCATGTACGTACATGGACAACACAGTTGTACGCAGTGAGGCACTAGGCAGTCGTACATATCCTTCAAAATAGGAAAGGCAGTGCAGTTGTGGGACGATACTCTTCATTGATTGATCGTATGTAGACATGAGATTATGAGTCACTACTCGACACGATGCTGCAAAAGGCCGTGGGCCAAGGATGGAAGCCAAACATCACGACATGAGACAAGGGCGGTTCGTTCCAAAATAAACGCTCGAAATCATGACCTTGAGGGTGGGGAAAGGATATCTGAGAGGCAGTCATCCGTCTAGTGATTAACGTACATGGCCGTCCAAGCCAGCTTTAACCTCCGCCAAAGAGGGACCTTGAGCTTGCCCTCGATCTTGATCGATTCCCGTCGTGCTTTGCGCACCATCTGTCCGATCATCATATAGCTTTCAATAGTGGTCTTGATGGGTCCGCGCACATCTTTGGGAAGCTGATCAATCGCCTTCACGCTCATTTGATACGCTTGGTCAGCCTTGAGGAGCATCTGATCCTCGAAGGAAGCCAGGGCCGGGTTGTCCGGGTTAGTGATCACATCGACGGGCGTCAGGTTTTTCGTCTTCAGCCAAGCGGTGGGGATGTAGACGCGCTTGATGGCCGCGTCACGCTTGATATCACGTGCAATGTTGACATATTGCAGGGCCTGACCCATCCGTTGGCCGGCATCGATGATTTGCTCTTGCTTCTCTGCGCTGTACTGGACGTCGGTGTGGCTGAAGACCAGCTCGAGGAGACCCGCAGCGACGGTACCCGCCACACGCTGCGCGTAGACCTCAAGATCATCCTCAGTCTCGATGGGGAATTCCCGCTTTTCAAAGGAGAATCCCAGGTCCATGTCAAAGCCCGAAAGCAGTTCGAGAAGGGGACCAAGACTCAGACGTGAGGCTGGCAACAAGGCGATAGAGTGGAGCAATGGAGACGCCTGAAGGGCTTGCTTCCGGTCCATATCAGCCTGCAGATAATCATACAAGGGCTTCTTGGGGCTTTTTTCGGAAAATCGCCAGTGCAGCACTTGAGAGGCTTCCTTGATGCTCTCCTGGGCCTTTTCACGGCTGGGAGCTTCATCCACCAGGTCATCGATGACTCGGCAGAACGAATATCTGAAAACCAGCAGACAGGTTAGAAATCCAACATGCCATCTCATCAATCTCGTGGATCAACTCACAAGAAGATCAGATCAACTCGAAGTCCGTCTTGGAACATCGCGCTGCCCAGGTACATACTCTGGCTTTTGCGAGACAGCTCCGTCACCGCCGCGCGAAGCCCGTCTAAAAAACCCTCGTCAAGAGGTTTTCGCTGCTGAGCCATGTAGGAATAGGCCATTTGACCCAGAGACGGGAGCGATCTTCCGGGTGAGTCCGAAGTGACCACATCATACTGGGCCAATGCAATGGCATGGTCCATGGTGACCATGCCAAATACCACCATGACGTTGCTCAGCAGGAAGAAAGTGGCTTCTCTGTTCGAACGGCCCAAGTGTCAATATCCTGGACTAGTTGCGCCATGGAAGCTTTTGGCAGGGCAAGACTTACTCAATGTCTAGGAACCCCCAAAATTGAATGTCCAGCTTGGTACCTTTTTCAATTACCCAGGTCCCCCGCTGCAACGACAAACGATCGACCATCCAGAGATACGCGGTTGGTATCAACACAGACATGAGAATCTGCTTTTTGGGGAAAGAGAGCAAAAAGTTCCCGCACAGACACCTAATTGAAAATAATTAGTTACCCATTCATCAAGGCAAATGCCTGTGACATCGATATTGATTTTTTTTTCCCCCCCGAGCTTACCATTGGAATAAAATCACCGACAAGGCCCACGTCAAAATCAGTCCCATATAAGTCAGATTGCTCTGCATCATAATACAAACCGCGCCAAAGCCGATTCCGGCGATGATGGCCGCGGCGCCCACATTCTTCGCCCCGGGTTTTGAGCGGTCAAGCAAGAAGGACGGAAGCACCAGATGTTTGGTGAGAATCGTGTAAAGCAAACTTGTGCAGTAGGTCTGAATCACGAAGAAGAACAATTCTTCAATGGGGATGTCGAACAATGTCCATCCGACCACAGCATCGGCCGGGTACGTCCAGATGCGATTACGAATTAGAAAAGAATCCCACGGTATCGTGGCATAAACCGCTACCTGGATTGCAAGTTAGTCCTGGGTCGCACTTTTCGCGGTCCGATCAGAAAAGAAAAAAGTCGCGTAGAAAGAGACTGTGTGATCGGTTGAATCCAGATCGCATGGCACATAGGCTTACATTAATCAAAATGACAATCTTCCAAATCTCCAATCGCGTGAAAAATGGCCAATATGCAACCGTGAACAAGGCCGCCGGAGGGATTGTCCACGTCAAGTGCCTGGAGAATTGGAGGCATGGTCAGCGTCAATGACAGACTGGGGGTTCCAAAGAGCTAAGCCGAGGGAAAGACTAACACCAGCCAGTAGTCATAACCCATGTTGAGACGAAAAGGAGCTCTTCAGTAGCGCCGGTGAGCTCGAGGTGCAAATTGCATAACCAAGTCAAGGAAAGGTCAAAGGGAGATAAGAATTAAGAGCGTGAGAATAGTCTAATCCGATCGATGTCGTGCCGGCCTTGGTCTCTTCTAAAAAGAGGATCCAAGGCTCAATCAATCGCTGACTACGACTTCTTATCGTCAGGCTGGGCCGAAACTTGCTGGTCCGGTTTCTTGCGGGATGCGGATACTGAAGGGCTGTGCGAGTCTCGAGCACAGGATGGAGACTAATGACATTCATTACTGTCACTCGCCCAAACCAAGCAATGAGAATACGATGTTAGAGCTGTTCGCAAGGAAATTAAAAAGCGAAAAAATTAAAAATGCAATGTACAGGCGAGCTCTCGCATTTCCGGAAGCCGATCAGATTGGCGCAATTTAGACGATGTTCCGACGGCCGCCCTTGGAAGCTCGTAATTATGGTTCCTTCCGGGACAGGAATGCGCAGTGTGACTGTTCGAGTCTTGTCTTTCGGTCATGATACTCGGTAATCGGTATTGCAGATTGAGTGTGAGAATATGTACGGTACTGAGTATTCAGTATCGTGGATCTATGTCCTGGAAGGCCTGTAGTGCAGCTTGGACTGGACCGCCAAAGCCGAGATGGAGTCCACTCGACTCTGCTCGGTAGCTTTCCGCAAATACACTACAATTGATATCTTAGTTCAAGACCTCTCTATTTTCACATACACGAGGGCAGCAATGCTGTCAATAGGGTGACCTTCACAAGGTCAAATATTCGAGTGTATATTCACCCTGATCTACCTGGGAAGAAACTAATTTCCTACGCTTATTCGGTGCTGTAAAGCTTGAAGCAGAAACAAGACACAGGTAACATGGGCATGCGGAGACAACCCTGGATTTCTTTGATCGTGACAATTTAAGCTTAGTGTGTATTGACGATACCGACTGGGCAATCTTACCCTGCACCGATCGATCGAACTTTGAACTCCACTACTCGCGCAAAGCAGGTTTAACATTTGCGATGCATGCCTAGCGGTCGAGCTGATCCCTGGACCGCGCACACGGTCCATCCAGCTGGAAGAGGCCCAGGAAATCGATAACTCTGTCCCTCGCGCGAGGTGAGCGAGACGGCTGGACCTTTGACGTTCGCGAATTGGCTCCTAGCGAAGCTGGTGCCTCCTCGGCTTTTGCATTCTGACCAACAAATGTCATCACCATCAGACCGACCAGGCCGACCAGGCCGACCAGGCTTCTCATCATCTCACGCAATGTCCCAGTCAAAGCACTCGTCTGTGCCTGGTTAGGTGCGCATTGCGGGTCTACTTCTTCGACTCGCGTTCGTAAAAATGCGGGAGATGTAGCAATTGCTTGATTGTCGCAAAAACTGATTTGGGTATGTAGCGCGCTCATCTTCACACACAAGGCACCGAATTCATCGACACAGAGCTCGACGGCTCAACTTCCTGGTTCAGGTTCGCCCAAGCCATCACGTTCGCCAAACTGCGACCATCGCGAATACCACTGACAGAAGCGCGATTTGTTTCCACGCCGCGCGCAACGGTTCCACCCCCGTATCTTTGCTCGCTTCTGCCGTTACTGCTTCCCGCGATCGAGTCCCCACGCTCTCCCAGGCGATCGGAACGTCCAAGTCACGCAAGATCCTTTCAGCGGTAATTTTGGCACCCGACAGACACGTCGGTACACCCGCGCCGGGATGTGTACTCGCGCCCACGAAGTACACCCCGTCAATGACGTCATGTTTGGTGTGGGGCCGGAACGAGAGAATGTTGAAAAAGTCGTGATTTAGTCCGAACACCGAGCCGCGGTGCGAATTGAACATTTGATGCCAGGTGGTGGGTGAATGCAGTGTTTCGTGTTCGATGAAGTCACGGAGGTCAACTCCGATGCGACTCTGCATAGACGAAAGTACGTATTCGCGGGTCGCGGTGATGAGACTGGTCAGGTCGTGCTGCGCCAACCCGGACATGTCAATGTTTTCCACCAGCACCAAAGCCATCACGGTGTCTTTCCCCTCTGGGGCCGCGGAGACATCGGTTCGGGATGGCACATGGACGTAGAATGATGGCATGGATTTCCGGTCCCGATTCCAATACACATCGGGAAATCGATCTCCAGTGGGTTGTCCCACGAACATATTGTGAGACTCGAGCTGGTGGATTTGGTGCGACATGGACCAGTAGAATGTAATTGCACTGCAGGAGACATCGTCTTTTTCCCTTGTCACGTCCGGCGTGGATTTCTGGGAGGGGAGCAGTTCTTCGTAAGCGTAGAGGAGATCCGCGTTCACCACCACCGCGTCAGCTTCGACAAGCTGTTTGGTGTCCAACTTGATTCCGAGTGCCTTTTTATCCGAGGAGATTGACACGCCGGCGACGGGCTGCGAGAGATGATACTTGACTCCGAGTCTTTCACCCACGTCGGCCAAGGTCTTTGCGATCTATTCAAGCATCAATAAATTAGTGACCTTTCATCATGGGATCTGAGAAGTCGACCTACCCGGTTGAACCCTCCACGAGGATACCAGATCCCGGCGGTGAGCTCCGTGTATTGTAGAAGCGTGTATGTCCCAGGCGTGTCAAATGGTGACATGCCTAGGTACATGCTCGCAAGACTGAATACTTGACGCAGCTGATGAGGCTGGAAGAAGTGCGAAACACGCTGCCATACGGTATGGAAGGGGTGCAGTTTGAACAAGTAGCGCAAAAAGCCGGGTCGTAGGAGCGCGAAGTAATTGGCAAAGTCCTTGTTGAGCACATGAGGGATGCTTTGTTGATAGTGATGGTGGGATTCCGCGAGGAAAGAGAGGAAACTTTGGAATCCATTCCGACTATCCACCTTCTCTAACTGGCGCTTCATTCGAGCAAGATCGGTGGAAGTCGTCAAACATTGTCCGTCGGGAAAGTAGAAGTTGCAGTTTGGGTCACACTTGAGCAGCTCAACGCCTTCCGAGGACATGGAAGTTCCCAGATGTCGATATGTTTCCTCAAAGACCTCGGTCATAAGCAGGAGAGACGGGCCTCGATCGAAGCGCTGCAACTTGAACGTTAGTCGCGCATATCTCCTCTTCCTGTACTTTCCGCCGACCAACAGCTCTTTGTTGACTTACATGACCATCTTCGACGATGCTACTGCATTTCCCTCCCACAAAATCATTCTTTTCGTAAACGGAGACATCCAGTCCACACTGTGCCAGCCTGGCCGCGGTTGCAATTCCACCGACTCCAGCTCCTGAGCGAGGGCTTGTCTCAGCATGCCAATTCGCATTTGACAAACATGGGCTGTCTCACTTACCGATGACAACTACCTTCTTTCTCGTCGGCTCCATCGCAACTGATGCAGTTCACCTCTAAATGGATGTGCCGATATGAGTGAGCCTGAAAAGAATCTTCTACGTCGTATCTGCAGGCGAAAATCGAACATGTTTTCCCCGATCAAGAGACTGGCCATCTAGTTAATGGACCGCTGTGATCATTCATAAAAAACAAAAATAGATTAATACCCGTGAAGGCACACGGTTCGGAGATACCGGGTAGTACGGTCAAACGGTCGTCACCGTATCACCGAGCTGTTGTTTCCATACCAAACGTCCCGATCTGGGCACGCCCAGGAGATACTGTTGAAGTGTACAGATGGGGCTGGTGGTCAATTCCCGCAAACGGCGGGCTTTGGTGTTCTCGTCCAGCTCCCCCTGTAAGTAAGCTTACTACTGCGCGACGCCTAGTAGAGTGCTGTAGCATTGTTTGGCCTTGGCTGTGGCCGTATAGAGTTAGTTTACTTTCTAGTTTCTCTCTAAAGACAGGACCGGCACTTGTGAGTGAAAGTCGCTCCGACTCATTCCGCCCGGTCGTACAATTACAGCTCATCTGATTTTTTTTTATCGGCCGACGTTGCCGAGCGTCTTATCTGATGGTGAGTGCGTTACTGGGTCGGATCTTGAACTGCCAATCTTCAAAACCCGCCAGTCAAATGACACAATCCGTCAACAAGCTATTCAACTACTGTAATAATCGTTGAGGTCTCTGGCGCGTAGAAAAGCAGAGGCACCTCGCAAGATGCTCTCGGTCAATGGCCGAAGCGCTTGTTCTATTACTGACAGGTGCTTTGGCACGTGGATTCCATCTCTTGCTTGAACCACTTCCAGAGCTACAGTAGTAACAGTAGTTATAGTACAGCTACCTGTATTTCACATACCAAAGATATAGACATACCGTAAGTTGATGATACGCGTGGATAGATCGTACCGGAATACACTAAACTCTAAACACTCAATACAATACAGCTTTCGATCGATCCACCCTTTTATGGAGCTCAGCAAGGCACACCATCCACTGCAGCTTATCTCAAGTCTAGACCCCGCAGCTATTCCGATCCGTGACGTCACGTCGCGTCCCACATCTCGTTCAGCTCGTCCGCCCGCCGGAGATGCTGAACTCTCGGTATGTTTCAAAGCCCGTCCCCGTTGCCTGTTCCTTGCAAAGGTACCGTGACCATCGGATGATTTGAATCTTAGAGCAAGGCACTCGAGGACGTCTGGTTGATACACACAACCGCACTTGTTGACTTTCCCGCGCAAATATGGTTGCGTGCAAAACAAGGGCATACAGAGAAAGTGAGCGCCGATCATGACAGAGGCACGCAAGACCTTCACAAGTAACAGACACAGGTAAGCCATCATATGCTCTTTTTCTTCGGATGGGGTGTTCAATAGGTTGAAGTACATTTGAGGCAGTCTAACGCATATCTCGACTAGATGCCTTAGTGGAAACTTTGCGCCCGTCCATCGACAATTCCGTCTCACAGCATGCTCATATTCCGGTATCCTCCCAGTGGAGCTTCATGGCGGCCAGTACGTACGAAATGGCGGAAATCCCAGCTTTGGAAACCAACCTCTGGAAGATGTACATATGTTTGACGGCGATGGGATGCTGAGTGGCATCTGGTTTCGGACGACAAATCAGACCAAGAAAGTTGATCCTTGCTTCGTGAATCGATACATCTTAACCGATCTATACCTCGGCGCAAAGTCAATGCCATATCTCAGGGCTCCAATCTTGCCCAGTATCGCCACCTTGGCGCATCCGCTAAGGTCCACGATTTCAACGTTCTTCAGGCTGTGTCGTTTTCTGGCACTGATAGCTTGGTCGTTTATCAGTCCTGATGCGCACCCTGTCCGGAAGGTCAGTGTGGCGAACACGGCCATTCTCTATCATGACAAGCGAGCGTTGGCGACGTGTCAGACCGGCCCGCCCATGAGGGTTCAACTGCCAGGACTGGATACAATCGGTTGGTTCAATGGACACTCGGCAGTCAACGAGAAGAAGTCCTACGCAGTGGAGCAGGACGCTTTTGGCTGTAACGGGCCACTGGGTTTTTTGAGAGATTGGACGACTGCGCATGTAGGTCACGCCGCTTTGCAAGTTCTCTGGCGCATATCGAGAAGATATGGATACTGACTGTTCCATGTCGAAGCCTCACGTGGATCCAGCTACAGGAGACCTCATCTCCTTCCAAGCCTCCTTTCTGCCACCATTTGTCTGGTACACCCTTATCCCCAGATCCGATGCGAGTCAAACTCGGTCTTCCGTACTCTATGCGCCAGTTCCAGGAGTGTCCATCCCGAAATTGATGCATGACTTTGGAGTCTCACAGCATCATACCGTGATTTTGGATCTCCCAGTTACGCTCGATCCGATGAACATGTTGCGAGGACGACCAATTATCCACTATGACCGAGACTCGCCATCGCGCTTCGGCATCTTTCCGCGCCGGCACCCGGAACAGGTTCGCTGGTTCCAGACGGACCCCTGCTATATTTTCCACACCGCAACCACGTGGGATGAGCCCGCAGTCAGCTCATCGAATTCGCATAATTCGAACATTCAGGCCGTGAGTATGGTCGTCTGTCGATACACCAACGGCAACATGTTGCACTCAATGGGTGCCATCGAACCCACCAATGCCGAGCTGAGCGACAGCAAGCTTTATTACTATCGGTTCTTACTCTCAGATCAACATCAAAATGTCATAACGCACCAATGGGCGCTGTCCACAATTCCGATCGAAATGCCCGTCATCTCAGCCGCTGTCCAAGGTAAAGGTGCCCGTTTCGTTTACGGCTGCTCCTCGCGCGACGCGATTTTCGGCGCTAAGACAGGCGAGCCGATGAAAGTGGACTGTTTGGTCAAAGTCGACATTCACACCTTGATCAAGCGGGGGGTGAAAGAAAGCCCTCGGCCGATCGAGGGCTGCGTCGACACCCGAAGCATGGAAGAAGTGCTATCGAGCCAAGACGCAGAAGATCCGATTCAAATCTTCCAAGCTCCAGTGGGTTGGTACGCGCAAGAACCGCAGTTTGTCCCGCGCAACGACGCACGGTCCGAGGACGATGGGTACCTTCTGACCTTGATGTTCGACGAGTCTCAACTGGATGCGAATGGGCAAGCCGATGAAAACTCAAAGAGTGAACTGTGGATTATCGACGCGCGGGACATGACCAGCGTAGTGGGGAAGGTGACCCTCCCTCAGCGAGTGCCATATGGATTTCATGGTCACTGGTTTAGTCAGGAGCAAATAGAAGCGCAGAGGCCTTATGCGCGGGTGCGCACGGAGATGACAGAGTGATCGCAGACATGCGGAGAGAAGTCTGGTTAATATACCCGGTGATATTGCATGGCTACGGAAGCAAGCTGTCAACGGGGCTGTCTGATTTCCGATCAATGATTTCTGATCCAGATGTGGCTCGAGGACTTGTATATACCCTATTTTCTTTGGGCTTAATCCTCGCTACATACTGTCTTAAAATGGGATTCAGATCTGAGACTTGGGACTTGGTTAAGCACCCCGATATCGTGAGATTATTTCAACTCAGAGTCTTCGAAAAGCTCAGTTCCACCCCCATCGTGACAGTTGGCGACGAATTCTCCTCCACATCTTGGTCACTGGAACGCGCTTCGACTATTCTACCGTTGGGGGCTGAAGTTCAGATATCTCCACTCCCCCTGATAGCAGTTCTCGAAACATCCCAGACTCAGAGTGATCGTCCCATTAGCACAGCAAAAATACCCATGATCAACCCAGCGGCCACAGGAACAGATCCCATGACTGGCCCAAGCTAGGCTGTCCCCCAGTGGACCTCGTGAGATATCGCGGAACCAAGGGGCCAAACCAGGGTTCCAGAAGAGGAACAGAATCATGTATATACCGACCTGACTTGCGATTCCGACCTGGTCATGGTGGAGTTGGGCCTCAATGCCATACTGCTCGGATTACGAGTTGACAATTACTTCTCATCCCGGATTATATGAGAGCTAAGTGGACTGGGAACCGTCGGAGATGAGCGGTCCCATGTTATGATAATTGAGGAATTCGGAAAAAAAAATATTAAATCAAATCAACATGATCTTGCGCCTGGTTGACATTTGACAGGGGGGCCCCCAAAGACACTGTAACCACTAGCCCCTGTATCCAGATACCTGTCCAGGCCGTTTATCAGCGTGGTTGCATCCAACGAGCACAAAAGCCACAAACCCTCCACGATTTCACCGGCAGTGAACGAATTGCTCACTGCACAGCTAGAGGGGGTTCAATATCATCCCGGATGGCCGCAACGCCGGGATAACTCGATCCAATCGCCGGACACTCAGAGCAAGCGCCTCTCCCGATGACAAAAGACTTGCCCGTCACGTCCATACCTACTCGGCAACTCAAGGGGACGGGACAGAGTCGCTTATTGCTTGTTCAATCGCGCTTTGACAGTCGAAGTGTCGCAATACCAAAGAGACGTGTGACGGCCTGCGAGTATACAGGTGATCAAGGCTCGTTATCGAGTTCAATGGCAGCAGCCTGGCTGTGGTTAGTGTGACTACCTCAACTGGGTATCAGATTCAGATGTGCGAGAATGGTTGATTATCTGGACAGTCTGGAGTTGGGATTAGGACATCTACCCAAAGAGTCACATGGACGTCATGAGCTCGGTGGCTGGAGTCTCAACATTCTTTCGCCTGTTTCCGAGCAAGTCATTTGCAAGTGCTGATCTGATCGCACGGATCGTAAGGGGTTGGGCGGGTTCATTCTAGGCTTTTACATGTCCAACTAATTTACCTTGGGGTCTAGGGCTCGGAGTCTTCAGCCGGCCGTTGCTGTTCTTGGTTTTTAAAAAAGCGGAATCAAACGTGGAACGCTGATCATAGGAGTTACAAGTACCGCTCAGGAAACCATGGAATCGTCGGATGAATAGTGTACAGTTGTACATCAAGTCTATGGTTGAACAAGTTGGTGTAATCTGAAGGATAAATAGGGAAGAAAAGCATGATGCGCATCCATGGATCAGGACATCGATGAGACTGTAACCACGGACCAAGTACGCTAAGGGTGGGAAAACACATGAAATGTCCATCATCCAAATATATGAAGGCTAATGCGGTATCAACGGTCGCAACTGGTGATCAAGGAATATATACGCTGGACATTCTATTCACTGAAAAGGAGGAAAAAAAAAAAAACAGTCGGCGGAGGGCTTCAGTCAAACATCGACTTCATAGCCTTGTGTGCGAGTTCAACGCCCAGGCTGTAGGTGAAACAAAAAGTCAGTACTTGGCATTCAAGTGGGGAGTTCCCTCAAACATGGACTGGTAGAAGGAGTTCTTAACGGAACCAACTTACAAGGTTGCGGCATTAGCAGGAACGGCACGGGCCAAGGCGGGTCCGAATCCAGGGAAGAAGGCCTTGAGACCACCGTTGGCGTATATCGTGCGAACAATTCCCCCGATGGTGGGCTTACCCGGTGCACTCTGCAGACGGGACTTGATGGTATCGACGGGGAAGACGGGGATCCACATGGCAATACCGGCGGCGCCACCTGCAGCCACCACGGCCGTGAGAGAGAGCTCACCGGTGACATTGCCTTCAGCATCCTTGGGAGTCAAGGAGCGCTTGATGTACTCATACGCAGCAAAGTACGCAGCCGATCCGGGACCGTCACGAGCTAGCGTCATGGCACTTCCCCGAAAGACACTGCGAACACCACCCTCCTTGTACAACTGACGGACCACATCGAGACCACCAGAGTACTTGGGCTTCTGGCCCGGCGGGGGCGGGTTCTGGCCCTGAATCTGGAGAAGAACCTTGACCCGCTCAAAGGGTGCGGTGATCAAGGTCATGGGAACGGCGGAGAAGAAGCCGGCCGCGGAGATCTGAGCAATGGAGTATTGGGGGGTACCGTTGACAACCGGCACGGTTGTGGTCTTTTCAACGAGACTTTTGCCGACATCGTAACCCTGCAGGTGTTGATCGAGTTAGAGAATTGAATGAATACCATCACAGCCACGTCGATCAAGGGCGGATTTGCAAAGGTCGCCCCGCGACAAAAAGTGGGCTACATACCCAGAAGCTCACGGCGACTGTGACAAAAAAGCAAAAGAAAATTAGCTTTCTCCGTCATTTTCCTCTCGATCTCCCCCAAAGGCCACTTACACATCGGAGTCACACCCACGAGGGGGGCAGATACACCCGCATACAGACCCTACAAGCACATTTCGCACTCGGTCAGTCTGATGAAAAGCTCCAATAACAGTCCAGAAAGAGAAAACCTACACGAGCCAGACCTTCACGGGCAATCGTCCTCCGAACGACATCCATAGCACCTGAATAGACACCCTTCTCGGCGGTCTGCAGACGGACCTTGACCAGATCAAATGGGTGTCCCACCACGACCGCGCAGAGGCCTCCCGCAGCGCCGGCGGCGAGAGAGCGGATCTGCTGAATGGTCTGGTTCACGGGCTTGGCATCGAGGACCTTCTTGACCTCATCTTTGATCTCTTCGGGAGCGGTTGAGGAGGTAGACATTTTGTGCTGGCTGGGTGAGGAGAGCAGTTGGGAGGGGGAGGAGGAGGAGGAGGAGGAGACAGAGAGAAGTACAAAAGGAAGAGGCGGGGTGGGAAAGGGCCGCGAAGAAGGAAGACAGGAGCTAGGAGCTGGTCACGGACGAGGTCACTGGTACAACGCAAAGGGACACCTGATTGACGATTGCAAGACAATGAAGCCGCTGGCAGAGTGAAAGAAGAAAACGAGAGAAGACGTCAAAACGAGATGCAACCACCAAAAAAAAAGATGGCTCGGGTCGCAAACTTACTAAGAGACGAAGAGCTTTGGCCGGCCTGCGTAATGCGGACCGAAGCCGAACGGCGGCGCTTGCGCCCACTCTGGGGCAGATTTCCCCCCGGACAACTGCACATGAGCCGAGGCTCGGAGACCGGAGAATCTGGCCCTCCGGCGATGACCGCTCGACGGTTCCGTTTCCCCATACATCTCGCAGCTACCTACTTGTTCACACGGAGATCCTGAAATGCAGGCCTCTGATCAGGAAGAACGAGCCTGAGGCCGACATCGTTCATTCTGTGCCTTTTGAAGAATCCTCGACTTTGAAAGGAAAAGTCACCACATCCGTCGTCGATTTGTTTCGCAAGCACATTTCTGCTCTCTCTGTCCGTGCGGAGACCGCCGAGCCCGGGTGAACGGGAAAAGTGCGCGGGCGCAACCATTTTCCCATGGAGACACGGAAGCATGAGTCCGGATCTGCTTCCACTTGAACGATGTTATGCTGGACAAGTGATTGAATTGCAAAGCCTTTGGCGTACACCATGGCTACGAATCAAGTACCAAACCCTACAGCCTTACGTGGAAACCAAATTCGAGGGTGGCAGGTGGGCACATGGCCGCTCGTCACATGTTTCTAAAAAAGCCCCTGGCACGTGCCGTTGGCGGAGCATGACTTCATTAGATGTTTCTTCGGGTCGTCGACATTACAGTGTTCTTCGTAAAAATGAGCGTTCGTGATGAGGGCAGGTCCATAAACCAAACCACAGCAGGGCATGAAAAGAAAAACCAACTACAAATGGGGTATTCCTCCAGATTCGCTTCTCATTAAAGAGGGGGGGGGGGGGGGGGGGGAAGGAGAGATCAACAAGGCACCGCATCCATCTACAGGATGAGCATAGCAGCCAGACCCAGAGCACCCATGGCACCAGAGCCCACGGTGGCCATAGGGTAAGCAGCACCAGAGCTGGTGGTGCTGGTGGCAGCAGCGTTGGAACCAGAGCCAGAGCTAGTGCCCTGCGCACCGTTGCCAGAGCCCGAGCCGGACGAGCTGGTGCTGGACCCCGAGCCAGAGCTGGAGGAGCCGCCACCGATGGTGCTGACAGAGGTGGTGACCATGGTGCCAGTGGTGACGGAAGTCATGGTCTGGGTGGTGAGGGTAGTACCGGAGGACTATTGAACGAGTTAGTGCCAGGAGTCAAGATGGGAGATGAGTTCAGGGCACAGAGCACTTACAGGCGTCAAGGTCTGGGACTGGGTCAAGGTGTTGGTAGCGACGCCGGTGGCAGTGCCGGTGACGGTGCCGGTGAAGGTCTCAGTAGTGGTACCAGTCACGCTTCCAGACGCGTCGGTCAGAGTCTTGACGAGAGTGCCGGTGGTGGTCTCGATCAAGGTAGCAGTCACGCTGTGGGAGGTCACGATGACGGTGGATGAGACACTAACACCAGTGCTCATGCCAGTGGAGGTCTGGTCACCCGACTGAGTGCTGGAGGAACCGGTGCCAGTAGATCCGCTGCCGGAGCCAGTGGAAGTGGCCGAGCTTGAGGCGGAGGAACCGGTGCCAGTAGATTCGCTGCCGGAGCCAGTGGAAGTGGCCGAGCTTGAGGCGGAAGAGCCAGTAGCGCCAGTACCGTAGCCGAAACCAGAGCCAGCTGTAAAGATAAGCATGAGCGACACGGTCTTGAATCATTTGGAGGAACAGGGGTGGTTGTGAATGCGACAACTCACCAGGGCATGAGGACAGGGCCATCTGGAGCACCGAGGCGACGTTGTACTGGGGGCAGGCCTCAGAGGTGCAGTCGCGCACACCATACATATAGTCCTGTTTGTTGCAGAGGCAGGTCTTGTCACCGGAGTTGCATCCAAGCTCCTTAGCCTTGTCGTTCATGTTGTTGATACACATTTGCTATCATGGAGAGCTGGTCAGCACTTGGTTGTCTCACGTGAATAGTGTGGTCTGGGCCTCTTCGCCCAAGGCGCAAGACGCAACACAACTTACAGCGCAGTCCTGGCTGGACATCTCAGCGGCGACCATGGAGGTCGCCGCAAACAGAGCAAAAGCGATGACAGACTTCATTGTGATGGTGGAGGGTTGAAGAAGATTAGGTAACTTGATGAAGGATAGAGGAGAATTGGGGATGTATGAGAAGGATAAAGAGGCTCGTGGATGCTTGGGGAATGAGAAGAAGAAGAAGGGAAAGATGGAGGGATGGGGGGGCAGCTGGTCTCCGTGATTAAGTATTTCTAGAGAAGGCAGGAAGCATCGATAGGAAGATACACTTGTGGAAGGCTCCCGCGTATGTACAACAGTCGCAACTCACAACCACCCAAACAAACCAATCTGCGCGTAGCCCATCCGCTGGTGGCTGTCCCACTTTCTCTCAATTTTTGTTTTTTTTTTCTCCTTCTCCACTGCTGTCTCGAGTTTGGTACAGCTCAACCTAGACCGTCCAATTTGCAAAGTTTTGACTATGTCCGACCTCCAGCCACTTCTCCATCTGCCCAAGTGGGGGCGCGTCCAGGCAAATGACGATGGGGGGATCGCGAGAAGATCACAACAGGCGGCGCAGCCAACAGAAAGAAGAAAAAGCAACACTCCGGATCCACTACCGAGCTGTGAGATGGTTGAAGATCGAGAAGACCGAGAAGACCGAGAAGACCGAGAAGACCGAGAAGACCGAGCTCTGCGCTGGCTACTCCAACATGAAGTAGCATATACTAGTTACTCATAAGTAGTCAAGAGTACCGACGCGAGTAATGAGTTGTGACTACCTCTCCTGTACGTGCGAGGGTACAGCGCCAGTGCTCTCGATGTAGCGTGAGCTCGCATCCAATCTCCACACTCGGAAGCTCTCCCCAGCCACGCTGATCGACCATGTGGAGCAGCACTCTGCACACTACACAGCGGTGACCCATGAGATGAGGCGCTCACCGACGGTTGTCATTCGCGAATAGCGATCCGGTGTGAATGGGTGGGGATTATGTACGATGCTTCACGCTCTCGAAGAAGACTGGCATACGACAAAAGACTGGGGTGCTTAGCGAAGACCCAGAAAGCCTGATTCCGTCCCAAGAGGAGGCTGGAGGGCCATGTCCTCGTTCCTCCCGAGACTACTGCCATTATCCATACCTCTCCGGATTACGAGCTGGCCAACAAGGACTCCAGACCTTGGCACTCTGTCGTGGTACTGGGGTGCTGTCTGGTTGTGCACGACCTGCGTCACAGGTCCTTTGCAGCCACCCTGACCGATAAGGAATAGAGACAGAGCAGCAATTCAGCCAGGGCCGGAACAGCTATCTCGTTCTGGTCAGAACAGGAAGGCAGCAATGGTCCATCACGATGATGAAGTCATATATGCGCAGGGATCTTTCCCTGTGTGATGTGTTTGATTTTCTTTTTTTTTTTTGGTTTTTTTTTTTTTTTCTCTTCCGTTCTTTTGTTATTTCGGCCCTGGAAGAGGCCCAGGACCTGGATTTTGGGATCGATCAGGGTTTGACGAGAGAAGGTCATCCTGACCCGACGAGCACTGGTGCTCGAGTGGAACTGGAACTCTCAAGAGTGGAGATCGGTTGATGTTGATGCGTTCATGGGTGGTCATTCGACGGGTGCCAGCACTCAAGTGGAGCCTCCAGGAAGCCAAAAGACCCAACGCCGAGAGGCGGCCAAACTGGTCTCTTCGTTGACTCGGGGACCTTTTGTTTTTCGCGTCGGATTGAGCTTGGAATCTACTCCGATCCGGGTGAAAGAACCACGGCGAGAAGAAGGGTGTATCACTGTACATACTGTGTAGTGTGTACATCATACAGGCCTCCCATACGAAAACTCACAGTCTCGGTGCCTGGGCCTCGGACGCCCCTTCAAGATTGATCGGAATGCGTTCTTGACCCTCTTTTGACATGAGTCGACTGTTGGACCTCTCTTTCGAGGATCATCAGGTCAACCTGGTGACGAAAGCGTTGAGTCACTGGCGATCACTTTCCCCAGCAACGCGACTTCGCCAGGACGTCGAAGCGTCCAGAACGGTGTGACCACGGACTGTCCAAGCTTTGCCAATCATTTGTCCATGTGGGGGAAAGTACGGTAGACTTGTAGAGTACTAGAGTTAGACGAGTAGATAGTAGACTCCAGACTGTAGTCTGTGCTCTGTACAGACCTGCAAAGGTGACACTGGATGACTGTAAAGAGCAGCCTCATGGTGATGAAAGTCAATACTGTGATCACTCTACTGATCAGTCATCCTTTGCCCTACCGTCCGGCAACAGGCACGTCCAATCAATCTTGGCTCTCCAGAAAGTCAATTGCCAATGTCCGTCCATGCGTCATTCCTGCGAGATTTGGGTCTGTGGCTGGGTCGCTACTTTGAGTACTTACTACTTTCTCCCCTCGGTTCCTCTCCTCCGGCACTGCTGCAAGCTCCAGTGATACCGTGTCCTACGGTCGCACCGAGCTGCGTTGAATCACTTTGATCTCCCTGTATACACTCAACACTGTACATGCATAGTGGGACAACGGAGTCTGACCATGGATTCATCATCTGGGTGTGTGGCGTCCGGAGCTCCATGGATGAGAAAAGTGGCTCATATAACCTGTATTGAAATCTTGAGTCTCTCGGCTCTCGAGTCCTCGAATTCATCGACCATTGCAGTTTGCACAGCACATGGAGGACAATAGAAGCTTTGGACAGGTCATCTGCCGATGCATCCTTTCGCAGCCTCATCGGTCGGCGACTCGGCACTCGAACCCAATGCATATTCATCAACCTCGCCATTGGATCCTGGTCTGCATTTGGACGTGCTCGGTCCTACGGTGGTGGGAATGCTTGAAGTAGTCATTCACATACACTCATAATCCTCACGCTCCGTACTCCAGAGTCCATACAAATCAGACCGTGCTCCGATGGGAGGATACTGGATTTGCGGGTCAATGATGATCCAGCCTACACTGGATGGACGTAACAGCGGCACACGCCCGACGGATACGGGAGTGCACCCCATCACGAGGAATCACGAGCGCGAGGTCGTCCATCACTCGTCACCAGCCACCGCTTGTGAGCCGTGCTTCATGCAATACGCATCGCTCTGGGCCTGGGCGCATGGATCCACGGTGATCAAATGGATTCGGATGGGCGCTTGCTGTATCATGATTTACATTTTACAGTGACTACTACTATTAGTAAGTAGCAGGATATAACTCAAGTTAGTACAGTACCTGAGTACACACGGCTATGCGCCATGCGCTGTACCCTACTCCGTCTGCTACCTCAAACCCAATAGAGCAGTGCACGTATCCAACAGGCACGATGTACAGCAAAGTCGCTGGAGCGAAAAGTCTCTCAACACTGAAACAGTAATAGTTCTCACCCGACCCAGGGGAAGACAAGGGAGTCTCTCCCACCGGGCTCAGCCAATGTGGCGGTGTTCCAGAGAAAGTGGTGAGTTGTGGCTGTTCAGCGCCACAGCCATGATCTCACCGACGCCTCGGGACTCACGCCAAGCCCGATGAGCGCGCTCGTTCCGTGTTTCCAGGCCAACTCAATTCGTGCCGACACTCGTGACGGAAGAGACCCGCACGGATCTTCCAAAAGGGCCACGGGGGAAAGGAAAAGTCTCTCGTGGCGTTCCCCGTTCTGGCTTGCTGGGACAGCATCATACTGTTCATCCAATATCAAAATCCAGATCAGCTTGAAACAGGCCGTGCCACTGATTCATTCGATTTCCATTCGAGCTTTTCGCTATGTTTTTCTGAAGAAACCTACTGTAGTCAGTGTACTGTGCACTGTGTAGTGAGAGTCTCCATCTCAAACGACATCGCGTCTTGGTTGATTTTACCGATCCGTGGTTAAATTGAAAAGCACTTTGCCACTACTTCCTCAAGTCTCCCAGGACTCTCGATGCTGGATTCCCTCTGTCTATGGTCTACCACCGATGCAACGTGGCAGTGCTCGGCATGGATCGTCTGATCGTGGCTCCGGATCTATCCTCATTCTCCTCATTCGCGGCACACCGTGTCCTCCCACTTTCCAATAACGGGACTTGGTCGTCCGATACAGATCGAAGTTTAGACCATGGTCATCTCGGGCCCTTGTCAAGAACCCTGACATGACATACCATCTGCAGACCTTGCCAAAGGGAAAAATGGATAAAGAAAGGCCGGGGAGCATGCAAGAAGAACAAAAGTATGACAGTGCTCGCTTTGGCTAGTGAGTTTTGACACCAAGCTTGGTCCCCTCTCTACTCTTGAGTGATTCTCATGGAAGAGGTGTGCAACGGACTATGATACCCACAAGCAGAGTCGAGAGAAGACTCATTGGTCCACGGTGGATTCAATACGCATTTACTCCATCCTCGTTGATCCTCAATTCGGAGCAGGAAGGACCTTCAGTATGCTTTGAATGAACGCAAATTACTCTTCTCGATTTCAGCAAACAGGTCACTGGTCACTCGGTGGAATATCTACCGGGGTAGTCTCCGTTGTTCGAGGAAGGGAGATGGAGCGAGCGACATACCATGGCAGAGTGTCGCGATACTCAATGGCTTCCGTGTAATACGCCAAACCGTCTCACAGAGTCCCAGATTGATATCCCTATGTCCTTGAATGAGAAGAAAATGTATGCAGTCCGTTCTCCTTGCTTTCCCCTGGGCTCTTGGGTCCGTTTGACACATGCTATGCGATTTGATCCAGTTATGGTCAGTCTGACTCCAAACGGGCCTCGCCCATCCACGAGAATCTCACTATTAGGGTTTGTCTCCCCTTTTGAAGCTGCCTACCTTGCACATTTCCCCTTGATCAACAGTGTCCCTCGGCCGCACTCTCGTTTAAAATAGAATCAAGCATGCAAAGAAACTAGATCAGATATATCAATCACCACTCGAGCTGGAACCCGCGGATCCCTGACTACTTCGTTTCCAATTTGCCAGTACAGGCGCCAGCACCAGCTGGGATAGACACATGCTGCTACATCTGAGTTGCAGGGTGGTATCATGAATCAAATGGACCCTCGGCACCAGTATCAGACTGGATTTTTTTTCCCATCCGACAATACCCTAGTGTCTCGTGCACGGTCTGGATCAACACGGCACGATCATGACCTTGGACGATCTCGCAATCTCGATCTGAGTACCTGTCCGTCGGAATATGACTGGACCTACGCGTCGAGCAATACACACTACACCCTACACCCTACACTCTAGCACAGTATGCAGGCTTGGCCCAGCAAGCCGCTACAAAACAATCCTAATCACGAGATTCCATCTTCAATGAACATGAATCAAACTGATAATCTCCCAACATTGACAAACATATCCCTTCGTCAGGCTTAATTTCATCATCCATTCTCTCATCCCCCCCCCCCCCCCCACAACGAGGACGAGAGCTGAAACTTGAAAGAGACCAACGGCGCGATCCTGACACAGTCTGCCAAGTTCCAATTGCATATATGTCACATAGCTCTGTCGGTCTCGGACCTCTCGGTATTTCGATGACTGTGTTCTTCGGGTTCCTATGGACACGGGGTAGAATGGTTATTGTGGTGCAATTCCAGAGGACAAACCACCGCCGAGCGAGTCTCGCCGGCCATTGAGATACTAGCTCTCCATGGGACTGGATGGATTCGAAAGCCTGGGACATTTGACGCGGGATCCGATTCGCGGTACTCTATGCGATTATACATCTCATTCTCAACTCAGACCCCAAAAAAAAGAATAGAAAAAATTGACCGACGCAGGGGTCGAACCTGCAATCTCTTGATTCGTAGTCAAGCGCCTTGCCATTGGGCCAGCCGGCCTTACCTGTTGAGGGAGCCCGAATCTAATTATATAATTCACATTGAACCGAAAACAATCTATGTAGGTCAGCACCTATCTTTGGACGCCCTCTCGTAATCTTATCGTGTGCGTGTCGGGCCGTATCTACCGGAGTTTCAGTCAGTTCAGCGGACTCAAACTGGAACTTACGGATCAGATGGTGTCACAAACCAATAGGTATATTATCATGTTTGACCTTCTGGCCTGAGCCATGGCTCAGATAGCTTCACTTCAGATTTCCACCTATTCACCAACAACGCGAGGGGCGAAGTAGGATTTCCAACTGTGCGGGGATGTTGGGGATGCCCCGCGGATGCGTTTCTATTTATTTGGGGATGACCCGATCCGAGCGACAGGTACTTCCCATCTAGGGTATTTACCTCACGACCTGACTGCTTCAGCTCAGGCCAACGCAAATGGTACGAAGGATATAATCCCGCCCCCGCCTATCGGTAGTAGGTATGGACATGTTCAATTGATTCTCAAAACCAGGATGGTCGAGAAATTGCCCGGATATTTATACCTCTCTAGTGACATAACTTATTCAGTGCTGCAGCGCGAAGCCCCTGAGAGCATACAGGAGTATACGGACACGGGAAGAAAACGCAAAGGAAATGATGGGCGGAGACCCATACAGACGAGATGCATGATAATATGTGCGATCGGATGGAGCTGATCCGACGCTTGGATCCGGGCATAGGGGTAGCACCATAAAAAAAAAGATATGAAATAAACAGTACAATACAGGTATCATCCCAGCCCAAAAGACGCCAAAATCGCAATGCCGTGGAAAAGAAAATGCCGTTGCTCATCAGTACACATGATGTTCCTCATCCGTCAGCCCCGAGATCATTCCACCTCCTCTTCAGATTCGCAGACCTCCACAATGATGGGGAGTTTCTCCTCACGAGAGCCCTGTTCCACGTCGATGGCGGCGGGCGGCTCCTCTGATCGGTTCCTGCGCAACCCCAGACGAGTTGCCAGTGACATGAACAGATGGCCAATGACAAAGCCGACGAGACAGGCGACCAGACCGGCAGTGACCCCGAGGACGGCAGGCAGAATCGCAGGTCGGACGAGATGCGTGAACGGATGGGGTAGACGATGTGGTCGGTGGGGTCCATGACCCCGATGAGAATAGGCGGAGGGTGACCAGTAGGGCGAGAAAATGAATCCCACCGAGGTCCCTTCCGTGAGATCGTCGATGGTGGCTGGGGATGACTGATCCGAGGTGGTCGGAAGATGGAGCAAAGACGACGACGACGAAGCAGCCTTCAATGGGTGTCGGTCACCCTCGTGCTGGGGGATTCGAGACGATTGGCCTTGCCAGAACTTCATGTGCCAGGGACGGTCCTGATCCGGGCGATGGATATCTCCAGGCTCGATGCGAAGGCGGGTAATGCGCTGACTGCCATCTGGGTGGGCGAGCAGATCCAGGACCACCGCGTCATGCGTGACCGGTTGGCCTTGCAGGTCGAGTAATCTGACTCGAACCCGGACGATCTTGGAATGCTCATCCACCTCATCCGACGACAGAGGTCGCGCGTCCAGAGCATAGGTGAGTGGTAGATCTGCCTGGGCGAGTCGTGCATGAGACCCTCCCCGAACTTCGGGGGCGCGGATTTGCATCGAGGTGGTGGGCGGAAACACTTGGTCATGATTGGCATACAGGCATCCATCTGTCACTGACCATTGAAGGGACTATCACCAAAGATGTCAGAATATTTGAGCTGGAAAAAAACGGAAAGCTGAACATGCGACCTGCAGGGCCTGGAATCTCCCCACCTGGGATAGTCCATATGACTTACCAAAAAGGTGTCCGACGGTTGAGGTGAATGAATGGCAGGATAGTATGGCAGGTGGAGTTCATGTGAGACAGAGAGGGGAATCGACGATGTGAGCGCGCCGACCACGGCACAAGCCGACCACGACAATGAAAGCAGCCGCATGATGATCTGATTTCGACCTGGATGGAGAGGCAAGTGGATGGATAGGGTCGGTATTTTCCAGGCTAGTGCCGGTTGTTGCAATGACTCCCGGTGGAGCGGGAGGCGATTGAACAACGGCGAGCCACAGGTGGATGTGGAGGTGCAGCGACGATCAAGATACACCTCCAAGGGAGAGACAAAGAAGGAGAGTGGGTGAGAGGGTAGAAAGAAGAAGAAGAAGGAGAAGAAGAAGAAAAAAAGGAGAAGAAGAAGCTATGAGGAGGTTCACGGGAGAGGGGGAGGGATATCACGTCAGACGAAGGAGGAGTCGCGAGTAGATATAAAAAGGTCGACCGAGATGGGGTCGTCGAGTGGGCGGAGCTGAAGAGCAGGCCGAGACACAGGCGTCAATGATGATCAACCGCCCCCAAGAGCCAAGTCGAATAGAGGGCACCGAAGTCAACGATGGAGACGATCCCCAGGCTTGCACAGGGAATCCGATGGGACGAATGGAACCAGCAGATGCGATCTCGTCAAGTTCAATAATTCCGAGGAGTAGAATCGAGTCACACGCCACACAGACTCTTTCTTTCCTCTCGCTTTTGTGAGATCTATGGAGCATTTGCTCCACCGATCGGTAGTGAGCCGTCAGCTTTTCTTTTTCTTTTCTCTTTATTTTTATTTTTTTTTTCTCTTGTGGGGGTTTCGATCCCACTTGCTCTGCACGGGTGTCAATGGTGTGCTGCGATGGGGCGAGGTGAACCCTTGAGCGCGCGCGCGAGTGGGGGCAAAAGAGGTCTCGGCGATTTTAGAGTCGTCAATCTACCAGTGCAGGGTCTGGGTGGACGAAGCTTGGCGAAGAGGATTATGATACTGCACCGAAGGGGGGTAAGATCCAAGAGAAGACGAAAGTGGATGATGTATGATGTGCGGAAGAGGCGCAAGGGAGGACGGTACTAGACGGTAGTCACGGTACTACTCCTGATCGCGAATTGACCTCTCTGTCCCAGGGAGACTTCACAGGAGAGAGAAAACACGAGGTGGGTATGAGAACAAAATCAAAGAACAGTACTGCAGGACTTTGACGAGAATTTCTACCAACGGAGTGCTCACTACTCACTACTCAGGGAGTCCAAGTCTACCTGGCACCTGGCACCTGGCACCTGGCACCTGTGGTCCTGTGGTCCTGGACTGCTCCTTCGATGCACCCCACACTAGTTCAAGGCAGAAGAATAATCCGCGCACTGGAAATGTCTCACAAGAATGTCGATGCCTATGCGAGGCTCTCTTTGGGAGATGGACCAGGGCACGCTAACGGAAAAGAGACGGGGACTCGGAAGAGTCACGACTCACGACTCACGCGAGGTACCTGTGGGAGGGGGGATGGGACGCAGAGAAGGGAAGTACCCCTCCCAAGTCCAGAGTTACCGTAGGTACAGTCACTCTCTGGTCGGTGGTCCCGTGGAAGAACGCGGTACTTTCTCCCGGAGTATTCTTAGATCAGCCAGAAAGCGAAACACGGGAGATCCGGAAGAGCGGGAGAATCGGTACAGTCTCTGCCTAATCACCCCCAAACTCCCAGGTCCAGCTTGAACATGATCATTGCTGGCGGGAGCAGTATACCAGGGAAGGGGAGAGAATGGACTCTTGTTTCAGATTGTCCGAGTCTCCCTTTGGCCGGGTAGAGATTTCTCCGGGAGCGGTACTACTAGTAAGTGAACTCAGGTATCAAGAGAGTCAAGTGGTAGTAACTTGTGAGTAACGAGTAGTAGGTAGCAAAGTCCCGTAAGTACTAGAGTACTGTATCGGGGATGGAAGTCGCCCAGTCCTTTGGAAGTTGAGGCTACGCGACCGGACCACGAGATTACGAGGATATCTGCAGGTCCGTCCAGACTCCCGACTCCCGTCCAGTCCCGTGCAGGAGTGAAACAACATTGTCATTAACGTTGAGGGGCAAGCTTTTGGACCCGACGGATAGCGAGCCATCATTGGCTCTCGGGGGACCGTCCCTGTCGACCGGGACTGCCAGACTTTGGCTCCATCGTGATTCTTTGGGCCACACGACTCTCCTTTGTACTTGGCTGGGCAGGAAGAGCACGAGCCGAAAGTCATAACTATCGGCCTATACTCCTTCACCGTCTACTAACCTACTACGAGAGTCAGTACTTGCTGGACCAATTTCTCTCTCTCTCTCTCTCCCTCTCTATTTTACTGTGTAGTATACAAGGTACTATACACTGGTATAGTCAGTACTCAGTAGTGTATACTGTATCCTGGATAGGACTAACTTACTAGGTAAGTACTATATTAAGGTAGTGAACACATTGTACTGGAATGTACAAGTGAACTTATAAGGAGATGGTACTGGTAGTAGCACTGTCAGTCTGCGAGTCCGCTGAATCATTTTGGGGACCCCCTGGCGAGTCGTCATGTGCTGTTCTTCATTCTTCATCCTCTCTCCTGTCTTTTTCCTTCTGGTCAAGACAAGCCAGCACCAGAGACCTCTTCTCCCCTTCTGAAGCATCCTATACCCGAGGGCCTATTACCGGAGCGGCACACGCACCGGAGGATGACTAGCTCTAGACCGTTCGGTGACAATGGAACCCCGACTCCTGTAGGGTTGAAATTTTCCACCCACGTGAAGCCCTCCACCTCACATCATGACCAACCACCGGTAGTCATCCGTGATCGATGAGGAGTAAGAGTAAGATCATGGTCGAGCTAGTTGAAAAGAATGGAGAGAGGGAGAGAGTGTGTGTGTGAGAAAGAAAGCAAGCGGGCGCCGCGGGCCCGGGGCAAACGGCGGCGTTTCTTGGCAAAAAGGCTGGAGATGCTTTCCTCTGGTTTTTGCATCCCTTCACCTCCAGGCACCTGCGGTCAATGGGCGGTATGATTGGATTCTGATCAGATCAGTCAAGTGTTTCCCCTCTTGAAGGCTCGCCCGAGCGGAGTGGGCTAAGACTGGTGAGCTCGTACTAGTAGTCTAGCACTACTATTGGAGTTGCCGACTTGGCACTGACTACTGAGAGTAAGCAGTAGTACTCTACAGCGGGAATTCGGACACAGAAAAGAAGACAAAGTCTTCACGTCGAATCAAGTCTCGTTCTCTCGAGACTCTCGTCTTCGGAGGAGAACGAAGCCAGCTGAATTGAACTGTACAGTATACACTAGCGCTGTGTGTCAGTGTGTCAGTGTGTCAGTCAGAGTCCTACCAATAAATAATAAAGAAGTAAATCTTTAAACTCAGTTAATAAAGATGTTGGGCATTAAAAAAGGCTTATTGTTACTACTACCGCCTCCAGTTCCTCGTCGCTTATGCCGACCATTTTTTTTTTCTGTGTTCCACATGGTCATGACTATTTCGATCCTAGCGAGGTGGACAGTCTAAGGACACCCCCGAAAGGACGGCTTGCTTATCGTGCTTAATGACATGCTGTATGACTATGCTGTTGGGAAAAACCTGACCATTCTGCAAGGGTGGCACCCTCTAGTCTGCAAATCCAATGCACGTGTTGCCCTCCCTTACTCTACCAGTGTACAACTGTACATACCTCGGACTCAAAACGGTAGACTCATGCCCGAGGGCCCAAGTGCCTGCGACCTGTGCCTGAGTGCCGATGTGTCCCGTCCGCGTACATGAACTCCTTCGGTAGCCCAAGAGTGAGCGACACGGACAGGCATGATGTACCCTTAGCTTCCGGCAAGTCCTGCAGCTGCGAGCGGATGGTTCGAGACTTGGGATCCCCGGACCAAGTTAACAAGTTAAGGTTGGATCCCAAGTCCTTGCGTGGATACAAACTTACTTTCTCGCATCTAGAACTGGTAAGGCATCGAGATCACAAAATTCTCATCATGCCCTTTCTGCCCGGTCTCAGAATTTGTTTCGTTATGGTGGACATTCTCCCCGAGTCACCCCAAAGATGACGGGGATGTGTACGACGGGATCAGCTATACACAATTAGTCATCTATCACGCATTGGAAGTGGGAGTGTATTCCTTGACAATAACTCCTCTTGATCTCGCCGATACCAAGAAGATCCGGGGAGGGGGTCTCGGCCGAGTCGAAGGACCACCTAACCGACCTCGCCCTCCTGACTCAGTATGGAGTGTATGGACAATGGAGTAGATATGAAGTATACCACCATAGGCCTCGGGCAACAGTTACACACACTACAATAAAGTGGACTCAACGACCAACGCTACGAGATTTGCCGACCTGGTGTCATATTTGCTTCCACCTTTCAACCTCAATTTTTTCTTATTCCTACCTTTCGTCTTACGTTTCAGACACGATCCATGCGCATCCGCTCAATAAGATCAAGTCACAGAAGGATGGAATGAAGGGATGAATGGACTATCTACCCACCTACCGACTTAGGTAACTACTACCCAAGTTACCACCGTGGTAGCTACGGTAGTAGTTTCTTTGCTAATTATACTCGAATCTGCGAGGTAATAGGTCGTAACTTGCTGTTCACATCACAGAAAAAGTTGAGCTTCTAGGTGTTTCCTTCCTGCGTGATACACAATAGTGAAAAAGAACGTATGGCATGTATCCGATAGTCCGCCACGTGGAGAGGTCTAAAAACATCACGTACTCGCTAACAGTCGAGGTCCGGGACCATCAAATTGAAGGTTGCCCGAGTCAGTTACTCGTAAAATTCAGTACTTGTTGATCCTTGCTGTGGGTTGCATACTGACACCCGGCCACGTTCTGATCAAGCAAAAACCGGGCAAAGCATGATGCGGCAGCGCGGCCATGGCCATGTGAGAACGTTGATTCTGTGGAGTCTCTCCCGAGTCCGAGGTCGCTTTCGGAGATTCCCACGAATGTTGGTCAAGTTCAGGGAACACTCATTACTTGGATAGCGGCTGTAGATAGGCAGCCGGCCTTTCCTCAGGGCTCTCTTCTCTTCAATCTGAAAATTTGTATCCTCCTTCCGGTCTGTCTTGCGAGGGTGGAATATCAGGGTCAGGTTTGGTTGATCAAATGGCATTCGACCTTCCTATGATAGTCGTGTCTTGTAAGAAGGAGAGTAATTCTCCCATCACATCGGATCATTATGCTTGATCTCATTAATTTATTACATGATAGGAGGTTCTCTTCATGAGTTCATATGAGCTTCGATTATCACAACAATCACAACGGAAAATCCCAGCCCACCTCACCATTACCGCCTCCATCATGCCTCTCCGGCAAAGTCGGCAGTCTGCCAAAAGCGACACCGAGGGTTATCAGTCGGGTCACGCTCCCTCGCAATCTCGGTATTACTCAGGTTCATCAACATGCCCTTGTCACCATACTGGTGGAACCAGGGCCCCGTCGGAGACCGAGGCTTGCCGGACTGTGCAAAAGAGGTGAAATAATCCTGCATGGTCTCTGCAACGGTACTGTTCTCCTTGCCGAGCAGCGCGTTGCCAGAATTGGACCCCTTGTTAAAGAAGGTATATCCCACATCTTGGCCGTGAATGGCGGGTGGAATGCTAAACTCGTACGCAAACGTCTGGTTGTCGTACGCGCGGTTGAAGTAGTCGGTGTTGCACACAAACACGAGATCGGAAATGACCAGGGCGGCGCGGGCGAGTGGGGAAGTATAACCGTAGGAGCCGTCATACTTGGCTGGATATAGGGTGTTGGCGATGTAATCGCTGACGTTCTTCTTCATATAGGGGAATTGCTGTTTGAGTTGCATGGTGAGTCCATTTGCATCCCGACTGTCCGGCGGGGTGAAGACCAGTCCCTCATCCGCATTGTGTCCCACCATAATTTTCAAGTTGTGGTCAAAGTTGCCCTCTGAGAGGAGCTTGCCTGGTAATTTGGGCACAAAGGTACCGTCGACCACCGGGCCGAACATGAAAGAGCCCCATGACGATTTGGTCGCCACTTGATAGGCGTTGGCCGCGATGACCTTGTCAGAAGGCAACTTGCGGGCCTCGTCGATAGTGCTCACGTTGAGGATCTGCAAGAACTGTTGCAGCACTTGCTCGGGTTGCTTCTCATCTGGGATGGGGACCCACCCGGGACTCTGGAGAATGGCTTGCTTGAAGGGCGAGGGACCCGCGTTGCCTCCATAAGCTGTGATTTGGTGCATGATCGAACCACCGCCGGCCGATTCGCCCATAACAGTCACGCGGGTAGGATCACCGCCGAAGAGGTGGATGTTCTTGTAAACCCAGTCCAGACCGAATCGCTGGTCGTAGAGAGCAGCATTGGCGGTACCATTGGCCTTGATGGATTCCCCCCAAGCCAGCCAAAAGCACCAAGCTAGAGAGAAATAGCAAAGACATCAGTATACACTGGTCTCAAAAGCGAATCTCAAAAGCGAAAGGGAAAGATTCCCCGGCGACTTCATAGAGCCGACCCAAAGGATGCACGAGGTGCCCGACTTACACGATAGTTGAGAGCAACATACACCACACCTTCACCGACCACTTGGCTGCGTTTGATCAGCCCTGTCGGGTCCTGGCCGCTCTTGTCCCCCCCGACATAGCCACCTCCGTAGATCCACACAATCACCGGGGCCAACTTGTTCTTCGGGATAAAGGACTTGTGCTTGGTACTGTTGGTGTAGGAGCGGGCCCGATCAAAGATATTTTTCGGCACCACCACATCGAGGAAGAGACAGTCCTCGGTGGTCCGGGGATCCATCTTCTCAGCGGTGTAGTTGTACGAGGAGATGTTGGTCGACTTGGTGAATGTGGTGTTGTACAGCAAGCTCAGCAAGAATGCTGGCTCAATGTCAGTCTCCCACAGCGGAGTGGCCTGAGGACATATGCGTCCGACATGACCGGTCTGAACGTGAGATCGATTCTTCTCCGGGGCCACGGGGGCCCGGAAGCGAAGGTCACCTAACGGAGGAGCCGCATATCGAATATTGCTGAAGTTGTACTGGCCCGTTGTGTGCTATTCGCAGGTCAGAAGCGGCATCTCCCGGAATAGTCGTCATGTTTGGTCCGTTCTCATCGAGTCACTCACATTCAAGGAGAATGCCTGATGCAATTCGTATCCAAGATCCACGATCGGAAGGTCTGCGGCAAGGGACGCCGAAACGAATCCCAATAACAAAGTTGCAGCCTTCATGATTAGGCTTGCAGTACACTCACAAGCACGTCGAGAAGAAGAACAATTCCACACCTCTTCTTGCCCATCCTCGGAACTCGCGGCATCTATATATATATTTGATATTAATAATCGACCCATGCCGAACTTGTCAACAAGCCTCGGCGCAGCTGTGCGGGGAAAATAAAAAGGTAATTGATCGAGCTCCATGATCCATCGTCAGCTCGCACGACAGAAGATCCCTCAGCTTGAACGAGTCCGTACACAATGATTCGTCGAGCACCTCAGGACCTGGCACAGTGCGTCAAGCCCCAAAAGCATGCCCAACGTGGTGGAGGGCCCTGCACGCGCAGCACAAGCTGACCATGACTCAAACGGGCCATCAGCCCGAGCAAAGATGATGTCAAACGGTGCCGGGACAGTCCAACTTGACTCCGCAAATTGCTCGGGGGTGGTTCAAGAGCCCCACTGGAAGAGATCGTTTCCCCCCAATATGGGGAACAGGAACAGGAACTGGAACAGCTCGGAAGGGCTGGGAAGAGTGAGGGCGAGAGAGGCACATGACCTGCACCTTCAAGGAACAGCTGGCTGATGATGACCGACCTTTATCGCAGGTCCGACAGTATTGTACAGAGCACAGCAGTATACCGACATGATCCAGCGGGATCCCGGACGAAAACATTGCCCCGTTGCCAACTATCACCATCACCATCACGTACTCAATCGAGTTAGTCCTACAGTACTCCACAGTCCGTAGACTTCGTACTCACTACGACTCACAGTGCCTTCGGAGAATGCGGGGATAGCCCAGCCGGGGGGCGTTGAACCTTTTTCATCGGGGAAACATGACTGGCTTGATCAACGATGGGGCACCCCAGAATAGGCGCCTCCGCCGAAGGAACGCGTGAAAAGAAACTACTATTCCTCTTTGGCACAGAGTCGGTCGACACGATAGCGATGCGGCAAAAGCTTGCGAGCTGGGCTTGAGTGATTTTCCAAGAACATCGTCCAGCTGTCTCACCGACTGGATCCATCAATGTACAGTACATCCATAGCGAACGATGTTGCGAGTCACTGCGATGATAATTTCATGTTGTCCAAGTCATGTACTCAAGATGAAGATGCGATGAAGTATCGGTTCAACAACCCCGAGGAGTGCACCTCAATTCGTACGGCAGCGATACAGCTTGACTACCGCAGCAGCCTAGAGGAGCCTTGTGTCGTTCAAGAAACAGAGTCCGGGCACGTTAACGTGCCTTGAACGTAATTCCAATTCCATCCACTCAGTGGAGGCTTCGTCATCCTCGCCAGACTCTCGTACCTTCGAACTGACCACCGACCGACGGTGGTCCTGCTTGCTTGCTAATCACATTGCGACTCGGCTCCCGACTTCACCTTCCGAATGGAGACTTGACCTGAAATACTGGTGCCTTGAAGAGAACGAGACCCTCGGTTGGCGAGACATCCGATCTCTACGATTACCCGAACGCAAGGAGCCGATGAGACTTGTTGCGATCGAATACCACTAATCTCGCCTACCCTGCCGGAATAGACACCCTGGAGCGATGTTGTGAACTTGACTTGAAGCTGTCGCCCATGGCTCTAACACATAGTCAGGCTCACGTGATACTATCCAAGTGCCCCCACATCTCCATCCGGGCGCGCAAAGAGCTCTAAACCATCATGCCGCGGATACGTCCTGGTGGTCGTCCAATTCGTCACTTTGAGCTGCTTTCCCGGTCATCTTGTCGCCTCAGCACCTTGCCAAAAGAAAAAAAAACAGACCTGGTCACGGAATCTACGATTAGGGTGCTAGTAACCACGGCAAGCCCCTCAGCTTGCCTTCCTCTACCTCGCTCCTCGCGCAACACCACCGCCGTCGAAAATCATCCATAATGAATGCGCTTATGCAGTCCTCGCTGAATGAGGTTGAATCTAAGCTCAACACGCTTCTCAAACACCTGACTTCCTCTCCCGGCGCTCTGGGTGCTCCTGCAGCCGCCGTGTCTTTGCTGGAAGCCGATGACACACTCACCTCCTCCATCCAAACGCTTCGACTTCATCAGGACAACTATGCAAAGATCCTCCAGCTGCGCAGTGAAGCAGACCGCCTCGAAGAACGCGTCAAGAATATCGTGAGAGACTTGGAACGATTCGACAAGGAAATCAGGGAAGCATGTGGTGACGACGACGACGAGGACGAGGACAGTAGTAGTGACTGGGACACCGAGGACGAGAGCGAGTCGAAGAGAGAAAGCGCCGTCAGCCAGCGTACCGCTGCTCGCAAGGAGATTGATTACCGACTTTTGCTGGACTTTGCGCGACGAATCAGCAAATACAACCAAGAAGCCGCGGCCGACGTGGCCAAGGGGCTCAGTCGAGACAACCCTTTGGAGAAGCCCACCAAGATTGCGGCAAAAGACCAGGTCATGACGGGGACAAACGGAGAGACAGAGACTGCCGAAGAGAGCGCCGACCCCGTTACGACGGTGACCAAGGAAGCAACGCAATGGCTGGAGGACTCGGCGAATCTTACTCGCGAGGCCAATATGCTTCCATACCCCGCGGAGGACCGAATACGCATGGGTGTCATGGGGAAGATGTCGATAGAGAGTAATGATCCGGATACGGAACTGGAAAAGATGCTGCGTAGTGCGGAAGGTCTGAACGTTGCAGAAGCGTCAAAGCCACTCCCGCCGCCGCCTACTGAACCACCAGCACACGAGCCGGTGAAGCCCTCCGCTCCGCCCGCTGGGACATCTACTGCTTCAGCAGCGCCTCGCCCGGCGCCGGCGCCCGCGCCAAAACCCAAACCCAAAGCGACATTGGACCTTGATCTTTACGATCCTGACGACGATGACTTTTGAATCTACCGTTCCATAAAGCCTATTTGGGTTTTGTTTGTCCCAAGATGATGATAATGATACCAAGAAAGCGAATTGTTCAGATGTCATGGCGAAAATGTCCAAATCCATAGTAAATCCCTCTGAGAAGACTTGTTACATTAAACATGCGCTTAAAATGATCATGCCAGATCCCTCTACAGTTTGTATCTGGTAAACTGGAACTTGACGCCTTTCCACATGTCCAAGACATTGGGAGGTGGGCTACCTCAATCAGTCCACTTGGCGCGAGTCTCTCGACTGACAGAAGCAAAGTCGTTCCTTTTCCGACCGGGCTGGTCGCTGGTGGCTGGCTCTTATCAAGGAGACGAGGAGAGCCCTTGGCCAGCATCAAAGATCTGAGCAACGGATTTCACCAAAGATTGACTAATACCCTGAGACCATCTGGCACACAACACCTGTGATGTGCGCTAATGAAATCAGCCGAACGTTCCGAACGCCGAATACATGATTTCAAGCCGTGGTCCATCCAGAAAGCGAACGGCAGGACGCAACTGGTTCCATTCGCAAATATAGGACACCGTTAAGGAAATTTACCGAAATGGCACTTTTTCATGTGGGTCATTATCCGCGATTCCAAGAGGATTGAAGCTTTTGAACAGCGTAATCTGTGGCCAGACCAAGATCGGCCTCAATACCTCGCAGAAGATCGACAATGATCTGCCGTTCGGTGCTGCTCTCCAGACATTGACCCATAGCATACAATAGCGGAATCATATTGATTCGGACCTCGGCATGTGGTCGGCCAAAAGCTATGCCGCAGACCTCACGACAACGATGCTCAACTTCCTTGGTGACTTCTCTGTATCCTTGCAGACGGTCAAATGCCGTGCTCGGCCCGCTGATCTCGTCCGGGGGACGGTTCAGCAAAAGCGCGATTCGAACGAAGTTATAATGCTGCATGGCAGCCGCACACGTGGACAATGCATGGAACACCTCTGGGAAGGGTGCTGGCGGGCTGTTTGCCGGACTTGACGGATCCCGAGGATGCTCAATGCGAACACAGGGACGTATCGTTTCCGGAACGCCCTCAAACCAAGTTTGCAAATCGAAACATAGGCCTAGCCATGTATTTGTGTCGGGATACTGAGGTGACTGTGCTGAGATCGCATGAGAGTCCTCGGAAATGGAGGAAGGAGTCCGTGTGACTGGGGATCCTGTCCACTGGGCGACTTGCACTTCTTTGGACCGGGCCAGGAAATTTACCACTTTGATTGCTAGCCAATTAAGACTGTTGAGAGTCTGATCTTCCTTTGCAATGTAGGGGCAGACAGTGTCGATGATTTGTGCCTTCTCGTTTTCGTCAATGAACATTCCCGCTGCCCGCCACAGCGACGTATCGGACGGGTTGAGATGGGTCTGCGCGCGTATGTAGTATGACCCCAGGTAATCCAGACGCGCAAAATTCCAGAAGCTGGCTCGAATGGCGTGAGAGAAGGTTGAGCTGTTTGTGCCCATAGCCTTCTTCAACATTTCGAACACTTCTTGAATGCTTGCAAGATACCTGGTTTTGATTTGATGAGTTGTCAGTTGACCGGGTGGGTTTAGGGCTCTTCGCATATCAGGTCACCGAGGTCACTAGACTCACATATGCCATTCTTCGCCTTTCGCGTCCAATAGCTTATACGAAATCAAGATCGCGACAGTTGCGAAGATGTCTTCAACCTTTCGCAAGAATGTCCCATCTGCGAAACCTTTCCCCTCGGCTGTCAATCCCAGCTGAGTCGGCAACCAGCGTTTGAGCACGTCGATTGGCGAATCTAGCACTGCCGAAGTCGATACGCTGGAATAGCCATCCGATGCAGACGCGGCGAGATCGGATATCGCAAGGTAGTAGTAATTGACTCCCTTGAGAAACCAGTCTACCGCCCCAGAGTTGGGATATATCTCGCTCACCGCTGGACTCGTCAAGATTCCTCGGCCGGTGTGGCACTTCACCCCTTTGACTCGACCGAGCTGCTTGGCTGCGAATGCAGCCATGGCGTATCTCATTGATACATTGTTGAGAGCTCTGATGGGAACATGTACCGAGAAGAACTTTGCCGCATCCGAAAGATCCAGCCTAAAGGGCGGAGTCAATGTCTGTTATTCCAAAAGCAAGAGACACGTATTTGTAAGCTTGGCTTACCAAGGAGCGAGGTTCTCTGCAAAGTGACGCGTCAAGAATGCCAGCTCGTGTTCGGTTCCGGTCATGAGCTCGGAAAAGATGTCGCGGAAATCTTCATGCTCATCAGTGTGCTTCATTGAGCTATCCGCGGTAGACGGACTTTGATCATGATGACTGGCCCCAGCAGCGTGGGCAATATTATTGAATTCGTGGGTCAACTCGAGCACATTTCCCCCATTGCTAGGCATTCCTGGGCTTCTTGGTGTGCTCCTTGATGCGTCGCGTGGGTTCGCACCATGAGGGGATCGCGGATAGTGTCCAGAAGTCGTCTGTTGGAATGACAGAGGCAGGCTTGCAGGGTCTGACACAATACCAGGGTGGGTTGAGCCAAAGGATTCGCCTGTAGATAGACTAGGTCCACCTCCTGCTTGTGCTGGCGCAGGATGAAGAGGGAGCTCGGGACCAGACACTTCATTTTCCAAGAACACAGGCTCATTGCCTCTCATTTGCGAAGTATTACTGAAGCTCTGAGGGCAAATGCTTCCAGTGTCATTTCCATGGTCCTGTGCAACGAGGTTAGCGTTTGGATCACATCGACAAGTGGTCAAGGTAGGTCGATTCCAGTAATATCTACCTCTGCGTTTGTCTTCACATGAATTTCCTGATAAGGCGCATATCGACGACGCACAGTGGCCCCCTGGTCAATAAACTTTCGAGTTTGTGAATATCCAGGACATTCTACGCCTGCATTGATGCATCGCTGGCATTGTGGACGAATCTCATCGCACTTGAAGAGTGTCAGTCAGAAATGCAATATCGGTATCCCAACCCAGAGTTTTATACTTTAATGTGACGCTTTTTACAACGTTCGCAAGCCTTATTTGAAGGCACTCCAGGCATGATGCTTTTGTTGTTGTGACTTTGAGTCGTCTCCACGGACTGCACACTATACAGTACGCGGCTACTCACTTTCCGAGGGTTACGACACCCTTGACGCTGTTCAAGCGGTATGTTTGTGAAGTTGCAATGGTCGCCTTATTGTTGTGTTTGCTCTTCACATATCGGAAATGGTGGTCCAATTCCATTCGCTAACCAAGTGCATTTCCCGCATGAGTAGGGATTTAGGATCCATGAGGTAACTGCTATGACGCCCTCGAGAGAGAACTTGTTATCTAAGCCGGCAATATCTCGGCAGATATTCGGAAACCCTTCCTACTGATGCAACTCAGTCAAAGGCAAACGCCCAGAGCTTCATGCCAGGAAAGCACATCCAGTCCTCACTCGTTACCCGTGGTCCTGAATTAATTGTTAGTGATCTCGATAGAAAACTCCCTGTAAAAGATTCAAGTTCGTGATCTTTTGGTGGACAAAATCGACAATAGGAACAACATGGATTCCTGGACGGAGAGGCCGACCGGCAAACACCGTCGGCAACTTGGTTTCGATTCGATCGGACGGTGCTAAGCCTGGCGTGCGACACTACTGCTACTGAGAATCTAGACCACTCAGTAGAGTCAGTACAGTCCTGTTCATTTGATCGGCGCGGTGCTGCTTTGCACGGTTGTGTTGTATTCAGAGCGGTTAGAGGCGATCATTTTCAAGCTTGCAAGCTTGATTTGCGATCTGGTCTGGCCGCCTCATAACTCGGCAGTCATTTACCGTCGGACGGAGTTGGTACATAGATACACCCTCAAGACACACGAAGGACTGGGCTGAACAGCCGGGTTCATGTCCCGTTCAACCAGCGTTGAGTTTGTATTAGTCGAGTCAGTGATACTGTCACCTACAGTTGCACGCCTCATTGCAGGACTTTTGATGGCATGGCTCTAAGACAACCTGCGAGTAACCATGATAAGACGTTGGGAGCAACACCTTGACACGTCCTGTGGTCTACTCATGTCGAATGATGGCTACCTCCTGCTTTCCCCTAATACATGATTTCCATGCAATGCCATTATCGGTGCCAGTCCAATGCATGATTGGGCATGTTTGTCGTTTGATGGCTGTGGGTAGCCGAGTAGAATTACCCGCACGGCGTCATCTTGAGTCGGAGACTTCTTTCCATATTGCTGACTCTTCCAGGGTTGACTTCAATCTGGCGGTATTCAACTATCTCGCAAGCTTTGCAATCTCCCTCAGAGGGTTACATTCACTAATAAAGTATGATTAAAAACGCGAGCAAATCGTGCCGATGCTACTCCGCATCATGGCAGATCAGGATATTGTATCCCCCGCAAACTGAGCGAAGAATATGCCCCGTAACTAATGACTAAAGATCAACACCAGATCAGCACTCCACCTACGACAAGTGGAGATCCTGATCCAACTTAGCTCACTTCTAGGGAGATGTCCAGAAACGCTTCCTTTTTCTCTTCGTGCGGAGTCTCCTCCAGGAAGGCCTTGCACGTGCCGCAGACATCAGGTGCAAGTACCCTAAACGCACGGAATACATGCGTTGGCAGGAGGCCGGCATAGCTGTTTCTGGCATTACCTGGAAAGCAAATGTCACACTATGCAGATCTTGAGTACTACAGTACTTAGTACTTCGTTCGATCTGCCTCATGGGTCTCCATGTATTGGTCTCATCAACTTTTTTCCCTCTCCAGCACCGGCCTCGAAGGCGGATCGGCAGTCCTATCGGAGGGGATGCAGAATGCTATTCACGTGTGGAGTCAAAGCACAGTCAGAATGCACCCGCTGACTTCTGAAACACAAAAAGCCCTGTCGTAGGATGCCTTCCATCTTTTGACAAGACTCTCGCCTAGCTTTCCAACAATTCAAGCAAGCATGCGGCTGCATACTCTGCGCCCCGAGAACATACTGGCTGCGGCCTTCTGTGGCCCATTTGCTCTTGCGGCTTCAGTATCTTCTTTGAATGACTACGATGTACTGAAATATGTCAATCCTTTGATTGGAACGGCCAATGGAGGTACAAGAGACGGGTGCCCAAGAGGACAAGCGCCGAAATTTGACCTGCGACTAACAACTTCCATCTAGGCCATGTTTTCCCAGGAGCGACTCTGCCCTTTGGTAAGGAGCTCAAGGAGGTACTTCAGCGAAATTGGATCTCTTCTGACAAATTGACTAGGAATGGCTAAAGCTGTAGCCGACACCATAGGCGAGAATCAAGCCGGCTTCGCCTTTGATACCGACTATGTCACCGGCTTCTCCCACATGCATGACTCTGGCACCGGAGGCGTAAGAAAGACCGGTTTAACTGCATACAAGGAGCTACATACTGACAGCTTCTTTAGTCGCCATCACTGGGGAATTTCCCAATTTTTGCCCAGCCGTCTTGTCCAAATGACGACATTAATCAATGCAAGTGGCAGCTCAACGACCGAGCAGTGGCGTGGGAAAAGGATTCAGTCAAGGCTCGCCCTGGCTACTTTAGTATCTCTCTGGCAAATGGTGTTCAGGCTGAGATGACGACTACCAATCGATCTGCACTGTATCGGTTCACTTTCGACGAGGGCTTACCCGTGGCTCTTAGTCCTGTCGTTCTGGTTGATCTGATCGATCTCCCACAGTCTCGAACGAATGGCACGGCGGAAGTCCATCGAAGCACCGGACGTCTGACGGGAAACGGCACCTTTAGTCCAAGCTTTGGCATCGGGTCCTACGATCTGCACTTTTGCGTCGATTTCAAAGGTGCCGAGCTTCGCGACACAGGTACCTGGACTAAGAATCGAGCAGGGATCACAACGGATTCAGTCTCAATGCTAGCAGATGGAACGAACACACCGGCATCCTTATCAGCGGGAACGTTCGCAAGATTTCATAGTCCGGCAAACCGCACTATACTTGCGCGTGTGGGTGTGAGCTTCATGAGTGTCGATCGAGCCTGTGCCAATGCCCAACGCGAACAGCCTGATTTTGACTTCGAGGGGACCAGGTCTGCAGCGGAGGCTGCTTGGAGGAAGAAGTTGAGTGTGGTGACCGTCGACGCTTCGGGGGTCTTAGATGACTTTCAAGAGATCTTCTGGAGCGGCGCATACAGGTCGCTCATCAGCCCACAGGATTATACAGGGGAAAACCCGCTCTGGCAAAGCGATGAGCCTTACTATGACAGCTACTACTGGTTAGTAAATTTCTTTGATTGCTTGGGATCAACTCGTGATCTGGAAAGCGGCAAGCTCACATGTGTTGTGTAGTATTTGGGACTCGTTCCGCAGTATTCATCCTTTGTTGACGATCGTCGACCCCATCTCGCAGTCTCGCATGCTACGCAGTCTGATTGACATTTATCGTCACGAAGGATATCTTCCCGATTGTCGCATGTCGCTCTGTAAAGGCTTCACCCAGGGTGGCTCCAACGCAGATGTTCTCATGGCAGATGCCTACCTGAAAAAGGTGCAAGGAATCGACTGGAACACCGCTTACGAAGCCGTGGTGAAAGATGCCGAAGTTGAGCCCGCAAACTGGAATGTCGAGGGTCGCGGTGGTCTAACGAGCTGGAAGAGCCTCGGATACATACCGACTGACGACTTCGACCCCTATGGAGTGGGCACCCACACGCGGAGTATCTCACGCACGGTCGAATATGCCTATAACGATTTCTGCATCTCCGAAATGGCCAAGGTAATGGGAAAACAGGCGGACTACGAGAAATATGCAAGCCGCTCCGGCAATTGGGCCCATATGTTCAAGGCGGATCAGACATCCAGCCTTAACGGGTCCGACACAACTTTCACTGGATTTTTGCAACCCCGTTATATGAATGGAACCTGGGGCTACCAGGACCCGATCTTCTGTAGCCCATTGCTCAATTTCACCTCGTGCTACTTGAACCCAGACGGTCATGAGACTTACGAGGGCAGTTCATGGCTATATACGTTGTGAGTTCTGATCATGCGAATATCTCGTTTTGCCATGTTGCATTGCCGGGCTTACAAGCTCAACGCATGTGCTAATCGATACCTCTTCTATCCTGCAACACAGCTATGCACCACACGACATGGGTGCCCTCATCCACGCACTAGGTGGTGCGGACAAGTTCATCTCCCGCCTAGAATACCTCCATCAATCGGGTCTTCTCTACGTCGGCGACGAACAAGCCTTCCTGACCGTTTTCCAATTCCACTACGGCGGCAGACCCGCGCTCTCATCCAAATATAGCCACTTCTATATCCCCTCCCAATTCAACACCACTGTCGCCGGTATCGCCGGAAACGATGACAGCGGGGCAATGGGATCTTTCGTCACGCTGAGTATGGTGGGACTCTGGCCCGTGCCCGGTCAGGACGTGTACCTGATCACGCCTCCTTACTTCAAGGAGGTGAGGATTAGGAGCCCGTTGACAGGGAAGATGGCTACCATTCGCAATGTGAATTTCGATGCAAGTTACAAGGCTGTTTGTATTCAGGGGGCGAGGCTGAACGGCCAGAGCTGGACGAAGAATTGGCTCACTCATGATTTCTTTACTCAGGGTGGTGTTTTGGAATTGACGCTGGGTGTGACGGAGAGCGATTGGGGCACACGGAAGGAAGATTTGCCGCCGAGTTTGAGTAGTTATGAGTGATGAGGTAGGATGGTAGTGAATGGGTCTGGTGTGACCAAGTTTCTTTCACTATGTTGCCCTGAGTTTTCTGGTGATCCTACCGAGAGGCCGAGACTGTCGGCTTGAAGCTACTATTTTGGCACAGAAAATGTCAAATTCGAACAAGGAGTGGTAGATAGCATCGAAAAGCTCAAGAGATCAAGTGCCTGAAGGGGTGGCGTTCAAACAGAGACACGATCGAGACTGTCATGAAGACGGGATATCATATATATACACAAGAATTGTTGCAGAGATGGCAAATTGGACAGAGGACTCGAACATCGGCTAAATGAGCACACAACAAACAGCATTTCCATGAAATAATAAGGGCTTGACAAAAAAGATTGCCACCTGCGCCATACGAACAGAGAAGACGAGAAGAAAAAAAAAAGAGACCTAGCATCTTGTGATCACCCTCGAGGATCGTCAAGGAGTCTCGTTTGTAGCAGGAGCTCGCCGAGCCCAACCACTGAAAAATCCACCTCCACCCGCGCCAGCATTCGCAGAAGAGCCCGACGCGCGTGAATGATCCGATTGAATTGGCGATTGACTCAGGAAGGAATGGCGTTTTTCCAGCTTGGGTGCCTGCTGAGCGCCGGGCCTGCTGATCATCTTTCGTAAAGCCTCTAATTTTCCTTTGACTTCCTCCAACTCTTGCTTTGCTATGGCCTCGGCAGTTTTAGAATTGACCAGTTCCAGGAGCAGAGAATCTTCAGCGGCAGGCTTCTGATTTTCCGTTGCCAGCACATTCTGTAGACCTAAGCTACTGGACCGCTTGTTGAAGACCGGGGGCTTCTGAGCGCTGGGCGGTGATTTGTGAGAATTGGTCCGCACCAGTCTGAGCTCACGGAGACCTCCCGAGGGAGAAGGCGTCTCATTCTCTGGGGACGCGAACGCGCTATCCGGGGGAGTGACTGCTTCGGGCATCTTAAGCACTCGTAGTTCCTTGTTTAGTCGCTCCAATCTTTGGCGGTCCCGGTAGCCGTCTTGGATCCGACTGCGTGCCTCTCGTAATTGCTCCTTGAGTGAGTTGTTCTCCTTTTCAAAGTCATCCATGCGTCGGGTCAGGTCTAGACAACGGCTTGCTTCGACCTCGTGCATCTGTTTCCATCTAACCATGTCATCGTGCAACTGGTGTTTGGTTTGATAAACAGACGACCGTTGGTGTTCATTGGCATCCACCGAGAAGCGATCTTGAGCCCTGGTAATCAAGTCCAGTGGCTGCGCTTCAGCCGATTGCTCTCGGATAAATTGAAGCATCTCCCTGGCCAAAGAGTGATCTTCTTCACGTTCCTCCCGCTCCTGTTGCAGGTCCCGCGTGAGATCGGCGTGCTGCCGTTGGAGATCGCCCAGTGCCATCAACAGATCCTCGATTTGAGTGTGAAGGTCGCGGTCTTTATGATGGGAAGACATGTTGGACTTTCGTGACCTTTGATCGCTATTTGGGGTTGCTGACAGCTCGGTTGGGGCCGTGCTGGCGTCGGACGTCGACTCCACCGAGTTCAGTGTTGAGGTGAGACTCTGCTTCGAGGTCGAGCGGCGAATGACGCTGGCAGGACGTGAGTAACCCTGATTGGGATTCAGGGTTTTGACCGAGTTGTGGGAGTTCGACCCAGCCCAAAGACGTCCGAGGAAACGAGAGGCAGCGGCTTGCATCTGAGGGAATGAGATCCCCGTTGGAACACCTTGAGATTGGTTGTAGCTGACTTCAAGGGCTTGAAGACTCTCGTGAGTGACGAGAGACGTTAGGGAGACAAAGTCGTTCACAAGATCGTCCGCATTGAATGCATATCTGCGACCATGGTTCAGCGTCAGTGGGGAAAACAATGTATGCAGGTCAAGATTACGTACGTGTCCCACAGGCTGCGTGACAGCAGCAATTGCATAACGTCCTCAAACTCGGTACAGGCCATGATCCGTTTCTCGTTGCGTTGCATCAGAGAGAGTGCGACTCGCATCAGAGTCTCACAGGCACCTTCAAGGAAGATGACATCGTAAATGCGGAGAAGCATTGGGAGAGGACAAGCCACTGCGAAGAAGGACAGGAACCATTGCGATACGTAGACCGGCTCGACTCCCAACACCTCGAGGTGTTGGAACAGCGCTGGACGCAGACGTGCCAAAAGGTTCTGGAATTGATACACGTGGAGGTGGAGGCCTGACAAATCTGGGAGGTAGCATGTTCGAAGGTTGTAGTGGTCCATGAGCCTATGTAATCGGGTCCGTCAGCAATCATGTTCGGGTAGACTTTAGCTGGGATGTCGTCCACACTTACCGCACCAACACACAAAACGCCTCTACGTCCGACATGTGCATCAAAAGTGGGCCAACCACAAAGCCCAATCCCTGACAGTACCCGATTTGCGAATCATACAGGCTGAAGCATCGTAAGACTCGCGCCAGCATGCGCTGGCCCTCTCCGTTAGGATCACGGAACATCTCCACGTTGGGGAAACTGCGACCAATATCTTTTCCAATCAGTCCATCGTAAGGGCTGCTTTCGCCACTTAATCGCTGGAACTCTTCGACTAAAATGGGATCGCGCGCACCCGCCAGGCTCGGCCACACCACACCTCGCAGAGGTGGAGGCACACCTTGCTGGATCTTATTCGAGGTCAGCGTTGGGAGTCGCTGTGCGGTCTGGGGGTAATCAGCCACCAGGGCGGCCCAGAATTCTAGCTCGGTCATTGGAGGCGGTTGAAGTTGCGAGTACCGCAGTTCCGATCGTGTAGGTTCATTGATGAGTTTTTGGATTTGGAAGAGCGACTCGGAACGTGATTGTCGTTGATGTGTTCGCTGGTTGCGGGGCGCATTGGACAATGCGGATTTGGGATTCGTAGCCAGTGCATTGTTCTCTTGTTCGAGACGTGCCAGCAAAAGAGCCGTAGACTAGAAAAACACAACCGGTTGGTATTGTCAATCTCACATTCCACGGGCTGGCCCGCACGATCCGTTGGGTGGATCGAGAGTCGCGAAAAAGGCAAAGAAGAAGAAAACGAGCGGGAAAGGGGGAATGAGGGGGGAGCCGCATTCCATGGGTTTCAACATACATCGTCCGATCCCTCTCCACGCGGCTCTTGTTCCTCGGTCCGGTCCAAGTCAGTCCAATCCCCTTCACTCTTGAATCCCTCGTCATGCAAATCGAGCGTTCCGGCATTGTCATCCTGGGTGGTGGGCGAGGACAATTCGTCTGTGGGGATTGGGGTGGTTTTGGCAGCATCCAGAAGCACCTTGGGGCCGAAGGACTCGGTTTGGTCCTGCAGGGTCCCAGGGCTATGTGACTCGACTGGCGTGGGTGGAATGTTGAGACTTCGCCATTCTGGTTGTGTATGCTCTGAGTTGGACAGATTATCGGACAAGGCCACTGTGACCATCGAGTCGTGGTTAGGGAGTTGTGGCGGTCCCACTGAAGCGGACGCGAAGCTCTCCATGTCTATGTAGACTTTCCCAGACTGAGGAAGGGAGGGACTGAAGAAGCTGTGGTGATGACCAGAATGAGTGGTGGGAGACTGAATGGTGGTCAAAAGAGTGTCGGTCGTGTTTCCTCAGCTGTATCCAGTTGCCAGCAGATGTTTGCTGCGCGTTGTCGCAACGTGTACGAGGGAAGAGCTGAAAGCAAACACACCCCCAGCGGTGATCCAGCACCACCTGTGATATGCGATTTGATGAAAGAGGTCGACAGGAAGGGCTGGCCGAGAGGACAAGTGATGGGTAGCAAACACGCGATCCAGAAGTCGAGGGGAGGCTGGCAATGGGATGGATAGGAAAGTCAGAGTCTATGGAAGGGAGTTCAATTATTCTCAGGAGGGGGCAGACGTCCCAGGCACTAAACCAGTATAGTGAATAATAGTAATACCACTTTAGTACTCACCTTGACTTGTTGCTAAACACACCACGAGACTCCACTCCGCCCCCTTTGGCTGTCCCCCCTGGGGAGGAGTCTCGCCCCCGGCGATCATCCACTGGCAAGCAAACTAGACGCTTCAGTGGATTCACCTGCCTTGGTGGATGGCGTTCTAGTGCTTTCCTTTTGTCGTTGGACGTGATGGATGGTGCAAAAGGTGAGTGCGGGACTGCGGATCCTCCACTTGGCCCCTCATCGCCAGTCCTTCGGCGTCATGATTCTGGTCAATCAGCGGCCAGATATTGTGTGTACATGAGCTACATACTGAACATTCAACATTGTACAATGTACAATGTACATCACTATCTGGATACTGACTATACTCAGAGTCAGTACTCAGTAGTAGTACCATGATATGATGATACTACTACAAAGATACAGTCTAGTGTCTAGGTACCGCGGTATGCAAACTTCTCCCGTCTCGGCCCTGACGCAGGAACCAATTTGCAACTCTACCGACCGTCTTTTCTTGGCGGCGGACACGGAAGGAGCTTAACATTATGTAGATCCAGCGTTGGAGCACAGAGAATTCAACCCTCTGAAAGATTCCTGTCTTCCGTCTGATCAATACTCCAGCACCAAAAAGGAGCCATTCTTTTACTACGACTGTGAGCGTGGAATGTTAAACCCCCCCCCCCCCCCAGCCTGGACCCCTCGCATCGCCACCGTCTTTGCTCGTGGAGAAGAATCTCCGGTGGACTTGCGAGGGTCGGGTGGGTTGTGGTTTCGGAGTCTTCCATCGAGCCTGATTGCCCAAACACCTCCTACTTTGAGTTCTTTCCTGTCCCACGGTTCAGAGAAGCGATTAATCAGGGCAATACGAGGTGTGACATCACGGGCAACGCGACTTTATGTAATTTAAACATCTCATTATTGGGTCAATCAACTAAAGAAGGATATCAATTGGTTGAGATTTGCGGATCTACATTGAAACACTGTTACCGCTGGCCCCCTGAAACCGTCAGAAAACAAGTTTCATGCTTCCCCACACATGAATCAGCCTCCATCAATAGACTGTCTTCCTTCACATCGGACAAAACTCATCCTAAGTCATGATGCCCCGGCACGATCACAAGGTCTGAATTCGCATACGAGGACTACCGGAACAAGATGGACATGGAGGGCTCGGCGCGTATCATTTGTGGACTCATGTGTAATCCTGCAAGTCAGTAGAATCTCGTGATTCAATGCCCCCGCCTACTTCATAGCAAGATATACAACCCCCAACCTTATGCCTGTAGGGCGGCTATGGTTGAAACTTGAAACTTGGGAGTGCTAACTGCTCAGGGCATCATCCATGGTCGTGCTATCAGCCTGTCTGATCATGTTCTTTTTGCAAGCTAAAATAACCAAGCGTTCTTGTGGGCGGTCAGCCAGACGTGCTTTCACCATCCATTCAACCCATTTTATCACTGGGATGCGCAGACAAGGCCCCTTGTAGAGTGGCTGGGCATTTCGTCGTGAATGGAGCATGCACACCAGTCGTCGAGTATTCTACCTTGCTTTGATAGACACCTCGGGACCCGCGTAAGGGTGTATAAATGCGCCGTATTGCACCGCAGTGACCACCGAGTCACTGACCACTGACCACACTATATTCGTACTTCGTGCTGACGTGCTCAGCTCACCTAAGGTTGTGTAAGACGTACCTTCATATCTGATTTTTACATACACACATCGATATGATACCGGCGAGAATGCGATTTCCAAAATCTGTCACCACTTGAAGACTCACTTGAGGATTTTGATTTTCATAGCAGACTCCTGTCAGAGCAGGACACGTTCAGATAGGGCTGAAATTGTCTCACTGAGCCAATGAGACACCATTTCTGGTCTTCGAAACACACAAGTCCAGCCCCAGGAGCCCAAGCCTTGAAGCGTATGTTGAATGAGGGCCAGACGGAATTGACAGGATTGTGACATGAAACGAGCTGTCGCTGTGCAAAGCTCAAGTCATCTCTCGTGGTGAAACCGCTCTTTCACTTTTACATAGGAGGGTGAAATGATTGGATATGCGGCGTCGATCCCAAGCACTGGGCCCCGACCTCATCGGGTAACTGACAGTCTCCCACACCTCCAACTGGAGATGGCTGCGCGAACTCAGAGGAACAGTCGATTTCTTCGATCAAGATTTGGCGCAGCGTGTCCCCAGCGCCTACCAGCGCAGACATGAGCTCTGAATATGAGCTCTAAATTTAGAGTCTTTTGGAATGTACAAAATACTGAATTGTCTCAATGAGGGCAACAGCGTCTTGCAAGCGACTAGCTAGACTGAGATCACTGAGTGCTATGCAACACGCTTGACATACGTAGATGACGCGCGATCGGAACGTCTGGATTCTGCCACCGACAAGCCGTAACATTCACGGAGAGTTTTTCACGTGCAGCACCACAGTGCAATACTGATTTGTTTAGAAATTGCTGCTTTGGGACACAAGTGGGGTAAGGCGGTCGAGGAATAAGGTTGGTCCGACGAGCCACGCAGCTCACCGCCCGAATATGCGCCGGCAGTCGCGTTTCAGCAAAACAAAGAATCAAAGAAGCGGTTTCCCCTCCTTCTACACTCGCCTCTGGACCTGTCATGCTAATCATCTAGTTCCTTCTCAACTTTCATTCACCCCTAATTCACCCCGTGGTCTTAGTTGAGCTCTCGATTCCCTCGTTGATCGGCCTGATACCGAATTCCTCGGTCGTTCAGCGCCGCAATCCCCTGATCATGGAGGACTCGGAGATTGACAATGATTCCATTTTTAACATCAGCGACGATGACAACTCAGATTTTAAACCAGAGAAGCCAGCAGTGGTGAGTCTACGTCTTTAGTGGCGAGTCGCCAGGCGAAGTCAGGCTGACTCGAAGACTCGACAGAAAACCAAGGCCAAAGCTGCGCCCAAGAAGGTTGCTGCGAAGGCTGCCCCCAAAAAGGCACCTGCGAAGCCCAGGGCCAAGCCTGCTGCCAAAAAGAAGGCCAAGGCCGATACGGAGGACGAGGCCTCGAATGTCGCATTGTCCGACGATGACGCCCACTCCCTTCTCTCCCAGACCCCTCCCAAGGCGAAAAAGGCACCTGCCGCGAAGCGTGCTGGCTCAAAGCCTCTGGCAGACCTCGAAAATGAGGCGTTTGGCGGAGATGGCGCGTCAGATGCCCCCCCAGAGAAGGGAAGCGCATCCGAGAAGTACCAGAAGGTAAGCTACAAGCAGAGACCTCGACTGCACATCAGACATGCCCATGCTAACACGGGGTCGCTATCAAAAGCTCACACAACTTGAACACATCACGAAACGTCCCGATACATACATTGGCTCAGTCGAGCGCACAACTCAGCAGATGTGGGTTTACAATTCCGAAACCGATTCCATGGAGTTCCGCAACGTCTCATACGTGCCGGGCCTGTACAAGATTTTCGATGAGATCGTCGTCAACGCCGCAGACAACAAGCAGAACGATAAGAACATGAACGAGATTCGCGTGACAATCAGTCGCGAGGCTGGTGAGATCAGCGTCTGGAACAATGGACGTGGTATTCCAATCGAGATCCACTCTAAAGAAGGGATCTATGTTCCTGAGCTCATCTTCGGCCATCTCTTGACCTCCTCGAACTACGACGATGCGCAGGCAAAAGTTACAGGTGGCCGAAATGGTTTCGGTGCCAAGCTCTGCAATGTGTTCTCCACCGAGTTCACCCTCGAGACCCAAGACTCGCGCCAGAAAAAGAGGTACAAGCAGACCTGGACGGACAACATGAGTAAAATGGGCAAAGCCAAGATCACAGAAGCCAAGGGCGACGATTTCACAAAAGTCTCTTTCAAGCCGGATTTCGTGCGATTCGGCATGGACGGCATTGATGATGATTTTGAGGCCCTCGTGAAGCGCCGAATCTACGATCTGGCTGGTACCACGGGTGTCGCCGTCAAGCTCAACGGTACCCGTGTGCCTGTGCGCAATTTCAGAAAGTACATGGAACTGTACACCAAGGCTATTCGCAGAGAGCGTGGCGAGGAAGGCCCTGCTCCCAAGGACGAGATCATCACCTGCAGCCCCGATCCTCGTTGGGAGATTGGATTCACAGTCTCGGATGGCGCTTTCCAGCAGGTCTCATTCGTCAACTCCATCGCTACCACATCTGGAGGTACACATGTCAACTATATTGCGGATCAGATTTGCAATCGTCTGGCAGAGCAAGTGAAGAAGAAGAACAAGACCGGTGCCACGTTGAAGCCAGCGCAAATCCGAAATCACATTTTCATCTTTGTCAATGCGCTTATCGTCAACCCGGCCTTCAACTCTCAAACCAAGGAACAATTGACCACAAAAGCCAGTCAGTTTGGCAGCAAGTGCGTCCTTGAGGAAGATTTCTACAAGAAGATTCTCAAGACCGATGTGATGAACAACATCCTCCATTTCGCAGCCCAGAAAGCAGATCAAATTTTGAAAAAGGGGGACGTCGGTCGTCGTACGCGCATGAACAACCCCAAATTGGTCGAAGCTAACAAGGCCGGTACTCGCGAGGGTCATCACTGCACATTGATTCTCACTGAGGGTGACTCCGCCAAGGGCCTGGCAATGGCTGGACGGGCTGTTGTTGGTCCCGATCTTTTCGGCGTCTTCCCCCTTCGTGGAAAGCTGCTCAACGTTCGCGACGCAACCTTCGACCAAATCTCCAAGAATCAAGAAATCCAGAACATCAAGAACTTCATCGGTCTGCAGCACAAGAAGGAATACACCGACACCAAAGGACTACGATACGGTCATCTGATGATCATGACGGATCAGGATCATGATGGAAGCCATATTAAGGGTCTGCTGATCAACTTCCTTCAGGCGCAATTCCCAAGTCTGCTGAAGATTCCCGAGTTCCTCATCGAGTTCATCACTCCTATCATCAAAGTTTGGAAGGGTGATCCTAAGAACCCCACCAAGTCGCGATCCTTCTTCACTATGCCCGAATACCATGCCTGGGAAGAGGATCACAAGAATGAGCGTGGATGGGAACACAAGTACTACAAGGGTTTGGGTACCAGCTCTACCGAAGATGCCCAAATCTACTTCCGCGACTTAGACCGACATCTCAAGGAGTTCCATACAATGCAGGACGGTGAAGACGCCCTCATTGAGCTTGCTTTTTCAAAGAAAAAGGCCGACGAGCGTAAGGAGTGGCTGCGTCAGTTCAAGCCTGGCACTTACCTTGATCACTCCACTGACAAGATCTCCTATACGGACTTCATCAACAAGGAGTTGATTCTGTTCAGTATGGCTGACAACCAGCGGTCCATACCCTCGGTGGTCGATGGCTTGAAGCCGGGACAACGTAAAGTTCTTTACACCTGCTTCCGCCGTAATCTGAAGAAGGACATGAAGGTTGTTGAATTAGCAGGTCTCGTCTCAGGATTGACGGCTTATCAACACGGCGAAGCCTCGCTGCAGCAGACCATTGTTGGTCTGGCTCAGACATTTGTCGGGTCAAACAACCTCAACACACTCGAGCCCAGTGGAAATTTCGGTAGTCGACTGCAAGGCGGTGGTGACTGTGCGTCAGCTCGTTACATTTACACACGCTTATCGCCCTTTGCTCGAAAGGTCTTCCATCAGGCCGATGAGCCTCTACTAACATACAATGAGGATGACGGTAAGAAGATTGAACCGGAGACCTACATGCCTGTGGTGCCTTTGATTTTGATCAATGGTGCTGACGGTATCGGTACTGGTTGGAGCTCTTCGATCCCCAATTACAATCCAGAAGACATTGTTGCTAACATCTACCGTCTGATGGACGGTCAAGAAATCATACCTATGCAGCCATGGTTCCGAGGCTTCACTGGTGAAATTGAGAACGTTGGTGGAGATCGCTACAAGTTTAGCGGAATTATCAAGGAGACCGGCGAGAAGGAGGTTGAAATTACTGAATTGCCGATCCGTACATGGACCCAAGACTTCAAAGACAAACTGGAGGACATCATCAAGGCCGAGAAAGTGCCCTCCTTCATCAAGGATTACAAGGATTACAACACCCACAGCAAGGTGCACTTTGTGATTCAGCTCGACGAGAAGAACATGAAACTTTCCGGCTCTGAGAACTGGGAGGAAAAATTCAAACTTTCGAAGACAATTGCGACCACTAACTTGGTGGCATTCGATGCGGAGGGGCGTATCACCAAGTATGCCACTGTCGATGACATTCTGAAAGAATTCTATACCATCCGCCTCAAGTATTACGAGCGGCGTAAGCAGCATCAGCTTTCCGAACTGCAGAAAGAGTTGGAAAAGCTGAGCAATCAGGCTCGTTTTATCATGATGATCATCGAGGGCACTCTGGTCATCTCAAAGAAAAAGAAGTCCGTCCTCGTCCTCGAATTGAAGGAGAAAGGCTTCAAACCCTTCCCTAAAGTCGCCGATGCGGTCAAGATGGGTGAGGATGAACCTGCGATGGAGGATCCTGAGGAGACTGAGGATCAGGATGTAGAAGTGCTGTCCAGCTCGTACGACTACCTCCTTGGTATGCCAATGTGGTCGCTCACCCAAGAGCGAGTCGAGCGCCTTCGTCGCCAGATTGGCGATCGTGAGATGGACATCGACACGCTGATCAAGCTGTCCAAGGAGGACATTTGGAGAAAGGACCTGGAGGACTTCATTACCGAATGGCGCTTCCAACTGGAGGACGAGGCGCGTCGAGTCCGAAAAGTTCAAAACATGGGTCGACGAGGCTCATCCAAACTCATGACTGGTGGCGCTAGAGGCGCCGCAGCGGCGCGCAAGCGGAAGGCTGCCGCCGGTGACGATCCTGATGATGCAGACTTTGCAGCCCCCAAGCCAAAGAAGACCGCTGCAGCCAAGAAGAAGGAGCCGGCGTTCAATAGTCTTGCCAAATTCCTTAACAAGACGCCGACGGAGGAGCCGAAGCCCAAGGTCGTGAAGCCTCAGGACACTGATGATGACTTTGATCTCGAAACGGAGGTTCTTCCTAAGAAACAGCGTGGTGCAGCCGCGCAGAAGGCCGAGGGGAGGACCGAAGATGCTACTCTCGATCTTGAAGAAGTTCCGTTGAATGACTCATCCCATGCCTCGGGCCGGGGGCAGCTTTCTAGTGATCCGATGGAGGTTGACGAAGTCAGAAAAACTGTAGCTGCGAAGCCAGCTCCCAAGGCAGCCGCGAAGCGTGCTCCCAAGGCCAAGGCCAAGGCCGTAATCGATGAGGACGAAGACGACGATGATGCCTTCCTCGAAATTGCGAAAGCAACGGCCTCAAAGCCGGCTCCAAAGACTGGCAGAGCCCGTAAACCTGTCAAGTACATTGCAGAAGATGAATCCGACAGCAGCAATGGCGATGATCTTCTGGGCGATGTCAGTCAGATGGTCAAAGGGATCGGTGGCGATGACGCAAATGCCCGACCTCTGATTTCAGAGCGCTCGCGCGCCGGTAGTAGTGCCAGCTTGATTGCGCCGACTAAGTCTAAAATGAGCGAGTTTGATCCTGACGAGACCGACTACAGCAAACTACTTCCACAAAGCTCCCCTCGTCGCGCACTCAAGGTCACATCCAAGGACAAGGATGTCTCTAGGATCGGAGATGACGAAGACGAGCCAGAAGAGCTCGAGGCCCCGGCGAAGGCTGCTCCGAAATCCAAGGCGGCCCCCAAGGCGAAGGTGGCCCCAAAGACCGCTGCAGCTGCGGGTCCCAAGGCTCGTGGCCGTCCTCCTAAAAAGGAGCCGGCGAAGGCCGCTGCTTCTCCGGCCGCCAAGGCGTACGCTGCCAAGGTCGCTAAGACCACCAAGAAGAGCGCCCTCAACGACGATTTCTCTGAAGATGACATTGATGCCATGGCCAACGATATCTTGGATTCGCCGGCAGGCAAGTTCGATGGATCAGACGACGAACCTGTCGCACCTCGACGGGCTGCAGCGAGACCTGCTCGTCGTACTGCTGCCGCGGCGAGGAAAACCTATGTCATTGAGGACGACAGTGATGAAGAGGCGTCGGCTGACGATTTTGACGATGAGAGTGACTAGTTAGCCTCACATTTGCCAGGGCTTCACATTGCATTCATAGTCCTGGCTCGATCATCTTCACCTTAGATTACTTGAAGCTTTTGCTTCTTTCCTTCCACTGAATATTTGGTGACTATTCTTCGCATTCGCGTTCGTGTGATGTAATTTTCTTATGGGTCTATTTCTGGTAACGGCGGTGCCGGCGGGGGTGTAGTTTCAGGAAACAAATGCTAGTCTTGATTTCTTTTCCATCGCTTCGATAGTTCTTGACGTTTGCGTAGTTACCTGGAGCAAATAAACAACCTCCTCAAAAGACCGTCAAATGTCTTGTCATCAACATCAAGAAGGACAAGGTATGACTTGCACATGAGAAACATCCACCTCGCCTTGGTAAACACCGTTGAAATCACTCTCTCCAAAATCAGCGCCATCCCAGTCTATTTGAACACCGATCCAATGACATTTGACTCATTCATGAAGAAAAATTCACACTCCAGTACCTATTTCCGACGGATCTCGCCGACAAGCCTTCATTTAAATCGAGACACGACGGCGTTTGCGGCTCCGGGGATTGGAACTGGCGAGAGAATACTCAGGGGCCGACTGCTCCAGGCTTCGCTCGTTATTCTTGTCAGAATCATCATCACTGTTTCTGCAAGAAGCGCGTTGCATATGCATGTGGAGCAGAGCATGGGCGGCTCTGATCTCCCGGCCAATTCGAATGGAAGGAGGCGTGATCTGGGGCTCTTCGTCTGCATGGTCGTTGCCGTTACCGTTGCCGTTACTGTTGCCGTTGCCGTTGCCGTTGCGTGAGGGATATCTCTTGGTCACGCTCGTATCACGGACAGCGTCATACTTCAAAGACGACCTGGCATGGCGTGGTCCACGGTACTCTTCATCATCCTCGTTTTCCTCCTCATCCATCAAAGTGCTATCGTCTGGCGAGGTGGAGAGATCGTCACCGAGCTCCGAGTCTGCATCCGCGGAGTCACGGCCAACGCCGGCCATATTGATCATGTCCGACTTGCGACGAGGAGGGTTGGAGCGAGGGACAGGGACCGACTCTGCGTCCGAGTCGCTGCCATCAAGTCGCAGTGTCAGGGCACCCAGTCTGCGAGCAGAGGCCTCATTGAGAAGGCTGCGAGACTCGCTGAGAGCAGGGTGCGAGCTAGGAGGCCGGTTGATCGGGGTGAAGCCATGGTGCGCAGGGCTATGGGGCGAGCCCGAGTACGGCTCAGAAGAAGAGCCGCGCATGCTGCTGGCACTGTCGTCGTATCTGTGTCGAGCCACTCTGCTTGAGACGGAGGACGAGTCCCACTGTTCTGCGTTGAGGATCAGGACGGGTCGCGTGAACTGGTTTTGGAGGATTGGAAGGTGACGGGGCGGTAGAGGGGACGGTTCTTGGGTAGTAGGAAGGCGCTCAAGGAGTCTGTAGCGACGCGAAAGCTCTGCTGCCTCTTGGACGATCCGGGGATCGATGATCATTCGATTGAAGTTGAAATGATCGTCGGGGGGAACGCACAGCTCCGGGAAATCCAGCCCAAAGATCGGAGTGAGCAGGAAACGAATCTCCCAGCAGAAAGTAGCGGCGATGGCCTTGGCTGCCTCAAATGGCATCCAATAGCCTGGATAAATTTTAGTCTTCAGTTTTGTCCAACAAGGAATACGTGTTTGTGGTTGTAATCTTGTGTAGGCTTGGGGAGCAGTGTGTTTGAAGGTTTGGAAGAGTAGAGGTGCGTAGGTTTGGGGGAGAGAGAGAGAGGAAGCGAGAGAGAGAGAGGAAGCGAGAGAGAAAGAGAGAGAGGGAGAGAGGGAGGGAGACAAAAAGACCAGAGAGAATGGATGTCCTACCTTGCGCTGCAAGTGAGCCCCCGGTAATGCTGTGACTGATTTCACGGAGTCCAAGATTGTTGTTCAGCACACGCGCCGGTGCAGTCTAAGAAATGTTTGGTAAGCGAAAGGTGTGATGAGATGAGGTTAGTATTTTCACTGGGTAGAGATGGACAGACCTTTGCATGACCCAGACACTTGAACAGATGAGTCGTGCGCACCAAACCGATGTTGTAGTCCCAAGTGACAGTCCACGGCTCTGCATCCACGCCAGGGCGCTGGAAGGTGTATTGGAAAACTGTGAAGAGACAATCGGATATAGTTGAGTATCGTACTTTTTCGACCAAGTCCCATCTTGTCGGCGAGGCTCACTTACCATGGAAGCAGTCTCGTCCAGTTTGCGTCAAGAATGTCTTCTTCTCGCTCTGGTATGGGATATGGCGAGGATAATCAGCGATATTGCCGTATGGGGTCAATTTTGCTTTGCGATGCTCTTCTTCCAGGAAAGGAGTGCGATCCTCATGAGGAGGATAGCGAAGTTCTCCTTGGATGGGACCGGGTTGGAACACAGCTTTGTCCTTGGCGACTTTGGGCTTCGGGGGTCGTTGATGCTGTTCGGCCAAGACCATCTGAGAGCTCGGCATGATGGATTGAAAATGAGCAGGTTGGGGCTCCCTAACAGGATTGAGCAAGTCACGGATCGAGCCCATGAATGACAAGAGATAGGCCGAGGCCTTCTCTTGGGATGACAGTGAGAGAGGAGTGTACCAGGGTCTTGGACTGATGAAATGGACAGAATAGACAAAAAACTGGGGGAAACCACAAGATGTTGTCGAGTCGAGGCAATGGGGGGAAAGGTGAAGATGAGATGGAGAGGAGAGAGGAGAATCTCGAGAGAAGATGGGAGCCTGGGAGGAGGTCTTAAAGTCAATCGGCAGAATGCTCTCAGTACAATGCACGCGTGGGTGTGTGTAAAGAGGAATCACAGTTTCCAGAAGCTGTCAAAGGTAAGACCTGGGTATCTGCTCTGAATGAGTGTCTTAAGAAGCAAGACAGCTCTGGGCTTTGTTCACGACGTCTGGATGATGGCGCGTTTTGACGCGTTGGGAACCTACGCGGAGCCTTCTTTGCCGCGGTGCTTGAATCACAGAAATGGGAAATTGCAGCAGCTTAATTTATGCTTGCTCAGTCATTGCTCTCGATTTGATACGGGAGCCACCTTGACATGAGTTGAATCCTCTACCAGCAGGACATCAAAGATGCATCAAGCGCCCTGCGAGATGAGCCAAGCGCAATGGAAGGACTTTTATTGAACTTCATCGAATTTATCTGAGATGTGGAATTTGCTGTTCATAAATGGTGGCAGATTCATCAGGGGAATGAGAAGACTCGACTCATTTTTTATGAGCGAGGCCATGGCCAGTGTTGAGATATCATCGGGCCCTCGAGGATGCCTTGATATTCTCCATGCCTTTCTCCGAATCCCTCGAGAACCGATCGCTATCTTCACCCCAATTCATACTTAGACGCCGCATGTCAGAAAGATTGAGTCGGACAACAGTCGGTTCCGATGAGCCTGTTTGTCGCTTTCATGGAAGATTAGACGCACGGTCACCGTCTTCCACGCCACCTGGTGAACCAAATGAAAGGCATAATTATCATCTTCAGGAATCACCAATTCTCAACTGACCGCCATCCGCCATGCTGTGTTGCAGGTCAGAGACTTTGACTCCTCTTGAATGCATGAATGAGTTTGACGAATGAAGCGAGGCGTACAGAAGAGAACCGGCCTTCTACGGGTCACTCTGCATAAAACCCATGTCTCTCAGTTTCGAGGCCTTAGCGGTTACACCACCGGAGCTGCGCTTAACTCAGACCTACCAATTCCCAGACAGGCAATCTGATTCAGGTGAGACTTTGAAAGTGTCTTTGGGATCTTCTTTGAACGCCATGTGGAGCCAGACGTGCTTCTATGAGGAAAGTCGGATGGATGACTCTTGACTTTATGGATGCCATATCCCATATGCATGCAAACAGACCGCGGCATTCAATACTATGCTAGTGGGACTAATCAGACAACTTTGTTCGAGTAGGGCCATCATGATACTGTGGATCTCCTACCGTCAAGCAGTCAGTCAGTAGACGAGCTTCCCTACGCTGGCGGCTTCTCCGTGCCCTAACAGCGGCATCGAACAACATTCGGACGAGATGCCACCATGACACACTTGGAGACAACCCCGATACAGGACGAAAAGACCCTCGAGTGGAGACAATGTCACTTGCAGAACTCGACGCTTTCTTCCAAGCTCATTTGACGTGCTGTCTTGATTTTCTGACTGTTCAAGGTGTTTCTTCAGTCGCTCAAAAGGTCTCAGACCTGCGGCAAGCTGCAGGAATGGGTACCTCACCGTCATACAAGGAAGCAACACGTCCCACATGCAACTCGATTTGATCACAACGGTGAAGTGTCCACCCTGAATGGAGAGATAAACTTCTGACAGACGATGCAAGTTGGTGTACTCTCATACAGAGCCCAAAGGGCTACAGATTCTATGGCCGTGGCATACTCCCATATCCCTCAAGACGAAGCTTTCTTTTCGGGAGAAGAAGGCAGTTGATATTATGATCTTTTATAGCCTGTGAAGGAAACAGAGCCATGGATTCAGATCTCTGCCAGCTGCCAGGGCATTGACAGACCGCCCGTGTTTTCCACTTCACCGGGAAAAATTAATGCATCCATCCTTCCGAGTGGATTGTACTCCGATTTACTCTTCTACATGATTAACAAAACATTCCTTGGGATAGGCGGCCCCACACCTGACCAGAAGAATGTTCCATGCATGCTTCTTTGCAGCCCTGACCGATACTTGGCTTCGTTCCTTGTCTTTGCCTGTTCCCTTTCAGATGTCAATTGTCTTGCGTGTTGACAGCTCTCGATCGCTCAACCCACGTTCACTGTGTTGAGTATAGTGTCATGGACTTTTATTCGACTTCACCCTTCTGGTCTCGACCATCATACTCATGATCGAGGCAGGGTTGTCTCATTGAGCAAGTGTGGTGAAGTCTCCGAGCAACGGTTGACGAAACAGGCACTGAGTAGGTAGGAGGGCCGCGCGTTGACACTGCGAGGTAATTCACGACCTGAACCATCTCGAATTTTGCTTCGGAAAACCTCTCGTCAATTTGAGCCTCCACAACTTTCTTGTGGTTGTAAGATTTCTGGGTGAAAGTGTGCAGACTTTCGGGCAGCTTTGATCTTTGTTGACCTGCTGCCCGACCAACGAGTCTGAGACACTCGGCATGGTTCAAAGAGGTTGGAACTGCAATAACTCAAGACACAGCGCTCATGTGAATACGAGACATAGTCGGTCAGTGCCATTGACAACATTCATTACAGAGTACAGTATGGATTTGGAGGTCTTTTTCAGCTAGACTAAAGTCATTCAATGTGAGAATGGCTACCCCCATATACAAGGATATACAAGGAGATTTGGATTGTTGGAAATGTTCAGAACCTCAAAACTGGCCAAATCACCATGCATCATATCAAATCCCAGCATTGATGCTGATCCATAGAAGCTTGGTTGTCTCTTGGTAGTATGATTCAGCTTGGATATACCCTAGCTATCCAACATCAACAGACAGCATATTGGAGGTAGAGAGTGTCAGATCCACCCGCTGTTCTACTGGTTAGACCTTCCACAACATTCATCGAGGCGAGGCACTCCAAGACTGAATTGCATCGCTATCTCCATAGGTACTGCCTCCCCTAAGTCCTGTTCCCCGTGATTGACTTCCACCATGAAATTCACCATATTCAATCGCACCACATGACATGAGAACAAGCCAGTCCAGATCACAACACGACAACTCCAGACAAATTCCCCGACACTGTTGTGTCGCGTAGTCCAAGATTCAATTCAACCGCTCGACAACATTTCCACCGTGCGGGGAAGAAGGCCACAAGTCATGTCGGATTGCGAGAGAAAGGCATTGTCAATCTGGCCTACGGGGAAGCCGGGTCTGCGCGTGCTTTTTCGTGGGCTCGAAGACAGGCTAGACTGAGGCAGTGACTGGACTCGAGGCTGTGCCGGAATTGACATCCCAACCGCCGGTGGTCTTTGTCCGAATTTGACTGATTTGCCGCGGTCTGGGGTGGGGGGAGCTTGGAGGTGCACTGTCCTGCCGTTTCTTCCCCCGTCGTAGAGACAAGTCATGCGAAGTGACACTGGACACCGTGGCTCAGAACGCTCGAGAGCCGAGAGGTTACAGTCGAACATGCTATCATTACTCAGATGCATCGTACGGGAGCATAGGGTGTAGAATGGTCATGAATTGATTGAAAAGTAGGCATTAACACAATATGAACCCTGCCAAAGGGACATCCACAACACACGGGAGGCACCAAACCCCCCGGTGCAGAGGCAATGGAAATGAACAGTAAATAGTCAGGAATTAAGACACAAGGAAGAAATAGATCAACGAGGGGCAAGCACAGAATGAGGTGGAAGCATGCCCGTACATCACATCAATGAGCATCCCCACAAAAGCTTTTGAAAGAGTCCGTACTCCCTAAGGACATACGAACGCAAAGTATGAAAAGAGTCACCCGCCTAACACAACAGGAGACCGGGATCCCACTAGGCCCTATGCTGTCAATGCGCGCAAGGCCAAGAAGATCTTCTTAGGTCTTGGAGCTGTGATGAGACGAGTGCACGACCTCGCGGGGCGGACCATTTACACAGCCACCAACGGCTCACGCTCAGCAGCGGCAGACGGGGTCTCGTCCGACTCAATTGACTGTGCGATGGGCGCCAGTTTGGGAGCTTCGGGGAAGTCCTCAGATTTAAAAACAGGCTCAGTCACAACTTCGGTCTTGATCAAGGGTTCGGTAGCAGGATCGACCTTCAACAGGGGCTCACTAGCGGGCTCAGACTTAATTGCGGGCTCCGCAGCGGGTTGTGTCTTTGACGGAGCAGGAGCCTTGGTCATCTCAGGGGATGCAGAACGACGGCCAATCATCTCCTGGGCCTTGTGGCTGTACTCATCGACATACTGCTTCATGACACCAGTGGCGTGAGAAGTGCGCTCGCCGGCGAGATCTTTCAGCTGGGTAGTCTGCGAGCTGACAATCTGGTGGATGTTGGTGAGTTGTTCATCGATAATCTCGCGGTTGCTGATGTAGATGAGAGGTCCCAGGTAGGCCACGGTCACTGAGATGACGGCCAGACCCCAGAGAGGAACGAAGCGAACAAGCCAGTAGCCGGAGAAAGCAGCGATAAAAGCCTATACATGGAGTCAGTCGGCTTGTTGACAACGGCGTTGCTAGTCTCACATACTCCAACGGTGTGCACCACGTTCTCAGCAAACAGAATGCGCTGGAACTCAATCACGAAGAAGTCGAGCAGCTGAGACAGGTCTTCGAGGATCGCTTCATGGGTCTCCTTAGGGATAGTGTAGTAACGACGAGGACGGAAAGAGCTGGCAATTCCCTGCTTGAGGATGATCTGACCAGCAAGCTCAACTCCGGCGGTCACTGCATGTAGGGGTGAGCGAGAGTCCATGATCATGGGAGGGCACGCAAGCAACTCACAGCCAAGCGACATGTACAAAAACTTGAAAGCCCAGCGAATCAGAGGTAGGTAACGGGCGGCAAAGATGAAGGTGATGACGGTGGCATAGGAGACAGCGGTCGCGCGGGGTTGTTCCCACTAGATTGTTCAGAGCGCATGTTAGACCGGGGCCACGGAGTAGTTAGTAGCGAGGAAGCCGAAACAACTTACGCTCAAGAGGCTGTACAGGAGCGAGTGGTAGTCTGAACGAAGAGCCAACAATCAGTCCACTGTATTTCTTGCATCGACAATCCATCTCGGTTGACACCTCGAGAACATACGCGTCAGAGGTTGGCCAGTGCTGGTTGTGGTTGAAGGGATGACACGGGCACTATTCAGATCGCGGAATTCACTAGAGGTCTTAGAGACCTCTGCTTTGAGATTGTCGACAACGGGACCTGGAGGCAAGATTGGTCAGACTGATTTTCTCGGGGTGGGAGAGCTTCTCGTGTGTAGGAGGAAGCCATGTCGGACAGGGGGCCTGGTAGGCCAGTACGACGCACCATTTGTGACAGCATCACGAAGGCCTAAGAGTTCATGAAAGATTTGAAATTAGTTTGTGTGGTCCCAAAGGGGTGTATAGCATGGCGCTCTTGACATGGTGTGACTGAAGTAGTGAACGGTCAATTAGTATCTTCCTGCTCAGTACCATAGTGGGCTGTGCGTCAACAAAGGTACTTACCTCACTGCCCGGGTTTGGGTAGCGCACATCACCAGAATCGGACATCGCGACAGATGGAGGGGGGCTCAAGTCGAAGGTGTTGATTAAATGCTCAAGCAAGGTCTGGGGTAGGGTAAGTAGGGCTTAGAGAATGAGTGGGCGTTGCAAAAAGTCTGAGGAAAAGAAAAGAAAGGGGATCTGCTACCAAAAGGGAGAGAGATAAGAAGAAGAGAGCGAACCGGGGCTGGATTGTTGTGGTTATTTTTTTAGGCGTGTGACTGTGATGCAACTGCCGTCCGATTGTCATGTGCGTTCGCCAAGGCTGGGCTCGTACCGCCCCGGCTGATGATGTCAAGTTGCTTCGGCTTTTTGACTTGTTACTTGGTCCATGACCACCCGATCTCTCTTATGATTAGACTATACTCTATCGTAGTATTGGGTGACTTCCTCAACTACTGTTATGACTTTTTGTATAGAGTCAGTTGGAATATCAGCATTATTGACTAGTACCGACTTTACCGAGTACTGACTAGTACTACTACTGACTCACTAAGCTATGCTGTACTGAGTCTCCTTGCAGGAAGCTTTACACCGCGACCGAGTCCCATTCATGGACTTTGACCACCTATCAGTAACTGGAATAGCAGAGAGTGGACATGATAAGTAGTGGAAAGTTGAAACAGGCCGGCTGAGCCTTATCTCTCGTCATGGAGACAGTCAAACACCTAATCGCTTCGTCATCCGCCCGCATTCGCACGACTCTACCCAGGCCATCCCGGTCAAAACGTACCAATTCCACGTCAAGGACCGGAACAGTAGGCAGGCTCCATCTTCTGGTCTGCTCCATCGCTCGTACCATGCGCTTGATGATCGTTTCATGGGTCCCATGTTGTACTAACGGACCTTGGATTTACCAGGAGCCTCCGATCAGCTATATGTCTACTTTAAGGTCACCAAGTGTTTTCAGTAACTTGTTTCGTTCTAAGACGAAAGCTGCATTGAATCTAGCAGTTGTCTAAGCCCGGGGACCGCCGGTAGTGGACGACTACGAAGTACGTACTACGTACTACGTGGTAACTATAATCGCCGGTCGTCACAAGTTTAAATAGTATTGTTGATTGTCTCAATGTTTACTATCGAGCCGAGGGAGTCAACTACACTTGTTGGGTCGTTGATCTAGGTGCGCGCTGGCAGCCATGAACTCGAAAGCTGTCGTGTGCTCACATACGCAAAGCGGGCTGCTTGGTGAGGCTTCGGTGATCTCGGCTCAGGACTGGGAGCTCTTCGGTCGGGTCCAGGCCTAGCGAGGCTGTGGCCGTTGCCTGTTCCCTCAGAAGAGACGTAATGCCTTCTCGGAAGATATGGGCCTACGCTCTTGCCACTTCGTTATACTCCGCTCTGGCAGAATTGCAAAATACACGCATCACAGCCTGAGGCATGGGCAAGGGCACTCCGTATTCCGTCGTCAAATGGCTAGTAGGCGGCCCAAGCTTGAGCAAGGTTGGTTCCAGAGCGGCACTCGATCAAGATTAAGCTTGTTTCATAAGCCCCGAATTCTGCATAGCTTTCCAGATGTACAGTAGCTTCATGAGAACATTCAAACCCTCTGGTGACCGGATCTTTCAAGCTGGAAAGGAGACCATCGAGGCGGTGAAAGGTATCATGAAGAAGTGATTCTGGCTGCCAAGTAAAGAAGAGCACGGATCTCTTAGGCATCGTGCGCACTAAAATCGGACAGCTCCGAGGACGATCAGATTTGATAGTTTAGTGAGATTGAGCTCTTGACAAGCTGACGCCAATCCCGCCTCGGGCCAGACCTGAGAACTTCTTAGGACCTTCAATGGTACTCCAGAGTACCACGTGACTCGGGCAGCCCGCGCGCGTTGCCCCGTTGGGACGTGTGTGTTTTGATTTTGGTCACCTTCTTTCTCCGCAAAGGTTCGACCTCCACAGACCCCACGACGACCATTACAATCGCCGACCGTGAAATTCGATGGCATCCACTCAAGATTGAGTGTGCAGCATAATTGGATCTTCATTTGCAACTCATCGTCAATTTGCATCGTCGGTGATCCCGCCGCCCGCAGCGCGTTGTTTACCTGATGGCTACAGCTACCGCGAGGGCCCGGAAGCCCGTGGGCTCTGCGCCCTGGGTCGCTGCGGAAAAAGAAAACATTACAGATCTTGTTCGACAGGAGCTCGAGGAAGTCGAGTACCCGGTGCGCCATGAGCTCGATTGGTTGAATGAGCATATGGCGGAGATCTTCTCAAAGGGCCAGGCGTGAGTCTCTCGCTCGCGCTCAATGAGTACAATTGACCTGGAGACTGACTTGGCTCAGCAACTTCACCGATGTCTTCAAGACGCCAGGGAAAATGGTGGGGAAGACACCGCGCACGGCGCGTAAGCGTCCGGTGGAGGAAAATCGGGTAGTACGTATCTTCGAAGTGCTTTCGGGCGGGTTTGGAAGGAAGAGACTGACGATGCATTTCTAGCCCCTAAGCGAAATCTTTTCATCGACGCAAAAGAACACAGAAAAGAAAGCTGTTCCAAGTCCGAGCCCTTTTGTGCATCGGGTCATGACCAAGTCCAATGCAGCAGAACCTCAACCCGCCCGCGCGACTTCCCCTGCAACTTCCCCTACAGCCACTCGTTCCGAAAATGTCGCGCAGGGCATGCAGCTACAATATCCCGACCTCACCCAAAAACTAAACTCTTTCTCACAATTCAACACTGATTCGGGATACCATGGATTGCAAGACGACAACGACATCATGATGTCGGACACACAACCCGAAACTCAGTCGACGCAGCCGTTCGAGGAGGACGATCAATTGGTCCTGCACTCTGAAGTGGACGTCTCTCTCGAACAGCAGCCGACTGAAGACTCTTTCCATTCCGCTCAGGAGAATATGCGTCTGCGCGGAGAGACCGTGGAGCCAAGAACTTCTACTCCAACCCCGAAGCAGCCACCAATTTCTCGTTCGAACGCACCCGACTCAGTGAACCTTGGATCCGAGGCAAACCTGACACCAAAGGCTCGCAAGGGCTCAGAGCGTGGGGAAACTGCAGCTGTGGAATACAAGCAGCAGAGTCGATCTCTGGAAAAACAAATTACACTCACGCAAAATGACAGGCTGGTTGACGAGGCCGAAAAGGCAGCCCAAGAAGCACAAATTGGAGACCTTGGAGAGACCGATGTTGACATGGAGGCTGACTTCAAAGAAGATCCTGTTCTTGATGAAGATTTCGACGATATCGGATCGCCTTCGGACGGTTCAACCCCAGAGCGATTCCCCATGCGCAAGAGTAGTCTGAATTTCGCCTCATTGCCCGCGCGGGAGCCGCTGAAGGGGCCTCGTGTGTCCCGTACCTCTCATATCGATCTACCAAAGCTGAATCACGCCGGTCGCACTAGCCTTCTTGGCAAGCAATTGGGGGCTTCTGGTTCCAAGCAAGCTGCATCGGATGATGACGACAAACATAATGCGAGCGATGGCCCGAAAAATTCCGACGAGGCCAGGGAAGAAACTCTGGATGTCGAGCAAGTCAGCAGGATTCACAACAAAAAGTCCACACAGAGCCTTCACGAGAGAATCAGTATGCTTGGCAAGGTTCCGCCGTCCAGACACAAGATCTCACTCGCAGCAACCGCCGCGACATCTGCTGGTCAGATACCTTACCCAGAAATTCCCGCGACAAAAGCGGAGATCAAGCCCAACACACTCGCATCTGAAGAGCGTACGGGCGTGGTGCAGCAGTCCAAGGAGGAACCCGTGGATGAGTGGATCCGTCCGATGAGCTCGCCACAGCGACTTGATCTCACCAAGAGCAAAACTTTTGATGTGAATGAGAAGCTGTCCGAGCAGTCCCAGTCGACGAACAACTCATCCACCAAGGATATGTCGAATCCACAGCCTACCGAACCGCAACGTCCCAAGTCATCCTACTCCATTTTCTCCTCGCCTCGCCCGCATGGTCACTTCAAGACCGCTTCTGTATCAAACATTACATCGGAAACTTCGACTACTCCGACTGGATCACCTAGGCGCTTCGAGGGTCCTTTGAGTGCATCCAAGATGAGACTACAGTCCATTATGAAATCGGCCAAGGGCTTGTTCTCAAGTACTGCTGCGCCAACAAGAGTGGAGGTCCCGTCTCCAGAGCAGCAACGTCTTCGACCCCTAGACCAAGTGCAGAAGGTTTCTGAAAGCAAGTCAAAATCTGAGCAACAGCCTCGTCAACACCTCAGTCCGCCGCGACACGAAGGTCGACGAACCCGAAGCTCCACGGAGAAAGAGGAGAAGCGTCGACAGCAGGAACTTGAGGATCGTCAACGTGAAGAAGATTTGAAGCAGGAGAAGGCGCGCGAGCAGGAAAAGGAGAAACAGCGTGTCTTGCAGGTCAAAAGCATGCAAGACAAGTCGTCCATTGAACCAGAGGACCGTCCGGGCAACGCTGCCCAGCGACCCATCCAGGCACATCGACAACAATCACGAGAGCCGGATTCTGTGCACGACGGATCACGGTTTGGTCTCGCCCAATCGAAACAAGCTGATCGACGACCCAGACCTCCGACCAGGGAGCCCACCCAGAAGTCCAATCCGAGACCGGTCTCCATTCGAGTTGGCAGTACGCTATCAAGGCCGATGTCCGTAGCTTCATCTATTCCTTCCAATTCCCATGAGCCCGCTGTTGTGCTTCCTGCGCCAACTCCAGCTTCGACGGTCAAGGCCCCGACATTGAAGAAGAAAGGTAGCAATCAGTCCTTGCACGCGGCTTCTACGGCCAGTTCATTGAAGAGCTCAGTCCTGAGTCAGACACAGGCACAGCGGAAGAGGAAAGAACAAGAAGAACGTGAGGCGCGCCGGAAAGAGGAGCAGAGAAAAGAGGAGCAAAAGCGTGAATTCGAGCGGAAGCGCGCTCTGCAGAAACAGCAAGAAGAGGAGGCCAGACGGCAGGCTGAGGCGGCTGAGCGAGAGCGTTTGGCCCAGGATGATCCTAAGAAGAGCGCTCACATGCGGGCAATTGAAAGACGTCGTCAAGAAAACAATGCTCGTAAAGGGCACGTCCGTCAGGGCAGTCAGCAAGCGCTTGGCGAGGTAAGAGAGTGCTCTCAGTCTTTCCACCGAAAAAAAAAAAAAAAATATTTTGCTAATCCAAGTTGCGCCAGGCTTCCATCCTACAGCACGAAAAAGCGGCTTCTCAGTCGTCGCAACGAAGTGACATGGGAGCTGCCCGACCAGCATCTCGCTTAGCGTATGGACGTCCTATGAATGCTCCAGCGCCTAATCCAGCCAAGCCACCCAAACGTAATATGGATGAAGAATCTGGTCACCGTTCGGCAATGGTCAATGCCTCCAACGTCCAGCCTTCGGGGGAGGCGAAACGACGCAAGACGGAAGACGAGCATAATCCTGTCCAGCCTGTTCGGCCAACAATGGCTCCTCCTATCCGCCAATCGAGCATCCGAAAGGTATGTACTGAGGGATTTTCTTGCATCAAGCGCTTACTTTGACCTATTCTCTAACGATGATGTTACAGCAACCTTCAATGTTTGGACAGTCAGCCTCGTCTATTTTCAAGACTGGCCAGGCTCAAAGGCCAGCTCATCCATCCGAACTGGCAAAGTATTCAAGCAATAAAATACCCTTTGCTGAACCCAGTCATGCTCCGGCTGCGGCTTCGCAGAAGACACCGGGCCCTAGCTCCGCTCAGCGTCCCCCGTCCTCGGTCAAACCCTCACCCAAGTATCCGAACGGAGAGAACATTCATCTTCCAGAGATTGCTACAGATAGCGAGGACGAAGATGACTCGGACTCTGAGATGTTCCCTGTGCCCAAGTGGGCACAGCCTAAGGAGCTGGAAGACCTGCTGCGGGTACAGGAAGGAATGGAGGTTGACTCCATCTTTGGCCCCATTGCGCCTTTCTCTCTCGAAGAGACCTTCAAGGCCGATAAAAAGATCAAGAAATATCGCGACAGAACCAGCAGCGCGAATTGGAATGGGCCTGACGGTCTAACTCAGGAAGAGATCCGCAAAGATCGACTGGAGCGACAAAAGCTGCGACTCAATGGTGGTTGGTCATTCCATTGACGAATTTCACGAGGTCACATCCTTCGTTCGGTTTGATCCTCATCATTCTCTCTGGGGCTTTGAAAGCATTTTGACGTACTGGCTGGACTAGTCATGCTCTCCGAACGGGGTCTGTTATTGGGATGGTGTTACTGAGGTGGGAGCCACTTGCATGGGTTGGTGCTGGTATTTATTGTATATGATTATTCACTGTGCTGGGAGGCTTGTTCAGGCGTTTGTCAACCCGCATAGTCATGATTCTCAATCTATCGGGACTGTCGGAGTACACTACAGTTTACCAATTAACATTCACTTGATTTGAACGCAGTGCCGAGTGCTTATTAAACCCCTGCACGCCCGGCAGCTCTGTCAGGCTTGTCAGCAGCGTCAATGTCTCAACGCGAAGGACGTGGAGCTGGCCGCAGGTTTTAAGTCGCGTGTGTCAAGTTTAGCTTCAAGTCGCAGCTATACTTCCTTTATCACATCGCCCAGCATCATTGGTCTAGTGGTGGAATTCGTCGTTGCCATCGACGAGGCCCGTGTTCGATTCACGGATGATGCATTTCTTTTTGCACTTGTTCGATCCCTTCAAGGGGGCTCTCGACGGCTTGATCCTTTTTGAGTCTAGCATTGCCGTACTGCGGGTCTTTGGGGCCAACCTTGATCATTCGGTCCTAAGAAGTCAAATCGACTACATGTCTGTTTTGCCTCCATGAAGGTAGCCCTAGGGCTGTGTGCGCGCGCTCGATTTTTGGATGTATGAGAAAAGGAAGTGGCCTCTTTGTTTTGGACACATCTACTCTGACGTTGTGCTTTAAATTGACTAAGTCAGATTGGTTAGGGTTGTCGAATACCTCGGGCTGAGCTCAGGGTAGTGGTGCTTTTATATATCAACGCGTTCAACTGCGCGAGACGCTAGCCGCCCGATTGATACTCTTGTCATGGATGCACGCGATGAATTGCCTCGAGACCTTCCGAATCCCATCCTCAACAAAAGGCACTTAAGACATGCCGAGTCTGTACCCCAACCCACCGGATGGGCTCAGCTGAACGTTCACGTATGGGGTAATGCTGACTTTCTCAGCCAAGACATTCTCTGAGATGTCTGGCAGAAGCTGTCCCGCCGCGAGCAGGTGAGGATTTTGTCCATGATCTCGTATACCTGACTATATACTGCGAAGATAATTCTACGTGGTCGTTGGGACGATCGCGAGGACGGCGTTCTGGCCAATCCCGAGATGTTGGCCGATATTCGCGCGAGCCTCGGGGTAGTCTAAAGATAGAAGCCTGTGACCCTTGATGGAGATCAGGATTGCATGCAGGTGCAGGATTTATGAAACGGCGATATAAGCTCTATATGCAGTTGCCTTTTTCTCGGACCGATGGGTAGGGGGGAATTTGAGCGAGGTACTGTAGTATCCCACTTCGGCGGGATTCGCGAGGCCGACGATCGAGGTTCAAGATACGAGAGCTGGCAATTTATGGGTAGTGTTGTACTTTCGGGCAATCATTTCGACATCGTGGAGATCTGTCGGCGCATCCCAGTGTTCGGCGGCTAATGTCCAATCGGTCAGATTAAACTCACCCAGTATCTTCTCGTCTCCAGGTGGCTTCACGGTTCGATCTATCGGCAAAATGATATCTTGTGGTTCCTGGGCACATTGTCTGCCGGCGACAGGTGCCAACTAACCCCGTCGTTTGTCCAACATGGAGTCGATCACTGTAGAGGGCGTCCGGACAGCATGAATATTCGGATTATTGGAGTTGCGTGGCCCACGAGGTGAGACTGCGATAATCAGCGTTTGTTTACTTTCCAGTGATACAGGCAGGTTCAGCCCTGAATCGATCCCGTCATATACGTGGACTGGCCCTTGATGACCTGTCCATGCGTTCATATAGGAATGTACCTTATTCCTTGCCGGACCAGTCACTGTAATGTATGCAAAGAAGCTGTTGGATTTGCGAAATACCAGAGTATAGTCGACTCTGCTTGATGGATCTTCTCTCCAAGTCGTCAACCACCCCTCGTTGGTTTAGCACTCTGATACGAGGCCACAGGCCAAGAGATGTCAACTTCTCTGAGACACTGCCTTTGTGTACGGCGTATATATTTGTGGTTCAGACTTGCTTTACGGTAATTCCACTACTAGTGGTGGTGGTGGCATGGACGCTTAGCAAGCCTCTAACGAGCAGGATCGGCAGTCCGCTGGCTGCTTATGCCTTTGTATGCTGTACCACGGCTGAGGTCATGTTGCTGTCACTAGTGACCACCATAGCCTAGAAACATGGCCTTTTCGGGCCGAGAACACCATCTTTTATAATAGCGTCGGGTTGCGTGAAATTGCCTGGGGAAAGGTATGCAGATGACCAACCTGAGGGAGACTGATAGAATCTCAACGTAGAAAGTTAACCCCTATTCTTATTGCAGAGCCACTGACCTCCCCGAGGCCGATACAAAAGGGGAAAAAACGACCAGAGTGCACTAGAAGCAGCGATTATCACTAGACGCAGGAACGCCCTGTCCCTGATCTGGACCCAGTGTAAAATCTGTCAAAAGCCCTGACGCTGTATGTGCCCGCAAAGCAGCCCGAAACACTTTGCGAAAAGCATGTGTCCCAAAGCCCGTCGTGATGCAATCAACTTCGGCCGGCGGGCTACCAAGTTCATCTCCATAGTTGTGGAATGGGACAAACTTGACTACATCAGCACCGCGATCTCCACTGTCTTTGATGTTGACAGCAACAACCTCTGGGTCGACTCCTGCGCCCCGGAGCCAAAACTAAAGTGTGGTCGAGATCTGACGGATGAATTCTCGAATGTTTTTAACGACGGGGTGGGCTTTGAAATCTCAGGAACTCTTGATCTTAGCACGGCGACCCCCTGAAGAAAAGAGAGGAGAGCTTGTATCAACATGGTCAACGGAAAATGAGTATTGAGTGGCACGCTTAGGACTGGGTGCATTAATCTGGCATCATCCGGTGTACATATCCTTCAAAGCATACTTATGCCATTGCGTCTAGATCCTTTCTTTCTGGGGTAAGACTGCCCCGAATATCCAGCGAACCTGACCGCATCTTACTGGCTAATTGACAGAAGTCCAGGAATTCTTGAAATTCGTGAGTTGAAGCCTTTCGGCAGGACAAAAGCCCCCGAAGATGCGAATAGTTTCCAGCCTGGCCGTGAGCCAAAATCAACAGTGGAGCTTTTCTGATTAGACGATCCTCGTAGCCCTGCAGATCCTACGCTGATCATGGAGAAGGCACAATGAAAAGCTGGGGGAATAATACGCTAATTGAGATCTAGGGTTTTGTCACGTCTACTCACCAGATATCTCAAGCTCTTCCACAACACAGACCTTGGAATGTATCCATCCGACGCAATAGTAGATCCGGCTGGCCAAACACCATCACGGACTTGGTGACCAGCATGCTCCAGAGAAGGCCAATCGATTGCAGGCATCAACACTGCGGTAGCTTTGGTAGGCCCGAAGCAGACAATATTTGGATGGAATGCGGCAAAATGGTGGTTTCAGAAAGAGACAAAGAGATTTCATAAATGTCCCAGGCCCTTCAGACCTATCCCGACCGGTTACTCCCTTTTCAGATATCATGCACATATAATACAGGATTGCCCGCCATGTATATCAATTCTCACTCGCAGCTCGCGAAGTATTCCCATCATGAGAACTCGGACGGATATAGTTCTACTCCATTTCAGGCTCGACATCGCTACCACCAGCCTCGCCGCCCTCGTCCATGGCATCCGGGTTCAGATTGGCGGCATCAGAGGCGGCACCAAGGACACCCTTTCCCTTGTCATGGGAGATGGTGCGCCACCCGGCCTCAGCAGACGGATCTTTAACATATTCAGACATAGGGAACTGGTCAACCAATAGTCAGCATTAGGCCCATGCAGGTGGCATTTTAGCCGCTGGGAAGTTCTCAGTAGTCTTACATAGTGATCGTTCTTTTTCATGGTTACGACCCATGGCACGTTGTCGAATGTGACAGCACGCAGGCGGAAGTAAGTGTTGTCGGGGATCTTGCGCACTTCCTCGACAAAGGCGTCGAGATTTGGCGTCGAGACGCCATTGACCGCAGTGATGAAGTTGGTGGGAGCCAGTCCATAGTGATAGGCTGGGGAACCACGGCTCTGTAAAGAGAGAGAAAAAAAACATCCGTTAATATGCCAATGATACCAGTATAACAGCAAAGACTAGACTGGAAACTTACCCTGGCGCTAACGTAAATCTCGCTGTGGAGCTTCGTAATTTGCTGGCGAACGGCGTGGTGAGGTTTCTGCAGGACCGCTCCGCAGAACACAACAGCTCGATCCGTCTCAAGATCTTCCGTCGGCACGGTGTGAACACGAATGCGCTTTTCTTGACCGTTACGAACGACCAGAGCCTCCAGGACTTCCTTCTCATACATCATATCGAGCTCAGAGACCCGGGTGATGAGCTGGTCATCCAGAGTGAGGATGATATCGGCTTCCTCGAAGCTGTCGACATCCGACGTGAACGTTGCTGGAGGGCAGTCCACCTTACGGACCATGAAAAGTTGATGCCGAGAAGGATTCGCCTCTGCAACCTTCTGGATCCACTCATCGGAGACGCCCATGATGCGCGCCTGACTCATTAGCACCACATAGCTTTCCATGTTCAAAATGCGCAGCTTGGGAGTGATGCCCTGTTGGACCTTGGATGTCACAGGAAGTAAAGCAGGAGTGGCGATACCAAGGTGATACTCCACGTCTTTGTGAGAGTTCGGTGTCCGCTCACCGAGGTAATTCAGCCACAGAGCCTGGACGACACCATCCTCGCCGATCAAGACACCATTCGTACACTGTGCACTCAACCCAGTGTCGATCGTCACAGCATCCAAATTGATGGCGCGATATCGCGGAGCTGAAGCATTGGCTGGGATAGAGACGGTTGTGATGTCAGTGACGGCGGTCTTGGCAACGACGATTCTGAAATTTTGGTTGAACCCGACAAAGATCGTATCCTGTCCCTGCTTGATATACTCTGTGCTGAAACGGGCACTCTGGACCGGTGCATGCACCAGACTCGGATCATATTGAATGATGGCGTAGTTTTGTAACGGATGCAGGAACACGACCTTGGCGCTCAGGATAACGGAATCGGCAACAGTGATGATGATGTCGCAGAGATCATAGGGCACGACTGCTCTTGAAACCACGACGAGACCCTTCTCGGCGTCGATGACCAGACCGTATCCAGTCTTCCTAGCCTGAGGATACCCATCCAATTTCAAAGGCATAGTGCAAGAAACTCGCACGAAACTCCGCACAATCGCAGCCGCTGCGGGTTGGCTTACACCGTCCAGCTGGATAAAGTCTGCCTTGCGGGGAACAGGCTTGTCTGCTGGGATCGGATCGGCTAGGTCTGAGAAGTCCCAAATGCCAGTCTTATCATTACGGACCGCCAAACGCATCTTTGGGTGCCAATGACGGTCCACGTGAATGATACACGTTCCCCTGGTATGGAGGTCACGAATGTGACGATATGAAATCGCCACACGAGAGCGATCGGGAATAGACCTCATTACTTCTACAAATTCATCCAGATCCCGTGTTGGCCGCTTGTCCACCGAATCGATGATCCACCCAGACAAGGTGTTCTCCAGCTTGAAGGAGCCAGCTGCTTCGCAGACATAGACACCGCGAGTGGCAATTGCATATAGTCGAGATTGTTGGTATGACAAGTTGTGGAAAGTCCCACCAGCAACTGTCACGAACCGATCGGGCGTGATCGCGTGGAGATCCCCAACCTCGCATTCTACCTCAAGATCCTGACCTCCTCGCTGAACCAGCAGACGGACGGTAGTGCCCACGCTCGAGTCTAGAATATCGTCTAGGCGAACAAATTGCGTGAGCAACTCACCGTTCACCTTCAGCAGTACATCTCCCTCTTGCAACTTTCCATCAGCCGGTCCCTCAGGAAGGATGATCTCAGCTGCCAGCATGTTGGTTTCGTTCGGAGACGCCTTGCGCACGGCGGCTTCCCACTCAGGGGTTAAGCCTAAACGACGACATTCGTCGAATGGTCGGAGGATCCACTGAGTTTGAATCGTGCCACGGGTGACGGGCAGTCCCTGGCGAATGCACTCGAGAGCACGTAGTGGGCGATCCAATGGCAAGAAGTAATCCGTTGCGGCGCCATCAGCACGTCCGCCCGCCTGCAGGGCCACCGCATGTCCATCAATATTCACGACCGGACTGCCTGAGCTACCGCCACTGGCCGCAGCCGCAGCCTGGATATAGTTTGTGTTGAAATCGCTGTATCCTTCGCCATATTCAGGAGCGTTGCGATCCAGACGACTGATGACGCCGGACAAGATACTGAGCTTTTCACCGGCATCGTTACCCACAACGCGAACCTCGACACCCACACGAGCTCCGTCGGGCCGAAGCTTCAGTTCCGTGAGCTTCAGATAGCGAATGGCTTTGGGATCAAACTGGAGGATACCGAAATCGTGGACAGGGTCTCGATAGACGGGCTTGACATCGCACTAGAAGGGTTCCAGGCATCAGTCATGAACAGAGACAGCATAGACAATAAATTCAGCCTTATGATCTTACCTCCTCATGATTGTCGAAAATGCAGTAACCCCAGAACGGGCCAGCACCAACAACATGTCGATTGGTAAGGATGTAGCCTCGTTCAGCATCGACGACAAAACCCGTTGCTTGACTGCTCATGGAGAGCTCTGTATCGAAAGAACATGTCTGGCAGAAGTGAATGGACACCACGCTCTTCACGACGCTCTCAATCATTGCCTGCCACTCAGGCGAATCGGCCTGGGGGTTACCGAGGGGCACCATCCGTGTTGAGTCATCGTCACCTTCGTCTCCATCCGCCACGTCGTAGACGGTTCCATTGGCAGGCGTTGAGTCTCCAGGGGTCAGAGCCGAGCCCTCAGGCTTGAGGTGTTTGAAGGGACGCTGCTCAGCGGCACCAGCGCTGCGCTTTCGCTTTGGCCCAAGGTCTCCGTGAGCGTTCATTGTCATTGTATATGACAATGAAGGACGATGAAGAATATCGCGACAAACGACAGTGGAGAATCGCCGGTGAGGACCTTGGCAGAGGAGGGAAGTAACAGAACAGTTTGGGGAAATCGAATATGGAGGGTCGCGGCGCGCAGGTGACCGATCAGGTGCAGGTATGAGCGCGATGGAGGACCAATGCACAGGGCGCGTGATGCAGGTCGGAGAAGAAGTCGCGAATCTGGTGTAGGATCGAGTATGGGAGCTCTGAATGCTTTGCACGCTTCCTTTGCAGCGGCGCAGCAACGGAGACATTCGCGATTGGACAAAATAACTTCAACGAGCAGTTCGTCGAGGAAAGAGCAGCGAGGCGGAGAGAGCCCGCCTTCACTGATTGGGCGGCATGATGCATGTGGGTATGCCTTCAATCTCATGGCGGTCGCGCCTGACCTGATATGCAAGACAGTCGACGTTCCATGCAGCTGAGAAATCAGCATGTGAACAGTGCTTGGTGATTTTTGAATATGACATCGGGTATAGCCAGTCAAGTGTGCATGGTCATGTTTCAACAAGTGTATGTCAACATCTTCACAAAGCCTTACTCGAGGGGTTTCCCCCAATGAGATATAGCGGAATTCAGGTACTGCACGTGACCATGATAGTCAACGACAGCACTGGAACGGGCCTGCTGTTGTTGGCCGCATATCTATACAAAGATGAGTCTTCCTAGTATGAATGTCCTATACAATGTGTATCTGTCATTTGATCCATGAAGTACAAGACTCAATGAATTTCACATATCTTCTCAACCTGGGTCGATCCTGAATTTACAAACAATCAGCCAGTCGGGCAGCATGTGAGCAAGCCTGGTCCAGTCAACAATGATGAATAACAAAACGGAAAGGAAAACACCTCGCCAGTGGAGGGCTGAGTCGAATATTGTATGGACTAATGTCAACCCACTTCATGACCGAACTAAGTGATATTGATAAATGGTTTAAAAGTACAACCTATCATAGGCAAAGTCAGCTCGTCCCGGTAGATTGCACGACCAGCGTGTTCACCCGCAAAGGAAGACTTGACGAGACTAAGCGGCCATGATACATAGTGGCGTTACGGCATATGCTTCCATAGCGGTACACCACACCAGTAGTGGGAAGGATTTGCGGCGATGACGATGGTCCCTCCGGAGCAAGAAAATGGGACGAGGGATGGTCTGCATGAAGGTGCAAATGGACCTACTTTCGGCGTGTGTGGCCGATATAAACGATCTCAGCGCAGCGCGTCCCAGTGTGCCGCCGTGAGGGGCGAGTCTCGGCGGCGGCCCATGCTCGGAAATTGTACTAGGTCCAGGCACATCTCCCAAGGCTCACATGGGGGAAACCTCTGGATGAAAGGCAAAACACAACATCTCCTTCTCGCGAGCAGAAGAACCGAAGAGAACATGGACACGAAGCATCCTTCTCTGATCAAATTCCCGATTCCGTGAGCGGCGACGGACTGGGCCCACCGTTACCCTGCATACCACCCGGACTAAGTGTTTGAGGAGTTGAGCCTTTGCCTGATCGAGGGAATAGCTCATTCAATCTAGCATACAGCTCATGAACGGCCGGCAGATGAGGCGGAGGAGTCATGATTGCGGGAGCTTGAGGGGCTACACCACCGGATTTTTTGGCCCGATCGGCTATCGTTGCCAAATAAGCCAAGTTAACCTGCAGTCTGCGCATGCACTCGATGTATTCTGAGCTTGGTTTGAGGGCGTGAGCTTTCGCCGCATCGGCACTGGGATCGGACGGAGATGCACTGGCATCACCCGGTGAAGGAGTGCCTGCTTTGTTCGATGCTTGCAGGTTGACGACTTCCTGGAGCAGAGCGGAGTTGATATCAAGCAGTACAGTGACCCGTGCCTTTTCGCGCGCCGCCATTTGAGCCTGCATTTGCGCCTGGGCTTGGGTTTGGATGGGAGGTTGGGTCTGCATCGGAGTCTCGGGTTGCATAACTTGAGGCGAATTTGAATGTGATGGTTTGGGCTGGTTTGCGAGCAAAGAACTCTGCTGGATGGATGCCATGTTTTGATTGAAGGCCTGCTGAACAACTGACGGCCCGTTGGGCACGACACCTGGTTGAGAGAAAGGTGTCATATTGGGAGGAAGAGGAGTCTGAGAGAATTGCGACGAGAACGCGTCCATTGTGACTGACGATGACTCTAAAGTTAGAACGACATGCCCATGACATCCACTCGAGACCCTTCAGGGCAATTTTAAAGGATGGATGAAGACGACGATGATGATGGCTTCACAGCATAAGCCATGGCATGCGATTTTCAGCAAGACGGTGACACAACAACCGCAAAATATGCGCATAGACTTATGCGTATAGAATGGCCCATCGTCAAGACAGACTCGGAGTGAGAGGGGGAGTTGCAGTTGCAACTCCGATGCGACAAAAGCGCAGAAGAGAAGGCGAAGACGTGGGTCTCAACACTCGACCGCGCGCAACTGCAGGGCTTTTTCCAGGTCTGGACTCTCGCACGATATTCTCGAGAGTGAACTGCGCCCAAGGACAGGAAGAGACGTCGTGCACGAGTCACAGAGGAACAAGGCAAAGAGCGGGCATAATGGGGAAGATAAGAAACTGCTCACTTACCGGATGTTTGTGGGGGAAAGCCGGCGGGCATCATAGCTCCTCCGGGGCCGCCTGCCTGCATCGGCATCGCACCATAGGAATGCTGTTGGTGCTGCACCGGCGGGATTGGGGGTTTGGACTGGGGATATTGGGGCATCGAATTAGGGTAAAAGGGCATTTGATTCGGAGGAGTCTGGCTCGGCATGGGATACGCAGGGGGATATCCAGCGTTGGGATCCATGGCGGCGCGTGGGGAAATCAGCTCAATGGGAGCTGGGCTCTTTGGCGCAGAAACAGGTCCCCAGAGAAAGGGGAGCAGGCCAACGTGGATGGGATCAGTGGAACGTTCTGCTCAAGAACAAGAGTCTTCTCTTCGCAATAATGCGACTTCGATCCAAGGGAAACACGCGGGAGCTCCGGAGGCTCAAAAGCGCCCTGGACAACCACGCACGGACAGGAGAGGACGCTGGGCGAAAGAGGAGGCGGGTGGAAGAGCTCGCACGGGGAATCCAGGGATAAGGCAGGCTCAAATCGAACTTGCAGAGCGGCTGAGAGGGTCTGGCCGTTTGGGGCGACTGGCGAGACTGAAGCCGCAAGTTTTTGGAATCAACCGGTCAGGCAGATCTAGACCAGTGATTGGTTCCAACAAGACTAATGGCCACAGGACGGAGAACGTTGTCCGAGCGAGAGAAGACTTGCAAAAGATGACGAGTTGGCGAGTCGGGCGACAGCTGGAGAGGGATGGGGGGCGCACAGGACTTTGCACCGGATTCAGTACGATCAGCCGGAAATTAGGCGATGGGACCAGTCCAGCGGAGTTGGTTCGGCTCCGGTGGAGACACCAGCCCTCGCCTTTCCAGCCAAGTAAGTTCACTTGTGGATGGCGGTGGTTCGGCTGTACTTGGGAAAGCAGAGCGAGACCACCCTTGAATCAAAGTGACAGGGCTGACTTGTGCGCAGGCAGGAAAGAATGATGGCAGTAAACAGGCTTCAAGATTGGTTCCACCAGAGGATTCTACCCGAGGACAACAAGCAGGGGATTGGAGGCCGTCGAGGACGCTCGAACCACGGAGCCCAGAGTTTCAGTCACGGGACCGAGCCATTCTGAATGGCAGCGAAGAGGTACATAATAGTACATTAGTAGTACTGGACTACTAACACCACTACCAGTACCCTACTGCTCACTGCCATGAAAAAGTCTGCACACAACAGTCTACACCCGTGTAGACGATCAAAAGGTTGCCCTGTTCAAGAGGCTTGTTCTCGTGGGTCGACAAGACTCCTACGCGAACAGTCATCGCGTCGTCACCAGACGTGTCCATTCACAGGTACCTTGCAAAGTGGGCACGGCTTTGCTCACTTAAGCAGCAGTACGTGACTGGAGTACTACACATATGGATCCGGAGACAAGCCTCGATATTGCAATTTGCCACAAGACGGCGCTCACGCACTGGAGTGGTCCGCTTCCCTGCTCTTCTTTTTGAGTGTCCATTTCTGATGTCGAATGGTATGAAAACTTCAGTCATATTGCAGCAAATTTACCGATTATATTCCCCGTCTGTTCCTTTACATATGACCCTGTACTCTGTAGTGATGGAGTCTGTAATTCTGTAGTTACTTGGCGGAACTCGTACTGGCCGCGAACCCCTGGAAATTACAATAACATGGGTACCTGCTGTGCCACAGCATGTGGCGTATCAATACGCGCTTTTGGTCGTTGAACGCCAACTAAGATTTGTACAGTTGTAACTTGTGTCTATGTCTGCTTTGTCAGGCGGGACCCCCTCTTTTGAGAGGGCGATCATCCTTGTGGTAATGGAACCTTGGAAGTGACTTAGGATTTGGGCAAAGGATCGCTGTGTGTGCAACAACCATGAACTTACATGTAGTTGTCACGCGGATGCTTGGGGTGAATACCCAGTGTTCAGTTATCAGTAGTTTACGACGTCAGTCTTATGTACACTCTGGACTACTTGCGAGCCTGTCCCACATGTTAAGCTGCATATGTTGCCTTTTCATTGTAATTATTGATCTTGCATTGAATAGGTACTGTACTGATCTACGGAGATGTAGTAACGAAGTATGAATTTATGGTCCAAAGACCGCAAGAGACGAAACAACAACAAGCGGACCCGAGCCCCAGATACGTGAGCGAGTCCACCGATCCATCAACAGGACACCTGCCGACGAAATATCTGAGCAGACTCAGGTGCTTAGAGGCACTGAGAGTACCAGGGGTTGGAGTACTTGCAGGTGGTACCACTCACACACGTGGTAGGACCCGTCCAACCGTTACCACCACATTGACCCCACTGCTGAGCGACACCAGAGCCACCAGTAGGTCCGCTGCCGCTGGCAGAAGTGGTAGTGGTCACGGCAGCGGTGGTGGTGGTAGTGGAACCGCCACCGCTGCTGCTGCCGCCAGCGTTCAAGGCGCTCAGGATAGCGTTGTAAGCAGGCTTCTTCTGGTAGTTCGAGTCCCAAGGGCAAGCAGCGCCTTGTCCGGGGAAAGTGTTGGGAACCCAGGAGTACTTGTCGGTCCAATCCCAGATGGTGACGCCGACACATTTCTTGGTCTCGACACAAGCAGCAACGGTGTTGCTGTAGTCGGTGGCCTGTTGAGTGAGCAGGGCATTGGTGGAAGGCAGAGTCATACGAATATCGAGCTCGGTGATGGCAACATCCACGCCGTAAGCAGTGTAGCCAGCCATGGTGGTCTTCTGGTCAGCCTTGCTGGGGGTGCTGCCGACGATGAAGTGAGACTGAAGACCAACGCCGTCAATCTTGGCGCCGTAGGACTGAACGAGCTCGACAATTCTGCGGGCACCACCGGCCTTAGCACCAGAGTACTCGATGTTGTAATCATTGTAGTAGAGCTTGACATCGGGGTCCACTGAAGCAGCAGTGGCGAAGGCAATGGGGATGTAGGCGGGGCCAATGGTGTTGTACCAGACACTCTGGCGATACGTTCCATCCTCGTTCAGAGCTGATGGAATTTAGCTCTCCAATCTCCCATATTGGCCTACAGTCTGGGCACACTCACCCTCGTTCACAACGTCCCACGCGTAGCACTGTCCCTTGTAGTGCTGGACCAGGTTGGTAATGTGGTTTTTCATGATGGAAATCAGAGTGGCATTGTTGAAGTTGCCGCTGGTAACTAAGCATTCGATTAGCACTGACCAGAGATTCAATTTCAAGAGGGATCGAACATACCCCAGCTGGGGAGCTGGCTATGCCAGACCAGGTTGTGACATCTCAACTTCTGGCCGTTGGATTGAGCCAACTTGGCAACAGTGTCACCCCCCGAGTATGTGAAGACGTTCCTTGAGGGCTCCGTAGCATCCCACTTTCATGATATGACTGATTAGCTAACAAATTTAGGGATCCAGGGGGAGACAGTATCGGGTAAGATCTTTACCTTCTGAGAGTTTCCAGGTGTGATTTGGCCAAAGTCGGCGGTATTGCTCAGCTGCTTGACGTAAGTCGAATCGCTCAGCTCAGGGTTATCGGTGGCAGATCCGAAGTAGGCCTGGCCGATTGAAACAGCAGCATCGTTCAATCCAGCACCCAAAGCACTGTGATCTTAGATCAGTACTTGACTCGAAACATGGAGCCAAACAGCCCCTCCATATGAGATGATGACACGCACAGATTGGGCAGGATTCCTGCTGCCAAGAGCAGGGAGCTAGCAGATAGATGAACCATCGTGAAGATCAGGGGGATGGTGATTGGAAGGATCGATCACTTTAACTTGATCTGTACAGGAGGTCTCCTTAGATTGAACAACACCAGGATAATCCTTCTTTATATAGAAATCCATGACCAGAGTCACCTGGCTAGTGAAGAGATTCATGCCAAAAGTCCGGCGGGGACAGTTAACGCAGCATGGGTATCCGAGGCCGCTTCGGACTTACACCCCGTGGCGAAGGAGTCGCGGCTGAAACGAAGGAAGCCAGCGTGCTCGCCGGAAATTGACTTTGCCGTAGAATGTTAACCTGCAATTAGCGGTCGTTGACTCAGGATCACCATCCGTATGGAAGCAGCAAGTTCGTAAAGTACAGCCCAAATTACCAAAGTGGGCCACATCTCGCCCGTGACGGCTCTCCGGCTATATACACCCTCATATCCTGAATAAAAAGCAGTGGTATTGCAGAACGATCATTGGACGCAATACTGTAGGTCAAGCTATGACCAACTGAGGCACGATCAGATGGAAATCCTTGGCGCACGAGAAGGAGTGACAGGAGCTAACCGAGAGCCCGGGCGTTTCAAGTTGGATGAAGGGTCGATGGCGTCCGAATACCACGAACTCTAGCCCATTTCGCTTTTCAATAACGAGTTCACATCTCGCAGTGCTCCGATGTCGTGCATTGATTGAATTCTCAAAACTCTGCAATGTTCGGTGTTTCGTCACCCAAGTCTGAAAGTTGTACGCAAGACAGTATTCAGAATGATTCTGGCTCATGCTCCTTTCTCCTTCATCGCGGAGAGGGCTCCGTGTTCTGAAGTCTGCAGAAATTCATGAAAACTTCTTTTCCGCCACGCGGGAGCAGATGCTTGTCCTCGCATTCCCTCACAGGCTCGAAGCTGCTGAAGAAAGTCTAATCATGTTCCCCTCGTTCTTGGCGCCAGACAGGGGATGCTGAGGAGTCAGGCGGAAACTCGGATAAATTCGATATGCATGCCAAGACACAGTGGTCCAAGAACTTCAACCGGTTGTTCGTACACTGACTAGTGCGGACTGGCTAGCGCGCTCAAATCCGGGGGCAAATGAATTGCGGGGAATATACGGGTTTTGTGTCTTCGTTAATGGGGTATATCCGCAGCTGCACTGCACGAGTCAGGAGAGTAAGACAAGTCAGCGTGGCTCAGATAGTCGACCTGACAGGGGTTCGGACCCGTTATGGCAATTCAGCCGGCAATTTTTTGCAGCAACCCATGATGGGACTGAAGTTCAGTCGGCTGTTGGACCAAATGTGATGCATCTTAGAGCCTTCTGCCATGTCGGCACAAACATACCACCGCTTGCGTAGATAATGCTAGGGCAGGTCAGGTATTAGCCTGGGAGAGTTTCCCAGAGGACGCTGCTTTCGTCGACTGCACAGTCGCACGTGAAATTGAGGTAAAACACTGGCGTCGCCCCCACTCAAGTGAGTGTTGCTAAATCGCAGCGTTAAAGAAAGAATGGGGTTTACAAAAATGCCAGTACATGTATATATTGATCGTGTGTTCATAAAATCGTGGGTATCAATTTGCTCCGGGGTTTGATCTTTGGCTGTGTGGGCGAGATATAAACACACCACACAGTGGATGATGACTGCTGCGTTGTAAGCCAGTCACTACTGGCCGGTTGCTCGCGTTTCAACATCAAAGCCTATTCTGAAGAATTCAGACACAGCAGAGCCGCCGATGCACTTGGGTAAACCGAGTGCGATCAAGCTTTGATGGTTGCAGGCAGGCCACTGCACTAAACGGGTGCTGCGCGCGAATATTGAAGTCGGCTCACTTACGAGCCCAATGGATTTCAATCTTCCTTGCGAGCCTTCATCTCGGCGATAAAAGTGGCAGTCTTAGACAAGGGCACCACGAAAATTCTCACTAGTTCGTCAACAACCTCAACCTTTCCCCCCGAAAGAATCTGCAACAGAGGCAGCTTTTTCCCGGCCTTGATTAGACCACCAGAAACTGTTTGCATGAAGCACTCGACATTGTTGATGGTATAATCTTTCTTATGGTCCCAAGGGAGAGGGAAGATGTAGTCCAAGTGATCAGCGATCGAGTGCATCTCAGAGAAGGATTTGATAAAGTCACTCTGGGCATCCATTGGATACAGGAAGACAGTAGGGAACTCCACTGTGCTCTCCGGCGAAAGGGGATCAGGGACCAATCGAATCCTAGTATCTTCCATGTCTGGGGGCTGATCGGTTTTTCGGGTTCGAATCTGACGAGCTCGCAAAGCCGTGCTAAGAACAAGGTTCTGCTTGCGAGTGAGCTCCTCTTCGGCCCTGCGCTTCGCAGCAACGCGCTCGATCTGGGCTTTGCGATCGGCGACCTTGGCAGCAATGGTTTGAAGAGCTTTGTTTGACGGATCGATTGCCAGGCCCCGCGACGCGGCGTCCTCAGCTTCAGGGACTTTGTCAAGCTTGAGCAAAGCCGTTGCCGATCGATAGTAGGCCTTGACATTTTTGGGATTCACTTTGAGCACAGCGGCACAGTCCAGGGTACAAGAACGGTAGTTGCCTACCGAGCGTTAGGTGAATCGTCTCACGGAGCTGCAGGATTTGAGTTAAGTCACGACTTACCGAGCTCAAGATTGCACAGTGCCCGGTTGACATGTGAGAGTTCTTCCATCTGTCGCAGAACTTTCTTTTCCGCTTCCGGGTCCTCAGGCTTTTCCCACTTGTCTTCCTTTGCGAAGATCACTGCGATACTCTTGGTGTACATCTCCTTCGCATCAATCCATCGCTTTTCTTGTACTGCCTCGTTGCCTTGCTCCTTATAGCTTTGCGCAACTTCTCCACGGGTACCCTCATTTTGAAGCGCTTGCAGTGCATCCAGGAGCTCATTCTCGCCGTCTAGAAAGTCGAAAGAAGTTTCACGTTAGCCTTTCTGTAAACTATGCGACAGTCTAAAAGTCGTTGACCAGTGGGACATACTCTCATCTCCAGCTTTATCAATATCGGTCATGAAAAGAGGAGTTTTGTTCAACATTTCCTTCAATTCATCGACAGAGTGCGATTTGACCGAAGCCATGCTCGGCGGCATATCGGGGGCGTTTGGGTCATTGATGAGCTCCTTCAAACGCTCTTCATTGATCGGGAAGGGCGCTTGGCTCGCTGCGGCTAGAGGATCGAGCCCCGATTGAGGTACGTTTGTTGATGGGACGGCATTGAGGTTGAGCGATTCATCAAAGTCATCGGGAAGCTCCTCGACGCGAGACATGTTGGGAGAGAGAGATTAACAGAAATGATGATATCCTTCTGCTCACTCACGAGGCTTCAAGGACTTTTTTTATGTTGGAGCGGGGATAAGCAACCGCCGGTGGTGGATTAACGCAAACAGTGCAAACGCGAGGGGAATACATGAGCACATGCTGTTGGAAATGCTTAGGTCCCGTGACTTGTCGTCATTGGCAATTGCACTAAAGTCGATTGGAAGTGAGTCGCAGAGTTCGAACTACATGTTACTACTAGGTAGTTAGTTAACGAGAGTACACGACCCAAAAGGCAGATTTTTTAGTACTCCTATGCAGTCCGTACGACGAAACATTGCCTTAATTTCGAAAGGTCTTCCAGCATGATGCAGTGTAGAGAAATATGAAATGCTTCGTTATCCTTGACAGCTTCTCGCCTGGAACCACGGGCCAGCAACTTTGAGACATCTCACACGATACCAATGTCGGAGCAAATACAGGAATGTGATTGATTAAAAGCAGTGAAAAGCTATTCTCATACAAATTTTGAGTCAATGTCAATTTCCCGCAGCGGTGCATTCGCCTACAAACAGGAAATTCTGGGCCCCAAGCAAAACCTATCGGGGAATACCCGAAGCCCCCGCATTGCTCGGTTGAAGACCGAGTTGTAGAAGGGCTTCCAGACATGCATTTAAGCATGGGTTGGTACCGACACGCTAGAACTGATGCCTGGCATACACTTGAACAGTCTTTGATATCGCAATGACCCAAACTCACAGCATCCTTGTCCTCCCCGGTGATGGAATCGGTCCTGAGGTCATGGCGGAGGCCATCAAAGTACTCAGAGCATTCGAAAACCCCGAGTGCAAGTTTGTACTTCGCGAGGAGTTGATCGGTGGCTGTAGCATTGATGCGACAGGGAAACCGGTGACCGACGAAGTGAAGCAGGCAGCCCTGACTTCGGATGCAGTGCTCTTCGCGGCTGTTGGAGGTCCAAAATGGGACAAGGCTCGACGTGGACTGGATGGGCCTGAAGGTGGACTCCTACAGCTTCGGAAAGCAATGGATATCTATGCGAATCTGCGTCCATGTTCATCTCATTCTCCTAGCTCATCGATCACCAAGGAGTTCAGTCCTTTTCGTCATGAGGTCCTCTTTGGCCCCGAAAAAGATGCGACGGGACTTGATGGAGTGGACTTTGTGGTGGTGCGAGAGAATTGTGGTGGTGCCTATTTTGGAAAGAAAGTTGAAGATGCCGATTATGGTATGTCTCATCGCATGACCAGCATCAGATGGCTGAAGCGGTGATCCCGCTAATGTTCTTGTCTATTGGCAGCCATGGATGAATGGGGATACTCTACGGCAGAGGTCCAACGAGTTACTCGTGTCGCCGCCCAAGTTGCCCTCCGTCACACGCCGACATGGCCAGTAATCTCACTGGACAAAGCAAATGTGTTGGCATCATCTCGGCTCTGGCGTCGAGTAGTCGAGGAGACTATGGCCACAGAATATCCTCAGTTGAAGCTGATTCATCAGCTGGCGGATTCGGCATCTTTGATCCTGGCAACCAACCCGCGGGCTCTGAACGGAGTCATACTGGCCGACAACACATTTGGTGATATGATCTCTGATCAGGCGGGCTCGATAGTTGGGACTCTGGGTGTTCTTCCCAGCGCAAGTCTCAATGGTCTCCCTGGTGATAAAACGCTCCAGACCAGGCCGTACGGATTGTATGAGCCTACTCATGGCTCCGCCCCAACGTGAGTGTCACTTCAACAAGCATCCATATGTGTCCTAATACTGACTGTTCCATAGTATCGCAGGGAAAAACGTCGCCAATCCTGTGGCCATGATTCTGTGTGTTGCTCTAATGTTTCGGTATTCTCTGAACATGGAGAACGAGGCACAACAAGTTGAGGACGCAGTCAGACGAGTTCTTGACAAGGGTCTCCGCACGCCTGATCTAGGCGGCAACTTGGGTACAAAGGAGCTCGGAGACGCTATTGTTGCAGAATTGAGGCTTTGAGAGATATCAATGCGGCTGAGATAGTGATAATCTTGCAAGGCCTACCGTGATGGGTTAGGGCTCGAACAAAGCGCTTTCGCATGGCCCGCTGCAGGAGATATCAGCAGCCTTACAGGTCCAAGCACTTGCCCGTCGTGCCCTCTGACAGACGCATTTCACCTGTAGATCTAAATTTCTTTACTAAACATTCCAAATGTTGTACGGTCGGATCAAAGGCTTTCACATCCTTCCATTAGGGCTCAGCGTCTCCACGTTTGCAAGAGAGCCTGAAATTTGGTCGTAGCTTTATTATACACCTCTTCTTCCCATCCATCCATCCATTTATATCTATCTACCAATTCAAGCAACCATTATCCTCACCCCGATCCATCGCCTCAAGTCATCAACTTAAGCTTTCTAGAAGATTACCACCATGTCTCAGCCCAAAGACACAGGGCGGGAGAATCCCGGCCCTGGACCTCTGACACCTCCAGAACGAGGGGCGCAAGTCCCACGATCCAAACCTCATGACTACGCTGCCAGCGACCCCGAATTCGTCCCAGGCTTCTCATTCCTACGTGTTGAACAAGCCAGGCACATGGCCAAGGATGAAGACCGCACAAGACTGATCAACTCCATCACGGACGACATCGTTGCCACCGTCATAAGAATTCGATCGTACTTCAAGAGCGGTGTTCTCAGCGACGGTAACATCTATCAACTTGACACAGTCCTCCAGACTATCGGCCACAACAATCTGAAAGCACAAGAGCGCCTGGAACGCAAGCTTTGCCGCCTAGAGCGAAAGCACTGTCGTCTACAACAGGAGTACGTACGCCTCGCCCGTGGAATGGACGCCATGGGCACGAAATACACAGCCAGACTTGCGTCTCTGGAGCATCGGACCAACACCTTGAGACACCGGCTCGACTGGTTGGAAACGGGTGGCCAGCTGCATGAGTCTCGGAGCCGCAGGAAGACGGCATTGCCGCAGACATTGGAAAAGAAGGAATCTCCAGAGTTGATGGCAATTAAGATTGAAGCGACGGAGGCCACTGAGGGGGAAGGCGAGATATCCGAGTGACGGCCGTTATTGACCTAAGACTTTGTCACCGATGGATTCATGTTGGGGTTCCGAAACGGGAGTACCTTTGGCTGTATGTTTACTCTGTGTTTTGTTCTTTTAACTACTGAAAATGAAAGGCGTTTGCTGGGAACGGAAGATGCAGGCACTCGTTTGCGAGTACAGAGCGGTAAAACACTTCAAACAGGACCTGTTGTAGCTCGAGATTCAGAATCTTCAGAAAAAGACTTTATTCTCAGTGGTGAAGACGCCCCTCTACGTGAACCTCGAGAACAGATTCTCCTTGGTGGCAAATTTAAGAATACCAGTAACTCGATTTTCTCGGAAGGGTCTCCAAAAGTCAACGCCCATTGCAACTATGGCCAGGCGATGCTTATCAGCGAAAACTGCTTCCCCGTCAAAGTCGGAGTTCATCTCGGGCAGACCGCCTATCGCCCGAACTTTGACATCCGAGGCAACAAAATCGAGACCGACGGCATTTGATCGGGCCAGATAAGATCACCACGTTTCTCATCGTATTGCGCGATCCCTTCGATCGTGCCATCCGCCACATGGATAGAAGATTTGACCCCCAAGAAAGACAAATACCTCTACATACAGAATGCTTGATCGGTTGACGATCGAACGTCTTCTGCAGCAGTCAAACCCCCGTAGTGTGCTATCAAACTAGCAGTGCGATCGGCAAAAGATGCCGCCGAAGTCATCTGCGACAATCTTAGGAACCTATTCACTTTCATCACGGTCAGAGGTAGGGTCATCAAAGAACCTCGGCAACTTTGATTGTGGATCGTGGGCGGACTGATTCATCGTGTGGATCCACGGTATGGCCTTCATGTGGAAGCGTTACTCCAGATTTCGCGACCCTTTCTTTTTCCCTCCGGTCATCCCCTAGACATCTTCTTCCTTGAATATTTGCTTTCACATTCAAGCATTTAGTAACCCGTTCGATTCCATCACGAACATTTCCCAAGACCTTGATCACGACGAAATTGACCCTTCTCCTCGCACACTCTGTCGCATCCTTCACGCTTCGGATAGTATCGGCCGAGAATGAGTCGCCACGGTGATTTTGATGCGGTCCGTAAGGATATCGCCGCTCAGCTCCAGAAGCCCGGATATGATGATGGAAGCGCAGGTCCGGTTTTTGTGCGTCTAGCATGGTAAGTGAGCTTCGAATTGTCGTCATCTGTTGTGTTGGGGGTTTTCTGGTGATATCACATACTCGTGGACGCACGCAGAACCAACTAAGATCAAATCAATGTTAACACTTTCCTTTCCATCTCGCGTAGGCATTCTTCTGGCACGTACGATGCTGAAACCGATACCGGTGGTTCGAATGGCGCCGGTATGCGCTACGAGGCAGAGGGTGGCGATCCAGCTAATGCTGGTCTCCAGCATGGTCGTGCGTTCCTCGAGCCGATCAAGGAGAAGCACCCGTGGATCACCTACTCCGATCTGTGGACATTGGCGGGTGTCGTTGCGATCAAAGAACTGGGTGGTCCCGATATTCCCTGGCAGGGCGGCCGAACCGATCTGGTCGATGACTCCAAGGTGCCTCCCCGTGGACGCCTTCCTGATGGGGCATTGGGTGCCGATCATCTGCGATTCATTTTCAACCGCATGGGCTTCAACGATCAAGAAATTGTCGCCTTGGCTGGAGGCCATAACCTCGGCCGCTGCCACGGTGACCGCAGCGGATTCGAAGGCCCCTGGGTAACGAACCCCACTCGCTTTTCCAACTCCTTCTTCAAGCTCCTGTTGCAGCTGGACTGGAAGCCACGCAAGCTGGCCACGGGGATGACCCAGTTCGTGTATGAAGACCCAGACGCCGAGGAGGACGAGGAGCCCCTGATGATGCTACCCACCGACATGGCACTGAAGACCGACCCCGGCTTCCTGCCTTGGGTCCAGCGATACGCCGAGGACAAGGAACTGTTCTTTGACCACTTTGCCAAAGTTTTCGCCAAGTTGGTTGAGCTGGGCATCAAGCGCGATGCCGAGGGCAACGTGATCAACACGGATAACCAGCTGGGCGGCTACCTTTCTGCTCCCAAGAAGAGCAATGTGCCCACGGGTTCAGCCAAGGATCAGCCTCGTGCTCGTTTGTAAGGAAGACTGGCTCGCCCGTTCCTCTTGAGGCAATGAGGTTGAGTCGTGGTCGGCATCACGCTCTCTGCAGGGTTGGTTTGCTGTTTTCTTTTTTTTCCCCCGCTTCTGGACAAATTCCCCCTTTTGTGTTATTGTTAGACCTGCTCAGTTGAGATAGAGGCCGACCATAGACTTGTACATAGACCATAGATTAAGACAAGACTTTCACAATGTGCATTCTGACGTATGAAAACCACGAAGACCCTTTCAGTCAAGGATGTCAAAGTCAAGACGGAGGCTCACGTCGATGGTGCCAGCCGTTGGAGGTACGTGGGCCATGCTTTGAGATTTGGTTGCCATGATTCCAGAGTGTTGGAAAGAATGCCAGGGGAGGGCCTTGGAGAGGAGATAGAAGACAACTTGGCAATGGCGGTACCTGTAGAGGGGAAGTTTAGAGAGGGGGTATCTTCACTTCGGGCAAGTCAGGGTGTCGGAGAACCCCGATCGTCGATGCAAGCAAAAAGTAGTGCGCATTGTGCCGTTTAAACGCCATACCCCGAGGCCAGCTGGTCCAGTTGTTCGTTGTTGTCTTGGGCGCGAGTCTGGGGTAAAAAGTGGGGGCAATCTCCACTCTGCAGAAAATGGGCACCGTGAGTCGAGTCGCCAGGCCTGCCGCCGCCTGCGGGCTGATTTTACAATACGGTAATTCATTTGATAAGTTGGTTGCCCAGAATATCACAATTTAGTCAGGTGTTCATTTAATGTTAGCAACTGATTATCAATTTATCGTATCAATATGCTATGATTTGTCATTCAAACCATGAATCCTCGCTGCGCAATCAGCATTCGATGCGCTCCAGTGTTCTTAGCGCACAATGTCAAAAGCTCTAAGGACATCCCACGCCATGCCTAGATATGAGATATCTTTCTTGACTTTGGTATTCATGCTGCTCCTCGCATGGCAAGTACATCTATAGCTAATTACCTGTTGATCGAGTGGAGCTTATACTTCCAAATTCGAACACGTAAAGGGAGGACTTAGGGCTACTGATTGGAATGCGTTGTTAGACATTTGTGACGGAATGTTCTCCATTGTATTACTTTCTTTCGTGGAGGAGATTAATGAAAATGGATTGCTGCTCACCCACCTTCCGCTGCAATAAGGACAGAACTAGTGCGTCATTTCCACAATATTGGCAAAGGTTGATAGAAAAAATAATCAATTTCCATGCAAGAGTCTATGATTAAAGAAATATCGATTGCCAGGAATCTCAAGTGTAGAAACAAGACATTGCACGGTGGTGTATATTTGTGAACATATATCTGATCATATCCGAAAACACCAAGGTAGAATGATCTTCATTCGATTCTTCCTCTCTGTATTTTCCGTCTGATGGCCCGTTCGACGGCTTCCTCTAACACGTCGTCCAAGGCTTGCCTGCTTCTCTTGTTAGCCGTATACAATGTCTTGGTGTGCTTGCGAGAACCAGGATTTTCCATCCCAGTACTGTTAACGTTTTGGTGCCAGCTTTTGAGTGGCCGCATCGGAGTCTTGAGAAGTTTGATCGCGCCACCGGCGAGAGGCCCCTGTGTTTGTGACAAATTTTCTAGATCATCGAGGAAAGTATCCAAGTTATCGCCTATCAGAGTGTTTACAAACTCCTCATGTGACGCAAGGGCTGTGTCAAAGACGTTGGATGACGGATCGATGTGCATCGGCTCATCCTCGATCACCTGGTCAGTGTGCAGATTCAGGTTTAACCCTGTCCATAGATCTTCCGCGGGCGATACCTGCGGGACCATCCTAGATACTAAGTCTACCGGTGTCTCCCGGTATCTTTCCCCGTCAAGAGGGAGCGGTCTCGCCAAGGGCAAAGAAGGCGAGGGTGGGCGTTCTGGAGTCCAGGGAGCGTGCGAAGTGAGAAAAGGTTGTCTCTGCTCGAAAAGCCTCAACATGTCATCGACTGTTTGCGCGGCAGCTGTCAGTATGTCTTCCGAGGGCTCCATAATGAGCTCGTACATCACGATGGGGATACCGTGACTCACTAGCTCTGGCGGGACTCGCTCGGTTGGTGAGTGAGGGCTTAAGCCACCTACAATGACTCCCCCGGCCAGTTGGCCATCATACTTGCACAAATTACCTGTTTGTTTCTCCCCTCGCTTGTCGTCGTTCCAAAGCACACGGACATGGTTCTCCGTCCAGTATGCCCCTCCAAGCCATCGATATTTTGCGGTTTTCTTCACGCCAGGGTACACCCAATATTCGAGCTCTTGATCCATGGTATGATTCAAGACTGGGCCGCTTGATCGTATCTCAATCGCCAGACGAAGGGGAAGCTCTGTCAGATATGACACTCGCTGGGGTCCGGCGGCGTGGCCGCAGCGATTACAAGGAATGACTCGGGTAGGAGTGCCACCGATGCGACTCAGGTATTCCGACATTTGGACACCATCATCATCGCTGGGTTTCGTCTCTGGTGTGACGCCAGCGCTGTGCCATGAGACGCTATCGGACTCCGTGTATCTGCATTTTCCACATTCGCCGTAGGGAATATCGATCCAGCCCATTCTAAACTGGCGAATCTTTTCCGTGGAATTCTGCCAAGCCACCCAGATAGGCACGGGTATATCCCTCTTGATAAAGGGGTTATGAGCACAAAGCATGTCGTAATAAGAGTGTCGAAGTCGAATGGACTCATCAGACGTGATGGCATCCCAATTCATATTGGTCGCCTGTATAAATGCCTTGGTAAGCAAGTCGAAAGCTTCCTCCGCGCCGTCGGCTCGATCTGCGTTAGTACAACCGGCCATAGTCAGCATACCCAGCACAATCACACAGTCGATGACGCATGATCCTCGATCCCATACAGGCCCACGACCCCGATACGGGAAGAAACAGCCCGCTGGATCAAAGTCTTGAGTAAGTGGGTTCAAACGTACGTGGGAAACGACCGTGTGAGCACCTACCTGAACCTTGTTTAAATGTTCGACCGACGAGGCGACCCGATCAGCCACTGGCTGCTTGCTCGGCGCACGGGGATGTCTCTCGAGGCTATTGTAAGTTATTTTGATAAGAGCCTTCTCAATTGCCTCCCGCACCATGCTTGGGTCAAAGCTCTGCGAGGAGGCGTGCGAATCTGTGCTTTGAGACGATTGTTGGCTTTGCGGGGACTGGGTAGCAGCTTGCGTACTGCCTGGAGCAGTGGGAGCTGAAGGAGCCAAGGGCGCCGTTGTGCTCAGGGTCGTCGCTGGACCGGGCACAGATACAGGAGGATTGGCTGGGAGCAAAAACTGAAACAAGTAATGATCAGGCACATCTGGCGGTGCGTCTGCCGGACGTTGGTACGAGCTTGTCCCCAGCTGCCGTATTTCGGCCTCACTCAGAAGCTTAGGCCAGTGGCGGCTGACTGGGAGAGGAGTCGGTCTGACTGTGTACTTAAGGAGCCGAGGGCCGCCATCTCGCTGAAAATCAAGCATCTCGTCTTCAGTGCTGATCTGGTATTGAGGTCGCATGTAGTAATTGACCTTGATTATCGCAGCCACCATGTTGACGCGGGTCCCCTTGCCATAGGAAAAGCCCCAGAGAATATAACTGGCGATTTTGTCCAGCCCTGCCTTACCGAAATACTGAGCTACTTTGGTCCGGTACTGCTTGAGTGTCGAACCAAGAAACACATAATCTTCCGGGGGATCAGGAAGTGCGGTCAGATCGTAGCTTGGCACTTGTTCATAGGGAATTGGCGGATCACCGGAAGACGCCATAGCTCTTGATATCAACAGTGAGTCGATACGAACTTGAGGGTAATAAGGCAATGCAAGATTCTCAAAGAAGTGCTCTTTTCGACTGCCAGGCAATCGTTCCAGTAAAATGAAGAATATGTAGACTTTTGTCAGGTGTTATTGGGGGCTCAAATCTGTCGCTGGATTCGTGGATGTCAGGATAGAGAGGAGCGAGATGAAATCAATAAGATAGATTGCTTCACAGTAGACAGGAGTCCGGAGTGGAAGTTGATGGTTTCGAGTAGATCGGTGGAAACTCTCGACCATTTAAATAGCATGAATTGGACTCGACATCTGATGGCACCCAAGTGTCTTCCAATGTGCCTTTGAGCCCCTCGAACAATGGCGGCCTGCACCAGTAACGAAATCTAGCACGTGCAATTGTGGGGTATGTCAAAGAAAGCCGCTGACTTCTCTGACGAACAACAACAATGAAACATCATGAGCCAATGTTCTCCAAAGGTGTGCCGAGTTGTTGACCAACACACTTAGTGTGGACATACACGGAACCACACTTGAGGTTCCAGTCTGTGTGTCAATGGAGACAATGAATCTCATAATGTCTGCTTTATCCCTCGAGCCAAGAATAGCCATTGTGAAGGAGGCAAGACTGGCATGGGAAGCGGCGAAGACCTCCAGTTCCAAGTTGATGCATCTTTCAAGAAACAACATCAGAGTTGTTCGTCGAATGTCTCCTTTCTCACCTCACACACGACGAAAATAGACTGTGCTTCAAAGTAGAGTGTTGATGAAGTTCAAGACATTGTTAGGGGATGTGTCCACTGTCCACAGCTTTTGTTGTCTATATATCCAGATCACCACTGCTATCGAAGGCGCATTACCCAGTCTGTTTTCACACCAAACTCGGAAGAAGGCGGCTATCACTTGACTGACGATGGTCATACAGGCGCTCGGCGACAGTCTTCAAACCTGAGGCATTCTGGCAGTTGCGAGTTTGCATTGACTTTGCAACGGGCTAAATTACGATACGTCGTGGAGGTTATGGACCGGTATTGTGTGCCCAAAGCCCGGCGTCTACATTACCAAATTACCTACCGGTCATGTGATATTTTCATGAAAACTCATTCCAAGAAAATTAAAATTGAAATAAAATGTGGCACATAACCCAGCCGCCCAAAACAGACTAGTGCCCCCATCAAGCGAGCCCTCACCACAGACTTTTCCATAAGTGGTTAGCGTCCCAATTACCCGATCCCACAACGGCAGCAAAAGTCACTCGACACTTCCTCCTCTCCATTCCTCTCGTCGACAACACATCGCGATACGCGCGCCCATCGCCCATCATGTGTACGTTGCCCTCTTCTGCGCCAGCTTCGATCAAGCAACACTTCGAAACCGTGAAATCATCCGCTTTTGCCGAAATCGAAGCATGCCGATAATGACCTTGAAGCTAACGTTTTCGCTCGATCTACAGCGCTCGTGTCCGGCGAGAAGACGAACTTCCAGTACATTCTGCGTCTCCTCAACACCAATGTTGAGGGTAAGCAGAAGATCATGTACGCCCTGACCCAGATCAAGGGTGTCGGTCGCCGCTACTCCAACTTGGTCTGCAAGAAGGCCGATGTCGATCTCAACAAGCGGTACGTTTTTCGATGGACAATCCAAAAAGCAGTCTCTGTATCGTCTACAAGTGTCTTCCCGATGTTCTCGGCTATGAACAACAAACGACCAAAGTATTTCAACTTTTTGTGGGCCCTTCACATCGCTTCGCCAAGCATGGATTACGACCATTTTGCGAAATTGGAACGTCTCTCGGCCAGGCTGGCGGCATCTTACAAATTTACACATCAAAACGAGCACGGCTAGAAGACACTTGCAGGCGTTGCAGAGATCCTCGCACAGAAGAATATGCACCCTACTTCAGAATGACACACTGACATACTATCTCTCTTGCAGTGCCGGTGAGCTTACCACTGAAGAGCTTGAGCGTATCGTCACCATCCTTCAGACCCCCACCCAGTACAAGATTCCCTCGTGGTTCCTGAACAGACAGCGTGACATTGTCGACGGCAAGGACACCCAGGTTGTCTCCAACGGTCTCGACAGCAAGCTCCGTGAGGATCTTGAACGCCTGAAGAAGATCCGCTCCCACCGTGGTCTTCGTCACTACTGGGGCCTCCGTGTCCGTGGCCAGCACACCAAGACTACTGGCCGCCGCGGTCGCACCGTCGGTGTCAGCAAGAAGAAGGGCTAAACCATTCGCTTTTCCTATTTATTTTCTGGGGGTTTATGGAGGGATTCCTTTACTGTCGGTGTGTTTCTATGGGCATCCGTGGGATCTTTTCCCTGCTGGACTGGGCGTGATGCTGGTCCCAAAAATGAAAATGAATCATACCAATTTGAAATGAACCAAACGCTGTGCTTTTTTTCTGCACATAGATTGCCATGTGTGGGGGCTCTTTTGCCCTCGTGCCTCGTAAGCAATGACCCCGGTCCATGGCCCTTTTTTCCAGTATCACGTTGTAGTATGGTGGCTTTCGTAGGCTGGCACCATCAACTCGATGCCTCTTAGATGTATCATCGTCGATTCAAGCGTGGAGTATCTACTATCTACGATCTTGAGCACATGAGCATTACGGTAGATCAGGCGTCCATGTCCGGGTTGCACGACACCAGAACCAGTACTGGATGTGGCCAACATCAAAGTGAGTTACCCACTCGTCAGCCCTCTAATGTGCGTTTTGAGCCAACATTTACGGCACTGTACTTTGCCCCAGCACAAGGCGTCTCTCTTTGTTCGACAACCCATTGAGTTGGCACAACAAGCGACGGTAATGGTCGATGTTGACCACCGGCTCAAATTGATGTAGGCTACCCGAGCAATCTGCCAGTACACAGTAATGTAGATACAAAAATTTCTCACATTTAGATTATGAAAGAGACTCGCGAACTATGGCGTGCGCTTTCTACAAAAGTTACTTCAAGGTTGACTGAGGTGTGATGTTGAATTTCGAACAGAAACAATACTTCGTGTACACATATACATCAACCAAAACGAGCCATCCTAAAGACAAGTCAAGTGCAGCCTGCGAAACAATTCCTCATCTCCGAGTGCGTGACCTTATTCGATCTGATCGACTTCAGATCAGGTACTCAAGGGTCGTATAGCTATGATTGTGAAAGCTTTCAAAACCACTCACCACCGAGCCAGCGGTTGAAGAACTCCAGACTGGCCTCGGGCTGGTCCATGGGAACCATGTGGCCACCACCATACAGACGCATGAAGGTGAAGTTGCCATGCGACTTGACTTGACCAATCTTCTTGCCAGTGTGCTCATTTTGCTCAATGGTGAGGTCCTTCAGTTCCTTCTTGGCGAACTGCTTCTGGCCAGGCCACTCAAGAGCCTCAGTCCAGGCCTTGTTGCCAAGCCAGTTGCAGATGAAGTCCGCGTCACCGGCGTAGATGAGCACGGGGATCTGCTCAATGAGACCGGGGACAAGACGGTGGTAAGGCTTCATCCAGTCACCGTGGAAGAGGAAGTTGCGGTTGATGTCAAAGTTGCATGAGTCGTAACCATCAACCTCAGCGCCAAGGGCCTCGCGGACCTTGGCCTGGTTGAGATATTCAGACACGTAACCCATGCCCTTGTAGCAAAGGTTAGAGGAATCCTCACACTTTCCACGGACATCGTAGACATTCTGGCCAGTGCGCTGGTAAGGGGCAAGGAGAGCGTTGTTGCAGTAGATGGAGGCGGGGACACAGACCCAGGCGCTCTCACTGTCATAGCACGACTGGATCATGGAGAGACAGCGAGGCAAGGCATTGTCCATCGACTGGCAGGAAGCCTCGTCGAGAACAGCGGGGTAACCACCATCACCGCAAGCCATGGGACGATAGTATTCGTACTGGGTCAGGCCATCGGTCAACCCGTTACCAATCAGTACAGACTTCAGGTTGATGTTGCGGTTCTTGTGAGACAGGATCTCCGAAGCAAAGACGGGGATATAGTGGCCGGCGTAAGACTCGCCAGCAATGTGGAAGTCCTGCTTAGCATACTCGGGGAACTGTTTGAAGAACAAAGACATCAGAGCATAGACGTCCTTGCCTGCAGCGACGGTGTCGCTAACACTGCTTCCGCTGTAGGAGTATCCCACGTTGACGGGCTGGTCAAGGAAAATCACAGACGCATTGGAGTTCCAAGAGTAATCATTGTAGACCAGCTCAATCTTCTTGTTGACAGAGCTGGGTCCAAGCTCCATGAACAGACCAGTCAGGGAAGAACAACCAGGCCCACCGTTCAACCAGAGAACGACGGGATCATTTTTGGGGTCGTTGCGAGACTCAAAGAACCCTTTCATAATACGTCAGGACCACGCGACCGTCAATGAAAGGATAAGTGACTTCGACTTACAATAGAAGAGATGCTTGTCGTTCTCGTTGTCATCCAGATACCCACTGTATTGCTTGACGTGGGGATCCACACCCAGAGCGCTCGGGTCCACTTTCTTCACGCGGAGATCGTAAGACTCCAGCTTGCCGCTGATCTCACGCTCTTTCTGGCCATCGGCACCAGACACCCAGATGTTCTGCACATCCTTTCCACGGACAACGTGGTCCCAGTGTGAGTCAGGACGACGAGTGTGCTTCTTAGGGAGTGACAACATAGGGGCATGGTCCATGGTGTTGGGGAACTGGTGGGCAACCTCTTCCCAAAGACCACGGGCCTCATCGGACAGAGAGCTGAACTCATTCTTGAGCTTCTCCAGTGGCTCGAAAACAGCATCAGCTCCCTTCTTGGCCCAGTCTTCGAGAACATTTGAGCCCATCTTGGCCCAATCCTCAACAATGTTTGAGCCCTGCTTGGCCAGATCCTCGGCGTGCTCACGATGAGCGCCCATCACCTGCTGGAGAGGGGGAGCCGCTGCCGAAGCGGCTCCCACCAGCAATGTTGCCGGCAAAAGTCTCATGATGACTTTGAAGCTTAGACTGAAGAGAAGATATAGACCACCTGCGATTTGCTGATGAAAACGGGTACCTGCGTAGGAAGAAGCTCTTATCAGCAAGGGATCAGGCTGCCAGGCAGAAGATGATGTGGAACGATGGCAAAGATGGAGGACGGAGACGGGTGGGAGATTATCTCCGACATACAGGATAGTAATTGCTTCGATAAAGATGATGGAGCACGACACAGGACCAACAACAGTGCCTGAGATCGGACAGAGAGGTCTATGGGGGAGCACAGGTGGTTGGGGAAGGAGATGGAACCTTGGAAGCGATGACGCCGGATGAGGAGTCTCCGCCAGATAAGCCGTCTCGCCCCGTGACTCGCTGAGTCATGCGGGGAAAATGGAACCTTCCTATACAGGAAGCGGTCAGCACGAGGTGACGCGATACAGTCCCGTGATATGAATTGTACATGGCTACATGCTACGATGCTGCTAGTTCGATTTGCGAGTTCTGCCGATCATCCCTTGCTCCTGATCTATAGAGGCGGGAGTCGGACTCGGCAGTGATTATGTCGGTAATATACAAGTTAATAACAGGTACTCATCTACCGTACATTAGGTACCAGGCAGGAAGATCATTTATCTGTCGGACCTTGGCAAGCTTTGAGATAGAGGGACAACACGTACATCGTACCTGATGCATCTGTCAAAGATTAGTATCTTACTATTGATCAGCAGATAGTAGCGTTTGCAAGGGTTCTTCTGGTATGTCCGATGATTCTTGCGTGGGTCATTTAGGAACTCTTCGAGGCTTTGCGAGGGTCTCTACAGGCAACTTTCCCAATGATAAACATTAAGGTTATGGACCCACACCAGGAATCGTCTTGGTGTAGGTCTGCAATTGCATACCAAGTGACTGAGACGTCAGATGGGGAGAGAGAGATCGACTATTGTCATGGATGGGACTGTAATTCTGTCAGTGTCTAGCCTCCAAGCAAGCACAATCTGAATCTGGTGCCCGCACGAGTAACTAGCCCCCAAGGCTGCTGACTCAGCACCTTTCCTGTCCCGTCCGCCTGGGCGGGCTCCGTCCCAGCTCGGGAAAAAAGTGCCTGATCATGAGGGGCACCAAGCACCGTTCAAACGAATTCGAGAAGAATTTCAAGATCTGAACTTACAGATTCGTGTGAAGTTGGAGTGCATTGCTGATTTTGCTCAACTGCTGGATCTGGTCCCGAAGGCGCACTCCCATCGTTGAGATCACCCAAAATTAATCAAAAGCATTTCGTCATACCGTCAAAATGCCGATCAATCAACCTTCAAACCAGATTAAATTCACGAACGTGTCTATCGTTCGTTTGAAAAAAGGTGAGTGGTTGCGAAAATACCTACTGAGCTACTAGCTAGTCACTCACGCCCGTCCATTCGCTCAGGCAAAAAGAGATTTGAGCTCGCATGCTACAAAAACAAGCTGCTCGAATACCGATCGGGCGCCGAAAAAGATCTCGACAATGTCCTCCAAGTTCCAACAGTCTTTCTTTCCGTGTCGAAAGCCCAGACAGCCCCTGCCGCGGAATTATCGAAAGCGTTTGGTGCTGATACTCCCCGTGATGAAATCTTGCAGGAGATTCTACGAAAAGGCGAGGTGCAAGTCGGTGAACGTGAGCGGAAAGAAGTTCTCGAGCGTGTCGAGAAGGAGGTTCTGGACATCGTTTCAGGGAGACTAGTCGACCCAAACACCAAGCGGGTGTACACATCTGGAATGATCTCAAAGGCCCTGGATCAGTTGCTGTCCGCGAGCGGTCAGCAACAGCAACAACAACAACAGCAGAATGGAGAAGCAAATGGGGCTGGAGACGAGCTGCCGAAGAAGCCCATGTGGACCGGAGTCTCTTCGAATCGATCGGCGAAGAGTCAAGCGTTGGATGCGATGAAGGCACTAATCGCGTGGCAACCCATCCCCGTGATGCGAGCGCGAATGCGTCTACGAGTGACTTGTCCTGTATCTCTGTTGAAGCAGTCCGTCAAAGCTGCCCCAGTCGCAAATGCAGTCAGGGAAGAGAAGCCATCAGGGAAAGGAGGCAAGAAGGGAGGAAAGGGAAACAAAAAGTCCAAGCGGGATGACTCCGAAGACGAGGCTGGCGCGTCCGGCAGCGAGGCTGCACTCAAAGCCTCCGGAACAGTCAAAGACAAGATTCTGACCTACATTGAAGCAGTCGAGTCGCAAGAAACGAGCGGTGATGAATGGGAGGTGGTAGGCTTTGCCGAGCCGGGAGCTTTCAAGGGGTTGAATGACTTTATCGGCACCGAGACTCGTGGCCGAGGCCGTGTGGAGGTGTTGGACATGTCCGTGACACATGAAGATTGAAATTTTTTTTTCAAATCAATTTTCGCGTGTGAAAGAAAGGCATGCGACAGCCGCTTGAAGTGGCGATGGCTACAGTATATTGCGCGACGACCGTGATGTCTTCAGTAAACAATGCAAATGACATGATACCTACATTTTCCGCAAGAAGCTCATCATCTGGTGGTGTCAGTCCTACAACCATGTAAAATTAGGGCAGAGGTCTGCGTCCCAGACTTTTCCACTACGCATTTCAATGCCTTGACAGGGACGGTACCCGAAGCCTGAGTTTTTCTGAACATGTTTTCACTTTGCTGTCTGCTGACTGATGAACTCGGGCTGTCAAACTTCGGCTTCTGCCTGTTAGAAAGTAGCGAATTTTGCCATCGAGCGAGCTTCTGAAAGCTCGCTGCAGAGAATTCCAAGCTAAAGCGACAAAATTCTAATTTCAAAGTAGTGAAAGCTCAATTTCCAAGGATAGAACTAATTAGCAGATCAAGCAAGTCCCAAACGCTACTTACATGGGTAACATTGGCGTGAAGATCCTCGGACCTCAGCTTGGTTCAGCGTCACCATATCCCAGTACATGAAGGGTATTGACGCATCAAAAGCAAAATGATTTGGAAATCCACATGTTAAGTCACAAAATAAGAGCAGGGTAGACGAAGCAAAAGCAAAAGCGTCAAACATTCTCAAAAACAACAATCAAAAACAATAAAGGGTATCTCGGTAAGCGCGTCAGCCCCTCCCGGGGCAGTCAGAGTACCACTACTGTACTGGCAACTCGACTCCATATGTCACTCGTGTTTGGGCCCCCATTCAGGGTTTCCGCCTCGACCAAAAAGCATTGCAACGTTCAATGCCATTCAACCAGCAATCACTCCATTGCAGCACGCATGTCGATCGAGTCACAACCCGTGACCAATAGCACGAGGTTCTTCCCTGGCCCCAGCTCCTTTGCCAGATCAATGGCTTTCAGCACAGCGTGACTCGAGTCCAGCCCGGACAAGATGCCCTCATGGTGTTGTAAGGTTTTGAACCCGTCCAGGGCTTCCGCGTCCGTGGCAGTCCGAATTCGAACGCGACCACTCTCCTTCCAATAAGCCAGCTCAGGCCCCACCGTTGAGAGGTTCATGTCAGGTGAGATCGAGTGACAGTCGAGGATTTGCCCATCGTCATTCTGCAACATCAAGGTTCGCGCACCCTGGAGAACACCCATCGAGCCCTCGGTCAGCGTGGCTGCTCCTGCACTCTCGACGCCTATCAGACGGATAGCCGGGTTATGAAGGAAAGGTCGGAATAGGCCCACGGCACCTGCACCACTACCAACGGCGGCAATGAGAGCATCGGGCTGGCGTCCAGTCTCTTGATGCATCTGGATCGCGACCTCTTCGCCCATTCGCTGTTGGAAGGTGCGTGTTAAGGTTGGGATGGGGTTAGGACCCACCGGCCCACCCATCAGATAGTATGCAGTCTCATGGTTGCAGACCGAATAGCGGAGAGCCTCTGTGATGGCGGCGCGCAGCGTGCCCATGCCGGACGGGGTGCGCGCGGTCAGAATCTTGGCCCCGAGCATCTTCATCTCGAGAACATCTTCGCTCTGCGACTGTGCGTCATCTGCACCCATGACCACCACACACCGCAGATTCAAGCGAGCACACATTGCCGCCGTGAAGGTGCCATGCTTGGCCGAGGCACAATCGGTGACCACTTCTGCACGGCCCATTCTGCGAGCCAGCAACAGTTGGCCGATGATATTGCGGGTCTTGTGGCTGCCGTATTCGTTGAGATCTTCACGCTTGAGCCAAATCTGAGCTCCCCGGCCAACTCCGTGAGATTACCGGCCAATTGCAGAGAAGAATTCTGAGTCCGGTCGAAGCTGGCAAACTCTTTCCAGAAAGAAGGATCCGAGATGGCCGACTCAAAGGCACGAGTCAGCTCGTCGAGGAATCCGATGATGGATTCGGGCGCGAACCGGCCCCCAAAAGAGCCATAGCCATTGAACGATATGGGTGGCGGCGTGGGCCTACGGTCAAGCTGCAAGCCACACACAGAGCGGAACCCATCTGGGAGAGATGAGTTGTCTTCGAGTCTGCTGTTTGTGCCGGAGGTCACGGAAGAGTTATCACAGGCTCCTGTGGTGGACGCGAGAGCAGACTCTGCAAAAGAGCTGTCCAAAGAAGATGCACAAGTGATGTTGGCTCTCGCTCTGATTGATGGAATTGCCGGTGGTGGGCTGTTGCAGCCAGCCTGAGTCTGGTCATGAGCCGCGAACTGGGAGGTAGGAAGAGGGACTGTGATGACGGGAGTGCTCGGAATTGATTTGATTGTCACGCTACGTGGAGGTACCTCGGGCGACTGGTCGGTGCCAGGCACCTTGGAGGCCCGTGAGAAGCAAAAGAGCTTTTGAATGGTTCGTCGCATGGCGATTGATGACAGAGAAGAGAGAGAGGGAGAGAGAGAGAGGGAGGGAGAGAAAGACAGAGATTGAAGGCAAGCTCAATATGCGTCGAGAGAACCGAGGAAAGAGGAGAAGAATGAAGTCCCACACATGCAGCGAGTGTTTTCAAAGGCAGTGCATCTGCAACGCATGCAAAGAGAAAGATGTCGGTCAAAAGGATCAGGGTGATGGCCAACTTTCACATAGGAAGTGTTTCCAATGAGTCCAGTTTCACAGTGGACTATGCACGTTGATGGCTAGGTTCCCATTCACTTCCCACGTGGAGATGATATGAGAGAGAGATGAAAAAGCGAGAAATCCGAGGTTTGGGCAACGAGAATCAATGATGAAGCTGAGTGAGGATTGGGAGATTGAAGGGATTCGAAACTTGAAAGAAGTGAAACGCCTGGCTCTGGCGTGACTTAAATAAACAAAAGAATCCATTACAGCTCTCAGACGACCTCGACGTTCTGTCTATGGAGTAATTCAATACAAGCATTCTGTACGAACTACGAACTACTTGTGAGCAGTGGGTACCGTTTCTGTTGTCTGCCCTATACTGGAGTAAGTTTTTAGTGTACTCGATGGTTCGAGCCCCACAGGGCAGCACGTCAAAGCACTACGTATTTTGTTGTTTCTTTTTTTTTCTTTGTTTTCTTCCTTCGATCTACATTTTGCCTCGGGGTCGTTTCGAGGAGAAAGAAAAAGCAGAAATTCCACTCGCGAAAAAAAAAAAACGAGGCATGACTCTCAAGAATCAGTCGTTGTGGTCCGTAAGGTCATGATTTTCATGTTATATCGGTGGTGCCGGTGGAGACCAGCTGCACCAAAGTGGATTTTTATCGACAAAGTATGTACCCAGACTGTCGCAGCGAGTCCAGCGAGTCCTGCGACCCCGTCCACTTGCCTGTACCGACAGATTCGACACTCCCCCCTAGCTGGAAGCATTGAATCTCGCTTGCCTCAATACATTCATGTAATGGTGTGGATCTCGGCGTCCGAGTTCCAGGCATCGCCTTGAACCGGAGACCTCTGACCCTGTTTGTCTGCTCTGGGAAGCTCTTACCGCCCAGTTCCAAGCACGCGGTTGGCTCCACCCCGGACCGTCCCAGAAGTTACCTGAGAATGCTCCTGACCAATCGGTCGATGCATTTTTTGCACTACCACAGTGCGGGCCACAGAAGTGCAATGTAGTGAATGTACAGTCTCCGGTACATACAGCGTACCGAGTGAGCGAATAGTCCATTTTTCCAAAGTCGTAACTGTGCTAGCGGGAATATTTCAGATGGACAAGGTTTGAAAGATCATGTGAAGACCACATGTGGCTAGGATTCGGGTTGTGGTGGTCAAGTATCGGTCCAGAAGCTGTGATTACAGCCACTGAATTAACCAACCCAAGGGACGGCTACGTAATCATTTCCGACTTCGTAAGCCATGAAAGTGTGTGTTTCATGATACTGCAGATAGGATTGCACTGACGGAGAATGGCAATCATATTTCCCAAGACGAAGAGGTGATTTGATTACGGGTATGATCCTCTCGAGAATGTAACTCCTATAGCCGCCGACATTGTGCCGAGTCGAAGCACATCTCGTCATGGGAACATCTATCAAGGTCAGCTGGGTACGAGCAACAATTTCTGATTGGATCAGTGTGAGAATGCGGCTTAGATTCACGAGACTCTAGGTCTTAGGTGCAAAATTGAAATTCTCATCTAATGGCTATGAGGAAAATCAGACACGGGGATGAGACAACTTCTCCACTGCTGGAAATTTCTTGGAAACTGACAGACTACAATAAGTAATACCTCAATTTAGTTCTCGTCCTCGAGGCCAATAGGCTTGTGTTTCCAGGTAATACGCTCTACTATTTCGTTGTGTCCACTCACTTGTCTAGTCCTGGCAGTCTCGTCACAGAGTCGTAGTTTGAGTCAAATACGGTTTCTCTACCGTGGACTACCAATTACGGTGTTCGGTTAAAGCTTTTGGTATATGCTCAGCCTTACATCTGTTCTGTTCAGGATTCAGTAGCTTATTAGACCAGATCACCGCTTGTGTTTTTTTTTTTCCTTTTCAAAAAAGAAAAATCCAAATCGGATCATTTCCTTCTAAATCTGATCATTTCCTTGTTCATCTACATGAGAACTGTGGAGGAGCAAACTTTAGATCCAGAAAGTATTGAACATATCAATATGATGGTTCGTCTACCTCACTAGCTTGGCTCGTGGTCTGCCGATCTTCAAAGATCGTTCATCTTAGCAGTAATGCGATCTATCTACTTACCCAGCTGGTACCATCTCATGCAGTGATGTGAGGCTGAGCCTCCTTCCGCGCTACATCTGGAACAGGTCTCACGACCCAGTTGGGCGAACGCGACTATCCCCGTACTATTGTATCGTGGCGGTGGAACCCGGCCCTCATGATCCGGTCGACCCAGTATCTTGGCCTTGGGGACTGTGGCCTTCAGCCTGCTCCTAGCACGTTAGCGAGATCCGGTAACCCGGTGAGGATGATGTCGAGGGGGTGCATAGATCGACGATGTTCGCAGGATTTTCATGCCAGTAGATACTCTCTTCTCATCCGTAGCGCCCATTGTCGATCGACATGTGGCGGTCAAGGAAGGGATGAAATCATTATCATCTGAAAGTCACGATGATTGGTCGTTTGAGGGCATTTTCTCTCACATCGAGTGCATATTTTTGGTGTCTCGCAAACCCAATCGGCTTCCGAGCTGAGATAGACTGCGGGCAACTCGAGGCATTACTGTACGTAGCGTGTGTTGTTTGGCGGTTGTTGGGGCTCTTTTCCTCTTTTCCCACGCAAAACACGATAGGAAGTCATCCTTCCATTTGAGACACTGCGCACACTGTCACCGAATTTAGCTCTGACCTCCATAGGATTTACAGCAGCAGGAGCCACTCGACTGTGAGGATCACAAGACGAACCTAATCATACTGAGGAGCTAGAAGCCAAAGTCCCCCTTCTATGAGATTTTCTCGCCTCACTCTACATCTTTTTCAAGATCGAGTTGGCTGGCAAGGCACAACGTGTTCCAGCCCGATGGTATGGGACCAATTTCTTGAAACGATAAGTACTGTCGACTCGGGGACTTTTCTCGTCAGGCGAATTTTCTTTTCTCCCTCGCGTGGAATATTCTCCTGCTCTCCCGAGAGAACTCAAGTTCCATCTCCATGGGAGCTGGGAACAAGCAACAATACCCACTTTCACAGGAGAAAAAGAAAGCATCAAGATCCACATGGATGCCTCCGGGGATGAGTTCCGGGCTTCAACCCGTGGACTTTGGTGTGCTAGGGACGGGACAGCCACGATCAACACCTGCTTCCCCGGTGATCGGGCAGCTGTGGCGGTAAGGAAAAGCAAGATGATGTTCGAAATCCCTGAAGATTGCAACTTTGGGAGAAGAAAAAAGAAAGAAAAAAAAAGAACTTCAAGAACGATCGATCCATCTGCACGGAAGGTCCCCGATTGCATATTGAAGACAAGGGCGTCCACGGTCATGTGACCAGGTTGAGGCTGCTCGGCGCCGCGCTGTTCATGTGTCATGTGGACAGTGGCACATTTTAGCGAAACGACCATTGTTTGGTTTGGTTTGGTCTCTTTCGGAAAGACTCGATTGCCTCTGGAGTCCATAACCGGCATCGCCAACTTTCATCCGATGATCTCTGATCAGTTGTTCTACTTGGAATATTTTTGGACCTATGCCATCAGCCTCCTCCTCCTCCTCCTCCTCCTCCTCCTCCTCCTCCTCCTCCAGTCCCAGCCACCTGAGACTACTCGGGATTTAGTTCGCTATGGAATCTCGCCGACATCCCCGATCTACGGTCTGCCGAAAGGGGGATTTTTATTTTGCCCATTGTCAGAATTGTTTAATGTACAGTACGTTCGAGACACGCTAAGATCGGGCGTGGTGGGTCATTGACAAAGGTACAATTGGACAGGTAAGGTTTAAAGGTACTCCCAGAGTCCGAGGTCCCTCCAGACGGTGTCCATTTGTCTTACATCATCTGCTGTCACGAGCGTGAACCACTGAACCTTTCGAGTCTCGATCTCCAAGGAGACGGGCTACTTTGTTTTTTTATTTTTCTTTGCTGGATGAGATATTCGAAACTGGACCGAATGCGACTTGTATGATTAGTCAATACGAAACCACTGCTGAAAACCCCTCTCAAGTCCATCAGAGTCAGAACCACGCCAACAACAGAAAGAAACTTGACCTCGTGAAAGAACAGTCCCACTCGTGTTTTTTTTGATTTTCCTTTGACACTCCCGGAAGATCAGAGGGCAAGATCCTCTGCTCTGAAAAATGAGACCTGTCATGAAATGTTGCTTTTCTTTCTTTCTTTTTTTTTTTTTTCTTCTCTCGGGGATCGCACCCAGCATCGTGGAAGCTCTGCCTTGAGAGAAGTCCGGTGCAGGGTGGATTTTTCTCCACCAGCTCAGGAGATACGGGACCTTGGGTTCGTGTCAGTAGGTTGTTCTGCATGAGACCTTTGCAGCCCAACAAATCAAGTGGACAATTTACAGTCCATATAGTACATTTAGGACATTTAGGACATTGAGTACATTTTGGTACATTTGGTACATGAGTACCTAGGTACATTAGTACCCTCGGGGACAATGGGCGCACGTTAATTATAATCATAATGATACTGCAGATTTGGGAAAGCCGTCATGTCCAACCATGAGCGAGGAACGCAAAATGCCACAGCACAATTTACGAGTCCAGTCCATAGGGATTGCTCCAGAATTCCCCATCATCAATTTTGATTTGCGTTGTCGACACTGGTAGGACAAAGAAACGCTAAGTCCTCGTGAGACTCGAACCAGATCATGTAGGCTGGCAGTTATGGGGCATAAATAGTCCTACACCTCCCTCCCCTTCCCTCGTCGTGAGACGTCCTTCTCAGGAGTGAATTCGATCATCGACAGATTCCGGGTTACACCAACAGGTCTGATCGGACGTCCTTGTTCATACTTTTGACGGTCTCATTTTACCTTTTTTTTTCTTTCATTGTTCCACGGTCTTTCCCACGTGGCCCACGCAGTTCAATTCACAATGTCCAACATGCGGTCTGGTACCAGCGAGGGTGTGGATTGGAAACTCGCCCTTTGGCTGTCGTACAAGATAACTAAGAAGCTTGCCTGTCATGCGGTGCATTCACATCACTAGGACAGATGGTATTTGTCTGTGAGTATTTCCCAGCTTCTTAATTTCAAGTACTATCGGTCGTTCGCTTCAGAGATGCCGTGAGATCATGACTGACTCAAACGGGAGAGCCATTAGATTCTCATGACTATTTGCTGCTGTGTCATTTCCTCGGCGCGGTTTCCATGAAGACTCAACAGCATCTATCTGTTCGTCAATCAATCCGTCCGCACTGGGCGATTTGAGCAATATGTCAATTCTCGAATCATCTGTCATGGGTCTCATGACCTTGTTCCCTGGTCGAGAGTATCTTTCTCTTCACTCGACGTCCAACGAAACACTTCCACCACGTTGACATGCGCCCTTTCACAGCCTCTTCATATATTCTCTACTGCACTCTCACGATGCCCTCCCCCCCCCCCCCCCCCTTCAATCTGTGAAGCACCTCCCACCCTCGAATGAGTCAACGCCTATCGGAACTTGAATCTCCCCCCCCATCATCCATTCATCCGTCCGTCTTCATGAATCATGCCCCTCACATCCACCTGTCAACATGAAGCTGGATCTTCATTCTTCCAGACCATGTCATTTTCTGTGTTTGTTTTTTTCCCTCGGATTCCTACTCTCTTGAAATCGCTCTTCCCTCCAGCTCGTGGCCCTCCTTGAAATCCCCATCGATCAGAGCCAGTCCCCACAACAGGACCCCCCCCCCCATCGGCCCCGGTGCTCCCCAAATCAAACAAAAAACTCTAAATCACCAACTTCCAAACGGCGCTCCACTTCCCGCCATCCCAAACATCAACCGCCCGTGCTCGTCCACTCAACGTCTCTCTACCTGACCTACTGTGGGATCACAGCCAGGAGCAAAGCAAAGCAACAAAGGCCTCGCTCTACTTCTCATCGCGCAGAATGTTCGCTCCATTCTACAACCGTATAACTCATGCACCGGGGTAACCATGTCGCCGATATTCCGCCTTTCCTCTCCCAGGTGAAAAGGAAAAACGTCATCCCAAACCAGGCCTTTCCCTTGAATCTGATTCCCGGGCACAAGAGGGACGGGACCTGGATCCGGCATCGATCTCCAGGCACAGCCCTACGCCCTGTGGTGCCGGTGGTACATTCGAGCGCAGAGTTTCCAACCCGCTAGACACAAATAATGACGGATTGATGTTTCTTTTGTTGAAGGGGGGTGATTGTTGCCATCAATTGAGAGTCCTTGGTTATATTTGAGCGTTCCTTCCTGCCCTCGGCGTCTTGATTCGTTCGTTCTTGTTAGTCTCGTGATGTTTTTTTTTTTTGACCTTTGAGCTTACACCATGGGTGGGTTGAGGTTGTTTTGCGTTTTTGAAGCTTGGTGTTTGATGAATTTTCAATGCTTGTGTTGGTGACCGGGGTGATGCCTTGTTGTTCGGGTTTGCTCTTGCGTCTCTGCTTCTTATTGCTTGTTCAAGCTCTCGACTCAATACATGATTACGTCAACTTGAAATACTCTCAACAATTATACATGTGTAATCTTGAATCTGTTTCATTATCTCCTCCAACTTTTTGGACTCATCTATCGACTAACAAACAAACGGTCTAGTCCCTGGGCGGGAAGGAAAACAAAGACACACCAAAAATAGATTCTCGAGCCGAGGTGGGCATGGATCAGAGAATAATCAAAAACGCCAAAAGGTAACGGGTATACGCTCAAAATGCAGGGTTGGATAATCAAGTGTCAAACAGGCAACGGGGTAGATGGAAGGGTGAGGATGAGGGTGAGGGTGGAGGAAGATTGAAGAGGACGAGCAAAGCGGTCAATCGAGAACAAAAGTAACGGCTCGGTTTCGCGTCACGCTGAGATGGGAGGGGGAAGAGAATCAGGCGAAGAGACCACCATCTGGGCTCCAGCCACATGAGGTCTCTTTCATCAAGCCTGTCAAAGGGCCTCGAAAATCATCAATGTGATTTCTGAGGCTTGGAGAGACGGCAGAGGGTCGGGTCCGAAGACCGATTCTGCGAGGTCGTCAATCCTGAACCTGAAACGGAACGATGGAATCCGTTCCCGCGGGGTGGAGACGGCATCGAAGTGATGGCGACATCGAGTCGCCGGTGAAAGGTAATGTCGAATTTGTAGTGCGAAAAACAAACGTTGGAAGCGGGCGGGTGAGATGGGCAGTCATGCATCGCAAAATGTTGCCCAGTCAAGGCAATCCAAATTCCCATTGGCAGGACATGTGGGAGAAGATGAAAGAGGGCAATCCAGGGCAACCCTTCTTGCATCGTCATTCCGCGCGAAGGGAATCTCGAAGCCTTTAGCCGCAGACCTGCACAGCGTTCAAAGCCCGCATCAGATCCTCCGGTGCGAACGGAAGTCCCTTGGCTTTGCTGAGCGGGGGCATCGGGTAAGGCGACGCCGCTGGGGAGAGAGCTCGGACAATCGGTGACGTGTAACGGATCGACTCCTTCAGCAAAACGATCGGGTCATCTGAAGGGTCATAGCCGGTCACGGGATGATCCTCGGGCAGTAGCGTCATCAGCGAACCCGAGTAACTTTCCGAATTGGAATTGACGGCGGTGGAGGACTGCGAGCCGACGGTGGGGCGGCTCAAGTCCAGCGAGTCCGACAACTCGGCAGGAACGGATGCGTCGGGATTTTGGAGACCTGAGGCATCAAGGGGAGCGAGTCAGCACCGAATGTGGAGTCATTGCATCTCGGGTAAATCGGCGAGGGTGCACAGCGGGCGTGGTAGAGGTGGAAAAGAAGAGAGGGGGGAAATGAAAGGCAAGGAATATCGCTGCGACAGAAAAAAAAAACCGAAGAGAATAGAGGAACTTCATGAGTCGAGAGTCGTATCCTCTTTCCCCTTTTGGGTGAAACGGTTCAGAAATTACCCGCGAGGTCATGACTGACATTCCATCCTCAATCTGAGGCGTCCCAACATTTTCTCTGTTTCGGCCGGCAATGGTGGTGATGGTGGTGGTATTGGAGAAAGTGATAGGGCAATATATGTTTAGTACATACCTGGGTCGATCGGCACGCCGTCGTCGTCGGGCGAGATATCGTCGTAATCATCACTATCCAGCGGGTCCAGAGGGCCTAGCGAGTCATTTGGCGGCAGGTCGTACGTGGCGCACGGAGACAGGGACAGATCTGACGGCCTGGGATGATCGGCCATGGCGCCGTCAAACGACCAGGCTGCCAGGCGTTTTTGATGTTCCTTGTCGAATGGTCCCTTGAATTTGGAGGGAGGGATCTCGCCGCGACGATAGTATTCCACTTTGGGTTTGCCGGCCTTTTCAGCCTTGCCAGCAGAGGGACGGCGGAAGACCCGTTTGACGCGATCCCGGAACGACATGGTAGTGCACGATGGATGTGAAGAGGATCTTTCACTCGAGATGGGGGTGTTTCGGGTGTGCAAGATTCGATTTGTGAAAGCACGGCGAGATGGATCGTAGATTTGAGCAATTTGAAGCGTTCGTATCGTGATCGAATTCGTGTCAAGTTCCCGTCGGAAAGATATCCCGGAGTGAGAAAGTCGTGTCGTATAGATCAGCCCGCGGGCAAACCCTCACAGTTGCAGACCACCTGTAGTCCTAGGTTGAGAGGGGAGGCCGAGAATGTGCAAGCACGTAGAACCGGGGAACCGCTGAAAAGACAATGGAATCATTTCATGAAGAGGGGAGATTGGTCTGAGGGCGAAATGGGGAAAATCTGGGGGGGGGGGGGGGGGGGATACAACAGAAGAAAGAAAGAAGGCCAGTGGAAGGGCCAGGGAGGATGTGGTGTCGATTATAGGCACGACGGGAAGTACAACAGTACTGGTATGGCCATGGAGGATGGAGTATGGAGTCTATGGAGTCTATGGACTATGGACCTCACAAGTATGGGGGAAAAGGCCCCTATGAGGGAATTCTGGAGTCAATTCGAGACCCGAAGAGGGGTGGGACGCAAGTGGGAGATGGAACTACGGAACCGGTGGATGCAACGGCGATAAGACCCCAAGCCAGGATGGATGATTCTTGTTCAGACGGTAGGACGAGGCACACACTGTAAGTGAACTTTTCTGGAGTTTTGACGGAATAATTATTACATACTGGTACCTCGCCATGCTGAAGGAGGACAGTCCCGTCAACTTCGGGATCCGACTGTACAGGAGTACATGGAGTCATGGACTACCTCGTGTTCAGTTGGCAGGTTGGCAGGTTGGCGGATGCTTGACATGACAGGACCAGTGCACAACTTCAACTTCATCTTCATTTTGTATTATGGTTTTGTGTAATCAAGTACTGTACCTGGAAGCAGTATGCCATTTCGAATCTCCTTACTACTGTAGGAATGAATATGTAACTATGTATCTCCATTCTCCCCATTCCGGTCAATTCAGCCTCGTCTCCAGCATCTGTACAATCGTACAGAGAATGCTACTACTGTAATAGGCTTTTTTTTGCTTCCCTGGTTTTTTTTCAACCAGCAGAGCCGACTGGAGCGAACAATCAGATAATCATTTTGATTTGTCTAGAGCTCCTCTGTGTCTTCTCGCCATGATGTGTGAGAAAGTTTTTTTTTTCTTTTGCTTATCCACGAGGTGTATACCAAAACCAGAAGGAGGCGCGTTTGACGAGCGATAAAAAGTAGTATGATAATGCCTCCCCCCCACCACTCCACGAGTGTTCAACCCCGAGCGCGCGCGCACGGCACACCTGCAGATACGCCTGTGGAGAAACCGTGGGCGTGGAAGGGAAGGGCAATCGTTCTTCTCCCGCGATAGTTCTCCGGTGAAGGCGATGGGCAACGTAAATCCGACATTGACGAAAGCTGGTTGGGCCTTTCACACGTCCCAGATCCACATTCGACTGTATTCTGCCCGTCTGTGCGAATGGAAAATGGGGAAACACAAAAAGCAAAAAGAAAAAGAAGAAAAAAAAAAACAGCACCTGGAGGCCGCTTTTGCCTCTCGGGCTTACGATTGTCCTGGTCCCGTTCGTGGCTAATTGCCTGTGCAGTACTGTAGACTCGGTACTGGTAGTAGAAGGGAGGCGTTCCCGCTTGAGGGTAGAGATATGACACGATCAAATGACTTTTCATCGCCTGCTGATTGCTCCAGTCCGCATTGAGGGTCCTGGACTAATGCGGGCAAGATTCGGGGCTGGCTTCGGTTAAGACGGAGTCGGCTGGTCGGAGAAAGGCTGGTACAGCCCCCTGACGGTAATCTTTCAGTGGCGTCAGCGTGTGTCGTGTGAAGCAATGGTCTCACCGTCTCAGTATCAGGCCCAGGGCGTTTTGCCGTTTTCTCGTACACCCGCCCGCAATACTTGCTGAACTTGTATTGTGCTGGGACGGCTGCTCAGGTACCGCACGTCTCAGCCTCGGACGAGTCTAACTCTCCGGCGCGTCGGTCACTCTGACCCCACGTCCAGGAAGTGGTGCCGCCGTTCGCGCGGCCCATGATCGCCATCGATCAACCGGTCCACTGGGCGAGAGACATTGAACATGGGTCTTGGTCTGGTCAGTCGTCACAATCGAAAAGAGCGCAATGTATTTCAGCATACCTTGAATGATGACAATCATGTCCAGGGGAATGACGGTCTAGCCGTCGGGCCCCTCTGCCCCGACCGGAACGAGAATGTCCAGGGTCAGGGTCGTCATAGCGGTCGCGTCGTGCGTATGCTTGGCCGATGCTTCCGTCGATGATGGGAGGGGCTCTCACTCTGCTCAGCCTCTCACTATCACTTGGGGAAGTTGGGTCATTGACTTTTGGGTGATTTCGCCGTTCCATGTTACAGTACTTGTCCGACTAACTGACCTGGAGGTCCGGGACTACAGTTCCAACTTCCCAGTGTAAGCCTTGTCAACCCCAAGGCTTGGTTTATCGGGAAGTCCGTCGGCGCTTAGGTCCTGCTTATCAAAAAGGGCCCATCCTTGGGTGTTCCACAGACTCTATCCCGCGTGCCTTGTACACCATCTCCGAGAGGCCCGTGTTGGAGGTCAGGCCAACGGTCGCTCGATTGACGATCCAGGGAATGGAGTGATGATACTTTGTACCAAGAAGCATATCCTCACAAAGTCAACCCCTGTGAGCTAGCTACACGGTCATACAGTATTTTTTTTGGGAGGTTCCAGTACTGTCACGAGACTCACGACTGTGTAATGAATGCAGCACAAATTAATGTCATACCACTCACAGGCTCGTCAGGTCACCCTGTCTGCCAAACGGGATTGCTCGATGCCCCATGAACAATTGATCGCGGCGATGGCGGATAAATCGTGAGATGATCTTCGAGGGCCAGCACACCTTCCTCCACTCCCGACAGAAGTCAAACTGTAGGGTCCTGCAGGGGGCCCAGGAACGGTAGCAGTGGCGAAAACTCTCTGCGGCCGGGCCTTGGGCCTCGAATGATTCTGGAACGACTCGGAAGTAACGTATCTTACAGCGGCATGCCGCGTAACCGCCATCGCAGGTCGATCAAGAGGCGTGCAGGGCCGTGCAGCAGACTGGCAGCCAGTCTGACCACGACAACGAGCCATTTCTCATCACAGCCTGGGAGCCACACGAGACCACCTTTTTCTACACTGTACAGTGTACACTCACAGTCATAGGACCAAGAAGTTGTTGGAACCGACAGTAGTCACAGTACTACATATGTAATACTGTATATGGAACGCCAAGAACTCAACCACCAAGCAGAGTCTAGGATATCATCTCATCCAAGCCTGATCAATGACTAGCAGCATATGAGAGAGAGAGAGAGAGAGAGAGAGAGAGAGAGAGAGAGAGAGAGAGAGAGACTCACGATTGCATCATTTTGCACCATTTGCATCCCCTCCACGGGCGCGGGTTAGCGTCGGCCAAATCAAATTGGATGGAAAAGTCGTCTGGGTGGCCCAGATGTGCCACCCCTGGCCGGCCTGACCTCATCGTGGCTAAAGTCAGGGTATATGTGCACCACTATGACAATCTACGTGGTCCTTGACGAGGTCTGTATCGCAGTGCCACCCCGGTTGTAGTCTATCAGTCAACACCCACCAACCCACATCAACACCCACCAGGATGACGATGACGATGGAGGAGTGAGGGGAGGGGGGTTCAACAACTGGGGGAGCACGTGAGCAAGCGTCGTCAGCCTAGTAACACGCTGCTGCCTCTCAAAGTCCATTTGGTCTGAGGACCAAAAGGTGTCCATAAACTGGTGGGTTCTGAAAATAGGTCGGAGACTAAGAGATATGACTATAATTGATTTCTCATGGAAGAATAGCCACGAGAATAAACCGGGAACAGAAAGAGGGGGCAAAGAATATGTCCAGCGCCAGACCAGATGAGTGGCACACGATACTTTCAGCGGGGGCGCTCTCCAACTCGAGGGGGCACAATCATCAATGCCCCAATTGTTTGGGACTCTCGGAGTCTCGGCACGGCTGCCCCGTTATGTAATGGAAATGAACAGAGTCCCGTGACCGTCACTGCTGAGTGTTGCAACTTGCGTGGAGGGCAGATTATGGGCAGTTTTCACACACGGGCCAAGCAGAGGTAGGTACTTACTACTTACTACCTCTTACTACTTACTGCTTTAGCACTTACCCCAGGTACTTTCTTACCCCTCCAACTAGATGACTCCCATCCAGTCAAGTGGTAGATGCAATTGAATTCTGGATCAATATACCGTAGGCAGATGGATTGGACACGTTTCAGGACACGGTGAACATAATCATTCTCAAGGATCAACCCTCGTCAATCCTTGATCAATAAAGACGGTGAACGGGTGATTCCACTCGTGATCGCGGCATTTTATGCTCTGCTCAAGCAATGCCCTGCTCAAGCAGGTCCGCATTGACCACCACCTTGAACTCGACACAGTCGAGTCTCGACAGGGGATCCAATCGTCAACTGGCTTGCATACGACCGATGGTTTTTGAAAGGATAGTGACCAATCGGAATGAGATAAAGTCGTTTTGTATTTGGCTCAGGCTAAATATAGCACTAATCCGCTTGAATATTCCATAAGCAAGGCCGGCTGGCCCAATGGCAAGGCGCTTGACTACGAATCAAGAGATTGCAGGTTCGACCCCTGCGTCGGTCAGATCTTTTTGTAGATGTTCTATGATCATTGGCGAGCAATGAGTTAGTTGGGGTCTCTGCTTTTTTTTCACAACATCAGAAGCATTTGCCATAATCTTCTTTCTGGCCCTGATAATAAGAGCAGACAGTTACCTAGTTGGCCTTGGAGTCTTCCATTTACCCTCTTCACTAGGTAGGATTCGTTCTCACGCCGATGGGTTTCTTGAGATGTTGTTCAAAATAGCTTTTCGAAGCCTAGGGTAAGGTACACCAGTCACTTGACACCTAGTATATATGTTGAACCACGCTCATCCGTCTTATATTCCCGAGTCTGAAGTCTGAAAACCCGCATTATTCCACCTCGAACCCATGGGATCGTCGCAGCATGTGCGATAAAACAGACGAGACGAACCTGACCAGGAGCAGGGCACACTCCACATTAGTAACATTATCATGTGTCAGCCCCCATGCACAACGGCTCGGCAGGCTGGCACCAAGAATCAATATTGAGGCGCCCTTGAAAGGGACTGACTGGTAGGTCCAGCTCATAGTCCACTCCACCCTGCTTACACTCAATGAACTCATAGACCCCAGGAGCCTTATCTGAAAGGGCAAGTCAAACAATTCACAGAATCATCCGAAGTTACTCGAGCAGAGTGGTCCTGACCCTCTCGTCACACAGGAGATAAAGATCCTACACAAATGAACATTGAAAGTTATCAAGGTATAGGAATTAAGGGAGTGAGATGTAGGGGACGGACTGCTAATCTAGGACATCGTTCGTATCTAGTAGTTACACTCACACACCCTTCGAAGCTGGGAGCATAGCGTGTTGTAAAAGATTGCCGGACCCTCTGATCATACGGACTTGACTTCAAAGATATCAGTGACTATCAGCAGGAGTAGTACTGTATATCCGTGCTGAACATCTGACCAGCAAGGTACACTCAATCCCAGCCACCACCTAACTGAGGTACTGTCTTCCTTGTAAGGCTCAAGCCTTGATCATCCCAGCAACACCCTGCATGTGACAGGGGTCCTGCCCGCCCTATATACCCGATCGGGTATTAGGGCTGAGAGATGCACGTCTCAGCCCGGCACACGACTCATCCAGACGCAGTGACCACGTTATGAAAGCGCTTTGAATCCATCCATGATGGTTCCTACATCCTTGATGCATTGAGGCAGGTCAGTAAAGGGGCCAAGCCATCCATCACACAAAGACCCAGGATGCGTCTCTCCCCTTCAGGAAGACCTCAGCAGTAGCACAGTACAGCACCTGAGCACAGCACTTGGAAGCCAGAGAGCCCTTGGGTGTGGAGACTACAGCTCCATCACGATTGGACACTCCAATTGAAGGTTAGAGTGCGCCCGCTCGACAACGTTTAGCTATGTGCCTGCAGATGACGATCCTGCAATCTCACGATTCTCTAACAAGGGCACGATGAATTGTCGATTCTGTCGACCATGCTTATCGCCTCGAGTGAGGAGACAAGGTTGTCATTTCATACGCCAGTATGAATATCTGAAGTTCGGAAGGGTGCCTAGTAGCCTACTGCCCAGGGAGGATGCTGCAAGCGGCCGACGGAATGTGTGGTGGGTTTGGCAACGGCGCCGGGACAATGCTTATTGGCCTGACAACAAATAAACCGAAATGAGTCGTGAGTCCTTTTTTTTTGTCCTCTTGAAGCGCATCATCGTTCGTCAAAGGAATGGATGCTTTCATGCGGACTTTCACCACATTTGTAGATGATAGCGATAATTCCATGACAGCGACCTCCTCAAGATATCAACTCTTCTATAGTAACTGTGCCCTTGTAGTAACTAGGTGTATGCGTCCTTCCATCACCATCATCGAAGAACCACGGATCCGACTTCCAAAGTCAACCAATTCCAACATACCTCATCTCGTACCGGATCGCCATCCCTTACTCCCACTCGAGCCTCCCAGCTCGTCCTGCTAAACGGTCGAAGGGTGAGACCATTTGGCCCACTCCGGTCGGCACCTTGTCCACAGTCCACAGTCCACAGTCACCGCACTCCTTCCAGACTTGCCCTGACCAAAACCCTTCTGACATCTCCGAGCTGCAGCTCAGCCAACTGCTCTAGTACGCACTACTTAATGTAAGTCGTCCATCATCCCATCGCCTACACCTCCGTCTACGCTCCCTCGGTCATTCCAGCTAGCCTTATCAAATCGCGAAACGGATATTCCAACCGAGATCATCGTCGTCATCGCGACGTGACCTCTTTCTGATTAGGTCATTCCAATATAGATCGCGCCCAACCTACAGATCACATCTTTCCACCATGGCCAAGAAGGGAGGAAAAAAGAAGAACAAGGGTGGTGCAAAGCCCGCCGCCACCACCGCCGCCGACAAGGTCGCTGGACCAGACCAGGATGTCGCGTAAGTGTATCATCCATATCTGGCGTAACACCGAGAAAAAGAGGATCCTCCCGTGTCGCCGACACTGGTCGCGTGCCCACTGGTGATCCGCGCTCGTCTCTTGTCGGGTTGTCGTGACGTGACACTAATTTTATGCTTCGCAATGTAGAACACCTCAAGAGGAAGTTGAGCAAGGCTCCGCTGCCGCTGCCGCTGCCGATTCGCAACCCCAGATCACCAGCGAGACTGGCGCGCCCGTCGTTGCAGAGCAAGCTGGCGCAACCGCAACCGCAGCCTCTGTCGAGACCACTACTCTGCCCACCGCGACTGAGCCTGAGACAAAGGAGGCCGAGAAGGTTGAGGAACCTCCCAAGCAGACAGAAATGGTGGCCGCGCCGTCGGCAGTAGAGAGCACTGCTCAGGATGTCACGGAAAAGACTCAGGCTCCCCTTGCTGCCGAGACGGGCGAGACGGGCGAGTCGCGTGACCTCTTGGATGAGGCCGATGACAAAGGTACGTGCCGAGGACGGGAGGTGACCTGACGGACAACTTTGCTATATGGTCATCAACACCCTTCGCAGCGACACAAAGCACTAACCTCATTCTCTGCGCAGTGGTTCTCCCTACGACAGCCACCACGACTTCCCCCGTCGCATCCGAACCATATCCCTCCACTTCCGAGATCGCCGCCGAAGAGCCTGCTATCTCGTCAGTCCCCGACACCGGGGTCGTTGCGCCCATCTCCACGCTACCGGAGCGTCCCAAGGCTACCGAAGAGCACAGTGAGCTCGCTGCATCTGCGGTGCAGCCTATTGCAACCACTGCTTCCGTAACTGCACCGGTCGAGGGACCCATTGCGCCCACCGTCGAGCCCCTTGCACCAGTCAGCAATACTCCTGCACCCGTCGCCGAGGCTTCAAAGTCCGCTGTCGAACCCGTCGCACCGGTTGCACCCGATACTGAGACATCTGCGCCTGCGGTCACAGAGACCGCTGCGCCTGTCTCTGCCGCCCCTGTCAGTGAGGCTCTGACCGAGTCCACAGCTGCTCCCGGAGAGTCAACCACGGCCTCATCTGTCCCTGTCGAAAGCGATGTCGCCCATACGAAGCGTCCCTATGAGAAGCCAATTTTCTCCAATGACGAGGTCAAGCCCTACAAGATGCCCAAGACCGAAGAGGAGCAGCCCGCCCCTGTGGTGAGCACCGGACCCTCGGCCCTGACAAGCGCTGGGCCAGCAGCGACCGTCGCAGAGACCACTTGCGAGCCCTTGTCCACGAGAGAGGTCAAGCCTCTCGAAGACAAGAAGGTTATAGAGCAGACGCCCGTCGGACCCGCTCCAGCTGCTTCCAAGCCTGCAGATGTGGCGACAGGCGCAACCTCGCAGAGCAAGGTCACCCCGTCCTCTCCACAGGCGGTTGCTGCAGCCGCGGCCGCTTTCAACTCCTCCAAGACCGACAAGTCTGCCTCGACTGGTCCGATCAACGTTGCAGGCACCGAGCCCAACAAGCCCGAGCCTGTTGCGGTTCGGGGTGAGGAACCTCAACCTCAGATTGAATTGCCCGCAGAGGCTTCAGCACCCCAGACAACGGCACAGCCAGACAACTTGAAGTCTGAAGAGGCCAAGACGGAGCCCTCGGAAGATCAGCAGGCTGAGAAGAAGAAGGGGGGACTCTTTGCCAAGCTGAAGCGCATGTTCAAGTGAAGTGACAATCTATACCCCCAAAGCAGCGAGAAACTTCTTTTCAAGTCATGACGTGGCAAACATTCCTACCCTGCCTCCAGTATTGCCCATCTGTATCAGAAGCCCAGGAGATCCTCGATCCATGAACGAAGAAAACATGCGGGAAGAAGATGAAAAAAAAAACGTCTAAACACAAGGATGGGTCTGAATGCAGACAAATGTACGATTCCAAAAGAAACCTCACTAATGTGTTTGTACGCCCATGTGGCACGTGGGTCGAGTGAAGCTCCCTTCCCCTTCTGTACTATTCAGTTCGTACGTCAAGCGGTGGGACATGACATCTTTCTAATTCTGGATCGGCGATTTCTCACCTCCACCCCTTTTCTTTTTCGTCGACTTTATTTCATCTGGACTTGTGAGGACTTAGGGGGTTGTCTGTGTTTTGGGATGATACACCAGTGGAAAACATTGTTACTAGTCACCCCCAATTTCAGTCGTCTTTGACAATCAGTGGTCCTTTTGTCCCCAGATCTGGTTGATCTGGCTCGTACAGTTCAATTTTCCCCTGCAGATTCTAGATTCATGTCGCAGGCACCTTGTCTTTTTGCAAAGTACCTTGCATTTCTAGAATCGCCACATAAGTTAGCAGCGAGCTAGTACTTACTTAATACTCAAAACAGCACTAAATGATGAACCGTTTCTCCCTAACAAGTCCCACCATGGAAATGGAGATATGGTTCTGTATGGTACCTTTGTACACACTACACAGTACACACCGCTAGTCCTCACCTCCGCCTGAAGGTTCCATGATCCGATGCGGTGACCGATTACTGGGACAAAAGCAAAAGCACCTCGATCTACAAAGTGGATCACCGGATTGACCATAAGTACCTGCATACTCCACATTCTCCTTTGCATGTAAAGAACTGCCGCGTAGTTTGCATGGAAATCTGACGCCGTAAAGGCTTCATCTCACAAGACAGGTCCACTCCCACGACTATGGGATTATGTGTCGGTGTAAGGGTGGGTGGAGACCTGTGCAACTAGCGGTGATGATTTCGTTGAGGCCCGGAAGAGAGTGAGGGCCTAACATTGTGGAATTGACGGTGACGTATGTATGTAGCTTAAGATCAGCTGTGACCTGAAGGCTGGCAGTGAGGCGAGTGGGTACTTTGCTCAACTCATACCATACCTAGTATTTAATAGGTAATACTGTAGAGTGTAGCCCCATCGTAAATAGAGGCGATGTTTGGGGCGGGCGTTGGCTACTTTGAGTTCAATGGTAAGCTTCAATGACGATGATTATTGTAAGAACTGGGTGTTTTTGGCTAGTTAAGGGGGTCATTGGACCGCGAGTCTAAGCTTATAACTATCGAGGGGAGATTGTCGTGAATACCTTAGTAACCTTAGGACCTAGTGGGTAGTGTCAATTACGATTATTGTGACCCTTCCAGCTGGTGTACCCTTGACTTGGTTTGAGTCAGTCAGAGGGTAGAATAAGGGACGGGTGGTGATGTTGAATGAGAGCTTCTCAATGAGAGCTTCCAGGTCAATGTCCGTTAGCATCTAGCCTTCAGAGCTACTAAAACGTAGCAGCTACTCTGCTCAGCTATCTGGATGAGTGTTCGACCGGGTGGAAGACCGGTATCGCTGAAGTCGAATCACTCTAGTAAGGGCTCTCGTACCTTTTTATTCAAAATTCGCGAGACTTCCTGGTCATGTCGAAGGGGGTGGGACACAAAAGGCCCGACGTTCCTTTCGATTGAGAATTGCCTTTTTGCACGATGATCGATGATCCTGTCCGCTAGTACATAGTACATAGTACATACTGCATACTACATATGAGTACCTGTCATACACTTGAGATCTTAATATACAGCAAGCAGGTAGGAGGTAGTAAGTAGGTATCCTACGGTTTCTAATTCAAGCACCTCAATCCTTCGCAGTCGCACGAGTGGACCAAGCGCAACATTCTGATTCCAAAGATGGAACTCGTGGTCAGACTCACTCCATTCATGAGCATCGAAGCAGAATCAACTGTAAAGATCGCTGTGATGCCTCTGAACCTCAATACAGAAGGTACTCGCGGCCTACTAGTACAAGCCGAGGTGGTCTGAGCCCGTTATCTTTGAATCATGGAAAACAGCTACATGGTTGAATATCTAGGCCGATAGAATTTGGGTTTGCCATGATGGAAGAGAGAAATTGCCTGAATCACGTATGTATTCCTTATGGGGGACTCCCAGAGTTGATGCCTTTGGCTACCAGATTGCATGGAAGCTGAGTCTCCTGGAGGTGAAAATCAACCATGTCAGCTCTACACAAAGTGTACACCTCCCCACTTAAGCCTTTCATGTATGGATCATAAATCCCTGTGATAAATTCCCCCTGCCTCCCTCTATTTAGATATCATTTGATGACAACAGGTCTGTGATCTCTTCCCCTCGAGCTTAGACCTTGCGGGATCTTCGCGGATACTTGGCTTCCCGCAAATTTATATCCGCAATGCGCTCGAGCCGGCGGCTCTTCCAAGGGACCTCGGATGATCCATGTCGTGTAGGAGCTTGAATGTTGGAATCAAATTTCCTCGGATGAGTATTGGGCAGTGAGCATTCATTACTATAGCAGGTGTGGCAGCCTGACAAGTATCTTTACAAGGAAAAGGTTGGTCACATTGCTACACCGTTGCGATTGGCGTGTCTCCCCAGGTAAAGCACGGTGTTGTGTATCGCGATCGCATCAATTGGTGAGACGCAGAGGTTATCAGGGCCGACTTCAATGTTTATTAACGGGTATGCCATAGCTTCACTACTAACATAGTTACTTCCAAAGTTCAAAGTAAGCAAGATTGATGGAAGAGCCTCGGAGATATCACCGATCGGATCCACTGCGAAATGCGGGGGTGCTTTGAAGCGCTCCTCTTTTTCCCCCCACGGGGTCATTCCAGTAAGTTATGTAGCTACCATCAGCCACGTCGGCCCTCGGTTGATGACTATTTGGGTTGCCGAGTTTCAGATCCGTAGATGCTCTTTTGATCTTCTCTTTTCTGAAGTTGGAACACGAGGTTGAGAACTCCTCTTTCTCAGGGTCTACTTCCACTTCGATAATCGGTACCTATAGCCTCAACAATGGCAACGACTAGCCTACCCCGGAAGCTCTGGGAGCATTCCAATCCCGAATCCACGCAAATGGGTCAATTTCGACGACGGTTGGAGAAATCCACTGGCAGGAAATTCGAGGTGAGTGGACTATGCGTTCTGATGATGGAAGAGTCTGAGATTAACAAGGGGCCGTCTAGACTTTTCACGACATGTATCTCTATTCCATTCAGAATCGGCCAAAGTTCTGGGAATTCTGCTGGAATTCCTTCCCCATCATTCACGAAGGCACCTACACGCAAGTTGTAGATGAGTCCGCGCGAATGGACAGCATACCGGCATGGTTCACGGGTGTCAAGCTCAATTTTGCGCAAAACTTGCTCTTCTCCGAACGACCAGGAGGCACGGCCGGCAAGGAGGATCAGAAAGTAGCCGTGACCGAAGTGCGCGAGGGAGATGCGGCCAATGCAGTGCATCTGACCTGGGGTCAATTGAGACAAAAGACGGGTGCACTTATGCAGGCGATGAAAGCCAGTGGCGTCGTTCGCGGAGATCGTATCGCAGTGTGCTCCTCGAACAGCATCGACACTCTGCTGGTGTTCTTAGCAACCACGGCAATTGGTGCCATCTTCTCTTCCAGCTCTACTGATATGGGCGTCAAGGGTGTGCTTGATCGTCTACTGCAGATCAAGCCGCGTTGGCTGTTCATGGATGACGTTACCGTGTACAATGGTAAAAAGCTTGATCTGCGCGACAAAATGAAGGACATCGCTCGGGGAATGGACTCAATCTCCGAGTTTGAGGGAGTTGTTTCAATTCCACGTTTCGTTTCTCAGCCTGCTGATATCAAATCCGTGCCGCATGCGGTGACTCTGTCAAGTTTTCTAGCCAGAGCAAATGGGAATGATACTCTGCAATTTGAGTGTGTCGACTTTCGAGACCCATTTCTGGTCGTGTATTCATCAGGTACCACGGGCCAGCCCAAGTGCATCGTTCATTCGGTAGGAGGTGTGCTCTTGAGTGGGTTCAAAGAAGGCGGCCTGCATTCTGAGCTCGGTCCAGAGGCAGTCGCTTTGCAATATACCACAACCGGATGGATCATGTATTTGTCTGCGGTTCAAACGCTCATGTTTGGAAGCCGCGTGGTGCTGTACGATGGCAGCCCTTTCATTCCAGATGTTACTGCACTTGTCAAACTTGCTGCTAATGAAAGGTATGCGCTTGTCTTTCGATGGACAGAAAGATCACCTTCGTTCAATTGCAAGCTTCGAGTTCTAATCGCAGGAATAGGGTCACTCATCTCGGCATTTCTCCCCGGTGGCTGGACGAATTACAGCGAGCAAAGATTCGCCCGCGTGAAATGGTTGATTTGAGCTCACTACGCGTCGTTAGTAGCACGGGAATGGTTCTTCGAGATGCTCTGTTCGAGTGGTTCTACGACGAGGGATTCCCCACACAAGTCCGCCTCAATAACATCTCCGGTGGCACCGACATCGCTGGCTCCTTCGGCACGAGCAATCCATTGTCTCCCGTGTACGTCGGTGGATGTGCAGGAGGAAGCCTCGGTGTGCCTGTGGAGGTTTTTGATTCCACCATCGAGGGAGGTGTGGGTGTCAAGGGTGTGGCCATTAAAGACGGCATTCCTGGCGAACTGGTGGCTACGGGAGCTTTCCCCAACATGCCCACAATGTTCTGGGGTGACACGAACGGTCAAAAGTATTTCAATGCATACTTTGCCCGTTTTGACGGTAAGCCCTATCCATACCCGGCGAATTTCGCGTGATCATCGCGAACAAATGTTCAGCAGACTCATTCCTATTTGTTCTCACCCTGTAGATGTATGGACGCACGGCGACTTTGTCTCCATTCATCCCATCACCAAGCAGATTGTATTCCATGGCCGTGCAGATGGTGTGCTCAACCCTTCGGGCGTTCGATTCGGCTCTGCAGAAATTTACCGCGTGATCGAGGGTCATTTCAGCGAGGAGATTGCAGATTCGATTTGCGTGGGCCAGCGCCGGCCGACCGACGCCGACGAAAGTGTGATGCTCTTCCTGCTGATGAAGCACGGGGTAGTCTTCACGGCTGATCTTGTAGCTCGAGTCAGAACGGCGATTCGCACCGAGTTGAGTGCCCGCCACGTGCCAGCTTTTGTTTTTGAGACCCCAGAAATTCCAGTGAGTTGCGCTCCCCACTGATATGTTAAAGCATGGAATCAAGCACACTATATTGACTTGCTCTTCTAGACGACGGTCAACCTGAAAAAGGTAGAGCTCCCCGTCAAGCAAATTGTTTCGGGAAAACGCATTCAACCCTCGGGCACGCTGCTCAACCCGGGCAGCCTGGAGTATTACTACCAGTTCGCGGAGGTGGAAAAGCTGAGCCGCGAGAGCAAATTGTGATCACAAAGATCTTGATAGACTTGAGTCCAACATTTAGAGAAAGCTCTCTGGCAGCCAGCCCCACCATCGATCTCACGATTTCACTGGACCACATAGTGCAGATTCAGCACAGTCTGGCTGTATTGTCGTAGTAAACGTACTGAATCGGTCTAACTTGACCCGATCAGGCACCTAGCACACCACCTGAAGTTCAATCTTGTCTCAACGCCAAAGCCAGGCCCATGTCCGATCTCATGTGGGACTCTCGTCCTCGGGCCAGGTCTGCCAAGTAGCTATGGATGTGTGTCCACGTCGTATGTAATGCAGGCTGCAGCCGACAAGGAATCCGGATGCTTCGACTGTCGTTTGTGGCCTGCTACTGGCCGCAGTGGAGCTGGTGGATACCCAACTGTGGACATTCATGCAGCTTCGGAACACGGCCTCAGACCACACTCACCACATTTGGAACTTGGAGGAGGGGTCCTCGGCTCCATTGTGACTGTGAAGTCGCATGTTGATACGATTCTCTGTCTGAGCCAGGCAGCATGAGTAGACGTGTCGATCGACAGCAGGCCAGAGGATCAGATTGGACAATTTCATCAAGAAATTGCCGCACCTTCTCCCGTCTTTAGCTGCTCACCATCTTCAAGTTCACCACGGACTAACACGACTGACACGGTCCAGAGTCCAGACGATGTCGGGAAGGCGAAGCTGAGGACGATCACTTTGCCAAGCGTACCAAGCTTTAACAGCCAGGAAGAAGGAAGAGGAGAACAAGCAGCCGGATCTCGGCCTGTGAATGCCGGATCGAATTGTCACCCCATCATCATTCAGTTAACAAGGAGCTTACGCCAGCACACTCGGCAGGATTGGAGCAGGGATTTACCGCCAAAACCCAATTATCAACGACTTGTGAGAGTGAGTGTGAGTGTGTGTGTGAGACAGAGAGAAAGAAAGTTCGATTTTCTGCAAGAGCCGTATTTTCTCCAATCATGAGTTTGGTGCAGCTTTAGCATTCGGGCAGTGGACTGTCGAGTTTTCAGCTTTGTGGGTGGTTCTTTGCGATGGGCTGTTTTGGTTGGGGTTCTGGCCCCTCCGCTGAGCAACGTCATGGCCTCCTCCCCCCCCCCGCACGTGTTACGTCCAGTGTCGCTTTTCTCGTTTTTGCTCGCTGGTGTTGGTAAACTTGTTTGGGGGAAAAAATATTTATTAATTGAACCTGGTCCGAACCTCCACCAAGTTACATCCCCAGTCACTCCGCTTGAGTTACTCTTCTCTTCTTCGACCCGTCTTTGTTGTCCCTCGTTCCCCCATCCTCACCATCGCCCGACTCCCCGTAGCCATGGTCCATCTTGCAGCCGTCAAGAACGACGATCAGGTCGTCGACCCGAAATCCCGCGTGGTCGAGTCCATCTCAGCTCCTCAGCCAGATGAGAATGACTTTTACACCAATGTCTACGGCAGTCACTTTGCGGTCGACCACCTCTCTCAGCATGAGATGCCGGAGCGGGAAATGCCCCGTCAGATCGCAGCGCGTATGATCAAGGACGAGCTGAGTCTGGATGGAAACCCCAAGCTCAAGTAAGTTGGATGAATCACAGACCCAGATACGTGGGGAAGGATAGAGGGGTCGCTGGAGGCGACAACCATCAAAGCTCAGAGCTGACTCTGGAAACCCTGCAGCTTGGCCAGCTTCTGCACTACATACATGGTACGATCGAAACGCAGCGACTTCAATGGATACAAATGAGCACCCCGAGAATAATTCTGGTCACTGACACGAAAGCTTGTTCGAAATTATGCAGGAAGATGAGATCGAGCAGATCATGACCGACTCTTTCAGCAAGAACTTCATCGATTACGAAGAGTACCCCCACACGGCTGAAATTCAGAACCGATGTGTCAACATGATCGCTCGTCTCTTCAATTGCCCAACCCATGCCCGGGAGGAGAACGCTATGGGTACCTCCACCATCGGCTCCTCCGAGGCGATCATGCTGGGCACTTTGGCCATGAAACGGCGCTGGCAGAACAGGCGCAAGGCTGAAGGCAAGGACTACTCCCGACCCAACATCATCATGAACAGTGCCGTCCAGGTGTGCTGGGAGAAGGCCGCCCGCTACTTTGAGATTGAGGAGCGCTACGTGTACTGCACCGAAGACCGCTATGTGATGGACCCCAAGCAGGCCGTTGACCTGGTGGACGAGAACACGATCGGTATTTGCGCCATTATCGGGACCACCTTCACCGGTGAATACGAGGATGTGAAGGGTATCAATGACCTCCTTGTGGAGCGTGGCATTGACTGCCCGATCCATGTCGACGCTGCCAGTGGTGGCTTTGTCGCACCATTCGTCGTGCCCGACATGGAGTGGGATTTCCGTCTGGAAAAGGTGGTGTCCATCAATGTGTCGGGACACAAGTACGGCCTCGTCTATCCCGGTGTAGGCTGGGTCGTCTGGCGAGCTCCAGAGTTCCTCCCCCAGGAGCTCGTGTTCAACATCAACTATCTGGGTGCCGACCAGGCTAGCTTCACCTTGAACTTTTCCAAGGGTGCCTCGCAAGTCATTGGACAATACTACCAACTGATCCGTCTGGGGAAGCACGGCTACCGCTCGATCATGACCAATTTGACCCGTATCGCCGACTACATGTCCGATCAGTTGGAGCAGATGAACATGATCATCATGAGCAAAGGTCGCGGCCATGGACTGCCATTGGTGGCTTTCCGCCTGCCACCTCAAGAGGAGCGCGCTTGGGATGAATTCGCGCTCGCTCACCAGCTTCGAGAGCGCGGCTGGATCGTGCCCGCTTACACTATGGCGCCACACAGTAACAACCTCAAGATGATGCGTATCGTCGTCCGTGAAGACTTTAGCATGACTCGATGCGACAGTCTGATGGTCGATATGAAGTTGGCTATTCAGTCTTTGGAAGCGATGGATCAATCCATGGCAGAGAAGTACAAGACGTTAGTGACTGGCAACCCCCATGCTACAAGAAATCACCCCATCGCTGACCCTCCAGACTTAGACACGTGCGCAATCACCGAACGCACCCAGTGCACAAGAATCGCTCTCACGACTCATACAAGGGCGAGAAGCACTCTCTTCAGGGCAAGACTGGCAAGACGCACGGCGTCTGCTAAGCATATTGATTCTGACGATGGCGTATTTGTTCAGTTGCGGAAGTCGTGAAGCTCCTCCGGCATGAGACGGGGACCCAACGACGAGCCGGAAGATTGACTTCCACTCAATACCTCTGACATGACTTTTGCCTAACTCAGCCATTCTTCCGCGCTGTCGGTGTAAATAGCAAGCAGCTACTAACGACACAGACCTCTTCCTACTCAAGTACTAGTCAATTGAATCATGAATTATGAAGTCAGATATGCCTCCAGATGGTCAAGTCCGTGACGTCACGACGACGCGCTTCCTCAACGGGGGCAATGAAAGGGCTCACGATAATCGGGTATCACAACAATGACTCTACAACTCAACCAAGAGATGGAAAGTACATGCAGTATGCAGCGCATCTTCATTGACCCAACTCATGATCAGTCTCCCACACGGGATCTACCCGCCTCGATCATTCCGCCCAACATTCTCCCTCCATCCAAGGCAATTCAATCTCACCCGACCACGGACGGAGGTATCGACAATGCATCCATTTACTACGTCGGTGCAGCAACGATCATCATGTCCGTGATGTTTCCCGAATCCCTCCCCCCCCCCACGCCCTGTTAGTGTACCCAGTGAAGAAAGCACACTGATGACTTATACTTGGGAGAAGAGAGTGGACAGGCATTCGAATTCTGACAGACGTACGTGACAATGCCATAGACTGACGCAGTCGTCCGAGTACCAATAATGCTGATTTGCCTTGTCCCCCATGAAGCCCAATTTCATCCATGCTGGGACCCACGCGCAGTTCGGTGGAGGAGTCTCGAGCGAGCGGCGTACCAACCCCGCGGTGGAACTCCATGATCTACCCCGAATTGATCTTATTTTGCTGTCGCATTTTCATGGGTATGATTGCTAGAGGCTGGTGCTCGCCTAGTGGTTGCACACGGCCCGTTCTTCTAGACGAACAGAAATAGAAGATTGACACCCCCCCCCCTCCCCCAGCTCTCCTCGATACTCACACTCTGCATGCTCAGGGACCACTTTGATCAAAAAGTCGAAGCCTCCCTCCGCCGAGATGTACCCATCATCACCAACCCCCATGCAAAGGCCCAGCTCACGGCTCGAGATCAAGACCCGTTCACCAACGTCTCGGCTCTCCGTCCGTGGGAGACTGCGCTGATCGAGATCGGTGGCACGGGAGGTACAAAACGACCATTACTTCGTGTGACAGGTACAACTGCGCAGCACGTCTCTAGTAATGCTGTTGTTGAGTTGTTGAACAAATGGGCTCAGGCAGTATGTCGACCTGGAATTGATTCAATTTCCTCAAACTTCCATGGCTTGTTGATCACAAGCACGCTTTTTTTCTTCTACCTGCCTGCGAGCTAAAAGGCCCACCAAATTGTATTCTAATATCGACCCTCCAGATTCCACCCACCAATGGCTGGATCCTCGAACTCGGCACGAGCGCCAACTCCCACGACATGACCGACTTCAACGCAGGCTACCGCATCTACATCACCGGCGACACTCTCATGAACGAATCTCTCCATTCCATCCATCAGCGATGGAACCCCAAACACGAGCCCATCAATCTGATGCTCGCGCATCTCGGAGGAACGATGATTCCCTCGCCCGCCGTCTCACCATTCGCTTTCCAGGTCTCCATGGATGCAGGACAAGCCGTACGGTTGATCAAGTTGATTGAGCCGGAGGTGACCATTCCACTCCACTATGAGGACTACGTGAATCAGGCGAGTTCGCTGGCAGAGTTTACAGAGCAGGTCAAGCTGGCGGGATTAGAAGGGCAAGTGGTGATTTTGGAACGGAGAGAGAGTTTCCAGTTCCGAGTTCGGGAACCGGTTGGACGGGTGAGGGTGGAGGATGTTTACTTTGGGGGTGGGAGGGATATAGGTCTCTAGGTGGCGGGTCTCTTGATTGACCCCTGAGAGAACAGCTTCACTCTCGATCGTTGTGAATGTTTCATCCCTGGAAGGACCAATCCAGACGTGGAGAGCCAGGGTTCATCCCGAGACCCATGCAGAGCTAAAAAAGAGGAGGAGGGTGTTTACTAGCTTGACACAGAAATCAGCCCCTTGGAATTAGAAAGCACTTGAGATTGATCAACGCTCTATGTTTGTATTGTGTCTCTCAAGGAGGGTTCTTCACAGGCTCGCGCGAGCACAATTAGGCCGCTTGAGGATAGGCACCTATGCACATGTTGCATCGTAGTTTCCGGCCGGGATTTCGTGAGCAGGTCAACACAGTGTCTCCGAAGTGTCCGACTTCGTGCATTGAGTGTTGCCAAGTCCTTCCACTCTGTTGCAGTGGGACTTGGAAGTGACTGCATCCTCATCGAAGACATGACGGGGAAGGATGGGATCATAACAAAGAAAAAGTCGTACCCATTCACCGACTAGTCGTCCTGGACCATTGCAGTGTCGGTCATCACCTCGCTCTGCCTGGTGATTTTTGCCTCAGCGCGGTGTCCGCTCACTGAGAGATAGGCTCTGTTGATTATTCTTTTCTTTGATTTCTTCTTGGTTTCTATTTTTACCTTCTCCCTCCATGGTACCCTTATATCAGCAAGTACAGTCAGTCGGTCTGAATCCCTGCATAAACCTTTGATCCTCCACCGTTGTGCACCTTTGTTCTTGGAGTCGCCTCTGGCCCCCACCGAGGATCTCTCTTGCTCCCCTTCTCTCGTTCCCTTATGTCTCTCTACTCTCCGTCTTGTGAGAGACTCTTCCGTCCATTGTGACGCTGACTGTAGCCAGATGAACGCTGATGCACAAGCCTACCGGTCAGCAATCTCTTCTTTGTGGGAGGGGAAGAGGATTCATATGGCCCCAACTCCACTCCGACGATCGACCTCTTCGGCGTTTACTGGAATCCCGAGGCATGTCAATGCGTTAAGACGTGACTCGTGTCGTTATTCCTCGCTGCCTGACCAGGATTTAACAACATGACCTACCACTGACTTACCCAATGTACCCCTGATTGATCCGCTTAGCAACTTTGGGGGCAGCTTGCGTATGTGGTTGGAAGCTGCAGCGCTAGATTCGCAGCTCTGACATGAGAAATAGCCTTCCATCACGTTTGAGATCAAAAGCATACGACCAGACCCTCTCTTTCCCCCTGGTAGTCTCGTCGTACACATCCTTCCTGTGTCTTACCGCACTCGCTTTCCACCAACAACTCAAGTCTTAGTAGAAAGTCTTTGTTCGTGGGGATATGTTGTCAACGGCTTCAGCCAAATCCAACCGAGACCGTGCGATTGATCATCGGTGGAACAATAAAAGTCCAACGACTATCGTTTCACTTCCTCGGCTGCTTCAATAGCCGCTCACTGTCAGTCTCTAAGCGCTCCTTACGTGTGCATACTAAACCGTGGCGCAGCATCACGGATAGTAGTCCATATTCCATACTCCATACTCCATACTCGGTTTCATAGCGATCCAAACCTCCCCATCTATCACGAGCTGTTTAGCTGCTGCTTTTTTTTTTTGAACGGCTTCATTTCACCTTCCCGACAGCCGCCCATTCCCTTACTCGAGTGTCATCTGACCGGTGCTTCAGATCCTTTTCTCGAGATCTGTCACCAACACCGAGGTCGCTATCGCCGGTCGAAGCGTCGTGATTGACTCGGTACCAAAGCTGAATTGTCTATTGTCCGAGCAGAGAGCTGCTCAGCTGCTCGATCCTCGTCTCTGCGACCCCCTCATTTTTGGCCTCGTCCCGCAAGCGACCCCCTGACCACTTTTTCCCTCTTCTCTCGCCGCCTCGCTCCCAGAGCCCAAGTCATGCCCCTCTTCAAGAATAAAAAGATCAGATCCTCACCTCGACAATCCCTCACATTTTCCTCGTCACGCCCGTCACAACCTCAGCAACGCCCTCCACCTCCACGCGCCGGCGAACGACTGATACACCCCGCGTTGGCTGCTCCACCGGGACCCATTTATCCGAACGGCAGCAGCAGCAGCGACAGCAGCGACGGCATCAATCCTCGTCTGGATTCGAACACATCTTATACGGATCTTCCTCCAGAGGGCTACCATCCCAACTACGACGGATCGGGCGTCCCGTCCACAGACGAGCTCGCAGCTCCCTATCCCAACTCACCATCGGCGCAACATCAGCCTCCTCCGCAGCTGTCGCAACCTTCTTCGTTGTACCGCTCGCAGAGCTCCCGTCAGCCCCACCTTCGTCATCCCGACCCTCAGCGTCAACAAACAAAGCCGCACGAGAACGAGCTCGACCGACCATCCGTCAATTTGGTTGCGCACGAGGAGAGCCCGCACTCTCGCCCTCTGGCCCCAAGAACATTCCTTGGGCGTCCCACCTCGGGAGTGCTAGAACGAAGATTGTCCGTCAAGGGCAAGTCGCTGTCTTACTCGACCTCGCAACCCTCGTCGCCGCAGATCGCATCTCCTCCGCGGCTGGGCCCGACCGAGAACGAACCCTACAGTCACCGGCCGAGTCATTCAAGTAACTCCTCCCCAACTGACCAACAGCACCCACCCGGTCCGAGAGTCACGTCCCTGCCATTGCAACAGCAACGGTATCAGCCACCATCGTGTGATAACTCGGGGTCCTTGCGGCAGGAGCAGCCTCAGTCATTGGACCGACCGTCATCGCGTTCGCAAGCGCAAGCGCTATCGCACTCGCAGTGGCAGACGCCCTCTCCATCCGCCGCTCTCACGCTACAGGAAGCGCTGGAGCTTCCGCCCCCACCTTCACTGAACCCTGCCCGGCGCAGCAACACCGAGTCAATTCTAGTCCATCGCCCCAACGGTCGTCCAGGGCCGACCGACATCCCTGCTGCATCATTGTCGCACGACCAAGATCGACTGAGCCGTCGTGCTCACCCACCAGTATTGCGAGCAAAACAGCAGGATCTTGTACAGAGCGCCCGGCCCCCGTCTCAGCATTCACTGGAGGCTTCCTCGCGTGTCAATCAAGCCAATCGTCCGGACGCTATGCAGCAGGCTGCCTCAAAGTCACCAAACCCACCCGTCAGCCAGCTTACCCAACACAACCAGCAGAATCAATTGCACCTGCCGCAGCAGCAAGAAAACCAAGGATTGTCATCTGCTCAGGGGTGGTACTCGGACGATTCGCACCGTCAGGTCAATCCGAGCTCGAATATGGCAGACTCGGCTGGTTCCACTCCGACGGCACATCGAGGTGGCGAGGATTCGGCTGAAATTGATGTGCAAGTTTTGAAGCAAAAATATGAAGAATTGCGTCAGTCAATCGTTGTTGCTTCCAAAGGCGTCATCAGAGCGCGCGGGTAAAGGGAAAAATGGGGCTGACTCGAGTACAGAAACCAAATATTCCAAAGTGAAGCGATATTACTTTGACAAGGATGCCCAGGTGCAGCATCTACAAAACACGGTAGCCCATCAACGGATGGCAGTCTCTCGCACCGTCCTCGACGACAACGAGTATGCGAATCGATTCACTCGCCTCGATGGAGCGATCAAAGACCTGGCCTTTTCCGTCCGGAAGGATTGGAGGGGCGTTCCTGGATGGTTGCATGGCTTGGTAGCAGAGGAGGCCACCGCCAAAGAAATGACGGCGGCAGGCCGAGCCGTCATTAGTCGGTGGTTAGTGGAAGAAGTCTTTCACCGTCATTTGCACCCTGGACTGGATCCAACGCTCAGTATTCAATTGAAGAGTATCGAGATGAACTTGCGACGACAACAAGTGCGACCACCGACCGAGGAGGAACGGGAAAATGTATTGGTTAGAATCTCCAACTGGCGACGCACGACCTTTGACGGCCTTGGTGATGCGCTATCCGCGCCGAGTGCGCAGAAACATCGCGATGAGCTGGTTGATTATTTGACCGCAGACCTCACTGCGTTCTTAAGCGGCCAACTACATGAATCCGCGCAGCCGGGCTTGGAGGCTGCAGTACGAATGATTATCGAGAGCTCCGTCAATATTACGGAGAAGATCCCATTAGAGGCCCGCGATGTCTCTGTCGAATACTTCCTCCCCAACAGCTCATTTGACGAGACTTGCATGAAAGTGGATGGTGTCCTGCCTCCTCTCGTTCACCCTCCCTCTCCGCCACCATTAGCCACTCCAACTGATGGGGACGTCTCCACGGATGGCCCTGCACCGGAGGCTTGTGATGCATCTCTCGCGGCCCCTGCAGACTCCGGATCTTCGGTTGTGCAAAAGACACCGAGAAAGACAGTGCTTGGTGCGCTCATGGGTCGCCGACCTCTGGGTTCTGCGACAGGCCGGACCCCGGCGGGAGCTGCTCCGCATGAAGAGAATAAACCGCAGCCAGGCGAGGACCGCGAGAAGCATTCTCGAATCCGGTTTGCATCTTTCCTGGCCATCGAAGTTCGTGGGAAGGGCTCTCCGGTGGTGCTGGTCAAAGCACCCGTCTGGCTCATTGAATGATCTAGTCACGGAGTAGATGAAGCTACGACGCGGTGAGACTTTATCATGCGACCGAGAGAGACCGTTCGAAAGAGTAGGAATTCGATTTTTCCTTGCGCTCAAATTCATTAGAATGTAGGTTCTCACCTCTGGACCTGGTGTATTGTCACTCCGGCGATGATCTCTCCGGTTCTTCGTTTCGACAAGCCCTCGCGGGTTCTTTTTATGATGGGATCTTGGGCGATCTGGATGATGTAGGCCAATTTTGTTGATAATTCGAGAGCGTGAGCACAATGCACAAGAAGATCCGCCCCGGCTGGAAGTTGTTTAGTCCGGATGCTTGGACATGTTTGAATCATCTCGCCGTTGAGTTAAGAAGGTGGAAGGTTTTTTTTTTTTTTTCTCCTTTCCTCGAATAAAAGTATGTGCCTATGCGTTTCCAGGGATGACGTCGTCTCAGCTGCTCTAGCTCCATGCTTGATCTGGAAGTCTCGTAGTTCTCACGAGGTCTCGTTCGGGCATATTCTCCGAGAAGAAGTAGTGTTACCGCAAATCGAATAGCCTTGTGCATTTATGATTGCAGACGGAACGTCCATAGCATTCAAGACATCGACACTCTGCACCGTCACCGTCATTCACTACACGAGACCCCAAATTGAGCAACCTCGGCTGAACTCGCCATAGCTCAACGCTGCATCGCGTCAGGCAGTAGTGTGCACGGGAAGGAAGCCCCCCAATTTAAGCTCCATCGGCATCGCGCGATCTGTCCCAAACCTTCCGCCAAACCTTCCGCCGATCCAGACTCCGAGACCACGGCGCAGACCCACTTTTGTCCGATTTCGATCTGCGCCGCAACAGACTGATGGACATATGCGTGGTTCATGATGTAATTGGGATCTTGGAGCCCAGTTATTTCGCAACGGAGGAGAAGAGGATCCATGCACAGATTGGCAGTGGTTCACTACGGTACCGTAGCCAGTGCTGGTGATCAAGGGTGCTAGTGCAGCATTCCATCATGACGATCCACGGGTCATCATCATTTGAACTCGAGGGCTTCGTACGTGGTTGCTAGCGAGGTGTTTCCACCCTTGATCCATTACGTCGGTCATGTACAGTAGTTATTTCTAGGATACAGTTCCCTTGGCCTACCGGCTCGATTCCTCCTACGGCAATATTTGCAACTGACCATTCATTCCCCATCAACGCGGTCGATCTGACAGAAAAAAAAGTTAACTATACCTCATCATTTTCTAAAATCACTTTCGTCAACGTCTTCCTGGTTAATCTCTCTCATACACCCAATTCCCTCAGCTTCAAAAGAAATACGGGCTACCTTTCATTGACTGCAACATCATGACTCTCGCAATTCAAGTCTCCGTACGCTCTGCCGGTTCGATGCGCACCTGCACTCCCCGACTCTGGTCTCATTCTCGTGCATCACAAAAACGATTCGCTTCCACTGCTTCTGAGAACAAGGGAGGAGTCTCTCGACCGTATGTTCAAGCATCCACACTCCTGTCACTCCGCGTGGTCGTCGTCGAAGGACGAGAATACCCTTCACCGAGACTGGTCCTTCGCCCTTCGGTAGCTAACTTCATCTGCTCTTTCTCTCTCAAACTATAGACTGCTTATCGTCGGCGCCTTGGCTGTTCCCGCAGCTTTGTACATGGCACGTGAAAAGGGTACGTTTCCGGCGCTTGGGAATCGGAATAAGAAATGGGACAGGCCGGCCTTGATTTGGAGTACCTCGGACTAACGCCATGATCTCACAACAGAGTCACAATCGAAAGGCTCTCTTGGAAAAGAGGTACGTTCGCCTTTTTTCAACCCGTTCACTCACTTCTTCATGAATACTTTCCCATTGCACCCCATTTTGGAAAAATGGCCCGATCCGCTTCCAATCCTCTCCACCTGATGTATACCGTGATCTCGTCAAGAAAACAACATGCTGATTCGCCCTGTTTCTCACCATAGGATGCCAACCACCCCGGCTCAGCATCTCAGCATCCATATATGGCCGAGTCCGGGAAGAGCGTCAAGGGCGAGGGTGTCATTGACACGGCGAGATTAAATGGTCCTGTTCGAGTCGATCGACCTGCGACGTGAGGGGTGATACATCTGGGAAGCCACTTGAAGGAAATATCAGTTTTGTGCATATGTGCACGCATGGAATCTACTATTTACTGTATAACATGTTATATTTAAGACTTCCAGACTCTTTTTCTTTGTCAATTGTATCATGCCCAGGCTGGGGCTGTTGATATATATCGACCTCTAATACTCATGGCTTTAGGTCACCGGAGTTGAAAGTATTAGGTCATACGGTGTAACGGTACACACCTATCTCTTATCTGGCGGCTGTGCGCAAAGATTAGGTTAGACGAGCTCGTCGTAGAGCACGCTTCGTTAGCCATGTAGGTGTCAACCAACTCGCGATGTGGATACAGTGATACACACGCTCATCTTCTGAATTGCCATGTGACTGTGTCAATAGAAGATCGCATTGCAAGACTGCTAGGAAAAAACTTCGACTTTCAAATCCATTACTTAGGTAACTGTAGCGGCGACTATATCATGAATCAAATGGACAATTGTGGCATTCTGTAGACATAGACTAATCAAGCAACTCAATACGTCCCATACTATCGATCAAAAGCCGAGAAAACCCTAGGAAAAAAAAAAACAAACACTACTACCAAGTACCAGCCCGAACGTTGCCCTATGACGAGTCGACGACCCGTGACAGTTTGAAACCTAGTCAGCACCGTCTCCTAATCGTTCCCCAAAGAAGCACACTTGGATCACCGTGAAAGTCGACGAGAGAAGTATTTTGCGTGCCTGGCTGCAAAGTGTAAGAAGTTCGGTACGCCGTGAGGCCCCGATGGAGAAGCAGCAGTGGTACTGCGTGCCTGATATTTCATGATATATGATACTGTCGAGACCATCGATCCATGAGAATAGAGAGGGACAAAAACCAGGGGATGAGGGGAACAGAATAACTAGGGTATCACGGCTCGTCAATGGTAATAAGGATGATGCTGGAGGCAAGATAACAAGAGATAGTCGTGCAAGGCAAAGAACGAGAACAAATGATGCTGCTGAGAACGATGAGTGGTAAAGAAGCATGCAACTTGCGTTAAAAAACAATGCATCAGGTGGCTCCGGGAATTCAGTAATCACATGTAGGAGAGCGATGGGGCAAAAAAATAAATAGGAAATAAATAAACCAATGTGCAAAGAGCAGACGGCAGGCTGAACGACTCAAAAACAACCGCAACAACAAAGTAAATGATCCAAGTATTCGGAGACCTCTGTACAGTCTTACTCTTCGAAAAGGTGACCGCTCACACGACGGAGACATCCCCCCCCCCCCCCCTCAATTAGCTCACTGAGTCGGTCTTCTCGCATATAGACCTCAGACCGGGATCCCTTTGGCTGTGGCGGCCTGCTGCAGCACGCGAGGCCAGCGCGAGATCAATTCGACATCGTCCAGGACACCCTTTCCTTGGTTTCGCACGTACTGCTTGCTAGCATCCACACGTGGCTCAAAGTCCCAGAAGGTGGGAGTGCCTTCGATCAAAGCAGAGTACACCAGACGACGACGTCGCTGGGATCGGATCACATCCTCTCGAATTGAGTCCATGTCCCAGCGAGTGAAGGTCTCTTCGAGGAAATAAGCTAGCAGCCTTGCGGGATCTGCGGTATTGGGCACAGAGGAAGATTTAGCCGGGCTCGGAGTGCGAGGGGGCGATAGTGCCGGGAAGGGGTAGTAGCTTTGACCGCCAGTGGCGCGCTGTGGAATAGGCGAAATTCGAGGAGTCTCCTCAGGCGTGGGCAGACCGGCCGGCACATTAAGGGGGTTGCTCTGCTTGCGTGTGGTTGCTGAGGGCTGTTTGATGGAAGGGACTGACAGACCAGCCACCAGATTGGTCTTTTCCTCGGGATCATTCACGAGGTCAAACAACATGGGTGGATCGAGGGGGCAGTAGATGAACTTCCACTGGCCTCGTCGAATCATCATCAGAGGGGCCTGCGTACCTTCACCCATGTACTCGCCGTAAACAGTGTCGGTGCGAAGACCCTCCTCACCCGTCAAATAAGGCACCAAGGAAACTCCATCGAGTGGAAGGCCCGGCACCAGAGATGCACCGGCCAATCCTGCAAATGTGGGCAAAAGATCCATCGTCGAGACATTCTCCGAAATTCGCTTGGGCGAGAATCTTTTTGGAGCGTGGAAGAGCATGGGAACCCGAGCTGAGTTTTCGAACCAGGTCATCTTGTACCACAACCCACGCTCACCCAACATGTCACCATGATCACCCGTGAAGACAATGATCGTATTCTCGTCCAGACCCGTGTCCTCAAGCACCTTCAACAACTTGCCAATATTGGTATCGACATAGGTGCAGGCAGCATAGTAGGCGCGGCGGGCGGCGCGGATGCGCTCATCGGGCATCTCCTTGCCGAATAGATCAATACATTTGAGGACTCGCTGAGAATGTGGGTCTTGCTGATCATGTGGGATTGCGCTATTCTTTGGCAATGGGATGTCCACCGATTCGTAAAGGTCCCAGAACTCCTTGGTCATGGCATATGGATCATGAGGGTGTGTCATAGACACCGTCAAACAAAATGGTTGATCTGTACGATGACGCACATGGTCATACAGATACTGCTTGGATCTGTAAATCACCTCTTCATCAAAGTCAAGCTGGTTGGTCCGCACGACAGGACCAGCCTCCAACACAGAGGACATGTTATGATAGTAATCCAGACGAATATTCTGTCGAGAATCGTCAGCGCTGATTCCAGTGGCGAAGAACAAGAGCTCAATGCCGAGCCACTCTCGCCGGAGACCCCCGGAAAGGGAAGGAAACTCACCGGCTCATCCCAATTGACGGACCAGCCATAGTCGCCAGGGTAGATGTCGCTTGTCAAGCGCTGTTCATAGCCGTGTAATTGATCTGGACCACAGAAGTGCATCTTTCCCGCCAAAGCAGTGTGGTAGCCTTCTCGACGCAGGTAATGCGCGTAAGTGGGCGTGTCGGCGGGCAAGTCCGCGGCGTTGTCGTATGCACCAATTTTCGAAGGCAGCTGGCCGCTCACCATGACGAAGCGTGATGGCGCACACAGAGGCGAGTTACAATAGGCCGAGTCGAAGACCACTCCCTCACTAGCCAGACGATCCAGGTTTGGGGTTTTGATAGGTGAGTTTTTGTCATGAAGTGACAGCAATGGGGCGGCCATTTGGTCCGCCATGATATAGAGGATGTTGGGCTTTCGGTCCGCCATGGCGTGTTGCAAGACCTCGTGGGGAGGTACTATGATACAGATGATCAATCAAGACGAGGCAGGAATTGACTATGTGAAGACTGGAAAAGTTGACTGAGGTTTCACCTCACGTATATGCTACCAGGGACATTCAACGGGAAGAAAAGGGGAAATGTAATTGAATAGAAAAAAGGTAAGAAGATTGTGGAAAGGGAGGAATAGACAATTATATGAGGGTTGGGAGACCCCGGGGGATGTGGGGATTCACCAAAATACGGAAATTCGAATATTGCCCAAAAGGGTCAACAAACATTACGACAAATCGGGATTCGCAGCCTTTGTAAAATACGACACGCACAGAAGTACTATAGCCAACTCGTCCCAAGACAGGAATGGAATGGCGCCTACTAAGTAAAGTGGATGCATTGTAAATATTGCTCGATGCTGAATGCTCACCAGTGAATGACGATAGGCTGGAAATCAGCATGTGGCCTTCTCGAGCGCTTGGAGGTACTTGGTTGTCAACTGGACTTATCATGAAAGGTTCTGTCATGCCGCATCAGGCGAGGAAGGCTACCGAGAAACGACAAAGTTCAAGTTAACCCGAGGCGGATCTCATTTCTCAATGCTACAGGAAGTTGGAACCAGGTGGTACTGTATTGTGATGTATCAATGTAATTAGTAATTCAATGTAGACCCGATACGACCATTTACATTATCGGTGCTAAATTACACGGTCTAGTCCGATTTCTCAGCATCACGCATAATCCTTAAGATTATTTTATTGCGTCTGGGCCAGTAGGCAATTAAGGGCTTGAAACCGACACCTCGATCGCAACCATTCCTGCGAATCACGCAATTTGAGCCCCTTCATAAGCTTATGGCCACTACACTCAAATCTGATTAGCCTCCTGCGTGGCAGATCAGGGGTCCAAAGGGGCGTACTGACGTCGATTCATCCTGGGAAGCAGGCAGTGAACGGATGGGCTCATCCTCCTGTGCGATGGTGTGATAGCGAACCAGAAAAGGGTGGATGAAGGGAGAGTACTAAAGTAGTAGAGTACTACGAATGGTGACTTATGAAATGTTACGGTATGTAAGATGGTACCCGTCACGTGCAAGTTATCCACAACTGGGGCGGACTTGGCAGTGGAAGCCTGGGAATTGTAGCACCGGAGACTTGCTAAGTTGCTACTAGCTACGGTACTAGCTAGGACTACCTCACTACTACTAAATTGGGTAGAGGAAAGTGCCACCTGACTGGCACAATGCAGTGAACGCACAATCTGTGGCTGGACAAGAGGACTTGGGTATGATTGTTTCAGCCTGAGGCCGGATCATTGCGAGTGCCCAGGAGTCTTGGCTGACAGACTCGGTTGAGTCGGTTCACTTGCAAATTGAAAGGAATGGGTCTGGCTCTGGTGTTTTCGGGTCATGTGCCCCTGGACCGTGATGATCAGATGATGTACTGCTAGAGTGGCCAGGCACTATCGAATCGGGTTCGATTCACTGAATCTTCTTCCAGATGAAAGGATTCTAAGTTCCGCGCAGCTATTCAAAATTAAAATACAGGTAGGTCTGTGGTGATTGCTGGCGAGTGAATCTAGACGAGAGTATATTTTTATCCTAGTGAGACTAGTCTGCTGCGCTCAGATTGAACTGTACATATTCAATATTGGCCGAACGTGGGCGCAAAGACCGAAATTGCCTTCATGAGTCATTCCAACTGGCAGCAGGTGACAAGAGGACCACTCTTCCTGGAATCGACAGCGCATTGATAAGCAAGCTCTCTAAGAGGCGGTCGAATCAGCGGAGAAATTCCAGGTGCAGTTGAACACTCTTTTCTCTCTCATCATCTCATGTGATAGGGGGTAAATTACAATCTCCATTACCGTCGTGGGTAACTTGGTACTGTATGTAGCTGCCAAGCTGTGTAGCGGGCTAGCACTGGAGACGCGCGCTAGTAATCTAATGAGCAAAGGTCCCGTACCGCAAAGCTCCTGCGCAACCGGCGGTTTTTCCGGAAGTTCGTTAAGATCGTGTCAACCCCAGCACCGAGTCCAATCACGAGCGAGGCAGATGCTTGCAGACGGGTCTTCGGGTCTGCGGGACGAGACTAGTCGTCTTTGAGACTAGCCTCCTTCCTTAGTGCCGGCTCCCCGACGCTTGAGAAGGTCTTAGTCTGGTTCAGAACTATAGACGACAGCCTGCGATCCAACCAGCAGCCTCTTGCCACTCCGGTAGACATGGCGACTCCACTTGCTTATCTTGAGCTCCCCAATCACGGCGGCGAGACGGAAAGACCGGGGCGTGAGGCGCAGGAGGGGAAAGGGTAAAAGAGTAAAAAAAGTTGGGAATACGACGGGTTCGCGTGGACACCTGCCATAAGTAAGGCCATCAGAGAGGCACGGAGAACAGAAGAGGAAGGCAATCAGGTAATAGAGTAGATACCTGTGAAAACCCGAAGACAGCGAGCCTAGAGCGAAGAGAGCAAGTTGACAACCCTTATCCAGCCCCCTATGTCAATCAAGAACAGCTAGAGGACTGTACCCACGGAATCAGAATCAGTGTCGTCCCGACAGCCTTCGAGCTTCCTTAAGCGAGACGGCCAAAAAAGCGGTGTGTGGGGGAAGACGGAACCTACCGATGCTCCTGGAAAAGATAGGAGGAATACTCGAATGAGACAGAAGTTGGAGAGAGCTGAATTTTCCAACCTGTGTTGGAACTTGGCAGTCATGCGCGATAGCACAAGAGTCACGACCGCGTGATGAGTCTGTTGTCACTCTGAAGTATCTCTACAAATGCCCAACTGGATTGTTTTTTTTGGCAGTTCGCTCTTTCTTTCATACGTAAAGCATTCGAACTTAATGAATCATAGGCTAGGCGATCGATATTGTCGATCTAATCAGGCCGATGTAATCAATTCGATTATGACAATCACTGTTTTCGGGATATGGTACGGTGCTGAGTGTGCTCATGTACTGTCTCACAGATGCCCGGTCAGTGAGCGAATCTTCTCGCCTAAGCTCGCCATGAGGTCGGAGCTCTCTCCCGGCCATCTTCACGCTTTCCGCCCCAAGACCGGCTTGCCACTCCCGAAACCCGCCCCTACAACTTTCTCCGGGCTGGACCGTGGATCTTTTGATATGCACGATTCAGCGCCTTACGATAGCAGTCACACCGAACCGCAGTCGGAGTCACACATTCGCCACTTACAGTAGGTCAACAGTGATCGTGTCCGACTGGTTGAAATATCTTACATAACGACCAACACAGCCCAGGTCACCTCTTGTTCTTCGCTTTGTGCTGCTTTCTTTTTAGACCACGCCCCAGAAAGGGCCGACTCGTGGCTCAAGGCGCGGTGGAGCTTCGAGGTCAAGTCACTGCCATTTCGACTGTTCTCACGAGTCACTACAGACTCGGTACCCGGAACATGAAAAGGTACTTATGAGGTCTACTTGGGCCACAATGTCTCGATTCGCGGGGTCATGTGGAGACAAAACACTTTCTTCCACGATAGCACTGTTCGTCGGTGACCCGTGACCCTGACGCGCGTTCGATGAGCATTGATCGGCCCCCATCAACCGTGAGAAATGCGGTAGGATCTCTTCAATACATTACACTCAGTGGACAGGCAGTCGCCCGACGACATGAACTACACTTTTCAACACTCATGTGATCGCATGACCCAGCACCAGTCCGTACCAGAACAAAAATTTCGCGTCCTGTGTGCTGAGGGCTGACCTTTTTCGCCAGCAATATGATCCTGTTCAGTCGTATCTGCTGGTAATAGATGCCGCATGGTGGAGTATCCGTGTACGCGATATTTTGTATTGTGGCCAGCTCAGCGAGTAACATCAATTCGAGGGACGAGAACCGCGGTTGGTCAATTGCTAAACAGGAGATTGATCCTTCTCGAAGGGAAAAAGGACCTGCATTCGAAAAATGATAAACAGATACCCGTACAGCAGTCGAAAGGGCAATGAAAGAGAAACACATCAAAACGCTGAACATGGAATGCGATAGGTAATATAGAGGAGGACTCCGTGGCGACGGGATAATCGAAGAACCAATGCTTGTTAGTTAAACACAAGGAATCGCCAGGGCAGGGAAAACGCAGAAAAGAGAAGTCTGAGAGAAGGAATTGAACTTTGCTTGTTGGGTCAATCAACCTTTACGGAACTGAAGTTTCGATGTAATCAGTACCCGTCTTGACAGAACACGAGATTCGAGCAAGGTCATACCTGTAGACTCGCCGTACGAACGCATATGCAGCCAAAAAACCAACAGTCCCCGTCAGAAGACCGTACACGGCACAGGCAAGGAAGCTGTAGCTGAAAAAGAGCAAGGTCGAGACAAAGCCGGTGATGTGCAGCTTGAACATGTAGTACCAGATGCAGTAGGCAAAAATCCAGCAGGCGCTGCTTCCACCCGTGACAAAGCTCTGCCACCACCAGTGATAGTTCTAAATAGGTCAGCTGACACGGTGCAGCGAAGGAATATAATCAGGAACACACCTCCGAGCAGAGTTGGCTATAAGTAGCAATCACAGTCACCTCAACGACGGTCACTAAGAGTACAACAGAGACGACGCTGAGGAAACCGAAAACATAATAGTACCCGCTTTTATCTTGCCATAGGTTTTTAAAGACGAATAGGAGTTCGATGAAGAGAACTGCAAAGGGGATTGAGCCAGCAAGTAGCGGGCCGGCAGGGCTGCGTAGATACCAAGGTTGGGGTGGGATTTGACGAGGGATTGCGCTGGTCTGCAGGGGATGCTCCCAGGGACTGGCACGCACATAGCCAACGTAGCTCCCGAGGTAGACCAGCGGGACCTGGATTAACAGCCAGAGAGCAAGAAGAGCGACAAGGGTGCTGAAGGGAATCGCGGTGCTGGATGCCTGAGCCCAAACGAACAAGTTCAGTATGAATACGAGGCAAAAAGCGAGACCGGGAAACAGAATTGCCGTCTAAACGATCATATCAGCGGGTGGATCTCATTGCAAGTTTGGTAGCTTGTCAATCTGGAACTTACAATCAGTGTGTTCTTGCGCCAGGCAGAACCACCAAAGGTCTTGTACAGTCTCCCAGAGAAGTAACCCGAGAAGAGGCCGGCAAACACGAAAAGACCCATGCCAACACTGACAAATCCACCCCGGAAGCTTGGGTTCAAAACGCCCAAGCAAGACAGCGCGAGCAGACCAGTTGCCATGAAGAGAAGCTGCATACCCGATCCAACGAGTGGAGCCAGAAGGCCATTATATGCCGGAACTCGGAACACGTCTCCGTGGAGAAGCTTCCATCCACTTGTATCCTCAAAGCCCTCCTCATCCGATGAAAGGTCGGCATTGTGTTCGACATCTGCACCCTCCAGTAGACCCTCATTCTTGGAGTCTTGCGGACGCTTCCGTCTGGTTTGTCCCTTCATCTTTCGCTCTTCCATGGCTCCGTCGCCGCGACCCTTGATGTCTCCTTGAACAGTCCGACTCCAGATCACAAGGACAGTGACACCTAGCACTGTCGAAATAATCAGAGAGTTGACAATGGCCAACCAGTGAGTCATTGAGCCTCCCTCCTGATTGGTAAAATACAGATCCCAGCGATTGGCCCATTCAATCTTCTTCTCTTCCCTGAAATAGACGGAATACGAATACGGTATATCCAACGTGGCGCCGTCATCTTCTTCGTCATCTTCAGGGACGTAGGAAAGACCGCCGTACTTCTCTTTCAAATGAGCCATATCAGGCGCAATATATAAACACAGGCCTTCGGAGTCCTTGTGGACGGCTTTGGGACAGCCATCATCTTTGCGACCATCTGCAGAGATGCTCTTTGGGTAGACCTCAAAGCCGACGATGACTTTGCCACCGTCCGAAGCGCTTCGCCATCGAATGACAATGGTGAAATGGTTATTTATAAAATACCGCGGCTGTCCGGTGGCAGGAGAAATTTCCCGGTAGCCCAGCTTGAAGCCAGACGCATAATACCTGCGGCTACGATCCACAGTCACAAAGCTCGTCGCTCCTGGAAGGTTATCGACAATCCACTCGATTGCGTAGTTTTCTTCGATCAGTTGGCGGGCCCATTTGACATCGGCGCGGCTGACTTTTGCGGTACATAGAGACTGACACTCCACATTCTTGCCCATGATCAGCTGGAAGTCGGATGTCATGATTCGATCTCCGCGCAAAACTTCACCCAGATTGAGGGATATGCTTTGGCCAGATCCAAACGGTGAGCCACCATGACTGCGGCCACTGGGGGGACAGACGAAAGGAAGATCGAAATAGGCGTACTGTAGCTGAGTGTGGTCGGAAAAGATTTTGTTGACAAGGAGGGGAACTGGCTGGTCGTCGTTGTACTTGGTTACCGAGTAACCTGAAAGGCATAAGTAAGTTAGTACTCGATCATTATACACCTATGCGCAACACCCAGAAGCTGTCTCACCAGGGATGTAGAAGGCCCAGGCATTACACGCTAGTAGCAACAGATACAGAGCCCAGTGATGGGCCCTCATGCCCAAAGGCATGGATTTCATTGTGATCACGATCTCCACTGGTTCGGTACCGGTTCCTGGAGAACTCACGGCGACTAGATACCCATGCGCATCTGTCGCAGCAAGTACACGTTATTGAATGTGAATAGACGGCCGAAGAGAATTCAGTTCACGAGTGGCCAGTGTCTTGAGCAAGGAGAAGTACTTTGGATGAACAAAGTGTATAGTTGGCCTAGTCGTGAAACAGGCAGCGGAGACGTGATTGACGATGTCAAGTGTCGTTTCTTGAGCACTCCGATCAGATCAAGCTGAACCTTGTAGTACTTGCGCGTATCCAGCGAGGTTGGAAAGCGGTAATTCAACGAGCGTAATCGGCACTAAATGCCAGTGTCCGGACGATTCGCCTGTCGAGATATCTTCAAGGTCACAGGGGACTCCTTGCAAGGGTCGTGTCCACTTACACGTCCACAACCCAGGATCCACCCGGCCGCAACCACGTACTCCTCCAATCGGGCATCTAGGTTGATTACATAATACTAACGGTCCCATCTAGTTAACTAGTCACAGGTAACTTATATGTAGGTAACCAACTCCCAGGCACTTAGTAGGTACCTAGGCAGTTACCAGTCAGTGACAAGTAGTCAGTAGTCACTACTACCACTACCTTATCTTAAGGCACTACCTAACTGCCTATACTACCAAGGTTGGTACTGCCTCCTGATAGTAGTCCTAGTACCTTTAGAAGTAAATTACCCGTGGCTGGAAGCTTCTAAAAGACTGAAGTTAGGTGAGACTTCCACTGGCAAAAGAGCTCGTGAACTCCGCTAGCAGCCCGAGGACCTGAATCATATTAGGGACTCGAGGGACAGTCTCTCACAGCTCGGCGACCTATGTTGTGAATTGTCAATTTAAAGGGCTATGTGCAATTAAATGAACATGTGATGCTATATTACGAAGCCAAGTATTGCCTTCAGTTCAAACGGTGTTGCTGTTCTTAGTCTGTCCTCTCGAAATATAAAAGTTTGTACTTATGGCTCCTCATATGCCGGCATCGTACGGAAAATAGATGTTTCAGGGCGGGCTCGTGGATAGCTTCATTCTGCATCATAGCATGGAATTATGTAGATAACATGGATAATGGATACTTTGCCTTGTAACGAAGCACCTAGGAATGGTTGCTGAGAAGGTATTCCACGGCACCCTGAACGCTACCGCCAGACCGACGGAGCGCCTCAATGTTACGCTCAAATTCGAAAAAACCCATATCATTCAGCTGACGAAGTTGATCGGCGTACCTTTCCTCTGGAGGTCTGTTGTCAGGTGGCTGTGAAGTGCCGAAGCCAGCGCCTCCCTGAAGCAATGCAGCAAGCGGATTTGCGCCTGCAGCACCCTCTCCAGCGCCTTGCCCTCCCATTCCCTGCATCATTTGACTCATGAGAGCGGGATCACGCAGAAAGGGATTCTGCTGCGGGTCGAAAGGGTTAATTCCACCCTGACCAGCATTGCCAAACAAAGCCGGGTTGAGCAGCGAAGCAAATGGATTTTGAGCCGATCCCGCAGCAGGGTCTGATGTCCCACTTGCGGACGTCGTTGACTGAGCTGAATCACCTCTATTGCCGGTAGCAGTTTCGGAGGGATTTTCTCCAGTAGTAGGAGGCTGGCGGAGGCCTTGTCCACCAAACAAAGCAGCGAATGGGTTGCCTCCCATCATTGGGTTCGGCATCTGGCCAAAAGGGTTTGGCGGAGTGTTCTGTTGCTGATTGTTTTGGGTACCCTCGGTGGTATTAGTAACACCTGGAGCCGGGAAGGCGCTCTCGCCACCACCCAGACCACCACCACCACCCATCCCCATTGCCCGCTGCATCTGCATCATCTGGCGTATGGATGCAGGATCAGTCAGCATTTGACGGAATGCTGGTCGCTGCATCAATTCACGTGCCATAGGGCCCATATCACGGAGCATTGGGTTTTGTTGAATCATCAAGTCGATCATAGCTGGGTTTTGAAGCGCCTCATTGATTTGCGACTGAATTTGAGGATTTTCGAGCATGCTCAACATTGCTTCAGAGTCAGGAGGAGGGCCCATCTAGATGCGAAGATACCTGATATCAGTTGTTTGCGCGAGACGTGGTCGAGGAGTGAAAAGCTTACCCCACCGTCAGGTCCGAAAAGACCAGCTCCAGGGAGCTGCGCGAAACCCGCGTAACGAGCACCTGTAAGACCAGCAAGAGGATTGTTGCCAGTTCCAGCAGCCAGATTCGTTGGAACGCCAGCGGCAGCGGCCGGCTGGGTTGTGGCTGGATTGTTAGGCCCCGACGCCGCGGGGTTAGATGGCGCACCAGTGGCAGAATGTTGTTGATTACTTGCAGCGCTTTTCACCAAGTGGATAGTATGTCCATCCTTGATCTTGTAAGCTTCCAAGGTATCGCTATCTTTCATGACTCGCCCGGAGTAGATCAACCGCTGGCGCTCAGCAGGGGTGTCAGCATAGTCAGAGCTTGCGAGCTTCTCCTTAAGCTTCGAGACGAGTGTAGACAACGGTAGAGAAAGCGTGAACTTCGCATCGGTTGAGGATTTGATAGTAAAAGTGATTGGAGTTTCCTCCGTGGTTGCATCGTTATCCGCCATAGTCATTCAACGAGCGTGCACTGGTGCAGTTGCTTGCTTCGATGTGGGGTGGTAAATGAGGAAATGACGGCAGCGCAACTGCGGATGTGACGATATTGAAAAGCAGGCTCGATGAGATCGTCGAAGTCGAAAGATATCTCAGTTTCTTTTTATTGGTGATTGTAATCGTCGTCAGAGAGAAAACCTGAAGATGAAAGTGAGGGAGTGTTGTAGAAAAAGGCAAAGAGGGGGGCTTCCTTTCATTTACTACTTTCAAGTGACTGATAGTCTGTCTGATGACGGCCCGCTGAGGCCGACGGTGTATTATTACCTAAGACTTTAGCCGCGGAAGGCGGTCGAATCTCATAGTGCCGAGCTCCACGTGATCGCGGCTAGCTATTCTCGCACCTTTGGAATTTTCCTACCTGCAACTTCCTTCGCATGTAGCGAGAATTGTGCAGACATCCTTTCTTCGCGTTCCCTTCCCATTGCCGATGCTATCAGGAGTTTTATGAATTTGTGACTCCCCTTTAGCAGCTATGGGACACGTGTGATTATCACAAGCCCTTGACTGCAACTGCTCGTTCCATATTTTTGGTGATATTGCTACGCGTCGGGGGTCACCAAAAACTACCCTATCGCTCAGCTTCAACTGCCCATCATGGCGACAACATCGCACATGTTCATGTACTCCCTGACGATCCAGCCTCCGACTGCCATTACACAAGCAATCCTGGGCCAATTCGCAGGGACCAAGGAGCAGCAAATCGTCACTGCCTCGGGATCTAAGCTCACCATACACCGACCTGACGCGACCCAGGGCAAAGTCACCCCTCTTTTTTCGCAAGATGTCTTTGGCATCATCCGCTCTCTAGCAGCGTTTCGACTGGCTGGAAGCAACAAAGGTACGTCTCATGTGTGGCCCTTGAACGCAATATGAGTTCAATTTAGTGATCCTTCAAGCTTCCCGGGTAGCGCGGTCTTGGTCGTCTCATACTTGTCCTTGATGGACTTTGCCAACTGCCCGGGTCTGCAATGTTGACGCTGTATGAAGTCGCTTCACTGCACGCGCCTTGTGCTGAGTCATTTCTCTTCGTACAGATTACATCATCATTGGATCTGACTCCGGTCGCATCACAATCATTGAATATGTCCCATCCCAGAATCGATTCAGTCGAATCCATTTGGAAACATTTGGAAAGTCTGGAGTGCGTCGCGTCGTACCGGGGCAGTATTTAGTCGTTGATCCCAAGGGTCGGGCTTGTTTGATTGCCTCTTTGGAAAAGAACAAGCTGGTCTACGTTCTCAACCGCAACTCGCAGGCAGAGCTCACAATTTCCTCGCCTTTGGAGGCCCACAAGCCTCAGACTTTAGTCTTTGCCATGACAGCTTTGGATGTTGGTTACGAAAACCCAGTTTTTGCCGCTCTGGAAGTAGATTACTCTGAGGCAGATCAAGACCCAACTGGACAAGCTTACGAAGAGATCGAGAAAGTTCTGGTCTTCTACGAACTGGATCTTGGTCTGAACCATGTTGTTCGAAAATGGTCCGACCCCGTGGACCGCACTGCGAATATGCTCTTCCAAGTCCCCGGCGGAGCCGATGGTCCCAGTGGTGTCCTCGTATGCGCTGAGGATAACATCACATACCGTCACTCCAACCAGGACGCGTTTCGTGTTCCAATTCCGCGACGCACTGGGGCAACCGAAAATCCGGAGCGCAAGCGAACGATTGTGTCCGGAGTGATGCATAAAATGAGGGGCGCTTTCTTTTTCCTTCTCCAATCTGAGGACGGCGATCTTTTCAAACTCACCCTGGACATGGTTGAGGACGAGAATGGTCAGCTGACTGGTGAGGTCAGAAGATTGAAGATCAAGTATTTTGACACAGTCCCAGTGGCCTCAAGTCTTCTGATTCTTAAAAGCGGATTTCTCTATGTTGCCAGCGAATCAGGAAATCACAACTTTTACCAATTTGAGAAACTTGGTGATGACGATGAGGAAATTGAATTCTCGAGCGACAACTTCTCTGCTGATCCATCGGTGCCTTATGACCCGGTCTTTTTCCGTCCAAGGCCGGCGGAGAATCTCAACCTGATGGAGAGTCTCAATGCTTTGAATCCAATGACTGACAGTAAGATTGCCAATCTCACCGGTGAAGACGCACCGCAAATCTACACTGTGGGAGGAACCGGTGCTCGCAGTTCGTTCCGAACATTGAAGCATGGTCTCGCAGTTTCAGAGATTGTTGAGTCGGAGCTTCGTACTGTGCCATCTGCCGTGTGGACCACTAAGCTTACTCGTGGTGATGAGTACGATGCCTATATTGTGCTTTCGTTTGCCAACGGTACCCTTGTTCTGAGCATTGGTGAAGTTGTGGAGGAAGTATCTGATACAGGGTTTTTGTCCACCGCACCAACCCTTGCTGTGCAACAGCTTGGCGAAGACTCTTTGATCCAAGTCCACCCCCGTGGTATCCGTCACTTGATGGCTGATCGCCGTGTGAATGAATGGCCTGCTCCCCAACATCGATCTATTGTCGCCGCTGCCACGAACCAGCGGCAAGTGGCGGTCGCTCTCAGCTCCGGAGAGATCGTCTACTTCGAAATGGACTCTGATGGCTCGCTCGCTGAGTACGATGAGCGTCGTCAAATGTCCGGCACTGTGACCTGTCTAAGCTTGGGCGAAGTTCCTGAAGGTCGCATGCGTAGCTCATTCTTGGCGGTCGGGTGTGACGATTCCACTGTTCGCATTCTGAGCTTGGACCCTGACTCCACACTTGAGAATAAGTCCGTTCAAGCCCTGACCTCAGCGCCCTCGGCGTTGAACATCATTTCTATGACCGACTCAAGCTCGGGTGGCACTACGCTTTACTTGCACATTGGCCTTTACTCTGGTGTCTACCTGCGCACCGTTCTGGACGAAGTCACGGGTGAGCTTTCTGATACCCGTACACGCTTCCTCGGGGCCAAGCCTGTGAAGCTCTCTCAGGTTTCTGTAAAAGGGCAAACGGCAGTTCTCGCACTGAGCTCCCGGCCTTGGCTTGGATACTCGGACGTCCAAACAAAGAGTTTCATGCTCACGCCTCTCGACTACCCTGGCCTTGAGTGGGGATGGAACTTCTCGAGTGAGCAATGTGAGGAAGGCATGATTGGTATTCAAGGCAAAAATCTACGGTATGTTCTCAATCCTTTTATTGCTTCTTCCCCAAAACCGATCATATGATGAAACAAAAGGGACCTGAAATACTATGTGGACAAACTTTTATTTTATTCCAATTGTTCCTACTGAGATCGTTTCCCTCTTACCGTTCTGTCTCGTCTTCCATGTTCAAATGACATGTCGCTGATTAGCATCAGGATCTTTTCGATTGACAAACTTGACAACAACATGCTGCAAGAGTCGATCCCTCTGGCTCACACCCCCCGTAGATTCGTGAAGCACCCCGAGCAGGCACTCTTTTATGTCATCGAATCTGATAACAACGTGTTATCTTCAGCAACACAAAAAAGCCTCATCGAAGACTCAAGGTCTCGGAATGGTGAGGTTGATGTCCTCCCAGCTGCGGGCTTTGGCTATCCTCGTGGCCAGGGACACTGGGCGTCTTGCATTCAAATCGTGGATCCTGTCACCTCCAAACAGGTGATATTTTCCTTGGACCTGGAAGATAATGAGGCTGCCGTGAGCATTGCAGCAGTGCCATTCTCTAGCCAGGACGATGAAACCTTCCTTGTCGTTGGCACGGCCAAGGACATGACGAGCGATCCTCCCTCATCGTCAGGCGGATTCATTCATATCTATCGCTTCCAAGAGGACGGTCGCGAATTGGAGTTCATTCACAAGACAAAAGTGGATGATCCTCCACTGGCCCTTCTTGCGTTCCAGGGGAGAGTCCTTGCCGGAGTGGGATCCCTTCTCAGACTATACGACCTGGGCATGAAACAACTGCTTCGCAAATGCCAAGCTCACGTGGTTCCTCATACAATCGTGGGGCTTCAGACCCAGGGAAGCCGTATCATCGTCAGTGATGTCCGTGACAGTGTGACCTATGTCGTGTACAAGTACCAGGAAAACGTCCTCATTCCCTTCGTCGACGACACTGTCGCTCGTTGGACCACGTCAACCGCCATGGTTGATTATGAAACCACTGCAGGTGGCGACAAATTTGGCAACATCTGGCTGCTTCGTTGTCCCACTAAGTTTTCTGAGGAAGCTGACGAGGATGGCTCTGGAGCCCATCTGCTCCACGAAAGAGGATACCTTCATGGGACACCCAACCGACTTGATCTCATGGTTCACTACTACGTTCAAGACATCCCTACTGCCATTCACAAAACACAACTGGTCGCCGGTGGTCGTGACATCCTGGTATGGACTGGTTTCCAAGGCACCATCGGCATGTTTGTGCCTTTCGTCAGCCGAGAGGATGTCGATTTCTTCCAAAGTCTTGAGATGCAACTTGCTTCTCAAACCCCTCCTCTCGCTGGCCGGGACCACCTAATTTACCGCGGTTACTACGCTCCCTCAAAGGGTGTCATTGATGGGGACTTGTGCGAGATGTACTTCCTTCTTCCCAACGACACGAAGAAGATGATCGCGGCGGAACTCGATCGCTCCGTTCGCGAAATCGAACGCAAGATCTCGGTCAGTCCCTGTTTCCCCTCCCACGGGTCCTTGTTTCGACCTGCCGTGCTCTCACTTACTAATGCCATCTGTAGGACATGCGAACAAGGGTCGCTTATTGATTTTATGAGGTTTCTTCTGGCGTCTTGGTTAGCGTTTCCGTGCTTGGGCTTTAGATACCTCATTCCGTCCTGTGATTAATCAAGGCGTGGTGCACACCACCAACTGCTATCCTCCCCCCGGGTTCGGTCCGTGTTCTTCTCGCACGTAGATTCACCTTTCTCCCTCCCTCCCCGTTCAACCTTCCAACCCATCCCCGTCTCTTGCCTCGCTCGGTTTGCCGCCTTCATTCGGCTAATCTTGAGCTGGATGCTGCCCAGACCCTGATTCTTTCAGCGTGTCTGTTCAGCACGAGACAAGATCGAGCATGGATCTCCTATGCTTCGACGTTTTTTGAGTACGATTTGGCTCGATTCGCACCACGGGTCTTCATCGTAATTTATCTGTCGGAACATTTCTCGTAGATTTGATAGCCCGCATCAATGGAACCCCCCCTTCTTTCCATCATTCTTCCATCTCTTCTCTCTCCATTTGCATATCAGCCTCAGACGCCGTCTTCGTTGGCAAGAACATGGCTGTCCTCAGTAGGTTACCCGAAGCCACTGCAATTGCATGACTCGCAGCCGAGGTCATCGGATCCAGCTCGGCGTGAACAGCAACCGCCCGGCGGCATCTCAGACCGAGAGGGGATCCCCGTTGAGTGAAGAATCCCCGAGACTCAGTACTGTTGGTCGGGCTGCCGTAGCCCGGTGACGCAAAAACGCACGCTGGTTGCCGTCGACCCGCCAGCCTTCTGGTCTCAAGCTTCCCCTGATCTTACGTTCCAAGCAATTGTCACATGATGTATCTTGTGTAGTTACGTACAATCGGACTTGGTGCGGTTATGGTCGGAAAACTCTGGATCCTCCCGACTCCTGGGACTGTCGGCTAAACCCGTCTGTTTTGTCATTCTCGTCGGTGAAGTCCCAGATGGGAACCCCATCAATGGTGTCATTGCCGTGGAAAGATATGGAGCCCCTGTAGGAGTCCGTAGGAGCCAGACTGCAAGAGGTAGAGAGCCGAATCAATTCTTTGTCTCTCGGGTCGATCAGTTTCGGGAGGTCGGAGCCCTCTCAGGCTGACAAACCCTGTTGACACTCGGACCACACCGGTCACCTTGACCAGAGAGAGATGGTGCAGCCTTCGCTTGTCGTTAGGTTCAGCCAGGCAGTCCACCGCGAGATCGATGACCCTACCAAGGTCATGCTTACTCCAATAGGCATGCGTTGCCGTTCATTCTGAGTCAGGGTTGAAGGTTTCTGACCGCGGGACTGGCCTTTCGTCTTCCCAGCCAGCAAGCCGGCGTCAACGACCGGCGCCAAGGATTGTCATTGATGCAAGTGGATCCCCCCACTTGCAAAAGCCGCAGGTGGAGACCCAAAGGACCCTCAAGGGCGTGCACAAGGCAGGCCTTCACAATCCGTGCTACGCCTCATCCACAGTTCTTGAACAATCGCTGGCGTCGGCCAGGCACCCCACATGTCCATCGAATATACCGCACGGCTTTGGACAGATGCACGACATCAGTGCTCTCCAGGAATGGAGTCCATGAGCCCGTTGGAGGGGTCGCGTCAGGACGCTCATGGTGTGGTGTGGACGCTGGAATGGGGTGTATGTCTCTTGCTCGAACCTTGGACGAGCTCGGCGATGATGGCTTTATCCCCTTCTCGGAAATAGTACGAATGGAGTACTAGATCGGGTGGATGATGGCCGAAGCCATATGGCACCTCTAGCGAGCCGCAATCATTGTATGTCTGCATCTCTCCTTTTTTTCTTGTTTGGATCCAAACCCCCCATTCAGGCTAGAGAGCTGTTTCTCAGAGGAACTTCCTTACTTGACGCTAGACACGCGGCCCTCTGTGCCGGAGGGCGTGGCACATGTCTCCTACAGGGCGTGACAGTATGGAGGCAGTGAGATCAGCTCCAATCATTCTGGTGCTGACTCACAACGACTACAGAGTCCTGAATCCTGAGTCCTGACTGACTCGTCTGGCTCGACCGTTCCATCTGGACCGTCGGCTGCAGCTTCGCCGTCTTCTTGGCCTGAGCCATCCTCTCCACGTGAAATGTGCCGTTTCCCCTCCAAGTCTAGCACGCCCTTGGGCCATACTAAGGCATCCATCTGATGTAGTGATCGGCTAAGCTCTGGAAGGTCCCGTAAAGTTATTGATGACTCATGCTCCAGGCTAAAAGGCATCTAGATGGATTTGTAAAGCAGCCTTGACCGCATACGTGAGCCCCTCGTGGACGTGGCTATCAATACATTAGGCCTTTGTACAAAAAGCATGAGAGCGCCGCCGTCAGGCCTTCAAGAGAGAACCCCCGTGGTTGTCCTCATTGTCGATTTATTGATTTCCTGCATCATCGGAAATTGAGCTTGACGGAGCACGGAAAGAGCCCCAGTGCGCTTCTACACGACAGGTCCACTTTTACTATATTATCTTTTTTTTTCCCCAGGCCTCACTGTTGTGGAAGGCCCCTTGGAGAAATATAAACAAAAGACCAAAGGCAACATCGAAGGGCCTTTTCTTTTCTGTCGCTTCACCCCTTCTCCTCCCTCTGCCCTTAGTTGTTCCCAAAAGGCTTGATCAGAGTCTACGATCAGAAAGCGATTCTCTCAGGTGACGCAACTCCCGCCGCCCTTGTTGGCCCCGCATACTTGAGGCCGACTAGCAGCAGAGAAGCTGTGATACAAAAGGCACGCGATCGGCTACCTCACACTTCACCTCCCTGTCTGGCAAGCAGCTTGGGTATTGTTCAACGTTCCCAGAGTCAACAACACACTTCAATCAGACAAAATGACGACTCGGTCCATCATGAGCTATGGGTCAGAATCTCTCGACATCTTCACCCGTCGGTCTGTACCAAAAATCGACATACTGTTGGTCGGTCAAAAGCCAGGGCTGGTCAGTTCATACACAACCAGTGATCGCATTGAGGGCCATGTCACCGTCAAGGTAGACACAGACACCCGCTTCGATGAAGTCGAGATTATCTTCCAAGGTACGTTCATTGCACGAACATGTCTGCCTCCTTGCGTGCGTTGTATGTGCAGGGTTGACATTCCACACAGGGTCGTCGCATGCTATCGTGGAGCGTGCCGCATGTCCGGGGCGTACAGGCTCCCAGCAGATGTTCCTGAAGCTCCGTCAGCCAATTGAAGAGTCAGAATACCCTTGTCCAAGAATTTTGGAAGCTGGCCGAACCTATTCATATCCCTTCACGTTTGTGGTACCCGATCGCCTGCTCCCGCAGGCCTGCACCCACCCGCGGTCGAGTATCCACATTCACCATGCACACACGACACTACCACCGACTCTGGGTGATCCCATGTTGGCTGGCAATGGCAAGGTATTGCTAGATGATATGGCTCCCAGCATGTGTCAGGTATCTTATACAGTGCGTGCTGCGGTTTTGAAGAAACCCGTTGGCGACCAAGGCGGGCTCAAGACTTTGGCCAGCACGGCCAAGAAGGTTCGCATCATTCCGACTGTCGAAGAGGAGCCTCCGATTAACGTGGCGGATCACACCGTGTACATCACTCAGAAGGAGAAACTCGTGAAACGAGGGTTCCTGCGAGGCAAGCTGGGTCGATTGGTTGCTTCCGCGTCGCAACCCAGTCCCATTCGGCTGCTTCCTCTTGGTTCTGCAGCTGATAACACTGTCACCACTGTCGCCAGGATCCATTTGAGATTCGATCCCGCCGGGGGTGAGCAGCCCCCCAAACTTGGCTCCTTGTCAAGTAAGATCCGGGTCAGCACCCACTTTGGCGCAGCACCCTGGGAGGATTTTCCTACGCAGAAGACGGGCACATACCATGGCCAAGTGGGCCAGGGACTCTTCATCGACACTGTTTCAATTTCCAACCTGTGCGTTGCCTCCGCGCAGTGGAAGAAGCACACCACACAACTTGAGCCGGAGCGACGGTCGTCGATGCTGTCAATGATCTCAGACGACTCACAGGAGTCAACCACTGCCGATGCCAAGGCCACCTACTTCACTACATCGCTGGTGATCCCCATCAGCCTTCCCAAGAACAAAGCATTTGTGCCAACCTTCCACTCCTGCCTGATCTCTCGCATCTATGCCCTCGACCTCTCTTTGACCTACCACACTCCGGGTGCCAATGTTCTCACCCCGACCATCTCTCTGCGTCTCCCAATCCAAGTCATCACACAACCTGACAATGCCCCCTCGTCCAAAAACGGGGCCAGCGTGATCGTTACCCCAGAAGAAGTGGAGGAGTATTTTCAACCTCGTTCAGTCGCCCCGCCTACTGAGTCAGTCGTCACTACGAATCTCCAGGCCCCGCCGGGGTACTCGTAGTCCCGTCACCGTCAGTGCGGCGCGCGTGACCCTACACCCTTACTGATGATATCTTTATACCCCATTCACTCTCCTAGCTCGACGTTTCCATTTCTGATTTCTCGTTTCCGCGGTTCAATTCCATCCTGCATTGGAAATACCCACATCGCTCAAGCAATGTCCATCGCACAAAAGCAAATTTGTTCTCGTTCTTTCGTATCCGGCATGTCTATCCGGCATGTCTACCCTGCGTGTTCATCGTGTTTCTCGGCCAGCGGCCTCTTATTACGATAATGTGCAGTCGAGCGCAGTCGATCTTCTCGACCATAATACCCATTATATTGCTTTGTTCTTCTTTGATAGGAATATATATATGATACCATCTTTCTTCAACACATTTGCAAAATATTCCGATCAAAGATTATGTATAAACATTAACACCAGATTAAATGGATCCAAGAAGTAGACTCTCGCAGATCGTCATTATTTTTGTCGTTATCTCCAGGCATGAGTTTGGAAGGTAAGGTATGTAATGTACCCCATGTCGGGTCACTCGTACTAGACTCTGTGGGAGTTTACACTTTATAATGATTCGAGCCAAGCCTGCTTTGCCCTTGCTACGCCCAAGAGATTATATTACTCAATCAAGCTAAGCGATTTCTACCTAGTCGACTCGCACAGAAAAGAGATAACAAAGCCATTCAGCCTGGGGGTTAGTAAGGTATTCCATAATAAGATAGTTAACCAACAAAGCACACACAACCACGCCCAAAGCCCAGGTCCATTCGGGCCGCCGGAAGTGGTGGACAACATTCGGCTGACAAGAATTCACCTCAAAACTTGGAGTCTTGATGTAATATGGAGCTCAACTTGGCCACATTGGCGGCAAAATGTGGGTTCCACTATTTATTTTTAAGTCGAGGAGTTCCAGAGTCCCAGACGGGAGCCTGATCGAGCTATCCACGGATACTCCCATTCATCGAAATGCATCTAGAATCAACCTGAATCTCGAGCCTCGGCGTGCTAGGTAGACGTCTTGGACTTGAGTCTGAACCATGGTATTCGAGTGATAATGGCAGTCATTCATTTGCATATCTCATAGTGAGAGACTTGAGATCTAGACTCGTTTTCGAAGTTCTTGATATACATCGATAGCCGGTTTTGAGGTGACTGCTCCGGGGGAGACTTTGACTCCATGGAGACTACGTATTGACAGAAACAATCGCGATGGGGGATCATCAGAAAGATGATTTGAACTACGAGGCCTCTCTAGGGAACATTTTCCATATGGCTCTTAGAGCAAATTCCCAGAAACCAAAGCAACATCGGGATTCGTGACCGGGTCAGTTCTATTTCCTGAGAATACATTGAATCACCATTTGAGTTCTATTGTATGTCGGAATTTGCACTTTCTCCCAGATCTTCAAAATCGTCTCATCTCCCGGTCGTCACATGCATGCAACGACGCCCAGACTAATAAAAGTGCGATTTCTCGGTGAGGTGACCTTGCATGTTCCATCTATCCGAGATTAGATGCTACTTCATATCTTCATACAGATTAGCATGATCAAGCCATCTCATGCATCACCACCGTTGGCATCCTAGTTCATGCAACCATACTTTTTTCACGTGGAGTCCCCGCACACTACCTGTAAACGATAGAGATAGGGCAGAATCATTGTGATTGCTACATCTGTTATCTTCGAGCCCTACCTATGCAAGCTTTGGATTTCGTGCGCCAAACGTGATTCTGCAAGCATTCTATGCACGTTAGGCCCATGACAATGTCTGGTGGATGCAAGATATGCTACAGTCGCGTGCTACATCGTCTTCAAGATGATGAGAGTAGCGAAATGGAAGGATTCTTGACCTAATTGGAAATTCTGAGCTTTCGTACAAGTGGTATGTATGCGCATTGCACTTCGCATCAGCTGACCATGTGACCGACGGTCAAGTGTGAAAGACGCGTTGAAGTGGAAGATCGACAACACTTCAACAGGACCAGAACAAGCTTGACAGAAACGAAGCCAGACCGCAATGAATACATGCGATTCTTCGCCATGAAGCTATTCGGGTCTTGAAAGCAACGGCATGTTGTTTCCAAGGTCGAGGTGAGCCTTTGCAGATACTCTGCAGATGGCCGGGATGTGCACACGCTTTCTGTCGTGACGATCTCACAGCATTCTCCCCGCAATGCAGCCTCGCTCAGGCACTCGGTTTCACAACATTCATCACTCTTAGCGGAACTCATAGCCGAGACAACGGAGATCCGATCTAAGACAAATTTCGGCAGGCAATTCTCAGTCCCCATGTGCGTCAGGTCCCAGTGGGTCTGCAAGCAACCAGAAAGGAGGCATCCCCAGAGCGATCACGATGGAGAAGTGATGGCTCGGTCAAGCGACCTCGCGCACTTGGACAATTCCAGTCAAACCTCCGAGCTCGATCCTACAAGACTCGAGACCAAATGAGGACGCTGTTTCCCGTCCAAGGTCGCATGGCACATGCCCCGGTCGCATGGTTCTTGAATGTTACATTTGATCATCGCGCGGGTGATGCGTTCCTGCAGCTCGTGCCGACCAGGTCGCCCTCTCTGCGATCTCATTCGTCAAGATTGCAGCCGAAACGAACAACCTTCAATGATTCAGATGCAGCGTTATCTATCGATCTATCGTGATCAATTTCCCACCGTGACCGAGTTACATTGGAGGATCAATTAGTCTTCGTGAAGACTGGCTGATCAAGGGCCTTAGCGGCCGACCAGAAGAAGAACGAGAACGGAAAATGCAACGTTCGCGACTGGGATGCTAGGTGAAGGCTTGACGTTTCAGAGTTCATTCACCTTTCCCAAAATGACCCCTGAGAGCGACTTAGCGTCGTTGGCAGTGGGCAGTCGCCAGTTGGTGATTCAAAGGCAACAACTCTCCAGCGCCGGCGTTAGTCATGGCTTGACGCTGCACGTCCATAGTGTTCAACTGGTATGTGGCGTCGCGTTTCACAAGCCTGAAGCGTTTAAGTATTCATTCCTTACTGTGCAAATCCCACCAGTTATGGGGTCATATTGCACTGCTTTTTTGGGTCAATTTATTGCTTCGCAGTCACCAGGGATGTGACCCTTCCTGACTCGACCACCGTTGAGACGGTCGTGGTGGTCGCATTGACCATGTGCAGACAATGAGCCCTCCGATCTTCACGGCGGTTACCGAAACGAGCAAACTGACAGGGAAGTGTGAGCGAGTCGCATCTAGGTTGCTGTACTCAACTGATTGAGCTCATTTCGCAAAAGCGACCTTGAAGAGAGGGTGTCCTTCCAAGGCCGTCATGTTACTTGCTTCAGCCGATCCCTTCGTGCGGCTAGTGTGGCATTCTCGAGAGAACGAGGCTTCTTCAAAGGACGGCTTCAAAGAGGTACAAATAGTATGGACCTGCATCCTGGCTTCCTTTGATTTTTTTTCTTCATCACCAGAGTCGCCGGACCGACCAGACATTCCCTCGAAGAAATACTCATCACTCCTTTACTATGCGCTTCTTTCTTCCCCTCGTCCTCGGCCTTGCATGGCTGGTGGAAGGTGCAGTCATTCCTTCTCATCATATCAATGGCACCGAGCTTGAGGCTCGTGCTTCCGCTGGATATCGCTCTGTTGCATACTTTGTCAACTGGGTTAGTTCTATAAATCCATCATTCCCTGGATGGATAGGCTGTTTTTCGAAGACAAATCGCTGACAATTTCACTGGAAGGCTATCTATGGCCGAAACTTCAACCCCCAGGACCTTCCTGCTGAGAGACTGACCCACGTTCTCTACGCTTTTGCCAATGTCCACCCAGACACTGGAGAGGTCTACCTTTCCGACTCTTGGGCGGACACTGACAAGCACTACCCTGGAGATTCGTGGAGCGAGACCGGAAACAATGTCTATGGCTGTGTCAAGCAGCTGTTCCTTCTCAAGCAGAGAAACCGCAAGCTGAAAGTCCTACTATCCATTGGTGGCTGGACATACTCGAGCAACTTTGCCGCACCTTTGAGCACCGCCTCTGGAAGGGCCACTTTTGCCTCGTCCGCAACAGACTTGGTGAAGAACCTTGGTTTTGATGGAGTGGATATTGATTGGGAGGTATGTCATTATTTTACACCAAGCGACAGATGCTTGAGCAGTCTGAGTATGGGCTAACCGGAACAGTACCCTGCCAACAGCGCCCAAGCAGACAACATGGTCTCTACCTTGCAGCAACTCCGCTCGGTAAGACAGCCTCGAAGCGAGGAGTGCATATAGGTCCTGCTTGGCTAATGATATCTCTAGTCTTTGGATACCTACAGTGCGGCGAATGCGAACAATTATCACTTCGAAATCACCGTCGCTTGCCCTGCAGGTGAGTTATTTCATTGCCCTCTAAGATGCTAGTATCAGTGATCATCAATCTCACTGACATGCGGAAAAAGGTCCGTCAAACTACCAGCAGTTGCATATGGCTCAGATGGACAAGTATTTGGACTTTTGGAACTTGATGGCCTATGATTACTCCGGAAGCTGGGACACTATCGCAGGCCACGATGCCAATACTTTCGCCTCGACGAGCAACCCCGCGAGTACACCCTTCAACACCGACCAGGCAATCAGCTACTACACGGCCAACGGTGTTGCTGCGAATAAGATTGTCATGGGAATGCCCCTTTACGGCCGCTCATTCATGAGCACCGATGGGCCCGGTAAACCTTTCAGTGGCGTGGGAAGTGGCAGCTGGGAGAATGGTGTTTGGGACTACAAGGCCTTGCCCTTGACCGGCGCATCTGTCAATTTCCTGAGTCAAGAAATAGCGAGCTATAGCTATGACTCCGCCCAACGCATGATGGTCAGCTATGACACTCCCCAGGTTGCCCAGCTCAAGGCACAGTATATTCAGTCCAAGGGACTTGGCGGAGGCATGTGGTGGGAGAGCAGCAGCGACAAGACTGGCTCTGACAGTCTGATCACCACTGTACGTTCACAGGCCCTCATTTCAGCATCGAAGTGTCCATATCAAACTTTCGGCGTACTAATCACAGTCTCTCTAGGTTGTGAACCAATTCGGCGGCGTCGGTGCTCTAGACCAAAGCCCGAATCAGCTGAGTTACCCAGTCTCCAGCTATGACAACTTGAAGGCTGGCTTTCCATCAAGCTGAGAACGCTTGATTCTCCTCGCTCGGGGAAATGGAATCTCTTCCAAGGCCATCTGGAACGGATTGGAAGATTATGAAGTCATTTCACTGTCGTTACCTATTCCATCATGGCCGTCTTTTTTCCACCGTCATTCCCTATCCTCTCGGCACTTGCCACTTCACAGTCACTTATTTTTCTGCTTGTCATTTGACCCCCTTCCCTATCATTTACTCTTTTCACTGTCACAGACAGTAGTACATACGGTCATTCACTCTTATGCTGTCATTATCTTTTTCGAACATGTCATCCGCGGCACTGCGAGCCAGCTCGCTAGGTGTGCAGCTTAGTCTATCGTTAACTGCCTTGTTACTCCAATCTGTGCCCTTTGATTCAGACATTGTCATTCTTTCAGATCACGGCTACTTGTCCTTCTTAGCGAGGCCTTGATAAGGGTTATGCTTATAACAAGTGCAGTATATGAATGCCAGATCCACATGGAAAATAATTTTTATGGTAGAATAGAATGCTTGACGAAAGCTCACCAAAAGTGGTCTAATCTATTCTACAAAACGCCAGGAAATGCCCAATCTTTGTACAACAGTCCTCAAACAGGGACCTCAAGTCAACATATCATCAAGTCGCTCACCAAGCACACTCTCGATCTGCTTCACCCACTTGCGCACTTCGCGTTCGACACTCTCATCCTCATCCTCCATTAGCTCACTGATGTACGGCAGCATCTCGGGGAGAAGAGCCAGCCATTCTTCACCAAGCTGCTCGGTGAGAGCTTGCTCGGCCTTCAAGGCAGCAAGGCGCGTGAAGGCATTGTCGCCGCCGGAGGACTTGAGCGTTGTTGCGGAGGGACGGAGATATCTCATCAGAGCCATGTTGAGCTCCTTGTAGTTATCCGTCGAGTCGGCGGCCACGGCCAGTTCCGTAATGGTGGGCACAACCTCTTCGGCAACGAGAGCTGCGGTCTTGGACGTGGTAGCGTGCGTCAGTTGGGAAATGAGAGGCCCAGAGATACTGGCCAGGTGCGACGGTGATTGCCAGAATTCTGTTTGATTGTTAGAAAGACGTTCATAATCATCACGATCATCGTTCTACTAAAAGGCAAAGGGAATCTTACCATCTTGATCATGCTCGAAAGAATTGCGTAAAGTGCGCAGAACAGCCAGCCAAAGGGCCTTCGTGGCCTTGGCAGGCCCGACCTTGCCAAGAACTTCGACAATGTTCTCCAGAACGTAATTTGAGTAGCCAGTGACAATGGATTGCAATGTACCAAAGAACACCTGGAGGAAATTGTAGAAGGTGGTAAGACGGGAGATTTGGCCCTGCTCATTAGTCTTAGAGACGCCGGACGTTGCCCATTCAACAAGCTTTATGAACAATGGGCGGAACGTGCTATCATTCAGCTTGTAGATCATCTTGATAGTAACGTCGTTGAGAGATGACTCTGCCTCCTCAAGATCAGAGGCGTCGAAATCAGACGCGTCACCGAGACTGATCTGTTCGCGACGCAGATCGAAAGCGTCAAAGAGAATCTTAGAAAGAAGACCCACGTTCTTAGACACTGATGACTTGGGGTTCTTCTCGATCGCAAGCGCAAGTACTTCAAGAGTCTCAGTCACTGCGATAGGACCGGTCTCGACAGCATGATGCCAGTTACGGGCGATCGCGCCAAGGCTGGTTGCAAGATCCATTTTTCGTGATGCGATAAGCCGTAAAGTCTCCATGCGCGAGGCGTCCGAGGCATCCTCGAGGTCCGCCTCGGTAGACTTGAACGCAAGTCCAAGCATCTGGTCAAGATGAGATGGCGACAGCATGAATGGAATATTGACGAGCAATGCAGAGAACAAGGAGAACACGGCATCATGTAGACGAGAATTCTCCTTGTTGGGGGTCAAGCTCAACTCCAGGAGCTCCAAAGAACGCTTCATTGCGTCGGGAAGGGCTGGGATCATGGCTTCGCCAAGCACCTCCGCCATTGAAGCAAGACACAAGACACCCATGATGCGAATGCGCTCGTCATCTTGGCCGATGCACGATGAGCTTGCAACAACCTGAGCTGCAGCAATGACCTTGGAGGGGTCTTTGCGGCCATATTTCTCAGTGATACGATCGATACATGCGACAGCTGCGTGTTTAAGCAGCTTATCAGGCGAGGACTTCACGATGGTGACGAGAGTGGGTAAGAAGTCCAGCACACGGATCTGTGATTCATTGTCTCGCTCAGGGTTTTGTCGAAGGCGGTTTTCGAGCAATCGAAGCACCTTGCGCCGAAGGTCATCATTGGGTCCTTGCAGAAGAACTTCAATCGTGTCCAAGAAGTCGACAAGTGACAATGTACCGAACAGTGATCCCAGCACTTCACCACAAGCATGGCTGACAGGCTTCATACTTTGCACGTGCTCGCCGAGTCCAAGAACTTGCTCCAGAACACGAGAGAAGCAAGCTCGAACTTGATCGGCTACTTCGTTCTCCGTCTCGAATGCGGCCTCCAGCTTCGCCTTCAGAGTAGAGTGCTTCAGCAAGTGAGAAAGGTCTCGGAGCAAATCAACAGCGACTTGCTGGGGCTCACGGCCATCATCACTTCCAATCCCGAGAAGAACCTTCGAAATCCCAGGCTTTGCCTTGAGCGCATCGATGACCAGGTTGAGATACTTGCTGTATGTAGTTAACTCGACAACAGGTGATGTGTCTGAAGCTACGGCGGTCATCAAAGTAAGAACGTCCTTGTCTGTAGCATAGCGATTGGCTAGCATTGCCAATACAGCGAACAGAAAGTCTTGTGTACCAAGCTTCGTAATCAGTGCATGGAACAGGCGCAATCGGCGGTGGGAGGGAATGTGCTCAAAGGCAGCTGTGAAGCTGAGCAGAAGCTCGGAGGTACCCGAGACGATGTCGCGCTTCTGGTTGCGGAGAGATTGAATAAGAGCTGGAACCACTTGGTCAATTGTCTGGTCAATGACAGCGACAGAGTAATCGTCATCCTTCCGCAGAACGCTTGAGCCCATGAACGTGAAGATTGGCATCACACTATGGAGGACGAGCTCGGGAGCAATGACTGAAAGGCCAGCCACCAAGAGAAGCGCTGCATTCTGGACTTGCGGGCTGTCGGTAGTTCGAACGCAATCAACAACCAGGTCTGCTCGAATAGCAGAAGTGTCAAACAGCGGTTTCGCAGATGCTTTGGAATTATTCACAATAGCCAAGAGACTACCGAGCGTCAGACTCAGAAGGTAGCTCATGCCAGACTGGATCTGCGTCTTGAAATGATGGAGGGCGGCTAGGGTTTGGAACAGGCCATCAGCCAACTCGGGGTGGGAGCCCGGGTTTGAGTTGTCGATCACTTCAAGAATGAAAGTCATCTTGTCCATGAGTTTGCTGAGCTCGGCCTCATCCTTCACGCTCATGGCAACCATGTTCGTCTGGCTAGTCCTCCTTCTCTTGGGCGCGGGACCCATGCTCTCAATGTCAGTCAAGGAGACTGGGATCTTGCGGATGAAGCTGACGAGGATCGCTCCAGACAGGTCGACACTGCGCAGCACATCACGGGAATAGTCTGACAGAGCAGACTCATCGGCGGTCACACCGAGTGAGATATCCAACAGCTTCTGGGAGGCAACAAACTGGACCTGCTCGGCTGTCTTAGACCAAATTGCCTTGATCCTTTCAAAGACAGCAATGACAAAGGATGTTCTCGTGGAGGTCGAGGGTCGAGTCACATAAGAGAGGAGCATGCCAAACGGATCATCATCTCGAGGAGTAATAATCGCAATCACTTCCTGCTCGCAGCCGGCAGTAGATAGACGCTCCTTCTGACAAAGCTGATCAACTTCGGACTGGCTGAGACCTCGCCAGTACTCGAGTAGCGGAGAAAGTTCTTTAGCATGGCTAGTTCCGGGAGCTTTTGTGATTTTGTTGAGGATGCTCAAAAGAGTGAACTTGGGCGCGAGAATTGGCATGTTGACAACATGCGAACAAAGGGATGTGAAAAGGCTGGTGCGCAATGACTTCTTCAGCTCGTGAGCTCCAGAGTTCTCCGAAAGCACAACTCCGCGAATAGTAGCATCGATCACCTTGACTATATAGGTAGAGTCAAGAGTATATTCCTCGAGGAATGGGAGAATGGCATATTCAAGCACATGTTGTACATCTGACGGAGCAAGCCATTGTACGGCAACGGGCACCTTGGAATTGCCGTAGATGTTGGATGAGCCCCAAGGGCGGACCGCGTCAAGCTTGTGGTTCGTCTTGTAGAAGGAGCACATACGAGCCAGCACACCAGCACTTTCGCGGCGAATGCGCTCTGATGAATCTGCCAGACCAACAATCAGTGTTGGAAGCAGCGCCTGGGGGTCGAAATCTGTCGCCGCGGATTCAATGACGGACGAGAGAACGCTAAGCGCTGCCACCTTTGTACCAATCGGGTACGGACCAGAAAAGACTCGAACAAAGAAAGACATGAACTGGGACTCCTTTGTAGCGCTCTTTTTGCCCAGCATGGGTAGATCCGTGAACTGTTCGATCTTGACATCCGAGTCGACTGCGAGTGCGAAGACTTGGACGAGGTTATCAAACTCAGGAATAGAAGACTTGCCGAGGAACGAGGCTGGGAACAAAGGCTCGTTCTTGAGCGACTCCAAGGCCGGTGCAAATTTCTCCAAGGTCCCCTCCACGTCTTCCATGTCCACATCCTTAATACCAGCCAGCTGCGTGGGGGTATCAACGACTGTCTGCAGATTATGCTCAAGCGCAGGAACATCCAAGGACGGCTCCGCAAGCACTTTCTTGAACTCCAACTGCAACGGTGGGGATTGACTGAAACCTTGAACAATTTCTGCGAGGCGACTTTGAATTTCAAGAGACATCCCCCGGGTCTCGTCGGAATCACTGGCAGCTTTGAGCACAACAGCCATGGCCGCTCTCAGATCTTCGCCTTGAAGCATATTATTTCCAATGATTGAAGACAGGAGAGAAAGTCGGGACACATCTTTTTGTTTATGAAGGTTGTGTACACATCCTGCAACAAGGGCTAGGAGCAGCTTCGAGGTCGGGTACAGAGCCGAGATCTCAGACAACTGCTTCATTGGCAGCTCGAGGCGCGAGACGGCCTTGAAGACTTTGCGTGGCAAGATCGGAAAGCTCTTCTGGCTTGCGAGAATTGATAGACAGATCATACCAGAGCTCAGTGTTTCCTCGGACCAAGAGCTTACAACACTCTCCATGAGGCCATCAAGCACCGAGTCCGTCAATGAAGCTTTTTGGGCTAGCACAACTGAGATCATGTAGCAGCTTACAATCAGTTCAGAGACTGGCTTGAGCGAAAACGCGCGGCTCAGAAGAGGGAGAACACGGATCAGGATGTCTTCATGCTTTTGCTTCTCGGCTTCCCTTCGACCTGAACGAGCGCTATCAAGCATGCCTGCTACTGCCTCAGTCACAACACTAGCCCAAAAAGACAGCAATGCATGACTCTGCGCATTTTGCTGGCAAGCCTTCAGGACATACTCGTTCAGTGCAGCGAAAAAGGCCTTGTTTGTGGTGGCGCTGTGAACAAGTGGATGGCGTGGCGGATTGATGAGGCCAGTCTTGTAAGGGTAGAGTACTTTGAATGTCGGCGTCAGGTCGTTTGGTAGGATGGAAAGGAGATTCAGGAACAGGGGGGTAGTGTGATAAGGAAGGAACGTAAGTAGGATGCAGGCCGTATTGTATTCGTGAACACTTGTGAACACGGTTAGCACAGATCGGAGTCTCTCGTGTGGTACGAATCTATATCAACATACCGGAAACGTCTGACAAGCCAGTCGACAGCTTTGACGGCGGGACTCAACTGCAGCCGTCCACCAACCAGGGCCAAGAAAGATTCAATAACAGCATCTAATTCTTGGTTCTGGGAGGCGTTGAGCTCTGTACGGTCCTCTGCCTTGCTTTGCTCACTGAAAATCGACCGCTCAAACTCCTCAAAGCGGGAGTCGAGCGAACAAAGCTCTAAGAATCCATCATGACAAATATCATATATCGTGTCAAAATCTTGCGTAGAAGCGACTTTGCGATCAAAGATCAGCGACTGCGAATGCGAGATGCGCTGCTTTTTGAGATCGAGCTGGTGGGTCGATTTGGCCGCAATTTGCGACAATTGAGCCGCGAGGGAGGATGCCATGATTGTGGGAGAAGCTCAGATTATATCAAATTTAATGCGAATCACCATGAGCCATTTCTCTCCCTCCTGAATGCTGTTTGCTGCCTCTCAAATGAAGCGCGTAAGTTTCGAGACTGGTGTTAGACAATCAACTTTTTTTTCTGTCGGCGACTTGATCCACCGCCTGCTCATCCCGGAATAAATCCAATATCCGCTGGGCCCCACTCTTCATCTTTACCGCCTTCGACCTCTGTAATTCAGGTTTGCCTCGAGTCTCAATCCACCGCTCTGGACTCTCGGACCGTTCACCACCGGATCATCCTTAGTCCGCATCACTCACCTTCGGATTATCCTTTCTCAATCTCTTTCGGACCACCCTACCTTCGGATCATCATTACTCCGAAAACCTCTCACCGCCGGATAATCCTTACTCCGCTACAACCGATCTACACAGGTAGTCATTCGACAGGTGGATAGCTTTTGATAATGGACTCGTCAGAGTCAAAGGAGGTAAGTCAGGCTTGAGATTGAGGAATGTATCAGGAGTCGACACTGATCAAGATACAGGACAAAAATGCTGTCCCGAAGTTCAGTAGCTTCAAGCTTTCTCCGGATGCCTCGAAAGCTGATCGAGAAACTGAAACCTCAGGTGTCCGCAGCTCGAGACAACATTCCCAACGCCATCACTCCCGTCCTCCTCATGGAAGCCGAGGATACAGAAATCGTCGGGCTTCCCAAGGTAGATCTCGCTCTCGTTCTCGCAAGGGTCATGGCAATCGTTCCCGATCCCCTCATGAAATTCATGAAAGGCGGGAATACAGTCATCGTCGTGCCTCTCATGAAAGATCTCGCTCCCGGTCTTTCAAGGATCATGGCTCTCACACTCGGTCTCCTCATGAAACTCGGGAACACGACAAGCGTCGTGACTCTCGTGGGAGATCTCGCTCCCGTTCCTTTCAGGGCTATCGCCATCATTCGGCTCACAGGGACGATGAAGCTAGATATGAGCTTGGTGCGAATCCGACGCACAGCACGGCTAGCAGAACTGTCGGCGACGAAAGACTGAAAACATCTGACACTCCAAAGCATGGGATTGACCACAGTGAAAAGTCAGATACATTCTCCAGTAGGGACTTCCTACTTGAGACCAAGGGAGATCGCTCGGTTCTCAAGTATGGCACTGCGCATCGTTTTGACACCCCTACGTACACACGCTTTGGCTCTGGTCAAGTCTTGGGTTTGCCCGCGCAGATGACCATTGAACGGGACATATCGGATAAAGACATTGTTATTGTCCGCGACAAAAATCGAAATCAGGAAGACAGCAGGAATTCATTGTCTTTGTCGCAACGCTCCCAGCAACCTTCGAGCCTTTTCAGATTTCTTGACGATCCCGCCTTCGCTTCAGATGAGGGCCTAATGGGCGATTACATTGCTTTCAGCCCCCAGGGGACGAAGGAGTATGAACTTAATGCAGAACTGAAAGCCGCCAAGGGTGGAGGCTCATATGATTCTGACGATGAGCGCCACGCCTATCGCTCTATTCTTGGCAAGGCCAAAGATGATGTGAGAGCTCCTGAGGGTATGGAGTTTGCTATCAGCCAGGAAAGCCAAGTGGAAAGCCTCCAAGTTGCTGCTGAATCAAGAAATCGGTCTCAGCAAGCAGAGTTGAGGCGCCAGCTCAGTTCCCACCCAGCAGACGTTGCGGCATGGCTCAGACTTGTCAAGCTGCAGACGCTGATCCATGGCACTGCAGATGACTCGCGTTCACCGACCGCCTCAGAAGAGAGGGCTGTCGCCGATGTCAAGCTAGGCCTGCTTGAGGACGCGCTGAAAAAGTGTGGCACCACCGCGGGTACAGATCTTCTGAGAATGGAACTCCTGAAAGAAGGTAGCAAGCTATGGGATCGCCAGAGGCTTCTGAATGCATGGACAGTCGCGTTGCGAAGACATCCCGAGTCGCATCTTCTGGTACTAAACTATCTGAACACCCGTCAGCACGACTTCCACGAGTTCTCTGTGGATAACTACAAGTCATTGATCTTCAGCCATATGGAACAAGGCGCTGCAAATCCGAATTCTCCACGCCGAGATGAACTCCAATGCTACCTTCTTTTGCGGCTGTCTCTTGTGCTTAAAGAAGCTGACTATACGGAGCTTGCCGTCGGACTGTGGCAAGCAACACTGGAGTTTGCCCTTTTTACTCCTCGTTCAATCGATGGGGTGGTGCAAGATACACCTCTGGAGGCTTTTCTTCATTTTTGGGATTCCGAGGTTGCGCGTCTTGGAGAATCCAAGGAATCCGGCTGGCAAACAGGAAGACCGGTTCAAGTCGAGCGAGTTCGTGCTGATGTTCAGGCTGACACGTCATCTTCGCAACTTTTTCATTCCTGGTCTCAAAAGGAGCAAAGTCTTGCGCGAGCTTTCACGTTGCCCGCAAGAAGTACAGAGGACTACGGGGCTGACGTTGACACGACTTTCTCGGTTGTGCTTTCATCCGACATCAGTCAAGTCTTGCCATTCTTCTCTCTCCTGAGAGAGCCTAAGCTGCTTGTGGATGCTTTTCTGTACTTTTGCGGCCTGCCACATCTCACGGTCCCGGGCAATTATCACACGACGCGTTCATGGAGTGGCGATGGTTTCTTACAAAATGGCCCTAGAAACCCAATGCAGGCCGTGGTTCATGACTGGGCGGTGGACTTGACTGACAGTATGAATCAGAATCGCTTACCGTTGTCGTTCCCACACGTCAACTTCTTACATAATGCCGATACCCTTCTTTCTCCTCGGAACTGGTTCTCCTCCATGCGACCTTGGGTAAACGCCGAGGACGGCACATCCATTCCTAAAAAGAGCTGGGTACGGCAAACGTTGCGGCAATTGGTCGAGCGATTCGATAAAGACACTGAATTGGCCGAATATACGCTCGCCGTTGAGTTCCTTTGCAGCCGGGAAACAGCCAGAAATTATGCTAAGCGTCTTCTGCGAGCTCGTCCCTCGAATCTACGACTTTACAATATGTTTGCTCTAATGCAATGGCGGTCGGGCTCTGCTGACCGCGCAGTCCTGACCTGGTCATCGGCTATCAAGGAACGCAGGTCTTTCGCGAACACGGAGGAGTATGATGACAGTGTGCTATTGTGGAACACGTGGGCCTCGGAGTTGCTTTATGAGGGTGATCAAGCCAGGTCCCTGCATCTGCTCTATGCCATGGCGCAAGATGAGCTTGAGATGGCAGCGTATCACGCAGTTTCTGCACTGCCTGAGTACAATGCAATGGTGCAGCTCAGACTAGAGAGAGTAAGTTAATGACCCCTCGACCTTTCCCCACAGTTTCCGCTTCTTCAGGGGCTAATTAGAACGTTTAGTTCTGCCTTCAACTCTGCGAACGCGCTTTGGCTCAAGGTCGAGCAAGGGTGTTCGTGGCTTGTGCCGACTCTCTTGCCCTTTCCCGGTACATCTCGAAAAGGTCTCTCGAGTCTGCTCTTGAGGCCTACTATTCGGCTATCACGCAGGCTAGCAATGCTCGATTGGATCCATTGAATTTCAAGGCTTTCGCTCTCGAGCTGCTGCACCAGTCGCTAGTCAAGCTTATGTTCTTCCATATGAATCAGAAGGGGTGTCACGTCAATGTGCATCTTGCTCAATCGGTCTTCAAGGAGATTGTCACAACGTTTCCCCATAACACGATGTTTTTGTCATTGTTTCTGTGGAACGAGTCACGCCTTCCGATTACGCATCGAGTCGCCGACCCAATGGGTTTCGTGAAGGCTGGCGCCGAGGATCGCTACATCAAGCAAGCTCTGTCCGATTCACCACCCGCCGTTCCCTTGAGAACAGATGTGACGCTTGACTTGCTCTCTGTTCATACAGCTCTCTGGCGTTTCTCATCTCTGGGTGGCTCAATCCATGCAGTACGAGCGGCGTTCGAAAAGTCCTTACATGATCAGGCGGGTTCGCCGTATCATCGTCATGGTACGTTGGATAACCAGCCGCCCGACGTGGCGGGCGCACATTCCAGCATCGCCATGTGGAGGCTCTACCTTCTCTTCGAGCTTGATGGGGCCAAGGACAAGAAGGCCGCCAAGAACGTCCTCTACCGGGCTATTCGCGCCTGTCCCTGGTCGAAAGAGCTAGTGATGCTTGGCATCGAGCGTCTCGGAAACACTTCTGCAATGGACTCGGTTGGCCTGTCATTCGACGAAATGCGTGAGCTTTATAACCTCCTGGCTGAAAAGCAATTGCGCATCAGAACGGACTTGACCGAAAGACTGGCACAATGGGATGAGCAGGCGGCAAAAATCAAGAGGGAGGCTAATGCATGGTTTGATGCGCTGCTGGAGGAGTTGAACGGGTTCGAAACAGGGACGAATTAGCCTGCGGGGGGGGGGGGGGGGGCATTTTGCATCTTTCGCAATCTTTGATCACACATGATTCCCTGGCCTCCTTCTTCTCTTCTCAATCAAGGATAAATCGGGTGGATCTGACATTGGGATGAATGAGCCCACGAGAGCGATTGCATTATTTCACATTTGATAATAGCACACGATACCCCTCTTCATTAGTTAGTCATGCAATCCATCCATTGGTCTCGATACTGCATTATATTTATTTCTCTCCAGTGCACAAGATACATAAATCCATATCATTCGATTCGCCATCTATGTTACAGACAATCCTGACGGTTCACCATTAACCAGCCTTGCAGACTGAGGAAAGTACCTAGCCGCAGCCAAGTCACTGGCGTCCAGGTTCAAACCCACATCAAAACAGGACATAAAGATAGTGCAAAAGAAAAGAGCAAATCATCACTCATCAAATCATTCAAGATGCCGTCAACATCCTACCCGGACGGGGCAAAAACAAAAGCTCGCATGGGGCAGACACGGGGAATCAATTAAGAGAGAAAAGAAAACAAAAACAGGCACAGTTATCAAGGTGAATCGAAGTCGAAAATCTAAAAATGCTCTTTCCAAAACTTGAAACGTACCGCCTTACTCGAAGCGTTCTTCGCCGCCTCGTTAATCTGACGAGCTGCTGCATTGGGTCCACAGAAGTAAACACCAACCTCGGTGGTGGAGGCAGTTTGCAGGCCTTGGATATAGCTTTCGTCGAGCAGACCGTTGCGCATGGCGGTGAAGAGACGTTTAAAATCGGGACGGCCGAAGTTGGTCTGGGATTTCAGTTCGGTGAGGGGATCGAGGGCTTGGCCCACGGAGTTGAGGTAGATGTTTGCTGCGGTGTCGTTGTCGAGGCGTTGGGTGAGATAGGTGTGGATACGGAGGAATTCCGTGCTGCCTTCGTAGGCGGCGGCGTTGGCGGACTGGGACTCGAGAGAGGAGAGGAGGGCTTGGAACCATTCGAATGAAGACGTGTCCTTGCAGATCCAGATGAACTCGACACGGCGGAGACGACGAGGCGGGTTGGGACTGGAGCGGAGATGCCAGATGTTTTTCAAGATGGACGCCCAGGGCGTGACGCCGATGCCTGTGCCTATGAGCACGGCGATTTCATTCTCGAAAACATCCTCTGCCGGAGCTCCGTAGGGTCCGTCGATCCGGATCTTGGGCATCATCTGTCCGTTTTGAAGAGCCACCTCGTACATGCCGAGTGGATCGAGACCCTCCAGGTCTTTTGCCTGCGCCGGACCACAACCCAGGGCATCTCCGAGGGCGCGAGTGAAATCACCCACCTGTCGGACATGGATACTGATGTAGGGGTCGAAGGGGCAAGAGGTGATGGTGAATGGGTGCCACTGGTGACTGGAGACATCCGGGACTTGGATAAAGAGCCACTGTCCGGGCTTGTACTTCATGCTGGGCTTGCGGAATTGAATCTCCATAGCATCTGCGGCAAATGGGTTAGCGCTTCAGGGCTTTTCCATCGTTGCAAAGTTGGGCTTCTGCAAGATCCTACCGTAAGGATGACGAATCACCTTGGTGATCTCGGTCTCTCGTCTCGATCGAATCTCTCGGTAGAGCCGCTCAAACATGTACATGCTAGCCGCTACGAGCTCCCATCGCCAGCCCTCGTAGCCGAAGCAATGACCCCAGAACGGGTTTCCCGCGAACGGGGAGATGGGCTGAGGCGTATTGCGGACAAAGCATCCCGTGGCGTGGGTGTAGAGAGCCAACAAGAAGGGGACAAACAAATGATGAGTATACCAAAAAGTTTCGAAGGCTTGCTGGCGAATTCGATGGTGAGAGGTGGTGTACATTAGCATCATGCACAACAGCATGACATGGCCGGTGATACCGGCAGCTTCTTTATAATGCATTTCGACGGCTAGGGCGGGGCGAATGTGCTGTTTTTCAATGTTGTAAAAGCTATTGAAAGGAACGAGTCAATTGAACAGAGTTGCAGCGGAAAAAAGGGGGAGAAAGAGAAAAAAAACCCGAGGGCAAGTCATACTTCACATAATGCGCACCTGTGTGAAGGACGACAAAAACCAGAATGGCGTAGGCCACCTGTCTGTGAAACCAGGCCGACTCATCTAGCGGTAGCCATCTGATCTGGGGGCGCAGCCATCGAAGAACATTGCGACACATGGGCAATATGATCAGGGTCGCATCTATCGTCAAAATGAGGGCGGCACCTCGCGAGATATAGACGGAATACTGGAGCACATTCAGAGCGGCTAATTGGACGTTGATGACCTGCCAATACCTGTGAGAGAGACCGGTTCAGCATGGTGTTGCAAAACCCCACCCCCGAGTCCACTTATCACAAGAACTCGCCTGCTCGTTAACATACCATCCACCTGCAAATACTGCAAAATGACCGCCCCAGAAAATCACATAGAAGAGGAGTTTGCCCGAAGATAGCTCCGCTCTCTCGAGCCAGGACTTTTTCGCTGCGGCTGCCATGGCGACCTTGTGAAGAAGGTCGGTGGAGCAATGTCGGCTGGCGAAAAGCCTTCCGACAGCGCTCTTCCAAGCGGAAGATCAACTCTGTGGGGAGATTGCGAACCTTGGTCTCGGGTGTTTGGGATCTGGAGGGTGGAATGGAGTGTGGAGGGATTGCACGGTTTCTGCGCTCAGAGACAATAGTCGGCGCACACCGTTCGGAAAGGACTGTCGGATGCGCAAGGAAGTAGATCGATGGTTCGTATACCGGTCCCCTCCATGAACGTCAATTGCTCGCCTCAATCGCTCTCTGATGGATCTGAAATGATCCAATGGAGCAAGCCTGGGACCAGAGGCGGCCTCCCTGCCGTCAAGCGTAAAGCGACCGGGGGTTGATGGGTGAGCGAGGTGGTTTGTAGCAGTGTAGTCTGATGTTGAAGGGCGAGACGGGAGACCATCCTTCAACCAACTGTGCCCGCCTCGTGTCTCTGCGTGTTCAGCAGATGCCGCTGGTTGTTGCGGAGTCGATGTCTATTCAAAATACACCAATCCACCGAGTCTGGTCTCCAACCGATTTGGCAAGGACGTGTGGCAAGGATGTGTTGAGGTGGAAGTATACCCTGGTATGACATCGATTAGGGTACACAGACAAGTGGTGACTGCACACCAAGTGGACCACTGCAGCAGTGCAGAGAGGATTGATTTTTCTTTTCCCTCTCACCGCGGTGGACTGTAGTTTGCAGGGATGTCAGCATGAGGAAACGAGGAGGGGGCCGGGAGATGGCTTGGGTTGGATCTATAATTAATTCCTTTTCCCATCCGCGGGGGGGGGGCCAATCCGCCGGCCACACGCTGGCGCACTTCCAGCCGAGTGCTTTTTCCCACAGATGCCCCGAGATGGAGATGAGCTGAGTCGATTTCCAGTTCACGGGCCATGGTCGGGTGGGTTTTGAGATCATGTCCGAGGGCCTGCCGATTGGTGTCTGTGCTTCGATGTGCTTGGAGGCGTCAGGGACCGTCATTGCGCGCCATGGCCCTTTTCCAGATGTGATGGGTGCCCGGGCCTCGGATCGTGCAACGCAGCAACCGAGTATTGTAGTGGTATAGGCGTCGTGTTGGTACTACTGTACTACGAAGTAGTACAGTAGACCCGTCGTAGCCTAGCAGGAGTGAGACCGCAAAGACGACTATGACTGAGTTTAGTGTCTGGAGGAGAAACAGAAGGTGGTTCCAATCTCAGGACCTTTGAATTTCCTTTCGGGTTGGCCTGGAGAGGGAGGTCCCAGCGAAGTTCAACCTGAGGAGGAGTGAACTCGACAGCCAGTCAGCACCATCGGACTGCTCCGTTTCTCTTGACTCGAGTTATAGACATGACTACAATCCCTACATCCACCGAGCCCAAGGCACTGCCGCTCGAGCGCATTCTGTACTACCGTCGAAGGCTGCAGATCTAGATTGACCGATTGACCAGCAGCGAACGAGAAGAGACATCAGAGACCCAATCCATGGGTTGACTGTTGACCAGAGTACCACACCGGGCACAGGAGTAAACACCAAACACGTGGTGCAGGTTCCCGGAACTGTCTTGGATTCCCACATGGCTCCCCAGGTGGTAGGGCACTAGTGGTGCATCATCAACCGCGAGGCTGACTGTGCAGGATCAGGAATTGCCTATATGGGAAATGTCGACTCGAAGCTGGGGTCAGGAGAGAGGATGGGTGGAGAGGTGATAGTCGTGAAGAAGTAACGGAGTAGTCCGTAGTCCGTAGTCCGTACTACTCAGTCCTCATAGATTCCGTCCTCATAGAGTCACTCCTGTCTGAAGACCAGACAGTCACTGACCAGCCTATGAACTGCATCCTGTAAGCGCTGATCCCCCCGTCACACCGAATGAAGCCCCGATCCCGCGCGTCAAGAGCACGTCCCGACGACGCGATGACTTCGGAAGGTTGCCAGTCAGACCAGTCCATTCACACCGGGCGAACGCTCCTGTCACCGAGGCCAGCAGAGTAAGGTCCAGGAACTTCCGACGACGGGAAATCGGAAGTCGCAGAGGTCGAGGACGTTCCAGGAACATCGACCGCATCCGGAAAGCGCCTGCCCCGAGAGCGCCTGCCTCGACTGCATCTCCTCATCTCATCACGCGCGGGGGTCCTTTCCGGGCTGTTGATTGGCCCTGCTCCCCCGCATGAGCATCCACGCCGTCACATCTGGTCCGGCGCCAATCACATGGGGGAAATCCAGTCTTTTTCATCATCTTCGGTGTATCACGTCTCGCGTCCACAACTGGCCCCAAGGTCCAAAGTGTCCACCAGACGAGGAAAAGACCGGACGGTCACAGAGAGAGCAATGGAGTTGGGTGGAATCGGATATCCTACTACTACTACTACTACTACTACTACAATAATCATGCACAGGTTATTATCCCAGTCGATCGGATCATCCACCTTCTCCCACAGAAGACCAAATCACCACTCACCAATCACCACCACTCATGCATCCAGAGATGCACCGACCTCTCCATTCACTCGGCAGATGTGACACGATTGCCATCTTCTGTACTTTCCCAACCGTGGCGGGGCTTCGGCAACACTGCAAGTGATTCTAGGTATAGCTCCTCTTATACCCGCAACCCTTCCCCCCCCCGCCGCCCTGCACAAAAGGTGGAAAGGCTGGGAAGAAGCATCTGAGCCAGGAAACGTTCACTCGACTGGTTTTCCCAATCGAAAAGTCGATCCATGCGATCGTACTGCCTGGACTTGTTCTCGGGGCCGCTGCTCTCTTTCTGACCCCTCTGTCAAAACTTCTCCCGCAACTTCTCGCTTCTCTTCCACCAGACCAAGGAAGCAACTGTCCCCGTCATACTCGACCAGATGGGCCGACTCATCAAAAACCACTGGGCGCGGTTAATCATCCTCACCGCGGCGACTTGTACGTTTCCACCCACCGCTGCCAAGTCAACCGCCCCATCTCGAATGCAACTAACGCAGCAGTCCATTAAACCCCTCACAGATCAGGTCGTCAGCGCCGTCGAAGGCTTCATCTGGCCCAAGGTCTTCTGGGATTTCATCTCCAAAAATCTCGACGCCGCCGTGGCTCCTGTCCCCGTCCTGCAAACGCTCAATCTGCTCATGGGGCTGGTGGGAATTGCCTGGGAATGGCCCCTACGACTGCTGGCCGGCTCGCTGCTTCATCGCAGCATCGAGATTCGCTTGATGGTGTATCCGCTCAGTGCGCTTTTGGCCGTGCTGCTGTATCAGGGGACGGATCCGGCCCTCTATTATTTGATCGGCATTGGGGTGTATTTCTGGGCTTATAGTGAGGGAGAGGTATGTCCATTGTCCACCACACAGCGCATCATACCGTCGGAAGTACAAGATCTTGGAGATTTGGGTACTGATGACCAGCGTTACCTAGATTGTCTGTCCGGAGCCGTGGACGTTACCGAAACGATCCAGGGTGCTCAAAGCGTAGCCTGGACGAGCATGACCTATGACTATGCTAGACATGACCCCTCATGACCCATGACCATATATTGAACGAATAACGAAACAATCGATACCCTTGCTTTGCGTGTCTCATTCTCTGCCGGACTCATGGAACCTGTCGTACTCGAGTCGTAGTCCTAGGAATAGGGAGGTATACCACGCCAAGATAGACCTTCTATAAGATCAACCGCACTTGCCATCACAAAGCAAAGCAGCCCAAGCCTGGCTCGAAAACTAATCGAGTAAACGGACTAGCGGGGGCCTCAATGATTGCTGCACGTAAATCAGAGCCCCAATGGCTGTAAAGTGTGGAGGTCCCAATCAAATCGAATGCCGTCGCTTCACTACGCAGCCCGTATACCTATTATACTGTACCTGATAGTTGAAAGGTTACGCACCGAAGCTGTAGCCTGCCGCGGAACCACCGTGGACGTCCCGCTCAAGACGCAAAACCTCGCCATTTCTCAATGAGAGCGCCTCCCTTTCACTCTCATACGCGCGCCACTGTTGCAATCTGAATAAAGATTAAGTCTACAATACCAGCATGGTACATCCGCCTCCAGCCGAGATTATCGACGGCTGCAAGACTTTTATTCCTCTGGGTAGGCAGTAGATTAGTGACACGCTTTTTGACTCGATACCGACAGTATGACCATGGAGAGAAAAACCACAGCTAATCGCGTATTGTCGGAACGCAATTCAGAAAACAATCCCGATGTATTCGAGACTCTCTGCAATAATCTCAGAGTCGCACCGGGCCTCCAATTCATCGACATCGTCTCTTTATCCCCCGACGCCTTACGCCAGTACTCCACGACTCCCTGTCGCGCCTTGATCGTGCTAGCTGAAACAGCCATCTTCCGCCATGCTCGTCCAACAAATGGACTCCCAATACCCGAATACCAAGGCTCGGGTCCCGAGGAACCAGTCCTCTGGATGAAACAGACGATCAATCACGCATGCGGGTTGATGGCCCTCCTCCACGTGCTTTTCAATTTACACGATCGTCGATATGTTGTCCCTGGTACGCCACTCGAGGAGCTTCGCCAGCAAGCAGTCGCTCTGGCTCCGGACGCGAGAGCCCGTTTACTCTATGAGTCGGAGTTTCTCGAAAAGGCCCACATGGATGCAGCTTCGCGGGGGTCGTCGAGGGTCCCGTCGCCACGCGAGGATAATCAGCACCATTTCATGGCCTTTGTGCAGAAAGATAGCCGGGTCTGGGAGTTAAATGGTGGACTACCTGGACCCTTTTTACGAGGCACCGCCGAGATGGGAGAGGGTCTGTTGAGCGAAAAGGGATTGAAACTCACAGTCCAGGAGTTCTTGGCTGCTGCCGAACAGACTGGACATAGTGAGATGAGTATCGTTGCTGTCATCGAGGATGCTGATGCTGCTTAGTGCTGTCGAAGCTTTTGTATTTCAAGGCTTGACACCCCTAGTCGGTGCCATGTAACTGTAAACTGTGGGGGGTTTTGTCAAGGAAGCACGCTGCGCCGCCGTGCATACTCAGAGTGGTGTTGTTCTCCGTGTATTGTTTTGCGAGCTTACACCCTTTGTCACAGCGCACGAATCCCTTGTCCAATGAACTCGCCTTTATGCTCTATCTGATTGGTATAGAATTACTTACGTTTCTCGTCGGATTTTAGAAGAAACAAGGGGAATACGACCGTTTATGTATCCGTGTGGCTGAAGTCTGGCTGCTGAAGCTTGGCTCATGAATTGTCAAACTGACCGGCTCCGAGTTCACGTGACTGATCGACATTGTCATTGTGGAGTGCTGGAGTGTACCAGTGTGGCCTGTGGAGTGTGACTGTGAAGTGTGAACCACTCTCGAGGTGTAACATCAACAACCTCGACGTAATGCCGATGCAATTCCTGAAACCCAAAATAGTAGAGGTAGAGAACTACATGCCTCCTGCTCTCGGCGATTGATCATTCCTCAAGCGATGTGACACCACTTTACAAGGTCGAATCATACATTGGCGGTCTCATCACTCCGAACTTATATCAGTTTTGATGACTGCAAGCATTCGAGAGGACGGGACCATGTCCACGTCCAACGTCAAGACAGAGGCAAATTCATCTCCACTGGAAGACAGCTCGCAGTCTTCTTCTTCTTCTCCTCCTCCTCCTGGCGATGTCTCGGTTGACAGAATCACCAGCTTCCATGGCACGCTTAATAGATTTCTTCTTACGAGCAATACGGCCGATATATCAGCAGACGTGCGCCCGAGTCCATCCACCTTGGAGGGTCTCGACACCTCGGCGGGAACAGAGACGAGTACAGCCTCGCGAAATGTGCTGGATCATCTCAGCGTGACCAAAACTCGACCACGCACCCGGACTACTCCTACTACTGTCGCCGCCGCCAATCCCATCAGACCGAAAGGGGAACGATCCAGCACAGCACATCTCACATCCTCCCGGTCCCCCATCACCCAGACAAACCGCATTACCCGCTCGCGCTCCTCCTCCTCGATACCGCAATCCTCGCCATCCCCTTCCAACGCCTCGCCGAGAAGAACAAGAACGCCCCGCTCACGAAAGCCAAAGCCCCCTCCCACTCATTACCCCACAGCCGCAGACTCCCTGCTCCAGGACACCATCCCCCCGAACCTGACTCTCCTCCTCGTCGGCGTCAACCCGGGCATTCTCACCGGGACAACGGGATTCGCCTACGCACACCCGTCCAATCTCTACTGGAAACTCCTCCACTCCTCCGGCATCACCTCCGTCCGCCACCCTCCCTCCGACACCTACAAGCTCCCCGCCCTCTACAACGTCGGCAACACCAACATCGTCGAACGACCTTCTCGCGACGCAAGCATGCTCACCAAGGCCGAGATGGACGCCGGCGTCCCCGTCCTCGAAGCAAAGGTAGCTGCACAGCGACCCGAGGCAGTCTGTCTCGTGGGCAAGGGGATCTGGGAGGCCGTGTGGCGCGTGCGTCACGGACGGGCTCTTCGGAAGGAGGAATTTCGATACGGATGGCAGGATGTACAGGAGAATATGGGGTGCACAGCGGACAGCGACTGGAAGGGGGCTCCGGTCTTCGTGACCACGACAACAAGTGGACTTGCGGCGGGGATGAGCATGGCGGAGAAAGAGGCTATCTGGGCGGAGTTGGGCGCCTGGGTGGTGAAGCGGCGGGCTGAGACGGGATTCGAACCTGTTGGGCCAGATCCAGATCTGTGATCTTTACCGGGCACTGGTGCCTTTTGCCTTTGAGCGCAGTCAGTCTATTTTTTTGCTGGATGTGTTGAATGATACCCCGATAATGGTAGTGGACTTGAGAATGCTCGACTATGAGAGTGTGTGTCTATATTGCTCTAGTAAATTTCACATGTCCTAGTACGCGTACAGTACTGACTCTACCTTAGGTACTGATTGACCTACTTTGAAGAGCCTTGATCAATCCAAAGTACTCACCGACATCATCCAGGTTTCAGTAGAAGCTTACCAGAGTCTTTGCTACATCTTACGACGAGGTTCTAAAGCTCAACAGGATTGGAAGATTGTCAGACGAGAGACGATGAATGATGAAATTTCTCGTAACTTCATAATATCAGGTATGAGAAGCCTGTAACTGCTAAATAATGCACAAACTTGAGGGTGAAACTCTTATCGGTCTCCAAGACAATCGAAGCGATATGCTCCTTTCCCCTACACTGGGATCTCCGCGCTCAATGAGAATGAGCCACGTCTAGTTAAAGACGGTAGTCCAGTGCTTCAATCTTCGAAGGATTAGTTTGGCCAAGGTCGGTGTAAGTGAGATTATCGAATCAGGTAATGAAGAAGTTTGGGCGTCCCCGGTCGAAGGCAGACAAAGGGCAAAACGTCCACCACGGAAGAGAGAAGACGAGAGCGGACACGGCCATTCTCGAAGCGTGAACCACCGTCATTGATATGCCTAATGGACACACACAATTTACCGACCAATGGCAACGGAGCCCTTGGAGTCGTTCTTGGAGCCGTCACGCTCGCGGGTCTAGAGAATTCAGAGTCAGTGAGGGTCCGCTTGGGAGTCGCCGGTCAACGCCCTCTACACAGGGTACGGGACGGGAACGTACGGTGGTAGTCTGGTAGTCGCCGTTCTCCAAGATCTTGACAATGCACTCCTCTTCCTTGGAGGTGCCGAACTCGTTCTCAAGGGCAGTCTTGCTGGCGGTGTCGAGAACACCTTGGGCACCGTGGCTGCAGTATAAGAAGGATAATAGTCAGCTTCTGACAGGAACGTGCAATTCGGTTCCATCACAGGTGCAAAACGCCTTCACGTAATGTCCAGAGTCTCAGTTTGAAACGTCAGGGTGAGGGACACCAACCCGTGAGTGACAAAGATCTTCCAGCCGTTCAGAACATCAGTCAGAGGAATGCTGCGGTCCCCCTTCCACTTCTTCAGGATCTCGAGGTCATCGACGAAAACGATGAAGTCCTCGGACTGGCCCTTGAAGAAGATCTTGTGAGTTTGGTCGTTGGCACGCATTTTGATGGAAGGTGGTGTTTTGGGTAGAAGAAGGGTTTGTGAGAGGCTTGGGTGTGAAGCAATTGAAGATTCAGGAAAGCTAGAGAAGCAGTGAGAAATCTAACGCTGTAACAGAAAGGCGGGGTGGGAAGCTTTAAAGTAGTGGTGAGTGATGCATGACGTCACCTGCTTGGTTCTTCTGCCCGTGAGGTAAGTGAGAGTCTCGGGAGTCAGGGAGGTTGGGTTGGCCGAAAAGTGGATCTTCCCGTGCAACTTGATGGATGTCACGCGAGGAGTCCCCCCTCCCAAGTAAAAGTGAGAAATAAAAAAAAAGACCCAAGACCCAAGACCCAAGACCCAAGACCCAAGACCCAAGCCAGCAAAGCTGCCCAGATGCCCCTCCAACCCAAAAATAATCGAAACGAAAGATTTCGACAGGGCCGATGTGGGCTTGACTGGAGCCATGGAGTAAATGGAGTAAATGGGACCAGCTCAGCCCCTCATTGACTCGGTGGGCCATTATGATTGCATCCCACTTCAAGCGAAACACCCCCGACGTCATTTACACCATCAAGATCGAGCTCTCTGTCCCATTCAGCTTCTCACACGGGTCCTCACTGAGTCTGACTCACTGACTCCATACAGCAGGGGTTGCACGGCTTCGAGGAACGATTCTTTCAAATTCCATAGCTCTGCCCTGTTCTCCAATACATGGATGAAATACAATTCAACCCAGTACATTATCTAGTATCATTCCTAGAAAAAACCTGTTATGCTAGTTGTCTGCCCTCTCAAACACTGACAAAGCGCGGTTCAACCCGTGGTTAAAGCTGAGAATCTATCTTTTGCGTCTAGATGGTGGCCGAAACAAGGAGCTCAAGATCGCCTAGGTGCAGTTTGTTTTAAGCATAAGTGCGGTAGGAACCTAAATTTATGCCGCTACTAAGGTCCCAGTGATTGATACTATCTCAAGTTCTCAACCCAATCGCCATCAGTAGGTAGCCAAGTTGACAGAGATCGGAGCCAGTGCGATGAAAGGTCAAAGCTTCTACCGAGGCAGCACATCTGAAGTTAGGTACCTCACTTTACAACAAGCATTTTTCAGGTACCCGTCTGACCGACCGATTATTGATTATCGAGTCCCGATGGAGAGTCTCCAGGCTTGAACTTCTCGATTGATCATCACCCAAATCCCGAATGGAGGGACTTCTGAGGTTGTAGCCTGCGCCTCGACATGCAAAAGTCCCCCACACCTGCGCGGGTGGACAATCGAACATGAACCTCAACCTTGCGCGACTTCATACAGTATAGCTCACAATCAACCCTCGTAGAGTCCGAACCTTCCAACACCCGTTCCTGCAATGACGCCAGATCGACACACTGCCAGATACGCACTGGGAGAAAATAATGATGGAGCACAAGGAGAACAATAAGTAACCGGCTTGATGCCGACCGCAAGCTTAGGAATGCGAATCCGGGTAACAGATGTAATCTCATCCCGGGTACTAAAAGAATACGGTGATAACTTGCTAAAGGGGTATATAAATCAATACCGGGGCGCCCTTCTCAAGCCTTGCCTTCAAGCTGTTGCAGAGAGATCGCAATCATGCAAGTCTCAATTGCCAGTCAGAGCATCAAGCTCTACGCTCGCTCGGGATCGTCGCAGTCTCCGAGGCGAAAATGAACCGAACCATTTCTTGCGAGAGGGAGAGACGGGGGTCGACGGTTCACCGTGGTTCAATTGCTCAACTTCTTCTGTACTTATCGAATCAGACAAACTTCCAGGAGGATCCTGGAACCGAATCGTTCGTTGACGTTCTGCGTCGGTCGTGGGAGTCCGGGGCCTTGCACAGGCGGCATCCGCCGAGCAGCGGAGATCATCTGCCCCGTCAACCATCGCGGGTACAAGGTGCTTTTCTTCCGCGCTGAAATCATCCACAGGTTCTACATCGCTTCCGACAGACTCTCTTTGGCGTGGAAATTCCTTTGAAGTAGATCGTCTACCGAATCCGGCGTGGATGGAGAGATGGCGCATGATTGAGCGGCGGCGAAATTGATCGCTCCGGCTGAGACCCATCCCGGGAAAGGGCAAGACTTCACGCGTGTAGATATCCGAGATCAACGCCTCAAGCCGAATTCGTTCCGCGCGCTTCGCAACCACAACCACTGCCCCCGGCGGCACAGTGGTCTTGGGTCTCTCAATCTCTCCCTCTGGCGAGTGGTCTACCACATCTGCTTGATAGGGGAGGCGTGTCTTTTTGATGACCACGTCCTGAACTCTTGTCTTGCGGGCGACGGTTGCAACGTCCATCGATGAGCGCCGAGCGAGAGAGCTCACTTGATAACGTAGCTGATGCAGAGAGACCAGCGGCAGGTTCAGAATGGAAAACTCTCGAGGTCTCCAGCCGGCTTGTAGGAGCCCCTTCTCAGTGATCGCTGCGGAACATTTCAAAATCTCGGTCTGCCAGACTTTCTCCTCTGTTGCAGAAGACGCACTGAAAACAAATTCGTAATAACTTCCATCGGCTCGAAACACAAACTTCCACGAATAGAAACATTCGTAACAAAAGAGGCCTTTGGAAACACTCGGAGTTAGCGCATCTACCAACGACAGCAAATCAGTTGGACCGCTACTGACCTTGCCCGTTCTGGACTGAATCTTCCTTCAAATCGAGCAGATACACACAAGCGATGACTTCCAGTCGCTTGCTGTCATGAACTCTTCTGGCGAGCAAGAAGTAGCAATGAAAAAGCGCGCAGACCATGAAACTTCCAGTCGTCTGGCCGGGCGTTTGATAAGTGACGAACAACACACCACACATTTGCAGTGGACCTAGATCTTTGTAAATGTCCTGCAGATTGGACTTCACGATTTCTCTTTAGCAAGTAATCGAGGTGGGCCTTTGTGAGCTCGCTGAAGAAGACTGGCTACATACCGATCCAGTGGGCTCGATCTTCTGTTGGAGAAGCATAGTTTTCTGAATTCGGTCTTTCGTGAGAGGATTCCCAGTCAATGCATTAATCTCGGCCACTGAGGAATGTAGGTGAACCAAAATTTGACCGATTCCATCATGAGAAGATGGACAATCAGAAATCCAGGTTTGCTTGAGCAGCTCCTGGAGGAGCAGCGAATACTTGCAAAGGCGCTGGATGGGCTGCAGCATTATCAGTACTCAAGTCTAGCCGGACGAATATTGTAGAATCTCACCTTCATAAGTAAGTCATTGAACGTCATTGATTTGTTCTTGTCATACTTTCGATACTTGAGAGGCGTAGCTGATCTGGACAGCGCTTCGAGGCCCTGATCAAGACTTGGCCAATCGGGGAGCGATTCTTGCAGGACTTCCAAATCTCGAGTGAAGATCTCAAAGTTTTCGCAAAAGTTTCGGTATACAAAAAACGATAGTGTCTGCGCAGAGATTTATGGTAAGCCTAGGGTATTCTCCTTGCACAGTGTCCAGAAAAGGCTCACCAGATTGTCGATAGCGCGTGCAATCTCGAGGGCCTCCAATGGTTCCGCCTGCATAGCTTTGAGGCGTCGGATCATCTTCATGTCAAAGGTTCGGGTTCTCAGAGAACGGCTTCGCATTCTCTTGAATCCAGTTAGCTTGACACTGCCAAGGCGGCCCGAAAGTCCCCTGGGTGCTGGGATAGAAGATGCATCCGTGTCCATTGTAGACAACGGAGCAATTGCCTGCAGATGGGTCAAAAACCTGGCATGGACAGCGCGGATTGCCTCGACACTTCGCGACAGCTGGAGCCTGAGCTCGAAGCACGAGATGACCTGTAGACTTTGATGAGTTTGAAAACAAATTCAGAGAATGATCGAGATGGATCGTACCTGAGCTAGTGCCTTCAAGCCAGTCACATACTCTGCCTCCGTTCTGAGTAGCTCGTTAAGAATACGACGTCTTGTCTTCGCTCTTTCATCAGCTGCCTCATCGGCAGTGTGACTTGAGGGTGGTCGCGAGCTTTCAACCGAATATCGATTGCCTGAGAAACCGCTGAGTCCGGCGCTGCTCTGAGCTCTTTCTCTGCGAGATCCCCCGCTGAAATTGGTGGCCGTCACAGAGATTGTTTTCGCGGTTCCGAGTTGGGAGGAATAACCCGACGAGGTTGAGTTGCGACGTGGTTCAATGACCTCGATGCGATTGTGATAAGAAACGGACTGCGGCTGATCATCGTCGTGCCATCCCATCACATCTCTTTCAGGAATGTCTTGCCTCACCCGTCGATGTGCATGAAAGCTGTCCATCCATTTTTGGAAAGGTTGATGTACATTTGACTCAGGCGTTCTTGCATGGTTTTCACCCTCGACGATATCGACTTTCTCTTGATTATCTTTCGCAAAGTCGTGTGACATGATACTGTTCGCATTGGAGTCGGTCTTCTCCATGATGTGAGATATCATATCTCAAGAGTATGTTGTCAAGTCGACAGTCCATGCAGACCTCTGGAATATCGGAAGGGTCCAGCATACTCAGCATGTAAAGCAGTCACATCTGATGTTTTCCCGCATGTGAAATGACAACAGTCAGTATTCGGCAGTCGCGAGGACGACCCCCCGAAAAATCTCAGGGAAGGTGCGCCCTGGTCAGCGGAACTACTTGCGTCTTGTAGACTGCCCACATCTGTGACTGCTTCTGCCTTGCCAAATTTTACTCTTTTGCTGGAGAGATCATTGATCAAATTCAACTCCTGTGAAGGGTGAATCGCAATGCCTGAGTTTTACTACGATCGCTGTGGTTCCAGGCAGCTGCGGGGACTGCTGAGCAACCATGGATTTGAATTCGCTCTGTGTAAATCGTGGAAAGTGATACCTGGCAGTCGTAATTCCAAGTGTAGCCGTGAGTCGCCATTGGTGCAAACCTGATAAATGGCAGCGCACGGAGGAGTGTACGAGTAGCATGGATCCCGAGTGTCCGGGGAAGATGAATGAGGGTCAAATCATGGGAATCATACTGTCCGTGTCAAGGTTTGTTTATACCACATGTGCGAGTTGCTTAAGAAATCAGCAACCTGGATCCTTTCGGGCACTGGAATTGTGAGGAAGGCTGATCGCTGAAACAGCCTTACATTTTATAGCCCCGTCCCGCTTCCAGTTCCCAACCGGGAGCGCTTAGAATGCGCTTAATGGCCGAGCGGCTCCCGAGTGCGATCCCATCCACGGAACCCCCCACCGCTCTCATAGCCCGGAGCCGCGATAAAGAGATGCTTGGATCTTCCCCACCTTCTGTTTGAATGGGCATCCTCATGGACGACAACATTCATGCTCCTACGGTGGCTTCCGGACCGACGTCCGGAGTCACGCCGCCCGACTTCTCCAAACTTAGCATGCCAGAGTTGATGCAGCAGAAGGAACGAATTGAAGCAGAGCTCACGGCGCTTAGCAGCGTTCTCAGCTCGGTGAGCTCTCGTGCTAGTACTTTGAAGATTCGCCGGAGAGGAAATAACTGACTGTTGTCTAGCATGGAGTCAACATGAACTCTTCTCTTACAACGTTTGATGGCTTCCCGCGAGATGATATTGATATTGCTCAAGGTGCGCAAGAGTGTGGAACTCTCTGTCGTTCAACTCAGTACACCAAGACTTATTAGACAATATTTCAGTGCGAACAACGCGTGTGCGAATCATTCATCTACGCAATGATCATAAAGATGTCATGAAATATCTTGAAAAGGCCCTTCACGCCCATTTTGCTCAACTTCAAAATGCTCCAGCTGGGGAATCGGCTCCTAATGGCACGTCTGCTGCCCCCGTGGCCTTATCTTCTGCCGTGGACGATTCCACGGGGAACCCCGGTGCCCTGGGCACTCCATTCGCTCGAGTCAACACCGTTGAATCGGCAAGCCCAGCTGCTGAAGCGGGTTTGAAGACCGGCGACCTAATTCGCTCGTTTGGTACCGTACACTGGCTCAACCATGAGCGCCTGTCAAAGGTCGCTGAAGCAGTGCAACAAAACGAGGGCGTGAGTCATTCCCTTTGGTGGACCCACGCTGACTCCCAGTGGGTTCTACGTTGGAAGATTACAGACTGACATCCATATGTGCCCAGCGCCCGCTTACTGTGAAGGTGAGTAGAAAGACTGACGGCGCGACCGAAGCTGTGGAGGTAGATCTACAGTTGACTCCACGCCGCAACTGGGGAGGCCGCGGTCTTCTGGGTTGCCATCTAGTGCCTCTGTAGATCATGCCTCCGTCTCTGTTGCCCTGGCTACCGAGGAGAACCTCGAACTCCTCTTTTTTTCACTGTAGAATAACTTATGTCTCGTCAATGATTTATGCCACTTCGAGCTCTTCATTAACTATCCATCGCCTGCGGTGTTGAAAACTACTTACTCTGTTCCAGGTGGGAAGAAATTTGCGTTCACGTTGATTACAAAACTCATGAGGCGTTTGCCGTAGTATGTAAGTGGCGGAAGCTCGGCGGAGCGCTGGTCGCCCCGTGCTCTAGAGAACGTCCTCCCAGGCATAACTTGGGTTTGGAGATTGGTCAACACTACAATCCTGAGAGGACGAGTCTGTGGTTTCAGCTACTGAGTGACTCTTCATGGCAGCTTAATCAGGGATGCCAAAGCTCGATTGACCTTCATAGAAGGATTTAATTTCCAGTGAGTCCTGAATCAAGTCGATTCACTGAGGGATAAGACTGAAACAATTGAATTCATGACTATCGACTGGGCCTTTTGCATTCTCTGTCCCAAATTAAGGGCATCTTAACAGTGACTACCATAGAATGAGTTCCGAACCAACTAGTTACAGCAATATATTCCGACTCTATTTGTAAGCAAAGCGCTGGATCATGAACACCCGACCTCCAACAAGCTCCCATTCTGGTGGTAAAGTGATGCAAGCAAGGCGCCTTTTGGGTGTTGACACTACGTCAGGCTGGCAGGCACACACACATCCATCACGTGATCATTCCATGATCGGGGCAAAATTTCCATCGCGCATTATCCACGCTTTCCCCTTCTTTCTCCCCATCTCTCTCCAAAACAATCCGACCCCTTCGTGATTGAATCTCTGTCCGCTGAAATCTCCAGCGAGCCCTATCACTTTTATACTATTTTTGCGAAAATAGAAAAAAATTTCCAACATGGCAGAGCAGGCCCCACCCACATTCAAGCTCGTCCTGGTCGGTGACGGTGGTACTGGCAAGGTAAGCAAAATTTGATTGAACTTTTGATCTTGATCTCAGGTCTGAGGGCAATCCTTGGAGAAAGTCAATCTTGTTCGATGATTTGGCTTGCGACAAGTCATGTCTCGACCTTTGGCACCAACCCCTCTCTTCTCCCTTGCCCCGCGATCGTCAACAATGATGGAATCAACGGCCCAATGTTCGCCTCACTCTTACGAAGAGCTTATGCTAATTTCATCGATAACATAGACCACCTTCGTCAAGCGCCACTTGACTGGAGAGTTCGAGAAGAAGTACATTGCCACTCTTGGTGTCGAGGTTCACCCTCTGAACTTCACCACCGTACGTTATGCCCCGCCAAGCCCCGCTCCGAATGAGTTTCGCCCAGATCGCTGTTCATTTCGATCAATTCACTGACCTGAAGCTTGCAGAACCTCGGCAATATCCAGTTCGATGTTTGGGACACTGCTGGGCAGGAGAAGTTCGGTGGTCTCCGTGATGGTTACTACATCAACGGTCAGGCCGGTATCATCATGTTCGATGTTACCTCCCGTATCACCTACAAGAACGTTCCCAACTGGCACCGTAAGTTCCTTTTTTTTCGTCCTCATATGGACCGTCTTCCGCGCAGTCACTGATCCATTTTTAGGTGATCTTGTCCGTGTTTGCGAGAACATCCCCATCGTTCTTTGCGGTAACAAGGTTGATGTGAAGGAGCGCAAGGTCAAGGCCAAGACCATCACCTTCCACCGCAAGAAGAACTTGCAGTACTACGATATCTCCGCCAAGTCTAACTACAACTTCGAGAAGCCCTTCCTCTGGCTTGCCCGCAAGCTGGTCGGCAACGCTCAGCTGGTGCGTAGTCCTTGAAGTGCATCGGTTCTGCTTGCCAAAAGAAAATGTTCTGCTAACACGCCCAACAGGAATTCGTTGCTGCTCCCGCCCTTGCTCCCCCTGAGGTCACCGTCGACCTTGACCAGATGGAGAAGTACCGCCAGGAGATGGCCGATGCCGCTGCTCAGCCCCTTCCCGACGAGGACGACGCCGATCTGTAAAGGGATCGATCCCATGCACAAGCTCCCGAAAGTTCGATTATTTGTTGAACCGGGACATCCTCATAGCCAGCTCCCACTTTGTCTTCGTTCTTGAAATATGACAAAAAAAAATAAAGAGGGGCGGCATGTTCCATGGGTTGATAATCACCTAGGCCCTGGATTTACGATACAATGAAAGCGGTTGGGACAGAGGCGATATGAAGAAAGGGACAGCACGATCATGCATTTCTTTGTTTTTGGGGTTTCTCTCCCCTGCTCAACCATACTTAGTAGCTTAGACTCTTTATTTATCATCTCAATGTCCCATTTTTTCTTCTCTCGGCCCACTTGAAATGGAGCATTTAGAATGATGCTTGACATGTGCTTGCGGTCTTCTTTTTAAGAATGGTCCTGGAACTCCTTTCGAGAAAAAGTCATCTAGCTATGCTATCTATGCTATCTATGCTACCTTTGCCAAGATATTCCAGCTTGTACAACTAGTGAACATCTATTATTCTGTGGGGACGGTAGGCTCTTTTCACGCGTCTCGTTGTATCGCTTCTACAATCGAGCCGCAGCCAAAGCATCGATTGAACCCAGATTAAAGAGCAAGACTACATGTAGTTTCTCTTGGAGACTTTCTAGTGCCCCTTTTTCCTGGCACGTAAGAAAGGTCTGTCAAAACAAGAAGAAGAAAAGGCCCAAATCGAGTGATGTCTAGATTGATCATCGCATGCCGTAATTGCGTTAGACTCCCCCCGAGCAAGTGACCGCCATTCTAAGTGTGAACTCCCTGTATGTCAGAAAGTGATTAGCAGCGTGTCAGGGGTCGAAGGGCTTCGCCAGGAAAGCAAGTGCACTTACAAATAGATAAGCCAGCTCCTTCACGTCCAAACGCGAGACGTTCATCGAGCCCCCCTCGTCAAGAGCCCCACTGATGAGCTCTCGCTTCTTTTCCTGCAAGTCGATGATTCGATCTTCCACTGTGTTCTCAATCAGGAGACGATGAACGAAGACATCCCTGACCTGACCGATACGGTGGGCGCGGTCGATGGCCTGATCCTCGACATAGGGGTTCCAGAAAGGGTCGAAAATGATCACATGAGAGGCAGCCACGAGGTTTAGTCCGGCGTTACCGGCCTTGAGGGAGACCAGCATGATTCTGACCTCAGGATCATCGGTAAATGTTGCTACGGCCTCGTTTCGCTGGGTGATGTTCATACTGCCATCGAAACGGCAATACTTCTGACCCTTTCGGTTTAGGGGAACTTCGAGCAGATCAAGGAGCGATGTGAATTGACTGAAAACAATCGTCTTCTCGCCCTTGCCTCTGGCCTCATTCTCCTCTAGGATCTCGAGAGCTTTGAGGATCTTGGCACTCGGTTCCCATGACTTTTCAAGCCGACGGAGATAACGACGCTTGGCCCGCTTGTTCTTCTGACCTTTCTTGCGAAGCTCGGCAAGAGACTTCTTCTTTGGCTTGCCAGAGGAGCTGTCACTATCGGTATCCGATTCCGAATGTTCCAAGTCGGATTCCTCCGATTCTTCCTCGGCCTTGTCGGTGGTCTCGGACTCGGTCGCTTCCGACGGGGAGTACACCTTCTTGAACGATTCCCCATCGGTGATTTTCAAAGGATCAACCGGTCCACGACAATTCTGGCACTTGATCATGCCAGCGGTGTCATCGTTACGGGCGAGCATTTGCGGGTCAGAGATGCGGGCGAAACATTCGTTGCAAACTGAGTGACCGCAAGGAATGTAAATCACCGCGTTCTCAACAATGTCCATGCAAATCGGACAAGTGCCATCGTCCTCCCCGCCTTCGTTACCTTTGATTCGTTCGACCACCGTCGGGCTCAACGCCTTAGCGTTAGCAATCATGTCTCTGCCTTCCATAGCAGGGATTTCGGTCGCGTGCTCCTGCAATAATTGCGTATGGCAGCACGCTTGTCTCAAGCGCAACAGGAGGACCAGAATCGTACTGTACTTCATGCCAAGAGTACCAGCGTTCAACAGGCGCTCTACGTGCTTCTGAGACTTCGAGCTCAGAGCATCGTAGAATTCTCGCTCCTTTTCGTCGAACACCACATGAACCTTTTCAATGACCTTGGGAGGCAGTTGAAGTATCGGTTCGCCGTCAATCTTGGAGGTCTTGGTCCGTCGGAAGCAAACAGATTTGACGAGAATCCGCAGCTGCTGCATCACATGCTCTGGCACGAAGCCGCTCTTGACAACTCGGAAGTCCTGTGGTTTGACAGTCAGTGGGGAGTACTTGTTGTGTGGGATTCGGGGTCGATGTGACTGACGCGTCTGAATTTTTCCTTGTTGTTGTAGGGTCTGATCCGAAGGAAAGACAACAAAGATTGGAAGTCTTCAAGTCGATTCATCATCGGCGTTCCAGTTAGGCACCATCTGTATGTAGCATTGAGCCGACAACATGCCCTGGCCGACTTCGCAGCTGGATTCTTGATGTTCTGTGCCTCATCCACAATGACACGATGGAACTTGGTGGAGGGCGTGAAAAAGACCGACATGTTGCGCGTATCGCGAATCAGACTGCTATCCTTCCCTTCTTGCTCCATTTTCTCCGCCTTGATGATAAACTTGTAGCTAGCGGTCAGCGTGCCAAAGGTTGTGATGACCACGTCATAAGTCTTCAGCTTGTTCCACCCGGCGCGATTGGTGCCATGGTAGATGAATACAGACAGCTGATTTTTCCCAGGCATGATATGTCTATGAATTTCTCGCCGCCACTGATCCATCAGTGCCTTGGGGGCCACAATCAGAGTAGGCTGCCGTTCTGATTCGGGCGGAGGCCTTGCGACCATGAGAGCAATTGCTTGTATAGTTTTTCCAAGGCCCATGTCGTCCGCAAGAATACCTCCTTTGTGATTACTTTCCTCCTTGGCTTTCATCCACGACACACCGATCTTCTGATGTTTCATTAGAGTCACTTTGAGACCTGCTGGTGTCTCGTCCTTTTCCACTTTCGTAGCCTCACGAATATCTTTGATACCAGTAATCAGGTTCTTGATGTCTTGTGGGAAGTTCTGCTCCTCGTAGCGTCTGCACAACAAGACAGATTAGTATCCTTCACATACCGATCCTCAAAGCACGTGGGAGCTGAAACTGACTCTAAATCATCCTCATCCTCCAGTCCCAGAGGATTATCACGCAGCAGGTCTACTGCTTCCATAATTGGAGAGTGCGCTGGAATTTCACCTTGCATCCAAGGCAGATTCCGGCCGCCTAGAGAATTAAAGATTGGGCTGTACCGTGGAGGCCCAAAGCGCGGCTCTAGAGAGGCAGAGCTGTTTCCGTTCGAATATCTGCCTGGTGGATTGAGACGAGAAGAATTGAAGCCAAAAGGGTTGTATCCACGCGAGTCAGGAGATCGCGAATCAAAGTATTCCCTGGGAATCTCTTGCAAATCATCATCGTCGTATGGATACGAGCCGGGAGGTTCAGGGTTGTAGTCGAATTGCGTTGGCACGGCATACGGGCCAGAGTGCCTAGATGAGAAAAGAGACGGACTTGTTGGAGGCCGCTGATGGTGAGGAAGCGTTCTGTCGGGAAGTCTGAATTGTGAGGACGGACTGACGCGACGCTCTTCGTCGCTTTCGGCGGCCAGGTCTTCTGCATGAATCATACGCGCTACTTGCTCATCCATTGCCGTACGGAATTGAGCGCGAATAGCTTCCTCCTCTTCCTCTTGCTCCTTTTCCAGCTTCTCCAAGACTTGAGCAACCGAGATCCCTTCAGCCATTGCTCTTGTTTGGACAGCATCGGCCTCTTTTGACTCTTCGTATTCGTGCCGGGCCCGGTTCAGCTCACGCTCCAGATCCGCCTCTAGTTTCTCGTATCGAGATTTGAGACGGTCAATAGCTACCCTCTTGGATGACTGCTGTTGAACTGGGGACTCAGAAGAGCCCTGGCGCTGACGCTTACGAGATTCCTCAGAGCCAGTGTGAAGTGACGGTGCTGCCACATTTGAAGCGCGATTAACAAATGGAGAAGGGGCTGTAGACGGATGGTAAGGCGTCAATGTAGGATCTGCGTGCGTAGCTGGAACAGAGGCTCCCTGTTTAAAAGTAGCTGGCCCAGTAGATGACTGAGCCATATTGCCATTTGGAAGGTTGCTCGGATTCACAGAGTTGACCGTTGAGTTGCCGTTTGGGGCTGTGCCTAGAAGCTGTGCAATTTGTGCTTCGATCCTCTTGATCGTAGCGTGCATCTCGGCGATTCCCTTCGTATCACTCGGATTGTTCTCGCGCAGGTCATCGAGAAGGAATTGAAAGGTCTCCTGATCTTCCACCAAATTGTTCAGTTCGGCTTCCTTCGAGACCGCCATTGTTGCAAGAGGGGAGGTACGTCGACCGGGTTGTGCTTCAGGGACTTTGCGCAGATATACTTGTGGTCAATCTGGGAAATGATGTAGACGGTAATTCGCGATTGACCGAGGGCCACGTAAGATATGTTGTTTGATCGAAGGCCTGGGCACGTGAGACGAAGATGATGGACGCAAATGGCCACTCCGTTCAGTCTTTGATCAGCGAGAGACTCTTGTCCGAGCATTCACGTCATGTGTGAATGTCCATAAGAATCGATAAATTTTGGGGGACAAGATCGATCGGTGACGCAGGGTGAGTGATTTCAATAATGGACGAGAGGCTGCGCAAAGAGAGCACTGTATGGGGTTGCGGAGTGCGAGGTTGCGGACGAAGGCTTGTGGTTGACTTCCCAGAAGCGCCGGCGCGGCTGGAAGGAGCTATTTAAAGAGGAGGAATGTGCCAGTTTGCGTTCAGTCTAAACTCATCTCAAAGTCAGAGGTAGCAAACGGAGCAGGAGCACCGGCGCGAAAAACACACGGCGACAGAAAAAAAGCAAGCATGCTGCCTGTGTGTACCAATGTTTGATCTGCGCTAAACGATCGTATATCAAGCGATCGAATTACGCATGCCAATTTGGTGAGATGTGAGAGATACACACCTCGGTAAATGAATTATCAGAGACCACTGGAGCGTGGGGTGAGTGAGGTCGTTGTGTTCAGTTCCGTGCAGCTGCGCAGTCGCGGGGAGAGTGGAGATAGGACGGGAATGAACACTTAGAGAAAATTTTGAGAACAAGCAACAACCACCTAAATACCAAGCCTAGCACCCTATTCTAGGATATTGACTCTTCGATCTCTCAAATATCGATGCTATGAAGTTCGATATGACGAAAACGAACATCCTTCGAGTCCATTCATAGCCACAGGCCGACAGTCTGATCAGCGACGTCATTTTGATCGCTTCTCATCCGCCAAGCATCGATACTATGGCGCCATAGCACTCTAGCAGAGTGCTAGAGCCGCGTCGCTACTCGTGACTGGACTGGTGTGATTGCTCATATATATTGCAATGCTTGGTTGCTCTTCACTGTGCTCAAAACATCGGAAAATAATTCTTGGATGCTCACGATCTGATTTATAAATGCTTTTCCTTTCTAGGATCTTGGCCGCTCTCTAAAGTTCCTAACGTAGTGTCTTATCATCACGTGCTGATAGAACGCGTCCACGGGCGTGTTGTAGCGAATTTCCCAAGTTAGTAAGGTAAAGGTACTGTAAGGTACTAGGTAGATAACAATACTTTGTACCAAACTACTAAAGTACTTATTCTACCCAAGGTATTTTCATTTCAGCCCATAAGAGCTCCTAGACTTGACTTCAAGAAGCCTCGTAGAAGCCTGGTCTCATAAAACCTCAAGCAACGACTTCTCAAGGCGAGGGACACCTCCAACCTGTTGGTGCATCCCCTAAGGATTATGTATCTTCGGGCCCCCGACCGGGTACTACGAGCTATGAATATACACGTAGATCACTCCGAACTGGTGTAGGTCACTCTCCTACACCGTTCAGACTTCACTCCAGGCAGTTGAGAGAGACTGGGGATGTGCCGTTGGTGGCCCCCCTAGTGATCAACGTCGGGCATACAAAGCACTTATGATGCTCGAATCCACAGAGGCGATGCTTTGTTTTGTGAAGAGGCCCTCAGTATGTATGTTGACTTGACAGAAAAGCGGCATCTAGGTCACATGATAATACCAAAGTACCTTACCTATTGATGTAACTAGTCAAGAAGTAAGACAGCACCTCGCTAACTACTACTACCTGGTATGCTGGATTCCGTGTGGGGAAGCTCGCATCATTGGTGGCAGCGGCACAGGTCGAGGTGTGGAGCGGATGACCCGACAAGAGAAATCTGGAGAACACAAGACAGGCAGCGAGAGTGGGCGAAGGACAATCTTGATTCTTGGTGGTTGAGATTTACGAGGTTCATGCCACTGTGAGGATTTAAATAACACTACCGGCCCAGTGCAGTACCAAGTGGAACTCATTTGTACCACTCAGCAATCAGCATTATTCTCGACTGCCAAACAAATGAAGTGATACAGAGTAGTACATAAAGTCACCCCCGATCCGTTCACGAGGGGCCTCGGTCCGGCGCGGGCTGACTGGGGACCAAACTCACCAGTATGCTTGTCAGTCGAGGGTTCACATTCACATGTTTGGCAGCGGCTCCGCGAGTGACGATCGCCCGGGCTTCTAGCGACCTTTCGTCATATAAATCACCATCCCCCGGAATTCCGCCTGACCGACCCACGGATTTTCCTCTTACATCTCCCTCAATCCTATACCTCTCACTCTACAAACAAGCACCATGCCTCTGAAGAAAGGTACGTGGTCATCTTCCAGCGCAGGCCCAGCCTGCATGGTTGACATCTCCCGGTCGCACATGACGGATGTTCGGATTGTTTCAACAGTAAACTAACCAGCACGTGGAATTTCCTCTTAGACTCCTTCCCTGCCTCCGCGGCTTTTGACGCGATCAATGAGGCGCTGCAGTCCGACGCCGCCGAGCGCAAGGATGCCGTCAACAAGGCCAAGGCGATCGTCACATTCAACCTCAAGAACGAAAAGGGCGAGGAGGCCAGCTGGTACCTTGACCTGAAGAATAAGGGCGAGGTGGGCCAAGGCGCCGCCCCCGCTGGCGGCAAGGCTGATGGTAAGCAAGCTGATTTCCTGAAAGCTCGCACCACCCATCCGAAGGGTATATCCCTACACACTGACTAACTCTTCTCTTTTTTTGTTTTTACTCTGTCCAGTCACTCTCACTCTGTCCGACAAGGATTTCGAGTCCCTGGTGACAGGCAAGGCCAATGCTCAGCGTTTGTTCATGGGCGGCAAGCTCAAGATCAAGGGTAACATCATGAAGGCTACCAAGATGGAGCCTATTCTGAAGAAGGCCCAGGGCAAGGCCAAGCTGTAAATACATTAGATACCCGGTTCATTCATAAACACTGAAGTATATAAAACATCGCAAACACCCCTGCCTCCCAAATTCTATACACAGTCATTGTGCACGTGCTCTATCTTGCGATGCGAGTCATATCAAATTGTAAGATAATCTCCAACGGTCTGATGTGAAACAGCAAACCGCATCCATGACAGTACCGGGATTGACACAATCGCTTCCGTTTTTGCTATGAGTCCGTCAGCATAATCAAATCACATGCTTTTCCATATGCTTCATGAGGGTTGGCTCCTAGGTGGCACGCGTCAATGGCTCCTCCGCTCGTTGATTACATGTCAGCCACGGCCCCCCGTCGCAAGACTTTCCCTTGGTCCAGCTCCACGAAGTAATCTGCATTCTTCACAGCTTCCACGCGATGGGCGATCGTGATCACAGTCGACAAATGCAGCTCCTCCCTTACTATCTGCTGGAGTTCAAGAGATGTTTCTTGATCGATAGAAGCAGTGGCCTCGTCAAAGATGACAAGCGGACTGCGTCGTAAGACAGCGCGGGTAAGAGCGATCAGTTGGCGTTGGCCCTGACTGAGATTCTTCCCTCCAGATTCGACGTGTGTGTCAAGACTCCACCCATGACGGTCACAGAGACGTTTCAAAATTTCGGCGCATTCATGGTCGGAGAACTCCTCAGTGGGGTCCAAGTTGAGTCGAATGGTGCCTGGGAAAAGAACGGGGTCTTGTGCGACAAAAGTGACTCGCGTGCGGAGAGCTTGGGTGTCCACATTGGCAATATCTAGCCCGTCTATCAGAATACGCCCGGCCTCAGGTCGGACGACGCTGAGAAGAGACACGGCCAGCGTTGACTTGCCACTTCCCGTTCGGCCAATGACAGCAGTGGTCGAACCGCCAGGAATCCGCAGAGAGACGTCCTGGAGGGCGGGATCCAAATGAGAGGCATATCGCAAAGTCACCTTGTCAAAAACCACATCGCTGCCGTACATTGGCCACGCTGCCGGTGGATGAATGGTCCCTTTGGGCTCTTCCTCAATATGAAGGAGTTCATCAATTCGCTCAACGGACACAAAGTCCATCTGCAATTGACCATATTGCTTGCAGAGTCCGTGAGTGGAGTCCACAAAGTTGTTGGCCGCAATGAGCACGAAAGCCACCAAGCCAGGCGTGGTATCGGTGTAAAGCGCCAGAACGGTTAGACAGAAGGTTGACAGGGCAGAGAGGCTCTCGAACCGGTACATTAACCAAGCCTGGAGAGACCAATAGAAGTGATCCATGCTTTGGAACTTGTCAACCACGGAGATTACTCGATTCTGAAACCGTTCTTCGGCACGGAATGCGCGCACAGTAGTCAGTCCATGTAATAGCTCGCCGAAATTGGACAAGAGTGGTGTCAATGACACCATCTCCAGTCGACGGAGGCTTTGCGAGGTCGGTAGGAACTGTAAAAAGATCATGACAAAAGCAATAGTAAGAAGCAACGAAAAGACAAGAAATGTGGGAGTCGCGGTGGCGATCACGAAGATGGAAGAACTCCACGTCATTGCATTGAACGCGATATCCTGGAACTGTGCGCTAATATTGCCGTCCACCACGCTGATATCTGAGGTCAGGCGATTCATGAGACGGCCCACAGGGGTCACATCGAAGAAGCGGAAAGATGCATTACTGACTCGGTCCATCACGCGGCGGAACAGAGTCTTTCCTGCACAGTAGACAATGACCAGCATCAATAGCTGAGATAGTAAAAGTGCGGTTGCTTGAAGACACACGATGACGAAAAAGGTCCACAACCATGGGCGAACGTCCTCGGAGGGCAACGGCAGTTGGTTGGTGGGATAATGAGATGCGACATGTGCGCCATCCACACCAAATGACAGCATCGAATTGGCAAGAAGCGCAGCCTGCGACCAAAATGTTCTTACAATTTGTGCAGACATCGAGACGTCCCCGTACGCCTCACCCCATTCCTTCAGGAACCATGATAGGCCCACAGCCATAAGTCTGTAGGCCGCCAGGACAAACACAAGTAGGGCCCACCAGCGGTACTTGCCCGCTTTGATGTAACTCCAGTAGACGCGAGCTTGAACCCCCCATTCAGCACGATGCTCTTCCTCGAAAAACTTATCAGGGATTGCTGCAGCTTCTTCCGCTGCGTTGACTTCTTCGATCTCAGGACCAACCTCGTCAGAGCTGGCACCATTGCCAATCGGATGGCTTGTGAGTGTGTACTTGGGCAAACTGGCCTTGTCGTAGACTGTAGCGCACCCATCCTCGATACTTATGATTTGGTCGGCAATATTGTAGACCAATGCAGTGCGGTGAGTAACCAGCACTATAGTGCGATCCCTCATTAATGGCCCAGAGAGACACTTGCGCACAACAAATTCAGCAGTGTGATGATCGAGTGCCGACAGGGGATCATCAAGCAAGAGCAAGCGAGAGGAACTATAGACGGCTCGCGCAAGGGCCACCCTCGCCTTTTGCCCACCAGAAAGTCCAACGCCATTCTCACCGATGAAGGTCAAATCGCCATGTTTGAATCGGGACAAGTCTGGCAGCAGCGCACAAGCTTCGATGGTTCGCTTGTAGCGGTGTTCGTCGTAAGGAGCAGAAAAGAGAATATTGTCACGGATGCTCATGCTTTGTAACCATGGTGTTTGTGCGCAATAACCTATGATCTCGTTGGGCAGGTTACAGGAACCAGTGAGAATGTCAAGTTCTCCCAGCAGGCCTTGAAGAAAAGCTGTTTTGCCCGATCCAACCTTCCCACTCACGACAGTGAGACCCTTGGAGATTGTGATTGTGACGTTTCTGAGAACCGGCGACAACTTGCCGGGCCATGAGAGCGAGCAGGAATCGAGTGAGATAGCAATCTCACTGGAAGGGCGATCAGCAGATCCATCAGCTTTGTCCGGTTCCACCATAAAGTCTTCAATCCGACCGAGTGCAATTGAGGCATTCAATAATGAGGTTATCAGATTCGGAATTTCACGCAAGCGTGTTTCGAGCATGGTAAACAGTTGCAAAGCGGGGAATATTATATCAATGCGGAGGTCATAGCCCGCTAGCTTCGTGTATGCGTATAATGCGACAACAGGGAATACTCCGCTTGAGAAAGCGTTGATGATGTTGATTGACGTCGTACACAGTTTGGTGATTACCCGTCTGTTCAGCTCGTGCTGACGAGCGTCCATAACCATCCGAAGCCAATACTCTTGCCATCCGTACCATCGGAGATGTCGGATAGCCTCCACAAATTGTGAGGTGATTTGCAATCTCGCATCAGTAGAAGCCCTGGTCAGCCGTTCTCTTTCGAAAAGGAACTTCGCAATGATGGCATTCAAAGACTGGGCTGCCAGAATGGTCAAGATACCAAGAAAGCACGATGGTCCGAATAATGTCCATACGAGGACAACGGCAATGACCAAACCTAAAGGTTTGTCAATGAGCACGTCAATCTCCCAGAATCGCTGGGCCACATCATAGACATCGCCTCGAAGCAGATTAAAGATTTTTCCGAGTGTGGCAGCTTCCTTGGGTCTCTTGAGCTGTGATATCCGTCGAGCAAAGAAGAGACTCCTCCAAGAACCCCAGCCCTTTGTCGTTGCCGAGCCTGCATCATCTGATCCGGGCTCTTCATTGACTGGGGGTTCGCTGCTAGTTTTTGATTCGTCGTCCTCCTCGTGCGTGCCAAGGATGTTCTTCCGGGACAATGCTTTCTCGTATACCATCATCATCATTTCGCCTCTGGATCGCTCATAGCATCGTCTGCCGTACCACAAGTTCAGTACCTGTGACTGCGCCGCCACTAGCCGAATGACCAGAGCGAGGACGGCATAAGTGAGAGGCACGCGTCTCGGTCGTTTCGGATCCTGCATAGCCTGTAAAAGTTGCTGCAGAAGAACCGGCGTGGAGAACGTGCAAAGCATCTGCACAATTGCAATGATTGAGAGGATCAAAACATCGAGCCCATTGGCCCGCAGAACCCGGGAAATGACAGACCCGCGCATTCGACGAAACTTTTCGTGGAGCCGACTGTGTTGGAATTCAAACCCTAGGAACCACACATCGGACTCATTAAGCTGCCTTGTACGACCGAGCGACATCAAAGGCGCCATCCAGGAGACGGTGAGAAATTGCCACAGACGTAAATTGTCCTCTGGGCTGCGAAAATCACTGCTTGGAGCTTGACCAACTCCACTTATGTCTATTGCAGCAAGCGTAGGTCTTCGAAACGGCATCCACATTATCGTGAAGCAAGCCATCAAGGCAGCGACAGCAGCGATAGAATGTGAGACCGTCAACAACTTCGATTTACCGATGGAGTCGGTGCATAAAATGGTTTCCACCAACAAGCACACAATGAAATAAACCAGCAGCATCACAGGGCAAGATCTCGGTCGTTTGAGTACCAGAACAAGCCCAGTCAAAGCCTGAGAAGAGGTCAGTCACCTTGAAGAATGTCCTAGCACATAAAGAATGGCAACTCACCCATGACGTGATAAGCACACAGCCAGGAACATCAAGATATGGCGGGTACAAATGTACAAGCTTGGCAACGAAGCCAATACCCGTGCATACGAGCAGGACGAGAGTCCATCGCAGGGATCTCTTGGTGTCTTCTGGAAGAATACCATTGCCCTCATCATGCTCAGTCAAGTATGGCCGAGTCCACTCTGGCTGCCACCGTCGAAGAATTGGATCGAGAAAATATCCACAGGCAATGAGGCAAATCAGACTTGCAGGTGCGATCACCAAGAATGGCAGTACACATGGAGGAAACCATGCGCTTTCATGGTCCTGTTTGAATATGTCAGTCGACCCAGTGCGAAAATTGATGAACTCAAGGGACGAGTGTTGTTATAGGGCGGGGTTACAGACCCAGAATTGACGGCAGCCGGGGGTAGCTCCAAGCTCGTCGCTCGCGAGGAGGGGCAGTTGATAAAACATTCTACCTCACGTCAGGATCCATTTGAGTCATCTGGCAGTTTCGCAGGTCGAGAGGTTGAACTTGATTTTATCACAGTCGGATGCTCACCGACCCTCAGATGGTTGAGTTGGAGCAATTGGGCGGACTATCATTCCCCCGAGAGTTGGATTAGACGTTTCACTTTACGGGCATTTTTGGATATTGAACTCGCGCTCGGAATGTAAGCTCGGCGTTCATCGCCAACTGGAAATAAATTAAGCTCATCTCTAATTTCGCTCGTTCCAAAAACTTTCGAAATTGGATTCGCATGATGCAATTGCCCGGCTGCTGCTGCCAGCATGGATTGTCGAAACCTAAAAGATGGCAAACGCGTTCGGTGGACTAGCCACACCCCCAATGACCTATACGTCGCATCACGGGTGCAGTGTTAGCTCAGGCACGTGGTAACTGCGTCCAAAAGAAGCCGCATCTTCCACCAGAATCGGATAACTTACCTTCAACGGCATACTCGACAAAAAGAAGCTATATTTTCCAGTCTCCTTACAGTGCCGCGACAACTTTTCCAGATCAAACAGCTCCCCGATCGGCGTGCCCCAACCAGCGAGCAGCCACTCATGCAGATTGAAATCAGGATCCGCATGACTGCCACGGATGGGAGCACGCTCAAAGCTTGGTGCATCACCCGCGACAGCGGCAAATTGACGATCCCAGAGCCATTGGACCATTCTCTCGGTGGCTTCGACGCCGATGAAGTCAGGAGTTGGCCGATTGGGTAGCTCTCGTCGTTGCTCATCATTCAGCTGGTTGTATGCCGCTGTGAAACCACTTCGGATGAAGAGGATGTCACCTTTGCGTAAGTCGAGGTTGTGGTCACGAATCACAAGTTTGAGATGGTCCAGCGTTATGGATCGAGATTCAAAGGCAGGTACGGAGATTGAGTGTGCTTCTGCCCAGTCGGCATAGTCGAGAAGGACGCCGCGGCCACTGATGCCGCCGTGCTCAGCAACAACTATGTAGCAAACATTAGGATCAGAATTCTTTAGTTTCGATGGGCGCAGAAAATGGAAGATACCATGCAGGCCGATAACACTTGAGCCCTCAATCTCTTCCGAAGTATGTCCATTGTAAAATTTGCGCAACTTTTGATTTGCTAAAACCCTTCTCATGTCAGCCAGATTTGCATTGATTTCGCAAGGTGGTTAATCCATCAATCGCAACTCAAGCAGTCATAAAGTCCAATGTTGTGACAGGGATATTATCTTACCATAATGTCGGAACCCATCCCACTGCGTCGAGCCTTGACTGTTAAATGCCAAAATGTCGTCGTAGATGCAATTGGGCTTTCTCAGAACGAGCTCGTGCTTGAAAGGGCTACGGTCAAAGCTAGGATAGCTTGGCATACTCAGTGGCCAGTCCAGCGAGATCCGAATGCCGGTCTCGATCTCCTTCACGGCTTCAACAATGACCTCTGGAGTAAGCAAGTTCAATGTGCCAAGCTGATCGTTTGGGCCGAATCTTCCCCACGCGTTACCTCGGGGCCCCTCCGGGTCGAGGGGGAGGGCGTCGAAGAGAATCACGTCGTTCGGGGTTCGAGACATGGGCTCAGTGATTACTCAAGTGCCTGATAGTTTTACTCTCTGGATTCTGAAAACGTTCACCACGATGGAAGAAGATCAGTTGATGGTAAATTGCATGTTTGTCATCTTGAATGTGTAAAGTTCGGGGTATATTGGCCCGATGCCTCGACCCCATCGTTAAAAATCCCTGACCCCCACTCTGCTCCACGTCCCCATTCAATCCCCCGCAGCAGCTGCCACATCCAAAAGATTTCTCAAGAAATGTGCACAAAGTAAATACAAGAAGACCAAGCTCATGTAACATGTTGAATCTGAAGCCGCTAAAACATAGGACACGAAAGGTGTACCCACGGCGTGTGACGGGCCCGGATTCCTTCACTGAAGGTGCGTACCCCTACAGAGTAAAGTACGCAATCGTGGCAGGAAAAGTTGCCAGGTTGTCTGAGACAACGGCAAGACTCTTGCCGTTTTCAACAATCATGTTGGTTGTACCGACGGTACTGAGAGTATAGACCACCAAATTGGTGGTAGACCCCTCAATGCTGAAGATCTCGCCCTGGCAATTTTCCGGAACAGGGAAGGTAGAGCAAGCGGTGCTGTAGTGATTGAAGAAGCTGTAAAATCCAGCTCCATAAATGTTCACGTTCTGGGTATTCAGCACCCGAAGTCCAAAGGCGTCACAGTTACCACCAAGACAGTTGGTGAAGGTGGGGTCGTTCAACGAGGGATTGGTAGGATATGGGCTGTGAGCTGCATCTGGTTTGGGTTGGTAGTAACTGCAAATTCAGACAGTTAATTTGAGTGTACAAACATGGAAATTGATAGTCCTGTCATGCACTTACGGGGACTCAGTTTGCATAAATCCTGCCATAATCGAGTCGGCGCCTGAGAACTGATACTGGTACAAAGCATGGTGTTCCACGCTCGTTCCGATGCTAAATGGGTCTGTGTGAGCGAGACGGTTGTCCCAGATTTTGAGCCGGATGAGGACTTACAGCCAGATGTTCTTGCCCTCAATCAGTAGACCGCGACCGCTGTATACGGAGATCTGAGTGTTGGCGGCATCATCGATATCGTGATCAGCAGTCCAAAGCCACACATTTTCCAAGTACGCGCCACTTGCGCAGCTAGTGATATGCATTGACATGTACGCAACCTCACATCCAGCACTCACTGCCGCGGAAGTAGGGCACTGGGCAACTTGCTGCTGGGAGCCAGTGAAGCCCCCAATTCTGGCGTGGACGTCCCACATACCAGAGCCAGTCGCTGCGGCCAAGTTCCACTGAACAAGGACAGCTCCAGGTGCAGAGCCTTGAGTGCTAATGATCATGTCAGACCATTCAATTGAGCCAGACTCGCCGGGCTTTCCAATCTGCATAACTGGAACAGGAGTGGTGATGCTCGCAAATTTGATTCCGGTGGCCATGATGACAGGGTAAGTTTCTCCAACCATGCGCGAGCCGGCAGGGACGTAGATAGTGTCCGTCACTTTGTAGGTTCCTTGGTCAAAGAACAAGACTTTACCAGAGGAAGCTGCTGCGTGGACCGCGGATTGGATTGCTGAAGTATCGTCGGTGGTGCCGTCACCCGTCGCTCCGTGAGCGCGAACGCTCATGAAAGATGATTTTGGCAAATTTGCGTACTGAGGCTTGCTCTTGGTGTAGTAGCGATTTGACCCACTTGCGAGAAGTCCACTGGGACGGGGAGCAGGGCTTATGGCGCCCTGGAAGTTGGCTGGACCATTTGGAGTATACTTGTGGCCCTGACCCCAAGCACTGATGGTGGTGCTACCACCTGATCCCGCTAGAACTGTGCCACTAGTATCCTTCACAGCCACGGGGACGTTCGTCAGCGCAATGTTCTCGAGGATGAGACTACCGTTAGAGAATGTCGAACTTTGCCAAGCGGTGTCAACGAAGGTAGGACAGTCTTCAATGGTACTGTCGATGACATTGACTGAGCCAACGAGTTGATTTCCCGGACCCCCATTGTTCATTGAAAGTGCTGTTGTGCAGTTGGTCACTCTCAAGCCCTGGTAAGTCCAGCCCCAGTCCCAGATTTGCGAAATGGCAGTCACGGCGTCAGAGATGATCATGTTCCGCATGGTGAATTGCTGGTTGCCTACGTTCGCGCCGTATAATCCACCAGTTATCGTGACGTCGGTCATGAAACCTCCAGAGCCTTCATGCTTTTGTCAGTAACTCAAGGTGTGTGAGAGATTTGTGCAGCCAGAAGATCTTACCATTCTCAATGAAAATACCCTGATGCTGGGTGCCAGCAGCGGAGCTCATCGCGATCTCAACATTCTGGATACTAGTTGCCTGTCCCGTGGGCCAGTGGATTCCAGTTGCAGCAGAGCTCGCTGGAATGGAGGTCAGATCAAGCTTGAAGTTGCGAATTTGTCGGAAGAACACATTGGTAGAACCCCATCCCTGTGAACCGTCGCTTTGATATTGGTCTCCATCAATCAGGCCCAGGCCCACAAATCCGGGCGTTGCCTTGAGGACTGGGAGCGAGTTGGGGTTTCCGATCAGTTGGGTGAAGTAATAGTCGATGATTGACGAGGAGATGAGGTATGTTCCAGCTGGGAAGTACACAATGGCAGGAGTTGTTGTGGTGGTCACGCGACTCGCAGGACCAGATCGACCTCCATCACTGATGGCTGCGTTGATGGCTGCCGTGTCATCGGTCACACCGTCACCTATTTACGGGGGTATCTGGGTCAGTCATACGTGGTGACCACTCTGCCAGTGAGTCCATGCAGACTTACCGACCGCTCCATAGTCTTTCACGTTTCGAAAGACCTTGTACCCTGAAGGGTCTGGGTTGAAGGCCGCCCGGCCTTGGTGAGCGATGTCTGCTAGCCAGTACGCGGCATCAGCAGTCTGGTGGCCTTTTTTGAGGCCACCATGCAGATTGGCAGCTGATTGATCTTTGGGGCCATGATAGTGAGTGTAGTCCTTGAAAGGCTTCAGTGCCTCCTTGACCAAGGCATCGACCTGTGGAAGATGCAGGATCTGGGCCTGGGTACAGACCGCAGCTGAGAAGACGGATAACAACTGTACGAAACGCATCCTGGCTTCAGAACAGGCAGAAACTTGATGCGCAACATTCCCAGTTGTGCAAAGGACCTACGACTCATCTTATAGTCCTGCTCCTGTTTGCTCGCGGCTTTGGGTCTGCCGACGTGCCCGGGGAACCCCATTTCGTGTCTGCATGGCATGTACAACTTTCAAGTTAATTCTTCGATGTGGAGAAAAGAGGTCAGCCTTCATTCGAGGCACCTTCGACAACAATTGACTCCTGATACATCAGTTATGTTGGAAAAAGGCTACCCCACAGGTCCAGATGCAACTCTCAGGTCACTTCCAGCAACCCCGAACGGGAAGGTCAAAGGAAATGAGACTTGAATCCGGGGTTGCATCCCCAAAGGGGCAACTGAGGACATGGAGTTAGGCACACTATTCTCGTCATGCTCGGCCTGTGAGGTTGTCACGCCCGTTGTTTTGCTCCCATGATCGGGTCGAGTGCAGAGCTCAGGAACGGGGCAATGTGGATGCCGATCGGTCCCTACGAGGGATGGCGAGCCCCTGGGGGGCTTGAACTTGACACCATGCAGTACAACCACAACAACGTTCCCACTCCCCCCCCTGCTGGAGATTCCATGCGGGAAATACTTCTCTGTAACACCATTGGCTTCGAAACATCCTCGGCCAACGGAAAATGGCTGGACGAGATGTGCTCGGACCACCATCTCCGTGAGGTGCGGTAGAATCCTGATAACCCTAGATGCAATATGGAATGAGAGTCCAGGAATGCACTGGTGCATAACGTCTCCTGACGGCAACAGGCACACGCATCCACCACCCATCATGGGACGACGACGCTGCAGGGCACTATCTGGTAGGCCCGACAGGGCCATGCCCCTGAAAGCCGCGGGCGCATTTGATCTCATTCAGCTCGGCTTCGCTCATACTTCGATCTGACTTTGCCGGTGTGTTGCGTTTGGGCCCCTGCATGTGTGTTCACCGGGCCGAAGCAACCGTGAGGACTTTCGATGAAAAGAGTCACTACAATGACTCTGTAGAGTTGCTCGTCGGGTAAGTTACGACCATTCAACTGATGGTTCTGGAATCGTAGACTCCTATCCATCTGCCTTCTGTCGGTTGATCTTACCCCAGTCACTGCGCTGCTCGTCTCGAGTAGGCAGCGCGTCAACACATTGCCAGGTGAATCTGATATGCACCATCCATTCATGCTCAGTGAACGCAGACAGGCCGAGGCACTGGCCAAGTTCCCTGACAAAGTCAAATTAGAGTTGTCAAATCTCCGTCTGCCTGACCAGTTGCGTGTGACGACGTGATCTGGGGCCGTTCTCACTTTTCGCTTCTTCTCAAGCAACTTGCACTTTCCCTTCGGTCCGACCACTGGGCTTTGATCGATTCTTTTTGGGATATGGTTGAGTTTCCCCGCAAGTCGGCACGGTAACCCCATAGCGAGTGCTGGAGCACCCCAACCGTGGAACCCGACATGGTCCATGCAGCCACTAGCGCACGCCCTTGAATGGGCGGACTGCATAACGACAACCCCTGAAGAACCGGCAGTCCTTCACATACCAAAGAGGACCTGTTTAGCCCTCAGCGCCTGACCCTTTTTGATTGGCGTTTGCACACTACGCACTTACGAAGTGTCTTCGACCGTCATAACCATCGGCTCGGAGAACCAAGCATGATTCGAGCCAACGGGCGGCATTTCTAACTACCAAAATTCGTTCACGGTGAACAGATCGGGCTAAAGTATATCTCGTGTCCACTTATCAAGTCGATCTTCCAGGCAAGTTGGCTCGGAAGGACTTACAGCAAATTCACAGGTTCCGACAGTATCTCCGGGGCAAACGAGGTAAAACTATACCTCACTTTCGTCCGAGATATCCCCCTTATTACGATTCTTTCACCTGATGTTTGATGCCGGGCTCTTGTGCAGGTCATCTTCGATCGAGGATTCGTCCAGCCGAGGGGCGGCGACGTTCCAGTGACAGGTGACCTCGGCCTCGAAAACTCGACCTCCAGTCTCGAGTTTGGACTCGTGATGCGATGCAACCACGACTAAGGGATCACGTTGCTTCTGTGTTTCCCCTCACTTCCCGTTCTGAACGAGATGGATGTCCCTTCCTGGCTACCGATGGGCTCGTCAAGGGTAGACCGGTAGCAGAGCGAATCCTTTCCATATCGAAGAGAGCTTTTGGGCTGATTACTGTTTTGGCATATTGACACAATGCGCCTTTGATCGTGATGATGTTCGCCAGGCCATCTGAGTTGTCTCGGTCCATGTTTGTTCGATTTGTGTTAGCTCAATATGTGTCTTCGTTGTCCTCGGCCTCCCTCACATCGTTTCGTGTTCTTGTTTCCGTACTTGGTGGTATCACGTTGATAGATGATCTCCATTTCGAGACGCGCTCAATGGATGCTTCCATATTCTTTGGCCTATATGAAGAAGGATCATCAACTATAGAACCCTAGGCAGTCACGCATGCACGGTACATCTTACGTACATGACGACGTGAACTCTACGAGGCCCGAATAAGCCGACCACATGATACATGATGCGGTGGCACCGGGAGATACAATCCTAAACATCGAGTGCTACGATGCGGTTTATCCTGCAAGATTGCCATGGCATTCCAAGTCCAGCCGAGCGGGCTTAAGACGGACTTTGCTTCCTAGACTGACTGCGACGTCATTTGACGGTCGGCAAGCACCGTCGTAGGTTGTTCGTTGAGCCAGCTTTGAGTATGAGAAGACATGAGAAGACATGAGAACAGAAACTCGTAGACCGAATATTCAACCCTCCCAGCTCTCACCTAGAGCACCAGGAGAGAATGACAAGCATTTAGGACGCGTTTCGACAAGATTCAGCTCGTAGCCCAATTTCCAAGAGGATCAAAGGCACCTTGCCGCATCAGCGCATGGCAACGCCAAGACAACACGTGACTCTCCATTTTTTAACGCTGATAGCCTTCTTTCTGCAGTAGCCTTGAAAGGTACGCAGATGCAACGCAGCTGGCGCCATCCATTTCCCCGTATATCCATCAGCTTGAACGTGGACATTGACTCTTCTGGCGAAAAGGAGGGTGAAAGACAGGTTCAATCTTACTTCGCCGCTAGTCCTCAACCGAAGGTCGACCTGGTCGCGCCACCACCTGCGCAGAAAAAAGGGCCGTGTCGCGGGACAAAACGCCCTCGCCCTCCGTTTCTCGTTTCTGAAGAAGAGAGACCGCTCAGAAGTCGGCAAATCGAACAACTTTCAAACTCGGTAATCTACCACTTTAGAAACTCATCTGCCCCATCGTCGCATCGAGATCTCCGTCACAGACCCGGTTTCTCTGTCACGCGCCTTGAGAACCAACCGCACCGCTTGGTTAACCACGGCGACTTCAGTTGCAACAGACTTTCCACTGCCGAATCGATCAAGTTGCCTCAGAACTGGCTTCGCGTATAACAAGGTGTCCGGCGTGAAGGTCACATTGTATCAAAGATATAGGTGCTTCGGCAAACTCGGCGCCTGTTTACCTCTGGGCATCGAGTTGAGGACTTGCATCGGTCTTCCGTAGCATGTCTAAACGCACAGCGCAAGGTCCTCAAGGGTCAAAGGACACAGAGTTTGAATTCGGGATGCAGGGCACGCCAGATGACAAGCCTCAACGGGCCACGGCCGCCCAGCTAGCCAGTCGAAAGTAAGTTGCTTCATCTTTTTGGTTGCCTTTTTATGCCCCTACGCCCACAAGACGTGCAGTCAATTATCAGACTCGGAGGGGATATCAGAACGGGCTTGAGTGTGTTGGGAGCTGGTGGGTGTGGAGGTGGGCATCGCGAGTTCAGTTCACCTTGACTTGACAAGCAAAGGAAAGCGACAAGGCCTATTTGTGGCCTGTTCGCGCCTGCCTATCTTGCAACTGCCCCATATGGATATGGCACATGTTGACACACACACACACAATCGCCTTATCTGGATTGAGCACTTGTTTGACACAAACAACGCACGTCACACTCCCAAAGTACAAACACAGTACAAATTCTGCCCACCGTCCCTCTTGTTCCATCTTCCTTCCTCTTTCTTCCCCGTCTCGCCTCGGACGTCCCATCGAATGCGCACCTTTTTTCTCTCTCGATTCAATCCTCCGAGACAATCTTTTTCTACACATCTTCTACGCAATTTCATCTTCACCATGGCCAAACGCAGTCTTGAACCTGAACTGACTCCTGATCCCTCTGACGTTGACAGGATCAAGGAAATTCGCAAGCGACCTCGTGGTACTACTCCAACTGGTGGCGCGGGTGAGTCGTCAATTGCATTCGGACAGCTATCATCTGCTCCAGCTTTCCAAGCCTCCTCGTTCTCAGCGCCTTCAAGTCAAACCGGAGGTTTCAACTTTGGTCAGGGTCAGAGTCAAAGCTTTCCAGGAGCTGCTGTGGCTCCAGGCCAGCCTAGCCAGGAAAGCGATTCGCCCTTCTCTTTTTCATCAAAGCCTTTCGGATTCTCTGCGGGCAGCACTGCGGGATTTAACGCCGCCTCGACTTCTACTCATAACCCATTTTCAGGCGCCTTATTCGGGGCTGCGAACACTGCGCCTGCTCAAGCCAATGCCGGTGCGGGTGCAGCTCCTGTGAGCTTTGGCGGGTTCGGAAATCAACCTGCCTCGCAGCCAACCTCCTTATTCGGCACTACCCAGACCGCAAACTCGTCCGCTGATTCCTCTGCGGTTGCCAGCATCTTTAAGCGCAAGGACCCCACAGATACGGCCGAACCCGCCCCGGCAGATTCCATGCAGATGTCTCCTGAGGCGAAGCCTGTCACCACCAGCAAGAGCAATTTTTGGCAAATGGCCAACCCAAACGAGCCGTTCCGAAAGCCAGCCGCCACAAGCAATCCCTTCTCGTTCCAATCGGCGACTGCGGACGCTGGAAAAGCTACATCTTCCCAAGAAAAGGCGGACAGTATTTTTGCGTCAAAACCGGCTTCTACGCAGTCGGCTCCGGCCTTCTTTGCCTCCCAGGCCCCCTCGTCATCCAACATATTCGCACCCCAAGCTCCGTCAAGTAATCAAACTGCAGATTCACCTTCGACAAAGCCAACAAATGGTCTCTTTGGAGCTGCTGGCACCACACAGTCTAATGCCTTTGCACCTGTCGCAGAGAAGTCATCGTCGCAGGACCTGTTTGGCTCGAATTCGAGCGGACAGGATAAACCAGCAGTGCCTACAGCGAGTCTCTTCGGAGCCGCTGGCACGAAGCCGTCGAAAGTTTTCGGATCTGTACCGGAGACGTCGTCATCGCAGGGCTTGTTCGGCTCGAATTTGAGCGGAGATGGACAACCGGCAAAGCCTGCAAGTAGTATCTTTGGAGCGCCTGGAACAACCCCGTCAAGTCTTTTTGGACCTGCAGCGGAAAAGTCATCGTCGCAGGGCTTGTTTGGCTCGACTTCGAGCGGGCAGGATAATCCAGCAGTGCCCACAGCGAGTCTCTTCGGAGCCGCTGGAACAAAGCCGTCAAAGATTTTCGGCCCTGCATCGGATAAATCGTCATCGCAGGGTCTGTTCGGCCCGAGTTCCAGCGGAGACGGAGTGTCTGCAAAGCCAACCGGGTCGAATCCATTCGGCGGTCTGTTTGGTACAAATTCGAGCACCTCACAAGCTCCCTCACCCACCAAGCAAGCCGACGCCCAGCCTTCCGGCGGTCTTTTTGGAGGGCCTGCTGCTGCTAAGTTAGGCTCACAGTCTGGCAACTCTCTCTTCGGTGACAGTGCCTCTAGGCTTTCGCCCCCATCAACCACTCCCAGTTCTCAAAGTCTCTTCTCTTCGAAACCCACAGTCGAGCAACCTGCACCCAGCCCCGCGAAGCCCCTTGTCAACAATTCCGACAGCAAGGCTTCAGATGGCCCTCTCAAGCCTACATCAACTCTCGGTCCAAAAAGCGGCATGGAGAAAAAGGGTGCTTCAGATCTCCCATTGCCAACCCTTCCATCCGGAACCAGCCCGGAAGTGAGAGCGAATACGGAACTTCTGTGGAAAGTCAGAGGGCTCGACGCGGTGTTTAAGGAGCGTGTTCTTAAGTACGAGCCTGGAGTTCATGGCTTCGATGATCTTATTCTGTTCTACATCAAGGTGCGGAACGGCATGGGTGCGCCACTGAAGGGTGCCCCGGAGCCCAAGCGACAGCCTACACATGATGCTAGCTTGAGCGGCTCCACGACATCTGGCGTGTTTGCCAAATCTTTCTCTGCCCCTGGCTCAACTCATGCGGTGCCTGCATCCTCGTCAAGCAGCACGACAAACCTGTTCGCCAAAGCCGCTGCCAATGGGAGTGTGTCATCTCCAGAAACGACTGGCCCCATCGCCTCTACAGCGAAGCCTCCCAGCAGTCTATCTGCCTCGCCGTCGTCACCTGCGCCGAGCTCAGCTGACTCTTCTAAACTAGCTGGCAATATGTTTGCTCAGTTAGCTCCCCAAACATTACAGAAGGAGGCCACAGCGCCGGCTCTTCCTAAATTTGGCGGTGGCGGTACAGTAGATTTCATGGCCCAATTCAAACAAAAGGCTGAAAAGACCATGAAGGAAGAGAAAGCCAAGCGCAAGGCTGAGGAATTTGACTCGGATGAAGACGACGAAGAGGAATGGGAGCGTCGCGATGCTGAGAAACAGCGTGAGAAGCGTGCTAAGCTTGAAGCTGACGGAGCCAAGAAAAAGAAATCCGTCTTCCGGAATGGGAAATTTGAATGGGTAGATGTTGATGAGCCAACTGCAGCGGAGCCCACCACCACCACTTCGTCTACGCCTTCGGACAAGGCTGTTGATCAGCCTGTTGATAAACCCGCAGGCGAGTCCTCTGAAAAACCAGCAACCAGCAGCCTGTTTGCGCCTTCTAGCGGAGCCTCTTTCAATGCGTCCTCCCCGGGTTCTACTACTGGATCGATCTTTGAGTCATCTGGTCAACCTTTGCCTGCATCCGAGAATATCTTTGGTCGTCTCACGCCGAGCCAGAATGATTCAGGCAAAGAGAGCGACGAGTCTGATGAGGAAGGCAAGGTTGAGTTCACCAAGCAGACGAATTCCCCAGAGACGACGGATGCCGCCAAGTCCAGTCTGAATGCGCCGCTCCCAGCGCCAACTGTGGAAGCTGGTCGAAGTCTTTTCGATCGAGTGTCGTCGCCAGCACCAGCAGCTCAGAAGGAGTCCGCGTCGTCTACTTCCGGCCTGTTTTCCGCCAGCTTCGGTCAAGGTAGTTCTTTCGGTTCGCCTGCAACCTTCGGACAAAACGGCGCGACGTCTACCCCAGACAAGAGCAGCAATCCTTTTGGTCAAAGCTTGTCCTTTGGCCAGAGCACCGCTTACACGCCTGGAGTCGACAAGACCTGGAAGCCCAGCTCACCGATCAAGTTTGCTGCGGGCTCAGCGCCAGTAGCTGCTTCAGCGCCGGCTTCAACTTTGGCTTCAACTCAGCCGTCAAGTGAGGCCGGCTCAGGGGCTGCCACCCCTGACGAAGAGATCAGTACTGGCGAAGTCTTCGACATGTCCAAGGCAAACGCAGGCGAGGAAGAGGAGAATGTTGTTTTCGAGTGCAAAGCCCGCGCTTTCAAGCTGGCTACTGGTTGGCAACTACAAGGTACCGGTATCTTGCGTTTGCTGCAGCATCCTGGAACCAAGCGAGCTCGCATCGTGCTACGTGCCGACCCTGGCGGCAACGTCATCCTGAACACGTTCCTCAAGAAAGATCTTGACTATACTCGTCAAGGGAACAGTGTCCAGTTCTTGGTTCCTCGGGCAGACCAAGCTCAGCCTGAGCATTGGACTGTTCGTGTAAACGCGCAGTCCATCGAGAAGCTCCACCCGAAGATGCAGGAGATCAAGAACTAAGCCTGGCATTGAGGGTGGGAAAAGAAAAACGACGATGAGCGTCTCCAGGCGGATGTGATTTTTTCTCACGCCTTTTCTCTCCATGGCCTCTGCGGCTCTTTCATTTCTGTCACTATTTGTTTTCCTTCATATTTCTTTATCTTCCTCCGGCATGCATTTTTTTTATTTTCATGTTGAATGTACGATATCAACCGGAGTTTTTTTCATGCCAATTTTGCTGTCTTTGATTTTCGTTCTCATATCATTACATAGGTTCATAGCGAGGCTCCGCATCACGTCACTTGATTGGAGTCAAAACTAAGCGACGCATGAATCGTGCACAAAGGACGCGTCGTAATCCTCTTTGGGAACTGTCATTTGTGATCGAGTACATGTTCATAGTCATACGTAATTCATCCTGTTGCGAATCTTCACAGTCTGGATATCATGTCTTCCTCTAATTACCACAGACTAGACGTGACAGTTTGATTTTACTACCATGGGAAAATGGTGCAGGTACAGTTGAGATTCTCTCGAGAGAAAAGTTGTGGCAAGAAGGTGATTTTTATTTTTGAAAAGCCCCGACCGAGCCCCATTGGCGATATGGAATCATAGAAGTGACAGCATCAATTGCATTTCCGAAAAGAAACCATTTACGCGTCATCAACGGTAGCAGTGTGGAGACCCTTGGCGCTCTTGACGTTGACAGCCTGGACGTGGGAGTAGAGACGCTCCTTGGCACCCTCCTCGTCGTTACGCTTGCGGGAGATGCGGATACGGAGACGGAAGGGAACACCCTTAATACCGGCCTCCCAGACCTTCTTGTTCAGGGCGGGGTCAACACGGACATCCTTGGTGCCCTATTAGAAGTTGAAACAATCGTGGTCAGCGACTGCGCGGCGGGATTGAACATGGGATTCCTCAGGAGGAAATTTTTTGACTTACCATAGCCTGCTCGGCGAAAGCACGGATCTCCTTGATAGCACGGGGAGCACGCTTCTTGAAGCTGACACCGTGGCACTATAACCGACGAAGAAGGTTGCAATTAGTCTTCCGTCCGAATGCCATCTGATTTGAGATTTAGAGGATCTCTGCGAGAATCGTTTGATTCGTGTTGAATCGGCCATAGAGGTGGACTTCATAAAACTAATTTCTTCTTCTTTGCGATGGAACACGACTGGATGGAGAGACATTCGCTTCATCGGTTTTCTCGAGAGATATTGATTCGAGGCTTCCGTTGACGGTTGCCCACATCAAATCTCGGACAAGAACCGCTCAAGGAATGTTTCCCGATCTGATCGTCACATGGTCTCGACGAGGGAGCCTTTTTTGGTAGGTGTTCTTCCCCGTCTTCGCATTCGATTGTATTTCGATGGAGACGCGGTGGTGTGGTTTGGAATGTGGTTGTAGAAACAGGAAAAGACAACAATATTTCAGTTGCCAATTCCGAATTCTCCGCACCCAAGTGCGCACACACACTGTTTTTTCCTCGAAGAAGAAACTCCATGTTTCAGGAGAGTGTGTTCTCTGTCCAATGTTTTGCCTCCACGGTTGTTCCGGTTTCTTCACAGAATCGAATCGATTTCTCAAAGGGAGAAATGGGAAGGGGGATATAGGGTGGACAGACGATCTCGTCAGAGATTTTCCGTCTCACAGTTCAACATACCCGCTTGTGGAGGTTGATGGTGTACTCGCGCGACACCACGTCCGAGATAGCCGAGCGGGTCTTCTTGCCGGTGTTTGCGGAGGACATTTCTGGGATTGAATATGTTAAAATCGATGTTGGCGTTATGCACGACAAAAGCGCAACGGTGAGGGAGAAAGACTGACTGATGGTCTGGGGGGGGGGGTTGGTCGGCGACTGTGGGCGGAAGTTTTCGATGAGGAAATTCAATTTTCGAGTTGGCGGGTGAAGTTCGTGTGGACCGCTGGGTGCGTTTGTCGGGTGGGCTCGCTTATGGATCTTTGCGTCCGTTGATTGGTAGTTACCGAGTCTCATCATGTGACTAGAAAGTTGTGCCTCAGGCGCCAGTCGGATGAACCTTCCGGACAAAAAGTGCTAAAGTGGCCATGACCCGTCTCCACTCTCCACTCTCCACTGCTTTCTACCGGCTGTACACAACTTGTGCCCACTGCCCACTGTCTATTCTAGATGACTGATCGGAAAGATTGTGGAAAAAGGCTTGTGCCCAAATCATTGTGGATCTATGTGCCCGTGGTACTATGCATTGTATGCAATATATACCCTGTCATGGGCATTCACTTCCCCCTGACATCTATTTTGAGCTTTGGCCGCTCACATCAGGGTATACATCAAATCGTCGCTGGGTGTAGATGGGAATGCTCTTTCGAGTATTCACGATGGTTTCGTTGTCCAAGTCGGCATAGATGATAGTCTCCTTCTCATCGGCTTCCGTCAGGATACCCGCACTGGGGTCAGCAATCAAGCTGTGTCCATACGCGTGATAAGTCGCCTCGAGATCCCGCGAAGGGCTACACAGCGCGACGTAAGTCTGATTGTCCACGGCCCGAGCTCGACCCAACAGGGACCAATGCAAAGGACCGGTGGTGGTGTTGAATGCCCCGGGGTAGACCAGCAGGAATGCACCCTTGCGCGCAGCAATCATGGCGGACTCGGGGAATCGGATGTCGTAGCAGATGGCCAACCCGATTTTGCCGTACTCGGGCAGATCAATGACTGTCAACTCGTTTCCGGGCGACAAGACATCACTCTCTTTGAACTTGATCTTGCCCGGGATATCAATATCAAACAGATGCGTCTTGCGATGTGTGCCAATTAGGGAACCTGACGGCGAGAACACTAGAGAGGTGTTGTAGTATTTCTTGGACTCGGGCTCCAACTCGGGAATACTCCCGCCGATTAAATATGCGTTCGCCTCGGCAGCAATGGCGGACAGGGCGTGAAAAGAAGGCGATTGCTCCTTGGATGGGGGTGAGGGATGCAGCGTCTCTGCGTATTTGGGGAAAAATTGTGTGCCGTAGGGTGAGTTGAAGCACTCGGGAAGAACGATCAACCGGGCGCCTCCTTGAGCCGCTTCGAGAACTTTGCTGCGGGCGTGGGAGAGATTGGCGGCTTTGTCGGCACCTGGAGGAAAATCCTGGCGATGAGCACCTATCACAAGCTGAAGAAGTCCATGGTTCTGCGTCGCGTGCTACTCACCTGATGCAAGTTGGACCAAGGCTAGCTTGAGAGGCTTTTTGAGGAACGTCGCCATGATGTGAGAGGGTGACAGAGAGAGAGAGAGAGAGAGAGAGAGTGTGTGTGTGTGTATGTCTCCCGGTCGTGTTCAAACCCAGATGGAGGGAAAGAAGAGGATTCAACGAGCACCAATGATTGAAGTGTCCCCTCTGGTATGATGAGTAGGATGAGTACAGGAAGGGGCAGGAGGGGGGGCAGTTGGAGACGTCTCAGCGCGATGATCCGAGGTGCGGGGAGAATAAGGTACCCAGCCCAGTCGGATGAGGACGCGCGATTCGGGGTAGTCTTCTAGTTTTCGTCTTCGTCAACTTGCCAAGCGGTCGGTTGAGTTGAGGACAACTCCAAGCGTTGGGGTAGGTTCGGGGTCGAGGTGACTCCAACTCGTAAAATCTGGTGTCGGGGATTCCATCAAACTATAAAGTAGGTCCTCGAACATCGTTAGCACCCAAGGTTCAGTATGAGCAATCGAGTCTGACATAGAATTAAGCCTGTACTCGTACTATACATTGTGTAAACAGTGAGCTTTGTCAGTTATGTATGTCAGATTCGTGACCAGATGTTTTAATAAACCGAACCCGTCTAAACATACTCAGATCTGGAGTAGCTTCTGGAAAAACATATTTCGAGGCCTAGGTACCGACGCACCCGCAATGGTCCCATTCCCGTATGAACGGCACAAACTAAACCTCCCATTCATCACCTTCTGGACACTGGCTAGGCATCGGGCTCGGCATTCGGATGCAACTGACCGGTGGGGTGGCTGTGGCCGAATAGTTCAAGAGGTGTATCAATCAATGACTCGGGCGCATTGTCGCTGGGTACACTTTGGAGGTGTCGCGAAGACACATGTTAGTAAGACTGGTATTAACTTAGTGGTAACTCCTACTAGTAAGTACTAACGAACTGAAGCCTCGAGTAATTGGTGTCTGCACAGTTCGGTGCTACAGCAACTACCTCCACTTCCAATCCAAATTTTTTTTGACCGCGGAGTAGACACGCGAGGAGTGAGATCTGACTGAAGTGGACGTTGGGCAGTCGACAAAAGTGCAGTAGCGGAGAAAAAGGGTTGGATAAGCCTGTGGGTAAGTCTGCGGAACCTTATGCGGCGATCACTCGCGAGGCGCCACAATATCAAATGTACATGTTTGCCAACTGCGTTTTCGACTCAGTTCTGTGGCTTTCTGATGAGTCCGTTGTTTGACCTCTCGCGGGTACCTAAGGCTGTTTGTGTATGATGGAGCAATTACCCTTGCTCAACATTTGTGAACCGAACTCGTGGTTCAATGTGAAAGTGAGCTTATAAAAAGGGTTGCTCCTCTGTGATCCTTTTCCTTCCTGAGACCAACACTCATCTTGATTTGCCTACACGGTATTCAAAGTATGACAACCACTCATGACACCGACACGAGCGGTTTGATGGTCTGATAGCTTAGGTAAGCGAGCAGCTTCAACGCGAGCTGCTCCAGAGTCAAAAGCCCACTGCGAAAAGATCCAAAGGGGTCACGCACGTCCAGGAGAATCAAGAAGATCCCATCAATGCCATACAAGGCCACCAGAGTGGCAAACAGTCACCAGGTGGCATTTCGAGGGAAGCGATGAGTAAAGCATCGACGAGGATGATCAAGAGCAAGCACTTCAATTTCTCCCAGAGCGCGTGACCCTGTCGGGTGAGGTTGGATAGAATCCAAATCATGAGGCGCAACATGCACGGGGAACTGGGGTTGCCGACGATGACCACCAATGTCATTGAAAACAACGGAAGCCCTGCGGTCTGGAATGAGTTCATCGAGTCGGGCGTCAAGGTGAACCCCAGGTCATTGAATGCCGACCCTGCGGTGAAACCAAACCCCCAACACCAGGGACGTCCAATCCATCGGATGTAACCACGTTGCCCCGATGGTTCATGGTCCTCATCCAAGGGACAACAAAAATGACTCCAATGACATGAAAGCCCATATGTCAGGCAATCAGCACCACGGCGAGCGTTTTGAGCGCACGATATTCAATTCCGCCCCACTCATCACGCTGATCCTCAGTCAGGTCCACAAAGTTGGAGTTTGGAACCACGGTCGCGTTCCTAGATTTGCTCATCATAGAACATGAACTCCCCACCCCACCTTCAGTCACCCTCAAGGTAGGCTGGAAGATCTGTCACAGATCATCAGCAAAGTGGGACAAGTACTTGTGTCGGACGATAGAAGAGGAAGAATGAACAGGGTCTCTACCGGCGCGGGGCTTGAGACAAGACCGGAGTTTTCTAGACCTCGGCCCAGCGAGATCCAGAATACCGTTTTAGGTGCGAGCGAGTCTATATCAAAGGAGTCCCCTGTTTGCTTTGTGTTGTCTGAGCAGTCTTCTCAAAGTCTGGTAGACGAGTGGATTTCCTAATTGGAAATGCATGTATAAGGATATTCTGGCGCTACAACCACTCCTGTCGTGTTTGAATCTAACACATTCCGTCCAGTAAGGGTTGGAATATGGCATTATTACTCCGCTCTTCGTAAGCAAAATTTTCTGGAAATTTGTCGCCAACACGAGGTCGTACAGCCTCGTACATTAGTTTATCGGTTGAGTGTAGTCATTAGCTGTAAGTGCTACCGTCTGATACCCACTTCATGATTGTAATGGACGCGATCGCTGCCGCCGGTGTAAACGCCCAGAAACCGCCCTTCCGAGAGGAGAGGAATTGGCGATTCAGAGGCTCCGGAATCAAATCATGGATTGAACCATATAATCGGAAAAGGGGCATATTCCTCAAAATCTCCAAACATCGACTTGCCAACCAAGAAGAGCATCACACCTAGCACAAACGCTTGAATCTGTACTTTCCAAAAACGAGCCCTCGAAGCTGCGTCAAAGCTCTTCCAGGCGTCCAAGATCCCAAGCGGGACATTATTCATGAGCCTAGGATCTAAAGGCACGATAGGGTTATCGTCGGCGGGCAGCATTGAGACTGCCATGCGAGTAAAAACTGCACGAATCGGGAGGGCAACCAAGAACTCCATGAACTTCGGAAATATGCTCACAATCCAGATTCTTGACCCGAGTTGCGCTGGTTCTTTAAGATGGACTCCATCGGGCATGAAAAGATCTTGTTGAATATCCATAATACCAGTAACCCTCAGAAGTTCTGCTTGGAACAAGACAGCAGCCGAGAAAACCAGCCAGCGGGTGAGAACCTCGACAAACAAAACGGGGCTGACTCGAATCCAGCAGGTGAATTTGGGCATGCGCTGATGTAAAGACTTGTGCGATGCCTTAGTCGAAACTATATGCAACCAGACAATTTGGAGTTCTGCCAGAAGAGATGCGTGGATTGCGGATTGAATTTTTTCAGCCCATGGTGTTTCGCCGTTCATAGGCAGTAGCCAAGGTAAGATGGCATCTTTGGTCACGACATGAAGTAAGAAGGTGAAGAATCCTCGCAGGTAGAACCAACTTCCGAGATGGACACGCAGGTAGTGAAAAATATCGCACACGCTCGTCCTTTGGTGCGTAATGAGGAATTCCGACCCAGCATCTTCGATGATAATAATCGTACCGATAATCATACTGTAAGTGTAATGTATCTGCAATTTGATCAGAGCCTATGATGTGAGCCCGGAAGGTAGATACATACCAGCCATGACAGTATAAGTAAAGCTACCTCTAGTAGCAGGGAAGCAGAACTCGACAGGGTGGTCATGTCGTAAATCTACAACGTGTTCTCGTAAAGAGGAGGGCAAAAGGTGTTCTCATTTATATGACCCACTGCTATATGCCCCACAAAGACGTGATACAAAGCCTCTGGGCCAAGAACGTGCTGTGTGACATTCTTTATGTACACCTACGGTGATGTCTCCTTCATAATAAGCGCCGCAAAATCACGTGCACTTACTGAGTGCTTGGAAGAACTTCAAATGACCGGCATAATATAGACGAGGAATATCGCCTCTATGAGGCATTTTTGGTCTGCCCCACAGTTTGCGCGATACTAAACATGGCAGGATGTACATTGTAGTGATTGTACTATGTACACAGTAGGCATACGGGGTACCTACTAAATATTGGCAAATCGGGCTTCGTAATTGGGTCGGAGGTGCGATCTATCGACCGGTTGCTCCTCACTGGCACAAAGCACATTCCCCACAGCTGTTAGGGTTCTTCCCCCCCATCGGACGCAACTGAATCCCCACTTCAAATTGATTTCCTTCATCATCTTCCACTATCCAAACCGCGTTGGTGAGACCTTCTTTCGATACTCCATTCACCAAATCTTTGATTAGCCCCCCTGTCGACTTGTCGCTATCACACTGTGTACTTTGGGTGCCGTGAGTCGTCAAGGCGGAGATGATGGTAATTCCGTTAGACGTATGGCCCACGATGACATCCACGGTCTTCCAAAACGTCTTGAATGCCTGGTGGCCGGCAAAATTGGCTAGCGCTTGGGCTACCCGAGTGTTACTGATTCTCCCGCCTAGGTCAATTGCCCCAAGGCAAATAGTGTGAAAGGTACAATAGCCCCATTCAAACTGACGTGGACTTAAAAAATGAGGCGATGTCCCGTTCACAGACTCCCACGGGGTCAGCTCAAGCGGGGAGGACCAGAGCTCTTGCACAGCATTCAAATCTTCCTCAGCGAGAGGGAGGAAAACACCAAAGGCGTCATCCAGGTATGACCCATCCTCTGAATGATTGGTCTTGCTGACCGTTTGAAAGCCGCCGTGCATGATAGGCACCTTCATCGTCTCCGCAGTCTCCTCGGCAAGGTTGTATTGAAAGTCGGTCACGAAACCCTTGTTGACAGAGACGGACGGGTCGCGTTTTCTCGAGACCGGGATTACCTGGACCGCTTTGCCTGGAGCATTGTGGAAAATTTCCAAGTCGAGGCAGCCATTGAAATTGGCAATTGTGCCGACGATGCTGCCAGTACAATCTTCGTGGTCGTAGACGTTAACCTCGTAGAGGTCGTCGTGGATGTTGTCAATCTTGACGAGCACAGAGGATGCAACCCCCTCGGCCAACTTTGTACAAGCGCTGGGTCCAGCAAGGCGGAGCACACCAACTTCCTCGCCTGTACAACGCTCACCGACGTACTCGAAGAGGCGGTATGCCTGAGCAAATCCGACAAGCGCGGGTAGGATGAGAGATCGGAGCATTTTGAACATGAATATGCACAGAAGGATATTGAGCGACCAATTTGGATCAGAAGGCACGAGATGATGATGAAGAATCTGCCATTCAATGACCGGCACACGACTGGCTTTTATAGGCACTGGGACCACAGTCTTTCCGGGCAGGAGTCTTGGATGTGACATCTGGAAATGTGGACAATGTGCATATCTCCATGGAACCGCCCCTGGCTATGCCCGCTCATCGTGAACTACTGACGCAAGTCTGCTCTTAGTGCGCACACCAGGATTCCATCGTTACATTCTCGACGCTGCTATATGATTGAGTGAGGATGACCCACCGTCTGCTGTGCGAAATACACTGTCTACCGTATTAACACTAGATGTTCCAAGGTACACCAATGGCGATAGATAGTGACATCACAACCAAACGGCGTGTGGGCCATTTGGGACACTGAAATTCGATGCTAGGAATCATCCTTGTAGTTTCAGCTTCGTCGATGCAAAAAGACCAAAGATAATTCGCACCGCTAACGGCGTCAACCGTCACCATACATATTTTAGTGGGTTATTGATGGGCCGTGGGAGCTGGTGGTGGTGCTGGGTCAAATCGGCAAGGTTGAAAACTAAATCCGTCTTTCCAGAATTCCACGGACGAGTAGGCCACTTTTATTTTTTTTCACAGACCTAAATGTCCTCCCAGGTATCAACTACGCACTTTGTGCCGGTTCTTGGGTACGCTGGTCTTCGGTAAGTCTTTCTTCCTACATGGCACGCTTTGCGCATTTGCAGCGGAGTAGGTATAAAGCTCATACATCCAATGGATGTGAATGCCTGCTGAACCCAGGATATCGTGTCTGTTCGTCGTTATGTACTTCTGCTTCGCGGACATGGACCTACCTAGTAGAAACCGTGACCAATGGGTCGATGCGGACACGAGCAGAAGTGATGCCTACAGGAGCTACTGTAAGGCCACCCGATCGGCCAGGAAGGTGTCCAGGGACTTAGATGGACTGCGCGATTTTGACGAGTCAGAACTAATAAAATAATGTGAATAGTTCGGAGTTAATCTTGTGTTTTGCAGATTTGAACCAGCGGAGTTAATAGTCATGCGCCGCTGTGCCCTTCCCGGAAGTAAATATTGGGGGCTGAAAGTATAAGCACTCCGACCTTTCCGTCTTGAATGCTAGAACCATCATAGGGTGTCAATCTCTCAACGCCACTGACGGGTTAGCTCGACTCGGGATAGTTTTCTGTGGGGAACACCATAGGACACTATTGTTTGCGAATACCGTACTGGGGCCAATGCTTGCTGGAAGGAGTAACTTGGTCGATTCTCTGGTGCGGTAGCAGAAGCAAGCATGATGTCGGCATCGCGTGTATTGAACATTCAATACCAGTGATATCGTTTACATATAATAGTGAGTCTGTGGTCGTTGAGTCAACGTTGCCGTGGGCAAAGAGGTCCTGTTGAAGAACGGTGGCCAGAACTGGTTCCAGCAATAGCACGTGGTTAAACTCACGGTCACCGTTCTCAAGGAAAATAATAGGACCTCACAGTCTGTCAACATCAATCTGTCTTAATATGACTGCGTTCAAATCGTGGACCACACATTTGTGTTCTAAGAAGAGCGTATCATCCTAGGGCACGGGGCAACTTGAGCCACGTGCATAAGTGGCAGCTGAAAACTGGGTTATCCTATGATTCACGTAAATTTTCCGTAGGAACACCACACTGGACGCCTTAAAAAATCTGCAGCGCTCATGAGCTCGCACTACGTATCTTGTTGAACGACGACTAGGGTGGCGATGGATGACTATCGCTGGCAGCCACCTTAACGCTCGGAAGTTCCGCCGCAGAACATCAACAACGGGACTCACTGATTCAGTCTGATTGTCACCACTGCAGTGTCCACCGTCAATTTTTAGTTACTTTTCGCCCACGTCATATCATACTGTACTACCAAGGAGCATCAAGCCTTGCCTTCGGTCCTCACCCGTAACACGCGTCATCTGTCCTCGATGCCCGTAAACCTCGCAAACCCCACACGAACAACTCCTGCCGCCACGGCTAGGTAGCCTCTGAACAAGCCTTCTCACCAATTGAGACTACTCGAGTTGCAAGAATCACCCAGATTGGGCCGCGCTAACATGCACCGGATCACAATCACTCTACTAACACTATACTTCTACATGGCATCCCATGGAAGACAATGCCTATTCACGAAGTTCCCAGCGTGATTGAGGGCCACTCAATACCTTAGTCGAAGAAGAATACGACCAGTGACCCTACGAACATGCGCAACCACATAAAACATAACGCTCTTGAGCAGATTCTTCATTTATACGAATTTTTGAGGGCAGATCTTGGCTTCTTCAAGTCACCCGAATACTCGTCTCTGACACCGCGACGAGGTGCCTGCATGTCGCCAGAGGATCAGGCGAGGGCCGGGCCGCCGCGGGTCACCTAAACGAGCATAATTTTGACGACGCAGGGCTGAAGACTGCGCGAGAGAAATCGGTGTCGCAGCACCCCCCTACGGAGAACAGTTGGTGTCGCAGAGGTTCATCCTGCAGAAAGCGTCATTTTTGATTCACTGGGTTGACACCAGCAAAAGCCAAGACTTCAAGCCGAGGCCTGCAAGCAGACACAACAACACTATGCCGTCGTGGAGGATAGGGATCCAAGTCCTGATTTTCCAGACCGGTCATATAGCCTCCTTTTATGCCCTCTCACCTCCGTCTGACCATAGTTGCCAGCTATGCAGATTTCTTGGGAAAAGTCATGTATTGTGTTGTAGTCACACGGTCTTTGCTGTCGATACCATTATCCCGACAGTCGTTGAAACAGCTTTTAGAGTTCGTAGCTCGTCTCACGAAGTGCTCCACCCCGAACCGTGGATTGAACGATCCAGACGGGCCGCCCCCTTAGATCCACATCGAAATTGTCTCTCGCATTGATATTGTTTATGCCTTTACGGTGTATCACCTTTAACAAATCGTGGAATAACGAGGATTCTGCTCGGATTTACCTAACGAGATAGAGACTCAGCTGTTACTAGGGCCGCCCTGGACGGCCAAATGATGGGGACTTACGGGCGAATAGGGCTCGACGCTTTTCCCTCTGCGGCAATGTTCAAAGTCTCCATGTCGGCTTCTGTCATCCACACAACCAACCAGATGCAGGGCAGACTGTCGACTACACTTTATTTACGACATCATGTTCTCAACTTGAACGATGACGCACCGCAATCTTTGACTACTACCGTTCAATGGTGTGACCTACTTACTGCCCAGAAGAGCTCCGCGGTTATCCGATTCATGGTACGCCTGAGCAAGATTACGTACAACCTGTCTTTGCAAGTTATTCTGACGGGGGTTATGTCCCAACAGACACTGTCCGCCAGTCAAAATCAATTTGCTCCCGACTGTTACATGCTCTTGGCCAGGCATTGATACGAACGCCATTTCCGAGACTTGAAGTAGGATTTTTCTGGCGGTGTTCAACCTCATATTTCACCGGGAACCAGTTATAGGCTCCTACGTGATTTTTCGTGCCTCTGGATGATTGCGTAGATTCGTTGTCCGATTAATACAGAAGGCACAGCGCCATGGAAAGAAATGCCTTATATCGTTTAGCACCTTGAGCCACTGTCTTCGTCTGTAGGGTATCTTCACTGTATAAAGTTTTATCAACACAGACGCATAGAAGGCCGCTACGGTCGGTAACTCGAATTATTACCAGTTGATCCTGGGGTGTAAGATACATCATTCCAAGCAAAATAGAGTCAATAACTTCTGCCATCTTTTTGAGGCAGAGCATGGCATCACCGCAATCTCGCTTCCCCAATACAAAAGTCCCGTCGTAAAGAGCGGATAAAAACATCTCACAAGAAGTCAACAGAGTCCTGATTTGCATTGCATAATTAATATCACTCATCGACAGCTTGCCTAAATGTCTGCGGATGAGATCATTCTGCTTCTCATAGGCATCGATTATTTGAGCGTGACAATCATCGGCAAGACGTTCTCCTCTTACGAGGGTCGCAGATGCCCGACACAGTAATCTTAAGGCCCCGTCAATTGTTGACCGGATTTCGTGTGTGATAGATGGAATTGATAATTGAAGAGCCGATACTTGCTCTTCTACAGTGCGCTGGTCGCGAATATGGCGTGTCTCACACGCAAATCAGTCTTTTTGCTGATTGCCGCGTAATACGAGCCATCCCAATACGTCGTCGCATAAGGGGTCATCTTGGAAATGTCGATTCCAGAGAAACAAGACAATTTTCGCGATGGCAAGGCCACTAAAGAAATTTGCGTTCCCAAACAATTGTCTCAACGACCCGTTTAGGGCACTGAATGCTCTACTCTGTTTACCGCGGCTTTCAGACAGGGCGTCGTCTGCGAACCTAATAAATTTCAAATCGGTTGGGCCATTATGTGGTTTCTCCAACGCTCGTGAGATGAGAGTGGCAGCTTACCATGGTTCGTCTTTGGGAATGTCCTTGTCCCTTCTTTCACCTTTTTTGTGGCACAGCTTTCTTATTTCTTCCGCTATTTCCGGAAGAGCAAACTGGGACGTCAGTTCCGAAAATGCAGCGACAAAGTGGTACATCAAGAAGGTCCTATATTCGGGTCTGCAGTCGGCTTTATTCACAGCGCATAATGGATGAAAAAATTGCAACACGACTGTGGTATGGCCTTTGATAAAAGAGATTTCCTTGCGCCCTAGTCGGTAATCTTCGCCTGGTAGCTCGATTTGCTTCAGCCATTCGTCGCAATATGCGTCTCGGTGGCATCTTAATATGACTTTTGGTTACTTCGCCCTAAGGATTTGTGCGAGGACTTTGTGACATTGTTCATCTTGCTCCGTTGCATATTGATGAGGTTGAAAAGAGAATGCGTCCAGTACGGTGACAGTATGTATGCTTCGGGCACCTTTGGTAGCGACGCGAATGAGTTCGTCGACTGCCCACAGTGTCTTGCAATTTCCGACAAAGTCTTCGAAAGTGTCGTCGAATTTGTGGTTCGTTCTGTGGAGTGTACGTTCCAAGAGAAGCACTATGTCCGAAAAGCCGGCCGACAAGTTCTGCGCTTGAGTAATTTCGTCCTCGGGCCGAAGTAGAGCTTTGCCGAATTCCTCGAGGATCTCAATGGTTTCGAGATCTCCGCGGGTAGGGAGGCAGACGGGCGGGGCACGAACCAGCTCTTTCATCGACAGAGGAACAGGGATATCTAAGCACGTTTGAATATCGTGAGAGTACTTTTTTTTTTTCAAGAGGTTGTGTGTCAACATCTGCTCTTTAGGGGGGGGGGGGGGGGGGGGGGATGTATGGAGTCATCCAAGTGAGTTATGGTGTTGTCAATCTGGTGATCATGATATCACGTGCGCTTACAGGTAGCGAGCGAGAGGGCGGATCTTATTACGATCCAGACTGGTGCAATTGATGGGAGATGTTTGTATGATGGTTCTGCGGCTGCCATTCACTCACCCCCATACCATAGCTGAGGTAGAATCTCTCCTCAGTAGCAATCTCACATCATACAGCTGCCCCTATCGTAGCTGTCCATCATCAGGAAGTAAGCGTCCGCGAGTACAGACGCGGTGTGTATGAGGAGAGAAACTTTCTGATATGGGTTTATAGGACCCTCGGTGGTGAATCGGCAGAATCATCCAAACTCCTTTGAGTTTTATGGAGACGTGGATGCCCTTGGAACGACGTTGAAAGTGACTCTTCACTCACCGTGGGAGAAGATCCTGTCTATTCACTTGATCTGTGGATTCTCGAGGAATCTCAGCATCGTCGATTGATCAAATGCAGTAACCGACTACCCTCCACATGACTCTCAACTTCTCGACTCTTCACAGGGCTCAAACCCAGATCGCACATGTCCTTGATTCAAATAATAGTGATTCGACTCCACTACTGCAAGGAAATACGAAATACTGAAATCCCCAATCGGAGTAGGATCCGCCAAGATGCCCTCTTTTCCAGGGAATCCAGGCCCCGTCTGCCGTCCATCGAAGACGCGGAACCCTTCCATTTTTCCGTCACGTGGTCTTGCCCCCGGAGCCACCGACTGGCTCAGCCGTCCGATCGGCCATGCAAGAAATTTTAGGGTTCCAGGCTAAAAGTTCAACACGAGGCGAATTTCACTGGACTACACTTTACAGGACTACTGCAAACCACTGCCGGTGTGCGCCCTGTAGGGTGTCTCTCGTGGCAATTCGTGGTTCCTGATTCTCCTCCCTCTCTCATCTTTCTCGTTGACTCAGTGCAATATATCCTTCATGTCCCCAGGGAGTTTTTGGGGCGGGAGAGACAACGCACTTACACGCTCGGTCTGACTGCGGGATCACGGCATCCAGTTTAGACTTCTGCATCCGTCTTCGCCATTGCATTGATCTGCCCGAAGCCGGGCTCACTCTTTCCGACACCGCCACAGCGTCCCCCCCTCCCCTCCGTCTCTCGAGCGGAGTTTCTCTTTCAATAGGGCTTGCTGCGTTGCGCCTGATCCTGCATTCTGCGGTCGGATTCACAAGATTCCTTCGTTTTCTTCTCTTCCGTTTCACTGCCTGGCCTCGGTCAGATAACCCCCTATACAAGCCTTTCTTTTTCGGGTGGTGTACAATGTTCGAGGATTTCTCCTTCTCAACACCCTCGTCACGGCCGGGCCGTCTCTCGGTGGATGTGGACGATCGGCTTATGGTCGATTGTGACAGCAGTTTGGTCTCGCCATTGTCTTCACGATGTCCGTCTCCTCAGTCCCACCGATTTCGCAACCTATCTCACTCCCGACCATCCTACTATCGTTCGCAGCAGCAGCAGCAGCAGCAACAACAACAACAACAACAACAACAACAACTCCATAACCACCACCAACACCAACATCAACAGCCTCCGACCTCCGTCCCTTTCCCTTACGAATCCAAACGCCTCTCCATATCCACCTTGACACAAAAACTTCATGAACATACTCTGCACACGTCGGGGGCTGGTGACCTTGCAGATCGCGGCCAGCGGCCGCTGGACGGGCCGAGACTTCCGGGCCGATATGCCGGTTATGTTCTGACGCCGCCGGACACGGATCACGACAGCGACGGACGCGGTGAAACGTCTCCGTCGCTTTGCTCCAACCCGAGTCCAACGTCAATTCCACCGGAATTCCTCACTCTCGACCGGGTGGAAACACCTCATTCCATCCCGGAACTCCCTGATCATCTCGACGTTCGTCTGCAACGGCAACAGATCTCTCAATTGCAATGCAACGAGGGGGACATTGATGCCGTGCGTCGCACAGTCGTGGAAGAGCCCTTCTCATACCATCCGGACTTGTCTTCGGATGACTGTCATCCCAGTTCCTTACCGCCACGATCCTCCCCGCGGCGCAGAGCTTTGACATTGCAGCGTAGCCGGTTTGGACCAGCTGATACGCCCACGACCGAGGCCCGAGGTGGACGACGTCGAAGCAACTCTTGCGCAATACAGTCTCATCGTATTGAAAAGAATCACCATCCCTGCCACCCTTGGCGGGATATGTCGAAACGAGGCGACCATCATGGTCTTCGCAGGATGAGCATGGTGAGCGCGGCCTTGGCATCTGTTGTTGAGCGGCCTTGATGGATATATATTGTGGATCTGTTTGGTATAAGCCTGTGGCCTACTTTGGTTATTTTTTCATTCTTCACTTTCCTGTATATAGTATTTTGGATTTGATACCCGATTTTTACCTCTTTTCTGTTCAATTACCCCTGGTCTTACAATGGCGGTGTGTGTCTGCTTATCACAGAATATCCCGGGGGCGGCAAAGTCATTCTTGAATTTGCCTGCACGCATACAAGAGTATGTGAGCGGCCGCATAATGTAAATAGACTATATTTCAGTTAGTCATCGATTGTTCATGGATCCATCTTACTCTTAAATTTGTTAGTCCAACTTTTCCCGCCTGTCAGCCTGTAGCCGGCGGCTGCGCGGCAAATCCGACTCGACATCCTGCGCTCCGATGTTGGACGCCTAATTTGAACGACCTAACGACCGCTGCAATGATCATGTCGAGGTCATCAAGATAACCCATCATTGATGCTCCTAAGTGCCTCAGGGTAAACCATCAAGAACCCCGATCGCCAGATCCTAGTAGACTTTTCTTCTCACAAAGCATACCCATACACACACACACACACACACACACACACACACCCCCTCCTCAGCTTCCCCGTCTTCCTACCCTGCCGACACCATGACATCCAATTCCAAACTACCGGATCCCCATGCAGCCTTGTCGCGACTGCAAAGACCCAGATTCCAAGTCACACCCTATATCTTCGGCATTCAAGCCGTTCCTCTTCTCGGCAGCGGACTCTTTTCATTGATTTTTCCGGCTGCGATGGCCAATTTTCCGAATTCGCCGATGCAGGGGTTGAGTATGGGGACTATTCAGGCGTTGAGGTACGTTCATTAAAGAGCTCGTTTTTTCGCTACCCTTCGATCTTTGCTTTTCTCGCTCTTTGTTTCGCGCTTTACACACATCTCGTTCTGGACCCTTGGTGCCATATCTACCTCCTAGACCCTCCAACCATAACCGAGATCCGAGAGACAAGAGAGGCATTTGATAAATTCATATCCTGCCTTCAACATACGGATATGCCGTCTGGATCTACGTTGGTACCTTATATCTACCTGGCACCCTCAAGCCCCCAAATCACCGACCTTTGTCTCCTCTGCTTCTGCTCCAGCTCCAGCTCCAGCTCCCATCCTTATTCCATCATGAAATAAAAAAAAAGCCCCAGCACACACCAACTTCAACACTCCCCTCCCCCCAGGCCAGAAACCAGGCAGTTTTCCGTTTGACTATACCTATAAGCTGAGTCGCTGACCAACTCGCTCGGAGTCCCACCCGGGGGCCTTCAAACGAACAAATAGTCTGACCACCCTGTCCCTGGGCACATTCTACACTATCGCCTCATACCAGAATAATACGGCGATGGTCATGGCTGCTGTGCCGGGTCGATTGCTCGCCATGCTGGTGTTTTATCGGGCGGGGGGTCGTGGGCGGACGTTGCGCCGTTTGAAGGGGCGATGGGGCTTATGACGGCGGGGGGGTTGTGGTGGGATTGGTGGTGTGGATTGCGCCGGGGAGATGGGGAGGGTGAGGATAAGGGTAAGGATGATTGAGAGTTGGTTCAGATGGTTCGATATTGGGGAGAGGATGAGGGTTGATCCCGTTTGGGATGAGGATGGGTATGTGATACGTTGAGAATGTGGTGGGTTCAGCGGTTCCAAGGTTGAACTTCGAGTTGGCGATAGTATTTCAATGTCGTATTGAATTATTGTTTCGCAATCTGGATTGTGTTTAAAGGGTCTTCACTGTTCAGTACAAGAGACCTTAGGTGTGTTACTCCGGAATGCTCTGATCCTCGGTCTACAAAGTATATCAGGTGGAAGCAATGTGAGTCGAGTGGATTGAACGACCTACGTGTCGTGTGGTCTTGAAGGAAAACCGTGAAACTGAACTGTAGGTAGTATGTACTGTACAACCCAAGGATACATGTATCGGACCCCGAGTCCCAGACCGGGGCAATGGGAGATGAAACGGAGAAGAGGGATGGAACGAAACAATACAGGTAGGAATAAAAAGGGTTGTAGACGAGAAGAAGTAAAGAATAAAAATGATAAGAAAGTGATCAAGAACAGAAGGGGATGAGAAAGAAAGAGATAAAAGGAAAGGGGAACACGAGAATAGAAAGAGTCCAGTATGAACACATTCCCGGGTGAAAAGATCAAGAGAACCCGGGAACGCATTTTCTTGAATAGAACAGACCGAAATGAGATCAGGAATCAATAAATGTCGTCGTTCCCACAAATCTCAGATATTCAGCACGCATGGACGTCAAAGGTCGTTTTCTGTCTTGTTCTTTCATTTCTGCCGCCAATGCAAACATCAGGACCGCCAACTGAGCAGCTTTTTAAATTTCTTGCGCCGGGAAAAGGATCCCTTTCGACCTTCCTTATGTGTATGCCTTTCACCCGATCCGGATCCAGACCCAGGACCACCCAGACTAATTGAACTACCGAATCTGCGCTGCAGATCGTCCAGAGCTCGATTCGAGTGGCCTCGGAGTCCCATGTTCTCCGCATTGGCCGCGGCCAGCACAGACTGGACATGAGGATCGAAAAACATCGGATCATATGGATTGTAGTGTGGACCCGAAGACGGCGTGGAAGGTAACAATGATGACATGGTATTGGCGTAGTATGTGTCGTATGGAGAGGGGGGTTCCGAGTATGATGGTCCTGAGCTGCCACCATGGAATGTTTGAGGAAAAGAAGGAGGGGGAGGCGGAGGAGGACCCAAATCCAGCAGGACTCCTCGATCCCCTTCATCTACCTGAGACCAATCTCCATTGGCATAAACAGGTGAGCCCGGCTCACCAATGTCGCTGTCGCCAGAGTGGAAATTCGGTTGAGACGGAGAATGAGAGACCGGCGTCTGAAGGTCTGAAGGGTGTAGGATCTCTGATGCAAGGTCCGAGTCCCGCTCGTCCATTCGCCCTGCTAGAATAGCGAGTGGCTGCATCTGTGAGAGAGAGGTGTCGATCAGACCGAACTCCAGCTTTCGCTGTGGAGACGCCGAGAGAGAATCGAGTCGATGTGCGCGTGCTGAAGACCAGTAGTGGTGTTGTTTTTGAAGAGACGAGGCATCGGACAGCGAATCGAGTCGATCATGCACGCCAGGTGATGATTCGGATATGCCGGTGAGGGATTTTTTGGGTGTAGAGCAGCTCAATGATGGCGATATTGTGTAGAGAGATGGAGAAGAGAAATAAGAAGGGAGAGAGGCATCGGTGAATTGGGAGATAGACATGCTGTCGCAGCTGGTGTCCACCGAGTAAGGATGGCGAAACGCCGGGGGCTCGGTCTGAGGGTCAAAGGAAAGGATTGAACAATCGTCGACATCCTCAATGAAGGAAACAATCCGCGTCACATCTAGTGATTTGCGAGGATTCAAGATTTCAAACGAGGCGCCCCCGTGCGAGACGGTGGCGACAGCCTGCGATGTCGCCAGCATTGAAGGTTCGAGGTTGGTGGAAGATGGTAACGACTGTGATGGAACGTGGCCGGGAGACTGAGACTGAGACCGAGGGTGAGTGTGAGTCGAGGTCTGAGTTTGGTTTGAGGCCTGAGCTTGAGTTTGAGGCCGCACTGGGATCTGCCCGTTCCGGTGAAGCTTCTCACGGAAGGTGTTCTTGAATAATAGACAATACTGATTAGTGAGGTGACCCCCAGATATGAAAATTAAAAACAAGGTTCAGTAGTCGATAGACGATGGAGAACGACAGAATCAATTGTTTAAGAGTGGGTTGGAAAGAGAGAAACACAAAAAAGAAACAGGAAACAAGAACAAAGGGGTCAACCTTACCAGTCGCTTGCGATTTGGTCTCGGACGTGTCAATCTGGCCGAAACGAGGTCGACTCGTGGAGTCTGCGAGGGCGAAATGAGCACTGCACAGGGAGAATTGGGATGGTCAGTGGGTTGTCTTGCTTTCATTTTATTGTTCCATTGTTTATGCAATTGTTTTTTTATTCCTTTATCTTTCACTCATTTGCCCAAGTGGAGAGACAGGGCAACAAGACTTACCTGCAGAGGCTTGAGAAACTTCGTAGTCAAAATCACTTTGATAGGAGATGATGCTGTGAGAATAAGATGGAGATAAGGGCGGAGGACTAGACGCCCGCGACGAGGTGGAAATGGCACTGAAGGACAGAGAGCGACGATGGGGTTGGGGAAGCAGATGCAGGTTGGAGGTGGCGTTTTTGCGTTTGAGCGTCTTGTCCACGCGAAGATCAACGGGGTCGTTCACACACTCTGCGGACTGCGACAGGAACTTGCGATAGTCGTGAAGCGACAACATGCCTGTGATGCCCGTCTTGGTCGACCGAGGAAGTGACACGGCATCTGCACGAGTGGGCTCGTCAAGCGACGTGCAGGAGCAGGGGCAGGGTGCATGAACGCCATGAAATTCTCGACAATTGGAACACATTAAACTGTCCAGCAGTTCGGCGCTGTACCAATTGGCGAAGGGATCATGGACCATGTCTGCGATTTTGATCCCGATGCACTTTGAGCGCGATGTTGGTCTCCCTGACTCCCACGACGTTTTTCGTTTCTCGTTTTCCTTCTTCACCTCACTCCCTATACTTTACTTCTTTTTGGAGATTTCGAGCTTCTGAGAAGAGATCTGGATCTTGATCTTGATCCTCTCTGATCTGCGTTTCAGATCGGCCAAGGCTACCCGCAATGGTCGCCCACCCGCGTTGCGTATAGAGATTGTTGACCTGTCACTTTTGCATTGAGTGGATCCAAGTGATCAGTCCAACGCCAGAGGCGCGAGCGCAGTTCTGTACATCACCAGTTTAGTATTCGATTTTCAAATTGGAATCGTGCAAACTGCTCCAAAAGAAAGGGGAGGAAGGAAGACGATGCAAGGGACAATGTAAAGAAAAAAAAACAGGAAACCAGGACAACGTACTCGGTGAGCTCAGGGTTCAATGCAAGGCACGGCCGCTTTGCACGAACGCTTCAACCAATTTGAAACGCAACAGCGATTAGATCAACAATGGACCAATGGACCAAGGAAGAGATGTGCAACACAATCTACGATCCGTCTCGCCCCAATCTGGAGTAACAAAGCACAGAAAAATTAAACACAATCAAAAGAAGGCGGAGAAACACCAGGAACAAGAGGCGGCTCAACAAAGTCTTTTAGTACCTCCTTGGCTGCGATGCCGAGTGTGAGAAACCGCCGGCCGGCAGAACCAGACTTGTAAAATCACGAAGAACCGATGAATGAAGGACAATCCACCATGAACGAGAGTCAGGTCGCAGTGGTTAGTGAATGGGGAGACTGGTATCTGGCCGAGACCTGTGCCTGAGTCTGGTCTGGTCTGGTTCAGCCTCGGGTTTGGCCAAATTCGCAGCCTTTTCTCTTTTTTTCCCTGCTCTCTCCTCTCGCCTTCACGCATACATCCTTTTCACCTACTCGAATTTTTTTTCTCTCTCGGAACCACCCACATTGCCCCCGCGGAACGGAAGACATGCAAAGGATGTTCTGGAACCGGAGGCCTTGGAGGTGCCAGGAACACTGGGTCGTTGAGGGCGACCCCGTGGTTCAGCCAGTCGTGCTGGAGTCCAGGGCACGACTTTGACTGGGTCGCATGGTGGTTATAACGCCGTGGCGGAGAGACTCGACGACGTCACTCGGACCCATCTGGGGGGAAAAAGAAGAAAGAGAGAAGAAGAATGTTCAACGATCAGTCGCCAGATGGAAAGCCCGGAGGGAAAAGCGAAAAGTCCAAGAAAATAAAAAAAAGTCGGTCTGACGGTTCAAGAGTGAAAGTACGACTTGTGCTTCCTATTGGGCTACTCTCAACGTGAGTGTACCATATTGACTGGGGGTTTCTGGATGTGGTACTGCTGTACAAGTCGAGGAATGGAATGTTGTTGTGCATGACATTCACGAAAAGGTCATCCGTCCGACTTGACGTGGTAGTGGTCACCAGTCACCATCTGCTGAGCCTCCGATCGACACAAGTGACCAGCATCCAAGCTGCTACAGCACTGGACTAGTACTATTACTCTTGAAGAGCCCCGGAATGTGAAACCGACCCTGTGAAATCATCAATGGGTTTGCATCACAACTGCAGCGAAAAAAAAAATGACATGCAGATAGATGGGGGAGAGGAGGATCCGCTCCACCAGAGTGGCTCCCGATCGCCCGTCGAGAGGTGGAGATGGGGAGAGTCATTCGCCATGATGCGATCAATCGGAATGCAGAGAAGCTCTCGAGACAAAAGAGGTATTTCCCACATTGTGGTTGACGAGTTGATGGGTTGAGGATGCGTCGGATCGAATCAGTTTTGGCTTGTTCAACCTCATCCACCTTTTTCAGGCAAAGGCTTCACTCTTCACACCCTCCGTCGCACTCGCACGGTCCAATCAGTGGCGCAAAGCGCACTTTCGACCGACTGACCCACACCACCTGGGCCCTGCAGAGATGCTCCGGTTGACCACTCGGCGTGCAGAACACCACTTGGCTGGTCAGAGACAAGCAAGAAGAGAAGAACACAGCGAAGAAGATGTGTGGCGGACCCAAGAAGAAGGAAACCCAACCTAGAGCTGCATAGCACAGTCGTGGTAGCCCTACATGTTGGGCAGAAATGTTTCTTCTTCTACTTCTTCTTTTCATCATCTCAAGACAAGATCAGTCCAGAACGCAGGAACCGGAGCCTCATTTCTTCCATGTCCCATACAACTTTTGGAGGCCAACCCGTTGGTTGGTTCTGGTCTAATCCGAGCAAGACCGACAGGTGGCAACGTTCACTGCCGTCGCTTCCTTCCCATCTTCCTCATATGATGGTTCTCGTGCAGGGACCGACCCAAGGAACGGTCAAACCGGCGCGCCGATAATTCCAGGCATCAATCAGTCCAGAGTCCAGACTCCAGAGGGGAGAGTGGAGAGAGGCCTCGCACGCAATTCTCGGAAGAGGTCGATCAGGCCAGAACTGTGAGATGGGGAACAGGCTCCAGACTGAGGTACGCAGAGCCGACGCTGTGTGGTTGTGTAACTGGGTCCTCCTCTGGATTGGACCTGGCTTTCGGTGAATAATGATCGTGCAGACTGCGGACAAGAGGGAATCCCTCAAGAGGCGGTGGATGATGCGTAGAACGTGACCTGGTCTCGTCAGATCACATGAATTGTTTGTATGCCATGACTCGACTACTGGAAGTAACTTCTTCTCCTCATTCATGATTTCCAGAGACGTACCCACCACCGTGTGCTTTTGAACTGAAATGGATATTCACTAAACACCCACTAATCATCAATCATTGCAATTCATTGTGAGAAGATACTGGATAAGCACACGTGCACACGGTTCGTGGGTTGCGAATCCCGATTGGCACCTGGCATCGAGACTCGGTGGAAGCTGGCTGTGCAGATAACAGATGTATATCTGTCGAAACTTCTGATTAAGAGGGCATTGGGGATTCTTCTACACACAGCTATTACCTAGAATGCTGGCACTTGATTACGATGAAGCCAAGGTACTTGAGTACTTAATTCTACCTTCCAAAGAGAAAACTTCTATAAAACGGACTTGGCCAGGTACCTACCTAATGCTTTCCAGAACCTGAGTGATCTACTATTAAACACTTATCTGACCATGTAACTATATATTCCAGATAGGCCGTACTCAGGTATAGCCACAACTGCTTAAACTCAGCAACCAGCTTCCAAAGCACCATCGTATCAATTCATCCCACGTGAAGAGCGGCATACGGACTCATCTTACAATCCACCAGACTGCGTCGACTCCCAAGTCACCAACTGCCACAGCAACTCCTCCACATCACCACATCAAACCGAAAATCTCGCAAGAGGTCGGGTCAGATCTGCCGACCACCACGGCATTCCAAGTCTCTTGCTTTGACTTTCCCTGTTTCCCCGGTCCAACAACCCTCAGTTCCACCTCTCGGTCATGCCGAAAGCATGAAGACTTGGTCCTCGCACACTACGGTAGGTACCCGGGTCCCGGGGGCGGGGGGCTAGAGGGGTCTTTTTTTTTTGCTCTTATTGCGCGGGAGTTCGGTCCAGACTACTATTGGGCTTTGGAAATAGGTACAGCACAAGTGTGAAAAGTAAATATTGACGACTGGGCAACTCATTGACTGCAAAGAAAAGTCTCATCCGTAGAAGACGAATCATGTCTCCGAAGACCAGCCGAGACCCCGAGAGTCCTATCAACTTGCCTGGCCTGCCCTGACAAGGCAGAAATCGTCGAAAGACCCGCCTCTATCCTATCCTCTTGTCTACACCTTACCATAGGATTTGGTGGAAGACGAGAGACCTACATGACTACCCGGCCGGATGAGCGCATTGTAGAAACGTACGGGCTCCAGAAAGTCCAGTTATTGGCCTTGTACGATCTCAGACGGTCTGTGGTCTATCGAGTAAAATCTTTTCCGGTAATGGATAGGTGGAGGACTTCTTTGATCTCTAGAGCTTCACCTAGACAGGGACTTTGATAGCGATAGATACCTCCCTAGGTAAACGATAGAACGGTCAGTCATAGTAAACGGGTCCTTCTGTTTTCTACATACCTACCTGCAGATGGTAAAGACACATCGGACGCGAACATCGACCGCGATCCCCACGGGACAACATAATCTGTCGTCCTATTAAGTACCTACCTGCTACCAGTACCGAATGCGTAACTATTGCTGACGATAATAATATGTTCTCTGGATTACATTTGCAGTCATTATCCGTTCTGGCCGGACATGGAGGCCGTGTGGTATCATAAGATGGCAACGCAGAAGACAAGAACAAAACAACTTGAGAATATCAAAGCAAATGAGCCAGTCTAACATATGCATCTTCTTCGAGACCCGAAAGGAAAAAAGCCAAAAATGAACAAAGAAAAAAAACATCGCAAATCATCAAAATGAAAAAGATCCCCTAATCTCAATTTCAGAACAAATGTCTGGTGATGAGATTCGGCCCGGCAAGGGGGTTGACTCCTGCTTCTGAATGACATATGTCTCATCCCTTCTCCGAGCTCAATTAAGGGGAGCGACCTTCAGTCTAGTGACGTTTGTATTTCTGCCAGTTGTGATTAGTATTTGGTGACCCAAGGACTGATCAGGAACAAAAGACCATCACTCACATCTTCCATTTTGCGCCGATTGCTTGGATCAAGACTATTGCCGGCACCCAAAAGTGTCTGCCCAACAGCCTTGGAAACGCCAATCGCGGGCCGAAGGATGAGTGTCGGCGCCCGCCTCAAAACAGCCTTGGCTGCGTCCTTAGCATTACCACTCTCCACAACCTCGCCTGGTACGGCGACAACAGCATCCCGCGCTAAAAGAAGATCGCGCTCCAAACCTCGGAAAGCACCCCGTAAACCCTGAACTACCCCGAGGGGTTGTTCAGCGTAAGGGGAGATCTTGTTGCTCTCTTCCTCATCATCATCGTGATCATCCTCCGATGTGAAAGCTGGGCTCTGAGGAGACGCCAATAGATCTTCGGCACCTTGTAGGACGGTCTGCGTGCCAATGGCGAGCTTCGCACCCAGTTTGACCAACTCGCTCGAAGTAGTCTTGGCAAAGGCCGCGGCACCCTTTTGAATGCTTCGCACGATTCGACCGTCTTTCTTGTATTCACGCATCGGCACAACAAACAACTGGCGAACACCCCCACCGACATTGACTAGAGATCGAATAGGCGCAAGGCCAGCAAGCACCCCTGGTAGCTGATTAGCCTTGACGTCCGGTGTCCAGATGTCATTGAGGGTAATCCCAAGGCGATCAAATCCAGAGACTCCGTAAATAATAACGTGTCTGAGCACCATATCCGATCCGTCCAGTACGAAAAAGTTCATAAACTCAGTCGTGCGACCCGATCGCAGGCCAGCGTAATCCACCCGCTTGGGCTTGAAGTCGAGCTTAACTTGTATCGCATTGACCTCGACACGCTGCAGAAAGGGCGCTTCTCCAGGAGTGGGCAAGGCTTCTACGGATTCATCCCGGAATTCAAAGAATCGGCTCATAAAATCAAGAGCATCTTGATCCACATGCAGTCGCAGCGGTAGTACAGAAGCCTGGCTTGTTAGTACATGACCCCAGAAATCAGGCAAAGGGAAGAAATTGTTGGGTGCAAAATGATTTCTTACCTTCAGAATAAGTTCCGATGCCGCTAGTTCCGCAATCGGTTTCACTGTCAGGATCTCCAGATGAACCATACTCGTCCCACTCTCTCGCTCGCCAGCCTCATGAAGATAGGTCGCGAACTTCTTCCAAGTAGAAGTAGGTACATGATCAAAGACTTCCAGGTCCTTGATGCGCACGTCTAGGGAGCTTTGAGTTTCGCCCGAATCAGGGGGAAAGACGACGAGATCCGCACAGATCCCTGATAATTCAAACGTCATTTTGTGATGCTTGCTGCGATGCAAGCGAAGCTTCTTCTTTTTCTCGCGAACATGCGCAGAGCGACCCTGTCGAGATGTAACCCCTGTCACAGTGGTGGACGTGGCATAGCTTCCTGTTTCACTTGAAAGATCGTTGATGTCGCGATTGATCTCACCATGCAGCTCTCGGGGATCTTTGTTGGCAGGTATTCCAATGTAAATTGAATTGAACAGGAAGTCGCCAATAACAGATTCTTCTTCCTCTTCAGCGGTCGAAGATATCCGAGACGTGCGAGCCCGTCGCTCCGTAGCTTTCAATTCTACTTGATCGACCGCTTTAGAGATAGTTTCTCTAGTCTTTTGCCAATCAAAGCCATCGAATAAGTTCCAAATCACATGCACATCTCGCACTCGAACGCGTAATGGACTCATGTGGAGTTTCTGGTCATCGGTAAGACCATAAGTATTTTTTGCAGTGTCCCAGCGATGGGCAGTCCCTCCAACCGCAGAACTTCGGGCGAAATGATTCTCTTGAAAGTCGAGCTCAGTCAAACTAGACGAAACATGATAGTCGGCTTCAAAGTCATCCACAAGCTCACCACTGGCACTCATTGTGCGTTCCTCCGGGCTAATAACGTCAGGGAATTTTTGGTCTTTGGGATAAAATTCGCTGACATATTCAAGCTCCTCGCTCGTATTAGGGGTCTCCTCGGGACTGCCTTCAGGTAGGACAGCCATGTCAGTGCCAGTATCGAAAGCATTGCCGGTAAAAGAAGCAAGCATTTCTTGTAGAGGAGTGACCTCGGTACGATATTTGACCGCGACATTTGGAGGTGCAGGAGGCTGAAGACCATTTAGAATATTGATGAGCGTCTGTGTCGAGTCCGCACAGGTCTCCAAAATGAGAAGGCGATTGCCCAACTCGATATCGAGAGACTTGTAACCGTCCTCGGCAGGTCGCGTAATCTTGACGGCTGCAGTCGCGGTCGATAGCGAGGAGACGGGAACATAACCACGAGATATGTATTCCCCAACTTGATGACTCTGAGTGACTGCCGAAGTACGCTGTCGAAGATTGTCAACATTTCCCTCGTTCTTTATGTTGTCAATGATAAGTATAGACGCTTTCCTGATGTCAAGGTTGGCCTTGGCCTCTGTCGACTGATCCTCGTGCATCGTGCCACTGAATCTCGAATTCGTAAGAACGACCAGAGCTTTTGCAGGTGAATTGCGCGGATTTAGACCAAGAACGCAATCCTGAAAGACTACAGCTAATCTCTTAGGTTTCTCAGACGCAGGTGAAACCCCCCTTTCGGGGGATGGGCAGGGAGACGACCCCGAAAAGCGACCCGAGTGCTGCGCAAGATTGGCTATCGAGTTTGCCATTTCGCTCGCAAGTTCTTCACCAGTTGCACATTCCCCGAGTCCCATAAATGCCATGATCGAAGGAACGGTGTACTCGATCCTCAGACCGTGGAACTTGATCTTAAATGTGGGGTCCATCTCGTCCGGAATGAATCGGGCCATGAGAATAGGCGCTTGTGTGGCGGTGGAAACTTGCTCATTGACAGCAAACAGAGATCTTCCGATTATTTCTTCTTCGCGGTTTCGAGTGACAGTCAAGGTTTCAATTTGTGTGGCGATCAAGGAAGGCATGCTGATCCAGGCAACCTCAGCGTTGACAAGACGGCAATCCATGTCCCCGACATCTCCCCCTAAGTAGACCTGCGTACTAAGATCCCTGACCAACGTCAATGTCAAGATACCTGGGCGGTCATCCTCTGGCAGATACTTTGTGACGCTGGATAATCGAGCTAGCTCCGAGCCAAGCTCTTCCAAAGGTCGCAGGGCAGGTAAGCTGGAAATGACAGTCTTCATCTCTGATACTGTCACTCGGAGAACTGATCCTTGCCTTCGTTGCCGAAGTAGTGTATCTACCATTATGTCATCGTCATCGTCATATCTGTCCTTAGACGGCGTGATGAGGGTCAAAAGGCGATCCAGATCGACTTCTTTCGGTGAGAATAAAAATTCTACTCGGATGTTGGACAATGTCATTTTGGCTGGTGCGTCCAGAGTTTCGTCAAGCGGGTGCGGTCCACTGAGCCTTGCCTTGTCAACCTGGATGCCAACACCTTCAGACCGACTGACAATTTTGACGGCGGTAGTGCTGAGATTGATAGAGTGCGTTTCGCCAATGACATCGACTATTATACCGCCCAATCGAGCATTTGCTTTCCAAGGAATCGAAGCGATTCCCTCTTCGTGGGTAAGCGGAGGAGGGCTCTCAAAGTGAACAGCCCGAGGGCGTTTGTGGGACACTTTGGGCATTCCCTTCAAGGTTGATGTAGATGAGATTGAGCTTCCAAGCTCGAGAATAGAGCTCAGACCACCCATCCAACCGAGAACTTCTTCTATGTGGCGAACGTTCAGATTGATGTGCATAGGAAGAGTCAACACGTCGACCTTTACCGAGTCAGCGGATCTGGTAAGTGACACGTGAACATCCACTTGCTTCGATCCTGCCAAGTCCCTTGTAGACTCTCGAATCCTCAGCTCTTCGTTGAAAGAGATGACGTGATCCAACGCAGTCCCGAACACAAGAGTAGATATGTCAAGCTGCTGGGCTGTGCGCTTCTCGGTCGCGGCCAGCTTCAATGCCAGTCCTGTTGCCTTGACCCGCAATATCACTCCTTCCAGAGAGGGGTCTGTGAAGGATGGTAGTGTTGGAGACGCACGTGGGTATACATGTGCCGCTTCCGGTACGTGGTCAACGAAGCGGATTGATAAGTCGTGCACATCTATCTGCAGATCTGTTTGCACGGAAGCCTTTGGTGACGAGCTGCCTCGCTTGTGTTGACTATCATCACGGCCATCAAATGATGCGCTCAGCTGCTGACCTGCTTTGACCAAAAGCCAGCCGGTGGCAATGTCGAATTGAACAGACAGTGCGAATATTTCTACCGCAATCGCTATAGAGTCGGTGGGCCCACGATGACTTTCTGTAGTTGACAGAAGTGGATCAGTTGACTGACTTGATGAGCCAACTGCTGCAAAAGCCCTGGAGGCGAACATACTGTCCCCGTGGTTGGACTCCCGCATAAAAGATGCAGGGTTCTTGGTGTCCCTGTCGGTGCCGCCTGCACTTATATTGGGTGAAGAGGCGTTCTGCTCTCCATCAGAGCTCAAAGGTAGCCAAATGAGAATCTTATCGATGCTGAATATTGGTTTTCTCTGCTCACTGAACGTGCTGCTAGTGGGTAATGACGGAGTAGGTGTGGAGGTTCTGTCTGCAGGTTGGGAGAGGGGAGAAATTTGCACGCGGTTGAAGTATTCCTCTATTGACGGGTGTATTGATGCTTCATCTACCTTCGGCGTTGATTCATTGGACGAGCTCTGGTCGGCAATGGGGACATGTCCACCTTGACCAGATTGCGAAGAGCTACCTGTACCGGGACGACGATGAACTGAATCCCAGGCTCCCGGCATTCTCGGTGCGAAGCTGCCACCTTGACTCAAAGCGCTCATGTACAAACTCTGAGCCTCATCGTGAGAAAAGTACTGTGATTCCATGAGGCCAGCTCCATTCGTTTCTTGCTCTGGTGACAAACTTCCACTTTCTGATCGAGGACTATTGGGTGAGTTGGCCGCTTGGGCTGACTCTCGTTGCGATAGAGATAAGCCACTATCTCCTCGAACTGCCCTCGCATCATCGAAGTACGGCAGTATAGCGGAACCTGCTTGACTTTGCCTGTGTGGATTTTGTCTCTCGGAGGTTGATGTCCCCAAGTCCCTTTCAACAGTATATGGATCCTTAGCCTCCGTGTCTTCAGAATCAAATTGCTCTGTAGGAAGCAGATGCTTGGGTTGGTCAAATTCGTCTTCCATCTGGCGCCTTCGCGGGCGAAGTGGAGCAGGGGGCTCTTCATCGAAATCATCAAATTGCGTGTCGATGACAGACTCCAAATAGTGGGGATTGTCCAGAAACGACCTTTCGCTTGAAAATTCACGGGAGTCCTCGAGTGCGTTGTGGTGTCGGTATTCATCTTCAGAAGCCGCATCCGAGAACCGACCATCGTGAGAAGGCGACCCATTCGATGAGGTAGGAGAGGTTGGTCTCGACACAATCTCGTCATCCATGGACTGCCTCCTCACGGCGTAGTCCTCCAGGTTGAGAGGTTCCTCCAAGGGCTGTTGCTCCACAGTCTCGTCATTTGAAGTATCACCGCAAGTACTGCTGTCATCACAATCTGGGCGGTAGGACGGATCAAAAATTGTCGACCTTGTCATTGCAAGGTCCAAATCAGATTCTGCGGATTGAAAGGGCAGGGGTGAAAAATTATGCTGGGGACTTTGGCTCTCTTTTGACCGCATTGTTGTTGTCGGTGATGTTGGGACGGTGAAACGAGCATAATTTCCAAACACGCTCGAGTTGGAGACGAGGCCGAATTCTATAGTCGTACAAGACACCAGCCGTTTCCCCACGCGCACGGGTATAGGCTCGTCTCGACTAGAGGTAGATTCAGATGCACCATGCACATCGATCTCGCCCACAGTCAACAGCCCGGCCACAAGGTCTGGCTTGTCCTCGGGATACCTTTTGGATGGGCCCTCTTGCTTCAGCTCCATGTCCAGACGCAATGTCACATCTCTGATCTTCAGCTGAAACCGATCAGCCACGCCTCGAAGAAATCCAGCAATGAAGCTGGGTAGAGAGAGCGTCTCATTTCCTAAGCCAAGCTCTTCATCCTCATCGTCTGCGAAAGAAGTGCTTTCATGCACAGTATGTGACTTGGATGACAAAGCCGCCTGCAGCTCTTGCTTTTCCTCCGATGGCTCAGCCTCCAGAAACGACTGTGCCAGGTCGGTCGCATCTGGTAATATTTGAACATCCTCGGGTCTCCGAGACACAGGAGACAGAGGACTTGGGGAGAGGCCCTCCTTCGAGACTACCTCGTCCGGTAGAACCTGAATATGTACGTTTATCCCGCAGGCTTCGCAGGCTATCCCGCTGCTGTATATATCGGCCGGAACGGTGATCCGAAGGAGGCGAACGCGTGCACTGAGCAACTTGAAATTCGAAGGAAGGTTGAGAAGAGAGGTCAATTTCTAGATGACTGTACTCAGTAACGTGTTTCCCATCTTTGAGGCCCCTGATTAAATGCATACGCATCGACCCCGCACAAAACACGCTCATACTGACCTCTAGCTTCAGCCCGATATCCCTAAGCTCCACCGTACTACGCTGTCCCCAGCGGATGCCGAGGTTATCGGGGTCCAATGCATCTGTATCGACGATTCCCAGGCGCGACAGGGCATATTTCAGCAAGCGCTTCTGGAAGAACGAAGGCAAGAAGTACGACATGTTTACAGTGCCGCCACAGGGCCTGGTTCAACAGACACAAGGGTTCATCGAAGTCTGGCCATCTTTTGACGTGAGTAGCCAAAGATTTTCACACCACACCGAAGCGGCGAAGACAAAAGAGTATGGACGACCGATAGAGTGTGGTGGAGGGGGTGGTAAATGACGTGCGGAGTAGGAATCTCGATGGGCACCTGATAAAGCCGATAAGTGATCTACCGGTTAGGCAGTCAGGCGGACCCTCTTCCCCTTGGGACCAGATCCAAAAGCGACAGATTCTCCACTTTCGGGGGTAGCACCCTTCCACAACTGACAGCATGACTCGGATACATTTGCTGTTCTGCTCTTTGCTTCAAGCTACGGATGACAAGTTTTCGGGATTCAACATTGACAGACTTGTATTTTATGAAATTTCTCGAGCCATGTGCCCGAAGCCCATAGCTATTGGGCTCTCAGAGATGCCGGGAGGCTCTGGAAGTATGGTTATGCAATGTCCGTGCCCATGTTCTTGGCAAGCCGATTTCAATTACTCTTCCTCGTCAAACTCCGCAAACTCCAACACGATCCACTCGCAGAACTTCTCGAACTCAGCATGCCATTCTTGCAGGCGCACGGCTTTCAGTCCGCTTCCAAGAATCCCTTCTTCAACGTCTTGTTTCCATCTCGCAGTCGGTTGGTCCTCGAAACAGCTCCATCGGAGGGAATTCTGAACCATCATGGCCAGTCCAGCCAGATCAACGTTCTCTAATCCCTGAAGAGCCTGCCAGAAGTCATGAGTCAGACCATTTCGCCCGTGACCGAGAATGGCGGGATCATCGTTACACAATGAGACGGCGACGCCCCGGGATAACAATGCCGGCAATGGGTGGGCCTTGATGGAGCTGGCTAGCCGAAGAATCTCGTTGGAGATGGGACAACACTCGATCATGATTTTCTTCTCCTTGACCAAGTCGATGAGCAGCGGGTGTTTGAAGAGGGAAAACCCGTGACCAATTCGTCGGGTACCCAGTAAGATCGCATCGAATAGGTTGTTGTCCGTTTCGTCGCCATCTCCAAGGCACTCCCCGGCGTGGAAAAAGAAAGGGATGTCGAGGCCTTCCTCTGCGCAACGTTTGCGGAACCAGAACAGAATCGGTACCAGGCTCTTGAGAGGTCTACCCAAGTCCTCCTGGCCGACCAAATCAAAGCCACAAATGAGGTCGGGGAATGCATGTTTGGTATCAATGCACTGCTTCATTGACTCGACAATGTCCTTGTTGCCAAAACGACGGAGCGTGGTCCAGATAATGCGAGCGCCATAGAATGACTTTCCCTGTTCAGTCTTCTTAAAGGCTTCGAGTTCTTCCTCAACGACTTGAGCCCAATGATCATAGCCATCGTCGGTCTCGTCGCTCCCTTGCCTCCTCCATTGAAAGACAAAGGCAATGCGGAATTCCACGTATCGAATCCCGTCCGCGGCCAGTTGGCCGAGCATGCGGCGGAAACATGCCCGGAAAATTGGCTCGTACATGAGGATCGAGTTAATGACCGGGAATGTAGTGGTGAAGATCGCCCAGATAGCATCGACACCGTGATGGTGGAAGTAGGAATGTTCGGGCATGATCATACAGCGACTACGCAGCCAGTCGCGAAACCCAGTCTCGCCATCAGGATGTGATGCAGCTGCCGAGTGGATTGGAATCAACGAGGACGGTTTGTACTTCTCCGTCCAGATACTAGCTTTCTTTTCGCTGTCGGCTGTCGGCTGTGACGAGTACTGGAAGAAGACAGGCCCGTGCTCCCTGTCGTTGGCGGATGCCAAGGCCTGGGGTGCCAAAATATGCATGCCCGGCGTTGAGAAGGCTTGGTCGATGAGAAAGTCAATGTCGAACATGGCGTCCATATGAGCGTGTAGAAGTGAGCCCTTGGGCATTCTCTCAACAATCTTCCACAGGTTGGTCTTTTCCATACGACCTTTGGCATAGTGAAACATGACACCCGGGTACAGGATCTCGTCGGATTGGTGAGCTGCATCCTCATCTAATCCGTTCGTCCAGATCTCGTTATGTTCGCGAGCTCGAATCTGGGAGACGATCTTGCAAGCTCGAGCAGCGATGGGAGATAAAGACTTCCGGAACAGTGCATCTGATAAATGTCAGAACGGTGATTCGAGACAGGTACACACGACCACACCAGAATCTGGCGGCTGAAAAATGAGGAGCAATTCTAGATGCTCTCTTACCGTGGCGCCGTTTGCGCTCCTCAGCGATCAGCGCGTCACGACCTTTCAAATATTGCTGGATGAAGGGATCTTCGAACTGAGGAATACCCGCCTCAAGCTCCCATGCACTGTCGCCGGCTTCCATATTTCGCTTTTTGATTGTTCAGCCTGCCTGGATCTTTGACACCGGAACAATCCTGGTCAGCCGCGAAGATCGGTCAAGCTTCCTTGGGAGAACGACCAATGAACCTGTCCTCGGCGTGGCAGACACCCCGCATTGCACAGTGTAGCCTGACGGATCAGGCGCAAACCAGCCCCCGGGGACCATCGAGGAAGTCATGTGGGCTCTCTCCCCATAAGCTAGGAGTTCGCTCCAGCACCACTGAACCTGCCGGAGTCGACGAGCTGTTGTTTACGTTCAATAACGAGCAGAATACTACTGATTGTGAATCAAGAGAGCACCAAATATCGGGCCCGATACAGGTCAAACTGTCCCTTTGAAAATCGTTGATAGCTCCCACATAACCGCTTGCTAAGGCCGCAAGTTCAGTCAAGAATTGAAGACTCAAGACGCTAGTCAATTGATAGATAAGGTAGTGATACTAGTAGATAGTAGATACTAGATTAGTAGATAGAACTAGATACTGATCGAGCGCTACATAAAGCCGCGCTTCTGCCGAACGTCATCCACGTTTATCACATATACAGATTACAGACTACAGACAGGCGATGAACTTTGATCAATAACAGCCCAGGAGGGGAAACACGATATCTCAGCTCCTGTGGATTACGTGATGCCTCATTCCATAGGCTTGTAGGTAATTGCTCTCGGCTCCTTCGAGTTTCGACATATGAAAGAAAAACGTGACCCGAACAAAAAAAAACAATCAGACCTACGGTAGTGAATCACTGAATAGCGAATACTACTCCTGAGTCCTGACTTACTGGGTGGTCTCATTCAACCGTCGCGACTGGCCCTGATAAGCTTCACGTCTCGTGACCTCCCGAGAAGCGCGGGCTGACCGCCACCGGACGAGATGATCCCAATCACAGAGTTCAGACTAGTGGCCCCCCATACAGCCAATCGCTCGAATTGCCTACTGTTCACGTAACGCCAAGATCTGCCGGGCCGGGGTGGCGGTGACTGTCCCTATCGGTTGGTGGACGCTCGATCCCTATCGGGTCGAGGGTGCAAGTCGCGTTGGATGCCAAGGATTCGGGTCTGTCGAGTGTTGACCAGGATTGGGCAAAACAGGGTTGTCTCACAACGCCTATCTGCGGAAATTGTAGGATCGTACAGGTGCAACTGTACAGTTGGACTCGGTAGGGACTTTATTCGGTAAGTGAAATCGTCAATGATAGAGTTCCCCCCGTTGAATTGTGTTTTCCCGTCGATCAAGGAGCTCGGGGTCTAGACTGCATGTGTCTGCTCACTCTGGTGTAAGGACCAAGGACTAAAGTAGAAGGGGGAGGGGGATAGTCACATGAATTCGACCACGGGTAGAGTTGGTTACCAACTTTGCGCCAAATCCTCGAGGTACCGAGCGGCTAAGACGATAAGAAACACGAATGGAGTCCTATATCACAGGGGTTACAGATACAAGGTAGCGAGCGGGCAGGGCTCATGGCAACGAGAAGGAGCGGAGCGTGGTCTCTTGCCTCCAGAACAAGTTTCCATATCCCAAGCTTGAGCATAACAAGATAGGAATGATCAACAGCCGGAGGCACGTCGGGATCACGGGCATATTCGCACCGTGCGACACGATTCCCACTCATTGAGAATTGAGGCAAAGTCGAGGCCTGAGACCCCTCCAGTGTGAACTCCGCAATGTGTGATGATGACAGCTCTCCACGACACACCCGAGCGTGGAGGTCACCAACCGGGAAACTGGCAGCGGCACGAGAACTATGAGTATGGAGTAGCGTCGTATTGGGGCTGTCCAACGGGCTGCATGTCCCACCAGACTTTATTTCCCCAGACTTCGGCCGGTGCAAGTGGCTCGATCAGGTCACTCCGTGCTTATGATCGGACTGGAGAAAGTACTATAGTCTACACAGTTGAGTACTCAGTACACCCGCCGCGAATTCTACAGTAGTATGAAGGTAAACTTGCAAAGTGTTCTGGATGTACCTGAATCACAGTCCCAAGAGAGAAGTTTCGCATCCCAACCTTAAATCGGGCGGGCTGCTCGTCCCGACCAGGGGACTCCAGCACGCGACCATGGTGCTCGACCTTTGCCGACCTAGCAAAAGACCTATCCACAATCGGTACGTGCAAGACTTTGTCCCGACTCCCGACTCCTTTGCAGTTTGCACACTTGGTGTCTTGGTCTCCACCTCATGACAAGGTTCAGCTTTTCTCCCAACCACCAGTCAGGAGTGTCGTGAAGGAGGAGAACAGCACCGACTGTCGAAATCTGCACGCCAGCCAGTAATTTGATCCCGCACAGTGGCAAGATAGGGTCTCCAGCGGCTGGCAAAGGTACTCAGCCGCCTCGATCCCGGCCAGGATTCGTCGAACCGTCATGATACTGCCCGAGTAGAGCACATGCTTACTCGCGCTGCGATCCTTGTACAGTGTACACTGATGTAATGTACTATCATAGTATCATTTCCCCCAACAGGGTTACACGTGCGAGCCACCCGGTTCAGCCCCAAAACTCTCGTTTAAACATTCGAGGGGTCGTCCGACGGCGAGTCCGTCGATTCCGATAGTCGACTCTGTAACGTACCTGTTGTCCTGCAGATGGGGAAAATCCCTAGAATTTGGAAAGAAGATTTTTGCATGGCACGCGACGGAGAGGTACCGTTGAATGGAACGCCCACAATAAAGTGGATTCCAAGCCATTTCTTCGCCTCTCTTGGGTAATGGCCCGAAGCCTTGGCGACCTTCATTGGGTCAGATCCTCTCTAGAGACTTTTTTTTCCTATGCGGCCTCCACTCACCAAGTACCCGCTCCTGTGCACTTGTCGCGCCTGTGAGGTTATCTCGCGACACACACGTTAGGGTGTTTTCCCCGCACAAACCAAAGCAGTGAAGAAGAGGTAGATGGGGGAAAAAAAGAAAAGAAAAACGAAGCGGATCGGAAAAAATTTGGGGGAAAAAAAGAGGGCTCTCGCGTATCGTAGGCCACTGATAAACTCCGGCCTCGCCGCCGCTCACTATCTCACATGTTCAACATGAAAAAAGCACTAAGCTAGCGCTCTCGAGCCTTCGAAGCCACTTGGCTCTGATAACAGAAAGGAACCTTTTCGGAAAAATCCTGCATCGTTGCTTCACGAACATCAAATCAGCGGCCATTGGCTCCTACTGATCTTCCGGCACCGTTGCTTTATTACCTCCACAGTGCCCCCAGTCGCAGCTTCCCCCGGGTCGTTCACAACCTCTCACCTTCTGTGCTCTCTCATCTCTGCCGTACAAGCTCGTACGTACTGTACTCGACGTCACTGCTCCCTCAATCCTGCAGTACTGCAGTGTTGAAAGCCGAGAGGTGTATCGCAGAAGAGGAGGGCTGTTCTGTCTCACGTGCTGAGTGCAGTGCAGATCATTCCCAAGAGGATCGTGACGCAAGTATTGCCACAGGGCAGCGACAAGGAAGATAAAAAAAGCTTCTTTGCCAAAGTGAGACGCTGGTGATCGACCAAAATGACCGAGGCCAACCGAGGAGCGGTAAATGCGACGGAGCAGCAGGATGTCGTGCATCAAGATCCGGCGTTGCAACCCGAACATCAACATCAGCACGCACACCACCATCACACGGCCTTCGCCGAGGCCGGCCGAGAGAACGAGGTGGTCTACTCGAAAGATGCAAACTTTGAGAAGTCCATCGTGCCAGAACCATCGCCCCTCGACCATGGCAGTCGAAGTCTAAACAGCTCGGCAGAGAAGGACGCCGAGGCTGGAGAGACCAGCCCGGCCCCCCGTCCTTTCTACAAGCGCGTGCTGAAGCAATGGAGACATGCGATGCATGCTGCAATTTGGATTCTCTTCACCGGGTGAGTGAGCCAGAACTGAACCTGTGCACGATCAATTGGCCCTAGCTTGTGGAGGTAGCGGCACAATCTTCTCTCTCAGAACTGATGCTCTTTGTTTCAGCTGGTGGATTACCGGTCTCGTCAAGCATCGTGACCTGGGCTGGCTGATCCCGTTCCTGTTGTATCTGGCCATCACCCTGCGCTTGATCTTCTTCTACATTCCCATCAGCATCTTCACACGGCCTGTGTACTGGCTCTGGAATAGAACGGCCACGCCAGTGGTCGCGTTCATCCCGGAGAAGTTCCGCACCCTGGCCGGAGCTACCGTGACCCTTGCCGTCATTCTGATCGGTTCCTTTGTCTCGCCCGAGTCCGAGGGTAACACCCGCGCCAATCGTGCCGTGAGCCTGTTCGGTCTCTTGGTCTTCCTGTTCGTGTTGTGGGCGACGTCGCGCAATCGCAAGAAGATCATCTGGCACACCGTCATTGTCGGAATGTTGGTGCAGTTTATCATTGCACTCTTCGTGCTCCGCACCAAGGCCGGATACGACATCTTCAACTTCATTTCCCTGCTGGCGCGCGAGCTGCTGGGCTTTGCCACAAGTGGTGTCAAGTTCCTCACCGCCGACAACTTTGTTGAAATGCAACAGCCCATCAAGCCAGGAGTGTGGTTCCTGATCAGTGTGATCCCTGCCATCATCTTCTTCGTCTCGATTGTGCAGCTGCTCTACTACTCCAGTGTCCTGCAGTGGTTTATCTCCAAGTTTGCCGTCTTCTTCTTCTGGTGCATGCGCGTGTCCGGTGCCGAGGCCGTCGTCGCTGCCGCCTCGCCTTTCATCGGACAGGGCGAGTCGGCTATGCTGATCCGCCCATTCATTGCCCATCTTACCATGGCCGAACTGCACCAGGTCATGTGCTCCGGCTTCGCTACCATCGCCGGTAGTGTGCTGATTGCGTACATCACCATGGGTGTCAACCCTCAGGCCCTGGTATCCTCCTGTGTGATGAGTATCCCCGCCTCGCTCGCATGCTCCAAGTTGCGATGGCCCGAGGAGGAGGAGAGTCTCACGGCTGGTCGTGTCGTGGTGCCGGACAATGACGAGCACCGCGCCACCAATGCTCTGCACGCCTTTGCCAACGGCGCTTGGCTCGGTCTCAAGATCGCTGCCATGATTGGCTCGACCCTGCTCTGTATCATTTCTCTCATCGCCCTGGTCAACGGTCTGCTCACATGGTGGGGTCACTTCCTCGGAATCAACGATCCTGAGCTGACCCTCGAGCTTATTCTGGGCTACCTCTGCTACCCCATCGCCTTCTTGCTGGGTGTTTCCCGCGACGGCGATCTTCTCAAGGTCGGCCAACTGATTGGACTCAAGCTGGTCTCGGTAAGTCATCAATTATTCAAAACCCCCCTCCCAAGAATTTGCGCAACCCTCTTAGACAAGATATTAACATGGCCCGCATGCAGAACGAGTTCGTTGCCTACAACGCCCTCCAAAACACCGCCGAGTATGCCGATCTATCTGATCGCTCCCGTCTGATCGCCACCTACGCGCTCTGCGGTTTCGCCAACATCGGCTCTCTGGGTAACCAGATCGGTGTCCTATCTCAAATCTCGCCCGGCCGCAGTGGCGATGTCTCCCGTGTTGCCGTCAGTGCCATGCTGACGGGTGCCATCAGTACCTTTACCAGTGCCACTATTGCCGGTCTGCTCATCACGAATGAGAAGCAGTACTTCTCTACCTCATAAGCGGAAGTATCTGATTTGGGGGTGGGGAGCGGGGGAGGGGGTCCATCTGCCTTGCACGGCTCGCAAATGGTGTGAATGCAAAACGTTTTGGTTGTTGCTCTTCCTAATTTAATCTATTCAATTCCACACTCCGCTCGGTCGGATTCGATGATGCCGCTTTTCCATGTTATTTCCAAGGTAGAATTGCGAAAAAGGACATATCGGGTGCTGTCGAGTGATGACAGCGGCAGTGGTCACTGGATTAGGTTAGTCGCTGCCTCGTCGAGGTCATTCGCTAGCCACGAACACCAGGCATATCGGCTGGAGGTGGAGGCCCATGGAGATGTCTCCTGGGAAAGTATTCCGCTACCACAGTATGTCCATTCAGCGGTGCTCAGGATCTCTTCCGTACATAGAAACGTTTCCCTGGGCACATGTCACTCGCTCGCCCAGCCATTTTGCAAAACGACACATAGTAAGAATAGAGCTTTTTACCCTGAAGAGCCAAAAATTAAAGCAGCAAAAGACCTTAGGAGCTAAAACCTAACCTATCAGTAAAACAAACACCTAGCCTGCTCGAACTGTGAAGCGGCTATTATGCACGTGCGAGACCCACTCCCAACCCGATGCCAAAAAAAAAAGACAAAACATAAGCAAAGTACAGGAGTACACCCAGTCAGCCAGACGTCATATCCCCTGGCTTGATGTCGTGGCCGACCGACGCCATGTCCTTGACCACGAATGATGCAAGCAAGAATACGAAAAGAGAGGATCCCGATTTTTATTCCTCGTCGTCGAGATCGCGGTGTCGGCTCAGCACGTGCTTTTTGAACTCGGCTTGATCGGAGTCCCAGAGCTCGGCAGCCTGGGCATTGAGCGGACTCGCGCTTTTTCAATCATATTGTCAGCCATGGACACATCACAACTCGACCTCGATCATTGACCGTGACTCATGTCCGCAAGTAACTCACTTGTTGGGCTCTCCCAGGAGACTCTGCAAGCTCACAAGGACGGTCTGAACGTTGTACACGGCACTCCACTTGTCCTTGAGGATATCCAGGCAGATCCGGCCAGAAAAGTCCACGTTGGGGTGGTAGATCGGTGTCTTGAAAAGAACGGTTGGTGGGGAGTATGGGTAATTGTTGGGGAAGTCAAAGGTGAGCTTCAGCGTCAAGCCTTCGTAGGGCGTCTCAGTTGGGCCGGTGATCGTGGCCGTCCAGGCGAGCAAGTTGCCATCGGCGTTGGGAAATGCAGAGATTCCGGGCGAAGGCGACATCATCAGTTGCATGAGCTCGGCTTGTAAACTAGACAGCAAGAATGGCGATTTAGCTTTGGAATAGCTCCCCCAGGAGGTTGTTCTTGTACGACGGGTCTACTAACCGCTTGGTCACGCTTTGTGTCTCATTGCGCTGTCCCGCGCCACTCAGCTTAGTAGTCTCGAGGCTCTCCGGCGCGGAGTTCTGTGTGTCCTCCATCGTGTAGTCCATAATGTCAGGTGGCAGGTCAGGAATTTTGAGCCGGAAGTGTAAGAGGGCGTCGTTGCGAGCCGACTGAGCACGGTCCGTTGCTTTCTGGAATGGATGACAAGTCTGAGTACTCAAATGACCCCCACTAGAAATGAGAAGAGCGCAGGTGAAGCGAGGCAGGAAAGCTAGTATGGTCGAGGAGGAGATAGCCTTGGCAAAGGTGTGGATGATTCCAGTAATCAAAATGATAGGAAAGAGAGAGTAAGAAGAGACTGTTTAGGAGTCAAATAGAGGCGAGTAATCTCTTAGGTCGTTGTTCTTTGGTCGGAGTGGGCGGCTCGGTCAAGTTTGGTTGGGTTTGTTTATTTGACTGTCCCCGGCAACGAGAGGTCCCCGCTTGTTCAAAAGACGGTCCGGACCAACAGACGAATTGCTCGTGTTTGAGCGCTTGAATTTGAGCACCGTTCGTGGACTATCGATGCCTTTCCGCTATCAATGAACATTCACCTAGAGAGAGAATTACATATACCGGGATATGAAATTGAATGAAGGCAAAAGGCTGATAGTAAAAAGCTTGAAACTCGAGAAAGGGTGAGCCTACACAAAGTAAGAGATTTGATGATCCATTCGTTTAGTAAAAGTCACTTTTCAGCCGAGGTACTAAGAGGTGCATATTTATCAAAGTCGAAGTGCTACCTCCATCAAATATGGAGTCGTTGTACGGAGTAAATTGTCTGACTTTGTTCATCAGAGTCCTGTCGGTTCTAGCTCCAAATCATGCTAGACCGTCATTGCCTCATCCTCGTGACAGAATGACACTATGGCCAGTGGACACTACGACTGGATTTATCCTACCTGTATAGTCGACTCACGTTGAACATCTTTCATAGTTCATATCTTTGCTTCGACTTGGTGAGGAAGCGAGGATCCCACTAGGACATCTACAGACAATTGCTTGATCTTCGACGATTCTTCGGCCTTGATCGTCAGGCCTGCAACTGCAGACATGATCCCGACAGAACACTAAACGACAGAGCGCTAAACCTAAAGCGGGTAAAGTGGCCCCGCGTCGCGTCTTGAAAGCTCAAATGCTTTAGTCACCGAGTCAGGAATCACGCGTTCAGGCGCTCAATAATAATACGCGTATACTACTAGCCAGTCCCAGCCCTTGCGCCGTCAAACACTCTCTGCCTCACATTACACATTCCATGTCGTGCCCGTCGCCAGTCACTCCTTTGGAATCACATCATGGGACTGGATCCATTCCTTAAGCCTCTCAAGATAATTTGACTTCTGTGAGATCTCTTTCTTTCCAATCTTCAGACCAAAAAGCCCGGCAGAGATGCAGCACTCCCAATTGGCCCCGCTGCCTAGTAATGTGCCTTTTCGCATCGTCTCTGAAACCATCGGCCAAGGAGCATATGCTTGGTGGGTCTCCCCTTTTCATGGAATCTAGACCAACATCTTTTTTTGTTGAAGACTCCTTCTGACCGAGCCTCGCTTTGGTCGTTCTCAGTATCAAAAAGGCTGCTCCGCTTGATGCCGACAACCCCGTCTTTGCTGTCAAGTACATTCACAAGGATTACGCTGCCCGTCATGGCAAGATCAGTGCCCGCCAGTTAGCACTAGAAGTGACAGTCCACCGACATGTCACCGGTCATAACAATATTATTGATTTCTATCAAACCGGCGAGGATGACACCTGGCGATGGATTGCAATGGAGTTGGCTGAAGGGGGTGACTTGTTCGACAAAATCGAGGCAGACGAGGGTGTCGGAGAAGACATTGCGCATGTGTACTTTTCCCAGCTCATCAGTGCTGTCAGCTTCATGCACTCCAAAGGCGTTGGCCACCGAGACATCAAACCTGAAAACATACTGTTGACGAGTGATGGCAATCTGAAAATTGCTGACTTTGGGCTCGCAACGCTGTTCGAGTACAAAGGGACCAAGAAGTTGTCAACGACCTTTTGTGGTAGTCCTCCCTATATTGCGCCTGAGGTGATTGCGTGCAGTACTCGGGGTCAGACAAAGGGATCAGGATATCATCCCGATCTGGTCGACATATGGTCATGTGGCATTGTCCTCTTCGTCCTCTTGGCGGGTAATACGCCTTGGGATAGCCCTACAGATGATAGTTACGAGTTTCACGAGTACATCACTACCAATGCACGACCGTCTGACGAGTTATGGCAGAAGCTTCCTGCCGCCACGCTATCTCTCCTGCGAGGCATGTTGACAGTCGATCCGAGGGGCCGCTTCTCACTGGAAGATGTGCGACGGCATCCCTGGTACACCCGATCCAACAGATACCTGTCACCAGACGGCACAAAGCTGAAAGATCCTGTCAATCTCGCCACGTCCATGTTTGAATCATTGCATATCGACTTTAGTCAGGATCCCTTTCCTCAGAAACGGCCTGGTGCGAGCCGAAGTGATCCAATGGATCTTGAGTTGAATGTGCATGGCCCAGGTTCTTTCGGAGGCATGTCCTCAACGCAGCCAGAACTGGTTGCGAACGTCATGGTGATGGATTGGCATGTACCGCATGTGGCTGGGCGATCTGGTGCAACTCAACCAATAACCAAACCATTTTCATCTCAAGATATGGAGCTCTCGGCTCATTTGGAGGACGAGCCTTCAATGTCCCAATTCTCCCAAAAGCCGACCGTGCCTCTGAGTCGCACTCAAAATGCAAAGCGCTTCCAAGATATCATTCCGCCCCGCTCACTGACTCGCTTCTATTCCGCTTGGGAGTTGAAGTTGCTGGTGCCCTTGGTCTGCGAGGCGTTTCATCGGCTGGGGGTACCCGTTCCCTCCGTGCCTGGAGTTACCTCAAGTGACGTTTCCGCTACCATTCGCGTTGTGACTAAAGATGGTCGCGGATGCCCTCTCCATGGCAAAGTCGTCATTGAGTGTGTCTCGGAAGGCCTTTTCGAATTGGAATTCTTGAAGATCAAGGGCGATCCATTGGAGTGGCGTCGATTCTTCAAGAAGGTGGCCATCCTCTGCAAGGACGCAGTCTTTAAACCGGACGAATAAAATGGTGGATCTCACTTTGAGTACTCTCTTTGACCGAGAAAAAAACGTTCACCTCAATTCTTCGCCGATAGCTTGTGTATGCGGGGGTTGACTCTCATATACACCCTGTGCGCCTAAGTCATATCTGTGTATGACTCCCTCTTGAGATCGTAAATGATAACGTACGTATTATCCATAGATAAGAATACTCGAAGCATCTAGGCCGAAGCTAGACAAATGTCTCAGTTGACGTGACTTAAGTCACCCTTTGCGAAAATGATCGACTCCTGGGCTTTGTTGAGCCTTGAATTGTGAAGGTATTTTTCCACTCTGCATCCAGCACTCACTGTATTAAGCTTTGCGTCATTGTCCATTTCGAGTGTTCCAGAACCTTGTGCGCTCGCTACTTCGAACGAGCCAAAAATTGAACACTCTCCCGCCCACGGTGACAGTCGAACATACTAGTACTCTTGATAGTGTACCTGTCGTGACCACGTGACGATAGCACGCGCAGATCGCAAGCGCAGTGAAGCAACTGAAATCCGAAGTAAGTGGCGATTGAATGTTTCTGTGCTCAATTCATTTCCACATGATAGACATTGATCGGCCCTCAATGCAGCAAATTCCTCAGCCTTACTCATGGATTCGTTGCCGGTAGAGATTTTGACCAAGATTATCGACCGTAAGGCCAGCCACCAAGTCTTCCTCACTCCGTTTTGTCCCCCGCACCAGTGGATCTGATTTGCCCTCAAATTGAGGATGATGCATCCCCCAACTAGAATATGACTGACTCCGACACTCAGTCTTAACAACGCATGAGAAGGTAAAAATACAGCTTGTTTGCAAGAAGCTTTTTCGATTGGCGCGAGACAACAATTCATGGAAACTGCACTGTTATGAGCAGTCATGGGCGGCTCGACAAGCACTTCGTTCTCAGCATGATCGAAATGCAGAGAGTCTGTTATTGAATCCCACCGCGACCTTGAGAAGTCTTGGTCAACATTCGTTACGAGATCTGATACAGCCGCCGGAGCCTTCATCGGAGCATCTCAACCCACATGGGACTCGGATCTCATCGCCAGGCGATTTGGCCCGAGCAGCCAGCCACTGGGACTCTTCAATGGAAGGAGAACAAGTGGACTGGTACTCAGAGTATGTTGCCCGCCATGGACCTATGTCCTTCTCCTGGATTCAGCAGGCTCTCAAGCCTGGAGGGGAGAGTTGGAGAAAAGATGCACACGAAATCAAGGGTATGGGGTTGCTGAAAGACTGGAGCTCGGCAAAAGAGGACAGAATAGTAGCCCCTTTGGATGATGGCACAGTCTGCATCTGGGACATTGGCCATTCTCGTCCCGCCGGTCCTCGGTCCGTCAGAGGTAGGATCCTCGGGAGAAGTGAGCCTGGGATTCTCATGAAAAGTCTTCGTCCTGCCAGAGATGGTACATCCAGCCAGTCGTCTCTTTCTTTCCTGGATCTAGGGGAAGGCGTCTCCATCGACTCATTCCAGCGGAGAGCCTACTTGGCTGTGGGCAATATTTTGAACGAGATCGATTTGGAGACGCTAAAGGTCGTATCGCAACAACGATATCCATGGTCAATCTTTGCTCTATCCCAGGAGACGGATTATTCCGTTCCACTTACACTCGCAACAACGCTCAGTTTGCAAATATACGACGGCCGGCTTTCTGCCACTGATGAAGCGGAAGCAATCAGTCTGCGGTGTGATAAGAACCCTTCATCTATGATGACCGGCTCAAGTCTTTTCGCTCGCCCAGAGTCACGCTTGTTTCAACTTCAGATGAACGGGCATTCACCATCCCGCATTCGCAGCCCAGACTCACTAGCCGGAGAGGACTATGCGCCACTGTTTCAGCCTGGACCTCTTTCTGTACTTCACCCTTCGGCTCCTCATGTCAACTCCATTATCTTAGCTGGAAGGTTTCCGAGCATTCTTTGCTACGACCGTCGGTTCTTTCCGCGCTTACACAGCACAGTCCATTCTGGGGGCCGACTGTGTAGCTTAGCTTCGGTCCCAGGGCCGAGAGTCTCCGATCTTTCTCGCACGATACGCCCTTCTTCTCATAACGTCATTGCTTGCGGCGAGTATAACGGACGAGGCTCGCTAGAGACCTACAGCCTGCAGGGAAGGTCACAAGAAGCGAGCACCGATGTCGAATCACAACTCAGACCACTGCACAAAAATCGGCAAAGTGCGGCTCGTTCAAAGCTGCTCTCGGTGGCGTCTCATGGAAACCGCATCGTCTATTCTGACTCCGAAGGCAACATCAAATGGGTCGAGCGTAATGGCCGCTCAGAAGTCCGCTCATGGAACATCAATACCTCTCAGCCTCAGATTCCTTTCTTGCGATCGGATGTATCGACCAGGCTGCAACCCTCAGGTGCGGATGAAGAAGGAGAAGGGGGCCATGATGGTAGTTTGTGGCGAGATCCGTTACAGGACAGCAGCGGCGAAGTGGCCCGTAAGATTCTTCCGACGGGTGAAAATTTGAGCGGTGACGAGTTGCTCGTATGGACCGGCGAACGCATTGGTCGGTTACGCTTCTCGATACCGGACAATGTCGAATGCGTCCTGGAAGAAGATGAGGAGGAAGGCAGTTTCATGGGGACTGAGGTTGAAAGGGGGACTCGGGAGGCTGCACGGCAGAAGCACCGCGATGAGCTTGAGAAGTCGCAACGATACGAAGACATGATGCGGCGAGCGTTGGCACGACAAGCCGACGAAGTCAGATGGATGGGCACTGATACCCTTGGTTGATTTTCCTGTGTAATCATTCGTCGTTCCGGTCGTTTTGTTCTAAATGGCCCCCGCCGATACAAACAGCAACATTCGCCATTGCTCTGCTTTCATCCCCGTTGATAAGCTTGGTTTGGCAGCCTTTTCTCCGACTCAAAGACATTCAGCTGTCGCGCAAGCGGAAAAGGTCACCGAGGTCTCCTAGAGGCCATTCTCTGCGATAACTGAAATAGCTCTGCCTGCCACAATAGTTGTCGTCCAAGCATACCTACGCCCATTCATGGATAGCAGCTGCACTTTCATAGACTCGCGGATTTTCTCAACCAGAGGCCTATATTTATGATCAACCCTTCCTCCAAACTGTGGACTGCATCGTGTTTTCCACATTGAATAATTGATAGGCTTGGTTCTCCTTTTGAGTTGACCTTCTATATGATTTGGTAGTCGGTAGCCCCGCTTGAGCAAAATGGTCGAGGGTCACTTCTCTCCAGTTGACTTGACCTCCGCTTCAATGATACCCCTTGATCGACCATTTGACATTCAGAACTTCAAATTAACTAGACCGTCAAGTCTCAGAAGACCGTTCCGGTTTTGTCGAGTTGGCTCCATCCCCGAACACCATGCCATCATAATCATGTCAACCAAAGCCCCAATTGCGCAACAAACGTGATCGGGCAGGGTATAATGTTCGATTAGGATCTTTGAAAACTCCATTATCATTGTGAGGTCGTATTCTTCACGATCTCCATCTCTACAAAAGTCGTCGGATCAATTGTGCAGTATGCGCTAAGAGTGGTACACACGAGCATCTAGAAGAAATGTCAGGACACGCAAGCTCTTGTGAAAATGAAGGAAACAAATCAGATTTGAGGCCTCTGACTGGCAGAATCTTGAGAAAGTTTCGCTCAATTATTTGGTTATCATCGGGCAGATCTTGGATGTCGGAGATGACACAACAACAAGGAACAAACTCACATTGTGTCCATTAATTCAATCGATACTTCCTCCGCCATTTGTCTCCAAAAGTCATCGCCCGCATATAAATTCGGTTCACGTTCGCTGACAGGGCCGTTGCCAGCCAGGACGCGATACGTCCCAGCAAGAAGCCTATGATTCATTCCTCGAGTTTACCAAAAGAAAACAACGCTAGGAAAACGAGAAGAATTGGAGATTCAGAGATACCTACAAATAGATAAGCTGTTTGTCAGCTTTCTTAATATTGGCCAGCTGCGCGTATGTCACCCCGGTGGATGCCTTCGCCAAGGTTGGAAAAACGCCCAAGTCACCCGCTATTTTGACTGCCATAAGCACCGCGGGCGATTGAGACATCAATTTGCGAATCGACAACGAGGTCTTTGTCGTCTTTTAGTGACGTACTGATCTGAAAAGCGTATTGATTGTATCTGCGGGCTTCTTGAGAGTGGTGTTGAGTCCAATGACCGCGTTTAGTGCCTCCAGCCGAGCTTGTTCGGTCTGGGATGATTGAAAGCCATTGACAAACACAGCGTCCAAGTTGCTGATATTCTTGACGGCTGCAGATCGTTCGTCAGTCGTGTTGGAAGGCAAGGACCTATTATTTTAATAAATCATGCGTCGATGGAAAAAGAAGTTAGCAACCCTTATCTCCAGCTGTATGGGGAAGCTCGTATTTGAGCATTGCAGTGTTCCAAGGTACTGCTTCTTCGCTACTTCACAGACCCTTATGAAGAACCGCTGGGTCTAAAATCATGATACTCAGTGCGCCTTTGCCTCGTCCGTGAAGCTGAGAGCCGGTCATGTACCTCGGGTAGCTTAGGAGCAGAAGATAGAGGATGCTAATGACATCACTGGCAGCATAGAGATCTGTGTGAGGATTGCACATCAGTCAGGCTTGGGGCAGTGAAAGTCAGAAGTTCTCAGCCTCTCCGGTTTGAAGCGGTGCTGTAGCATATCTGGCAAATAAATGCGCAACCATTCCAGGCTAGGCAGGAACGTGCCAAACCAACGGTCTCCGGCACAGATCAACTCATCAGGTGGGTAAACAATGTCGGAAGCCACGAGAATATTTTCGATCATGCTAGATATAGTCTCAACCTTCATGGCGCTCAGAGTCTCTAGGCAAATATCTTGATAATCTCTTCAGTTCGGGATTGCCTACCACCACACGAGACGATGGTCATCCTGCAAAACACCTGTGAGTTCTTCAGATGAGAAGCCTCGCGCGTTACAACAGGATGGTGATTCTGCCTGTCAATAGCTTTGATCAAAGCCCTCGTGTAATCACCGCAGGAGGACTCTTGACTGTGCTAGGCACCGACTTAAGTAGAGCCTCTCACTCGCATTCAAACCTACCTTCTTCACATTCACTCATTCCCCCACATTCACATTTCTCTCACTTTGGGCTGCTCTCAACCTCAACTCAGCTCCCCCTTCTATCAGACCCAATCTGAAATTCAACACACTTCCACAGACCAGGCAAAAAGATCATACAGATCCTTCTTGGTCTGCAAGATGATTTTGAGTGGTATGTCTTGCGAGCCTTCATCTGGAGCAAAACACGGATTCCTTTTGACTGTCATCACACTGACTGTCCATAGCTCTCTTCGTTAAAATCTCCACCGATGAAGCGGTCGAATTTCATTATAGAAGGAGAAAGTTATAATACGTATCACTCGATATTGTGAAAGCGGCTGACGAAGAAAACAGATGTCAGGTCATCTTCACACGGGCGGTTTTGAGGGGAAGTCTGTCTAGACGTGTTCCGAATGAATATGGGCACCTTTTATGGAAACCCTGACCAGGGGCTCTAAATCGGCCTGAATCTCAGCATGGGCAAGCGACGCGTGGAGCTGCGATTGAATAATCTCGATCGTGACTTGACATCGGCGCCTGTGTTTTTCACGTGGCAGAGAACGGGCCAGGCGAGTTCGTTGCATATCGGAAGACCCGCCTCATCCTGACCTTGCCTTGGATTCGATGCGAACCTTGGGTGCTAACCTGCGCATATCACGATGAGCTTGATTACTTAGGCAACGAGGCAAATGACACTTCAGCTGGAATTTTTCAACATAACATAACAACATGATAGCAGTAGAGTTCTGTCTCCTACATTCACAATTTTCTACAATTTTCGTCCTTCAATTCGAACGATCTGCGGAAATTATTACTTGACTAGTACCAAGACGACCCAGCTGACTAAGTACTATCTTTAAAAGTCACCCAATTTCATTGCTGCTCGAGTCATTAGGGGTCGATTGTCAGTATGGCCTACAAGCCCTTTGAGCCCTCTTCAATTGCCGGCAGTGGTTCGGGCTGGACACTCTTAGCTCGTCTTTCGTGCTTCGGTGCTACATTGAGGTACGATGTATCTATTGTTTATTCCTCGGACTTGAGGTATTCCTGCGATAAATTGACGTTTCAAATACGCGATTTGCATTTTCTCATCTCACGAAGGCCCAGTGAACGGTCATCTTAGTATACCCACACCGGCCTGTCATCGCAGCCGTAAGAAAACGGGCTATCGTGTCGGGTCGCGGACGGACTCCACTTGAAGATTGCCTCGTGCCGATTCACCGCCCGGCTCCTCCGCGGGGTCCGGCATCACAGGCATTTCTAATGTCCTGTCAGCGATTACCGAACAAAAGCAGAAGCGAGAAGTCTAGGGACAACACAACGGTCAATTTGCACTCGAATTTCTGCGGCACTGACACTCTCATCCGTTTGAATTTCGTGCATACTGTCTGCCTTCGATATCATTCCCAACATCTCCCGCTATATACCTGAGCGACTATCGCTATCTTGTGAGGGGCAACTTAACTACCACCAGCTTCCTCTCGATGATCCCCTCCAAAACTTATTCAATGCCGTCTACAACAGAAATTGCGCAGCAATTTGACTCAATTGAGGATACTATTGCCGCTTTCAGTGAGTCGAGAAGCAGCCCACGGGCCAGCAACAATGTCCTGTCTCTAATTGCATGTCATGTGCGACCCTCCACTCAATACTGACCTGCCATGACTCACCACAGAGAATGGCGAATTCATTATTGTTCTCGATTCGCAAGATCGAGAGAACGAAGGAGATCTGATCATTGCGGCTGAGTCTATCACTGCCGCGCAGATGGCCTTCCTCGTGCGATATACAAGGTAAGCGCCTCATCCCCACCCCCTGAACTATCAACTGCAGCCCTCGGTTCCCGTCGGACACCACTGTACACGGCCGCTTCCGGAAGAACATTGCCTTCACACAGCCATTCCACTGACAAGTCTTCTTTCGCCCCAGTGGTTTGATTTGCGCGCCTATCCCTCCAGATCTCGCAACTCGCCTCGCCTTGCCCCAAATGGTTGCCGAGAACGCCGATCCCAAGGGCACCGCCTACACTCTCACGATCGATGCCAGCGATGACTCTGTGACAACGGGTATTTCAGCCGAGGATCGTGCGCTGACCTGTCGAACTCTTGCATCCCCCGACGCCCAGGTCGACTCCTTCCGTCGACCCGGTCACATCATCCCATTGCAAGCCCGTGCAGGCGGCGTACGTGAGCGCACAGGTCATACCGAGGCTGCGGTGGAGTTCTGCCGCCTTGCGGGTAAGGCGCCCGTCGGTGTAATCGCCGAGCTTGTCGAGGCAGGTGAGATCGTCGAAGGTGTCCCCGAGATTCGCGGCAACAACGGCATGATGAGGCGCGATGGGTGCCTCCAGTTCGGTAAGAAATGGGGCATCAAGACGTGTACCATCGAGGATTTGGTGGAATATCTGGACCGGACCGAGGGCGTGAAGAATGGATACCAATAGCGATGCGCCGCCGCATGAGCTACGGACGCATGAGCTACGGATTGACTCGACAGGGGCACCCTTCGGTGTACTGTTTGAATCCCGGATCACTAGTCTTCTATCCCCACTTTTCCCCCGTATCTTTGTACAGTATTGCAGATGTGACCGGACAGTTCTAGATCAATTGACGAGATACCCTAGAGTTTGTGGTTTACACCATTCCATGGCATGGATCTGGGCAATGGACATAACCCATCAGTAATGTTTCATGTCGCCCGTGTCATCCTACCTAGCTGCTGCTATTGCATGTAGATGTAACGAGCCTCGCAAAAATGTAAGAATTGCTGATTGCGAGATAAATGTGAAAACGAATGGAATGGGTTAATTTTGGGTATCTATTTTCCATAAAATACAGTCGATAGCCATCTTTCTTTCTGACGATGCCGGGTTGTGGAGATCGTGAGGAACAGCTTCGGGGATATCGCAGAAAAATCAATCAGTCAAGGGAACGCCAGCGCGATGCAAAGAACTGAACCTCAACCCGAGGCCAGAATGAGATCCAGTAAAACTGGAAAGGAGGAAATATGAGCAGAACTCATCGCTTGAGGTGCGAGTAATCCCGCAGGATACCCTGCATGTGAGTGTTGGTTGTCTTGCCACTGCGTCGAGGTTTCTTGGTCTTCCTTTGCTCCACCTTGATGCGAGGCTTCATCACCTTGTTTTTGTTAGTCGGGAGGATGCCCGCTTTGTCCAGGGCCTCCTTGACAGCTTGAGGATCGGGAATCTTGATCTTCTCCCAAATCTGTTTGAACTCAGGATCGAAGTGCTCAATCAAAGATGGGTCATTGGCCCAGACCATCTTCGCGTGATCGTCCTTCTTGTTTCTGGTCACAAGCAGCTTCCCTTCTTTCTCCAGCTGATTGATCGTCTCTTCGACATTCAACCAGCCCTCGCGGAGTTCACGCACACTCATTCCTGCAGCAGTCTTCTGAGCCTGGAGCTTTTGTAGCAGCTGCTCGGCGTTTCGTACATTGTGTGGAGGTCGAAAGCTGAACGTGCCCTCCCCGCCAGCGCCGGCAGGATCGAAGTCGACCTTCTCATGACGCTGTAAAATACTGCGAAGTGCGTGAACATACGCGGGATCATTTGCACGATGCTGGAGTGATAGATAGGACACAATATCGGCAAACTTCAGCGGGACGGCCTTCGTCTTCATGTGCTCGATCGCGAAAAGGACCTGAGTCATGATATCTTTTCCCGTTCCCGTATTTGCTGGCTGCGAGTAGACAATGTCGGCGTCATGGCGTTTCTTCTTTAAATCGCCGATGGCTGAAGGCGTAGGCGTAGAAGATGGTCCGAGGGAACTGCTGCCGGAAACTGGAGGGTTGTTGCCCGCCACTCGCCGCTGCTGAGGCAAGCGGTTTGCCGACTCGACCACGCTTGCATTGAAGCTCTTGAGCTGTTGCTGCAGGTAGGACATGGTTTCAAGAGTTGCGAATCGCGAGTCACGCACTGTCCGAATACAAAAGAAGTTGTTGTGAAAGGAAGGGGGAGCTGCTGCGATATGGTGACAAGATACTGCGCCAGATAGCAGCCGGGCGTGAGTCACTTGGAGTTCCTGCACTCGAAGACCATAAGAGAGCTAGAACTCCATGCAAACCCAGAAGGAGGAGGAGGAAAGGATAAAGAGACAAAAGTTTAAGGGAATGGAAGAGGTTGTTGATCCTGCCTGAGGTCCAGCGCGCTGTCGCATCGGACAAGCCAAATCTGAAATGAATGATCCTCGAGCCTCCAATCACGTGAAGCCCCACTGCAAGCCGCCTTTGACGGGAGCAACCCGGAGCGCGCAAGAGCTCCGTCCTGCGTTCTCCAGCCTCATTCTCCATTTCAATTGCCCTTTTTTCCATACCGTCATCGTCGCAGGGTACTGCCAATCCGAGCACCTATCTTACTTTCGAGAGCGCGATGCCATATATTGCCTCTGAAAGTGTTGCGTGTACTCGAGGCTGAGCTGTGATTGCTACGCGCTTCAACACTCAGTCACTTCACCTCAACCTTTTCCTGTTCCGTCACAGCTCTTTCATTGGAGCAGAATTGAGCGCTCGCCTCGTCTCGCCATCACCGGGCTCCAAGCAGCCATGGCGGATACAGCGATCGCGCTGCCGTACTTGTCGACTCAGTATGCGATCCCGGAAGCAACACTGTCTGCGTTGACTCAAGCTCCAACTACGGATTTGGTCAATGAGCTCCTACAATCTATTACCAGGAAAGCACACGACTTCGACGAACTGAAGTCGGAAAAACTTCGGCTGGAGGTTGAGCTTGAAAATGCTGTACGCAGTAATGAGTCGAAAGTGAAGGTGCTGAAGTCAACGGTCGAAAAGGGTCACGCAGAGGTGGAAGAGTTGAGAAAGAAATTACACGTGTCTGGTAAGATGGCAAACAAAGTGTCCAATATCTTGTTTCGTCAGCTTTAATTTAACATATCTCAGAAACACAATGCTCGGCGCTGGAGTCCGAGATCTCCTCCCTGAAATCCTCGAGCACGTCGAACGCAAGCGAATTTACATCTCTCAAAACACGCATCTCGACACTTGAGTCTGAGAAGCGGGAAAGCCTGGCATTGCTTGAGTCGAAATCAACCGCTCACGACAAGCTGGCCGAAGAGCTTTCGAGCCAACACAAGAAAATCATCGAACTTCGCCGGGAACTCTCTACAAGCGAGCAGAACCTACAAAATGCCAATTCGGCTGCCGCCAGCTCACGCTTCCGCGAACAAAGCCTCCAGCAAGAACTTGAACTCGTCAAGAAGAACAGCGAATGGTTCGAGACGGAGCTGAAAACGAAGGCAGCCGAGCATACTAAGTTCCGGAAAGAAAAAAGTGCCCGTATCGCCGAACTTCAGCGTGCAAATGAGGATGCAGCCACCACGATCGATGCCCTGCGACGCAGTGAAAACTCTCTTAAAGCTCGATTCGATGAGACCGAGCAGCGCTATGAAGAAAGCCTCGTAACTATTGGCCAGCTGAAGGAAGCAGCTATCCAGGCTGAGGAAACCTTCCGCATTGAGCTTGAAACTGCGACTCGTCTCGCAAAGCTTCAAGAATCCTCAGCCACATCTGCGAAACAACGCGCCCAGGAATGCCAAGTCGCCCTGGAAAATGCCAAAAATGAAGCCGCCGAAGAGATCGCACGTCTGCGAGTCGAAATGGAAACGGAACACGCCGACAAGGAAGCTGCTGAAAGAAGAGTCTCAGAACTCGAGGCAACAGTTGCCCAGCTTGAGGTACAAGGATCAGTCAACCGATCGACAAGTCCTGCCCGATCTTTCAATGGAGCACTACCCTCGACTCCTGGTCGACCAGGAACGCCTGGTAGCACTTTCTCGCCCAGAATGTCTCGTACTAAGGGTACTTTGACCTTTACTCAAATGTACACGGAGTACGACAAGATGCGCACGCAACTTTCCGCAGAGCAGAGGACAAACAATGAGCTCAGATCTACGCTCGACGAAATGGTGCAGGAGCTCGAATCGACCAAGCCCGAGATCGACGACCTTCGAAGTGACCACAAGCGCCTCGAGGATGCCGTAATGGATCTTTCAGGTCTACTGGAGACCTCGGCAAAGGAACGTGATGACGCAATCAAGGAGGCTAGAAAATGGCAGGGTAAGGTTGAGGGCCTCACGCGCGAAGGTGACATTCTTCGTCAACAACTTCGTGATCTCAGCGCCGAAGTCAAGGTCCTCGTGATGGAAGTGGCTATTGTGAAGCATGGTGAAGATTACGACCGGGAGGAGCTCGAGAAGATTGCTCGAAAGGAGATCGAAGAATCTGCGGCTGAGCTCAATCCCACTGGATTATTCATCAGTCGGAATCTTGTTACGTTCAAAGACTTGCATGAACTACAGGAACAAAATTTGACTTTGCGACGAATGCTACGTGAACTCGGTGACAAAATGGAAGGTGAAGAAGCTCGTGCTCGCGATGCTGTCCATCAGCAAGAGGTCGAGGAATTGAAGGAACTGCGCATTCGTGTGCAAACATATCGTGATGAGATTGCCAACTTGGTCGCACAATCGAAAACCTACGTGAAGGAGCGAGATACTTTCCGAAGCCTACTGACTCATCGTCGGCAGACGGTGGGAGGCGACGGAGTTTTCTCTCAGTCGGTCCCCCCTGGTGCAGTGCCTGCGGGTGCCCTAAGCAGCCAGATGCAAGACGGCACCGATTATGGCGATCTTCTGCGTAAATTGCAAGCCCACTACGACACATTCCGCGAGGAGACGCTTGCGGACCATTCTTCTCTCCGACAACAGGTCAATGAGCTTTCACGCAAGAATAGCGAGTTGATGAGCGAGATCAGTCGGTCCAACAGCCAGCTTGCCGCTGCCTCACAGCGTGCTGAGCTTCTCCAGAATAACTTCGACATGCTCAAGAACGAGAATAGCGGGTTGCAAGGTCGCTATTCGACGCTTCTCGAGAATTCAAGCAAGCACGAACTCAAAGTACAACAAGCTGCTGAAGATCTCGTTGAGGCGAAGGGTTTGGTCGAAAGTCTTCAGCGCGAAAATTCCAACCTGAAAGCTGAAAAAGATCTTTGGAAGAATATCGAGAAGCGGCTGATTGATGACATTGAAAGCCTTCGCAACGAGCGTGCCCGTCTCGATTCCTTAAACGCCAATCTTCAAACATTACTCAACGAACGGGAACACACTGAGTCCGAAACCCGCCGTCGTCTGCAAAATAGCGTGGAGTCTCTCGAATCTGAGCTACAGTCCGCAAAACGAAAGCTCAATGACGAGACCGAGAACGCCAAACAAGCAGCCCTCCGCCGAGATTACGAACAGGAGCAAAGCCAGAAAAGGATCAACGACCTGGTCAGCAGTCTCGGAAGCGTTCGTGAAGAACTGGTTGCAACAAAGACCACCAGAGACCACCTGCAAGCTCGAGTCGATGAGCTTTCTGTTGAGCTCAAGAGCGCGGAAGAAAAACTTCAAGTCATCCAGGCGCGCCCTGCTGTCTCAGCCGCTCAAACCGAGCGTGAGGTAAACGCGGACGACGCTGAGATTGGTACTGGTCTCACTCGTGAACAGGAATTGCTTGTAGAGATTTCTGAGCTAAAGCGAGATCTTGATCTGGCCAAGGGCGAGTTGACGCATGCAAAGGAGCAAGCTGAAGAATACCGTGCCATTAGCCAATCAACCGAGGAGCGAATGGAAGCTGAGGCAGATACGCATGCCCAGTATCGCGAGGAGACTGATGCCTTAATCCAGGAGAAAGACAAGAAGATTCAAGATTTGGAGACGAGAATCGAAGAGATATCTGCTGAGCTTTCAGCCACGAGTACAGAACTCTCTAAACTGCGAGACGAACAAGGCGACATCACACGTCATATGGAGGAACAGAAGTCTCGATTGGAATCTGAGATCACTCGACTCAAGGATGACAACGATAGGCACATTGCTGCCGCTCAGTGTCACCAGGATGATCTGAGAGCCCAGGCTGAGATTTCTCAAAATATGCAGAAGAGCTACGAGACTGAGCTCATCAAGCATGCTGAGGCCGCCAAAACTGTCCAGGCTGTGCGGGCGGAAGCTAATCAATTGAAGCTTGATATGGCCGAATTGCGAATCCAGGCTGAGACTCACAAGAGAGACCTCGTCCAGAAAGAAGAGAGCTGGGCAGAGCAAAAGGCTCGATATGAAGGAGAGCTTGCTGAGCTGCAGAGGCGTCGGGAAGAAGTCAGTCATCAAAATTCCGTCCTCCACGGCCAGCTTGAGAGCATCACCGGGCAGATCGCCACTCTTCAGCGCGAGCGTGCCGGCGCCTCTGAGATGACAGAGCAGGAAGGTGAGCAGGCGGCTCCCGACTTGGAAGGTCTTCAAGAAGTTATCAAATATCTTCGACGTGAGAAAGAGATTGTTGAAGTGCAGTACCACCTGTCGACTCAAGAAGGCAAACGCCTTCGTCAACAACTTGATTACACTCAATCTCAGCTTGACGAGACCCGCCTCAAACTCGAGCAACAACGTCGTGCTGCCGCTGACAGCGACCATAATGCGCTGAATCACAACAAGCTCATGGAAACTTTGAATGAATTGAACCTGTTCCGCGAAAGCAGTGTCACCTTGCGCAATCAGGTCAAGGAAACCGAAGCTGCTCTGGCCGAGAAGAGCGCCCGTGTTGATGAGCTCACACAGGAAATTCAGCCCCTGGAGACCAGGATCCGTGAACTCGAGGGGACCATCGAAGCAAAGGACGGGGAACTCCAGCTGCTGCAGGCTGATCGCGACCATTACCAGAAGCGAGTACAAAATATCCTGCAAAAGTACGATCGTGTCGACCCTCAGGAAATGGAAGCGCTCAATGAGAAGTTGTCAACCTTGGAGAAAGAGCGCGACGAGGCTATTGCTGCCCGGAATGCACTTCAAACCGAAGTCGAAGAGAAGCTGCAGGCCGCGGCGCAAGCCGCGGAAACCCGCACAACCGAGCTTCGCACGAAACTCACCGATCAATTTAAAGCCCGTTCTCGAGATCTCTCTCATAAGATCTTGGCTCACAAGCAAGAAAAGGAAACATTGCAAGCCGAGCTCGATGCTACCAAAGCTGAGTTAGAGACCACCAAGTCCAAGGTCTCCGCGGCTGAAGCAATGGCGGCATCAGCGGCAACCGCTAGTTCCGCAGTCCAGTCAGCGCCAGAGGAAGGAGTTCCTGTCAATTCTACCCCAGCCTCACAATTCCCTACCGCGACTAACACTGTCGTTTCTACGGAAGACGGGCAGAAGATCAAGGAGCTGGAGACCAAGATCCAGAACTTGGAAGCTGCTCTTGCCGAGAAGGACTCACTCATTGCCGCCAAGGATGCTGAGCTCGAGTCACGACTCAAGGAACGTGCCGACAAGCTCAAAGACATCTTTAACACCAAGCTTGCTGAAATCAAGGCTAGCCATCGCCAAGAAATTGAGAAGCTCTCATCGGGCGAACGTGCTAATCCGGCGACCCCTGCTGTGGACACGGCGCAACCGGCGGCGACAACTCAATCAACAGCTCTTCCTGGCCAAGTTGGACTTAACGACGAGCAAGCTCGTGAGCTCCTGGAGAAGAACGAAACGCTTCGCAATATCTTCAGGAATAACCTACGTACGAAGATCGCACAGGCAGAGGAAAGACTCAAAGGAGAAGCCCAAAAAGCTTCCCAGATGCACGAAGAGGCAATTGCAGCCCTAAAAAGGGCACAAGATGAAGAGACTGCCGAAAAAGTCAAGGCTGCTGTGCAGCTCTCTGACAAGAAGACGGCCGCCCGGATCAGCATGCTGGAGACTCGCATGAAGACATCTCTTGCCAAAGTCGAAGTGGTGTCCAAAGCCGCCGAACAAACCCCCCAGAAGCCTGTCATTGAAGTCTGGGAGGTGGCCAAGACAGCGCGGCCGCCAGCGCCTGCCCCGAAGCCTCAACCTGCAGTGCCTGCGGTGTCTGCAGTACCTGCTGCCGCTGGTTCCCAGGTCAGCCCTGCAGTACCGACACAGGTCACCACTGGGCCTAGTCCAACTCCCGTTCTCCAGCAACAGCCTGCTCTCCAGCAACAGCCTGCTCCACAACAACAGCCTGCTCCACAACAACAGCCTGCTCCACAACAACAGCCTGCTCCACAACAACAGCCTGCTGTCCCGCCTGTCGTTCCTACGGCGGTGAACACCACGAATCAAGCGGCGCCGTCGCAGCAGGCTCCTCCGACACTTAATCCCTTCGGACAGGCGCAGCCTGGTACACCACAAGCTCAGCAGTCGCAACCATCATCATTGCCATCTAAGCCTCCGGGGACGGCGCCGGGCATGCTCCGGGCCTTGCAGTCCGGCCTCCCTGTTGCACGCGGCGGCCGAGGCGGCGGCCGTGGTGGTGGCCAGCAGAATCCACTCGGTCATGCACAATCGCAACAGGGCGAGCAGCAACAAGCTCAAGCTCAAGCGCAGACTCAGAGCCAACGAGGTTCAGGTGTCGTCCGTGGGCGAGGTGGAAGAGGTGGTCAAGGTCGCGGAGGCGCGCAGAACGGCCAGGCCGCCACCCAGGGACAATCTAGCCCTGCTGGCAATCGAGGTAGTCTGAATGTGCAGGCCCGGCAGTTCATTCCTCAAGGAAACAAGCGGACACGTGAGGACGGAGTAGATGTTCCTGCCGAAGGTGCTAATGCCGGCAAACGCATGAGAGGCGGTGGTGGCGGCCAAGGTCGTGGCGGTGGATCATCTTGAAAAGGCCGATTTTGCCTGTTTTGCCTTCTACTTTTGCGATCAAATGTACTTTTTATTTGTCTGCCAAGACACATGCCCGGCGCTTCACGTATCTCGTTCTATCCGTGGCTTCTGATATTACTTTCTTTCCTGGCTGTCACTGTTTCAGTCACGCTGCGAGTTCAGATGTTAGCTTATTCATGTTTCTTTACCATTTGTATCTAGAGAACGACCTGTTTTCGCCTTGCCTCAATTTTTTTTAAATGACATGACAAATTTATCTCCGTGCCCATGACACCACCCGCAAACCATAGACGATGTATGTAACATCACCACCGGCCAGCCGTCGTAAAGATACGCGATGGTTCATCGCCTTAGCTTCTAGATCAAGACACATTTTCCTGTCGACAAACTCGGTTACAAACAAAGGGTATCACTTGAAGTACAAAAGCATCGAACGTCAACCGCGGGTGCTTAAAAAAGAAGAAAAACCACCAGACAACAAACACCCTTTCTCACTTCCTCTTCGAAGCTCCAGCGGGCACAATCATCCTCGCCAACACCTCCCTCTCCTTTTGAAGCACCATCAACCTCGCATCCTCAATGATTTTCCCCTCCGGCGCCGGCGCCGGAACCGGACTCTGCGTAACGTGTGCGGCGACGACCACCGCGGGCGCAGGATCCCTCGCGGTGCGCGCACGCTTGCGCCGCTGTCCTACCTCCGAGCCCCAGACCACTGTCCATTCAGGCACGATACCGTGTACGGGGACCTGACAGCCGGAGCAAATCTTGGAGTGCGCGCCAACGTCGGCGTGGCGGTTGATTGTCACGAGTGACTCAATTGTGGCTGCGGAGTGGATATTGGCGCCTGGGAGGATGGTGGAATGCGGGCCAATGGTGACGAAGTAGGAGATGCGAGTCGTTGGAGTGGTTGTTGAGTTCGAGTCGTGCCCCCTTGACAGGGAAGAAGACGGCGCAAGATCCATCGATGAGGATGTAGGAGATGGTCTTGTTGACGAGGAAGGTGAGGGTCTTGACGAGGTGGAAGAGGAGGAGGAAGTCCCCGGCGCGGCGCCGATGACTGCTTTTTCACTGATGATACATCCGTCGCCGATGGATATCGGGCCCTCGAAAGAGTAGAATTTGGCGCGAGGGTGAACGATGGTGCCTGCGCCGATTGTCACAGGGTATGTGCCTTGAAAGACAGCGGTGTCTGCTATGGTCGCCGAGGGATCAACTTTGAGGGGAGCTTTGGGAGGCCCAGTCGAGGTATGTGATGAAGATGACCGGTGCTGTAGTGAAGGCGGTTTGAGGGTGGACATTGTGTGGTGCGCACTTGACGAAAGATAGTGAAAGGCCACGCTCAAGACGCTCAGGGTGAGCAATAAAAAGGGAAGCCGGAGGTTGTTGTTTAAGTTGGGTGGGTCGCCAACGATGGAGCTTCGGAGCTCTTCGAGAAGCTTGAACCGAGCCGGCGGGGCGCGTTCGGCTGAGGTTCAGCTCTTGATGACAAAACCGCGTGATAGATGTGGAAGCATCGTCTAATTCTGTTTTTATAAGTTCCTCCAAAAGAAAAGGGATCACCTGGTTTAGCCATCCGAGTTGGCCTGACATATTGTTTGGATAGGTGGGGAAACTTCAAAATCTCAAACCGCCTTAGAGCCCACTATCTTGTCGCCCACTACCTTATGTTCCAGGAACGAAACAGCGTCTCAAGACAAGGGCAACATCAGGCCAATTGGTGGACTTGGCCATTCATCACTTCCAAATTCAGTGGTGCATTGGTCTAGCCTATGTTTACCTAACCTTCATAGGTGTGACCCAAACCCTTGCGAGGCGAAGTCTAGCATGCAAGATGTATCCAGGCACCCGTCGGCTTTGGGGAGCTATTGTACGTCTGCTGCGTGGCCTTCACTCGAACATATTACTGATGGTTTACAGCGATTCATACATACACACTGGCTGTCGAAATAGTGTAATAGCCTGCCAGTGCACAACAATGAGGCCATTAGGAGAAATTGAGACCCGTGGCCGCCGCTCAAGGCCAGACTGGAATGAAAGTTAAGTGACTATACCGGTGGAATTCTTGGGAGTATATATACTCCCTAGATTGAACATGAATTGTGGGATGGCGAAGCCCTAACTGACTATGTCAACCAATGGCCAATCGTCCACAAATGTATGCACAACCCATCAACAGGAGGCGTATATCTGCGTTGGAAGTGCTTCCTCTCGCTCTGACTCTCTTCACAGGGGTTATGCCACCGAGCCGCTGTCCTCTTGTGCAGATGAATCGAAGAGAAGTGCGTCAGGGTTGCTTCGGCTGGCAATTCATGCAGGGATCCTTTTCGTCATCTCCCAGGGCCTGCAGTATCCGACCATAGTTGCCGGTCGCCCGTGTCAGAGCTAGATGATCGCACAAGATCGCAGAACAGTTGACGAACCAAAATCTGGATATGCGGTCCAATCCCAGCGTGCTCACGCATCGTCAGCCCCGATCTTCGACTTCTTCCCATTGCGCTTTCTCCATGCCAAAATCCCCTTGTCAACCTCATCCCGCGTCATACCATCTCGGACCAGATAGAAGGTGACCCCGAGTTCTGTCTCAACATTCCTATTTCGGGCCTCGTCGTCGAAGAAGAGCATCTCTTCGTATGCGATTCCGCTGGCCTGATGGATCTTCGCAAAGTGTTGCGTCTTGTTGGCTGGAAAGATTTGTATATATTCAAAATAGTCCAGCGCACGAATAGATTTGGCGCTGTTGGCGGCGACATCGTCGGAAAAGGTAGGGATTATATGGAGGGCTTTAAGCATGTCGCGGGCCAGATCGGGGGTATGGGTGCGAGAGGCCAAGGCCACGGGGATTGATCGGTTCTTGCAAGCATGGATAATGGACGAAACAGCGGGATAAAAGGCGAAGGACTCTCCCCATCTATCAACAAACACATTACCCTGTTAACCATGTTTGCCCGAGCTCTGTCTCCAAAGCTAAACGTACCGATCGACCACACGAGAGTTGTTGTCACGTGCCTTGACGGGCGCGCTGACATGGGTATCTACCCAGAAGGGCCAAAGAGTGTAATCCAAGTCAAAGACGATCAACTTGGGCAATGGTAGGCCGTCTGTGAATGTCGCAGGAGCCACATCGGCATTGTCCATCGTCTGGGCGGTTTGGCGCTTGGTGCGTACCATGACGGGCGGGCGGTTCAAGTGATCGATTGCGAAACTGGGAGAGGACCGTGTCTACAGCTGTAAAAGTGTGAAATGACCTCACACAAGATTTATACCAGCACAGAGCTGTGAATGCCGTGGCAGAATGACAAGAGTATCAACAACTCGCGAATTTTCGTAGGGCAGAATGGTCGAATCAAACGACGAAAAGTTGGGGCGACGTCATTCCCTCCCACGCGGTAGCGGCACGTGGATCGACTAACGAACGATCAAAGAGACGGACTCCACAATCAGAAGGGGTTCGGCAGAAGACTAAGCTAATTGCGGAGCCGCCTTCGGTTAAACTTCTAGAAGGGTACTTCCACCACGGATACAGTTCTACACTGATAACTACGATGCATCGAAATATGCTAATCAGGACTCCCATCTCAGTATAAGAGGTGCCGTGAGTGTTCGCCTCAACATTCTTCATTTTACAATCCGCTTTTCGTAGGGGTAATAGCGTGGAAAGCGTCTATCATCCGATAAGATACCCGCTCCGCGAAGAATGGACTTTGTTACCCTAAGTATAATCGCTTGGGCCTTCCCGTAGATTGCGCAAACGACATTTGATTCTGTCAGCATCCTTGCCAGTGGGATCGTACAGATAGTGGCGTTTTTCTTTGAGATCAAGAAGTCGCAATGGCTCATATGCAAATGGAACCAGCCAAACCATACGTTTTCTCCGCTGGCTTGCAGATGGGGCGTGGAATAGATACCGATCCGCCGCCATCAACCAGACTACCACCATCAGGCATTCGATAGCAGTAAACTTAACCCAGGAAAATCATAGCGCTGCTCTGATTCCCTCCTTCTGTAGATCTGGTTGAAATATGGTGGAGGCATGCATGAGTTAGGACGAGAGAAAGACTGCCAAGGAACTACTGAAGGAACCGCGTAGAAAAATTAAGCCGCTTCGACCGTGATTCGGATGATTGCTCGAGTCACAGGAAGCCGTGTATCTAAGCTGTTCTTCCAACGTAGGAAGAGTAGGAGTCTGTCCTTGCGCAGGATCTGCGGGGGACCCCAAAGCTTCAACGGAGAAACGGGGTAGCAATCGCATTCAAGTATCTAACGCGGAATATAGACGAGTCTTTCGAACAATCATTCTTGTCGAGTGGTCAGCAAGCTGGTAACATTAATCGTACACTCTATTCCTATGCGTCGAGGCCTACTAACCTAGTCATACAAATCATTAAGTCCTTCAAAAAGTGTCAAGACCAGGTACCAGGAATCAAGAAACCGTGAAACCAACCCGTGCGACAGCGGAAAACGGACGATGGGTGGTGATCCACCAAGTGAGAGTCGAGTCAAGGCCAGGTGAGTGGAAACAAGCCAGCCGGAAGTGAGGCGAGACGCAGTACGCAATTACGCATTACGCAATACGCAGAACGCAGACCCGCTTTTTATCGGCGTCATGACTGTGAGGTGGTGTGTCGGACTGTCGGTCCATCTGAGCCAGGAATACAACCGCAACACAACAATCACCGGGTGGGGTTGAGCATCTTTCACCCACTCAAGTCCATTGCCGTATCCGTCAACTCATCCTCGGAGCTCTCCAAGAAGGTGGCAGTTTCCTCTCTTTCACAAGGAGACAAAAGATATTCCGAGATAATCTCCTGCATCTCGGTAATCTCAGTCTCCTCCTCCTCGCGAGTCGCAGCTCGGGGAGGAGAGGAACCGGCCCTTTCTGGACAGGAAGCCGGCTCGCTCGGAAGCAAGGTCATTCGTCCCTGCTCGGAAGAGAAACGATTTGTCGCTCGCTGTGAGGAAGCGAGAGGAACGGAAGGCACACTGGTCATCTGGCCCCCGGCCGAGGCGTACCTCGCGGCAGTTTCAACTGCGCGCTGTGCCACAGAGGCGTCGAGTGTCGATTCCTCGGGCAGCTGAGCCGATGCTGCTTGAGAAGAATCATTCTGTGAGTCCTCTTGTCCTGGGTTGGTCTTGCCGGCGATCTTGGACTCCTTTCGCGGCCTAGACCTCTTGGATCTCCACCATTGCTTGGCCCCTTCCTTGCAGCATCTATGGGTGCATCTAGTGACGTTAGCTAAGTGTTATTTGCACAGATCATCAAGGTGCCCTCACCTTCCCGTATCACGACAGGAGTGAAAGCAAGTCCACTTCCCATTCGCCTTGAGAGTCCGCCCAGTACTCTTTACATCGACTGACTCGTTATCTGGAGTCTTTTCAGTCATCGAATTTTGAGCGGCGGCAGTTGGTGCCACGTTCTGGTATGGACCCGAGGCCCCCTTCCGACAGCAGTCATGATTGCACCTGGAACGGTCAGCCAATCGGCCTATCGGTATTAAGAAAATACCCTTACCTGTTCTTATCTCTGCAAGGATGCAAGCAAGACCACTTTCCATTTGCGTAGAGGACCCGTCCACGATCCTGTGTTGTGACGGAATCAGCATCCGCAGTCTGGCCAGCAGGTTTTTGTTGGCGTGAACGCGCCCTCTTAAGGTAGGATTCCCTTGCCCCCTCGCGACAACAGGTGTGTCCGCAACTATAAATATTAGTCAGTGATTCTAACCGTATGATGAAGATGCTCTTACTCCGAGTTTGCACGACAGACATGAACACAGGACAATCTTCCATTCGGAAGAAGGGTCCGCGCAACCTGAGGGTTGTGCTCGATGACCACGGATTTGCCGTCTGCAGTCTGTTGAGCGGCCGAATCTGGTGCGGCCCGGGCCGAGGGATCCGCCTGTTGTTCGCTTGTTGCCGCTGGCTGCTCGAGAGGCGCCGCTGGCTGTTCGAGAGGCGCCGCTTGCTCTTCGAGTGACGCCACCTGCTGTCCAATTGGAGTCGCCTCCTGCACAGACGATGCAGCCTGCAAGTGGGGTGAGGGCATACGGTGTTGGATTGATGCCGCTGGTGACGTTCTCTGTGTGCCTGTCGCGGGCGATAAGTCGAATGTCACCGCCCTATTCGATCGTGGCAGTCTATTGCCATGAGTGCTTGAGTTCCAGCGCGCTGGCTCAGAGAATGGGTTCGAGAACGGTTCGGCAATTGGGACAACAGGTGGGTAATCGACTCCTTGAACAGCACCGTTGGAAAGTACAGCCCACTGGAATCCACTCATCGAGGATGTTCGGCTGGCTTGGGAGCCTAGTGCATCTTCAGGATAAGGACCCCAGAATATGCTAGCCAAGGAAGGTACTGGACTACCGGAGCGCAGGGGAGGAGTAGGAGAATCACCAGTCGAGCCCTCGATGCTGGAGCTTTCCGTATTCTGGTATGCGAAGCCAGGATCCTCGACACGGGAAGCCTCTGTATTGAGAGCCGTGAAAGGACTACCGACCCAGGCCGCACGCAGGGGAGCATCACAACTGAGACTCCCATGAATGAAAGCCTCTGTGTTGGAAGTCTGCGTGTTGGAAGCCATGAGATTCGGGGCCTCGGGGCCTGGAGTCATGAGATGAGATGCGCCGGAGTTGGAGGTGACGAAGCTGTCTTCTAAGCTGGGATCAATAACATCTACGTCTTCATCTTCAGAAAGAACAAACTCTGCCGGAACTTCGGGCTCGATCCTCGCCTGCTGAGATGTTCCAGCTGCAGGGTGTTAGCAAGCTATACGGCCAGCTCGTGAGTACACAAGACTCACCAATATCGTCACACATGACGTGAGACGTAATGTGTTGATCTTGACTTGTGAGTTTTGCTGTTAAGACGAATTTGATGATGTTTTGAAATTTGGTTGCACTAAAGGTTGGGTGTTGTTATTGTGAGAACAGGAAGTGTGCAGAAGTTTGGAAAACAACAACACGCGTGGAGGGGGCGCCGACCTGATGCGACGAAAGTCGACTAAGCGGCCATCTGATATTTCTGTCAAACAACAAACGAACACTGGCTTACGGTGAAAATACGCAGGTACTGTATTATTTTCATTCATAAAGGCCACTTCAACCTTGAACCGAACATTAACTTCTTGCCGGTTCATGGTCTATATTTTGCAAGTGAGACGATCAGCATCAATCGGTGCGAAGATGAAAGGTAAGTCTCTTACCGTCTCCAGAACTTTCAGCGTAACTCTCAGCTTTGGAAAGTCCTTCAGCCGTGACAATACTTTCACTCCAAATGGGGGTTCTTGCTCAGAATCATATCGATACGAGGCGCTTCCGTAACTTCAAGCTCTTGGATATCTTTTATACCTGCCGCCGCCAACTTTCGAACAGCCACGACCCCAATTTGCTCGATTTGCTTCATCTGAAGCGGAGAATGGTCCCAAACCTTGGCTCCCAAGCTTCTCGCGAGCTCGAGTGCATTTCGTACCGTGACTGAGTCATTTTTCGCAATTGAGCAATCAATAAGACAGCGAATGAGGCGGCCCATGTGAGCAAAAACTTCGCTTTTTTCCTGCTGAAAGGTGAACTTGTGCCTTTGAAGTTGCCCACTAGCTGGAAATTCAACTGCACCAAGTTCAGACTGAAGTAATAGAGAGACTTTGTGCCATGCTAATATAACATTACCCTCAATTGGAAACCGGATGGCGGAATCCTTGTTGATCTCCCGGTAAAGTGCCTTTTCAGTGATCTTGAGTCGAAATTCCCGGAACTCTTCAGCTTGACAGAGGACATTTAACTGATTATATTAGCTTGCATCGTGCCTCCAGGTATATCAACACCACTCACTATATCGTGAATGTCACTTTTCGTCTTCAAAGACACAATCTTCTTCATTGTCTCGAAGCGGACATAGTATCGAGCCATCGCATCCCCGTACGCAGTTGTGCACGTCTTCTTTGTGTCCACAAGTCCGCTCTGTCGCAAGAGCTCGAGATCTTTTTCACAAATCTGTTTCAGCAAGGCCTCTTTGTCGTCTTGGCTATTGCCGTTTTGGAGCTTATAATGCCCTGGGTTTCGACGAAGTCGCACGAAAAGGAAGGTACTTGAGAGCCATTTGATCGCCGTCAGGATGTCTGACACAATTCCAAGGCCAATCTCCGCGTTCAAATGCTCAATCAGATTGAGATGCAAGCAACTCTCAAGACTTTCGGATCCAGAGATCAGGCGTTCATAGTGAGCAACTCGGTCTTTGCGTGTAAGAATAACGGCTGTCGCCGTGTCATCAAATTGTGGTCGCCCAGCACGACCCAACATTTGCATCATCTCGAGGTCTGAATACTGCTTCCATCCGCCATCCTGCCAGCACACTGTGTTTTTGATGATCACCAGCTGGCAGGGTAGGTTTACGCCAACGGCGAGTGTGGAAGTGCAGCATATCACATTCACTTGACCATCCAGGAAACCCTTCTCCACTGCAAGTCTATCAGCAGCACTGAGGCCAGCATGATGAAATGCAACCCCTGCGGCCGTGGTGGCTAATTAATGTCAGCCAAAGTTTTTGGTTATAGTATGCGGCTAGTCTCACCTTTGAGATCATCGTTGCTGATTGAGAGTCGTTTGCCTGGACCTTTCCAAAGGCGGGCCGGTGGGTTGGTCGAATTCCACACCTTGACAAGCTCTTTAGCCGTTGTGACAGCTGAGTTACGGGTGCAGCAGAAGACCATGATAGGTTTCTGGCACGAATGCTTGCCGAGCACTTCAGGAAGTCTGCACACTGACAATTAGTGATTCACCTCTGAACACTTCCCTCAAGTGGTGAACGAACTTGGACCCGCAGATCTTGTCAAGCACAAAGTCATTACCCGTCGAGTGGTATCCGTATACGAACTTCTGTAATTTCACGGGCCGAAAATCTTCTCCGAAGTGTTCACGATGCGCAGGGATATGTTGATTTGCTGCGTCTTTGCCCAGCCACGTCGCAATGTCTTCGGAATTGGGAACAGTTGCGCTTAACGCGACAAATCGTACATTGGATCCGATATTTTTCATGCGCGAGACAACTGCTTCTAGTGTAGCTCCCCGGGTTTCTTTGAGGATGTGAACCTCGTCGATGAGAAACAATTTGACCAGTTGCATCAATCGCATATGATCTTTCCATTTGCGTGTGATGCTGTCCCACTTCTCAGGTGTGGTGATGATGATGTGGCTGCTTTGAACGCTGCGTAACTGCGTGTGATCAGTATCACCAGTCAATTCTGCGCACTTGAGACCGAGTCTTGCGAATTTGTTACTCCAGTCTCGGAACCTCTCAGAGCAGAGAGATTTGGTTGGTGCCTGATAGACCACCTTGAATCGCTCGTCTGTGAGACTATTCAGAAGTCTGCATATCGCCAGCTCCATGACCACTGTCTTTCCGCTTCCGGTGGGAGCTGCAAGAACCACGTTGTCTTCTGTGTTATACGTAGAATGGAAACTTTTGGATTGAATGGCATTGAACACAGGAAAGGGAAAAAGTGGTCGATACCTTTCCGGAAGGTCGGCTACGGCCACGAGAAGAATTCCTCGTACGGATAACGGGAGTTGTCCAAATGGTGTGATGTCTACTCTTGTATGACGTTGGATAGGAGATATGGGATACGAGCGGCCTGATGACTGATGATTCGAGGCACCGAAATCATCTGAATACCTGTGAGTAGCTTCCGCATGGGCTTTTTTTTTGCAGTTGTTCTGCCAATGGCGACTTATATGAGTCTGACGGGCCGTCGCCAATGGCGTCAAGGAAGGACCACAAACTAAGCTGGAGTTGCCACGTTCACGTTCGCCAAGGAACGGCATGCGAGAAACATCAAAATTGGGGTCGGAATCTCGACTTTCACCCGCAGAGCGTTGAACATTCTCTATCGGTGCAAGTCGCGCTCGATTCGTATGCTCAAAGAAGCGAGATATTCGAGGCGGCGAGGCCTGTCGTCTCGACGGGAGTGACGATGATGCATCCCCACTAGAAACGTTTAGATGATTGCTTGGAATGGGAAACCAGCAGGAACTGCTGTTCTTTTGTTGAGCTAACAACTCAAGGTCTGCAGCCAAGTCAGTAACTCATCGTATCCGATCGCCGGTGGGGACGCACCGAATGAATCCAATGGCGTCTCAGCCCGTTCATCATGATCTCTTTCACGATGAGATTGCGGACTGATAGTAGTACACGAGGCACCCTGTCTTGTAGTACACGAGGCACCCTGTCTTACGTTGTTCTGGTCTCCAGGAAGATGAGAACCGTCAATGAGTTTCTGATCAATGAAACCCGCTCTACTCGATTGATGGGAACCCGCTGTCGAGGCATTGACTCGACGCCGTTTAGGCGAAGGGGAGAACTTATTGCAATGGTCGAGATCGCGACGCCTCATGACCACTGAACTGATCAATGGTCGTGGGAAGGTGATTGTGTTTGACTAATTTGAGATGTGTGATTTCGTGGAGCGGGGGGTGAAATGTGATGATAGTTAGGGTTGGACGGCAGCACGTGGATGGCCAAGTCCTGTGCCCCTTTGTACGGAAAGACGAACCGTCTATTCATCAATTCAACATGTGATCCAAACTTCCATTCCTTCGCTCCTATTCTTACACAATCGAGAGTCCCATAAACATACGTTCTCGCTCCACAAGACATGCGCGCCCATGAATTTGATGCCGAAGATGGGCACCCAAGCAGGTGTATACCAGTGATCCACTCAAGCATCAAAAGCGGGCAATTGGCTCGTGTCTATACTCATTTGATAATCATTTCTCCATAAGCACGTAAGAAAAGGTACAATATCAACCACGCTCCCTTGTAGAAGTTAGGACCTTTGCAAAGAACTTCACTTCTTATCGAAATAACCAGCTCCACTGGTATTTCGACTGGCACTGACTCGCACGTGACCCGGGCCGGGCGATGTAGGGCGCGACGACGAGACTCCGTCGGACAAGAACGGACTGGTGGGGAGCTTGATGGAGATCTCATCTGGAGGTCCCCCGGCGGGTGATTCATCCCCGTTCCCGGCGTCCTTCTCATAACTGTCAACTCGGATTGGCGGTGGACGCATTCCACCGACCTTGGTCGATGAATGGTTGAAAATCGGGTTGCCATAGTAGTGCGTCGCAACCAGAACGGCGGCAGCACCTACGAAAAACTAGATAATCATGTAATCAGCATCTTTCTGTCTTCCAATAGAATGCATATATGAACTTACGCTAGCCGTCAGCTCGAATTCGAAGAGCCAGATGCTCCCAACTATACTGAGAACGATGCTTGTGGTAGTGGTCAAGCTGTGGGGATCACGATAAACCTGGCCAATAGCAAATGTAGAAAGGATACCTCCCAACGCCTGGATCAAGATGGTGGCCCAGACTATCAGATTGTAACCTTGGAAGAAGCCATCATTGGCGATTCGCTCGCCATCTTGGAAGAGGATGCCGACGAAGAGCGCGGGGAAAACGGAATAGAGAGACAATTGGACATTTCGCACCCAGAGCGAGATGTGAGAAGGACTGTCCTTGAGGACTTTCTCAAAATAGACGTCTGCGACACCAGACGTGAGTGCAGCGCCAATGACCGCAAGCATGCCTACTGCATGGCTCATTCGAGGGTTGGCCGTCAAAATGTCTTCCTCGATACCTTCGTAGGTCGCAGAGCGCTTGTGAACCTTGGCGACATTGTCTACCCCCCTGGCTGCCTTCCATTCTTCTAAAGATCGAGGGAAATGCAGATGGGCGTTGTCATTGCCGGTCGACTGCTGCTCGACACTGGCGTTGGGAAAATGAACCAATGCAACACCGACTAATAGCAGTAATAACAGACCCCAGTTACGGGGAGAGATGCTTCTGCGAAGTGCCACCAAGCCGAGAACGGCCACAGTGACGAACTGCAGTTGAAACGTGACGGTGAAGGTCGCCGCACTCATATTCGAAAGCGCAACGTATTGAAGAGAGTTGGACATGACGCCGAGACAAGCTGGAATAGCCAACTTCCAGCTGTCACCCGAAAGCACGGCGTTTGACAGAGAGAAAAAGAGGGATGTAGCAGGCATCGAAGGGGGTGCGTTCTTTGAAACATCGTAGAGGGCCATCGTTAGGGTAATGGCGAGTTTGACGACTTCACTCATGAAGACAGCAGTCGAGGTCAGGCATCGTTTTCCACCCGCGGGCGGCATGATCCGAGAGTAGTGCGACAGCTGCATTCAAGGTGAACCGGTACGTTAGTTTGAAGTGTCATTCAAAGGGTCACACGGGGAAAGAAGATTTACCAGCACAAAAGCCACGGATTGCGCAGCCAGCTAGACGAAGGGGAAAATTGTCAGCAAGCCATCTTCCGCCAGCTTCTTCGATTCGTCATTTTCCGTACCAGAAACCATGGCACCGTTTTCGTTGAATCTCTCAACCACGAGGATTGACGTTGTGAGCGGTCCCCCATTGTGCGCAGGGTGGTTAAATCGTCTTCGCCTTCTGGGCGGGTGTTCAGACTTGTTGTCTGCAGGACAAGGTCGAGGTATCAAAAAGCAGATGAATAGAGGTTCGTGTGCGCACAATCACTTGCGACGGATTGCAGGCGCTAACGAAGTGTCGGGGCCGGGGGAGAACTGTCGAGATTAAACCCTGAGGAACTGAGGATCCCTCGTCTGAGCCCAGCGTTCAGGTTCCGAATGACGATCACAGCGGAGCTCCGTGCGATGGTGGCTGGGATTGGCCACCTGACGAAGAGGACAGATTTAAACTCGACGGTCGTCTGTGTATCCGCAACGTCGACTTGTATCGGAGGTACGAATGAGTAGACAAGAAGAGACTATTGTACGGTCAGAAGGTCGAAAGAAGGGTGTGGACGGAGAAGTCGTGGATCTGGGGTAGTAGTAGTGACCTAGGAATGGTCGAGGCTTCCAGTCGCGCCGAATCGGCGGTGTGGATCACGGGGGAGACGCGATCGAATCCATATTCAGTCACGGGCCCAGATTTCGAGTTCATCCAGATGCCAGTGTATGGGCCAAGACCTACGGCGCAACCCTAGACAACAGACAACATGCCAACTTTGGGCATCCAGAGCATTACTCCCCTGAGGATCAAAGCAAATTACGGGTGACCCATGTCTAGCCCAAGGTCACGACAAGTGGGCTTCTGCTGCACGGGAACCAATTAGTGTGCCCAAAGCGCTCGTCTTGACCTGGCTGGCGGACGGAAAAGCTGCGTAGTTGCGCTGCAGGGAGGAAAGGCTACTGCTGTCGTACTAACTCCTTAGGTTCACCCCTTGTACAATTGCCACAGTCAGCTTGCACTACAAGCCTGTCAGGTACGGCAACGATACTCGTTCCCTGTGTTCTGGGCGGGCGTCCCTTCGAGGGCCCCGTGTAAGGCAGTCAGTCTAGGGCTCCACAATAATAAGGCTGCCCAAGAAAATTGATCGGATGACGTCAAGCGAGAAGTGGATGTTCCGATGTCCGGCACCCATCCTGATCTCATCATTTGTCAACTCGATGTGTCTCATGATTCCAAAGTCTCCATGGCACAAGGCTGGACCGTTCTGACTCAGGAGGGGACACAGAAGGAATCAAGCAAGGTCGGAGCTTGTTGACGACCATGGAACAGCGTCCCAAAATGCCCGAAGCTTGGCAATAGTGTGTGCGACTACTCTCATTTGGACTTTTCGGCCAGACTGGGCAGTGGGCAAATCTCGCCACACGCGAGCGCCTGTGTCTACCTGGGTTCTGGTTGTCATGGATGACTCGTCGCGTATGATCACTGACATTTGGTGGCTTGACGTGAGTCACGTGACTGTCAGCTTTGCCCGACTTCACCAACGGGACCGTCCATCCATTCATGGACGAATGGAGGATGACGCACTGAGATGACTAATGATTTACCTGTAACTAGGAAGTGGAATCTGACCGAGATCCCCTTCAGTCTAGAGGTATACTACTCGACGTACTCGTGCCTCGTTTCAGCAGGCCTGCCCCGCTTGTTCGGCGGTCTCGTCTGTCATGGAGTTCTTGTTGAACAAGACTGAACAAGATAGGTATTTAATGTACAGGAGATGTGAGCTTGAACGGAGATCAATATACTGTAGGGATTCGAAGGCCCACATGGCATTGATCGGAGAGTTTTCCTTCGAGCAGCGGTTCTCGGATCTTCGGAAGGATGGATGCATCAAATGCTTCGCTATCGATGAATCAATAGACCTGATCAACGCGGTTAGACAGGAAAGTGACCGAGATATCGCTGAATCAAGTAATTTGGTGTCGAGGGTACGTAAGACAACGGGGAAGGCAGACGACAGTTCTCTGCACATCAGAGTACCATCACATATGTACAAGAAAGAAAATGGGAAAAATGAAGGTGTATACAATGAAAAGGACGACGTTCAAGATGCGGAGAACGCTCAAACAGTGTATCATGCAACAGGACTGGGAAATCTACGAATGAGGTAGACAAATAGTTCACGGCAGTGGGAAAAAAGAATATGCAGAAACATGATGCAAGGAAATTTGGAGAGAGTTGTAGTGGAGCCACGCTGCAAAAGTACGTTCTAATGGGCAGAGCCAATATTCACCCGGCCTTGATCCCATGCACTGTCGAAGGCCCAGATAGGAAGGCCCTGTTTGCGCTGCAGCTCGCCATCATCGTTAAGCATGATTGCTTCGCTGCTATCTGTTCGGCGACGAGAGTGCAGCTTCAGGTCCTCTGGAATGGCCGGGGGGGGACCCCGAGGGGGTGGCTTTGCGGACGGCAATGGTGAGAATCGATGGCTAGGGAGAGTGGGCGTGAGAGGGGAGACAGCACTGGCAGGGGGCGAAGGGAGGCTCTCACTGTAGCCTGCGCTCCGTCCAGGCCAGGCGAACCGGGTGTCATTCGTCTGTTCGTTATCAGACCCCAAGCTTTGCGAGGCTCCTCCGTCACTGTCTGTGTGGACGACACCTTGATCAGTCCGACTCTGTACGGAAGACAGAGTAGCGCTCAGGCGCAAGAACGACGTGTCAACGTCGCAGAATGAGCCTTGTGATGGCCCCGACGCAAGCGAGTTACCGTCCGACTCCGCCGTGCCACTGTTGAGGTTCAAGATGCTTGGTGTGATCTTGCCTTTTCGCTGCCGCATTGCCTCAAGCAGATCTTGCTCTTGACGCGTCACCGCAATGACACGGCTTCGCCGATTCAACTCCCTCAATTCTTGGGGAGTACGTGAAGGCTGTTGCGGGAATTGGCTCAAAATATCGGGCTCGGCAATAATGGGAATATCACTTGAGCGCGCGGAGTTGGGAATTCGACGAGCGCCAACTGACAAGTGGCCAGTAGACTCAACCGAGGCATATTTCTGAGTAGACTGTTGGCGGCTTTCGGAGTAGGAGCCATGACTACTATTTGACGGTGCCCGATCAGGCCGTTTCAAAGCTGGGGCATGTAATGTTCGCGCGTTGCTAGCCTCCTGTTCCGAATCGTGATATGGGGCCGCGCGGTCTCGATGGGTGACCTTGGTATCTCTGGTTTGCTCGAGTCTCGACCTCTCATCGACACACTCTTCGTCTTCGTCCTCGGATGATGAAAGGCAAAGTACGCTTGAGTTTTGCAGATCTTTGTTTCTCAGTGTACTCTTGCTGCTTTGGCGACTCACTGAGCTCTTTCCGCCCCGCGACTTGCTAGACTCTGTGGTTGACGCGCGGTGGCGGGGGTGCTCTTCGGCTGTGGAGCGGCCACCAGAAAAAGTTCTCCAGGCCGAGAAGTCGGGGGAGCTTGCTCTCTTCGAAGCACAAATTCACCTTCAGTGGTCCGCGGAGAATCCTGTCGTAGATGATCTCGACTACCCGTATAGACACTGGAACGGCTGAACAACGAGCGGCGGCCTGCATATCTGTCCAGGGCGATATCGATCTCACTAGTCCCTACGATCCGCTCTAAAGACTGATCATACCACTCACTGTCCTTCGACTCGGGAATTGAATGCAGATCAGAGAGATCATTGTTTGACTTGCTCCCAAGACGGTAGATGCCGAGCGACCGCGGTGGCACAGACTCACCCGGTGTCTTCGGAGAAAGAAAGCCTGATCCTCGCTCTAAACGCGCGGGAGGACGGTCCGACGCCACACTGGACGCCGGTGATGGCGATTGTGTCATGCGATGGGGAGACAACAGGGGCGGGGCGGGATTCCGAGGCTTTGGAAAGAGCAGCGACAAATCCAGACGCGAAGGACGCAGCTTACGCTTTGCTTCCTTTTCTGTGCCCTGATCTTTACCAGCTTTGCTGCGCGGTTGTTGCTTGTAAGTAACCTTGGGATCGAATCCAAGCTCGTGACGGATGTGAGGCTGCAAGCTTGATGGTTTGGTACTGGTTGGCGAGGCGACAGATGAGGACTTATTTTGTTCTTTTGAGCTGAAATAGGAAAATAAAGTCGAGGAGGATCCGGATTGATGAACCTTCTTGGACGTCCTGGTCTTCGAGGGCGCTGACTCTTGAGCGTGATAATTGTAGCCGAGCAAGGGAGACGAAGCTCGCACTCGAAGATTGGGAGGAGGGGCAATGGCATCTCGTGACGATGGAAATGCCGCAAAGGCCGAGCTCTGATTTTGTTGTCTCGAGCTATTGTCCGGAGTTCGTACACTATGTCGACGGGTCTTCTGCGGCTTGTCGCATTCCCTCTGCGGCGCTGGGAGAGGCAGATTGGTGCCCAGGATCCGCTGCGCTTTTGAAGCTCTTCGCTCGTTATAGATCTTGTCCTCGCGATTCTCCATGGTGTGATCTCGGCTGGGTACTCGACGGGGATCATGTACCGGGGAAGGATTGTGATGTGCCTGCGAAACACAAGAGCAGCGGATTTCTTGGGCCAAGGATCATGCGCTGGGCAATGCAAGCGGAGGGTCCTCACGACTGAGGCGCACTTTCGACGAGCCTTCCGTTAAATTTCACGTCATAAGAATCACTCCACATGAGAAACTCGTGCTTCTTCTATTCACTTGATGCCACCCGGGTTTGGAGACTAGCCCCGCAATTCGGATCGCGAATTTCACGAGAACTCCAGGGCAATGTCGGACACGTGCAGGTTCGATCAATCACACAGAGACAGAATATGGTGTCTTCAAATGATACCAATGGCAAAAGACAGGAGAAGGGGGCTGACGAGGAAGGTGAGTGGAAATGGCGGAGGGAAGATCATAAGTGGCCGATGGTCCAAGATGTCCCGTAGTTACGTACAGTGATTGACAGTATTTCCTCCGGAGTACAAGCGGAGGTCAATCAGTCTTCCCGCCCTCGTCCTCCACCCTCCGTCCGCCTTCACTCGAGTCGTCGAAATTTTGCCGAGCCACAACGTTCCTGTCGCCAACTAGCTCGCGTCAGCTCCATGGATCTGCCATTGTCACGCCTGCTCCAATCTGCATTGAGCTCGTCTACGATCAAACTAGTCCGAGCGAACAGCAGCGATCGTCAAAAATCGGGGGTGCATCCTGCATAGTGCATCCAACGTCTAATAGGGGCGACCCACTCTGGGCAGCCGCTCTCCTGCAGGCTGCATCGGCTGCTTCAGAGATTTGAACCTCCCCTGAAAGCTGATTGGAATATCCTCCCCTTCTCGGGCTTTTAGGAAAAGCCCGGCGCAGCCTTCAGGATGCGACCAATCTGTAATTGTGGTCCAGCAATGAAGTGTGGAGCGCAGATGTCGTGGCGGGGCGGTCTATGCTGACATGGTCTCAAAGTCTGCTAGCGTGAAGTCAACCAGTTCGTTGGGTTTCTCTGACAGTGCTACTGTGTTCCATGAGGAGCAAGGTCGCTTCGGCTTGGACAGGCATTGGCGCTTCGAAACCACGACTTCATGGCAATGCCGAGAGCCTGTAGATCTTTCGAGATGTTGCAACAGGCCATGGAGCATGAACAGGCTGATCTTGTGTAAGATCACCGGGGATATACCGCTGGCACTGACCCAAAGAAGCAGGTATCGGCAGGCACCCGCCCTCGCATCATGAACGCTTGTGCCCAGAATCTGATCTTTAGATGAGATTGGTGGTTCGAGCTTTCTTTTAATTTGATTCTTGGCTTTCCACGACCCATGGACCTCGAAGTACGGAACGTCGTTCAGGAATAGCACACAAATGTGCAGTGGTAATAATAGCACGTTCGAGCAATAATTCAAGCTGATCGAGTCCTTGCTTTTCAGGAGTTCATCAAAGAGCAACTTTACCGCCCCGTCCCTCGAGAGGCACAGAGCAATCAAGTGAGACAGGAGCTCCATTTATGTCCGCCTCAGGTTCAGATAATCTGTGGAGCTCTCCGTGAGGAAGATGGCAGAATCATGATCCGAGGACATTTGCCAATTCAGTATGCTACTGCGCTCAGTTTCACTGCTCACGCTCACAGTGCTCACTGCTCAGTGCGAACTACCTACTCACCATCTGGTGTTGTCTGGACGGGTTCTGAGGCCTTGAATACTCGACCCAGCAGTGATAGGCCACTTGATAGTAAGTACAAGTCTGCACTTTCTTTTCGACATGCCTTCATTAGCATAAACTGCCTGAAAATAAGTTTGGAACTTTCGCGCCTCGTCATGCTGTCTCTAGCACCGAGGTTCATTGGGCCCTCGAATACTATAGGTATCGCCGTGCTTCTATGAACGGCATACGTAGACTCTCAGCGACTTCGAAGATGTACCACTGCCGAGGCATCGTCCGTCTCTCTCCACGAGGCCGGTACATAAGATTCAAATGCACGACATACATTTCGCGTGGTTCATTGGATCTGCTGCCTTCTTGCTCGGAGGCGATCCGTCTCCTGTTTTGACAGAGCTGTTAAGTGGCGCTGCACTCTATATTGAAGGACCAGACGGGCGAGGATCGGCGCCCGAGCCTCTACACCAGAATCCAAAATTGGCCATGGTGCAATCTTTCTCTATAAGAGATGGAGACCAAGTAGCTTCAATTTATCAATCACGTGCTCCCGGAACGCTTTTCCAGAGTGGTAGCTTGTCTCACCATGTTTTCCGCTTACTCCTGTAAATAGTTGATTTTCCACCCCCATACCTAGTCCCAACCCCTTTGGCAAATTTAGTGCGTAACAATAAGCTTAAAAAGATACATAGCCCCTTTTGAGTACAACACACTCCAATCATACACAGCTCCAGGCTTGACAAGGGTACCACACTGGCAAGGACTGTGAAGTTGTGAACAAATTTCGCTTGGTCACGTTCGCCCTTTAGGTTGCAATTGAGCACCTTGGCTGGCGACTCTACCTCATAAGCATGGGAGATCTTCGACTCTTTCACTCATCCAGATTACTTTGAGCTTAACTGGGTCGAGTCCATTCTGACTGCCTTCTCGGGGATTGAAACTCAAAGATGAACCGCGTGCGGAAAGGGGTAACCAATTACTACTAGTAGACTGACTCGCAGCTGGGTTTCCCTAGCAACGCCTCCTCTGACTGCGCTTATCGCCTGATGATCTACCGTACCTCTGATAGATCAAGGATGATCGTCACAATATGACACTCATGGGGCAAAGCGCACGGTGCTTGATTAGTACTCGCCTGGTTCCATTTCTTTGTGGAATCGATGAGCCTACAAGCTTTCTCAGGATCATCACGATCGCCATCGTCGTGAAAATGCTTCAATTGGGCCGGCATGAGGCTTATCCAACATTTACGAGAGAATTGATCTGCGTCGCACATGCTGGGGCCGCCTACTAAGAAGCTTTTGATAACCTACCAAACAATTACCTATTCAATCCATTACTACAGCTGTGTTACTACAGCTGTGTTACTACAGCTGTGTAGCAGCAAGATGGACGTGGGCACTCTACACGAGGCAGTAGTCTCTTGATCACAAGAAGCAAACGTCAGGGAGAAGCTTAGTAGTACATTTAATCAGACTTAGCATCGCAAGAAGACAAACGCTAATGGATCAGTGTGCCAAATTTATCTTCCAATCGTTATCTCTTATGGAGTAAGAATGGCTTGCAATTTTATGGTCGATGGTAGCCATGGCCCACACTTTGAGACTAGAGGACTTCATAGCCCACATGATTTTCAGCCATACTTGTGGGATCCAAGGATAAGGTAGAAGCAGATAATTCTATGAGAGAGCTCGCGCCGACCACATCTCACAGACCACATCCCAATGAAGGGGATGGTGTTGCGTACCATGTAGGGATTCTCTTTCTCTTGCCGCCATCATCTGGCTCCAGATCATTTGGTTGGCTTTTGGCACTTCGAATTGGAACCACTCTCTTCGTTGGCATCATGCTCGAGTAAGACTCCTGACTAGTCAACTGTCAAGTTTCTGTTTCTGACTTCATAAAGCGGGTGACATTGAGTCCAGCTCTGTTGAGAATCAGTTCCAAATGTTTATTTGTTCAAAGAAAGGGAGTGTCCTCACGTATAAAATCCGGTATCGACGAATCCACAGTCCAGAGTCTCTCGTCTCCATGCGGTAGAATCCAAGTTACCAATGGGGTTGTCAGGCCAGTCGGAAAGTCCGCATTGTAGGTGTTGCTTGGAGACTGGGCCATCGACGAAGTAGTGAAGCACAAGCTTACGGCTGTCTTTGCCCGTTGTCAAGCTAAACCCCCTCAAGATTTCGTCCATTGACGACTGTGATAAGCCAGCTTACATACCTGGTGGGCTACTCAGCCGATCTGCCAGAACCGTCAACTTGCGAAGCAGACCGAAAATCTCTCTTCTGAATTGTGTCAGCTTGTCGATAGTCCTCTTGGGCTCGTCAAATTCAACTGGCTTCTCGCTATCGTTTTGCGTAGAATCCTGTCGAGACGCCGAGGCTTTGCTCCTTGAGCCAATAGAGATACAGTATTTCTCGAGAATTGTCAGACTATGGCTTGAGCTTTCACAAAGCCAGAGCTGAATGCCAGCAAGCTGACGCTTGGTCAATATTACTAAGATCTCATCGTCCTTCGAGCATCGTCAGCTACCTGGACACACTTTCGGATCCCTTGGACTCACAAGCAAGTCTAGTAAGTCATCGGTTCGCTCATCTTTGAATCTCTCCATAACCATAACCCGGCCGGCTTGTAATTCAAAGATGTTGGCCTTGTCCAAATCGACTCGACCGTGTGCGCCGTGAATAAAATGCTCTTCGTAGCAGATCCCATCTTCGTAAGAGTAAGTACGCAAGTCTCGAGCTCCAAAGGATGCTAACGGTAGAAGTTCTCTGTAAAATCGGTCAGCTAAAGCTTTCCCAGGTTCGCCGTAGGAAATAGACGGTACAACCGAAGGTAGGAGATAGAGGCAACCTGCGTTGCGAGTCAGCGCCGATACTTTGAAGATCATGGTGCACCTGAAGCTCCCACGTACCATCGAATGAATGACGATTTTCATCAGTTCGATGCTATTTCTCTGCAATGCAGTTCTTAGCCTTGCACCCAATCTTCACCGCGGGGGAATGTTCACGTACCAATTCTGGGTAATTGAAAACATCTGTGGGAATCACCTTCCAGAATCTTGTGGATAATGGGGCATACTCTTGAAAGTAATGAAGAGCTCGCTCCTGGTACTGGTTTAGACGCTGACGCTTGCTTGCAGGCTCATCCTCTGCATTCATCAATCGGGCGCGCTTGCTGGTGACTGACGGGCCTTGACGAGAATGCAAAGACAGAATCTGTTTTGCTGATGGATTTTTGATTTTGAGTTTGACGAGTTTCGAGACATGAGGCTCATGCGATTTTGCCGATGGCGGACGAGGTAAGTTGAGCATCAAGCGGGATGTCATTTTTGTGGCTGGCTCTGGTGGTTCGAACTCGCAAATCATAATTGCAGACTCGAGAGAGTCTCAAGTCCAATTGTGAAATGGCTGAACCATGAAGGGGACTGGAGACATGGTGTACTAGGTAAGGCAGAGGTAGCGCCGACGTGACTCCATGTCACCTGGCTTCATTGAATGGAAGCCACGTGCCAGCTCTCAAGAGAATGAAGCTCTACTCGACCGCTGGTCAGCACTGGGGCTGACTAGTAGGTGCAAACGATTCCAACTGACTAAATTACCCGCACTACAGCTCATGTATACGACCCTCTCAGCCGCTTACAACAATCTGTGATATCAGGTTGCATAAAGGGCTTGGAATCCCAGCATTAAATGTCCTCGGGATCGAAGAGATACAAAGCAATCCATCAGTAGGCGGTACCAAGTAGTTACCGGTCGACATCACTCTTTACATCTTGAGAATTTGGGACGAAAGGCATTTCCATCCAAGGCATGATGAGAATTCGTCCTCGGCCGCGTATCTGATCAAGGTGCACAATATCAACATCAGCTATATCAGTCAAGGATCTCGTTGAGTACTCCTTAATCAATCAGAAAGCTTGCTTGTCCGTGCTACTACCCGCGTCTCCCAATATTGAGAAGTACTATAAGACAGAAGGGAAAAGTGGGTACGCGATCCATATCAATCGGAAAATTACCCATCAGATTTACTGCTAGGTAATAAGTAATGATAATCCATGAGGTGGACCACCATTGAGACAGTTGCTACTGCTGCTCTCATTCCCTCGTGCGTGAGAAAGAAGTACAGCCGCGCAGGTTATCTCGACCAGGTGGTACGCGGAGATTACGTGGATCTCCATTCGAGAACCTATTAATCATTGTGTGTCAATTTTGATTGTGAAAGGCAAGTCGCTCCATGAAGTAATCGAAATTACCACGAGATCAGCAATGAATAACATGCTCTCCATCGTGGCAGCGGACGTCGATAAACAGGGTACCTGCAGGTGACGTAGAAGTATGTCAGTTGGGTAGTAGAACATTCCTGGGCTCAACCGGGCCAACCTCTTCCACCAAGAAGGAAGTGGAGACTGGGGATCCCGGAGTGGAGACATGATGAAGGGCCTGCGAGATGAAGAACATGCACCAAGAACAAGTTGTCATGAATCTGCCAGGGATACTGGCAATCTCAAGTAGCACATTGCTGGAAGATGTGGTCTCCATACCCCCTTCCAGGAAACTGGTCCTCAATGAACGCATCCGTCATGTGGAGATCTGCGCTATGATCAACATCAACATGTTGCTTCATGGGTCCGCGAAATGCATAGAATTGTATTCTGTCTGCTTGCTAACGAGAGAATTTGCTACATCTCGGAACTTCGATCGAGGCAGCATACCCCATCGAAGTTTTCGGACCTTGTCCAGACATAAAGAAGAGACTAGCCGAAGTCTTACCGGGTGTGTGAGAGGTCATATTTCGGACTGAAGTAGAAGTCGCGTGAGGCTATCACTTCACAGGGTCGTGTTGATTAGTTGTCGGAAGACCTTCATAGTATCAAAAACCGAAGAGTCTATACAAAATCTCAAGTCAGTACATTGGCTATATCATGAACAAACGAACGTAATCTCAAGCGATGAATCTCCGCTGAGACATCTAGCTAGTTTCCGGCCCAGCTGTGTTGCATTAGATAGGGACGAGCGTTCAGTCCCCAGACTTGCCTGGGCCCATTCCTTGACAGGGCTCAAAAATACATGATTCAAAGTCAGATTTCACTCTGAGTCTTGCACGACTCGGAAGGGGCATACAGTCTCCATGCGCGCAGTTTGGATGTACTATGTACCATTGTACAGCTAGTGATATGCAAGTCAAGGACATAAGTTGGAGTGAGGAGACCCCCAAAAGTCCACACTAGACAAGCCTGCCGACGGATGGTGTGTCCCACAAGCACGTGACTTAATAGTGGCAAGCGTCTGGACCGGCCGTTGCGGCTTGAGGTCTCTCCACTTCACCCGAACAGCTTGTTCAGGAAACAGGTTTGGGTTTCTGAACAAGATAAGATGTACCGTACCAGAAGGGGTCATTCTCAGCAGGCTAAATCTACCCCACTGCCTGGATCACACTATGTCTGTGACCAAAGAAGTTCCGTGACTGACACACGGCTATGAGTGCCATACTGTCTTTGGAAGACCCTGTGACCTCGCCTCTTCGGGATCATCGTTTCATCATCAAAGCAGTCTGGCCTCGAGGCAATAGTGCCTGAACAAAGATACAACAGAAGCAAAGAACGAAGCATTGAAGGGTAGTGGGACCAGCGGGGATCTTGGCAGCTTTGTGTCCAGCGAGCAGTATAAGACTATAATCATACGGGTCCATATGAGATATCGAGGCACTTAGTCATGACGACGGAATGGACGGAATGGACAGAATGGACAGGTCGACCATGTCTGTGAAGTGTACTAGTAGGCAAATCCGTGATACTATACTAGCATGGCAGTAGATGCTTCACTGCATCACCTTATCCCAGTCACAGTTGGGAAGTGTCCACCAGTCCAGCTTTGTTCGTAGGTAGGAACTCAGTGGTGGAGTCGAGAGGCATTCAGAGGATGGCGGTGCTGTAAACACTCAACAGGAAGTCGTGAAGAGAACAGCCAAGAAACTGGAGGCTCCTTTCAACAAGCATAATGCCAGACTTGATGCCAGCTGTCAACCGGAGTTGAAAGAGCGATGAGCCTCCTCGAAGAACGGACGATGGCACGCTGAATGACGTCCAGGCTGAGACGCCTCCAGTGGACTGCGACGCCAACCACCCAACCCGGCTAACCAAAATTGGGAGTCGGGGGTTGCGGGTCGTGGGTCGTGGGTCGTGGGTCGGACCTAACATCTGCGTAAGGCGAGAAACTAGTGCTCAGAAACCACTACAGTGGACGAAGGTAATTGTTGTTCTCCGCCTTCCTTCCCCCCCCTCTCTCTCTCAAACTCAGCCTGGCCCTGGTCAGCCGCCACTCGATCTTCCCCTTCCCGAATTTCTTCCTTGCTTCCCTCTCCTCACTCTCCCCCCCCCCCCCAGAATACCTCCCCGTCTCCCGGTTCAGTCATGCTTTAATCATCTCCTTCTTCTTCACGAATGCTGGAGACAGTTCCCGACTCTCCCCATTTTCAACAGCGTGGCTTACTGACACTGCAACAAAAGTCACATCCTCACTGAACACTATTTCAAGTGGCATTCAGTCGTCTTTAGCCTTTGACGGACATCTTCAACTGCCTATCCGCTCCGCCTACAGTTTCGTCTTCTAACGGAGTCACTGTGCCACAGACTCTTCTCCACCTACCTGCTTTCCTCGCCATCTCTGGTTCATTCACAAAGTCTCACGCGAGCCTGCTGGGAGGCAACGTCCATGTTAGGCGCAAACGGCAACCTCGCCTAGTTCGCTTTTGAGATCCCTCGGAATGGGCGAACAACGCCACGATGACGCTGAGCAACAACTCAGTGCAAACGACTCTCTTGGGCAGTTCTCTTTTGCACCAGCAACTCGGACAACCGTTGTGACGACGACGACCACGACAACTACATCCTTCCCACCGCTCCTGATCAAACCTCCACGTGCAACAAAAGACCTAGATCCTAGACTTTATCCTCTCGCTTCTCTGCCTACCCCAGCAAACCTCAAAAACGTGCGATTCAAGATTGGAAACCAGTCCATCATCTTTAAAGAACCGAATGATACCTTGGCAGCTCTCACTGAAGTAGGTTTTCCCGTAGGCATCACGTGTGTCACGGGGCAGAACTCACGATCCTTCCAGTTGAACGAGAAGAATGACGCGCTTCAGGCCTCCAACGGCTCGATTCGCTCCGTTAATTCCTTCGCTACCGAGGACGACAATGTTACCCGACGCTTAGCGCCACCGCGACCTGTGCGGCAAGTCAATCAACCTAGTCCTCAGCATTCCCAGCAACAGCGACCCGTCTCGCCTATCTCGATATCCGAGCCTCGTCCAATTATTGTGCCTCGGACACGGCGGGTACCCTCTGAGCCGGTCATCCGACGCAATCGTCCTGCGTCTTCCTCGACCCACCTTTCCGCTGGACTGGCTACTCCCGGACTTGAAAACAATGTGAGTGGTCTCGGCGAGAGCCAGGCCCAGGGCCTAGGGCAGCGAGCTCTAAGTGCGGCCCTTCCACGCAGAGAGACACTGCTCCGGTCGCCTCTCTCTACTGAACTCGAGCACGCTAAGCCGAACGATCACAACCTGGGCCAACAACTCCCTCTGCACACTGAATCGCAGAGAAGCGGGCTGATCCAAAGCGCTGCTGCCACGTCACACCCGGCCTCGTTCGATCAGAACACGTCGTTTGAATCCAGCGAGAATGCTTCCCAGCGAAGACCAGAATTGACAACGCAGCTGTCAGCAATTGAGAATGCCATGGCACAGGACATGTGCCTGCCCAGTCCTAGCTTGTCCCCGGTAGCCGCCATGAATGCTTTGCACGGCGAAGCGTCATTTGACTGCGAGGAGCCAGACGTTGATACTGATTCCAGTGCTGACAATGGGGGTCCGCGATACACGAAGGCTCTTCGTCGATTAGATGCTGACCCGTCTCGAGGTCGGAGTCTGGCCGCCTCCCAGACGGCATCCGCGCCCTCATTGATGGACATGCCTCAGGTCCTCCAGTTTTTCGATTCGGTGCCAGACGAGCTCAAAAGTTACATGATGTATCAATTTCTACGACGTTGTCCCAAGCCAACCCTGCATTTCGTTGCGGAGGTTGTGAACCCAACTTTGAAGTGCGACTTTTTGACTCTGCTACCTCTCGAACTCAGTTTGAATATCGTCAAATATTTTGATGTGCAAACCATGTGTCGCGCATCGCAGGTTTCCAAAAAATGGCGTCACATTGTCAGCTCAGATGAGAAGACTTGGAAGGAACTTCTTGACCGAGACGGTTACGCGTTGTCCGAAGGCGAGCTGGAGCGAGCCATTCGCGAAGGCTGGGGCTGGCAATGCAGCATCTCGAATAATTTCGAGCGTGATCTCAGCAAGGCAATCGTTCCCGTTTCCTGGCCTGCCAAGGAAGGATCTCCAATTGCCTCGTCCTCCCAAGCCCTCGAGCCCATCTACGAGCCTTCCTCCACTCCGATCAGACGAGCGAAGCGCAAGGCAAACACCCGCACTCCGAGTAGAAAGCTGGCAAAGCGTAAGATCTCGTCTAGCGGTAATGACCACGATGAGCCGGATTGGAAGAGGAGAGATTGCGGCATCCGAAGCACCATATGCTGCCGCCAGTGCTGCTGCTGCCGCTGTTTCCTATCCGGACGTGGGCATGCCCTCGCTCCGTGGGTTGTATCTCTACAAAGCGCTCTATCGTCGCCACCACGCCATTCGCCAAGGGTGGATGAACCCGGATGTGAAGCCGCAGCATCTCGCTTTTCGAGCCCACGATCGTCACGTCGTCACGTGCCTGCAATTTGATACCGATAAGATCCTGACTGGCAGCGATGACACAAACATCAACGTCTACGATACCAAAACTGGCGCTTTGAAAGCGACCTTGGAGGGTCACGAGGGCGGTGTGTGGGCACTCGAATATCATGGAAACACCCTGGTATCTGGCTCAACAGATCGGTCGGTCCGTGTATGGGACATTGAGCGTGCCCGATGCACTCAAGTATTCAATGGTCATACCTCAACAGTGCGCTGCCTACAGATCATCCTTCCGACGGAAATTGGGAAAGATGCACACGGTCGCATGGAGATAATGCCCAAGGTTCCTTTGATTATCACTGGTTCTCGCGATTCGAATCTCCGTGTCTGGAAGCTCCCCATGCCCGGCGATCGGGAATACTTCCCAAGTGGTGCCTTGGCGGAAGATACTGATTGTCCCTACTTTGTACGCACTCTGTCCGGCCACAGTCACTCTGTCCGTGCGATCGCAGCACACGGTGACACCCTCGTCAGTGGCAGTTACGACTGTACAGTCCGGGTTTGGAAAATCTCAACTGGCCAAGTCCTTCACACCTTACAAGGTCATTCCCTAAAGGTCTACAGTGTTGTTCTTGATCACAAACGAAACCGCTGCATCAGTGGTGCAATGGATCACTTGGTCAAAGTCTGGTCGTTGGATGACGGCTCACTGCTGTACAACCTTGAAGGTCACAACTCTCTGGTCGGACTGCTTTCCCTACAGAACGACTTTCTCGTGTCTGCCGCCGCCGATTCCACTCTTCGAATTTGGGATCCTGAGCATGGTCACTGCAGGAGCAAGCTGAGTGCTCACACTGGGGCAATTACCTGCTTCCAGCATGACGGCTACAAGGTCATCTCCGGATCAGACCGGACGCTGAAGATGTGGGACGTGAGCACTGGTGCGTGTGTGCGTGATCTTTTGACCGACTTGAGCGGTGTCTGGCAAGTGAAATTTAATGATCGACGCTGCGTTGCTGCGGTGCAGCGTGATAACTTGACCTATATCGAAGTAAGATATGCCCGTTCCCATCAACTCGTATCTCAAGCTAATCGGCTTCTCAGGTCCTTGATTTCGGTGCTGCCCGAGATGGCGTTCCCGATACCAAGCTCGGCAAGCGAATTGTCGTCAACCGTCGTGGAAGGGAGATCGCCGCCGGCAATGTCGACTCGGGCTCGGACTCGGACTAGGAGCTTTGAGCAGACGGCTTGGCCTGGCCTTCTCCTACAGTGTCCACTGTCTTACAAGGATAGCGGATTCCAGTTCCACCATCCTCCAGATTTTTTTTGTTCTTCTTTCCCTTCTGTTCCTCTCATGATCCCCAGCGAGTCCTATTCTCCTCCACACTTTCATCCTTATGCGCTATACCCTACTGCCCCGGTCCTCTACTGCTCCCCATCTTCCGAATTTTATTTGCATAGCGTGGTCGGCGTTTGCGGCTTTTCTGCATTACGAAGGGAGAGCGGCGTTTGGTCGTCTCCGTCCTGATTCTCCACGGGCCGCCAATGGTACCTGCCTTCTGGTGTACATTCAATCTGCGTGGCCAGCCCTGATCGTGCTTGATGGTCGGCTGTTTCTCTTAGCAAGCGATTCATCTATTGAGTCTGGCTCATTCTCTCCCTCACTATTCCAGCCACTCTTCTCCATCTTTCTTCATCCTATTGGTCGTGCGATTGCCATTCCGTTAATGTTTTGATTGCAGGGGTTGCTTGCATATTAGGGACTCCATCATTGACTTCTGGCCTACGGAGTCGCTGAAGCTGAGCACATCATATCTACTTTTGATTTTTGCATTTCTTATCTTTGGCCGCAGGTTTTGACTTGGCAGTCATAGATACAAATTGAATACCGCTATTTATTTTCTCAGATATTCAGTAAGCGCCGTGAGCAGTGATCACGTCTTTGGTGTAATGGATATTTTCATGTATACGCTGATCGATTTGGCATGAGTGCGTAATGCCTATCTATCCCTACTAAGAGTCGTCGAAATGGGAGAAGATTAACGAAATGACCAATCCACTCGATCTGAGGGTCAAGGTTGGCATGTGAGAGCATGGGGACAATTCTCAACTGAAGAAAAATTCTAGATAGCCTTGGAGTGGAGCGTGGGTGCTTGGATTGACTGCATGCCAGTATCTGCTTGTTGTTGCATTCATTTTTCGTATGAAACGTCACTCCGACACTTCATTGTTGATGATCCGACCTGGTAGGCATCGCACCCTCCAAGCTCCCATCAATGCCAGCTGCTGACAAAATAGCCCAACGGACGGCGTCAACGCCGAGGACTCGGCCCGGCCCAACTGGTGTGTCTGCACTACACGTCAAAATCTCTCCCAATGCACCTGGTCCGTCTGACTCGCTCGGATCTGGCTGCACCTGTGTTTGTAACTTCCGAAGGGCATCCTGAAGTCGCTGGATACCTACTGTAGAGGCGCCCGTCTTCATTTGCTTTTTGCCCTTTGCAAGAATTTTGTCCACCTTAGAAAGGACAATTTGATGTGGGATCGCGTATCGCCTGAAAAGACCTAGTATGTCTGCGTCATTTTGCTTGATACCATGCTCGCTGTCAATAAGTATAAAAGCTCGACGGAGTCTGCGTTAATGGCAGATCAGTAAAGCTGGTCGAAACTGGAAAGCGCGCAATTTACTTTCGCAAAATTTTGCAGGAAGACTCACTGTTTTCGGCCCTGAAGATATTTCATGATTTCCATGCCCCATTCCGCGCGACTTGCCTTGCCATATCCTGGCATGTCCAGCAAGACCACTTTGTGTTCACCTCCTTTGGTACCGCCAATTCCAAAGGCGTTCATCTCACGTGTGCGGCCAGGTTTTGAAGATGTCCAGCATATTTCCTGACCCATGATCGCATTCAACAGAGAGCTTTTGCCGACATTGGAGCGGCCGAGGAATGCAACTTCGGGCTCGGTGGAGGAAAGCGGCGTGGTACGGAACTTGCTGGCAGACCATAGCTTCGTCGGCGAATGTCGCGATGGTATAAAAATCTTGTTTGCAAATGCGAGTTGAGAGGGGGTAGGAGGTTTTGTGTCCCAGTAGTAGCAAAGGTCAGATGGTGTGAGTTCTTCGAGGGCGCGCTTGTTGGGATTCGATGAAGGTGAAGGTGGTGAGGGTGAGGATGAAGGTGACGGATCTAGTGGCTGGTCATGTTTATGAGTGACCGCTATGGCCTGCTCAATCGCCGAGTGCCGAGGGACAGATCTGAGAGCTCTCAGGGGTTGAGCAGCTCGTATCCTCATCTTCTCTGTTCGTGGTTAACTGTAAATACATTTGGATCATTGCAGTTCGCGGCAAGTCGATCGCCATCTCCAGAAAATTGTCCGCACGGGCCGCCCGGGCTCAGGCCGAGGCCGCTCTTATCGGCATGGCTGACTGATAAGAAATATCACCGGCCGCTGGCTTGAGCTTCGATGCGGAGTACGTTCTCAAGTTGCAGTCCCGCACAGAGACCACAGTTCTGTCGCCAGGTTGCCGCACCCGGGTCTCACTCTCAAGATGATCAATGCAGTTCTGGTGTTCAACAATAATGGACAGCCTCGTCTGACCAAGTTCTACACCACCCTCGTAAGTTCTCCATTCCGTGGAGACTCACTGACTTGCTTTCCCCCCGCGCAGTCGACTAACGATCTTCTCACAGGATACGCAAACACAACAGTCCCTCATTGCGCAAATATACCATCTGGTCGCCCAGCGTCCCTCAAGTGCCTGCAACTTCCTTCCTCTTCCGCCCCTCCTTTCCCAAGGTGCTGCCAGCACCACCGGGCCTTCCGATGCACCGACACAAATTACATACCGAACGTACGCTACACTCTCATTTATCATGATCTCTACCTCGACAGAGTCGCCACTTGCCTTGATAGATCTCATCCAAGTATTTGTGGAGGCTTTGGATCGCATGTTTGAGAATGTGTGCGAGCTTGATCTCATCTTTGGCTATGAGACGATGCATGCCGTGCTTAGTGAAATGATTGTGGGTGGGGTGGTTGTGGAGACAAATCTGGAGAGGATCGTTGCTGGTGTACGAAGTCAGGAGGGTACTACAGGAAAAAAGAAGGCTATTCAGGCTGCAAGCTCGGGTCTAGGACGCGGAGGCTTGCCTGGCTTGGGAGCTTGGCGATGATAGAAGGGTATACCCTATTCCATGCATAAAAGGCGTTGTACCATATCCGAATGTGCTATGTTTTTTTGCGCCGTTGGCAATTAGATACTTCCTATGAGTTGGACTCTTGATACTGAGCTTATTCTGGACGGTGTCAGGGGCAGTGTTTGAGTGTTGTTTAACACATCAGTCTTGCTTGTTTCCCAAGTATTACCAATGCCTTCTTCGCATTTCGAACTGACTTGCATCAAATATATAGAGAAGCTGGTAATTAGGCCATTACTTCAATCATTTGGAGAAGCACATGCCATATAGCATTGAATAGAACAAGAAGCATATCCAACAAACGGAGTAGAACAGAGTGGGGTCGATGGATTATCATGCTTCTTTCAACACGCCCTGAGGCTGAGGGTCTCGATCCATGATCGTATCACGTGATAATAGAATCACATCCCGATGCGACCCACAGCCCTACCCTGAGCCCTAGTCACGTGGACACGCTAGCGCGACCCACGAGAAATTCAAAAGATTGTCTTCGGTCCAGCAATTTTTTCGATCTTCTCCTCATCGTCAACCGTCACCCAGCGCACCGATCTTCAGTCGACAAAATGGTAAGCACTTGAACATTTTTGTTCAGGCTTCGCCCATTACAGCGATGCCATAGAACAATTGTATTTTGTTTCTCATCATGCTTCCGGGTTTTCATTAAACCGAAGCACAAAATTCCGTCGATTGTCCCAAGAGCTCGAAAGAGTAAATGAGACAATCTTGACGATGATCTGGCTGGAGTTGTTCGTGTAAAAGGCACCTGTAACAAGGTGTCTTTTGCGCGGCTCTCCTTAGAGTTCAAAGAAGATGCAGCCCGTCAAGGACTAGATCGCTGATCTTCTTTTTCTCAATGATAGCCTCCCAAGTCCGGAAAGAAGACCGCCGCCATGCCCTACCCCCAGGGCAAGGCTGGCTCCTCCAAGAAGGCCGCCAAGGTTAGTACTTCTTTCCACTGGGAGCGAACGGCTCGAAGGGAGCGATGACTGATACTAATCAACTTGACGCAGAACCCTCTCATTGAGAAGCGTTCCCGTAACTTCGGCATTGGCCAGGACATCCAGCCCAAGCGCAACCTGTCTCGCTTTGTGAAGTGGCCCGAATATGTTCGCCTCCAGCGCCAGAAGAAGATTCTGAACATGCGTCTGAAGGTTCCCCCTTCAATCGCCCAGTTCCAGAACACCCTGGACCGCAACACCGCTGCCCAGACCTTCAAGCTCCTCGCCAAGTACCGCCCTGAGACCAAGGCTGAGAAGAAGGAGCGTCTCGTCCAGGAGGCTACCGCTGTCTCCGAGGGCAAGAAGAAGGAGGATGTTTCCAAGAAGCCCTACCACGTCAAGTACGGTCTCAACCACGTTGTTGGCCTCGTTGAGAACAAGAAGGCTTCCCTCGTCCTGATTGCTCACGACGTTGACCCCATTGAGTTGGTTGTCTTCCTTCCCGCTCTCTGCCGCAAGATGGGTGTCCCATACGCCATCGTCAAGGGCAAGGCCCGTCTCGGTACCGTTGTGCACAAGAAGGTATGTTCAATCTACAACTCTCATCTCAGTCACCTCAGCATATGACTAACAACGCAACACCAGACCTCCGCTGTGCTCGCTCTGACCGAGGTCCGTGCCGAGGACAAGGCTGAGTTCTCCAAGCTCCTCTCCGCCATCAAGGAGGGTTACACCGACAAGTACGAGGATGCCCGCCGTCACTGGGGTGGTGGTATCATGGGTGCCAAGGCCAACGCCCGCCAGGAGAAGAAGCGCAAGGCTATTGAGTCCGCCATCAAGGTCTAAGTTCATCCTTTCTGGGATGACTTGGGTTTGTCTTGACGTGATCGGTTCCTATCAAAGCGCTTTTCTAAAAAGTCTTTGCTGGGTGACGAAGGTGTTGCGAACAACCTGGACAGCCAAAAGTTTTCTTTCTAGCTAGACATGGGTGGAGATGGGAAGTCTCTTGACTCTTTCCTGCGACACACTTTTTTACCCTCCCAAAAAAGAAAACAACGAATAATTCCCACGACTTCCATTCGGCGCCAGGCTTTTGATGTACCACACCCCTTATGCTTTGCCTCTTTTGCCCTCTTCTTGCAGATACCCATGAATGCATTTCTCAACTTGTTCAAATCATGCCTCTTTGTCGTGGATTCGCCACGTCCATGGCTGATTGTAGTCCTTGTTTAGAAAAGCATTCATGCAATCTGCTCGGCCTCTTATCATCTCCCCTTGTGTAGCACTGTAATTTCTGTGGTAGGCCAAACGGCGCAGTAAGTCCTTGAGTGTGGTGAAGTCGAGGAAAAAAAAAGAAACCATCCGATTACGTGCAGACTTGTTGACTTTGGTATGGATGTCTCGAGTCAAGTGCCTTCATGACCAGGATCCATGCGGTACATCATGCATCCAGTAATGCGGTGTCCATCCCAGTGGTTATTGGGATTTTTCTTGAACCCACTTTGCCTTTGTTAGTGTCTGCATAACCATACCTTAAATTTTCTTCTAGACTTCTACATCATCTGAATATCCCTGTACATGGGCATTACATGCCCAGGTGGGAACCATGCAACTCAAAATATCCCGTCCGATTTAGCACTGACCACCAGATATACCTGCGCATTTTTAGCAAAACGTGCCAATGAACGTCCTCTCAACATCTACTAATAAGTACCCGATGACGATGAGGACGTGAAGGGCATGTGGCGCCAATCTTCCAACCTTAATGTTATTCACCAATGGCCCAGAATGCGATTGTATAGCGTCACGTCAAAGAATCATATCCGAAGGCTGTGCTGCTCATTACCCCCAGGCCTCGACGGGCCAAGGTTTGGTGCAGCTGACACTATGACAAATTCGTTATCTACATTGTCAGTTCTCCGAGACACTAGACGGAAACCTAAGGGCGTGGCTAGAAAATATATTCGAGTCTCCTCTTCAGAGTGGTCCAACCTACGGAAGATACTTTTACAAAAGCATGAGCGGCTTCCATTGTCAGGGCAAGTCCTGCCCATCGTTATCCATTCCACTATTTCCTCCAGGCTTCGGCCTCAGGGCTGGCAAAGAGAGTTTCTTGTCCAGTATATTTGCCGTGAGTCGTGACCCCTCAGGATTAGTAGGCACGGGTGCGGGAAATGTGTCTCGCCCTGCCCAACTCAATGGGTGAACAAATTTCGTATTACTGCACGACAAAAAAGCTGCCCACCTGCAGTCCAATAGGCAGATTGAGCCCTGATGATATCTATGGTACAGAGACACACTCAATGAAATCAAAACGGAAGAGCCCGAATATGCCTAATGCGAGGCTGGGGTGAATGACTGGGAAGAAGACTCCACAATCCTGAATAGGAAATCAAGAGAATAACAAGCACAACAAAAATCAGACCAGCCCAGTCCATCACGCCTCGTAGATTCGGATATTGTTCGGCCAGAGAACCAAAATGCAACGAAAAAAGAAAACAAACGGAGGCGCTTCTGTGGGGGCATGTTGCGCACAGAAGAAAGCAACAGGAGTGTGAAAGAAAAAGTGTTGAAAATTGCATCTTAAATGGATGCAAGAGTAAGAGGAAGCAAAGAGAAGTGCAAATACTTGAATCAAAATGGCGAGGCGTTGGTCATGAATGCGGTCATCCAGTATTGTCATTAACGGTGTGCAGGGGGTCGTGATAGTCCTTGCCGAGCCTGCCATCAAAAAGTCATGAGTTGGGTTTTCGCTTAGCACAGTTGTGTTTCCGTCACGTACCTTCATTTGCTCAATTCTCGCCTTTAGCTGGCTGGTCACTTCCGCAGCACGCTTCCAGTTTTCGGCAGGCTCTGCGGAGCGCGGCGCCACCTCGTCATCAGTGGCATGCGCTGAGCTTCGAGATGACCGCGTTGGGCTGCCGAGACCAGACAGCCCATATGTAGGGCTGAGCTTCCGGCGCCCAAGGCCAAAGCCAGCGCTCTCCCGAGCCCCAAGACCACCTGGTGACTCGATTCCAGTGTTTTCCTTCTCCTCACTTGGTGTGGCGGATACGTAGCTTCGCGGGCGACTGTTTTCGAATCTGGACTGAAGATGCAGACCCGAGCGAGCGGCGTGGCCATTGCTGACAGATTCTTGATACATCGATGTAGAGTCGGGAATACTGAGACTGCCCCCATCGGAACCGGCATTGGGCGGACTCATTGCCGATGCTCGAAGAGCTCGTGCGAGCTCGCGCTTCAGTCTCTCAATCTCGCGTTGCTGCTTCTGAACATTCTGCTCAGCGGCTTCAGCATCACTACGGGCCCGAACCAGTTGCGTTTCTTTGGCTTTGATGCTCAAGACATCTCTGGTGTGATCTTCGATCAACTGTGCGTTTTGATTTTGGAGCTCGGTGATCTGAGAGTTGTACTTGGATCGCTCATTCTTCAAGTCGTCGATCGTGCGCAAGAAATTCTCTTTCTCCGCTCGAAGTGCCTCCAGTTCGGCACGGTCCGCCGCGGACATGGCGTTTACAGCTGGGGGTGCAGGAGCCGGAACGGGCTCAGCTGGCGCAGCAGGTTTGGCGATGGGACGGCCAGCGAGGCCACGTCCGAGACCAAACTTCGGAGCCGCAGGAGGCGGCGGTGCTGCATCTTCCGTTGGTGGAGTCGCAACTCGTCTCTGTGGCGAAGCAAGACCTCCAGGACCGCCCAGCTTGCGCTGGAGTTTCATACCTGCACTAGTAGGGGGGCAAGACCAGGTTTTCCAAGTTTCGAGGGAACTCCCCGAGGCACCACCTTGGCTGGAGGCTCTTCCGCTGGGGCAGGGGCCGCGGCCGCTGGAGCCGGTCTCTTGGTCCCCAATGCAGGTTTCTTACCCGGGGCAGCTTTGCGGCCAGCTGGAGCAGCAGGCTTGGGAGGAGCGACAATCGGCTTAGGTCGATCCTTGGCCTTCACCTCTGCCGTCTCGAAGTACTCTTTGATCTTCGTCTTTCGAATGTCATCCAAGCCCTCTAGGTAAGGATTCATAGCTCTTTCACCCAGAATCTTCATCAGCGTGCCGAGGATCTCTGCACCACCAGATCGAAGTGCCTCTGTGGACTCAGTCATTGCTTTGGTGCCAGCATCGGCAATTGCCTTGATGTCCGGCTTCGAGGGCACAACGCGGGTCGTGCGAAGACAACGAATCAAAAACTTCAGCGTTTCCTGCTTGACTTGGGGGTTCTTGTGCTTCAGGAATTCGAAAATCTCCTCCAAACATTCAGAGAGGTCTGTTGAGGTGAACACGGCATCTAGCGCCTGACCTAATGCGTCTGCTACAGACTGCTTCTTTTCCTTCAGACGCTCCAGCATCGGTGCCATAATAATGGGCCGATACTTCTGAAACCCCTCGCGCAGGCCTTTGGCCAGAAGATCAACGCAATTTGCCGCGACCGTGACCACGGCGATGTTGGCATCCTTCATGCATTTAGCCAGAGCCCTCACAATTTCGTCAAAGGGTCCATCTTTGATGCGGGGAACGTTGACCGCGGTGTACAAGGCATCCAGAGCTTCTTTGCGGTCTTTCCACTTGGAGGATGCGAGCTGTTCGTGAAGATCCTTGGGAATCTTGGGCATCACGTCGACGGGCTCGGCCAAATCAAAGACGTCCACCTCTTCCGCTCCCTCCTCTGCATATTCTTCGCCGGCCTGATCATCCCCGCCCTCACCAGCTGTGGGGTTTGCGCTCGCAGCGGCCATGGCATCTTGCTGGGCCCGGGTGAACCGCTCTTGCTTAGGTTGGGCCTCTTGTTTGACGTTCTCGAAGAGCTTTTCCAGGTCCTGCTGCTGCACTGGCTTGAGCTCAGACCAGAAAAGAGGCTTGATAGCTTCGCGTAGCCATCGGTACAACTCCACAGTCAGATTCTGTGCCTCGGCTCGGACGTTTTTGTCAGCGTGACCGAATACTTTGGGTAGCGCTTTCAATGTAGGCTTGGGATCTACAATTTTGCAGCCAAAGTTGTGGTATAACGTGGTCAAAGCGGCGAGCGCCCCGGCAATCGTCTTCGGCACCTTGTGTGATACAACGGGAAGGAGATCCTCAAGGACACCATCGGCACTGTCTAGCTCAACGCATAGCAGAAGAGCTTCCTGCGCACTGGCCTTGCCTGCTGGCCTGGCACAAGGTAGACCCTTTTCTGCAATTGGTCCAACAGTGGAGGCACGGGTCCTATGTAAACATCAGTACAATGAACAGAGGCGTCTTCAGGGGAGATAGGCTGCAGTACCTTGTACAGGCCTGCACTCCACCAAACTTCAAAAAGGCACAATAAGCGCCTAAACCTTCCACCTGAGCGGCGACGTTGGAATCTGCGACTGCACCCTTCCATAGCCCAGGGTCTTGTAGGAACGGTATGAAAACGGGATCGGACTCGTCGGGGGATTTTTCGAATTGTGCCTTCGCATCTTCGTATCCTTCTTTTCGCACTTTCCAGTTCTTTCAGAGCTGCTAGTCAGTGGCACCATCAAAAGGATCAGAGGCGCAAAGTACTCGTCGAATTCATGCGCGGGAACGAAGTCACACCTTGTGAGCGAACCGGTCTGGAAGCGGCAGAGAGGAGAAGTCCTCCACTGCATCAGCCATGTTGAGCGATTAATTAATCGGAGGGGTGGAGTGTAAATGTTCGGAGGTTTGAACACTGTCTTGAATATGTCTTCTGATTAGTTCTGATCATCGTAGTCGATAATGCGCGGGAGATTCCTCATAAACAAAGGGGAGGCAGGCCTATTCAAAGGCAGTGCGACGTGGTGATGGTACCTGAGACTTCCTCGGTGCCCAAAGCAACGGGGGTTTGCCGGATGAGGTCAGTCTGCGACCAGAGAAATTGATCGCCAACAATGAGGAGCACAAGGTGGCATGCAAACCACCTGAAATCACATGAAACGTGGGCTGCTGATGTACAGAAAGAGAAAGAGCGACTCCCTTCGAAGCTGTGTGTTGTATTGTGCCTGCGAGCGTCTTCTAAAGAGGGATGGTTTAAATGACGGCGGACTGGCGATCAGAAAGTAAACAAGCGGGCTTGGCGGTGTCGAGGGTTGTTTTTGTTGTGACCCCGCGATCACCGGCCTTTGCGATCCTCAGACCTGACGGCTTTCCTTGTCGCAAATTCTGAAATCACTGAGCTCACTGTTGCTAAGAGATCTTCCAATATCAAAATTTTGACAGCACCAAGTGGTGTTCCACAATTACAAGCGACCAGGAGACTCGACAGTACCAGTCCTCCCCGGTATATGCGGAGACGCAGTGAAGATCTGATCGAGACGCACACAATCCCGCCGGCACCATGAGCCAGCTCCTCACGGCGCGACAGGCGGAGGAGCTGTAAGTGTTGAATCAAGGCTTTGATTTCCCACCCACAAATACTGACACCTGGATTGTATCGCAGGCACAAGGCAATGATTGCCTATTTGACCGCCGCGAACCTGCCTCAGACTTGCGCTGCACTACGAGAGGAACTCGGGGACTCGGTCTCTGTGGAAGACTCTACACTCAAGAAGTATGAAGGCTTGCTGGAAAAGAAATGGACCAGCGTGGTGAGGCTACAGAAGAAGGTGAGGGGCAGTCCTGTTCGGCCTAGCGCATGCAGCATTGCGCAAGGGCGCAAAGAAAGAGGGAAAATGGAAACTGACGTGATATCCCGGTAGATCATGGATCTTGAAACCCGATGTGCTAGCCTCCAGACTGAACTGGACACCGCCACACCTACGTCCCTTTCCCGAAGAAACCAAGATCCGGTATCATGGTTACCTCGAGACCCTGCGCGCCATGACCTCGAGTCGCATCGGGAAGCTGTGAACTGTGTGGCTTTTCACCCAATCTTCTCCTCACTCGCGTCAGGATCAGAAGACAGTACGATCAAAATCTGGGATTGGGAGCTGGGCGAGCTGGAGAGGACCATCAAAGGTCACACGAGAGCTGTGCTTGATGTTGACTATGGTGGGCCTCGTGGTGGAACGCTACTCGCTTCCTGCTCGTCTGACTTGACGATTAAGTTGTTTGACCCAGCGGATGAGTACAAGAACATTCGTACTTTACCTGGCCACGATCACAGTGTTTCAGCAGTCCGATTCATTCCATCCGGAGCCGCAGGGTCGCCTATGTCGGGCAATCTGTTGGTTTCTGCGTCTCGGGATATGACTCTTCGCATATGGGACGTGACGACGGGGTATTGCGTAAAGACGCTACATGGTCATTCAGGCTGGGTGCGAGATGTTGCGCCCTCGCCGGATGGACGGTTTTTGTTCTCTGCAGGAGAGGATCAAGTCCCGCGATTATGGGATATCTCATCCGGAGAGCCGAAAGCCACCTTCCTCGGCCACGAGCATGTGGTGACGTGTGTCGCTTTTGCTCCCACGACAAGTTACCAGCATCTTGCACCGTTGGCTGGGCTCAAGAAGCCACCGCCATCATCATCGTCTGCAGAATTCGTTGCCACTGGCTCCCGTGATAAGACCATTCGCTTGTGGGATGCTCGGGGCAATCTGGTGAAAACATTAGTGGGCCATGACAACTGGGTGCGAGGATTGGTATTCCACCCTGGGGGCAAATTCCTTCTCTCGGTGGCAGATGACAAGACTCTCCGATGCTGGGATCTCACACAAGAATGCAAGTGTGTTCGCACCATCAAAGCTCATGATCACTTCGTGAGCTCAATTCGATGGGCGCCATCACTGATCAAGGAAAGCCACGCCAATGGTACTGCGGGGGCAAATGGAGAAGGCCAATCCAGTACAGCCAAGGATGATCCCAATGCGGCCCATAAGATGTCGATTCGCTGTGTTCTTGCGACAGGGAGCGTTGATAAGAAAGTACGGGTCTTTGCATCATGATCGCGATATAAGCGCCATCAGCTTTGGTGCTCATAGTAGACACCCGAGAACACATACCATCCCCCTTGATGGGGCTGCACCTTCAGACGCTCATTGCGAGTCTTGGGATTTAGAAGGGTCGCCGTTTGTCATTTTTGGGTAAAGGAGTTGATTTTCTCTTCCGTGATACCAGTGACTTTCCTTTTCCGTTTGCCATTCTCGTTGACATTGAATGCAGGTCAGTGTTGGCTGGCCATGAAAAGCAGCAGACAGAGGGTGGATTCATTTTAGCCGTGCCAGATATATCAGGCTATTCTGCTTTTCTTTGATGGTCATGGAGCGTTTTCTGAATATAGTACATACTTCCCTCACGGTTCTAATGCCGCCTTATGAGATTCATGCTATTCCCACTTCAATGGAAGTCACATATTACCACGAGACCGTGTCCAATAGCAAGCGGCAGAGAGATCCTGCCTGTGAAGGGGGAAAAAATAATTCATGGTAGTTTAGTCAAACAGATATAGTACAAATTTGTCCCAGAGTACATTTCCCGCACAAGCTAAGGACAATATGGACAAAGAGGCACGAAATGAAATTCGCAGTAAAACACACTGCTATGCTCAAAAGACGAAAGCCCATCAAAGAAGGCACCGAGCCTCTCATTAAGAAATCCCTCTCGCTCAAGCTTGAACTTCACCAATTCGCTCTTGCACCAGCTTCTTCACCTTACCGATGCGCTCCTGGCCCTCGAAAATGCGATGGATCAACTCAGCTGCAGACAATGATTCTCCATCCTGAATGTATCCATGTGCCCGGGCAATGGTCTCCAGGTTGATCTCTTCTCCCAGCCGCCGCGACTCGCGACGGACGTATTTGGCAGCCCAGCGCCTCGCCCGTTCCTGCTCTCGCTCCTCTTTAGTCATCACAGCGGGTCGGTCCTCGATTGGCACGGCGAAGGGGGTAATGATTCGCTCCACGACGTGATGCACACGATGGCTCTTGGGTGCGCCAGAAGAGAATTCAATGACATCGCCCTTGCGAAGAGAGTTTTGAGGATCTGAGACCAGGATCTTGACATCCTTGCGGTAGTATTTGCGAACGTGCTTGTCCCATTCATTTGAGCGATAGACAACTGTCACAGTGCGGTCCATGCGACCGACGGAGACCACGGTACCGCTTTTGGTTTTGGAGGCATAGTTGCGAAGGAGAGTGGGCGGCTCGAGGTCGGTTAAGCTGAGTGGTGTTGATGTGGAGGGAGCAGGTGAGGATGAAGAGGCCACAGTGGGTTCTTGTGTAGCTTCAGTGGGTGTGTATGAGTTGTAGCGCACACTCTGGCGAAGAGCAGTGGTAGCACGAATGATGCTGGAGCGGGCGAGACTCCCGGTTGTTGCAATTGATTGCATTGGCCCCATAGCCCGCACGAGATAGCCTGTCGCCATGGTGGATTCAGCAGGCCTCTGAGAAGTAGCACTTGTTGTTCTATGTAGATTGAGTTGAGTGTCAACAAGGGGAGTGAAGGTCGTAGGATGTGATGTTGGACAAGCTGGGTTGTCGAATTCCCGAATAATGCTGATGCCGCGGAGTCGCGGCTGCGGAGTTTCCTTGAGAATTTCTCGGAGGGTGTTTGCAATGTTTGCTTTGCGGACACGGGGCTCCGGCAAAGCCCTCAGCTCAGTCAAGACATCAGCCTAACGCTGTCAGGTGAATATCAGGACAGGGACACCTTGCTTCATCTATACCGATTACTCGGATGGGGGTTGTCAGGATCCAAGTTTTCATCCGGCTTGATGGTCAATTTCATTGTTGGACACCACGGTGAGAGCTTTAGAACGCTTAGATTCTGGATTTCTGTCTGGCATGAAGAAAACGATGTGGGCCATCTGCGATTTAAAACAAGGTCAGGCATCTTTGATGAGTTCTTTCAATCACAAAGTCAAAGATCGTGTTCTGTGCTGAATGCAAGCAAGGTATGGCATCTTCCATTCCTTAATGTACAGCAGGGTGACGGTTCGTAGTCAGTCCAGTTTAATATCAGATGATTCTTCATCTCATTGTGACCTACGACGAAAAGCATTTGACGAGACGGAAATGAGAATGTGACCATGGCCTTAGATTATTTTGAGTCAAAGATAGGTAAGGCATAGATGGGGGAGATAGTATAGATGAGCTCGGGCATTACTGAGTAACGAGATTCTCATGAGACGAAGAATTAATCAGACACACATGCCAGCCACAGATGCAGCACATATTCATGGTACTATTTTGCAACATATAAGTAGATCTGATTCTCTAGCAGAATTGGCGAGATATCTTGTTAGGGGTAACTGTTAACAAGCTAGGAAGAGAAAGCTGGAGAGCAAGGACCCTTGACCTTCCATTAAACGAGTCCGGAAATCTCTTCACAATCGCTGAAAGAAGCCCAGGAAGGGAGCTTCCAGGGGTTGAGCTCCCGGATGCAAAGACCATGGAGGGGGAACTGCCAAAACGACTTCTTTAGCCAATTTAGAACTTCAGAGTTGATATAATGGAAAACAAAAGTGGGAAAACAGTGGCAAGGTTAGTGTCTCACCCAACAAGTATCAGCCTCGAACGCGTGTTGTGATATGAGTAATTGTGAATGTGAATTGTCACATACCCATCACGAGATCTGTTTCATCTCCAGGAAGCGTCGTCTGAATCGAAGGAGCTCGACTTTTACCTGGCTTGTCATAATATGCAATCGACCTGTTCTAAGACTGCCAGTTAGTTATTGGATTGATCTGTTTAGCCAGACTACTCCAATGTTGTCTCGGTCTACATACAGCTTGCTGTAGAATGCTCGCCCCATTCTGTCTGATCAAATACCATACCAGGGGATTCAAGGCTATTTAGTTAGCTTCTGATGTATGAGCTCCTGCCCCTCTATGGAGTCACGGACCGTCTTGATATCTACACTTACTCGAATTGAACTTGATGGATCGACTCGACTAGAGTTGGGGCACGGCTCAAAATTTGTATGTCGACCTTGTTTTCACGATCGTGTCTTGGATTGTTTTTGTCGATGAATACTGGGGTGGAAGAAGGTCAGGCTTTCATATCTTGAATTCTTGACAGAGACTGCCTGATAACCCTTACACATAGATAAGAAAGAGATGGAAAAACCTCGGCGGACAGATACTTTGCCCATGTAGGTAGGCCCGAGAACATAGGATGGATCACCTCATGTTTGACGAGAACAAACGGTTGGAAGGTACAAACTACGAAGTCTGCTTGATCAATGAAATCGATATCACCGGGGTTACCCATTTCCATCTGCCAGTGATGCGGTGATCGAAAAGCGAGCCCAGAGCAGCACAGCTCCAGTTGGCTTGATGTCAAGGTGCAATCTAGAATAGCAGATGATATTGTCAATAGCTAGAAGATTATGGTCACTACCTGGTATGCTCTCCTATCCCACAGACTTTCCTTAGAGAGACGGCCAGAGTGTGGTATGTTCAGAATTGTGGTCAATCACATGTTATCGTGGCGGTAATAAAAAATTGTCTTAGCCTGCCTGATAGTGCTGAGACATCGTGATGTCACCTTAATAGTCTCCATTTGACTAAGTGTCAGAATGGTATGCATGTAGCAGCGACAGAGCTCTCAGGTACAGAACATTTGATGTCGGTAGGTGTTTTGGTGTGATTTGGATTGGATTGGAATACCTCAGGTTGCCAGGCTGTCAGAGTTCTGCATTGGCGTAGGTATTTATCCTATCCGCCCGACGCAGTGGAGCTGGAGCTGAAGCTGAAGCTGGAGGTCAGCCCTATCGAATTGCTCGAGTCATGACATACCACGCCTTTATCCAATTAAATCCTAAAAGTTCAATACCTCCATCACCTCTTTCCGCCTAACCCGTCTTCAAATCCATGCGGCCGATCCCTCACACCGAAACCGCAGATCATCTTTCCCGCTGCCTACCTCCTACCCACCGTACTAAATTAGGGCCCGAATTGTCGGACACTCGACTGTGAACGGTACCACTACCGAGTGACCGACTAGTAATTACCGACTCTACGGAATTCCCGACCAAGTGGTACACCAGACTATCACTTGCTGATCATACTCTTTTCTGCATGAAGACTGCGTGGTTTTTCTTTTTCGGTTGTTTTCTGGTGCCCCGATGCCATGTCATGCCGGTAGGTTCTTGTGTCATAGCCCGCTTGCTTGGTATCTGCGCAGTTCATGCATAGTAGTGGATCGCTGGATCCATTGGGACGTGTGATTTCGGGGGGATTACATCAGTGAGGTCACTGACGGGAGGTGACTGACCCCTTTGGATATGGGTGATTTGCATGCGATTCGGTTGTCCGTTATCGGAAGAAGAAAGAATGTCCTGGTGCTGGAGGTTTTGTTTACTTGCTCTGTGGACGGTCTGGAACTGGGACACCGAGACCAGTGAGGAGTGAGTAATCAATGGCGATACTGGAAAGGGCGAGACGTTGATGACAGTGTTGGGAAAGCTTACTCATGACCCTGGTCCGCATGGCTTGTCTTGAAGGTTAGATTACCATTGTGTACGGACGATTTGGATATTCAATATGGAGGCGGAAATTCGATTCTGAATAACTTGGTGCAGGGCAAGGTCGATGGAGGGTCAATTTGGTTTTTATCATGACATTATTTGATTTGTGCAATATTTGCTAATAGATCCCAAACTTGCCTCCGACCTGAAACCGTGCTGTGTTCCATATATGCAATCATGACCGCATTCCCTGATTAGAAAAGAAGAAGAAAAAGTAGAAAGAAAAACATTGTGGATGAGAATGATGAGATGATGATGATGATGATGATGTAAAAGAGAGGATGGAGGTGAATATAAAAAGGAAACATTTGAGAAATGAATGGATGAGAATAATACACTGAAGGGCCGAAACAACCTTGGAAGGTCAGGGCGATTACCTGTGACTCTGATGTTCGCCAGAAATCACGGTAATCTCGACCTGTTTCGTAATACCCGGATATCCCTCGGGGGACTCTGATCGACCACCGACGGTAGTACTGGTATGGGTGGTAGATGGATCCAAGATGCGCTCAACGCTGCAATTCTCCAGATTGTGGGATTTGGTGAATCGTCGAGCCATCTTGGAGTGGTGCGTCTCATTTTGACCGGTGCGGTGACCGCTGAATGGACCGCTGAGTTCGTAGGATCGGGTCACGCTGGAGAATTTGCGCACCGAGGAGATGATCAAGGGACGGATGCAGGGAATCGACGATGTGATGATGATGATGCTGTTCTCGACATATCCCCATCGGATCAATTCGGTGGCGCCGTCGACGCCAATGTCGGTGACACTGGGGAGGGTGTCGAGTTTGGTGGTCTTGATGATCGAGGCAATCATTGCACTGCAAGATGTTGAAGAAGAGATGGTTAGTTCTGCAGTGCCCATCGCATCAAATTGTGGGTGGGGGGAAACGGGAAGACGTACACAAAACCAATACTCAACAAGAGGATCAGGCCAACCTTGATGCGCAGCTTGAGATTCAAATTCCAAAACACCACAGCCGGGAAAACAGCCAGGAAGAAATCCGTCGCCGAATTGAATGCTACCAAATCGCGTGTGTCAGTCATGGCATGTTCTTTCCGAGACAATTTTCCCATCCCCATTCGAAGAAAGAATAGGCATCTTCAGCAAACTTACTGTTGGAGTAGTAGGCGAAGTTGATCACCGCTTTCACATCACCACACGTCGTATGAATAGCGGCCTCCAAACTCCACAACGCCCTCGCATCCTTGCAGATACTTAATGGCAGCACGGCCGAAGCGATGTTGCCCGCGGCCTGGATGACACACAGAACCCACAGCGCGATCCGGTAGCCCTTGTTCGTCCCCAGCACCGCAAGAAGATAGATGATAAAGGCCGTTCGGGCGGTGGTGGTGCTGATGGTGACCAGTGGAATCTGAATCGCAATATACTTCAAGACCGCTTCCCGGTCCGCGGCTTCCAAGTGGGAGAGGTTGATACCGAATCCATGTCTGACGGAGAGGCTTAAGAAGGCGGTGGACACGATGATGAGAATCTGCGAGGACCAGGTCAGAACAGTCCGTGTGCGCTTTCCAGGTCGACAGGCAGGGTCGATATCGATTTCCATACCTGCGCAAAGATCATCAAGATATCATCGGCGGCAAAGCGCTTGATCTTGATCTTCGCAAAGATCCTGAGAGCGACGATCACAGCCGAAATGATCACTGCAGCCCAGATGCCTTTCTCCAGGGATTCGCCTTTGCCGTTCTGCATGGTGACCGTGCTGAGATCGCGGTGGGGACGGGAAAATGTGACGAAGACGAAAAAGGATCCCACGGGGCTTAATACTAGATCCAGACACAGTAGATCGGAATCGGAACGAAGAAATAGGACCCCCTCGACAACTAGACCTGCAACATAACCCTGGCTTTGCAACTTCGTGTCTCGTCGGACGTTCCGCGCTAGAGAGGAAGATGACCCGGGGGGGGGGGGGGGGGGGCAGATCGTGGACTTGATAAAGTAGAAGAAGCCGAAGGACCGATTTGGCTGACCAAAGAGAGTCGAACAGAGTGCCGACCTGGAGCAGCACGGCCAAGCAACTGCTGAGCGAAGATTAGGAAGGCGATGGAGAACCTACTGAAGTATACTTTTTGGATTGGAGCATCAGTGGAATTTTTTTTACACAATAATTCGGTCATTCAAACTTTCCACGCCGTAGCTAGTGCCGAACCTACAGTAACACGTTCGGTAGGCTAAGTGTAGCTGGAGAAAGGGTTTGTGCCTGGATCTGAACCATTGGCATTGGAGACGAGGAAAGTTAAGAACGCCATCCAAATCGATTTGACGCCCATGGACATGGAGATGGGTGTTTCTCCGACTTTCGGTTTCGCCGCGAAGAAGGTTTCTATGGTCGGAACCTTCCTTTCGCCCCCGTTCCCCTTCTTCCACATCTTCCTATCCACTGGTTCGAGGGGATCATTCCATGAGGAGATTTGCACTGCTTGAGACATCTCGACATAAGCGAAGCGCAAGGTGGCAAATCGTGGTCATCTGGGTCCTGCATATATCGCTAAAGTCTTGCGTTCTCATTTTTGAAGTCGTCGACACTGCAGTACGGCAAATGACAGCTGCGAGATGGTCGAAACGGGTATGCCGGCTTGTGGGCTGCAATAGGATAGGCATATGGTGCAGTGCCAATGACTAGCCCGGCTGCTGTGTCCTCGATTCGATCCATGGTCCGGCTTGGCTGATACTATCTCGCACTGGCTGATGACGGACCCTCTCTTTTTTTTTTTTTCGCATTTGCGGATGAATCTTTCCTGACTTATTCGATGGTTGTGATGTACCCCCTGTTTCCACTTGGACATTCTCGGGGCCAGCGTCAAGTACGTATAAAGTAGTAGTTAACTAACTTGACTATGTCCATCGTAGTGTACAGAATATAGTGAGGTACCGGTTGGAATGTGAAAGCCAGCACGCGAGTCAAAGTACCAGAACAGATGAACAATCCCGAGCGAGGCGTTTATAGTTTCTTGCCTTGTCTTAGCCGGAATGGAACGGGCAAAGTCTAAATTATACGAAAGACATGGACGGAGAAATGAATCCATTTGGCTTTCTTTTCTTTTTTTTTTTTTTCCACCATTCTTTTCCGTCATCATTGTTTTTTGTGTTGTTTTGTGAATTTTCATTTTCATGTTCATTTTTCTCTTTTTTCTGGAATTGCACTTGCAGCCGGGTTCATTTCCCCCTATCTGGTCGAAGTCCAGGCCGGCAACACGCTCTGATGCGGAAAGTAATACGGATGAGTGGACGGAGACTCTGTAATCTCGACTCTGGACTCTGGAGAGCGAGTTGGTGGCCGGCGCTCTGGCACCTGCCATCTGAGGCCTTTTGGAGGGTCCCAAGTTCACCATTTTCAATGCCCAGTGGGAAGATTACTCCGCCGGGTTGAGAATGACAGGCCAAAAGATGGGTCGACGTTGCGTTGTCGCGCGCTGATTCCAAGGGTCGAGAGGGGACAAGCTCCATCGGTCTTGTCCACCCGAAGGGGCGGACAAGCAGTGGCTGAATGCTGAATGCCTCTTTGGAGTGTGGACTACTGTACCACTAGTTGCCAGTCCCGTAGTGACTACCCAGTGTACCCACTGCCCACTGCCCACTGCCCACCGCCCAGTACCCCACTGCCATCTCTCTGGATCGCTTGCGAGCAGACCCAGTCGAACTTTTCTCCCGATTTGGAGATTCGCGGCCGGGGTTCCGCCGGCCAGAATCGGGTCTCGGGTCACGGGTCATTCGAACCCATAGATATGAGCGATGCCAATGTCACGGCAAGTGAGACATCGAATGACCCGGGCGTCTGCGGCTGTCTTGGGACTCTGGACGGTCTTGCACTAAAGGGAGAGCGCTCTCCCCTCGTGTAAAATAGACGCCGAGCCTCGATCATTAGCTTATCCTTGCCCCCGGTCTTGGCAGGCAAAGACCGACTGAAAATTGCGACCGAATGGACCAAACTTTGTCGTCGATCAATCGCATTGACTGGCGGAGTCGCCTCGAGTCGGATGAGTCCAGTCAGTCCAGTCGGTTCAGTCAGTTCAGTCAGTCCAGTCAGTCCAGTCAGTCCCGGCAAGTCCCACTTTTGCTTGTGTCGCTGTCAACCGAACTCCATGAAAATGATTGTCCGCATTGTCCAAGAGCCCGAGAGGCGCCCCCGCTCTTCTTGACTGCATGTAGCCATGTGTATAGTTAACAGTACAATTTATCCTTCGAGGCTCTCCAAAGAGACTTCAATGATCAGTGGCGGGAAAGACTTCCCGCAACCACTCATTCTGGGACTGCTTCCTTCATGTGATGAAAGGATACCTCTCACCCAATTTCTAGAGGGCCAGATTCTCCACCGATAAGGACGCTCGACAACACCCACACTCCAGTTGGTGGCGTGTTTTCAGGGAGTGCTCAGTAGTCAGGACTCAGGACACCGTACACTTACAGTAGTACTGAGAGGGAATACTAACTCCCAAGCTAGTGCGTGAGTAGTGAGTACTGAGTACACTCAACACTGGTACAGGAGTGCTAGTGTCACTGTCCAGTGTGTCCAGTGTATCCACTCACAACTTGCGACCAGGGGAGGGGCTGCCAAATGATGATAGAGTTTGGGGAGAATGTCGGGACCGGATTCCAACTGGCGAGGCGTGTGTCAGGGACCACTTGATGGAGATTGCTGGGGCGATGAGCCAGAGAGGCTGCTCCTCGTTTCTGGAAAGGTGGCCGAAATCTCCGTCCTGCTGGCTCCTGGGCAGATAGCAGGGATACTCTCGATCGTACTCGGCCGTTCCAGTTGATGATAGGCCCGTTCTGCAGATTCATCAGCTCATGCAGGAAATTGTGCAACTGCATGGGCGTTTCGCAGTCATGCTAATGCGAATCCGGCATGGCGTCTGGAGAGTCTGCCGTCTGCAGTAGCCGTTCGGGGCTAGCTGGTCCGATGGTCAGCCACCTCTAGACCGAGTCGGGTTTGGATCAGAGAACGCAATCTACACTATGCAGATTGCAGAATGCCAGAATCACTCAAGTTGCTATCACTTGGACAAGGACTAGGACTCACATGGCCGTGATCTCCGCCCGCATCAGATATAGTATATAACATGCTACGTCTTGTCCAGCAGTACCAGCTAGTCAGCTCGCTAAGCAGAGAACTGGAGTGATCCGTCGGCTGATGGCTGATGGCGGAGGGCTGATGGCTGACGGGGCTGCTCGGGATCTGCTGCTGTGGTTTGGAACCTTCCTAGTACGGGTACCTGGTGAGTCCACCGCAGCTTCGTCCCATGGCTACAGACAAAACTGTGGCAACCCCCAGCTCCACGGATGGGGGGGGGGGGGGGGGGAAGTTAATTTAGCTCCTTCGGACCCGGAACGGTAATGGAAGAAAAGAATAGCGAGGTGGACAGTAGTCTAAGGACACCCGAAAAGAAGGCTCAGTCACAGGGGCCATTCAGCACTGGACTCGGGCTGATTTCTCCGGGAGAAGATATCTGTGTCCGGTGTGTCTGCCAGTCTGGTCACCACGTACGTACTCTTTACGCGAAAGACAGGCTTGACTGAGTGAGGAGTGAGTGACTGAGTGTACGAGCATAAAGTCACGCCCATCTAGACTTACGGACAGGAGACGTCATGAGGAGATGGACCATGCACGGCCACCTTCAGAGGCCCAATTTCCAGACTCCCGGACGGCTGTGTGCGCACGGAGACTCCGAGCTTCAAGCATCGACGGACTCAAGTCCAAGACAGGAAGAATCATTAATGGACTGTACATTCTAGACTGTCTTTCACCACGGGGTAGTCGTGACTAGGACTACGGTACCGCTATATTTTGTAGTTGGACTAACTAAGAACTACTATATTGTGAATGTGAGTCCTCGCTTCTCGTATCATCACCCAGCAAAGGTGACCAAAGCATTGATCCGGCGGGACTGACAAGATTGCCATCAATACTATGGGCCAGAATGACCGACTCAAATCCCGACTCACCCGGCCGTGGTCATTCTGAATACTGTCATTGTGCGAATCGCCATTACCCGAAGAGGCTTGTTTTGGCGAGTATCCTTAGACTGTCCACCTCGCTAGAACCAGAGCGGGAAGGTCGAACTCTCGTTTTCACGTGATTGTTCTGTTATTTTGGTTTTGATCTCGTATGAATCAAGAGACGCGACCCTTTGGAGCCACTCCTTACCGCCTACCGATTTCCCGACCACAAACACCAAAAACTCATTCAGAAGTTCTCTTTACCACAACACTTTTATCAAAAACGATATATATTGTATACTTCCTGAAGACTTTGAAGGATTATGAAAAGTGAAAGTCTAAGAAATCTTTTTGTAGGGTCGGTGATTGATTTATAGAGAACGGGTAGATGCTAGATCGCGGACTTGGAGAATTTGAGTTGTTGAATCGGAAAGCAAAGGCAGACACGGCCGTATTTCATTTTGGAAGTCAAACACTTGCAAAACGATGAACGAAATAGATCCCAAAAAATTGATCTTACTATTTCGATCTTAGCGAAGTGGACAGTCTAAGGACACCCTATTTTGGCCAGGTACTTTTGTACTGTAGGTTTGGATCTGAATGCAATGCCGCCACGTTCCACGAACAACGATAAAACTCAATTCCATCCTTGAAGCAAGCAATATAAACCTTGTACCTTGCAATGATAGTCAATGAGGCAGACCTTCTACCTCCTGTTTACTGTATGAAACAATGTACCCGTGCGATTATCCTGCACCGTCTAGCGCGTTTAAGATGGTAGGGATGCAATCCGGTCATCAGATGGCCTGCCTGCTCCAAGTAAATAGCATATCGTACAGTTCTACACCCTTTGGCGCTCTACCACATTCAACATTGTCGATTGTACAACCACCAGTCACTTGCCTTGCACTAGACTGCACGTGGCGATACGATCGAATTGCAGTACCTGGCAACCTGCAGGTGCCGAACTAGCTCGATCGAAAGCCGGAAAGGTTTCCCAAAATGGCAAGTTCGAGGGGGAAATCGAGACACTGCAAGGCCGTCTCCGCTGGGGGCCGTGCGTCTGGATAATCAAATTAGGCAAATGAATTAGAGGGGGCTACCGGGCTAGTCTCGTGTTGACTTGCTTGACAAATCGTGGAAGATGAAAGATGCAAAGTAATTAGCGTTGGAGGAAGAGGGGGTTTTTCTCTCTCTTCCCCTATCAATGCACCAAGGGCATGCCGGATGGGGTCGAATAGACGTTGATGAGGCAAGACTCGTCTATTTCCGACTCGAGTAATACAGTGTCAATCTTAGAAAAACGGCCTTGGCTTCCATCGGGACATACAAAAATTCTACGGTGTCTGTGATGATCGGATCGACAAGAGATGCCAGGCAACGATCAGAGCAGATTGATCTGCCTGTTCTACAGGCCATGCGAGCCAGTCAGAATCTCCAGCTCAACCATGGCCAATGGGGAGAGCGGAGAGAGGGGAGCTTGGCCACTCGGTTATCGCTCCACGCACTCTTCGTCGGGCCGGCATGACCGATCGGAATCGCCTCCATGTGAGATGTACTGTAGAGTGTAGATCGATCGACGGAGGTCCCTCGTGGAGGTTGATGACCGGAGATAGTGCACAGCGGGACATGATCACTCGGATGAGATGAGGTTGCTAAACATACCAATTCCTCAGACCCAGTCGGATCAGATTTCCCCGGTGGGTGTCTGGTAGGCTGGTAGGCTGGTACTACTGGTGGGACTTGGTTACCTAAGGTCAAGATCGTGTCTCGTGGACATGGTCAAAGCGAGCACTACCCAGCACCCAGTATGTACTATGTACTTAGCAGGGCCAGCACTGCCTGTGGTCTGTACTCTCGGACTCTGCAGTCTGTAGTCTGTACTGCCACATACTGCCACATACTGCCACACGCTATGTTACGGGTACAGCGGCAAGTGTCGTGGTACCTGCACGTCCAGGGTGGGTACCTACTACCTAGTACCACTACCTACTGCATCAAGGTCTAGGGACCTCTCTGGGAGTGGCCCACCTATGGACTGACATGTACCGCAGGTACCACCACCCGCATTGAGCGTCCCGCAAACCCCAGCTTGAACTCGGTACCGGATTTTCCATCCCGATGCCGGTTCCAACCTGCCATCGGCCACGACTTACCTCCGGGAAATGCTTTTGACCTCTCTCTCTCTCCACGACGCAAAATTCAGACCTTCGTGGATCCCGTGGTGAGGTATCCATCTGGTGAACTATCTCTCCCCTGACTCATGTACACCATTCGACTCTTCTGCCGTCTGCTGTAAGCGAAGCTGGAGACCAACGGCCGGCGCTGGAATAGTCATTAGTCACGACGCACGACTCACGACTCACGAGAAGATAGTACTAGCAACTGCCTCGTTGGGGAAACAAGATCTTCCACGTGGCAATCCTACCACATGGCATGCTGATTCTAAGTTAAACTCTGCTGTTGATGAAGCTTAAGTGTTTTTTTTTTTTTGATATCAAACTTGTGTCACATGGAAAGGGCTGCAACCGATTGATAGTTGATATCGCATCCCTTGATACCTAGTCCACGCTTTCCAACACAAGGAACCAAGATTAGTACATATCTCCATGATACTGTCAGCGGTACGATACTCCAAGTACGCTCAGGGGAGTACAGTAGAGTAGACTAGTAGCAGAGTACTACATTCATGGCCCAATTTTGGCACTCAACTGCCAAGAACAAGAGTAGTTCACAACTTCACATGGGCCCCCAAGACCGTCGGGCAGTGGACCGTCTACCGGCATCCATCCTTCTTCCTCTTGTCTCTCAACCGATCGAGTCAACTCAAAGTGCTCACCACCACCAAATAGGTCAACTATATTGGATTATCTGATTTCCTTCCACCGACCGAACGACCACGGCTTCTCCCGTTGAGCCATCGATCCACCCAAATGGACTCGCCACGCGCCTTTGGAGGATGCCATGTTGCCCACCCGGGAACGATCTGGTCTTGAGTGGTTGGATCCGATGAGCCACAGTCCACTCAGACGCCTCAATGATCCTCTGGTCTCCAGTTTATTGAATTTGGCCCTGGCCCGTCCAGATGCCACTGCCATCAATTTGGTGACCTCCGTCCGTACTATTGTCGACACTACCGACGCTTGCGGGAATACCTCCGACTCCCTTGAGAGAGAAAAAAAAAAGACTCTCAAATTCGAGATACGCCTTCGACATGTCAACCGAGGCTCTCCACGACCTTTTCCACTGGATGGACATTCCATAAAACCCTCGACATCTGCGCCTTCAACTCAGTTCTACGTGATCGACATCTTCTCCTTCCCGCTCTCATCTCTTGGAAAGTCTGCTCTGGGACGGCTCTTTTGGTGGTCTACCTTGGTCTTTTCTCCATCACCTCGTCCTCCTCACCCTCGCCGTTCCACCACCCCTCCTCCTCACCGACATCTCCTCCACACATCATGAAGGCTTCAATTGTTGCCTTTGCGGCTCTGTTCGCTGCGGCCGCTGCGGCTCCCCCTCGCGGTCGTGATACCACTTCCTGTCGCTGCATGCCCGGCGATAAGTGCTGGCCTGCACCTCCCGCCTGGTCCAACCTCAACAACACTCTCGGTGGTCGTCTCATTGCTACCGTGCCCATCGGTAGCCCTTGCCACGATCCCACCTACGATGCCGCTGCTTGCCAGGCTCTGCAGGGCAACTGGACGCACCCTCAGCCCCAGTATGTATTTCCCTCTTCTAATATCGGATCATGGCCGGGAGACCCCAAAATGGGTCCTCCACAACAAGATGATGCCAAATCTAGCCCACAAACTACAGACTGCTGACACTAATCTAATAGCCTGAGCTCCCCCACATCGATCATGCAGATCTTCTTCACCAACCAGACTTGCTCTCCATTCTCCGCCGAGAGCACTCCCTGCACTCTGGGTAACTTCCCCAGCTATGCTGTGAATGCTTCTTCCGCCAGTGATATCCAGGCGGCGGTCAACTTTGCCCGTAGCAACAACATTCGCTTTGTCATCAAGAACACCGGTCACGAGTAAGTCCTTTTCAACCCTAATTGAGCATGACCCCTCGACCTGTGGTTTTTCTGTGTAACCAAAGAGAAACGACGAAGAGGAGATCCAAACAGAATTGGGGACAATTTTCTAATTTTTTTTATTTTTTTTTTTAGCTACCTTGGCCGTTCCACCGGTGCTGGTGCGCTTTCCGTCTGGACTCACAACCTCAACAATGTTGAGTATCAGGACTACTCCGACGCTTACTACACCGGCCCTGCCTTCAAGGTCGGTGCCGGCACCATGGGTTTCCAGGTAATGGAGGCTGCTCACGCCAAGGGTCTGCTCGTCGTTGGCGGTGAATGCCCTACTGTCGGTATTGCCGGTGGCTACACGCAGGGAGGTGGTCACTCCGCCATGAGTACCGCGTTCGGTCTCAGTGCCGATAACACTCTGCAGTTCGAGGTTGTCACTGCCGATGGCAAGCTGATCACTGCTTCTGCCTGCCAGAACAGTGATCTGTACTGGGCTCTGAGCGGTGGTGGTGCTGGTAATTACGGTGTCGTCGTCTCCATGACCATCAAGGCTCACCAGGATGCCATTGTCGGTGGTGCCAGTCTGCAGTTCACTCGTAGCGGTATCTCCGCCGACCTCTTCTACGAGGCCGTTGCTCAATTCCACCAGCTTCTCCCGGCCATGATTGATACCGGTGCTACCGTCATCTACGATATGACCAACACCTTCTTCGTCATCAACCCCGTCACCGGTTACAACATGACCTCCGCCCAGGTCACCGCTCTTCTGACCCCCTTCACCAACGCTCTCACCAACATGGGTATTCAGTACAAGTTGGGTGTGACTCAGTTCGACAACTACTACGAGCACTACCAGAACTACATGGGTCCCCTTCCCTGGGGTAACCTCGACGTCGCCACCTACCAGTATGGCGGTCGTCTCATCCCCCGCGACACCCTTGAGAACAACTACAACGGCCTGGCCGCTGCTCTCCGCAACATCACCGAGTCCGGTGTCATTGCCGTCGGTGTTGGCATGAACGTTACTGCCCAGGGTGGTCGCAACGCGATCTTCCCCGCTCTCCGCAACGCCGCCATCACCATGCAGATCGGTACCCCTTGGAACGAGACCGCTCCTCGCTCCCAGATGGTCGCCGAGCAGATGAAGATCACCGACCAATACGTTCCCCAGCTCGAGGCCGTCACTCCCGGTAGCGGTTGCTACCAGAACGAGGCCAACTTCCGCCAGCCCAACTGGCAGGAGACCTTCTTCGGTGTCAACTACAACCCCCTGTTGAAGGTGAAGAACACTTATGATCCCAAATCATTCTTCTATGCCCTCAAGGCTGTTGGCAGTGATGTTTGGACTGTGTCTGAGTCTGGCCGTATGTGCCGTGCTTAAAAAAAGACGAAAAACGACAAACGAAATAAAAAAAACACAAAGGGAAGAAACAAACCCGATCTCCGCCGATTGATTTCCCCCTCGTCTTTTTCTCTTCTCACTTTTTTCCCCCCCCATTTCGAGTCGCATCTAGATGCATCATTTCATGACTTCCATTTGCATAGCGGGATGCTGCTCGAAGCTATGATATAGATTTTTCTTGCCCTCTCCCTGTTTTTTTTTTCTCTCTGTCATGTCAACATATCTCGATCCCCCAAATCAGTACATATGATGAAATAGACCTATTAATATCAACGATCCTTCCATGAACAACCCCCGACTAAGTCAATCCTTCAAAATGACCTCTCTACATCTCACACCTCATCGCTCGTTTCCTCCCCCCTCAAAAACCACTAACAAAAAAAAAAAAAAAAAAACAAGAACATGAGATACATCCTCCACAAACCCAAACACCCCAAATGGACATCCCCCGTCCTCTTCTCCATCAAGAACCACGACGCTCACAAGAAAACACCCGACGAACCATATTCTCTCCCTCCAGCTTCAAATTGACTCGGATCATCCAGTGAGAACTTGAAGACCGGCCCCAATAAGGTCCTTTGAAGTTCGCTCTACCCGTGCCAAGCTTACGGTATGCTTGCAAGTTGCAACGAACCAATGGATCGTGGAATGATGGAACACTCTATTAATCTACTTTATGTCGAGTCGGCTCTTTTTTTTGGTTTTTTTTTCTTTTTTTTTTGGTTTCGGGAGTTCGTTTTGGGTTGGGAGGAGGGTTTGAAAAAAAAGGGAGAAGAACAAAGCCTGAAAAAAAAACACTTTCTTAGAGAGATTGGCTAGGTAGGTAGGTAGGTAGGTAGGTCAAGAGAAAGACAATCTCCAGTGTCACGAAGAAGAGTGATCGCGACACTTGGTCAAGACGGGAATTAATCACCAAGACGAGGATTCCACGAGATGGCCATTTCCAGCCATGCTTTTAAAATCCAGTTATCAGGACAAGCCTACACGGGTCCAAGGTAGATACAGACATAGATAGGTACACCGTTGGGACCGTACTTGGTCGACTCACTTCCAGATACCTGGGTGTGGTTCCAAGGTCCGAAGATGGCAAGATGCACTATGCAAGTAGTGACACTTGAAGATTGATTGAGCAAGGAAATGTATCAGTCTATTTCGATATGTCATTGTAGGCAAGGTAGGAAGGGGCGTTCTCAGGGTAACGTCAAAGTGAGAAAAAAAAAAGGATGCCAGAGACGAGGGTACTAGAGAAGAACGGAAGAAAAAGACAGAGAGTTCTCAGCTCTCGCACATTATTTCCCCAAAGAACAAAAAACGAGAAGATGATCGAGGACACAAAAAAGAGCTCAAGGCTCAAGGCGAGCAGATAATTTTCCACAAATCTTCAGAATGAGCAAATGAAAAACGTTATCCAATCATTAATTAACCAGAAAGAAAAACATAAAAAAAAATGAATAGAAACAAAATAAAAAAAAGGAATACCATTTCGCCACGTCCATGTCATGTCATGAGAGCTTCTAAATCAAAAGGAAAATATGTCGGGTAGAGAAGAACCAAAAACTAAGCAGTCTGTTCCGAGGTGACGCTGCCGTTGGTCGAATTAGATGCATCCACGGCAAGTTTCTGGGCTTGGAATTTGTCGGTAGATTGGTTGGAAATCCGAGTCAATTCGGTCACGAAGGATTGTCCCCAGAATGCGCTATATACGAGTTAGCACCCCCGAAGAAAAAAAAAAGGGTCGGTCATACATTGTCACCTTTTCGGTGACATGCGGATGATCATACCTGGTGTATTTGGAAACGTATTTGTCGAGCTTGGCAAAGTTCAGCGCCCGCTGCTCGTCGCTCATGGTGACCGCCTCCTGATAGGCACCCGCCAGCTCTTCCGTGTTCCAAGGGTTCACAATGATACTGCCGTTCAAGCTTTGCGCGGCACCCGCAAACTCAGAAAGCACCAGGCTGCCATGACGCTTTCGCTGAGTCGCAATGTACTCGTATGCGACCAGGTTCATGCCGTCCCGGGTGGAGGAGACAATGCAGGCGTCGGAGACGGCGTACAGGGCAATCAACTCGTCAAAGTTGACCGACTTGTGCAGGAAGTGAATAGGCATAAACTCGACCGTGCCGAATTTGCCGTTAATGCGACCCACTAACTCATTGACGACGGCGCGCAGGTTCTGGTACTCTTCGACATCCTGACGACTGGGCACGGCGACTTGCACCAGGACGACCTTGCCGACCCACTCGGGATGATCACTGAGGAAGACCTCAAGGGCGTGCAGCTTCTGGGGCACACCTTTGATGTAGTCGAGTCGGTCCACCCCGACCATGAGCTTGACGCCCTTGAATTTTTCTTCCAACATGGCAATACGTTTTTGCACCTTTTCCTTCTTGAGACCCTCGGCGAACTTCTCGGGATCGATTCCGATCGGGAAAGCGCCACAGGTGATGATCTTGCCCTGGAACTCAATTCCGTTGGGAGTAGTTGCCAGTCCACTAGAACAGGAAGAGAATGAAGTCGAGATCAGACCTTGATTCTAGAGGGGAAAAGGGGGGTGACTTGCACGGGTGATCAAGAACTCACAGTAGTCGGGAGCAACTGCTCAGGAAGTGGCGGGTGTAGTCGTACGTGTGGAAACCGATCAGGTCGCAGTGCAACACGCCCAGGAGCAGTTCATTGCGCACGGGGAGGATTCGGTAGATTTCACTGCTGGGGAATGGGGTGTGGAGGAAGAAACCGATCTTGATGTTCTTCTTGGAATCACCAATCTCTTCGCGCAGCATCTGCGGTAGGAGCATGAGATGATAGTCGTGCACCCAGATCAAATCGCCGTCCCGGACTTCTTTGGCGATGGCCTTGGCGAAGAGTCGGTTGGCTTCCTTGTATGCCTCCCAGGCGGACTCGTCAAAGGTGATCTCACCGGGGTGGTAATGGAAGAGGGGCCACAGAATGGAATCTAGGTGCAGCGAGCGTAGACACCGTCATTGTTAGTCCAAGTTCTCATGATTATCATCATCATCGTCATCATCATTACAATTCAACTCTGCCACGGAGTGGAGCGCGCGCGATCTCGCCGACACCTCGGAGGGGCATGAACTCACTTGAAAATCCGTTGTAGTGGCGGTCCGCCAGCTCATCGTCAATAAAGACGGGCACGGCACCATACTCGTCCTTCAGACGCTTGGTGACCGTGGGGATCTCGGCCTCGGGCACCTCCAGACCAGGCCAACCATACCATTGAAAGGTGGTGGATTTGGACAGACCGCTCAATCCACTGACCAAGCCACCGGAGGACATGGAGAAATCATATTTGCCATCTTCTGAGCGCTTGATGGTGATGGGGAGACGGTTCGAGACGAGCAGCAAACGTGCGTCATTTGGCTTGGGATCCTCGGCGGACGACATGGCGGAGAGATGGGGGGTGGGGGGGGACAGAGAGAGAGAGAGAGAGAGAGAGAGAGTGAGAGTGATGGATGAGTATTGCGCGCGCGAGAGTGGGGAAAGAGAGGGGCTGTCCGTCAAGTCGAGCGGAAATTCCTTGCGCCGGTCGCAGGGGCAGCGGCGAAGAAGAGGAGGAGAAGGTATTGCCAGGTGGGAGCGTACGGTCACGTCCAGAGGTGACTGCGTGGAGGGAATTGGTGTGGAAGAGGGAGAGAGAGAGAGGGAGAGAGAGAGAGAAAGAGGGAGGTGTGTCGAGTGTTTTGGAAGACACTAGAAAATTGGAGGTGTGATGGTTTTTTCTTGAAGCTGGAAACGGTCAACTGCAGATCTCAAATTAGCACGAAGCTAGTTTTCGGGTGCCCCGCCTCAGCCAAGTAATCGTCGGCAGTAACATCATCATCATCATCATCATCATCATTCATCATCACCGACACCAAACAGCACCCGACGCCATGGCTTGTCCATTGATCGCACTCTATGGAGGAATACACTTACCGTTGAAATGCTGCCTGCTCACCTGGTCGGCGGTTGAAGTTTTAATCTGCGACCAAACACACCCAAGAGTGTCGGCTTCAACGGTTCACAAGCAGAGAGGGTCTAGACCGTCGCGGCAGAGAAGGCAGATCAATGGAAACAGAGCACAGCGGAGCACAGCGGAGCACAGCGGAGCACAAGCCGTAGCCGATGAGTTGTTGGTCAGAATCTTGGGGGGTTCACGATGTCAAGAAGCTCGCAATTCGAGTGGGGGTGGATAAAGAAGAAGAGGAGGAGGAGGAGGAGGAGGAGGAAGAAGAAGAAGAGAGACAGAGAGAGAGAGAGAGAGAGAAAGGAAAGAGGGACGAAGAGACTATCTCGGGGTTGGGTCTTTGGGGAGGTGAGGTCAGGGTTGACTCAATGGAACCATGCGATACTCGGGATGAGATTGTGATGATGCTAGTGATAATAGTGATGATTATGCGTCTGATTATATATGACGATCGATTAATGAGGAATTCCCATTACGGATACTAGACCTGAACCTGGACGGGGACCTGAGTTTTTCGCTGGTCTCCGGCCGTTTGGAACCGGTCGAAACAACTTGGAACGTGGATTGTCCACCACGGATGGTGGAGCGGAGACCCTTGTTTTTTTCTATCCTATGCTTTGGGTGAAGGCAGAGGCTCTTCCCGGCTGCCCATCATCAGAGGGGATGGAGATGAGAGGACCCGAACAAAGAAGAACCAGACGCGTAGAGAGACGGGGAGAAAAGTCAGTGTAGATGAGGGGCAGAGGTTGAGGAGTGGAAGAGGGGAAAAAAGCCAACAAGGAGAGAGAGAGAGAGAGAGAGAGAGAGAGAGAGAGAGAGAGAGAGAGAGGAAAAAAGAGCGTCTCAGCCAAGGCGTTCAGCCACACGTGAACAGGTGGCCAGGTGGACGGATGAATAACCTTCTCCTCCTTGTTTCCCTCCGCGCTATTCGGTCCTCATCTTTTCTATCGTTGACGCCGGGGTACCTGACCGGGGGGAAGTTGGGCACTCGGTGGACCAAACTTTCTGAAATTCAACTGAGCAGGCTCAGGCTCCGCCTCTCCTGCGAGAGGAGTCTAGTCAGGGTACTATCATACGAAGTCCCAAGAGTACACGAGAGTCTGGACCGGGAGTCACCAGGACAGTAGGAGGACTCACTGAAGATGGAGATCAATAGCCATCCCAACGCACATCCACATGTCCCGCAGGCACCCTTGCGAAGACGGGGTTTGGCCGAAAGAGGAAATCCAACGCCTCGGCCTCGCCCGGACCCGGGCACGTTGTGCACGTTGTTCCACGAAGCATCTCGAGTCGTCGAGTCGAGTCGCTGGGCACCGTCGATCCGTCAAGGTGACGGCAAGTACCTATACCTACTTACCTAGACTGAGACTCGGATGATCGAGATGAGTTAGTTACTACTAGTTAACAGTTACTACTAGTAGATATACGAGATACGAGAGTAGAACGACCTGGACACTACTAGACTCAGACGGAAGACGAGCACGGAGGTCTGGAGGTACCACCGTATCGCACATGAACTTCTCCAGTGCTCTCCGAGAAAGATCACCATCGAGCATCACCAGAAAGATCACCATCGAGCATCACCGGAAAGATCACCATCGAGCATCACCAGAAAGATCACCATCGAGCATCACCGGAAAGATCACCATCGAGCATCACCAGAAAGATCACCATCGAGCATCACCGGAAAGATCACCGTCGAGCATCACCGGAAAGATCACCATCGAGCATCACCGGAAAGATCACCGTCGAGCATCACCGGAAAGATCACCATCGAGCATCACCGGAAAGATCACCGTCGAGCATCACCGGCATTTGACCCGTCAGGCCTCAGTCAATCGACCTTGCCCATCATAAGAAGTAGTAGTAGTAGTAGTAGTAGTAGTAGTAGTAGTAGTAGTAGTAGTAGTAGTAGTAGTAGTAGTAGTAGTAGTAGTAGTAGTAGTACTACTACTACTATTTTAGTGAGTATTCAGTAGTACTAACTTTGTACTTTTATACTACGAGTTTCATCCGGCCTTGACCGGCATGTATCGATACCGTCTATATTACTCAATAAGTGAATACTTAATACTCCATGCCATGGCTATCCAAGATCACTCCCGACCCAATCTATCATCAGCTGTGCCATGGACGTCTCCCATCCACGACAAGAGTGTCAACTGTCAACTGTCAACTGTCAACTGTCACCTTGTTCACTGGCTCGTCGGTCTAGATCCAAGGTGCAATCTGCATCCTTCCATGCGATTCTCATATACTCGGCCCCTGGACCGGGACCGGGACCGGGGGACGGGGAGCTCCTCGTCTCCGGGCAGGCTGGCGCCAGTCCCGGGCGGTTATTCGCTGGCCTGTCAAGCCGTTTGGGCACATTCAACCGGATTCAGGATGAGGACGGTCGACTTGGTTGTCATGTTCGACATGGACCGGAGAAGGAGGGTAAGTCAAAGTATTACTGGGTCGAGGAGAGTGATCAACACTGACATCAGAATCACAGACTGCGGTACGAAGCCACCGGGACGAGTGGTGTTTCTGGAACTACTGGATCAGGTACTGGTGGACTGGGGTTATAGGTAAGGTAGTCCGTGAACCACTCTAGTCAAGAGTCACTCCTCAACTCACTAGTGTATAGTTATACACACAGTGTCAACTCACCGAGAAAGTCACACTCTACCAAAAGCTGGGGACCAACGCATCAGGCCATCAATGACAACTCGACAATCAGCACCAGAACATTGATCATAATAAACTCAACGATGAATTCTGCCGAGCCCGACAATTCAAGGACGACCGACTCGGAACCGAGTGTGGCTCAAGCAGACCCTGATTGGTGTGTGTCTCGTTCCAGCCTGTCGGTCAGGATGCCGCGTGGAACAGAGCGATCAGCCAAGAACCACGTACACTGTCCATGTCTGCATGGTATGCCCCACGGAGGAGGACAAGAAACCCTTGGAGAGTACAGTAGTAAAGACTCAACAGAGTCAAGAGCAAGACTAGCCACTTTACTTACGTTGCCCATGGTCATACCCTACATGACTACATGGAGATTATGCACCAGATTCCAAGTCAGCAGACTCACCATCCCATCAGGCATGACAAAACTCAAAAAACCGGGATAAATAGACCCGAACTGGGCGTGACGGGTCTTGGCGAAAGGGCTTTTTCTTTCGCCGTTTTTCTCGGATTACTTGGTTGGACTGGACTGGACTGGACTATATACCTTACCTGGATACCTGGACAACTGGGCGATCTTCCTGGTCGGACAGCATGCATATGAGCCGCAGAGGGCAACAGAGTAGTAGTCGAGGGGAACAATCACAATAATCACAACTGAGAAGAAGAAGAGGGAACAAGAATGACCGCCTCCTGACGTCGACTTGAGTTCATCAGAACCCGACGGGAAGGATGGGTCGTTTCGGGAGAGGTGGAGCAAAGGCATTCAAGCACCCGCAGCCAGGGAGTCATGGCTCAGCACTCAGCATTCATCACTCAGCACTCCAGCCCGGAGGAGCTACCACCAACCATACATGGCGCTTGACTTGTCGAGGACCCGTCAAGGAGACATCAAATGAAGGCGGGGGGTAGGAACGGTCTACTCCTCGACTCGGTCGTCGAGACGTCCTCTGTACCCGTTTGAAAAGGATGCGCCTGGATCAGAAGCCATCCAGTAGACAGCATGAACCCCTAAAATATGTATCGACTCGTGGAGAATTGACTGCAGCCTGTCACTCATGCCTTGAATACCTTGCCGGACTGCAGACCTACAATGATCTCCATCGGTGAATTGATTGTCCGAGTGTTATCATGCGTGGAATGCATATCCGAGACCTTGCATACCTATTGGATGTGACCTACGGTACTCTCGAACGTCCGAAAGCTGTGAGCTACTATGAGTATGGAGTTATACTATAGCGGAGGTGAGTAGTGCTAGCCTACTAGGAGCCTCAGAGCTTAACCTTCATGTTTAGAAAAGTACTCCTATAGCGTACTGCCCTAAGGAATGTAGGTAATTCTAGCAAGGCCGATCGTCCAGTCCAGTCCAGTAGGTAGGTGATCAAAGCAGAGTACCTCTAAACCAGACCTATCTATGAGCACACCCAAGGCCCCATCTGAGGTCACCACCCGGTCACGCAGTTACAATCACAATCTCTTCAGCGCATTGGCTCAGATAATCAGGTGAAGAAGCATGTTACTTACTTCGAGCATCTGCATTCATACGTCGGCTGCTACCTATGCACAGGGCTGGACACGTCGAGATCTCACCTCACCTCGCCGTTGAGGTATAACTCCACTGCACGAACAGTATGTAGTATGTACTATGGACCTCGGGCAAAGTGCGTCCGCGTTCAGCTGCGGCTATATCACAGGGTACTTTTCTCCCCCACCAGCCTCCATGCCCCCGATTCATCCTGCACCGTCTTCCCTTCTTCCTGCAACTTCTCCAACACCAAAGAGATCCCATGCGATGCCGGGAGATGCAAAGTCTCCGGCACTCCCACGTAGATCGTCTGCACCAGCTGCAGTGGGGTCCACGCACGACGAGACTCGGGCTCGGTGTCGGTGCTCCTCCTCCCCGAGGGCACCTCGAGTTGACCGTAGCGCAGCACGCGAATCACTTCATCTTCGCGCTGTTGTCGATGCTGAATATACTCTTGGATGCGTGCCGGCGCGTTCTCGACAACCGCGCCGTGGCCGGGGTATCCGCGGCCGCGAACGCGTTCGCGCATGCGATGCAGACTCGCCAGATAGGTGCGGAGATTTTCAAACACGGCGGTGCCGTGGCCGAGGACATCTACCGAGAGTTGAGCCAAGACGTTTTCACTTCTTCTCGATGGGTCATCCAAGTATGTAGAAGAGCCGGACCCGTGACAAAAAAGATGGATGAAAAAGAGACAAAAACAGGCCGGGGGAGAGGCGATGGTTCACTCACTATCACCGGTAAACATGGCGTCCTCTTCCTCGAGCACAAACGCCATATGATCCTCCGTGTGGCCCGGCGTGAACAAGGCTTTCAGAGTGGCCCCCTCGACGCCAAATACCTGACCGTCCACGATGGTCGCGTAATCCTGCTCCAGGTCCGTGGGGCATTTGAATACCTGAACTTGGGGACAGAGCCGTTGCAGATCAGCCACGCCCCCGACATGGTCCCCGTGCCAGTGAGTCAAGAGAGCCTGGTGTACTGTGGCGTTTTCGTCGGTCAGCACAGTCTGGAGGTTCTTGGCCCATGCTTCTTCGCCTTGGCCGGTGTCGATGAGGATGCGCTGGTACCCTCGGCCAACGAGGTATGTGTTTGTGCCTGTGATGGTGGTTGGTATCAGACGGACAATCTGTCATTCATTCCGTGGACAAACTGCAAAATACAGAGATGAGGTAGGTACCTTGTAAAGTAAACTATAAGACCAAAGAGCTAGAAAGAGCAGGAGACAAAAGGGCGCCGAAGCACCCTCTTGCCCACTCTCATCCCGACTCAACAGTCAGTCACTCTCATCACTCATCAGCCTGTACACAGGCACAATCCATATCATGCGCCGGATTTCGCGCAGTCTCTATACGCACCTTGCCCGGATTGGCACCCAGGATTCGAATCACCGAAGCGCTCAGTCGTTCAACCTCCGGAAGAGCCACCAGCTGCGTCGCCATTGCGGATGAACACGTGCTTCAAGGCTTGTACCCCAGCGTGATCTTCCCTACGCCAGACACAATCAGACGGCTAGATGAGCTCAGCCCTTCTCCCTTGAACCATACAATGAGCTTTGAGAAGAGAGGCAAAAAGAACCCGGTCAGTTCCAAAGTCAAGATTGAATCGATCAAGCCGAGAGCAGCGCTCTACTATCTCGAACCCCCGAAGTGAGCCAGACACTGTGAAGATCAATGTCAAGACCACCGACGGAGTCTCAATCGTACATACGTAGATCTGTGCACGCTTCGCCGCGGCGTTCACCCTCTTTTTAAAGATGCAAGCCTCACCCGCGGGGTAGAAAGGACCGGGCCTCGGTAGATTAGCTCAGCCTCCATGATCCGGTACCTTACCTCTCAACTGAACCAGGTACGAGACCTTGTGGTGCACCAAACCCAATACCTCACGAGTGTTGGGGCGAGAGCCAGTGTGAGCCTTCAACCTCCATGAAGTGAGAAATAAGCTGACCCAAGTAAGAAATATGTGCCGCTCGATGTCTGGGCAGGATCAGGATTACGCCAGATTTGGACCTACCGATCCGCAAACTCGTCCAGGCGGATTCTGGGCCCAGCTGTGTTGCGCTATACTACTAGCAGGATGGGAAAATTCTGGATAAAACACGAAAGAAAAAATTCAACTGTATGCATGCTATCCTGGAAGACATACGGAAACATCGTGGTGAGAGAAATCAGATAAGATTATATCCAATGAGCCCACCCAAACAGGAATCGGGAATCCAACGCAAGGCCTGAGGCCGGGAAAAAGAAAAAGACAATAGGTCATGATAAAGTGTTTTTCTTCCAAGAAAGCACAACTCCTTCGTACCGGGCTCAAGAAAAAAAAAGTGAGTAAGAGACTAGCATGCATACACACACACACGAGAGACAGCGTAGTAAGGGGGATAGAAGCAGTCTGTTGGTGGGTTTTCCGATAGCCAGCTATGTTCGCTCTCTTATTCGGAAGACGCTAAGCACATCAAGAGAATGTATTGTACATTCAATTCGAAACCACGAGAAGGGAGGGTGAGGTGGCTCCGATTACTCGCGAGATCAAAAGGGGGAGATCATGTAGGAGAGAGTGTGTGAGAAGGAGGGAGAAATGAGGTATTAGAGTGAATCCCCATTTAGTTGCCAGCCTTGCGGGCCATGGTGTTCAGGGCGGAACCGTCGTGGAACCACTCGATCTGAGACTCGTTGAAGGTGTGGCTGAGGGAGACGTCGAAGGCGGCGCTGCCGTCGGCGGGGTGGACACGGAGGGTCATGGGCTTGCCAACGGCGAGCTCAGTGCACATCAGGTCAACCTTGTCATCGGGGCGGATCTTCTCGTAGTCGGCGGGGTCGGTGAAGGTGAGGGGAAGCATACCCTGCTTCTTCAGGTTGGTCTCGTGGATACGAGCGAAGGAGCGGGTGATGATGGCGAGACCACCGAGGTGACGGGGCTCCAGAGCAGCGTGCTCACGGGAAGAACCCTCGCCGTAGTTCCAGTCACCAATGACGACCCACTGGACACCGCGAGCCTTGTAGTCACGGGCAGTGGCGGGGACGGCGTCGTACTTGCCAGTGAAGGCGTTCTTGACCTTGTTGGCCTCACCGTTCTCCTCGTTGATGGCACCGATCAACATGTTGTTGGAGATGTTGTCCAAGTGACCACGGTACTTCAACCAGGGGCCAGCCATGGAGATGTGGTCAGTGGTGGTCTTGCCCTGGCACTTGATCAGGATGGGGATGTTCTCGGCGTTCTTGCCGTCCCACTTGGAGAAACCAGCAAGGACCTGGAGACGGTCACTGGTGGGGGAGACAGCAACGTTGACGGAGCTGCGGTCGGCGGGGGGAGCCTGGTAGGTGTTCTGGCCGGGGTCGTAGCCACGCTCGGGCAGACCGTCACCAGTGGGGGGCTTGAGCATGAACTCCTTGCCGTTGGCATCCTTCAGCTTATCGACGAGAGGGTTGAAGTTGAGGGTACCGGCAACGGTCATGGCAACAACGATGTCGGGGGAGGCGACAAAGGCGTGGGTGGCAGGGTTAGCGTCGTTACGGCCAGTGAAGTTACGGTTGTAGGAAGAAATGATGGAGTTTGCCTCGCCCTTCTTGACGTCCTTGCGGTCCCACTGACCAATGCAGGGACCACAGGCGTTAGCAAGGATGACACCGCCGTACTCCTCCATGGTGGCCATCTGACCGTCACGCTCAATGGTGGCGCGAATCTGCTCGGAACCGGGGGTGATGGTGAACAGAGACTTGGACTTGAGGCCGTGGTCGAGAGCATCGCGCGCGATGGAAGCGGCACGGGACATATCCTCGTAGGAGGAGTTGGTGCAAGAACCGATCAGACCAACCTTGAGCTCCTCAGGCCACTTGTTGGCCTTGACAGCCTCCTTGAACTGGGAGATGGGGGTAGCAAGATCGGGGGTGAAGGGACCGTTGATGTGAGGCTCGAGCTCCGACAGGTTGATCTCGATGAGCTGGTCGTATTCGGCACCCTCATCCTCACGGAGCTGGGCAGCGTAGTCACGGGAGAAGTCACCGATGTTCTGACGCTTGGTGGCCTTCAGGTAATCGTACATGCGGTCATTGAAGGGGAAGATGGAGGTGGTGGCACCAATCTCAGCACCCATGTTACAGATGGTACCCATACCAGTGCAGGACAGGGAGTTGACACCGGGTCCGTGGTACTCAATGATGGCACCAGTACCACCCTTGACGGTGAGGAGACCAGCCACCTTCAGGATGATATCCTTGGGGGTGGTCCAGCCAGACATCTGACCAGTCAGACGGACACCGATGACCTTGGGGGCCTTGAGCTCCCAGGGGAGACCAGCCATGACATCGACAGCATCAGCACCACCGACACCGATGGCAGCCATACCGAGACCACCGGCGTTGGGAGTGTGAGAGTCAGTACCGATCATCAGACCACCGGGGAAAGCGTAGTTCTCCAAAACGATCTGGTGAATGATACCGGAACCGGGCTTCCAGAAACCGATGTTGTACTTGGCGGTGGCGGAGGCAAGGAAGTCGTAAACCTCCTTGTTGATCTCGTTGGCACGAGCCAAATCCTTCTCACCACCAACCTGGGCTTCAATCAAGTGGTCACAGTGGACGGTGGTAGGGGTCTGAACAGAGGGCATGCCAGCGGACATGAACTGGAGGATAGCCATCTGGGCAGTAGCGTCCTGGCAAGCAACACGGTCGGGGCGCAGCTTCAGGTAGGAAGTACCGCGCTCAATCTCCTGACCGTGGGGGTCGTCAAGGTGAGAGTACAGGACCTTCTCGGCGTAGGTGAGAGGGCGCTGCAGGCGACCACGAACGATGTCGAGGTTCTCGGACATCTTCTTGTAGTTGATGTAGTTGCCCTTCTCGTGGATGGTCATCTCGACCTTCTTGTCCAGAGCATCGTTGTTGACGGTAGCAAAGGCCCGAGTTCCGCTGAGCTGGATTGGGAAAAAATTGCTCATGTTAGTACCTGGGGGGGAAAGTCATCATGCATCTTGTCGTCATGCCACGTTTTGCTCCCCGAATGAGGGTGGGAACGCATTTTCGCGGTGACGACCGAGGAGAATCGACTGCTTACAAGGCGGAACTTAGGGGCCTGTGAATGGATCAGTTAGCGATGCTGTTGACTCGATCACATATGTATCTGTCTCAAGGGGGTTTTCTCGGGGCTTGCAAGTGAGCGATGTCCGTGTGGTGAACATCGTCCCATCGCAAGTCGAGGAAGCCTGGGTTGCGAACTTACCAGCGCACCGGCACGCGCAAGGCGAGTAGAAATCATGATGGAAAGCTTTCTCTAAAACGAGACAGCACAACGCATCCAAATGTAAGCAACCACCTTCACCTGTGGAAGCAAGAAAGAGAGGAGAATGGGGAGAGGAAAAGAAGGAAGAGAAAAAAGGGAAGCTTGGTGGTTTTGAGTGGGCGACAGAATTCGACTGGGACCGAAGAGCCGTAACCGCTGTTACCATGGCGATACGTGTCATACGGTAACAATACTCGGTGTTCCGCCGTTTGCTAGCCACAGCAGGGAAGACTGGAGAGGCTGGGGGAAGTGGAGCAACTGTCGAGCTGAATTTGAGTCTCTGGCAGACTAAAGTACATTATAACGATTGTACCAGTCTGTCCGGTTGACACATAGTCACGACTCACCACTGAATAGTGTAGTCGGGTGGTTCTGATGTGCTCTCGAGAAAGTCAATTGTCTCTATAATTCCACTACTTATATCGGGGCTCTCGAATAGGCCTACACCTCTCATGAGAAGCTAAGCACAGTAACACTGAAGTCAAGCCCAGCCACACCCATCATCCGCGGCAAAGCTGGCAGCTGTCAACAAAATGGACTCTGGATTATGGATTCTGGACAGTTGAGCATGGCATCTTGGAAAGAAAGTTGAAAGACCAGATTGATATCGGCCATGGCAATACACGGCATGTGATGGGGCCTGGACGCTGGCGTCCTCTTGGCCGTCCAATCACTGAATTGACAATTACACGCGTGGGACACACCAACCCCAGAAAGGCAAGATCCGGTGCCAGGGCCAAAGAGCAACGGACTGCGGACTGAAGGACGGGTCGTCGGATACTGTAAAATCGTGGGCGAAAAAATAGGTAAATGACACCGTGGACGGAGAGGAATGTGCAGTTGTACATTCAACATTGTACTACTGAATCACGGATATTCTTGTATGAGAGGTATCGAACTCGGCCTGTCCTCCGTAAGGCTGCTCCTTGGTTCCCCAGACTCTCAGTCGCCGGAAAGTCAGGATATGTACACCGAGGCTTGGATTGACGGGCGGTCTTCTGCAGCTTGAAAAGACGTGCCGGTGACCGCGAAGGTCTTAAATGGAGCCATTGGCTATTCTGGTCTACTGCAATAGCAGTCTCTATTCCGAGAGTCAACTCGAGTGCTGTCCACAGAGTTGTCCGTGTCTATCACACTTGGTCTCATCGAGAGACAATCCGGCGCAGTCCTCCTTGTTGACATCAAAGATGGCCGCAACAAGAACTGCGGAGCAGCATGCCGCGATGCAAACGTCATAAGTTACTCATTTCGAGGAGGACACTCGATACCGTCAGGAATACCAAGAATTACAGGACCACGTCCCGTAACCCGGTGACCACCCCCAGCTGAGCCGAGGCGTGCCGACTGCGTGTTCCGCTGCGGCCCAGCGGTCGACCGCCAATCAAACCCGAGGTGTTTCGAAGGTCTCTTTTCCAGTCCGTTCCCCCTCAGTGGTGCCCACGGCCCACAAACCGAAGCGGACAACGATTTCGAATCTCAAACCTCGAGCCCTTTGGCCCCAGCTGCCCCTTGTGCTCCACTTGGGCTCACAAGTTACATCCGCAATCGGCACTAACGGGTTTTTTCCTCTCCATCACTCCAACGACGACCATTTGGAGATACTAGCAGCCCGAACTTCAAGATGGGTGCTCTTCGTAGAATCAAGACGAAGCGTCGCACAAGGTATGCGCCTGCGGCTGCGTCGATGGCCTTTCCACCTCGATGATGATGAGATCGCTGACCACCTGCGCAGAGATTACGACCAGGTCCTGGCCGACCTTGATTCCCCGCGCCACTTGTCGCAATACAAGGAGACCAAGGATGTCGAGGATCTACCGGGATTAGGACAGCACTATTGCATGGAGTGCTCCAAGTGGTTCGAGAGCGACTACAACCTCAAGGCCCATATGAAGGGCAAGAATCACAAGCGCAGGTGCGTGGCGCCTTGAGTCTCATCCTCTCCCGGTCCGCGCCGGATTGCATTGCGGTCGCTAATCAGTTTATTCTTCATCGTTAGACTTCGTATTCTCAAGGAGGAACCTCACAGCCAGAGAATCGCTGAGGCTGCGGTCGGACTCGGTGCCGCGGATAATGTCCAGCGTCGGCAGGACGACAACGTGGAGATGAAAGATTGAGCTGGACTCTGAACTCTCCAAAATTTCACCACAGCTCTCGCCTGCCCAGAGGAGATGGCCCTCTAGCTACGGTCTCTTGCTATGAAGACCACTACGGCCTTATACTTGACCGTTGCTGAGCCCACAAAATCATGCGCCATGAGTTCTATTTCTCAATGCTTGCATCCCGCTCCACGACTTTTCTTTTTTTTTTTTTTTTTTTTGGCGCTGGTGGCCAACTTAGTGTCACGTGATATCTGTCGATAGATGTGCCGATGCCCGGCGATTTTCACCTGTCTCCCGGCCGATGGATCCATGGATGGAAAAAGTGCCGGCATCGGCTCGCACCACATGCGCGAAATTTATTTCCTTGCGAACCAGCGTCCGCGGTGATACCGAGTAAATACTAAAGAATGCCCAGACAGGTGTACCAGTTTGCCAGAATCAAGTCTAACCGTAACTGGATTTCGGTCTACAGCATTGTGACAATTGTGGAAATGGTGGTGGTCGCGGGTGCTATACATTGTCACATTCTAAATCCTAAGGTCCATCTTCATGATCTCACACTAGACATACGAACTATTCATCCTTCGACACGTAGATGATTGGTGACTGGCGCTGGCGCACTCGCGGCACTGAATGCCTTCATCAGCCATTCATAGGCAGCCCACTACGATTGAGTATCAGTCTCCTGATTCTGCTCGAAGTTCCATGCATGTGGGGTACCTGGAGAGGAAACGTACCTGAACAGCGTTGACAATAAAGGCTCGAATGCTGCAGATCCCGAGGCCCCGATAAAAGGCACCCACGCCCTCGGCCCGATAGACTTCACGGGCGAGCTGCATGGAATTCAACGTCGGGCGGCAGGCTCGCAACAGGACCTGACCCTCTGCGTTTGCGGAGAGAGGTGGCCTTTCTTGCATCGTCTGCGCCTGCAGACGAGTCTTGATCATGTCCAGGGGAAAGACAGACCCCCAGGTGACAATGCCCGCAATCCCACCGCACAGGAGAATCTTCACAGCGGACTGATGGGCGCTTTCGTTCTCAACTGTCATGAGTCGTTTGCATAGTTCGTAAGACCAGAAGCTGACCATAGGAAAGAGAGTGTGTGTGTCAGTCAATCGTTTGCGCATGACCGGGCGAAGTCAACGGGTGGGGGAATGGACTGGATCCTCGTACTAAAAACCGTAACCGATGGAATCTCGCGCACTGGTGATGGCGCCTCCATAGTACAGGCCTTGCAAGCCTCGAGTACGACAGATGTCTTTGGCGACAGTCCAGGATGAGACTTCCGGGCGAGAATCCAGCTGCGCTCTACACTTAATAAACTCCGTGGGAGAGGAAATGGACCAACTGGCAAGACCGCCTGCGGCGCCAGCTATCCAGATTTTGTAGAGAGGGACGCCGTCTGGATTTGTAGGATCTACTAGACTGCTATCCATTACCTTCAAGGAGCGATTATACGCAACGAACAGCAGAGCATTGAGAGCGCCATAGCCAAGAATTGGTGCGGCCGCGCCTGAAACGTGGGATCGTTAGAAACGTTGGCTTCCGTAGCAATGCGAAGCTCGAAGTTAGATATCTCGAAAATTTCAAGGCGACAACTGACCTCGCACCAGGGACCGAGCTCTCTCAACACGGCTCAGCTGTGATTGGCCGGGTACCTCTCTTGATCGGCCAGCTTGAAGTCGGACTTTGATCACATCCAGAGGATTGCCAATGATGATCCCGAGAGCGCCGCTGATGTATCCAGCCCAGAAATCAGGAGACATGGAGCTTCGATATGTGATGAATGTGCAAATGTCCAACCCCGCGAACTAGTCGGCAACCCCCAACTTGGCTGACTTACTCCATAGCGGGGGGGCCGCCATGATAACAAGGTCACGTGCACACGCGGCACTTTGGTGCTGTAGGCAGACGCGAGGCATGAACGAGGCATGAGCGCGTCGGTGGCGACTCCTCCAACAACATAATATTTTCAACTCTAGCGGACCATTCATGTTCTCACAGGGGGCGAATTGTACAGTTTCGTCTTCCTCGTCCGCTCAGCTCTCGTCATTTACTATCTGTGATGTATGAATCCTCCGATCCCTTTGCCGCGAGCCGAGAGGAAGACTGACTCACATGCGTGACAGGTATCGCCCTCGGCCAGGCGCTACTGCGGACGGCAACGTCAAGACTCCATTACAGCCAAAATCCGTGAATGTGCTGGATCGCCTCATTAAACCCTTCAAATGTCCCGGTTCCGCAACACATACGCGAGTATCCGAAAAACCGGCAAGGAAGAGAAGAAAGGTGAACTATGCAGATGCCGATGGCAGCGTGGAAGATGGTGCCGAAAAAGCGTACACAAATGACGACCGGCTGGCGCTAGCGACTCGAGAAGTGAACAAATTCCCCGTCTTCAAGCCAAAAGACTCCGATACAGCATTCAGACAGAAGTTCAGGATCCCCTTGGTCAACAAGGACACCGGTGAATACAATGCAGGACGAGCAGCTCCTACCCTGGGCATGCGACAAGGTGCCACGTTTGTGGCGAAACCACTGCACGACCCGAGTGGAGAGTTTGCAATCGTTCTATACGACCCGACTGTTGATGATGTTCCTGAAGAAGTCGAATCAAAGGCAGAAGAGTCGAAGGAGTCCGCTGAGCCCAAGTTGGACGAGCCTCTAGTACATAAAAGCCTAGCAGATATATTGGGCATTAAGAAGAAGGTTGAAGGAAGGCCAAAAGTACCTGTTGTTATTGATCCAAGACTCTCAAAGATCTTGCGACCACACCAGGTGGAAGGAGTGAAGGTAGGAGACAGTTTCACCTAAATGACTAGATGCCCGCTGACTTTCTCTACCGGGCAGTTCTTGTACCGTGCTACCACTGGACTGATTGATAAGAATGCAAATGGTTGCATCATGGCAGATGGGATGGGTCTGGGAAAGACAGTAAGTACTTGAAATGTTGTTATTGACAAGGAGCCTGTGGACTGACTATCTTAGTTACAATGCATCTCATTAATGTGGACATTACTCAAACAAGATCCAGAGGCAGGAAGGACGACAATACAGAAATGTGTAATCGCATGTCCATCGAGTCTGGTGGGTAATTGGGCCAATGAGTTGACAAAATGGCTTGGCAAAGATGCTACCACGCCTTTTGCCATTGATGGCAAGGCGTCCAAGGCTGAGCTTATTTCTCAGCTCAAGCAGTGGGCTATTGCGTCGGGGCGGAGTGTCGTCAGACCCGTGCTCATTGTATCCTACGAGACACTCCGCATGTACGTCGACGTTCTCAAGGATACTTCGATCGGTCTGCTTCTGTGTGACGAGGGACATCGCCTCAAGAATAAAGAGAGTTTGACGTGGATGGCCCTGAACAGTCTCAATGTCAGTCGCCGCGTGATTCTGTCCGGCACGCCTATTCAAAACGATCTGTCGGAGTACTTTGCTTTACTCCACTTTGCCAATCCCAATCTTCTGGGTTCGCAAAATGAGTTCAGAAAGAGATTCGAGATTCCCATTCTTCGTGGCCGAGATGCGGCAGGTACCGAAGAGGACAGAAAACTGGGTGATGAACGCTTGCGAGAGCTGTCCGCCATTGTCAACAAGTTCATCATCCGCCGCACCAACGACATTCTATCCAAGTACTTGCCTGTGAAATACGAGCATGTGGTGTTCTGCAATATGGCGCCTTTTCAATTGGACCTCTACAACCACTTTATCCAGAGTCCTGAGATTCGCAGTCTGCTTCGAGGCAAAGGCAGTCAACCTTTGAAGGCGATTGGAATCTTGAAGAAGCTCTGCAATCACCCCGACCTGCTGAATCTCTCCGAGGATCTTCCAGGCTGTGAGCACGCGTTCCCTGAAGATTATGCGCCTCCGGAAGCCCGTGGGCGTGATCGAGACGTGAAAACCTGGTATTCCGGCAAAATGATGGTGCTGGATCGGATGCTTGCCCGAATCCGACAAGATACGAATGACAAGATTGTGCTCATCAGTAACTACACCCAGACCTTGGATCTTTTCGAAAAGCTTTGTCGATCGCGTGGATATGGCAGTCTCCGATTGGATGGTACCATGAACATCAAGAAGCGAACCAAGCTCGTGGACAAGTTCAATAACCCGGATGGCGAGGAGTTTGTTTTCCTGTTGAGCAGCAAGGCCGGTGGATGCGGTCTCAACCTGATCGGTGCCAACCGGCTGGTGCTATTCGATCCCGATTGGAACCCGGCTGCAGACCAACAAGCCTTGGCTCGTGTCTGGCGTGATGGCCAGAAGAAGGATTGTTTCGTCTACCGATTCATTGCCACAGGGTCGATTGAGGAAAAGATCTTTCAGCGTCAATCTCATAAGCAGTCGCTATCTTCTTGTGTTGTTGACTCTGCCGAGGATGTGGAGCGCCACTTCTCTCTTGAGTCGCTGCGAGAGCTCTTCCAGTTCAAGCCCGAGACTCGCAGTGACACGCATGACACATTCAAGTGTAAGCGCTGTCGCGAAGACGGCACACAATTTGTCAAGGCTCCGGCAATGCTTTATGGAGACACCAGTTCCTGGAATCATTTCGTCAACAATGGGGAGAATGGCCCCTTGGCCAAGATTCAGGACCTGCTCATCCGCCAGGAGACCGGGGAACGGGATGTGTCATCGGTGTTCCAGTACATCAGTCATTAGATAGATAGACATAATAATTCCTGATGCAATGATCATAATGAAGCAGCCTTTATGAAGTCGATATTGATGTTTACGACGCGAAGTGACGCGGAAGAAACCCCACAGTTTGCTTCCTGCAGAACCCCTGCCCTTTCAAGAACTCACAACACGTGCCTCTCTCCTCAGGTGTACGATGCCGCCCTTATAGGTAAAAAGCACCTTTGTATTGACACTTCTATTTGGTGCATCCAGCCCTCATTCAGATCACTTGCGGATGCTCTCTAGTCGAGCGACTTCCCGATTCACCTTGCAGCTTCCAGTCCACTTGGTATATACGCGGCTACGGATATATCTCGAAGCTCGTAAGGTAGCGCGCACTTGGTTTGGAACCTGGGACGAGTGATGCACTGGGCAATAAGTTCCAGTCATCGAGACTGGTCAGAGCTTGCCAATATCCCCACTCGCCTTGACATGATATATACAGTAATTCTCATCCTTTCAGTCATTGAGATCAGCATACGAGCACTTGGTGGCTGCATGCGTGCCTGACGCCGCAAGAGCGATAAGGTTGGACCGCAATCCGGGCGCGCAATCAATGATTGCCGTAGTACCGATACGGAGTTCACACGAGCGCTAGTGAGCTCTAGCTCAAGTGGATTCCACACTGCTCAAAATCCAGATCAACAAACACAAATAACAAGGACCATATCAACCTCCAGTTTCAGACCTAAGTTGTCCGATCGCTTTCCAGATACCATTCTCAGGGGGTCAGCATTGGCTCCGAGACATCTGATTCAGACCAAGTCAAGACTTCCAGCCATTGCTGACTTACGTCATACGCCGCTTTGACTCCTCAGCATCTCCGCGTTGACAACGCACTCCCCCACCTCGGAGCTGTTGATTTGATCGTCACAAGGAACAACTTGAGCACAAAGCCGTTCGAACGTCACAACCTTCTTCTTATACAGCACCTCAGAGCTTGATCGGATCTGTGGTCTGCGACGAGAGGACGCTTGAGCTATACCATTCCCACAATGACCAGTGCCTAGCCGGCGTATTCAATAGTTATCTTCTCCAGATCTTGGAGCGATGGATAACTCAATACAGCGACTACTCAATGACAAGCTCTATGACAAGAGGAAGCAAGGAGCTCTAGAGTAAGAACCGAGCCATGATGATACTTTTATCGCTACACCGCCGCTAACGAACCGTATCGCCTTCAGGTTGGAGAAGATCGTCCGCGATGCCGTTATCAAAGGAGACTCGGAAAGGATTGGAAGGATAGTCGAACAGCTGTGCCACGACTATGCTTATGCTGTACATCAGCCTCACGCTCGAAATGGAGGTCTGATTGGATTGGCAGCTGCCTCGATCGCGCTAGGATCAGTGAGTCACCCTGTGGCTTCGAAACCGACAACCGTCACGAGGTGCTAAATAATGAACCTGTTAGGAAGGAGTTGCACAGTATCTGCGAGAGATTGTACCGCCGGTCCTAGCATGCTTCACCGATCAAGATGCACGAGTGCGCTATTATGCCTGCGAAAGCATGTACAACATCGCCAAGGTGGCCAAGGGTGAAGTTCTTGTCTACTTCAATGAGATTTTCGATGCTCTTTCCAAAGTACACAGACTTACCTAATATTCGCTGTATACTTTCACAGAGGCTAATCATCTGCTTCTAGCTTGCCTCGGACTCAGAACTTTCGGTAAAAAACGGTGCGGAGCTCTTGGATCGACTGGTGAAAGACATTGTGGCTGAATCGGCGGCCTCGTACGTCTCAGTGCTACAGCTGTCAGAGAAAACAGCAGCCGATTCAGAAGATGCAAACGACGATGATCTCCCGACCGCGTTCTCGCTGGCTAAATTCATCCCGCTACTGAAGGAACGAATCCACGTCATCGGCCCATATACACGAAATTTCTTGGTGTCGTGGTTGACACTTCTCGACACCATACCTGATCTTGAGCTGGTCACATTCCTGCCTGAGTTCTTGGAAGGCCTGATCAAATTTCTGGGAGGCCCTCACAAGGAAGTCAATGTTGCCACTCAAGGCCTCTTGGAGAGATTTTTGGGGGAGATCAAAAGAATCACGCGAGTGAAGAAGGGCCTTGAAAAGAGCCAAAAAAGCCAGGAGAGCCGTAGGCGTTCTGTGACGAGCGACACTGTGAGCTCCAAAACGCGGCAGTCGGTTGACAGCAATGGAGCTGATGAGGCGGAGAAAGACGACGTTGCCGTGGACGATTCCGCTGCATCAGATTCCTTATTTGATGAAGAGACGATGCAAGCCGACGGCGATTGGATTCCTGGGCAAGACGTGCAAATAGATTTCCCGAAAATTCTGGATATTCTCGTCACCTTCGTGGACACCTCATATGGTAATTGTGTTCCGCTTCCCTGATCCTCTGCTTACTGTCTGACTCACCAATAATAGAGGAGGAAATGCAACTGACAGCGCTTCGCTGGATCGATGCATTTTTCGAGATCAGTCCCGAAGACATTCTCCCATTTGTCCCTCGGTTATTGACCCAAGTACTTCCGGCAATGTCAAGTGGTGCAGATTCTGTGCGGCAAGCAGCAAATCGCCTGAACAAGTCCTTGCTCGAATACATATATTCTTTATCAGACGACGATATCGAAGAACCCGCTCTTAACCCATCAAAGATTCCTTCCTTCACCAACAGTCGCGACAGCATTGACAGGAAGATGTCAGACATCTCCGCGTTTGACCCTAGAAAGGCGGGGCAGGAGTCTTCAAGGGCTCCAACACCTCGCGACAGTATTATTTCAGCGCCGCCTCAGCCGGTAGACCTCGACTATGCAGCTGCAGTCAACTCCCTTACGCTTCAATTTTTGAACGAGCATGAAGCCACTCGGGTAGCTGCGTTAACTTGGCTGATTATGCTACACCGGAAGGCCCCGCGTAAGGTCGTCGCATTCAACGATGGGACGTTTCCCGCATTGTTGAAAACATTATCCGATCCAGCAGAAGCTGTTGTGACAAAAGATCTGCAATTGTTGTCTCAGATATCGCGGAATAGCGAGGACAGCTATTTCACATCCTTCATGGTCAACCTGTTACAATTGTTCTCGACCGATCGACATCTGCTGGAAGTTCGCGGTAATTTGATCATTCGTCAATTGTGTTTGAATCTGAGTCCAGAACGAATCTATAGGACTCTGGCCGACTGCCTGGAGAAGGAAGAGGTAAGATATGATTACTTCCAGTCAGTAGCGCGATCATGACTAACAAACTATAGGACCTCGAATTTGCTAGCATCATGGTCCAAAATCTGAACAACAACCTTATCACCGCGCCTGAACTATCTGACATGCGAAAGCGATTGAGGAACCTTGACACAAGGGTGCGATATAAATCCTAAGAAACCTGTGACTATGGACTCGGAGAACAAGAACTGACACGGAAACTTAGGATGGACAAATGTTTTTTGTCGCCCTGTTTCGGTCCTGGTGTCACAACGCCGTGTCGACGTTTTCTTTATGTCTCCTTGCGCAGGCTTATGAGCAGGCTTATAACCTCTTGCAAATCTTGTAGGATTAAGCTACTTTTGGTGTCGCAAGTCGTCTACGTTTCTGACCATCACAGTGCTGAACTTGAAATGACCGTCAATATGCTCATCCAGATTGACAAGCTGGTGCAGCTCCTTGAATCACCCGTGTTCACATGTACGGTCACTAGACAAAGTCCTCCTCGCTTATGTACATGCTAACCTCCATAGACCTCCGTCTTCAACTGCTCGAACCCGAAAAATACCCCTACCTGTACAAATGCCTCTACGGTGTCCTCATGCTCCTGCCCCAGAGCTCCGCCTTTGCCGCCCTCAAGAACCGATTAAACAGCGTCAGCAATATCGGTTTTCTCCATGGTGGTCCACGCAGGTACGCAAATGAAGTTCCCACTGTCCTTCCCAAAGGTACTCCTCAATGTCCCAGGCCACACGTACTTATGAGTCACATTAGCACATCTCAAACCACGCCGTCCTTTGACCGCTCTTCCGGAACCCGGCTCAAAAGTCGGGATGATATTCGCTGGACCGAACTCCTCGACAAATTCAAGGCTGTTCAAGAACGAGCACGACGTGCACAGGCTGCCCAACGACACTCAATGGACCCTACTGACTCATTGCAGAATCCTTCGCTCAGTGCCGCGCTATCTGCGGCAACTGCTGAACGGACACGAGACCGACCTGGCATGCCCGATACCTCTCGTGCAGGATTACTCGGTTCTATTGGCACTGGTATGGGCTCCATGACTGGAACCTCCGGTACAGTGGGAAGTATTGCTCGTGGGGTAGCCGAACCCAAGCCATCAGGCTCCTCATCGCTTCTCAGTTCTGCCCACAAACACAAGTCGAGCCTGCCTAACCTGGGCCGTCTAGGCATCGGCGGCCGTAAGTCGAAGAGGTAATGTATCGGATGGAAAGACGGGAGATGCCATCTGATAATGTAACTAGCTTTTTCATCAGTCACTGCAACAACCTAGCGAGCTTTATAAAGCATGGGTACGCCCAAGGCTCCGACTTTTATCAGCCTCCACTGTAGTTGAAAGAATCGTGTCGGCGTCGCCACGCACCACGTTCTATCAGCCTAGTAGATGCTTCTATACATGACTTGACGCTGACCGTGAACGCGCTGAGATTGTGGTTTCCAGGCACTTTCTCGTTCACACATAACGCCCCCCTCTCCCTCTCCATTAATACCGTTACTTCCTTCTCCCTATCTTGCAACCATTCAATCCTCCAAACACTTCTGTTTCCGTACTGGAAGCCCTCCCAACCTAACACCGACACTTCCGATTTGATTGACCTACAGTCATCTACTTACTTTCGCCATCTCCAAACTGCGAAATTCTATAATTTTCGAGTCTCTTACTGGATACTCACATCTAGCCTACCGTCCTCTAGGTATTTACAGATCGTTATCAACCTCAATCCACTTGGTTTATATTTCGTTTGCCCTCGATTTCACACCACTTTGAACCCACTTCACTCCAATCACATACCTATGACAGACCGGCAATCATCCAGCTCACATCATTATGGACCGCCAACTCACCAAGAGCGTCTCGACCCTGAAGATCAATCTCACCGCAGCTCAGCGTGTCCTGTCGTCTTCCGAGTTGCTTAGCCGCATTCTATTCTGGGATGCTCCAAGCCACAAAGCTGAGCTGTGGGAGTACGATTGGATATTCCCTCGAGACCGCTTCATCAAGTACGCCTTGGTCAACTCGATCTGGTTCCACGAAGCAATGCGCTTCGTGTGGTGGAACGGCCTGTCTGTGGCAAAATTGGGCGCGCTCGACAGCATGGCTCCCCTGCGGCGGGCGTTGTACTTGAAGTACGTTGTGCAAGTCAACTTTCACAACGACTCGCGAGGCCAGTTCGCCAGTGTTCAGAACCGAATATGGAGAGGGCTGAGGTTCCCTGCGCTTCGCGTGGCAACCCTCCATGTTCGTCCCGCGCAGCGATTGCTTTCCCTGCCGGAGATTCGCGCTCCGAATCTAGAAAAGCTGACGCTTAAAGTTGTGGCGGCATCAAACCTGCAAGATCCCATCGCTCTTTGCGATGAGCGGACAAGACAGAGACTCACTGCGCGTATCGCGGTAAGTGCTTCCGCGATCACACAAGGACATAAGGTTCATTGTAATCGAGTGATTGAAAATGACAATGGATTATCATCATAGAAAATGTTCCCTCACCTGCGCAAGATGACAATCATGCTGCCACGAGGCACCACATTAAAGCCCAGCGATGTCCAGCATCTCCAGGAATCGCTGCCAGGAGTCGATATCAGCATTGGCTCTGCAGAATTGGAGTATGAACATCGAGGAAACGAATTGTCCCTGGCTTGTGCGAGCGGAGTGTCTCGATAGGAACTGCTTCCACAAGCAAATCTCTCGACGGGAAAGGATACTGTTGCTTATTGTTTTGAGAGAAGGACAGGGTGCCTGACATGATAACTGATGATATCGTTGATTAATGACGTAATGTTCTATTAGCTTCCGATTTTGTACCAGCAGCCACGGCGTTTTGCTCTTTTTGGTAGGCTGCGTAGGTAGTTCTATGCAGAGCCGAAAACTGCACACGGAAAGAGAGTGTAGGTTCTTGCTTTGACATTGAGTCGTTCTGCCTCGCACAGGGAAAGTCACCAATATCAATATCTGATGCCACTGCTCTTAACGCCTAAATTTTATACATGATGCAAGGAGCTCTGCCCGAGAAAACAACAAGATTCACCTCAAGTACACAAAGAAGCTGCCATCAGATTCCTACAAGGCTCTGGAGTCCGTGCGCTCAGTCTCTTTGATCTCCACCGATCCATCCTTTCGAATCTCGGCAACGCTTTGTCGAATGCCCAGAAGCTCTTTGTTCAACGAATCGACTGTGCGTGAGATCTCGGTCTCTGTGGGGGTCGCTTTCCTGACTTCATGTTGATCTGGGCGGATACTGATTCCTCGAGGAGCATCGGCAAGCTCAGTGATCTGACGTTCAGAAAGAATGTCGTTCACTCGAGGCCCACGGGACTGCATGAGAACAGTGGCAGGTCCATCGAATTGCAGGAACAGCTGTAAGGCAAGGGTTAGTCATCGACAACCACAGCTGTGAATGCGACTGGGTAACTCACTCTATCACCCCAGAAGGTCATTCTAGACCATGTCCTGATCCTGTGGAGGATACTCATGGTTTTTTTCCAACCCTGGGAGGCCGAAACGTCACGTACAAGCTTGCTTTTTTGAAGCAGACGTGGGAGGCTTTTTAGGCCAGGGACCTGGAAGCTCAAGGTTGTAGATTTGAAGCGGTAAGGGCGAGGAGGGTCGGAGGACATTGTATAGGCGACAACATTGCTATGCAGAGAGACCAAATCAGTATCAACAAGATCGCTTCTCAAAACCATCTAGCAGAACTCACCTGGGATGCACGATGTATTGTTCGCCCTGTTTCAACTCCACGGAGTAGACCTGGCCCTGGCCTACCAATGCGATCAATCCCCGACCTGTGACCGCCGAGCTTCCCCAGTGCGCCATGCTCTGTATTGCAAAAAAATTAGTCAACCATAGCACTCCTGTGCTCAAGTTCAGAAGACGTACGAGGCTGGTGTCTATCGTTGGCTTGATGGACAAGGACCGGCCCGTCCATGCTAGCAGAGCGCGTCTCTGGGCGACCATCCAGTCTACCGAACCATTGAGGTTGACCACGGCAAATGAAGTTGTTGGGGATCGAACGGATATAAGGGCTGTCACAGGGCTGGCAGAGGAGACCTGGAAAGGTGTGAGCTAGGGCCGTGCAACCACCGATTTCTGCATATTGAGAGATTTACCTTTTGGTATAAGAAAGGCACTCCCAGAGGAGCTCTGCGAAAAGGCTCGAGCACACTCAACGTTGAAACAACCTGGTGCGCCCGTAAGAATTAATGCCCCTTCCGACTCAGAAGTGCTCTGAGATGACATACATTATCTGCCTTGCCGCTCAATCCCACCAACGTTCCACGGCGCGTGTACAGGTTCTGCGAAGCCGACAAGGACACCGAAAGCAATGAGTACGGAGCGCCAACGACGTCGAAGCGTGCATCTATGGCAAATCATTTAGCTGGCTTCCCACAAGACAAAAAATCATTTCGAGTCTCGAGTCAATTTCTCTTACCTCGCGATTCAGCGAAACTGGGTGTGCCGGCCAGAGGCAAGTGGTCGCCGTTGACGGTAGGCTCGGCCGATGGCGTCGCACGAATTTGAACAAATCTGACCTGTCGGTGGACTTTAGGCACAACTCGGGTCCAGGACAGAGTCCGGGCCCCTCGCTGAAGCGCTGGACTCATAGTGTCTGAATGGAAGATGTGGAGCGCAAAGCTTTGTCGGGCTCTACGTCAGTCGTTCCTGGAAGCTCGCAAGGGAAAGCAGGCCGGGAAATTGTGGCGCCGGCACTCGTGGCTGCGGCCAGCGGCGAAGCGGAGATACGACCTAACACCACGCCCGCATTTAATGTTCGATTGCGACATCCTCAACTTGCCTCATTAGAGAGCATTACGCACGACAACGGCGCTTGTTGGTTAAGAGCGGGTCTCACTATTTTCTCGTTACTTTTGATTTCTTCACCTGTGTCTTATCGGTTGGCTTTGTCCCTCTCTATCTGCTGCTCTATTTCCGACTCTCCGCACAAGACCGAGGCTTTCCTTCGAAGCCGGCAGCTCCCACGATCGTCCTTTGAACGGATCCGTCGCAAGAGTACGAGCGCACGCAGTCCCGCTCTGCCACCCTTCAATATGCAACTGTGACCTTGTCAATTGCTTCAGATATCACTGAGTGGTCACATCATCTTGCAATTCGCAGCCATGCTGCTGAGAGCCGCTCGCGCTCCATCTTGGCGCACTGCGCCGCGCACACATCCGAGCTTCGCCAGCCGGCCACCGTGGATGATACCAAAAAATGCCCTGCATCGAAGTATTCGGCTACAATGGTTTCATTCGAGTCGTTTCTGTCAAAACCAGTCGACTGATGGCAAGGATCCTTCCTCTGCTCGGAACAAGGCTCCAACCGCCGTCACCGGCTCCGACGTAGCTGGCGCAGCTTCCTCTGAGAAACCTGGTGGCATTACGGCTAAAACAGCCCCGAAAAAGGATTTATTGAGCGAATCAGCTATCGCGAACAAAGATCAAAGGCGGGCAGACTGGGCTATAATGCGTGAAATGGCCAAATATTTGTGGCCCAAGGTACCAAATTGGCTCCTTCAACCGGCCCATGGTATATAAGGTTGACCACATATGATAGGATGACTGGGGCACCAAGCTCCGAGTTGGCACAGCGCTCTCGCTACTTGTAGGCTCAAAGGTATGTAGACCACAAGGAGGCCCATAGATGTCTGCCCTCTGTCTTACTCTGTCTTACTCTGTCTATCTGATCGAAGTTCGCTGACAGCGCATGTAGGTTCTTAATGTTGAAGTGCCTTTCTACTTCAAGAATATTGTTGACTCGATGAATATCGATTTCGCGACGCTGGGTGGGACGGCGTACACTGTGGCGGGCTCCATGATCATTGCATGTAAGTCATGAGGCTTGAATGACTGTAACGAGCCAATGCTAAAGTTGTTGGAACAGACGGCGCAACCCGCATAGGAGCAACTGTGTTCCAAGAACTTCGTAATGCAGTCTTTGCCAGTGTTGCCCAGAAGGCGATTCGAAAAGTCGCACGGAATGTTTTCAATCACCTCTTACAACTGGATCTCAACTTCCATCTGTCACGTCAAACTGGTGGTCTCACTCGCGCCATCGATCGGGGTACCAAGGGTATTAGCTTTTTGCTCACCTCGATGGTCTTCCACGTTGTACCAACTGCTTTGGAGATTTCTCTCGTCTGCGGAATTTTGGTAAGTTGTTCCACTGCTCCGATTGCCAATGATTGGTGCTCCTGTTTTAGATGACTTTTCTTTGCTCATGCCTCTCCAGACCTACCAGTACGGTTTACAATTTGCAGCCATCACAGCTACTACCATGGTGGCCTACACAGCATTCACGATTACGACCACTGCGTGGCGCACGAAATTCCGACGACAGGCCAACGCCGCCGACAACCGCGGTGCCACCGTTGCTGTTGACTCGCTCATCAACTACGAGGCTGTCAAATATTTCAACAATGAAAAGTTCGAGGTCGCTCGATATGATAAGGCTTTGAAGCACTACGAAGATGCATCCATCAAAGTCACTACATCGTTGGCTCTTCTCAACTCTGGCCAGAACATGATCTTCTCCACTGCGCTGGCTGCCATGATGTATCTGGCTGCTGACGGGGTGGCTACCGGTACCCTCACCGTGGGCGACTTGGTCATGGTCAACCAGCTCGTCTTTCAACTCTCCGTACCGCTCAACTTCCTGGGGTCCGTGTACCGTGAACTGCGCCAGTCTCTGCTGGATATGGAGACTCTGTTTAACCTGCAGAAGGTGAACGTGAACATCAAAGAGAAGCCAAACGCTCCGCCTCTTACCCTCCGAAAGGGTGGAGAAATTCGATTTGAGAATGTGACTTTTGGCTATCACTCCGATCGTCCGATCTTGAAGAATGCGACTTTCACCATCCCCGCCGGCTCGAAGTTTGCCATTGTCGGCCCCAGTGGATGCGGTAAGTCTACCATTCTTCGCCTGCTCTTCCGCTTCTATGACACCCAATCCGGCCGAATCTTGATCGATGGCCAGGACGTGCGTGATGTGAGCCTCGACAGCCTTCGACAGGCTATTGGTGTCGTCCCGCAAGATACACCGCTCTTTAACGATACGATCGCGCACAATATTCGCTATGGTCGAATTGATGCTACTGATGAGGAGGTTCGACATGCTGCCGAGCGCGCTCGAATCAGTGAACTGATTGAGCGTTTACCGGACGGGTATGAGACGGCGGTCGGCGAGCGAGGCATGATGATTTCGGGTGGTGAGAAGCAGCGATTAGCTATCTCCCGATTGTTGCTGAAGGATCCGCAGCTGTTGTTCTTTGACGAAGCGGTAAGTGGCCCAGAGAACTTTCCCCGCATGTTCTCACCCCTTCGATCCATTCCTTCCTTCCTCTGAATCTCCCCGGTCATGCACATATGAACTGACACCCGGCTCCCATTGATCGATCTAGACCTCGGCATTGGATACATACACCGAGCAAGCCTTGCTGCAAAACATCAACAGCATCCTCAAGGACAAGCGGCGCACCAGCGTGTTTGTGGCGCACCGACTGCGGACGATCTACGACAGCGACCAGATCCTGGTACTCAAGGATGGTCAGGTGGCGGAGATGGGATCACACCGAGAACTACTGGATCTGGAAGGAGTCTATGCGGAGTTGTGGAATGGTACGTTTCGACTCTGTCATTTGCGTCTTGGAGCATGGTTGCTAATTTCCGGGAATAGCTCAGGAGTCGAATGTCGAGGATGAGGAGGGAGAAAGTAAGACGCGAGGAGAAGCGTGATGTATAGCGGAGTGCAATAGATCCTCTGTGAATAGAATGTGTCTTTATTCTGCTGTCAGCACTCAGCAGTGCTCGGGGACAGTCGCTTTCCGGGGTATTTGTGAACGTCCAGCCTTACTGTAGTAGGAGGAGGAGGAGGAGTAGTAGTTAGCTCTGAAAGTGCCTTATCGTAGATTTAGACATGAATCGTGGCGAGTCTGGTGCCACGACAGCGGACGGCCCTGCATGGGCTGGGGAACGTGGTACCTTGGGGCCCTAGTAGGCTACTAGGAGGGAAGGTAGGTACTAACTTAGTACTACTGACTCGCACAGTGCACAACTGCACACTATTGCATTGTTGCGGAGAGCTTCCCGCCTTCTCTGGGTGTTGCAAGGCTCGAGGCACTACCTACGTTAATAGAGTGATATACCACCTACTTGTTGATGTACGGCATTTAGTTATGTAGGTAGTAGGTACCTACTAACTTGCCTAGTACCACCACCTAAGTTACTCAGGTACCTAGTACCTCCCTAGGAGTAAGGTAGTACCTAGTACCCACTAGTCTAGCTGTACTACGGTACTACCTTAGGTAGTTGTGTAGTTCTGTACGCTTATCATGTTTGGATGATTCTGCCGACTCACCACCGAGGGACCCACAAACCCACACATCAGATAGCCTCTCTGCCTTCTCATTCCTTTCACACCAATCGAGTTGTGTTTCACCTTCCTCTTTTCCTTCCTGTAGATCGATATCTACCAATATATCAGGTACGGTACCTGGACAAAAGACCACCACTTGTTGTTCGGCCGTCTCGATCCGGGCCGGACGACAGGGATTGAATGTGCCATCATGTCCAATGATGTTGACGACCGTCAGCAAGACGTCCACGCGATCAAAGTGAAACATTGAACGGACGCACGGTCTCTCTCTCTCTCTCTCTCTCTCTCTCTCTCTCTCTCTCTCTCTCTCTCTCTCCCCAGTCTCCAGTCTCCACTGTCGACCGTCTTCCAGAAAGGGGTGTAACCACCCTCGTCCGGCGTGGACTCCGCGTGGCTTTTACAAGAGTTCGTTATCGGTCGAGTCCATTCCACAGGAACCGATTAAACGCGGGAAGAAGGGGGAGTCCTGGTAACATGTAGCACTCCCGGTGACTGTGTGACTGGGTGACTAATTTGGTGGATCTGGTGCCATCACTCAATAGCACATCATTTTGGAGAGAAAGAGAAAGAAAGGAAGAGAGAGAGAGAGAGAGACCGTGCGAGATAGGATTCAATATTGTCTGATATGGCGCGACAACTGGAAAATCAGACCTTTGATTCTCCCGACGGGCAGAAGTTGGATTTCTCATCGCTAGCGTTGTGTTAGCGCCAAAGTAGGTTCGTCGGATTTGATGACGGGTGCGGGATTTTAGATGATAAATGAGATTATTCCTCCCGTCGGGTCGAAACATCCACCTGCTATATAGTGCTGTGCAACTGGAGGTGTGAATTAAGATGACGACTTCTGGTTGTTACTGGTCTCAAGTGGTCAGGGAATTATGCAGAAGCATGCTGTCGGATCACTCAGATGAGATCGTGGAGAAAATGGGGAATGGAAGACACCAGTCGGGGATACTACTACCACCACTAACTAATTACTACTCACTACTATTGTACAACTTGGGTCCTTGTGAAGCCGGCCGAGTTCCCCCCCCCCCCCCCCCCCCCTGGGCTGAATTACCACAAATGGACTAGTGCCGGTTCAAGCTCGCGAGTGGGTCGAATTTCTCATTTGCGTCTGCCACGCGAGCAAACGTTCGTGCGTCGGTTCTCTTGGCAAGTCCGGCACGAGTCCTCCAGGTACTTCTGCAATAGTCCACGATTACCGTGATCTCGGGTACGCTCCCTCGTCCAGATGTCCATGTCCTCGAGATGCGGAGAGAGGAGAGAAGAAAAAAAGGAAAGATCGAACCTTTGTGGAAGACCGTCCCTCCCTGTACACGACCATGTGTACCATGTGCAGATTATTGTTCAACTTTGAACAACACATGTTCGTCCCGGAAAAAGGCCCTTCGGAATTGGACCGTGCTCTGTTGAAGGCGAATAATTGCGTATTCTTCATCCTCGATCGTCGGGGACTTGAGCACATTCCTGTCTTGCTGAGCTCGTGGCTACTAAGGTATACACTGTATAGTATATAGTATATACTCATCGCATATTCATGATTCCATACTGTACCCTTCTCCACGTCGCTTTCTACTCAGTTAAGACGTCAAACGATCGCACACTTCAGTACGGTAATTGACCGACGACTGGGAGGGTTGACCTTTGTAGTCATGAGTGTGACTGTGACTGCTGTCCAACCGGCAGGACCAGACTTCCAGAGTTCCAGAGTACAGCGTTTCCCTCTTCTCCAGTGACAATCGTCCGGTACCTGGACAGTCGCAAGGGGTACCCACCGCTCCCATCCACCGGGACCAGGCAAAAGGGACTCGTCGGTCTCGATCTCTCCACAGTCCTCTCTTCTCGTCCAATCTCGGAATTCAGACTAAATCACTGGATTTGGCCGCAAGCCACTCGCTCTTCCCCTCCAAAAAGTCACTTCCCGTCGCGTGTGCCGACGCCTCGGGTCACTTGACCCAGATCTGATTCCAATTCCCAGGACCACACCACACCTTTTCCATCATTCCGGGCAGTGTACGACACTGATTTCCACTCAGACACACTACTCCTGTACAGGCTACAGGCTACAGGCGACAGACGACAGACGACCGACTCCGAGACCGTCCACACGCTCCCTAACACACGCGCGCACAAACCCCGTCCCCTGCGTTGCTCCTGCTCCTCCTTCCTTCCTGGACCCTCTCTCCCTCTTCCTCCCACTCTTATCTTTTCCCCTGACTACCGCGGGGAATCAACCGTCAAGACACATTCCTTCACAGCCCTTGCGTCCACCGTGTCCCGGTGCAGCTCTGCCACGTTCTTGACACTGCAAGCGCCTCTCCCCTCCCGCTCAATTGTCCGGAGCGATCCCCAGTGGCCATCTCTTCTCGAGCGCACTTCGTAGTTCCAATCTCAGTCCCACTCCGCCTCGTGTTCCTTCACTTCTTCCGACGCCATTGCTAGGCCACACGCGCGCGCTTGGATCCGTGCCTCCACTCCGCGATCGCAAATCAACAACGGGGCCATCTTGTGCAACCCCCCTCTCTCCCTCCTTTCTGCACATCATCTCTTGACGCCATTACTCTTTGCTTGGGGAACAGTTGCAGCCAACTCCATTTTTACGACTCGCGGGATTGAAGAGGTTGACCAAAAGTGACGGGTGAGTCCGAATCCGGTCAATCTGACAGATTGGCCCGTGGGGAACCAGCATCGAAGCATTCCGAACCAAAAGGCTAAAGTGCCGTGCATGACAGTTCTGCTTGCGACTGTTGGATTCCCGCTGCCGGCGACCGACACCTATCAACCGTTCGGTCTGCACTAGGAAAACCAGACTCACTGCGAGGTGACTGGACATTAAATATTCACTATTCCCCGGAATCCATCCTCGGGACACAGCTATCTTCGTGATTGTCCCTCCGTCGTTCCCGCATCAACATTCACCATGGGTCTGATTGACAAATTGCAAGCAAGTATGTCGCACTCTTGAAGCATGCTCATCTCCCCTGCGTCCTAGATCACACGGGCTAACCTGGTCTTCCCCCCCCCCTCTGGTACAGAACTCGAGCTCTATCGCTTGGAGCAGCGATATGCACGTCGCAAGCATCGCACCACCTTCTCCACAGGGGCACAGTACGTCGACGGCGAGTACGTGTATCAAGCCGGGACCAAGTCCCCGACCAGCACCGGCTCCAAGTCGTCAAGCGGCAGCTGGCGCCCATCTGTTCTGCGCGGGACGCAGGACTCGCGCTGGAGAAGGTGAGACATGATGATGCGATATACATGACTGCCATTACCGATGATGCTTCTTGCAAATATATACAGTCGACCGGTCAAACTTCCACCCGGTCGACCTCGACCAAGATTTGACCTACTCAAGCGTGATTCAACCACCCATCTTTTTTTTTGTGGAAATTGACCTTCCTGGCGACTTTGTCGGTCGACTTTTCGGATTCTCAGGAATCAGAACCGGAGCGCATTGCCCGTTCCAACTTATCCCGCTCCCTGCTCGCAACGTGCATACCAAGAGCACCAGCCTTTGCTTACCTCACTTCTTTACGACCTCGACCCCTCCAGCTACTATTGCCATGTCCGTCCCATGAGAATGGTTTCCATCTTCTTCGCCCTCTTCGCCGCCTTCGCCACTGACCCTTTTTTTGTTCCCGCGCCGCCACTACTGGATTATGTGGTCGCTCATCCTCGCGGCTCTGACCGTGGTCCGAGCTGAGGATGAGCGGGGGGTTGATTAGATTCTTCTTGGGGCAATGTACCCTTGTTTGTTCCGGGGGCACACCCTCTTCATCGGCCTTGACCCATGAGAGGAGCTGCTCGACGTTGTCCTTTCCGTTCTGCACGACTCCATCGGTCGTATCGGGGATTGCCCGTATCTTTCTTCGTTTTCCCATTCACTTCTATCTGCATTGTGCCATGAGCATGGCGCCTTCTGTCTGTTTCGCTTCCCTTCTTGTGACTATATATTCTTCACCTTGCATTGGAATCCATAGCAGAATCGTTTGATGATCTTGATCAATTGTTGACGGTCCCATACTATGATAGGCTAGTGAGATCGATCATCTCTCTGGTGGTCCCCGTCTTGATGCCGAACCATTCGACATGATAGCGTTCCATCAAGTCGAAGCTTCGCGCGGGGGGAGGCTCAAGACACCTGTTTTGACTCCAGCCGAGATGCATGAGTTCCCTTGGTGCCGTAGTCGATCTGGCTTAGACTGGCAATCACCGAAAACATAGATCAAGATTGGACCATCTGCCGAGAGAGCTTTCCCCATGCGTTCTCAATCGTTTCTTTCGTTGGCGAGTTGCGGGTCGGGTACTCAATCATGCTCCTCTGTTGATCTTTGAAACGGGCTGATGAAGCAACGGTCCATTCCAACTGACGATCAATTCCGCCCTAAACGTAACTCCTTGGCTGGTCCTTCTTGCACTTTGGATTCTGATTTTTTTTTTTGATCGCTCGCAAACGACGCAAGTCACGGGACGGCTACTACCTCCCGCTGCATCGTGCCGTTCAGTGTTCTAGACTTCCGCTGGAGGTCCCTCCGGTCCGCATCAGACATGCCAACGCCCACCTCGACTGTCCGAGAAGTTGAAAACTGCCCGTGTGCAACTGCCCCGAACTTGAGAGAAAGAAATGTCACAATCATCCTTTTTGTTTCCCCGTTTGACAGGGTCTCTTACCTCCATCTGGCATCAAGTCATCGTCCCTTCTGGCCGCCGGGAGTCCGAGAGACCGAGACCGAACAAGAGTTCAGCCCAATTGGGACTCCGACTTGCAGGCGGGCCGGATCTAAGCGACGCGATTCCTAAAGAGGAAATTCCTGGACTCGGCCATCCGATCATCTACTGACGAAGCCATTTTATGATTTTAGTAGTACTGACTACTGAGTACTGCTACTTAGTGCTACTACTCGTTATTACTGTAGTAACTTGGCAGTACTTCCAAACGGCGATGATCGTGGTAAGACTCAGCTGGTCCTGTACGCATCACAAATGGAGTACCGAGTCAGTAACTGCAATGAGCCACCAAAGAAAAATCAGTCGACGTATTTCTTGTCCATGGATGCTTTAAATGTGGAGCCGAGCTTGACTTTCCCTCCGCGGTCCCGAAGAATATGGGGCACGTTTATAGATTATACTACGATGAGCCTACTACTACTACTATTGTAGTCAGAATGTCAGGTAGACAGTTATACGGCAAGTGGACGAATCAGTCATCGGATGCGCATAGACGCATCTGACAATCGCAGACTCTTCTTTCTCGTTCCCACTTGGGCCCCCGACCGGGAACGACCCTTGGACTCGACCAGACGGACTCAGTGACTCGTCCTCTTGAATGATGGGAGGAGTGGATTCCGTCGTCCAGTGACAGATCGTCCATCTTGTTCCAGACGCTCGTTGGCAGCGGCCACTTGGCTAGTCAGCGACAGGACTTGGGGGATTGCGTGTCGGAGTTTAGCCGTGGACGCGATGCCGAAGGCGCGAATAAGTCCGAAATGGGGATGGTGTTGGGGGGGGGGGTTTTTTTCTGCTTCTTCGTTTCTCTCTCCCTTATCAATCACCCTTTGAAGGTTTTCCGTGCATTTGATTCAGTACCCCTGCTCGTTGTCTCTTTGAGAACAGAATTTTCTGCATTTTTCTGCACCATCAATATCGGGGGCAAGTTTCGACTCATCAGTCATCTACGGTTTGCATGTGGGGGCAGCCTATCTGGAGGTTGTTCCTGATACAAATACAAGAGCCTTTTCTCATTCATTCTCGACGCCCTCTGGTAATCGCATCTATCTTTTCTGTTTCCTTTCCTCTTCTCCCGGCGATCGACGTCATAGCGAATCGTTCTGTCTTATAGACTTGCCCATTATGTAAGTTGTTCCAGCCTTCTCGGTCATCAAGTGATCTGTTCTTACAGTCTACTGGGACGTGCGGGGCCTCATGCTGACTGCTAGCTTCGCCCAGATAAGCCCATAGACAGTATAGACTGGACTACAAATAGAAACACCCATCATCAATTGGCCGCGCTGGATTAGGTCAAATACTCAACAGTCCCTCTCACTTGGGGGCCGTCTGTCTTGACGAACACACACCCACCATCGACGTGGTTCGGTTCCAAGACTATACAACGTCCGCGAAAGTGGTGACCTCTGTCGAGTTGGCAACCGGAAATACATAGATATTCAAACCCCCAAAAATGAACGACTTCCATCAAGACCCCGTGGGAGCTCCCTCGATTGCCGATTCCACCACTACACGGGCACTTTCTGAGCACTCCACGCCATCAATCGCCAACCAAACGCACCACGATATGGAAAAGGGAAAGCCGACCACTCAACCAGTCGAGTCCCAACATGTGCCTGAGAAAGATGAGAAAGCATCAGAAAAGGCCGCAGCAGGCGACCCGGCTCTCGCTGCCGCGCCAGGCCCGGGACCTCCTCCCGACGGAGGTGCAGAGGCGTGGATGTCTGTTTTGGGAGCCTTTTTTGGACTGTTTGTGAGCTTTGGATGGATCAATTGTAGGTGGCTTGTCCCATGTCTTGCTCAAGTATCATGCTCGGGAAGCTTATACAGTCTCGATCTTTACTTTGCCAGGTATTGGAATCTTCCAAACGTATTACGAGACCCACCAACTTCGTGATTTGTCCACCAGTACCGTGACATGGATTACTTCACTGGAGACATTCATCATGTTTTTTGCGGTAAGCCTGGGAATACCTTTTGGACTCTGCTCCGGGTCTAGGTGACCGTTCCCTCTCAAAGAAAACCCTCCATGTGTCTGACCTGCTCCTCCTCTCCTAGGGTCCCGTGTTTGGCACCATTTTCGACAGCTACGGCCCCCGAGCCATCCTTCTAGGGGGCACTTTTTTCCACGTCTTCGGCCTGATGATGGCCTCTCTTTCCACCGAGTACTATCAATTCATCCTCGCCCAGGGCATCTGCAGTCCCCTGGGCGCAAGCGCCGTCTTCACCGCCAGTGTCAACTCGGTCAGCACATGGTTTGCCAAACGACGCGCATTCGCCCTGGGCATCACGGCCTCGGGATCCAGTCTGGGCGGAGTCATCTTCCCCATCATGGTCTCGAATCTCATCCCCAAGGTTGGATTTCCCTGGGCGATGCGAATCTGCGCCTTCTTGATCCTGGGGATGCTGGTCATCTCCAATGTGACTCTTAGATCGCGGATCAAGCATACGAAGAAGCCGTTTGATATCATGAACTTTGTGCATCCCTTGAAGGACAAGAAGTTTATGATCACGGTGGCTGCTTGTTTCTGCTTCTTCTGGGGCATGTTCTTGCCGTTTACCTTTGTGATCACTCAGGCCCAGCGATATGGCATGTCAGAGCACTTGTCGGTATATTTGATTCCCATTCTCAATGCAGCCAGGTATGTGAATGTCATCTCACCTTTTTTTTTTTTTTTTTTTTTAAAAAAAAAAATAAGAAGAAAACAAAGAAAGAAAAACAGTAATAAAGCTAACTGTTTCCCCCTTGTTCAGTGTCTTCGGCCGCACCATCCCAGGCTACCTCGCGGACCGAGTCGGGCGATACAACATCATGATCTTCTTCAGCTATCTCTCCGCCATCCTCGTCCTGGCCCTCTGGCTCCCTTCCCGCAGCAACGTGCCCGCCATCATCTTCAGCGCCCTGTACGGCTTCAGCTCCGGGGCCTTCGTCTCCATTGTTCCGGCCCTGATCGCCCAGATCTCTGATCTGCGAGAAGTCGGCGTCCGCAACGGCACGTGCTTCGCGATCATCTCGTTCGCCGCCTTGACCGGCACCCCGATTGGCGGAGCCTTGGTCCCGGATGTTTTGACCGGGTCGTATACCAGGTTGCAGGTCTTTTGTGGGGTGGTGATGATGGTCGGGTCGAGTCTGTTTGTGGTGGCGAGGGTAGTTGTGGGCGGTTGTAACTTGAGGAAAAAGGTCTGAGAGCGGAAGTCCTAACGGGCATTGAGGAGGGTGAGTGGTTTCGGCCATGCTTTTTGTATAGAAACCGCCTGTTGAGGATATACCCATCTCTTTCTATTCACAATGTTAAACTAGTAGATATCATCATTCCACAGACCTTTCTCCACATTGACACTATGTACAAGACCAAAAGAAAGCGTCATGCTCCAATACCAATAACCTCCCGATAAGAATCAAAAGCTCTTGATCGAAGCATGTTGATCTCCAAACAATCAAAAAGAAGAAAAAAAAAGACGACAAAACGCCGAGCACCGTCGCTGAAGCAAGATGCATCACACCCCTCCCCCCAGAAAAATCACGCGCCAGCATGATCTTCACCTCTCTCTCCCTCTCGACTGCCCTCCCTCGGAGACCTCATTTCGTGATCAAGGTTAAGCAACGACCCCATTCCGCATATTCTCCACGGTCCGAATACCAACACCCTTCAGGGTACTCAGCTCAGCGAGGCTGCTCACTTGAAAAGCCGACGACTCATCGGTGGAATCTTCATTGCAGCCCATCGTCTCATCCATCTCACAGAGACAGTCGACTATAGCCTCGGCCTTTTTGGCGCCAACTCCTTTCAGTAACTTGATCTGGCTCACATCGCGCGAGTTGATGATGGACAAGAGGCGCACGGTCCGTGGAGAGACCGCTGGATCTTGGTAGTCGTCCAGCGCGCTCAAGTCCCCATCGTGGCATTCGAGGGCTTTGGACGTTGCTCGTTTTTTCGCTTGCGGGAGGGTGCTGTCCTCGTCACTCATGGCATGGTCATCGCCGTCGAGTGCATCCGTCATGTCGGTGTCGAGATCAGCTGCTTGACGCTTGCCTAATGTCACAGTTGGCTCCTTCTTCAAGCTGAGCATGCTTCCGAGTCGTCCCTCGGGAGGTGAGACCTGAGCCATCGATGGTCGAGAAATCGCCTTTCCTTGCATCCGCTCTTTCAAATTCGCGATCTTGGACACGAGTTTCTCGTTGTGTGGGAAATGCGGTAGCGCAAGTTGATACATCTTCAGGGCCGAACTGAGTTCGCCACGGGCCTGATGTTGTTTGGCCATGAGCAAGTAGGAAAGACCCTCGGCGCGAGCGTCTTCCGTCCCTTCTATCCGCTGCTCGAGCTGTTCGAGTCGACGTTGGAGGCGTTCATTCAACTCGTGCACCTGAGTGTGGCGCGATTTCTCGCTCATCGCTCGCACTGCCAGAATCTCTTCGACCTTTTTCTCGACCATTTCCTCGATCTTCGCCGCGGAGATATCGCCGTAATTGAGCTGAGAAGGGGCGTAACTAGGTCGAGGCGGCTTGATCGTGCGAATCGCATGCGGTTCCCCGGAGAGGGACGACTTCTTCAAAACTTCAGGTTTGCGAAGTTGCGTAACGGCCTTTATTTGCGTGCGGTCGGAGTAGACACTGAATAGCTTGAGAGGTTTCTCCTCCTCCTTCTTGGCAGGGTCTTTGCTCGCGGCCACGGGCATGTTCACATGAACTGAAGCAGTCAGCGGTTGCAGCGGTTTTCGCGTCGCAGCCAGTGACGGGCGCATTGCCGGCCGCACAGGTCCTTTGAAGATCGGATCGTTCTCGACTTCGCGCACCTCGATCTTTCTGGTGCGGTTGGCAACGTTGAGGGAGCTGAGCGTGTCCAGATGGTAGGATCGCACGGGGGCCAAGTTCAGGATCATGATGGTGAGACCGTTGTTCTGGCCTAAAGAAAGGATTCGAGTCATCTTCGACTCGCGGTACGGAATGCGAGCCTGTTTCTTCGTGATGGCCTCCACACATTGGGCGAGAACGAAGAGGCTTTTGTTGATGCTTGCCGACTCGACCATTCGCTCCTTGTCATTCTCCGTCCGTCGATTATCCTCCGAACCCGCGAGGTCGATCGCGGAGGCGGTACTAATGCGAGTCTTTTCTGGTGTCGTGATTGTGATTTTGACTCCAAGAATCGCGTGGGATCGGGAAGAGTGCGCATTAAGCTACAGACACGTATTGTCAGACGAAGCATGCCGGCAATGTGTACCCCACGTGCAGTAACTCACCTTTGTCGCAGACGTCGAGCGGTTAGTGTTGGCCTGATCATATAGACTCTCAAACTCCTTCAAACTCGTACAGGGCTTCTCTGTCAGCCCACAGACAACAGTCTTGCCTCCGTTGTCTCGCAACGGCAGCCCCGCCAGCGTGCGTTTCTCAGGTGGCTCGAATAGGTCAAAGACCTTGTCGTTATATATCTCGTAATAGCTCAATGACACCTGCACACTGGTCTCGCCATCGCTATCCTTCTCCATCTTCCGGCTTCGTCTGTAAATACCACTCAGGAGTCGGGGGATCACACCTCGCTCGGCGAGGCTTTTACCGCCGCGCATCGTATGCGTCTTGCCGGTTCCGGTGACGCCGTAGGCAAACAAGGTGACATCGAATCCATTGAAGAGGTGCTTGATCGTGGGAGACACTAAAGTACGCGCGCAACGGATTCAGCGATGAGTGGGTTTCGGATGAAAGGGCGCAAAAAAACGGGAGAGGCTGCTCAGCCATCGAAATTGTCCCTCGTCAGGGGAGTCAGTACTCACCCTCTGCATCGAACAGCTCCTGCTGTGTGACATCCGCATCGTACACCGCATTGAACTGAAACGAGTACTCCTCGCCTTCGTTCTTTGGGTTGGGAATCCGAACAATACTATCCCGGTCCTTCAGCGCAGCTGACTTGCGATCTTCAACTGAGGATTCGCGCGACTTGACCTCCGCCGCGCTTGTCGAGGCACCTGTGCGAAGAATGACATCGAAGTCGCGTTCAGACTTGAGAAGTGGTCGCACACGTGCAACGACCCGAACACTCATCTTGGCAATCCAACCATTCAAGTCGAGTCTTCAATCTTGTCGCCAGTCGAATGCTACCTGGACCATCCCCCCCTTATGCAATTACTACTCGCGAGTCTGGCCGAAATGCGGAAGATCGCGCGAGTCTCAAGCAATATACGAGCAATTGAAACAAACCAAAAGCAAGCAAAATCCTCTTAATGCAAGAACAATGACGCGACTCACGAGCCTAGTGAATGACGATGCAAGATTGACGGTGAGAACGTGTGGATCGTGCGTTGCGGCAGACGAGTGTGGTGGGCTGGTGTTGACCGGGCAACACCTCTTCTTCTACCAGCCACATTCCCTCGTGAGGCTCGAAGTAATTGTGTACCCTACCTACGCTGGTATGCAAAAGCGAAGTGACCATGCTGTAAACTGGTCTAATCTTGAAATAGGGTTGCTTTAGACGATCTGCTCGGGATTGAATTGATACAAATGCTTGATATTGTTTTTTGAGTTTATACCTGCTTAGAAGGAATTCTCGAAGATTATTTCATTGAAGTGAACCTCCTATGACGGCATAAACCAGAACAATTCACATCAATAAGAACCTCCTCAACGTCTAAAAGTCCACTCTTGAAGTCTCCCATATATCGATTGATCGGGAGTACATCCAGCTCCTTTCATCTTTGCTTCAACACTCGATGTATATACTTCGCCAGTTGACCAACCTCGGGGCTCCTACAGATATGGTTTTCCCTCATGTGATTGGCCCGCTGACCCTCAGCCTAAAGGCCACCTTCGCCATCACCGCCTCCTTTGCTCTCCTTCCCCCTCCGTGACTGAAGCTCATTCATCTGCTGTTGGTAAGTCCAGAGACTCTTCACAATAGATCTAGTCGCTCACTCCAAGTCGATCGCCTCCTCGCTCTCACCATATCGCCATCTTCTCGTCAATCGAGGACTCGCTGACATTCAAGCTGATTGTGGGGTTCTAGCGAAGCTCAGCATTGTTACCCGCAACCCCATCTCAATTCGCAAACACAACCTACCTTCACCTCTGTCGCCTGGCTCGACTACCCTTCTTCCCTCGGAGGAGCTTCATTGCGGAACATTGAACAACACAGTCAACATCTTCAGCAGATCTTAATGGCCGCTCCACAAGGGGGTTACCCTCCCCAGGAAGGGTATGCCCAGCCGGGCTATGGCTCTCCAGATCCCGCACTTCAACAGTCGTCGGCGGTTCCACCACAGGGTGCACCACCGCCTACCGGTGCTGGTGGTAAAAAAAAGCGAGCTTATGCTGGTGAAGCTTTTGGATTTGGTTCCGGAGCCAATGCGGCTCTCGGAGGCCAGCCTACAGCTGGGGGAGCTTACGGTGCCTACCCCCCACAGCCACCCGTTGCAGGATATCAACAGCCAACCTATGGCGCTGAACCTGTTCCCATGCAGCCAGCGGCGCAGGGATACGCTGCTCCTTCAGATCCCAATGTGGCGCAGATGACACAGCAGTTCGGCGGAATGGGCATGAGCGAGCCACACCACATGCCTCCAGCGCCGGCGGAGCCCGCGGTATACTCCCAACGCCATGTTCCGCTCAACCAGCTCTATCCGACGGACCTCATCTCCCAGCCCTTTAATGTCGCCGAGCTGGACTATCCTCCTCCTCCTATTGTCTTGCCCCCACAGGTATGAACAATCAATGTCCGATCCGCTTGGCGATGCTTGCTCGAAATGATAAACTAATCACCAAGCCTCCCTGCAGACCAGTGTCTTCGACTCTCCCCACGCCAATTGTCCGCCCAAGTATATGCGATCGACTTTGAACGCAGTCCCCACGAATAATTCCCTCCTCAAGAAATCGAAGTTGCCCTTTGCTTTGGTTATTCAGCCCTATGGCTCGCTACACGATGCCGAAGACACCGTCCCCGTCATCCCGGATCAGGTTATCTCACGGTGCAGACGCTGCCGCTCCTATATCAATCCCTTTGTGACTTTCCTTGACCATGGACACCGCTGGCGCTGCAACATGTGTAATTTGACAAATGACGTCCCCCAAGCATTTGACTGGGATGCGACACAACAGAAGCCCGCAGACCGTTCGCTTCGCGCCGACCTCAACTACAGTATGGTGGAGTTCGTCGCTCCGCAAGAGTACATGGTCCGCCCGCCACAGCCGTTGGTGTATCTGTTCTTGATTGATGTGAGCTACGCTTCTGTCACCAGTGGTCTTCTGGCTACCAGTGCTCGGTGCATTCTGGAGAGTCTCGACCGCATTCCCAACGCAGACCGTCGCACACGTCTCGGTTTCATTGCCGTCGACTCGAGCCTACACTACTTTAGCATTCCGCGCGACGGATCTCCCAGCTCCGATCCTCGCATGCTCGTGATCAGTGACCTCGAAGAGCCGTTCTTGCCCATTCCCGGCGATCTGTTGGTGACGCTAAGCGAGTGCCGCGAGAACATTGAGACATTCTTGAACAAGCTCCAGGAGATGTTCCAGAACACTCAGAGTAACAGCTGTGCCATGGGTTCGGCTCTGCGCGCCGGTTACAAGCTTATCTCTCCCGTTGGAGGCAAGATGACTGTCTTGAGCGCATCCTTGCCCAATATCGGCCATGGAGCCCTCTCCATGCGTGAGGACAAAAAGGTCCTCGGCACGAGCAAGGAGTCGGCCCTCTTGCAGACGGCCAACGCATTCTACAAGAGCTTCGCGGTGGAGTGCTCTAAGGCTCAAGTATCTGTTGATATGTTCTTGTTCTCGTCCCAATACCAAGACGTTGCGTCTTTGAGCTGCTTGCCCCGCTACACCGGTGGTCAGACTTACTTCTACCCTGGCTGGAACGCGGCTCGACCCGAAGATGCTATGAAGTTCGCTCGCGAGTTCTCCGAGTACCTTTCGTCTGAGATTGGTCTCGAGGCTGTGCTCCGTGTCCGGGCTACCACTGGCCTTCGCATGAGCACTTTCTACGGCAACTTCTTCAACCGCAGTTCCGACCTTTGCGCGTTCCCTGCATTCCCCCGTGACCAGGCATACGTCGTGGAAGTCGCCATTGACGAGACCGTCGCCAAGCCCGTCGTGTGTCTCCAAGCTGCTGTCCTTCATACTACTTGCAATGGCGAGCGTCGCATCCGAGTCATCACTGTGGCTTTGCCAACTACCACCAACTTGGCCGACATCTATGCTTCCGCTGACCAGCAAGCTATTGCCACCTTCTTCAGCCACAAGGCTGTCGAGCGTGCGCTGAGCAGTGGTCTGGAGCCGGCTCGTGAAGCCCTGCAGACCAAGATTATTGAGCTGCTTTCCACCTACCGCAAGGAACTTGCTGGTGGCAGCGTCAGTGGCAGCGGCCTGCAGTTCCCTGCTAACTTGCGTGGATTGCCCGTTCTCTTCCTTGCTCTGATCAAGAATGTAAGTTTTCAATATGTCAAGCTGGGCTAAAGCTCTCAGTGTCTTCGCTCTGTCTCTTCCGATGACGTGTTTCTAATATGGGATTCTGCACAGCTCGGTCTCCGCAAGTCTGCTCAAATCCCCACGGATATGCGATCCGCTGCTCTTTGCCTGCTGTCCACTCTTCCCCTGCCTCTTCTCATTCAATACATCTATCCCCGGATGTACTCCCTTCACGATATGCCCGACAATGCCGGTATCCCCGATGAGCAGACGGGCGAAATCGTCCTCCCGCCTACCGTGAACCTGTCCTCGGGCCGCATTGCCTCGTACGGCTTGTACCTGATCGACGACGGCCAAACCCAGTTCCTGTGGGTCGGTCGGGATGCCGTGCCCCAGCTGATCGAGGACGTGTTTGGCGTACCCGACCGAACCCAGCTGCGTGTGGGCAAGACGACCTTGCCCGTGGTGGAGAACGAGTTCAACCAGCGCGTGCGTGCGGTGATTGAGAAGAGTCGGGACCACCGCTCCAAGGGTGTCGGCAGTATGATTGTGCCTCACCTGTACGTGGTGCGCGAGGATGGCGAGCCTGGTCTGCGTCTGTGGGCGCAGACGATGCTGGTGGAGGACCGGGCTGACCAGAGTGTGAGCCTGGACCAATGGATGACAACATTGCGGGAGAAGGTATGCTGATGACCTTTCATTTCTTCTTTCTTTTGTGTGTGGTTCCTCTGTCTTTCTGTCTATACACTGCCTCTGGTCTCTCTCAAGTCTTTCCCTCTGAGCGATGACTGACTGCTTTGATCGTCCAGGTCATTCAATAAAAAAATGGTCTTTTCCTTTCTTCGTGCAGGTTTTCTTTTTTTTTTTTTGAGTGTTGTCGATGCCCTCCGTAGAGTCATGTCCACACATCCTCCCCTCTGCTAACCTGTTCCCGTCCCCGTCCCCGTCATGAATGTCTATGTGCCTCCTCTTGCGTTTTGCATGTTTACCTGTACCATTACGGATGAAGGGCTTGGATATCTGAAAATCTTATTTCCTTTCTATACTGTTCTTCCTTGAAGTGTACGGTTCATCAGTGGCGCTGCGACGACGCTAGCCCTTGTGGGCCACCGAAGTGTAGTATGATCATGGAGTATCCTTCCATTTGAGACGCGATGGTCGGTATTCAAGTGACAGTTGTCGATGCGATGTTTCAAAAGCTCGGCCTCGCCACGAATGAGTTTTCATTTCAGTGAAGATTTCAATTCTCATCATGAAAAATTCATTGGCACGATTGTCCATGTGTTGACGCTTCGATCCTCTCGTGGAATGGATTGTTGGCCGAACTCGCTAGGCCGGACTCCGGAGACTTCTGCGCGAAAGAAGACTTGCATAGGTTGATGGTTTTTGATGCCCATTTGTGCTCAAGTCTTGAAGGTCTACGGTCCCCCGCCCTCCTCTCTTTTTGGCAGTGCGGCGGTTCCAGGTTGAACTGAAACAACCACCCTCTTGTTGGGAGAAGGGTGGAGATGTTCCGGAATTCAATTCTGTCTCATCTTACACTGTGTGCTCTGAGTCTCTGAGGTGACATGTGAAACCTGCTATATGGGGGCACGGGACACAGAAAGGGCTGGTTGGGTGCAGGTGGGTTTGAGTTGGTGTATGAGAGAGACTTGGAAAACGGGCGGTGGCCCAATCATTTGGTCGGCTGAGGGAGGGAGTTATAACTTGGTGACTTCCTAGTAGCCCGTTGTCGAGGTTGGTGGGGGACGGGTTGAAGGTAAAACGATGATTTTCGTCCATTAGTCTGGCGTTGCGAGAGAGGTAGAGTAGAGCTCTCCTTCCAGTTTGGCATGGCATGTTTGAGAAAGTGCACGGGCATTACAACAATACGCAGGTAGGATTCAAATGCTACTACAGTGCCGCCGTTGGGTCGGGGCAATGGGTCTGGTTGAGTAGTGGACACTGGACAGGGAGTACTACAATTAGGTACAACGTACTAACCGGAGACCACCGGCTAGATTACTGCAGTGATTGAATAGACTTGAGGACTGATACCATGGAATACAACAGACGAGTCACTGTGATTGTGACCAGTCCCGACAGTAGCGCGAGTCAGCCCTGGAGACCGTGAACATGGGAAAGGGTATGAGAGGACAGCATTTGGCGCTGGTGGCGGGAACTTTGTTTTTTTCTTGAGGGGCTCTGCAAATGACAATGATGGGCATTGGAAGAGCATTGATCGGTGGATCAGGATCTGGGGCCCGGCGTGGATTGAGGGTCAGGCAGGACGGCTGTACAGTGTGGATTGTACCCTCATTACCAGGTTGTTGACTACAATTTACAAGGTACATATGGTGCTAGGAAGTTCCCTTAGATCCCTCTCTACAACTACGATTCTGAAGCTTGTATGGTGGAGGATCTTGGTAGAAGATCTCCAACGGTGAAGACGGACGGAAAGTAGATTGTTGATGAAGTCTGGTCCGGGTCTAGAATAAATTAGCTTCAGGAAGGGGAGTTGTATTTCACATACAGTGCTAGGTTAACTGCCTTGAATCTTATCTACGCTTTGGCTTTGGAAACATTGATATAGTTCTATGAGCCCTGGTAGGACTAGGTAGCCGTACCACTAGTAGCTACGCAAATACTAGTAGCTTGGAATACACACGGGTGGTCGTTTCCGTGACGACATATTCATGAAGCAAGTAGGTAGTGTACTCGTAGTCTCGTAATCATTATCGATATCTTGGAGTACTCATGTTGATCACCTCAACACTGGAGAATGGAGTGTTCCGGATAAACCTCAGCTTCCAGAGGAACCTTTGCCGGCTGCTCTGATTTTCTGGTTCTGTGGAGTCGACCGTCCCCAACGGAGCCAAGGTTCTTGCTAAAATAAACAATCGGTGAGCTCTATGAGCTCCATGAGCTCCATTTGGTCGGATACCAGTACAGTAGTAGTATACTACAGTAACTGGATGTATGAGTAGCACTGCCGCCTCATACCTACCGGTACTCCCAACAAGAGCTAGTGCTCGTGCTGGCCCCGACACTGGCACTGACCATATTTGGTGTGATCCCAAAGTCCTGCTTTTACCAATAAGAAGCGACAGTAACGGTCAATCAAGCATGCAGACAGACTCGACTGTCAAGCTGTTGGAGAGTGTTTGGGGCTAGTCATCGATAGGCTTAGACCTGGGTGGATATGTTTCAATGCATCCTCGTGCACATCCCCGTGCGTCAGCCGTGCGGGCATCTCTCTCTCTCTCTCTCTCACTCTCTTGACTGACTCTCGAGCTCGAACATTGGAGGGCTGTGGAAGGGCGATGATCCGTGGAATTACGGCATGGGAGAACAGCCCGAGTCCATGTCACAGCATCATATACCGTCATTGTTTGCAGAATCTTCGGTTAAGAAGAATAGACTCAGTTACTTGATTGACAAACGGAGCTGGAATCTGGCTAGAGCTCGATCAGCAATCATAGAAGCTGGTCCAGGAACATGATCTTGACAATTCAGGTACCATATTCGCATCTATCTGCCTTCCCCGTTCGGACAATGTCCCCCTCGTCGATCCATACTCTGATAATAAGTACATCACACATGGCTGTACGATCCAAGTTGATGGTCTCATCATATCTGCCCACCTTCAGCCGGCGTCCAGTGGACCAGAGTCGGTACATGACTTCCTGGCACTGGAGGTTACCATGTCCCATCACATCACCACACCACTTCCGAAGGACAGCAGAGCAGAGCAGAGCAGAGCTTTTTAGGGCTTGATCACTTGATCGCTGGATCACTTGACCCGTCCATTCTTCTTTCGACTGCCTCACGTTCCTCTGGAGATCGTCCGTGCTTTTGCACCTCTGCTCATCTCGAGTCCAGCAACTCTGACAATCGCACCGACACTCCTCTCCACCTCCAACATCCATCTTCCATCTTCCATCCTCCGTACTCCACCCACCTCCCATCGTCATCTCGTGCCTCCTGGAACGCTGCTCATCTCCTGGCGGTTTCGTCGGGCCCCACCAACAACACGCCTGTGGCTGAGTTTCGCTGAGTCTTGCTGAGTCGTGCTCCGTTCGTATGCTTGGGACCCTCCTTCGGACTTTGGAGACTCCTTTGGCTCCTTTGGCTCCTTTGGCTCCCCACTGTCTCTTCCACGTTGCCTCCTCTTCCTCCCCCCACCATTTATCAGACCTCTCTCTGATCATCGCTGGAGCGGAAAGATCGAAGCCCTACTGCCACAGTGACTAACAGACCTCCAGCAATTCATCCACCTGGTATGTGTGTGTCCCTCTCTCTTCATCCCTACGACTCTGATCCCCCTACATGTATGGTCTCGCCGTGATCTCCATTGCACCGGCATCGCTATCGCTCGCGGGGCTGGTTATATCTGGTGATCATCCCGCCCGACCACAGAGTTCCCCCGCCTCGGCTTCTACTTCCACCCCTTCCAACCTTGAATCTGTCCCCCCACTACCCAAGCAAGCTTCACCCACCACTAGCTCTCCCAAAGTGAAGTGCTCTGACGGATCTCTCTAGCTGGACCATTCTTGTCCTTGATTCTCCACGATTGCCACCTCTTCCGCCTCCCTCCTAAGACGGTCCTCTGTAGATCGTAAAGATCTCGCTCTACAACTGACCCCTCCTCCGATACCCGCTCCTCATCCTCGTCTCTTTCCATCCTTCCCCTGACTATCTCTGGTCCCAAAAGCCAGTCAACTCCACCTCATCACGTCCCTTCATTTTTTTTCGCAACACCACTCCCCAACACACACTCCTCTTCTCACCCGCTTTCCCTTTCTTTCTCCCTCTATCTCTCTCCCTCTCTCTATCTCTCTCTCTTTCCCTGCGAGTTCCGCAGACTCGCTCACAACAGTCGTGAGCCGGAAAAAAAAGGGGATCTCGAAACAAGCAATTCCGCTCAGACTTGTGGAGTACACAATAAAGGTCAGCTCATACGTCTTTTTCCTCCAACTTTCGTCGTTTTTTATTTCTCGTTCTGTCGCCGAGTGCAGGCTTTACTCTCTTTCCCAGAGAATCATATACATGGACTACTTCCGATTTGGGAAGCTGAATATGTCTGACGTCTGCGCGCTCCCTCGCTCTCCCTCTCTCTTTTCCTCCCGGGATGGATGGGAAACCTCCAGGTCACAATCTTGTGATGGAAATAGGAAAAAGCGGAATCTGGCTGGATGTTGGTCTCCTCTCTTGTTTACTATTGAACTGCAAAAGCAACATGGCCCTGGTTGATTCATCTGATGTTTGCTCATTCGCAATTGACGCCTCTGGGACCCAGCATGTTGTTTTCATCAATTCGTGTCTGGCCTAGCCTGGCCTAGCCTAACCTTGCACTGCACAATCACATCGCACAAAGACCCCATTACCCCAGTCTTGGGCATGAACATCCGTCTCTCTTCCATTCTGGTTCTGTCTGGCTTTCCAACCTGCTCTCAACATTTTCCACTTCTCCACATTTCACTGCCCCCAACTGACAAAAGCTTCCCAGTCTCTTTCAATACCGACACGATGGTCCAACAACCACCGTCCGGAGGATCACGCAAGATCTCCTTCAATGTGTCGGAGCAGTACGAGATTCAGGACGTGATCGGAGAGGGCGCATATGGTGTGGTCTGGTAAGCGCAATACTCCATCCATTTCTTTGATCGTTCTAGTCAATCTATTGGGCGGAAGAAGGTCTTTCCACATTCGGAATTGTGGTCCATCAAGAGAGAGATGACGGGAAAGCTTATGCGACGATTTGCCTCTATAGCTCCGCCATCCACAAGCCCTCCGGTCAAAAAGTGGCCATTAAAAAAATCACGCCCTTCGACCACTCCATGTTCTGCCTGCGAACCCTGCGCGAGATGAAGTTGCTTCGTTACTTCAACCACGAGAACATCATCTCCATCCTCGACATTCAACGACCCCGCAACTACGAGGGTTTCAATGAGGTCTACCTCATCCAGGAGCTGATGGAGACGGACATGCACCGCGTCATCCGCACCCAGGATCTATCCGATGACCACTGCCAATACTTTATCTACCAGACCCTCCGCGCCCTCAAGGCCATGCACTCCGCCAACGTCCTGCACCGTGACCTCAAGCCATCCAACCTGCTGCTGAATGCCAACTGCGACTTGAAGGTCTGTGACTTTGGTCTTGCTCGCTCTGCCGCATCCACCGATGACAACTCGGGCTTCATGACTGAATATGTGGCCACCCGTTGGTACCGTGCGCCGGAGATCATGTTGACCTTTAAGGAGTACACCAAGGCGATCGATGTGTGGAGTGTGGGTTGCATCTTGGCGGAGATGTTGAGTGGCAAGCCCTTGTTCCCTGGAAAGGACTGTACGTGAACCTTCAACCTCATTCAATTTGGCCCCCTCACCTTTGCAGTATATCACAGGAGACTGACGCTGACGATTCTGCTTCCAGACCACCATCAGTTGACCCTCATTCTGGATGTTCTCGGCACACCAACCATGGAAGATTACTATGGAATCAAGTCCCGCCGAGCGCGCGAGTACATCCGCTCCCTGCCCTTCAAGAAGAAGATCCCCTTCCGTGCCCTCTTCCCCAAGAGCAATGATCTGGCCCTAGATTTGTTGGAAAAGCTTCTGGCCTTCAACCCTGCCAAGCGTATCACGGTGGAAGAGGCTTTGCGCCATCCATACCTCGAGCCTTACCATGATCCTGAGGATGAGCCCACTGCGCCTCCGATTCCCGAGGCATTCTTCGACTTTGATAAGAATAAGGACACCTTGAGCAAGGAGCAATTGAAGCGTGAGTTGTCCCTGGTCCCCGTCAATGATGGTATTGTAAAGGCTGCTAACTTGGAACCTCCCGATAGTGTTGATCTACGAGGAGATTATGCGGTGAACACCTTCCATAGATTCAAAAACATCAAGCGGCTTTTGTTTTCTTCTTGTCTAGCATTTCCCCCCTTCCCATTCTATATTTCGTCTTCTTTTCCCGGCGTCCCCCTTTCTACTTTATTTCCTTCCTCCCTCTTTCTGATTTAGAGCATGCAATGAACGGATGGGAGAGCAATGATGATGATTCATACAAACAAGCTGGGAACTGGAATTGGTCCTCTGGGAGTCATAAACTCACAACTTCTTGAAACTTCTCTCTCGTCTTCCAATCTCTTCATCTCTCTCTCGCCCTCTAAGTGACTTTCAAGGATCTCCCATAACCACCCCCCGCCCCCCAAAATGGATGAGAGTTTCGACACAAATGAGACTTGTGCTTACTGCTTACTGCTTACTTCCATCCAGTTGGCTTGACTCGGACCGCGAGGCTTCGTCACGCATGTGGAGGAGCCGGGCACTCGGTCGCAGGATTCGTCACGTCGTTTCGTGGGAACCTTGGATTGTACGTACAAATTTTGCGTCCTCCGGGCAGCAGATTTTCAAAGACCCACGGAAGGGCCCTATAAGAAGGAAGGCCTATGAGGACTAGACAGGATACACAATATACGGGTGGGAAGTCGAACTTGCCCTGTCACCCCTTAATATGGTCCGTCGTCTCCATCTTCGACTGGGCGTCCGTCTCTCGCATCGCCATAAACCATCGAATTCCCTCTGCAACGCCCTCTGGACTCGGTTTCTCCGCACAAACATGCGCTTCGAAAGCAAACTTCTCCCGCAAAAAGTCCCTCGTGGTCGGTCCAATCGTCGCAACAAAGATATCCGGCCGGGCAGCCTGTTTGCCACTTTCGTGTGGATTCTCGTTTCCATCAGACGCGTTCTTCCCAAAGGGACCCATTTTCAAGACCCGCAGCATGGCCTCGCAACCCGTTGGGGAAAAGACGACGACCCAAATTGGAGCTGTTGGACCAGAGAGAGACGGAGAATCGGTAGGGCCAGTGTGTTGAGTCTTCACTCGACACTGACGCACCGCATCCGCAAAGTCCGCCTCAAAGGACTCCATTTCCCCGGTCTCATAGACCACGATCTCTTCCACGTGGATACGATCAGTCTCGGGGCGGTCCGGACCCATGAGAGTCTTGGGAATGATATCTCGACGCTGTTCACCGACCAGAAAGAGCAGGGAGGGTTTTGTCGGTGGGGATGACCCATGTTGTGGCTCTGCAGTAGAGTCCGGGTATATCGTGTTGTAGTGCTCAAGAATCAAGTATGCGAGGTTCTGTCCGTTGCCGGCGTCCTCGCCATAGATTGTGGCGCCGGGCAGGTACTTGTCGCGAAGCGCTGCCAGAGCACGAGCTGTAGCTGGTCCCACGGTATATAATGGGAATGGTTTAGTCTGGGATGGTGTGAATGGCACTATCAAACATTGTCAACCAGGTCCCACCAAATAAGTAAAGCCCATCTTCAATCTTTTTTTTATAAGCAATCCACATACATCCATTCTCCTCAATCATCAGCGCAAAGGCCTCAACAGCCCTCTGACTCGTAAATATCATACCCCCAAACCTCCTGCCCGTCGCACCCAGTTCCCCCGAAGACCCCGGTCCCTGATCCTCCCCCGCAAAAGCCCCCGACGCAAAAAGCCCCCGCACCCTCTCCAGATTCTTCCCGTGAACCCGATGCTCCAGCACAGGTACAAAGCGCGGCTGGAACTCTTCGGAAAAGTACTCGTGGTATCCGTCGTGGGGGGACGATCTCGTTTTGAGCAGGAGAATGGGAGTTGGGCCGGACATTGTTGAGCCGCGAGCGTGCTGAGGGGGGGGGGGGGGGGGGGGTGTTGGTCTGGGACTATTATGTTGGTTTGGTGGAATGCAAGGGCGTTGCAAGCGGGGGAGTGTTTGGGAGGGAAGATTGAAAATCGGATCGAGGGAGTGATTGATGCGGTTCAAACTTCAGCCGGAGGACGTGGGTAGGGTGTTCTGGTGTAGTGTGGTTTTGGTCATTGTTTTGATTGCGAATGGCGAAATTGCATGCGGGGCGGAGCTTCAAGAGTCCGTGTCCGCGGGTTTGTCGGAGGGGGAGGTCTTGAGTAGCGCGGCACGGCTCGTATTCTGGACCAGCTTGAACGCTCCAAGTTCACCGTGGTCCGAGGATCATGATTTGGCTACATTTGGTGCTTGGTGCTGGGAGCTGGGAGCTGGGAGCTGAAGACAGCGGTTTGCATTCACGCTTATGAGGAGTCTTCAGATGGCTTCCAAATGGTCAAACTGCTACACACTACAGAGTACACCTTTCCTCCAGTTCACTACCATTGCAAGGACAAAGGAAATTTCTCGTTTTGATAGTCAAATCCAGACGACCCTAGAAACTAAAATTCGCGCGTCTAGAGAGAGAGAGAGAGAGAGAGAGAGAGAGAGAGATAAAGAAACACAGCTTTATGTACACATTTCATTTCGATTCCAACCCTTCCAATTTAAAGGGCATTCCCCCCCATCTACTGGTCGTCCAGCACGTGCAGATACTTCTTCTCCTCACGACGCTCGCGCTCAGTCGCAGGGGGAAGATCGTAGTAGGAGGAGCTACGGTAACCCTGCAGGTAGTGGAAGGTCAAGTCGGCCAGATCGGCAGTCTCGTTCATGCCGAGATCCTTGAAGGTCTTGGCATCCGGGTCGATCTCCTGGTCGATGAACTCACGCTCGACCTCGTCGGCGGACATGGTGTGCCACCACAGGTACTTGTTCAAGTAGTACGCGAAGGGCTTCAGGAGAGCCTTGGGCACGTTGATGTGGGTGCGCTTCTTGATGATTTCGCGATCCACCAACTCGGCAATCTCCGCGGTGGAGTAGTTCTTTGGACCGTAAAGCTCAAAGGTCTGACCAACGGTGCTGTCATCGTGCAGCATCTTCTCAAGAGCGGCACCGACGTCGATAGCCTGTGTGGAAGAAAAAAATATATACCAACGTCTCAGTTTCTTCGTTGCATACCAGGGCTTGCCGAGATTGGAAATTTATAGACTTACGTGAACGGGCCAGTAACGCTCCTGCATGTGGTTGGCAGTGAAGAGGTTGGAGACACCCGCAAGCTTGTGCAGCAGGTTGTCCTCGAAACCGAACATGGGTGCAGGGCGCACAATGGTGGTCTCCGGGTAGATTTTGCGGACGACCTCCTCACCCCAAGCCTAGATTGCATATGACATCAGTATCCTCAGGTTTCGAGATTACCGAGACAAGTCCAGTCGCAGTGCTACCAACCTTGGTGGCAAAGTATTCAGAGGGTGAATCACGGCGCGCATTGTAGGAGGAGACGTGAATGAAGCGGTCCACATCGTACTTGGCGACAGCCTCGGCGATGCGCTCGGCGCCGTCCACGTGCACGTCGGCGTAGGTGAAGTTCCTGTTTTCACCAGTCAGTTTCCCACTCGTCCAGGTATATCCAACGTCTTCAGTCGTGTTGCATCACTCACTTGGTGGGGTATTGGCGACCAACAAGGTTGTAGACAACGTCGGAGTGACGGACACTCTCCTCGATGGACTGAGTGTTGCGGAGATCGTATTCCTAGGGTCGAGTCAGGACCGGCGCTCTCATGGGAGAAGTGTATCGTCTCAAAGAGGTCCTCCATACCATGAAAGTAACGCGACCCAGATCACCAGTGACCTTCAAGTGACGCTTGGCCATCTCCTCACGGTAGGGGACCACCACATTGCATCCCTGGGTAGCTGCGGAACATCAGTCGCCCAACTTCTCTTTCGTCCGAACCCTGACCAAAAGTACATGATCCTCAACATACCGAGCTTGTTGACAATGTAGCGACCCAGGAAACCAGTGGCACCAAACACAGTCGCAGTGTGGCCTATATAAAATCGAGTGGTGAGTACGAATCGCACGGCTGCTTGAGAATGAATTGAGGCAGGGCCGAGTGATACCTCCGAGAGACGAGCTGAAGACATGATTTCCACGTTAGTGTGAAACCATTGACCGGAGCAGAAATACCATTGACCACTCACCGACCACCTTGAACCTTCAGAATCGGACGTCCGGTGCGAGTAATGGCGACATCCTGGAGGTTGCGGCGCTGGACCTGGACCTGAACGCGCGGGGCGGGAGCAAAGACTCGCGACCCCAGAGCAGGGTTGATTGACCGGCACTTCTGCATGGTCTCAACGGGATAGCTCGCGAGACCTTGTGGAGAGGAGTTGGTTGCCGATCTGGCGATAGTGAGAAGCAGTTGCAACGGGTCTTTCACAGTGAGCCCGTCCCGCCTGCAATTCGGGAACACGGGACTCTGGCACTAGTCCCAATTCGGTGACCACTCGTGTAGTCTGTCGGACTCGGCGGTATTGGCTTCGACCTTCATCAATGATCTGGTGATATGGTGCAATTGCGCACTCAATTCTCGTCAACTGGAGGGAAATGCATGCAACTCGTACGTGGCGTCCGAGTTCAATTCTACATTGTCTGGTGGACCTACTATAACTACATGGGGTTCTACCAGGCCTGACAATTTCAACTACTGTGACTGGACGGAGGCCGCTTCTAGCATTACTGTGACAAAAGAGGCATCTGAGCTGTTGACTGTATAGTCAGTCAGTAAAATAATACCAATGTTATTGATTGACCGACACCACGAGGACGACTGAACTTGCAGCACGACATGATGTATCCAACAATGCATCCGATATGAATACCAATAAACTATAGAAGAACCGCAAAGTCCTCTTTACCCGCCAACTTCCCTTCAGGCCCTTTCCCGAAGGATCAGTCTATCGTCAGAACATGGAGGCCGTAATAGAAAGACTTTTTGAAGAGACGGGTATATCTCTGAAGTGCATTCGGTTTTCAAAAGGAGCTCGGTTGCACATGCCGAGCGAAAGCATATTCTTTTCTTGATGATAGATACCCGGAGGCTACATTACGTGTTCTTGTCTGAGCATGGGCGAAGCCATATCCACATGTATGCAGTGACCTACTAACATCGGAGCTATGGAGAAGGGCTGAAGCTAATCGGCTCATCCACATCTCTTGGCAATATCAACTCATGTACGATTGTACATTCGGTCAATCTCGACAAAGACATTCGGGACAATCTCTCATCACGTAATCTACCTCCTAAAGGGAACTGCTTTCGACTTGGACAGCAAGTCTGCTGCGATCGCCCCTTCTTCCAACCTTCCCGATTCGTCCTGGCGTCCATGCGGGAAACCGGTCACAGAACCAGAGCTCCAAACCTTACAGACGCCGACTTCACACCGCGACTCAACTTCGCTTTCCTCAATGTTGACTTGAACAGAGGATTTTTCTCACACGTATAAATCATGACAATCAGAGTAGCAGTCATAGGCGGCGGGTGAGCAAGCGACTGCCTGCATCAATTGTATCACCTTACATTCTAACAAGGCTAAACCCATAGTCCTGGCGGTCTCGTAGCTCTCAAGACACTGCTTGAAGCATCGACTGCAGACCACCCGATTGAAGCATGCTTATTCGAGTCGTGAGTTACAATGCTGATTGATGATCATGTGATTCTTTGAGCTCCTCGCCTTACGCTCGTTTACTGACAAACGATTTATCATACAGCGAGGCTGATATTGGAGGCACCTTCAACTATCGAGCCTATGAAAACGCAGAACTTGTCAGCAGCAAGCAGTTGACCACCTTTTCAGACCATCGACTGCCACTCAATAGTCCAGATCATGTGTCACTTCCAGGCTATGTGGATTATCTTCGCTCCTATGTGGCAAAATTCCGTCTCGAGGCGCACATGAGACTCAACTGCCCGGTCGTTTCTGTGGAGCGAGCACCTGACGACTCGAAATGGAAACATCGAGTCAAGTACCTTGACAGAGCAGATCCGGAGAATGAGCAAGAAAGAGACTATGAGTGCTCTCACATTGCAGTATGCACTGGGCTCCACGTCGAGCCGAACATCCCGACTATCCCAGGCATCGAACACATCAAAGGAGATGTGTTCCACTCATCTCAATATAAAGGGCGATCCCAGGTGGCAGGCCGTAACGTGCTGGTCCTTGGATGTGGCGAAACGGCAATGGGTTAGTCTGTCCTGTCCAAATATTGAAGCCCTTTGCTCATGACGTACATTTCCAGATATTGCTTACGAGTCCATCAAAGCTAATGCGCAATCGGTAACCATGTGTTTCCGTACTGGGTTCCTCTCATTCCCTAAGCAACTGAGTCGCTTCCAGGTCTTTGGAAAGACTTTCAAGGGAGGGTTGCCCATCGATGGTCTCATCACCAATCTTTTCGAAACCGCTTACGTCCATCGGGCCATTGCGCAAAGCAGGCTGCGATGGTTTGTTTCAGACTTTGTCATCAAGCGTGTGCTTTGGTTCCTCACTGGAACTCAAGCAGGCATGAATCAGCACGTCGGTGGTCTTCCCCAAGAACGTCTTGGCCGAGCATACGTCTTCCTCAACAAGAGCAACAAAGCCATGCCGTATCTCAACCGTCCATACAAGACGCAGAACCCCTTGCTAGCCTGTATTGGGAATCGGTACATTGACCCGCCAGAGGACGCAAACTCCGACCGGGTTGTTGATACATGTACTTGGCCCGAGTACATTGACGAGACTGGTCAAGTACATTTCCAAGAAAACCCTCGGCGGAAGGATTGGCAGCGGATGAAGAGCCGCGTGATCAAGCCAGACTGTGTCGTCTACTGCAGTGGGTGAGTGACCAGGAATCCGCGAGATGAGTTTCCCCGACACCTGGGACATGAACTAACTCGCTCGCTCAAGATACAAGCAAACCTTCCCTTACCTTGACAAGTCGTACCCTACAGCCGCGGATGCGCAGATTCGAAACATTGTCAGCCCGTCCCATCCGGACATTGCTTTCATTGGATTTGTTCGTCCGGGCGTCGGGGCTATTCCACCCATCGCGGAGCAACAGGCCATGTGGTGGACCGCTCTCATCACCGGTCAAATGGATCTACCGACGGATCCGCCGCATTATCACTTACTTGCGGCCAAGGGATCCCGCATCCAGTATGGGGTGGACCACAGTGCCTACATGAGCACGCTTGCTCGAGACTTCGGTGGCGCGCCGGGGCTGCGGGAGCTATACCGCGAGCACGGACTGCGCATTCTCCTTGTCTACTGTTTTGGTGCCTCGTTTGTCACATTCTATCGCCTGGTCGGTCCTTTCAGGTCTCCTGTCGCGCCTGAAATTACTCGTACGGAACTCGAAGAGACCATCCGTCGTCGTGGCATCCTTGGCAATATCTTCTTTGGCGTTATCCCGATGTTGTTCTATGGAGTGTTGAATGCGGTTGCCTTTGCTCTGGACCGAATGGGACTGATCCCGGCGGAAGACAAGATTATTTAGTTTATTGGGAGTCGCAAGCTAGATCAACTTTTTAGTGTCCATCATGAGTCATGGAAAAAGGCAGCAAGTAGAAACTCAGACGAGTTTACGGGCATCCGGGTTCTCTCTAGCGACGTAATCGCACCGCCTTGTCCATTGGTGGTGGTTGTGCCGCGGGTCATATGCACACCACGGATTGATAGTTTGCGCACACGCACTCCATACGTTAATTTCTACTGTAGATCCTTCAGGAAAGCCTTTTTGCAGAAAAAAAAGGGCATATGATAAATGAAGGACGGACAATAAGCTCAACCTCAAAAAGACAGCAAAAAGATACGACGACTATGTCGTAACAGTGGATGTCCAAAGATTGAGAAGAGGAGTTTTGTGGGCAAACCACGGCCATCTCTGGTAAAAGGCAAGAAATGGGTTCTGTATTAGCCTGTCCCACTCCTCGGGGAAGAGTCCCGTGATTGCAATATATCCATACTCTCTGGATCTGGCCTACCAACGTTCGATTCTCAAGAGTGACGATTCTTTTCTTCTCTTTCCTTCCCACCTTTTCTCCACTCGACACAACTGGAGCATTTAATCCGAGCAAGCTGACCCCGCATATGCAGAGCTACCATACCATCATAGAAGCGCCATTCACTCGAATCCGCCTACAAGGACCGCGACTAAACTAAATCACGCCCTCTCAATCAGTCAGTTCGATCCGTAAAGGCCTTTCATCTGAGATCTTCTTAAAGTCCCTCTCTGCGACAATATGTCTTCCGCCGCCTGCATCTTCTGCAAGATCATCAAGGGTAACACACATCTCGCACGCCCCGGAGCTTCTTTGCCGCGATGCCATCGAGGAAAGCCGCGAACGCTGTGACGTTGACTTGGAAGTTGTCGAGTGATCCCCGCGAGGCATACTATGAGTGCATCACTCATGACCTGGATGGCTTCTCCGTAGCTTGCTAACGCACCTTCTCCCCAATGGTCTAGGTGACATCCCCTCTTTTAAGCTCTTTGAGAGCGACAAGGTCTTTGCATTCCTTGATATTCAGCCTCTGAGCCGTGGCCATGCGGTATGTTTTCTTTTTTTTTCCCTACCCATGGTGTCCGTTCGGCGCCCTTGGCTTCGTCCTCCGTGCGGTGGCATCAGATGCTTATGGTGACGAGCTGGAACCCGAGAATACACATTGTTGTTGCATGGTTGCAGGATTGTCACCCCGCGGGAAGAAGAATTGACTGTTCCAGTGCAAATTTTGTACAATGACTCTCGTGCTGACCCATTTTCCTTATAGCTCGTGATCCCCAAGTATCACGGCGCCAAGTTGACCGATATTCCCGACAATGATCTTCTTGAGATTTTGGTATGTGATTGAAGTCGCGGCTTCTGTCGTGAGCAACAAGATAGCGAAGTGGAAGAAAAGAAAAACAAAAACGAAAAGAGGGAGAAGCGCAAGCAGAGAGAATCGACTTTCACAAAGTCGATTGAGTATTGACAGAGGGGACCCCCGTCGGGAGGCGATTAGTCTTCCAAGGTCCCCCTCTTCCTTGATCTCCTTGCACCAGAGTGACAGAATTGCACTTGAAACTATTCCACGGGGACTCAACTAATGCCAATCTTGTAATTCTACCAGCCCGTCGCCAAGAAGATCGCTCTCGCCAGCGGCGCCTCCGATTTCAATATTCTCCAGAACAACGGGCGCATTGCGCACCAGGTCGTCGATCATGTGCGTGTTTTCCTATTTCCTTCCTCGCGCCTCCCTCTTTCGGCAATTGACTGACTTTCATGGCCGCAGGTCCACTTTCACATGGTATGTTGTGAATGCGTCTTGTCTTGTCCAGTGGCTTTTGCCGATCCGCTCGTGCCTCGGAGAGATGTTTGACTTATTGACTTTTCGTTTACTTTGCAGATTCCCAAGCCAAATGAGCAAGAGGGTCTTGGTATTGAGTGGCCTGCCAAGGAGACGGAGATGGATAAATTGAAGGCGTTGTACGAGGAGATCAAGTCGAAGATGTAAGCCATGCTGCGGATATCTGGGAAGAGATAGGTTTCTGGGGGTTCACTTGTGTCCTGGGTTGTCGAAAGTCTGAGGACCGTCTGTCTCGGAGGAGATAAATTGGACGAAACGGACCTTGTTCTATCGAGAGATACTTCCGAGTCACTGGAAGCAAGTAGAATGGAATAAACAAGCATTTGTACTCTATGGGCCTTGTATTGGGATTGATGCGTGCGCGAGCACATGCTCGTTTCTTCCGGCATGCTACCGAAGAAGTATACTATACACTGGCAATCCTCCATTGCAAGATGCTTTTGTCCGTGACCAAACACTCCTCTCCAATGCAAATGGACAAAAAAAGAGTCAACATCAACAGCCGCGCCCGTTGCCTCAACCAATGTATCACATATATCTCAAGCGGAAGGGGTTTCCGCAGCAGCATTACCACGGCCGTTCTTTACACTTTCAGGGTAAAACTCAATCTTGCCATCACCTTGGACAATATCGAGTCGGTCGTACAGCGACCGAGCACGAATGTACGGATCCAGAACCCAGTATTGCTCACGCAGCTGCGCAATCAGATCATCGCGCTTCCCCTTGACGGCCGCGATAGCACTGGTATCCTTGTGGGAGCTGGCGCGCAGCCACTCCATGGTGACGTCTTGAATGTCCTTGGCGAGGACTTGACGCTCAGAGAGCAGCTTGTCGCGGGTTTCGGTGTCCTTGAGTTTGGCATTTTCGCCCTCTTGAACTTCGACGTAGTTGTACTCCCAGTTTTCGTCTCCGTCAAGTTCCTTCATGATCTGACTCGGTGCAATGAACTCTTCCAGGTCTTGACGATTCTTGGTGAAGTGAATCTTGGCGGCGACAACGGGATCGAGCCAACCCTTGATAACACTCCAGATGCCTACATGTGGGTTAGCCATCCTTCGATCATAAGAAAATCAACTCCTGGCATGAGAGGTCATACTTGAGAAAATCCACGGTGCCTTGTGGATTAGGACTGAACCGAGAGACTCGGGATAGTTGGCTTCGAAACATTTGATCATGAACTTGACAGGGGTGTAATCCTGTAGGGAAGTCATCAGCACAACTGCTGGGAGCGGCAAATCCGCCGCGCGCACAAAAAAAACCTACCATGTTCGCTAGTGTGAAGCCGGTCATGTCAAAGATAATAGTCTAAACGCCATTAGCAACCCGTGACTGAGAACCAACAAGCTACGGGTGGTGAACGTACCGCCGTCTCCACGGGTGGTGCAAGCAAAAGCCGCGCCGTCTCGATCGTATACACCGTGAACCGTTCCAACGTGTCCACCTCTTGGTCCGAGGCCTTGTGCAGCCGCGCTCGTACGACACAGATCGGCCGGCCGCGCTTATCGCAACCGTGCAGATAACTCTTGCCCATACGCATCTGCTTCAAAAAGTCCTCGCCCTTCTTCTTCTTGGCGGGATCCGCACTCGACGCCAGCTCCAGCGCTTCCGCCTCGCCGTTGGCCATAATGTCGTCGTCGACATGAACCTCCTGCAGACGCCAGCGCATGGTCGAGATCATCATGATCAGGGCCTTTTTAACGTCCCACTTGCGCGCGCGCAGGAATCGCAGCAACAGCGCATCGGGGTGATCCTGCTTCACCATGTTCCAGAAGGCTGTGCGGATCTCTTCCGGCTGCATCTCGACCAGGGCTTGTTGGAACTCCTTGGACTGCCCGTGCTTGTCGTCACCATCGTTGATGCTGATAGAGGCCAGGCTGGACGTGACGTCGGCGGATGACGAGTGGTTGCTCTTCGTGTCCTCCTCCTCCTCTGCGTTGCCCTTGCTGAAGAGCGACCAGCCACGACGCTTGCTCGAGGTGGCCTTCTTTTTGTCCTGGCCTCCATCGGTCTCGCTCTTGGGAGTGGTATCGGCGGACTTGGCATCAAGACCTTCCACGGGGACGCCAAAGACCTTGAGCGTCAAGACCCAAAATTCCTGTAGCTTGAGTTCCTGCTCGGGAGTCAGAGTCCCGACGGTACCGGGAGCCGGTTCGATAGGCATCGTGGACAGAGTATCGATTACACCGAGGAAGGAGACGTTTTGCGATTGAGAAGGTCGAAGAATCTCCGGTGAGATCGGCGCAGGGGAGTTGAAATAGTTGTTATAGATCCAGGCACCTCCGCCAACAGTGATGATGGTGAATGTAATGGACCACAGTGAAGAGGCCTGTCTTGATTCGTCTCGTGGAAGCGACCGCGTGGAGTAAGAGCGCACGCGAGGAGTCGAGTCGGGCTGGAACTGACGGGCGTATGAGCGAGCGATCCGAGCGCTCCTTTCTAGAGGCGTTGTACAGGGGAAGACACTGCGATGACAATAGTCTGAACAGGATTTGGCCGAGGGTGCAATGCGGCGCAGGACGGAGCAGGCCCGCATGTGGCGGGGGGGCAGTGAGAACGAGTTGTGTAGTTAACTCCTGGATTCCCGGATCATTCGACGCTGGCGCGCTCGAGCGTTGGGTAAATGGTGAGTACGACGATAAAGCTCCTAGACTCTATGAGAGGTGTATTGGAAAAGCGAGGATCGCGAGGGAGGAATATCAATCAGACCGATTCGAGACAACGGACGCATTCCTCAGCCACAAAGTCTCAACTGGACGCTTGAGTGGATTCGGTTTGGAATCAAGGCCGATGACGATCGGCTTCTTGTCCAGTGCGGGGAAGAAGCTTTTGTTGATCGTGTGTGCAGATGGAATTCATGGGAGCTCATAATAATTTGGAGGAATTTACCAGATGACAGTATGAGTGCTCAAGAGATCAAGTCCCCTCATTGTCGAATCCTGTAGTAGTTCGAGCCTCGGCCGGTGATCAGCGTCGAGAACTGTTTTGTTTTGGTTGTTGATGTCAACCTGCTCCAGTTCAGTCCCGCGCTCGACACTCGCAAATTTCCATTTCCACGACTCCAGTCGACATTCACAGACATTGTCATCCGATCAGGGGATCTTGGCTACTAGCGCCCAATCGACTCTCCACGACTATTGCGCAGGTCACACATAACCTCTCACGATTCCTTGCGCGGAGCTGTGCCTCGAAACACTCCAACACACCAATTACGAATCTTCCGCCTCACCCCTCCTCGCCCACAACCAAACGAGGATCATCACAACCTTCCTTCGCGCATCTCCTGCTCGGCAAGATGGAAGCAAAAGCGCATCGCTCAACAAGTCGCCCACGGGCTCCTTCACGTCCCACGACCCCTTTGCGACCGAGCTCACGTTCCTCTTTCCGCGAAGCCCATGGCTACAGTCACAACATCAGCAGCGCGGAATACAACCAGCCCGCCATCAATGCGCTGGAGCCACAATTCGCCGAATTGGCGGACTCCATGGCCGATTTGGAAGCCAATTTCATGCATCTACAATTGATGCACGAGAGCTTGACGCGCTTCAGCGAAAGCTTCGCCAGCTTCTTGTATGGAATGAACATGAACGCCTTCTGTGTGGATTTCCCAGAGGTAGGCATATATTTACATAGGAGAGGGATATGCCGGGTCGTTGGAAGCAATGTGAGGCATCCCATGTGATGTGAATGCGACGCTGACGGCTTACAAGGCTCCAATTACCGATTCATTCAAGAGGGCTAAGCAGGCCGAGGCACAGAAAGGTAGGTCGCGCAGCTCGACTAGCACCTGGGACGATGCTGATTCTTCTTTCTACAGACGCGGAGATTGAACCTACTCGCCCAGATGACGGCGAGATGACTTTCTTGTGAGTGACTGCAATGACCGACCTGTGTTCTCTTTCTTTCATCTACTCTGCCATCACCTGTGATTGGATCTTCACTAACTGCCCTGGGCGTAGAACTACGGACACATCCTTTGTCGAACATCCACCCAGCACCGTCTCCTCCAAACCTTCCAGAACTCCAGCTGCTAGCCGTGGTGTACCTCGGGGCAACACTACCCGAGGTACTGCTGCGCGTGGAACAGCAAGAGGGACCTCACGAGGGTCGACGACCGGACGCTATACCACACGAGGGTCCGATCGGAGTCGACCAAGCGCGCTGCCACGAGGTCGAGGACTGCGATGAACCAATGCGACCTGTGAAGAGCGGCGCGTTTACGTTCCGCGACATATCTGCACAATCGCACTCTCGAACAAATAGTCGAGCCTTTGAATCACATACCCGAGAAGTCAATTTCAACGCGTTCATTGAAATGGCTCATACCAACCGATATTCGTCTCGTGGTCATCGGCAGTGGAGCCGACGGGCAAGGAAAGAGGACATGACGCTGGCTGTCCACCGCTGACGATCGCCATTGGACACTGCACGGTGGGCGTGCAAACCTCGAGCAGGTCATTTTCTTGCAATTGAGCAGAAAGCGGCGACAGTGACGATTTCTGCATCAATTGCGCGCTCAGTTGTACAGCCTTTTCGGGTCATGGCATTCAGCTTGTCTCGACCCCCTCTTTCCATTGAATAGACCTTAGAAATCACACTTTCACTGCCTATCACTTGCATGGTTGCTTGTAATATGTCCCACGAGGTCATGTAAAATGTGTATTCATCCAAAGTTGAAGCCTTCTCTCGATGCACGTAAGCCCAGGAATCTCTCTGGTGGTCGTGCAGATGCGGCACGCCCGATCGCTAATCCGGCGGTAACTCGGAGGCCCTTGCGAAAACTTGAGAGTCAGTCCCCGATGGAGCCACCACGAGATCCGCTGCCGACCCCGGACCAGATCGTTGACTACGGGGGTGGATTCCAAGTCGGGTTGTTCAGATCTTCCAGTCTCCCAAAAGACGCTGCAAGCCACGGTCCTTTGCAGTAATCTCGAGGCATCTTTCTTGTGCTAAGCATTGCCCAGTCGGAGGCACGTTGCCCTCGTTCACCGTCAGCGTGGGTTGCCGCGGCCACCCTGCACCGGCACTGAGAGACCAGCCCTAGAGCAGTGCTTTCTTTGAACCCTCGCTGTCGCCCGTAGGCGACATCGCCAAGTAATCCACTGAAGGACTTGATATCGGTATGTTGATTCCAAAGAAAAGATGAATCGAATTGCGCGGAATCCTGATCATTCGTGGCCAGTGCAATGCTCAGTCAGCTTGGGACCAGTCCTGTGAGGCTCAACGGGATATCTTGAGCAAAAGTGTGGACAGCCCAGAGTTGGAAGGAACGTCGTGGTCTGGTGACTCTCCCAAGAGCGTTCCTTCCCTCATCGATTCCCTAATCGATTAGGGCACTGCCTTGTTTGACGCTCGACACGTTATTGTTTGGACCGTCGGTCCTCTCAGCCTAACGCTCACGCTTTTCTTCTTCTTCCTCTTCTTCCTCTTCTTCCTCTTCTTCCTCTTCTTCCTCTTCTTCCTCTTCTTCCTCTTCTTCTTCTCCTCTCTTCAACCACTCTGAGTCCCCATCCTTCGTCTTGCGTCCATCTTTGATAACCACACGCATCCATCTCAACGTCGTCTGCGTTGAATCTCACTTTTCGTCCTTGGCCCTTTTCAGAGACCATCTTCATATTTCTCACTTCACCTTTTCCTCATCCTCGTCTCGCCCCTCCCCCTGTCCTTTCTTCCTTCTGGCTCTCGCCCCCCTTCGAGTCACCTGTCGACATGGCCAGCCTCGACTCTGTCACTCTCCTCTCCGAGGCAGCCTTCGGTTGTGGTAAGTCATTTCTATAAGCAAGCTCATAACTCCTTTCGTAGTTCTCAAGACAAGACTAACCTGTCTCAGAGCACCTTGCAGCCATCATGCAGGACCAGTCTACGGCTGGCCTGTTCAAGGATGGCTACCGCAAGCAGTATGCGGCCTTGGCACCTTACACCAAGCCCGAGACTGCTGCGGTGCCAACCAGCGGCTTGCGGACAGTGGCTACCCTAAAGCCCAAATACCACTGCTTGAGCTGCTTCGAGGGCTGCCTCAACACGGAGCGTGAGGCTCACACCAAGAAGACCGGCCATGCGTTTTGTAAGTAATCAAGATGATTTGTCTTTGCTCCTGTGCTTGATATCTAACTTTCGGATGTTACTGCAGTCATGGAGTCTCGGAACCGGTACGTCTTTTGCGAGACTTGCGGTGACTTTGTTTATGACCACGGTCTTGAAAGACTGTGCGGCCCTGCAGGTAAATTCGAATACCAGGGTGCGTGACTACCCTTTTCTCTCTGCTCGTGGATGATTCATTCAGTAGAAGCTAACCACTCATGAGGGGAGAATAGGCCGGTGGACTGAAGACTCGGCATCTGAAGTCTACGTCAAAAACAACGCCTACAAGAACCCCTGCTCTCGCCGTGGGGCCCGAGGCGTCTGGAACATGGGCCAGACATGTTATCAGGCCGTGATTCTTCAGGCCCTCCTTCATGATCCCACCCTGAACGCCTACTTCTTGGCGGGGGTCATGACATCCACACCTGCCAGCGCAATCTGTGCATGGGTTGCGCCGCCACCGAGGTCTTCATGGAATTCAACAGCGGCGAGCGGACGGACGCAGTGTCGGCGGCAACCCTGTTGTACCATGGCTGGGATCTGTCACGCGTAAGCTCATCTTCTCATTCCTTTAGTCGGCAGAACCATCTTCCCTCAGCACGTTAGACTAACTTTTTCGGTTGAATACTACAGGAAATGGCCGGGTATCGACAGCAAGATGCCCATGAGTACTTCCAATTCCTGGTCAACGCCTTGCACGCCGCGACCCCTGGTCACTCGGAAAGCTACGACACCAAGTGCGAGTGCTTCTTCCATCGCACTTTCTACGGTGAACTTCGTAGCAGCGTCATGTGCCACAAGTGTGGTAAGACCACTCACACCTTTGACCCGATGATCGACTTGAGTCTCGACGTGCAACTTCAGAACAAGAAACGGAAGCTCGGTCGATCAAGTGCACCAGGCAGTGCCTCCTTAATCAACTGTCTGGAGAGTTTCACCGCTGTCGAGGATCTCCAGCATCAGACCGAGGCGGCCTACCACTGCGAGAAATGTGGAAACACGCCCCAGCGAGCATCAAAACGACTGCAGATCAACAAGCTCCCGGGGATTCTGTGCATGCAGTTGAAGGTATGTGATCACTCCACGTGAATTAACCTTGACAGGCAGAGGAGTCGAGGCTAACAGTGTGTTTAGCGATACGAACACAACTCATCGTCCTCCGAGAAGATGGATGGTCATGTTGATTTCCCGGTCACTCTGAACATGCTGCCATACACGGTTAAGAAGGACAAAGAGCGTGTCGATACTTCCAACTATCTGTATGACCTGTCCACCGTCGTGGTTCACAAGGGAGCTATGGATTCCGGCCACTACTACTCTTACACCCGACTTAGTGGCGACAAAGTAAGTACTCTTACTATTGTCCGTTTAAGGTTGCTTGAAACACGGGGCGCTAACCTTGCTGGGTATAGTGGGTTCTGATGGATGACAACAAAGTCACCGTTGCCAGTATCGCCGATGTTCTCAAGCAGGACGCTTATCTTCTCTTCTACAGCATTCGTGCTATTCACCCTGATAAGTGAACTCGGTCGACTTTGAAGATGTTGAGGGCGGCATGAAAGGTTTTAATACCGGCCAAAGCAAGAACTGGATCGAGACCAAGGATATGCATTAGAATGGGGAATCAGCGTCGTGCGGAACCAGCATGACTACGAAAATAATGTCTTTAGTTTTGAATGAAATGCCTCTCAGGCAAGATCTGAATGGATCGCCTTCCACAAAGTAAAGATTGTCAGCCGGGTGGCCGTTTACATCTACGGACTCAATTTGCGAACCACTTAAGAGCCACCAAGCTGGAAGCGGGGCGCAAGTTGTTGTAAAGTGAGGCGGAACATTGGCGAGGCGAGGGTCATAGATCAAAGTCTACACTCCGGAGTGCAGGAACGTTGGCTGAGAGGCAAGGAAATCCTTCATGATAGTGGGTAAACGAAAAAACAAGAGTCGGATGGGCGAAACATGACATCCGTCCTTTTGATGCGCGAACACTCTCCACACACAGCCAACCCTCTCGGTCCCAATTGACCCATTCCAGGGCCGCCAAGCAGCATATAAGCCCACCCGGTTGCGCTTCTCCATCTAGTAAACGAAACAAGCACAGCAACCAAAACAAGGAAACGATTTTGGAGTCGTCGTGCGGAAAAAAAGAAGAGGAAGAAAACGGAGTTGTTGGGCGTTAAAAAGTCTTTTGCATTTTATTTGCTCCCCCTGTCACTTCCGAACCAAATTTTTCCCATCCCAGGACACTAATCGAGTGGATTTCGCAAAGCGCCTGGGGCACGTACACGAGAGGACGCATCATAGACGAGAATGGATCGAGAAAGCCGTCAAATCATGGACATGGTTTTGAATCGCTTAGCGGTACTGTTGAAGAGAGAGAGATGTCCCTGGTTAGTATTCAAGTGCTGATAATTTGTTGACTAGGAAATCAAGCGCTCGACTGGTCTTGAGACGGTGTTTATGTCTCCGTATTGGTCGGAGTTGCAAGTGTCGATGTCGAGGCTTTGCTCAAGTGGTGTTCGGGATATGGTGCGGGCGCAGAATTAGAAGAAGGAAAAAAAAACGAACCTTGTTGAAACCAATGTCGGTGGACTTCTCACGGAAGCACTGACGGCAGATGTTCATCTGTATGGAAGAACCCAGGTTAGCCCCGTTGTTTGATAGCGCGAGTTCAGAGTGTTCGAGCAGCGCTCATGGTCGCGGAGGGGGCCAGGTTGCACATACGCCGTACTTGCGGATCAGACCGGCGCGGTGAGTGCAGACACGGCTGTAGTCGAGTTGATCCTGATTAGCCTTTCCGATCCTGGCACATCATCCCATCTCTCGAAATTCCCCATCTTTTCGAAATCCAATAGTGAATTCACTCGCTTCCCCAGCGCGCCACTTCTCCGATATTGACATCTTGTAATTTCGAGAACCGGGAGGGGGTAAAAGATGGCTTTAATGCATCTTTTCAAATTGGGGATTGAACACACCATTCGCGGGAGCCCTTGCCGTACCTGCGCAAAAAGAATTCTAGTTAGCCACGATGCTCTTCCCACGAAGTATATATATGTGAAACGATTTCGACCAGCGATTCGAGACGGCGCACGTATTCTTGACTTACTTGCGGGGCCGGGAGTACCAAACAGACTCGTGAGTCATCTTGAAGGTGTCGAAATGGGGGATTTGACGGGTTTGGTTGGTGACGGGGGACGAGGGTCGTTGGCGCTGATGAAGAAGAACGAAGGGCGGACTTTGGTATACCGGTAGGGTTGGAATTTCGTTGTGTGCTGTCCCGATTGGGAACCGGAGGGCACGGGCCAGCTCGCTTGCCCCGACACTAGTCGATTTTGGGGTGCGTTCCCGCCTGCCCTGGATCCGTGATTAGATAATGATTTGGATGCCTTGTGGTTCGGGCCACCTACTCGGCTCGCATTCAATGGCGGTGACAGGAGATTGCTTGCGCTTGTCTGCATTTCAAGTAAGAGCGGATGTGTCCTGACACCCCCCTATCAAAAGAGTCATTCACAAATTTGGTTGAACTTGACGTCTTTGATAAAGCTTCTGTCCACAGAGATGGGGGCTTCCTTATTATTTTCTTTGATTCATATTCTTGAAACGACCATAATCTGCTGTCTTGATACAAGAGCTCATGGGTTTGAACTACTACCTAGTCACGGTTTTTTTGACACCATCCTCCTTAGAGAAGAGACCTTGGTTCGAGGAGATGATGATCTAGTCATAGTACTCCATTGACGCTTCCATGCTGAAAAAGCACCGTAGTCGCGAAGCCTTGAAAATTTGTCATGCAATACTGTACTTGTAGTCTCATCAACCTTGACGTCGAGCAGTCAGCCCACCCCCAATCCAGGGTTCTCTTGTCAAGCTGACATTGCTTGACAACATCTACACAAGCATCCCCCCTCCATATTCTCAATCTGCTTCCAGTCCTAGCGCATAGGGCAAAGTGTTATAGCCAAGGAGAAAAGAACACATTGTTCGACAGGATTGGAGGAGCAATTGATTTTCCTCTCATTGGGTGTCACCTTGATCCAAATATGGCTGAGAATGTGGAAACGTTGAACGTCTGTGGCATCTATTGTACATTATAAAACGCTTATGTGTAGATCTACCTGCTACCTGTGGACGGCATCCAGTAACCTTTTAGGTAAGCCCCCGAGATTCCGTCAGACACCGACTGAGACGGGAAGTCCTGTCGCATGTCACAGAACTGCGTTCTTGCTGAGACGCGAGTCTTCGCTCGAGTATTTCTGGAGAGATCACACCTATCCGACCTGTTCATAATCGTGGAGACGCCTCTCTATCGCTGAAAGACTCTCAATCCGAAACAGTTGCCAATATCGAAAGAGTGATGCCCGTTCAGATGCATCGGGAAACTACACGTTGCAACGATAAGTAGGTACTTCCAACTGTTCCACCCACTTCCGAGTGTAGACGAGGATCAGATCAAGCTTTTCTCTTTGAAGATGGTTTGGTGGTCCATCAGAGCTCCAGCAGGTCCAGGGCCAACCTTTCCCCAGACTCCCCAGACGACATCTTTGTGGGCAATAAGATATTTCAGGCCACGCGACGAGGTCAGTCGCACTCGACGACTTGTAGACAGTTACCGTACAAATCTGCCTCGCACGGATTTTCCCCGTTATTGATCGTTATGCATCACGGGTCACTTGCGTTATTAATGACCCGTAATGAATTAGAGAGCACTGTAGTAGTATAGTGTCCCCTGTCCAGTATCACTATCTACTGTCCCTCTACTGCCCCGGAGACTCGTGGAGTAGCTCAAGTGTAGTACTTAGTGTACGTAGTGCTGGGCACATGTATACCGGGCACATGTATACCAAGTTACCAACAGACCCCACAGATGAAGCCTTGACGATGACTGGACACGGAATGCTCGTATCATATCCCAAAAAGGCGCCCTTTCGCAGGGAGCCGCCGAGTCCCCCGGCTAACGGATATTGCAGAAGCCGAGCATCCGAATTGCAGGCCCGTGCTGCCGTCGATCTGTAAAGGGCGCGATCTCGTGACGTCCCGTGCTCAGCAGTAAGGACAAAGTCGTAAGAACCAGTAAGTGACCTACTTCCAAACCTGAGTACTTTGCAGGTGGGTTTGCAATTGTTCATTATTTTCTAGGCCAGCTGCAGGATACTGAGATGCGGGGAGCACGGGGTCATCAGGACACAAGAGGCGGAGGGTCAGAGTTCAAAAGGGTACATGACTTGCAGGTCAATGCTGTATCCGAGGACGAGCATTGATTGAAAGTCGCGATGGTGGAGATTGGAGAGTGCCCAAGCCGATGATCAACCTTCTACTACACCGAAAAGCTAATCTTGCTGAGCGATGTCGCAGAGTGTGGCTGGAGGACTTGTATATCTTCTTACGTAGTACCTCAGCTATGCCTTTCACACATGTACATTCTCACATTCTCGAAAAAAGTCGATTTGCCTGGCTTCGCAGTTGTACTACAGTAGCGTGTGTTGGTATGCTGTGGAGCAGCTATAATGTCCTGGCAGACCTACTGTAAGTGAGCCACTACTTAGTACTTACTACTTAATATGGTTGTGAACTTTAAACGGGCCAAATCTCGAGCGCGCGGCGAGCATCGGTTCCTAATAGTAATTAGTCTCTTGTCGCCGACTTGACATAATTCATGCGCCGGAAAGTCAAGGACCCGACGATCTTGTCACACCGTCACTTCTGTTGCTCATGATGTGACCGAAACAAAGACTCGGACCACTCCCTGTACAACACTAACAACAGTAGTCAGTGTTACAGTACATCCATGTGAAATGCGGATGGTCGAGGTATTGCCTGTCTGAGCGTAGTACGAACTCTTACAACGTGCCTGTCACTCGAAGAATCCCAGCTCCGTAGGTACGCGATGCAGAAGACCGAGAAAAAAATGAGTACGGCAGCAAGGGCTCCGATTTTTTACTTACTATCTACTTACTATCTACCAGTATTTACTAGGTACCTTAGTGCTTGCTACTGGAGTAAGTACTAAGTACGGATTGTCCTTGCGGGACCGGCAAGTTGTCGGACTCGTCTTCGAGTCTAGCGAAATCATCTGGTCTAAGATACTCAAGACTCCCAGTGGTGTCAATCCGTTCGTCGGGAATATCGAGCTCGTTGGCTCTGGAAGGTTGGAAAAGTGGAAAGTGGAAGGCGGAAACTGACAACTTCAAGATTTGAGAACGATGATTAATCGGCAAGTCATCCATGATCAATCTCCAAATCAGACGTTCGCAGGTGTGACGGGGATTCATGCTGCACAGGACTGGTACAGCATGGCCATCTGGAGACACACATAAGCAAATGATATCCCGGACTATTGCGAGGGATGAATCATATGATGAGTCTAGTGAATGAATCATCGACGGAAGTACCCGGACAGGAACACCAAGTTATTAGCGTGGCTTCACTTGCATGAGCACATTGACAGCACAGCACTAACAGGTGACACTGATCATCACTTAGTACCTGCTGTACTTCGGTAGTCACTGCCTTAGTAGTAGACCCGTAGCTGTGCTGATACCCGTCGAGACGGAATTGCGGATCATATTGCAAGCTCGGGATTTGTCCTAGACAGTGCGCGTGTGTCCTTGAGAGGTGCGTGTGGTTTACAAATCCAGGCCGGACACAGGGTCGAGGCCCACCGAGTCAGAGCTGGGTGGGGCTTCCAGTCAAACCCTTTTTTTTTGCTCTCTCAGATGCCCGTACTGTACTTATCAAGTTTCCATTCGCAGCCCGAATGTCCCGTCCTCACCTCCCGTGTCCATGTTTTACTGGCATGTCCGGAAGACCGCGGATGATCGGGTGAGCACGTTCTTATTCACCGTATCACATGACTTGCTGTACTTGGATGATAAGACGGTCCTAAGTGTCATCCTTCGGCACCTAGGCCTGATCCTCGGGTTTGCAGGACATATTACTCAGCGGAGGTCAAGCTCAAAAGACGGGACTGTCAATGTCGAGCATGTTTCAAACAGTTCTCGTGTTCCATCAAAGCCTGCGAGTAAGGTTTTGAAGGTGGGATGAGAGAAATATGTCTCGAGTCGGGCCACTTGGCGGATGACTAGGTATCTCCATACCTAGTTTCTAACCTGACTCAGATGACTACTATAGTAATGAGTAAGGTAGTTAGTAGTTACAAATTACTAGCAAGTTGACTAGGTCCTTGTACGTACTAGTATGCAAATATGTACCATTTCCGCCAAGTGTTGGAAACCGCGGTGCCGAGAGAATAAGGAACTGCGCTAAGAGTGACGTTTGTTGAGCCTCAGGTCATAGCGCGGTTCTGGCTTGAGCATCGAATGACTCCACTATTGACGAAGACGAGAAAGATTCGATGGCCGGGGCTGGGTAAGTATCTGAATTGTCAGAACAAACCTGGCTCACTGCTGTCAGAATTCGCTGGCAATCATATATGGACGCAGATAACAATGATTCGGTACCATCAGGATTCAATATCTGCAATACCTAGTTCTTGACTCCTGACTCCTAACTGTGCTTGCTTGGCACCTGACACTGCCCAGCACAGTAGAGGCGTGGAATGATGCTCGGGATTTATTCAAAGTCTAGCGGGAGCTTTCTGACTCGGCGATGAGTAAAGTACAGTCCTTGCCCGTGAGATTGAGACATCATCCATACAGTTTTTGAGTCTACTACAATTATTCTTTTAGGTATTGCCGATCAGACACATTCGCTTGTGCACTTTGTGCAGTAATTGTGCGTTCGGGAAATCGGAAGAGACATCACGGCAATCCCGTACCGTTTAACTGATTCGAGTACTAGTACTAAGTAGTTAGTACCTACCTAGTCACTACCTGTCAGTAACTACTACTCAGTAGTAAGGTATTCACTACTCAGTAGAGGTGGCAGTACTAGCAGTAGCAGTAGTGTTGGAATAGTCCCACATGTTACAACCCTTCCCTCCTCTACCCACCGGGCGATCCAAACCCCTAAAGTGCGACTCGGAGGGAGCAAAAAGGCCGTGCGAGGCCGAGCCCACACAACAAGGATGCTCAAAGACGGAAGACGGTAGCCCTTGCGCTGCAGCTGTCACGTCTTTGTGATGGCTCATAGTGGCTCGTGCCATCGATGACTCTTAAGGTCCTCGGGCCTTGACATCTACGTGGCTTGGGAGTGAGTACTTAAAATCAAGTGAAAGTCTGCCAAGCTAGACATGAGCTACTTAGTCAGAATATAACTCTCTCGACTTATGGGTTCAGATCTGTCAAAAGATACTTTGTCTTCTAGGTCAGTTTTGGGTGACTTGACGTGAGTGAGTGACAGCGCTCCCGTTACTTCTGCTAGTAGTCACCATTTGTAGACCACTTGGAGCAATAGTCACACGAGATGCTTACTACGCACCAACCCCCTGTGACCTGCTGATGTACTGTAACTAGTAGAAACTGAGTAGGAAGTGGTACCTAAGGAGCCCTCCTACTCTCACTATGCTGATGATCAATGCTGAACCCTCGAAAGCGCTGGGGGAAAAGCCGGATGAGATCGATCAGCCGCTGGCTGCCAAGAGCGCTGCGCAACGCTGCGCGAGGCTGGCAGGCCCTTATGTTGGGCATCAACACCCGGCCATCTCCTATCACAGTGCTGCCGAACTCACACGGTACACTAAGTCCACACTCCACGGTCGTATTTTCGTTCAACGGTCCGCTTTTGGCGGTAAAAATTGATCTCTGGATACTGGTAGTATGTACCAGTAAGTACGTGGTACGTACTGTAGTCTGTACATCTGTCAGCCTTGTCAATGCACTGCAGCGATCGAAATACGTCATGCGCCTGGAGACGAGGAAAGGCGGAAAGGCGGAAAGGCTCTTGGTTGGATACCCCTAGACAAAGTACAGATTATGATGACTGTTGTGTTGTGCCTGATTTTCGGTCGAAAAATTGAGCAGCGTACTAGGCAGTAGGCACAAATTGCCAGGCCAGGCGAGATGTTCCGATACACCTTGGAAGAGGACCCCCTTCCCGAGCATCGTCCTACTGCCGAAATACAAAGTGGTGCTAATCGCTAACCGATCATCCGACAGGAATGAGGTCATTCAGGCCCAAGGCAACGGGATGGATGGGGCTATCCCTTCAGATGTGAATCGTCTAGATCCCGGCCCCTCCGAGCCGAGACTGAGAGTTCGTCCAGAGTCCAAAAACCGGTTTCGCCAAGACTCACTCCGTTGTAGCAGGCGGGCTGTCATGCCACAATCATTATTCTTGTGCAGATGACAATTCCCAGCGACTGCAGATCCTTGGGTTGCAAAAGTCGGCTCTCCGCTACCGTCTGAACCGACCACCCGCCTTTCTTTGTGCAGGAGTGAGAGTTGTACAAATCCAGGATGCAACGAGTACTCTAGAGTCCTTGACTGTCGACGCAGATGGTTCCCCGACAGTGTTGCTGGAGATCACATGGATCGGAACAACTAACGAAGATGGCCTGTGAAGATCGAGTCCTTGGCCACCGTCTCAGAAAGCTATAAAGTGGCAGAGATGACGCTCCTCGCTTAGCTTCGCGATAATCATGGATCGAACGCAGCCAAAAGAAAGCCAAGGGAGAGAGGAGTGGAAGACACGGCGGAAGACTCTGGACTCTCCTGTAGTACATAGTAGGCTTTGGATGCCTTTCTTACTCGGTCTTACCCACTCGCCCGACCACTGCATTTTCGGGCGACGGAAACTCCGCTTACGAAGTACTGCCACGCACCCCCGGCGGCGGAGACTTTTATATCCGCCATCTCCGAGGGAGCTACAGCGGCAAAAGGCTATTCGTTGATTTTATACTATGTGCGGTACAGAAACGGAATTATGAAAAAGAAACAAGAAAATGAGAAAAGGGCAAAAAGAGAAAAAGAAATAAACAAAGATGAAAGGATCGGTATTAGCTGGACATGATGCAAGACCAAAAGGGAGTAGTAGAAGCTTCCTGTTCTTGGTCATCTGTGTGAGGTACCTCCTGCGGTCCCATTGTCATCGTTCGAACAGGTTCCCGATTCCTTCCATTGAATTATTAATTGCTTCCTTTAAAAAGAAAAGAAATTCGATGTCCCTGGGGTCGGGTCACTTCTCATAAACCCAAGTTTTCCCCCCCTTTGATTTAATCCCAGGCGTTCTCGAACTACATCTACTCTCTCAGCCCTACCGATTCCCGGTTCCCTCGTGCACTGGTTGCGCTTCCCACTACAACTGATCTTGCTGCGGCGTGTCGAGACAAGTTCTGGTCCTAGTCACGCGGAGCTCCTAAGTCCTCGGTACACACGTGCGACTGACGCATCAACCATCCCCAACAGAGCTCGTTGGAACTGACCTCCATTTCCGTCTGGTTGCGAAAGCCGGCGTTTACGTCACATTTCGAAGCTCCGAGCTCTCCAGCTGAGCGATCTTACTCATCACATCTTTTTTCCCTCAATCTGGACTGAGTCCCCATAGTAGACGGACAGCCGGGCGATTTTTCGTCCTGGAGAGTGGTTTACTTCAAAATTGCCAGTTGGGTCCCGATTCACTCTAGTGGGACCGGCGCAATGAGATCTTTCATCTATCGCGCTGCGATTGCAGCCACAGTGCTTGCGCAACTAGCGATAGCGGTGCCACATGGAGATGACGAGCATATGGGTATGGATATGGATATGGATATGGATATGGGTGGTGGCAGGGCGGCGACCTCGTCGCCATCCGCAGCTCCTCCAGACGACGGTCCAATGAGTTACTTTGCGTATAGTAAACACACTGGCGCAATCATGGCGCATATTGCGCTTATGATGCTCGCCTGGTGTATCGTTCTTCCAGCAGGTAAGTAACACAGCATCGTTGCTCAGCAAATGACGACCGTTTCCATAAGTACGAGTCCAGGTGTTGACACTGTTTGCGATAGCTGTAATGCTCAGCGTGGCGCGCTCACGACTTGCCCTACCGTCGCAGCTCCTTTTTCTTCTGGTGAACGGTTTCGGCATGCTCCTGGGAATCGTCTACAACAGCCAGACTCCGGACCTCTACGAGAACAACGCGCACCACAAGATTGGATGGATCGCGACATGGGTGTTCAGCGCTCAGGCTGTCTTGGCTCTCATTTTCACTTACGCCGGACGTGGCGAGTCTTCTACAGACAAGGACGCCTACGAGCACGCGGCATTCTTGCCCGTCGCAACGGACGATCATGAACACACTTACCCGGCGCATGCCACACATGGCTATCGCTGGTCCAGAGACAGCGGCCAGGGTACGGAACCAGGTTCCCCGACCCATGACACAAGTTCCTCTTCGTCTTTCAATTCACCAGTAGAATGCGACGATGGATTCGAAAAGCCCGAGGCAGAGCTTCCTGTTCAACCAACGCCAAGGAGGGGATGGTTACACAGCACTTTTGTGGACCGCTTCTTGTCGAATCGCGTTCCAGGCCTGGTTTCCAACCGGGTGCTGCGCATCTTCAACGGACTGTACAACGTGGTAGATCGCATCATTCTGCCTTTTGGATTTGTCGCCATTGCAACCGGCGCGGTGACTTACGGTGGTATCATGCGGGATCGCGAAATCTTCAATGGTCTGGCACACTTTATCAAGGGAGGAATCTTCTTCTGGTATGGAGCCCTCACGTTGGGTCGCTATGTCGGCTGCTGGGCGGACCTAGGATGGGCCTGGAACAAGAAACCTCCAGCCTCAATCGTGGGGTGGAAGGCAAAGGTACCCACGGGAGAATTCACCGAGTCGTTTGTGATCTTCTTGTACGGAATCACCAACGTCTTCCTCGAACACTTGGGAGGCAATGGGCAATGGTCCGCAACTGATCTGGAGCACGTCTCCATCTCGGTTATGTTCTTCGGCGGCGGCCTGGTAAGATCTTCAATCCATGTTTGTGCAGCAGGGTGAGCGGACGAGAAGCGAGCAGAACCTGTGCTAACCTTGTCCCTTCTTTCGATAGGTCGGTATGCTCTTCGAGTCCTCCCGCATCCGCGAAACCATGAACAGCACTATTCTCCGAACCCCTGCACACGTTGGACGCGATGAGCGCTGGCAGACTCCCAAATCACAAGGTGTTTCTCTGAACCCTATGCCCGCCCTGATCATCTTGCTGCTGGGTATGATGATGGGCTCTCACCACCAAACAAGCATGACATCGACGATGGTTCACAAACAATGGGGTAACATGTTGATGGGCTTCTCCTTGGCCCGCGGCATGACCTACGTTCTGCTGTTCCTGCGCCCACCCACGTCGTATCTGCCTGCTCGTCCGCCCACCGAGATCGTTGCATCGTTCTGCCTGATGTCGGGCGGCTTGATCTTTATGCTGAGTACGCGCAACGTGATCGAGGCTATGGAGTATTACGATGTGGATGCCATGTTCACCTTCACTGTTGGCATGGGCTTCACCGCTTTCATCATGGCCCTGGAGATTCTCTCGATTGCACTGAAGGCATGGGCCGTGAAACGCGAGCACCGACCCCAATTGGGATTCCACTTCCCTTAGGGTTGGTTCCTTTAGGGGGCGGTATTTGCTGATGACTATCACAACGAACTCAATCTTGCTTCGTCCTGGTCTTAATTTTGACCAGTGCTTTTTGCGTCCTTCTTTTCTTTTAACTTTTCTCTCATGCGTTCCCCTTGATACCCCTTTCTCCAAACGACAGTTTGGCGATCAATGCGATATCGGCAATGGTGTGGCGTGATAGACAAGGGAATGATTACGGATATATGACTACGAGGAACGAGAGGGTGTGTCTTGCTGTGCGATTGTGGCTTGATGAGGCGATCGCATGGACTGGACGCCGGGCCTTTTGGGTTTGGGGTTGTTGAATGGGCTACGACCGTGGTTTCTTCATGAATCTTTGTTCGGCCATATGACTTAATGTGTACTAGATGTTATGCGAGATTGGAATGGCGATTTTTTTTCCCCCACAAAGCCTGAATTCTTCGGCGGTATATCATTACCGTACAAGTTATTCTATTCAGAATGTATAAGTCTTGCTTTCTGGATCATACTTGTCGACGAGGAAGCAGATTGGATGAAGTTGCTGAACAGCATCCAAGCTTTCTCCCATACTCCACGAGGAGCTACCGATTATCTGTGGCCTACGTAATCTTTGTACTCCGACCCACCCACAACCTTCAGTTAAGGGTGGGCCTCACTTCAACCGCCAAATTTCACCATCTCTAAGACCTACTACCCTCTTATACCAACCTCCATGCCTAAGGCTAAGAAACTCAGTGAAAGGCGTCTTACTAAAGCTACTTAAGCCTACCACTAAGCCTAAAAGCTAAATATTAGCGTAATTACGCGGCTATATAGTATCCCGCGCACTACTGTTACGGCCTACACACCATAGGGCAGAGGCCTACGCAGATGAGATCCCGAATCCATAGGGGATCACGGGATCATCGAGTCATATAACCTACTACGGGAATACCTACGAAAAATAGGCTAGAATCAGTCAGGACTCAGATAATATCGCTAGCTTCGCGAAGTAATCTCTCCAGATACGAGAGAGTGGCTTATACTGCCTGATTAATCTGTAACTGGTCCGTAGAATTCGTCTCTGTGAATACTCGAAGGGGCCTAAATCCTAATATGTGCCATGGTGATGGATACCTGGGTGAAAGAAGAGCGACCCGAAACTCAATCGCCCTGGTAGAACCTACGCCCATATGACAGCTATTCACGCTTACTATTTCTAGAGGGCTGTGCACAGCCATCAGCGCTAAATTCTAATGTAGTAAGGATGGGATATGTATGCTAGCCTACACAAATCCCACCCACATCCGTGACTTGGTGCTGAATTGACGCCTTAAGACACATCATTGGCGTACGGGCGGGGGCGACACGTTTCGTCTGACCTTCATAATCGCTTCCGTCTACTTGATGCGATAGAGTGGGTAGTGTTCCCTGCAGGCGGCCCGTGTATAATCATGTTACATGTAGGCTCTAATACATCAAAAAGTTGATTTTTTCACGCCACGAGCGCTTAGGTAGTCTGCACGACCCCAGTCTTTGGGCGTTCGCATCACGACGCTTTTTGAAGCAAGCGATCCTCGGTGGCTATTGGGATACACGATTCGGGCCCATGTAGAACACTAATCTATTACCTCACAATTCCTGCTGCTTGTGGGGAACCTTGGTTTACAAAAGTGGTTGTCTTATCGGGTGTCTCGCAGATTATTCAAAGAGACTAAGTAGTCCTTGGTCCTTCCCTCAGTTCCATTCCAGTTTCATCTGCTTTTCTGAGGGATTCACGCATCACATCAAACCTGGTACTGTCAACGCATCTCGCCCTTCAATGATTTGACTAACTATTTGCATAGCGAAATGTGCTGGCAGAGATGGAAAACCCCCGCCAAATTCCCTGATTGCAAGGGAAAAAGCCAGGGAAACTGTACTGAATTCGATCCTCCCAACGACCATGGTCCATATCCAGTGGTGTGTCGAGGCCCAGAAGAGAGGCGGCCGCGGCATTTGCAATCCTTGTGACTCCAACGTCGCAAGGAAGCTCGACAAAGCGCGGCCACAACTGCCCTGCACATCGCAACAACTAAGTCAGGATCTTATTTGGATTGTCACTGTGTCAGAAAAATGGTGGAGAAAGATCTGGATGCTTGACCGTGATGAAGGGACTATGATTCGGGACGAGGACAGCGAGTGGGTCATGTGATAACAAGATTGTATCTAAGCAGCAGCGCCAGCCCCTTGAAGTACAATCAACCCATTTAAACTACCTTTTGTTCCTCTAGTTATGTCCTCTCCTTTCCTCGATATTCGAGGTGATCCGATTCCCAAAGAGCAGGTTGTCGGGTGTGGAAGCTCTGCAGTCATTCTGCTTCAAAATGGCGTTGCCGTCAAAACCCCGTTAAGATATCTTTGGAGCTCAGACTCCGATGTCGAAGTGAACGTTCAGAGCGTCAGACGCGAGCAAGACGTTTATCGTCGCTTGCAAAGCCTTAAGGATGACCGCTCAAAGGGCATTGTCAGTTGTATTGGCTTTTCAGCTGAAGCCACCCAACTGGCTTATATGGCTAACGGCGACCTTCGGACTTATCTTGCAAAGTGCCGACCTTCTCATCAGCTTCAACTCGCATGGTTTCATGAGATGGCACGCACACTTTGTTATATCCACGACAGACGTGTGCTTGTTGCAGATATCGCTACTCGGAATTTCCTACTTGATACAGATCTGTCCCTCAAAATATGCGATTTCTCTGAGGCATCCCTCCTTCCATTAGATTGCAATATGGAGACTGTGGATGACAATGGATTTACCGCACAAATCGACATCGGCCTTCTTGGAACAGTTATGTACGAAGTTGTGACTGGCAGCAAGTGTGATGTCGACCTTTTCAAAGATAATTCTCCTACCGACGGCAGAGCCTATTGGCCGGAGAGGAAGTCTCTGCCCAGTACACAGGGCATCTGGCTTGGTTGGATAATTGAAGGCTGCTGGGATGGTGGATTTCGCAGCGCCCACAGTCTCCTGCGAGCGTTGGATTCTGTTAGGACCGGTGAGGTCTTGTGAGGTGAGGGAGAGTAAGAGTGAGAGGATCTGAGGTGTACTGTAGGGTACAGTTGAATTCCAGACTAATCGTTGAGGAGTCTACATCTATCTAACCTGTCCTTCGCAGGTGTTCCCGTAGTGGGTCATGTGACTCGGTGATTTCGTGATCCCCTGGGATTTCGGGATCTCATATGTGTAGACCTGTGGTGCGTAGGTCGTAACAGTCTGGGACCATATTCGAAGAAGATATACCTAGATAATTCTTATTAGGAGGACTAGGATTTATCTCTTCTATCTTAAAAATAGGATCGATATCTTCCGAAGGAGGTGGCTTTACGCCGAATCTGCGTATGTAGCGTGTTAAGAATACGGTTATTTTGCAAGCTAGTGCTTAGGCAGAGTAGGAAGTGTTGAAACCTTATTTTTTGGGCTAAACAAGGCTCATAACCTGATGGGATACAGCTACGGTAGGGGTAGCTGTATCAATATGTGAGAGGGATGAGGAGTGAGATTGCTGTGGGGGAGAGATTCTACCGAAGCTATTGACTGTGGTGAGTGGCAGAATCACATGTCATACGAATAGCTTCGAAGCTGAGGTCTGGGGGCCTGCGACGGCTGATAAGCTGTGATTGTCTTACAATATTACGTCTGATCTATGCCTAATTCGGTCTATCTGGGGCCTCTACAACTAATAAATACGCGAGATTACTCTAGCCGGATTCGGCCTATTTTTTTTGACCGCTCTTGCGAAAACTTACACCCCACCGGAAGGGGTATGAGTGAAGTTTTTGTAAGCTTTTGCATATACCGCCCACGTCCCATTTCGATGTGGATCAAGTCCGGAGCTAACCAGCCTTATCGCCGAAACATGTGCCGATTGCCGGGCTGACGCGCGAAGCCGTCGAACTTGCATTTGCATCCGCGGCCGTGACTTGAAGCTCTCATTAGTCATGTGCTCGCTTCTGAAGAAAGATCTCAAACGCCCTCGTGTCATAAAAACATACAGTACTCTCCCGGCAGGACTCAGCTGCAGCCATACTCCTGTCATACTCAGGGTCCCTACTCGGTGTGCTTCGTGAAGAAACTCAATTTCGCATCTTGCGGTGGTGAGGGGCAAGTGGAGAACTGGGTCTCTTCCTCCGCCACCATCTCCAAGCACGGAAAAATGCCCCCCCAAATCGTCATTCCCGCTGTTAAGACGGGCTCGATGCTCCATCCAAGACTCTGCGACTGCGCGTGATTGGACTGGCAACGGGGGTGAATGGAGTTGATCATGGAACGCCGCCGAATCCCGCAGGCACAGGTCTAGCAGTTGTTGCCGCAACATGGTGGAGGTTGTCGAGAATGGGGCGGCGAAACGAGGTGCGGCATATATAGACGAAATTTGGAGATTCCGCTTTTAACCTCGGCGATTCCACCTTGAGATCAGTGTTTGCTCTTTGAACGCTCCATTCCTCTGCAACTTTAGCTTTCAATCACTTTCGCGCACGTCCTTGTACTCCCATAAGTTCGCAATGGCCTCCAACGCACCCGCTGCATGCTGCGCCTCTGGCTTCAAGCACCAGGGCACTCCCGCCGGCGAGGTCAAGAACATTGACGGTGGTAAGTAACTTTGACAAGGATACGAATCGCTTTGCCCCCATGATATGTCATTTGAGAATGACCTGGGACCTTAGACTAATGACTCCCTTTTCCTCAAACTGCCAGTCGACACCTACATCACATACCCCAAGGACAACCAGACTCCCGAAAAGGCCGTTGTCTTCTTGAGTGATATCTTTGGCATCTTCCCAAACTCCCAACTACTGGCCGATGAGTATGCCAAGAGCGGCTACCTCACCGTTATTCCGGACTTGTTCCAGGGCGATGCCATCAGCACCGCGGATATGGACTCGGGCAAGGTCGACTTTGGTGCTTGGTTGCCCAAGCACCAGCCCGCCAACGTTGACCCCGTTGTTGAGGCCACGATCAAGTATGTTCGTGAGACATTGGGAGTGAAGAAGGTTGCTGCTGTGGGTTACTGCTTCGGTGCCAAGGTAAGCAAAAGATTCGATACGTGATCAATTGAATCCGGGAGAAGAGCGTCAATATCTGGAACCAAGAAACAGGCTTGGAAACTGACACAATGCGTGACACGCCCTTTTAGTACGTCACTCGCTTCTTGAAGACCAACAAGGCCGACGTGGGTTTTGTTGCCCACCCCTCGTTCGTCACTCACGAGGAGCTTGGCGCCATTCAGGGCCCCTACTCTATTGCTGCTGCTGGTATGTCGTTTTATTTCCCATATTGCTTCGGTCAATTGAAAGTGGTTGACATCTAATACATTGCCTTTCCTCTCTTTGCAGAGACCGACTCCATTTTCACCACCCAACTTCGTCACGAGTCCGAAGAGACCCTCATCAAGACTGGCCAGCCCTGGCAGATCAACCTATTCGGCGGTGTCGCTCACGGCTTTGCCGTTCGTGGTGACTTGAACGTCAAGGTTCAGAAATTCGCCAAGGAGCAGGCCTTTTACCAGGCTGTTGCTTGGTTCCGCGAGTACCTGTAAGGAAGAGATTATTCTATTTATCGCACTGGATCTCATCCACCAAGAGAGTTGATAATCCTGCCTAAAATGATTGGAACTACGGCTTGCAAAGGGCTGATTTGTTCATAGAGAGGAGTCAGCCAACTTTCAGACTTCTAGATTATGAGAAATGAATGTTTGAACCTTTCACGAATTACGCGCAAATACTGAAATTCTGTAATACCAAGGTCGAGCACGGAGATCGACCGTGAAGAAGAACACAGCGCCGGCCTAAGATGGTGCGCCAGCTGCTGTCATAGTCTCTCCAGCACCCGACATCAAACCTCGAAGATCTTGCTTTTCAAGCCAAGTCTTGAATGACTGACAAGGGATCTCCTTCTTTAACTGCGCAGGCTCGATCACATTCTCCAACCCAGCACAGTAGCCAAATTCCCCGATAAAAGCCAATCCACCCAAGACCTCTTCCGGGATCCCCGTTGCCCGGGCCATGTCCTCCATTGTCATCGAGATCAACTTTACTTCCTCTCCCGAGACCGCGGACCAGGCGTCCACGACACTCTGAAGACTCAGATACTCATCATACGCAAGCAACTTGGTGCCCGGCTGCTCATCCTCCACTAGAGCACGCACAAAGGCGCCCGTGGACGCAGCCGTATCGATAATCGGCGTCCTCGTAGCTCTCCCCGTGGGCACCACGCAGACCAACTCCCCCGTGCGAGGGTCAGGTCTCGGCGCCAGGAACGGATTGGTAGCATAGGCGCCCAGGTAGATGAAAGACGCCTTGCCCGCGAGTCCCGGTCTCGCCAGGATATACTCGACGATCGAGGCTTTGGTCTCCCAATGATGCGAGGCCGCGTACTTTCCGCCCGAAGCGGCTTTCATCGGCCCAAGGGCAGAGTAGACGAATCGCTCGAGCGTGGGAATACTCGCCGCGACGTCGGCGGCATTTCGACCATGTCGTACCTCGATGTCAAAGGCTTGCTTGACGCTCGTATCGTGGTCGAGACCGTTACTTCGAGCGTGAGCGTAGGGTCTCCAGAAATCGGTATTGAGGAAGATTGCGTGCACGCCTTCAAAGGCGCGGCGGAGGGACTCTTTATCGTCGAGGTCTGCTTTGGTGACTTCGGCGTGGAGGGCGGCGAGTTCGCCGGCTTTAGGAGATGTTGGATCGCGAGTCAGACAGCGGACGTGCCAAATTCCTAGATCCAGGAATGTTCGAGCAACTGATGAGCCTTGAATACCTGTTGCCCCGACTATGGCGATGGTTTTCTTCGAGGGGGGGCTCATGTTTGGATCTTGCGTTGCTTCAGGATACCGAGTCTCGATTAATGAGTGCGATTAAAGAGTGAGAAATTGAGTTCGTGCTTTGGATTGTAGTGATTTCATCTTGAGTCTCGAGAGATTCTCGAAGCCTTTTATATCGCTCAGGTCTGCGTGGTCTTCACATCGGAGTTAACAATCAGGTGCTTTGCTGTATAGTTGGTAAGAATGCGCTGATTGGTCCTCGGGGCGTAAGCCACGAGTAAGCCAGCACACTTTATGGAAACCTCTCATCTTGACTTTCACTTCAGAACAGTCCATGGGTTTTCCTCATAGTGGCACGCAGAAGCTGTTCGGACCAACGCGGCCTGCGGCCATACCATGAGTGTCTTTACGTATCTGCACGCGCGTCGCTTCGAAAGGTCGTCTGCGATTTCTACTCTGTACGTTGCGCAAACGGAGATAAGGTGACGTTCTGAATAGAGGTCATTCTCATCCGAACAGTCACCCCGCAATGAATACATCTACATTCTTCAACGATCTATCTGGCCCATCCGGTCCATCCGGTCCATCTCGACCTTCTTCAGCAACCAGATCTCCGGACGAGACTCTTCGCGCGAGCAAAAAGAGAGTCGTCACTGCAGCCCGGAGAGAGCAGAACAAGAAAGCCCAGCGAGCTTATCGTATGTGATCATCTGGTAGTCGCCATCTTTGGTTTTTCGAACCTTCCTGACGGGAGATTTCAGGTGAAAGGCAGAAATTACTCCGAAACTCTCCATCCACCCGTCATGGCATGAGTTCTCGAAAGATCGCTCCTCGATTATCACCAAGTCACGGCCTTGGCTACTCTCTGCACAATCACAACACCGACCATGTCTACAACTCTGACCTCAGCATGCAGCTAATTCTACCGGCCAGACATCTCGCAGACCCATTAGCAAACACCCTCCAAACCACCCGGGACGCCTTCTGGTCTGCGATTCTCCACAACGCCCAATGTCTCGGCTTCGACCTCAACAAGCTCGCTGAATGTGGCCATACCTATACATCGCCATTCTACAAATCAATTACCCCCGACGATCAGCCACGAGATCTGGTGGCTCCATGTCTGAGCACGTCTACGCCCATTTCTTTACGGCCCACCATGGCCCAAATTTTAATTCCACATCATGCCAGCCTGGATCTTATTCCCATTCCGTTGTTGAGGGAGCGCGCTATAATGCTGACATTTGCCCTTCCGGAGGTCTATAATCTCTTGGAGTTGAAGCAGGATGTTTACGGTCGTGATGGGTTGGCGTGCTTGAGATACTCGGATGAGGGAGCTTGTCAGCCTTGGGATCCGCAGAGTTGGAGAGTTAAGCCCTGGTTTAGGAGTAAATGGAGAATGGCCGTGGATGATTAGGTGGTAAATTCATACCCGACCGCTCAACGCCATAATAATAAAAGCAATGACATTGTCAAAGAAAATCGAATTCAGCTCCTCTCGAAAAGATCTCTGGCTGAATGCGTACACTGTAGACGGGTCAGGGTAGTGGTACTTCTACAGTGAACAGTCACTGCACTGCGTCCACACTCCACTCTTGTCTTGTCGGCCCGTCGGCGGAGACGTGCTGCCACGGGGGTACGTGACAAAGTCCACGTCCCCCGAACTTGTCAGTCCGCCGCCGCACGCCGAGTCGACTTTTGTCTTTCCGCGCTCCTTCAATACCCAACCTTGCGCCTAATTCTGTCCTGTCGGTGATCGGTCCATACTCATCGCGCCAATCTCTCGCAGTGCGCTCAAGTGTATCGTCGTATAATTGACTGCTTCTTGACGGTGACTCGTGGTAACTGCGAGCTGTACAACTAGATCGATTGTGTGTCCCTGGTGAGTTTATCCCTGGTGCACGACTGACCCACTGCCGTTGCACTTGAATGCTGTGATTTTTTTTATGAGATTCAGTCGCTGAATTTAATAGTGGCCAGCTAACAGTGACGTGTCTCTAGAGGCGTCTGACCAAAATACAATTATATTTCTTGAAGTCGGACTGCTCAATTTTCTGACCATATACCTCTCGCATTGCTCTAAAATACCTGCGAACTTCCACGTCTATCTGCTCCCGCCGATCCGGCTCTGCTGAATAGAACTCGTTTGTCCGATCGAGGCTATCCGACTTTCTCTTCACTGCGGTCTGGTCTTGATTGCCGGCGCGTCCTGACAAGAATTTTTGTGTTACAAAATCCAAGGCTGCGATTCAACCACCCCCAACATGACTACCCCGGCCGCGTTACCCCCGCTGCCCTTTAACCCGGGCAGGGTCCGATCATACGTCCTGCGCTTGCCGCTCTTCACGCGACTGGTCCTTCTGGTAATACTGGTGTTTTGGTTGCTGGAATTGCAGACCGTATGGAGCGTGGTAACATGGGGCGCCCTGATCCCAAATGAAATCAATATTGGCACGAGTATGTTCCTCCTGGGTACCCCCTTCGCATTTGAGCCGACTGTGGCTTCGAGAAATGGTTCTGGGCTGACGCTGGTGATAGTGTACCGACTCAACACCTACCCTCTGATTCATACTGGTTTCTTCCATGCGGCTCTCAATGTGCTGGCATTGACGCCCCTTTTGGAACGGTTCGAGGCGGAGCATGGTACTCTCACCTCAATTGCTCTCTTTGTTGGACGTACGTACTCTTCTCCAGCAACAAGCTCCTATCTCGGCAGGTTGCTCCATGTCACGGCAGAAATTTCCGAGGAAACTAACACGGCCTCCTCTTTTCAGCGCTCTCAACTTTCCCTGGAGGTTTGTACACTGTGATTGAAAGATTCCTCTTGAAGAGCAACACCCAGGTCATTGGGTCGAGGTCAGTACTGACAAATACATGCACTTCTGTTTGTGGGCTCAGATCGCTGATTTTGCCATCTGTCTCAAGTGTCTGGGTCTTCCTTCTTCTAGGCTCCGAGGCCATTCGGACATTCAAGTCTAGCCCCTATTTTAGGTATCGTACATGCGCGCCTAGAAATCGGCCAAGGGTTCGAAAGCTAACTCACTGAAACAACAGTCTGGGTCCGTATAAAATCCCTACCTGGACATCGCCGCTCTTCGCATGCGCTGTGCTCTCGATTTTGGTATCGAGCGCGAGCTTCCTTGGCCACATTTGCGCTATTCTGATCGGTTACCTGTGTAAGTCTCATGCGGCATCTGTGCTTCATGCTTGGTGTACGTTGGCTAATGACAACAACAGTTGGTCTTGGTTATCTCAAGGTCTTCGTGCCCCCCGAGAAAGTCCTCCGATGGATCGAGGGCAAATTGAACCTCCTCGGAAGACTCCCGCACTATGTCTCTGTCGACCAAAAGACCTTTGGTCGCTACGGCGTCTTGCCTTCCGTGAATGCTGCTGGTACGTCTGGTAATCAGGTACCGATGGGCTTGATGGGGTCAAACCAGCGCCTCGGCGATTGAGAGAAACTGTAACGACGTCTGTAAACGAATCGCATGTACACGCTGTGTCCGGAATCATTTGGGCCTGGCAGATTATGATTTGTTAAAAGGGCTAGAACATGGTCGAGTGCAGATTGAAACATAGCATAGCGATTAGCATCTCTAATAATATTGCACATCTGGTCTTCTCCGCTTCTCGTAATTTTTCCCCGTACCGCAGCCTGCCCCGAGCTCCGCTCTCCAAGTCCGCGGGCTGTAGCTAGCTGGCCTCCCTCCCCATCCGACCACCCATCCATTCACTCTTTCCAGCCGGTTCACCGTGGCAATTTGGGGACTGTGAGTCTCAATGATCACCCGTCAATGACGCTCAAATGTAAGAGCCCTGATGCGACTGTTGCTCACAAACCACATTTACAAGGCGCGACCGAGGCTCTCACCATCTAAACCATCTCTAACAATTGTTGGAATAGCTACGATCCGCAGTCTGCGGAATAACCCCCAATTCCTTTTCGGTCGCTTGCCTAACATCCTTTCGTTCCTCTGCATTGTTGTAGGCGTGGCTTGGCTACTTCTACTTCCCTTGGACGAATACTCCCGGCAAACCTACATTTCCGAGAATGCGCTCCTGCCGGGCCAAGTACACGCTTACTTCACCGGCAGTGAGCAGAACATCTTCCGAGGATATAAGAAAGAGCTCCAGGGGTTGATCCAGGATGGTCGCGAACAAGGACCACTCAATCCCGCGGTGGTATCAACACCGGAGTATGTGAAGAGAGAAAGGTTGAGGGTGAAAGACCTTTGTGCGCGGTCACGCTGACCGTTGATAAATTAGGATTTCAAACAAGATCTCTTCGATCTTGCGAGATGCTGGACTCAAAGTTGCGACTCAAAAGTACGAGTACAAATCGGCGGGAATCACATACCAGGGAGAGAACGTCTATGGTATAATTCACGCGCCACGAGGCGATGCGACAGAGGCAATTGTCTTGGTTGCAGCGTGGAAGACGGCCGATGACGAATTGAACTTGAATGGTGTCACGCTGGCATTGACTCTGGCCAGATATTTCAAACGTGAGTTGTCTGATGCTCGCAGGGATGGCTTTTGGGGGAGGGGGGGGGGGGGAGGAAATGACTTCATTTTCTAACCTGAACTCGTCCGAACATTTAGGCTGGTCGCTTTGGTCCAAGGACATCATTCTCGTTTTCCCTCCAGACAGCAAAACAGGTACCCAGGCCTGGATCGATGCATATCACGACTTACACCCCGCGTCTGTGCAGCCGCTTCCGTTGAAGAGTGGCGCGTTGCAAGGGGCGCTGGTCATCGAATATCCCTTTGAGCATCATTTCCGCAGCCTCCACATCGTATATGATGGAGTCAATGGCCAGCTTCCGAACCTCGATCTCTTCAATACAGCCGTGGCGATTGCGAGCGGTCAAATGGGAATGGGCGCCAATCTCCAGGAGATGTTGCAACACGACAATAGCTACCAAGACCGCCTGAAGACTATGATGCGAAGCATGACCAAACAGGGTCTTGGCTACGCAACTGGAGCACACAGTAGCTTCATGCCGTACCACATTGATGCCATTACTCTTCAACCCAAGGGTGAGGGCTGGGAGGATGAAATGGCACTCGGCCGGACAATTGAAAGTCTTTGTCGTAGCTTGAACAACCTGCTGGAGCATCTGCACCAAAGTTTCTTTTTTTATTTACTCATGCAGACCAATCGCTTCGTCAGCATCGGAACCTATCTGCCTAGTGCCATGTTGATTGCTGGCAATTTCACCATCATGGCCATTGCTCTCTGGATGCGCAGTGGCTACGATTCAGATGGGAAGAGCACGCTTGGTGCTGGCTCCTCCGAGACCGGGACGAGCAAGAGTGATGAAAAAGCGGCCTCGCTCAAAGGTCCAGAGGGTGACCAAGCTAACCTCAATGGAAATACTGTCGCCGAGCGTGTCTTGGCTCTGCCGCTAACTCTGGTCAGCGGCTTGCACCTGCTGGGACTATTGCCGCTATGGACGTTCAACACGATCTTCCATCAGGTATGCCCCTCTCGAACTCTCAAAGTCACGCCTAGGGATGAGCCCGACCATGATGAAGTCGACTAACATCCAGTCCACCCCGCTTAGTACTTTTTATTCGCCACCTATGCTTTCGTCCTCGTAGACCTACTCCTCCCACTAACCCTCGCCGCCTGGCTCTCGCACGGCCTGGGCGTTTCCAAACCCTTCATCCCCCAGCAATATCTCCTGGTCAAGTCCTTCGCCCTGCTCATTCTGGGACTCTGTCTTTCAACACTCGCAACCCTCAATTTCTCCCTATCTTTCATGATCGGACTTCTCAGTGCGCCGCTTAGTTTCGTGACTCGCGTTTCGGGCTCGGCCTCGACGCGCTATCCAGTCGCCGTGTTGGGACTGGTGTTGATGAATCTTCTTTCGCCGCCTGCCGTTCTTCTTGGTGGGAGCTGGTTTACTGGGGTGTCGATTGAGACGATTCTTACGCAGGCTGCCTTTGGCTGGGATGTCTGGGGTATGTGGACGCAGGTGGTTGTCTGGTGTGTGTGGTGGCCAGCGTGGTTGACGGGTTGTGTACTGCTTGGGTCTTCGTTGTTTTGATCACCACATAAAGATTATATAGGTCCATGGTTCATGGATCATGCATTGCACCGCATTATTGGATCTTCAGTCTCTCTTGCGATCCCACAACAAATATGAAATCCGGGATACGTACTTAGTTGCCTGCATGGCAGGCAGGGATCATCTTTGTTATGTATTATAGATGGAAAAAAGATGAGGTAGTCTGGACTGCGGAAGTAACCTTAGGTTATACATTTGTTTAGGCGGCCCAAACATCCTTACCAACACCCTCGATCCAGTGACCAAGCTGATTGACCCCCGCATCCCAGTCCTTCAATCGGTTCCGCATTCCCTCGATCTGCTTCATATCCAACACCTTGGGCTGCACCCAGTGGATATGCGCCACCTGGGCGACCTGGTCGATCGAGCCTTTCAACAATCCGAGCGAGAGCGCCTTCATCACCAAGTGCTCAATCTCATCCGGTTGCACCTTGGTCTCCGCCGCGATATCGTGGAAGGAGAGGGATCGATCATGCGGAGGGCGTCGGAAGACCATCTCCGTCAATGCGGAGAGCGAGATCTTCTGGTAAAGGAACATGCGGTGGGACTCGAGCAACTTGTTTTTGCTGATGTTGCCGGCGAGGACATCGTATGCGGTCAGGTCGCCTCGATTGAAGGCGAAGAGCAGATCGCGCAGCCAGTTGTGTGGTGTCTCGGTCAAAGAGTCGAGGATGGGGTGCAGAAGAAGCTCGCCGAAGTTGTAGATGGAGTCGGATACAAGGGCTGCGACGCTGAGGTTGTAGGCGCGGGATGCCCGTTCGGTTTCGGAGAGGTCTTTGAGATCAATGCAGGCCAGGTAGAGAAGGGCGTTTTTGTAGAAGGATGCGAATTCTTGCTTTGCCTGTTGTGTTTTTGAGAAACGGCACAAATGTTAGATCCAACCGGTATCGAGGGATTCCCAAGATTTTGAACAGTCAAATGATGGAGGACACAGCCCAACATACGTGATAGTAATCCGCATTCACTTTGTAGAATGATGCGTGTACGACCGTCTCGACCGAATCGAACGAGTCCAGCACTGTCTGGCAGGTCGCGAGATCACTCTGTGCTCCGTCGAGATCTGGAATTCGCAGCTTGACACTGGCAACATCGGCAAGTGCATAGACATAGGCGTCTTGTGATTCGGGCTTGTTGACCTTGTTGGAAAGGGCTGTAAGGAAAGCGAGCCGTTCTTCATTATCTGTCATATCCCGGCAAGAGGAACGCTGCTTTAGCATATCTCCTCTCATAGTTGGGGGGATCAAACCTCCTCAGTCCTCTCCTAACTCACCGGAACACTCTGTCGATGCCATCAACCCTAGTGATACAAACTTGAGCTGATTGATCCGGTCCGCGAAGCTCAACACAAAGGCCTTGAAGATCGCCAGTCGCTGGGGAGCACTTTCGGGCATGCGGAAGAATTCCACCATTGAATCGGTCAGCTGATGCCATAATTTCCGCTCCCAGTAGTCTTCAAACGTGAGGAAATAGGTCTGCGTCTCGGGCGTGCCTTTGGCTTGCTGCTCGGCCAGGAAATCGGGGATCTTGGAGGCGTCCATGGCGTAAAGCGAATGACCGGGCGTGTGCAGGAGCGGATTCCGTCGAGCACTGAGAGGGGTGTATCACTGCAGATTCAAAACCGATGCTTCGATCTTGCAAGGAATGGAACAAAGAAGGGCAAAGTCGTCGGCGAGAGGAGATTGGAATGAACGATATGACCGGAGCTGATGATGTCTTCCTGGCAGTTTGGAGCTCGGCGGGCGGTGAGGGTAGCTGGTTGTTCCTGGATTTCCTAGGGCCTCGAGCAATCGCATTGTGACAAGACTATCTCTTTGATGAGATCGAGATTCGATGCATAATTTGAGAACTAAGTTGTAACCCTCGGTGGTTTAATGTTCGTCTTCGGTACAATCGGACTCAGCTGTGACAGCAATGAATATTGAACGTTGGAGTCGTGTCGCTAGCCTTTACTTCGGCTGCGGACGGAGCAAATGGCCAAGCGTTATGCTAGAAATTTCATAATGTCCAGTTCAGATTTGCTTCCATAATCAGAAACCTCCCCTGATTAAACATCATGGCCGAGAAGGCGCTCATTGGAGTAGTGACTTCCACCATTCTAGCGGTCTGTTCGGAACAAGATCCCGGAAACGCAATGCCCGGTATATATTCGCTGCTGTACGTACTACCTCCTTCATACCTACCTTAGTACCTAAAAGCTACTAGTTACTAGATAGTTGCGCGTTGAAGCGGACTCACCGGAAAATGATACCTACCTGACCGGGCTTAGCAGTGTATATACGATGGTGACAAACATGGACAGTCCTCTTGAATATTGGCAGATGTATAGGCGACAGCCCCAGATACGGTACAGCGAACACCGAGGCCGCAAAGACTCGATTCGCTTGACATCAAGCCTGGAGGATCAAGAGCTGAGTCGTGTCACTCGACTCATGGCTTCTTACAAGATGTCAGCGCAGGAGGCTGATTTCCAGTTGCCCATATGCGCTATTCTCTGGCCCATTTGGTAGCGCACACGCCTTGCTAAGTGAGCGGATCCGGTCTTGACGGGAGCGAGGGTCATTCGAGGTTCGGACAAGTACAAGTATGAACTCGTTGGAGTTCAAAAAAAGGCCTGGCGTGTTTCAATGCGATTATGCACGGACGGGCCACCATGTAGATCAACATTGTAGATGGCCAGTTTTCTGGGAGACAGATAAATCAAGAACCTTGGGAGAAAAGGATGCAGTGTTGAGGATTCTCATCTCGACGCTTGCGTCTCACAAAGTAAGGTAATTGCCCAGCATAGATGTAGGAATCAAGTATGGGACGCTGGCACAGTCCGGATACTTTGGTATCGAGTCACATGTTGATGGTCTAGACCCCAGCTGGGATTGGCCGTCGATCGATCTGCCCCACCTCCAGCGTCGAAGCGGAGGGGCTGTTTGTAGACGGCCAGAATGGAAGTAATAAGTATCCGAGTATGTCTCCGAGTCAGCGCATAAATACCCTCTGTGTCAGTCGAGACCACTTTTCATTCTCTCAGCGCATTTTCTAAACGGATGTCTTGCAATATTATCTCTCCACTCAAGAGCTCCACATCTATAGGATATTGAATATCTCCAAACACTGCTCAACATGACTGATTCTTGGATCGAGGCCAATCGGGCCTACTTTGAGTAAGATACTCTTGTGGCTGATCTCGTAGTCCTTTCGGGGCATCTCGCTAATCTCAGCCCTTCCAAAGTCAAATGGCATCAACTTACCAGACAAAGTTTGCCGACTCGATGAAGATCATCGCCGAGCAGACTGCAAAGCACCGGCTGTGGATCAGTGACCGGTGGTCGGACACTGAATCCGGCAAAGGTCAGGAACTGAAGATGCTCGAATATGCCTGTGGACCGGGAGTTGTCTCCATGGTATGGTTAACGCTTACATTGCTCTCATCCATCGATTTTCATACATCAGTCAAGCGGACGAAACAACCAATGCTAATACATCTCCCATGGCGCCTCTAGACCTTGGCCCCATTCGTGACCAAGGTGATCGGCGTCGACATCGCGGATCAAATGCTGGCCGAGTTTCAACAGAATGCGAAAACCATCGGTCTCAGTGACAGGATGATTGGCTTCAAAGCTGATCTTTTGAGTGATACTGCAGCGGAGGACTTCTCCGGACCTGAGTTTCATGATTTTGACGTGGTGGCTGTGAGCATGTCCTTGCACCACTTTCAGCAGCCGGATGTTGCCCTGCAGAGGTTGGCCTCTCGTTTGAAGAAAGGGGGCTCCATGATGATTATCGATCTGGTCCCCAGCTCAGGTCAGGATCACGATCACCATCACGATCACCATCACCATCACCATCACGATCACCATCACGATCACCATCACGATCACCATCACGATCACCATCACGATCACCATCACGATCACCATCACAATGACGATCACGACCCCGATCACCATCACCATCACAATGATGATCACGGTCATGGCCATGGTCACGGTCATGGTCAGACCCAGCCTGTTACAGCCAAAGAGTTTGGTGATGCAGCTCCCACTGTCAAGACCCATGGTTTTACCAAGGAAGATATGATGAAACTGTTTGCATATGCCGGGCTGGACAAAGGATTTGACTACGAAGTGATTCCGGATCAGTTGAAATGGGAGAAGCCGGAGGGAACCCTCACTAAGACCATCTTCATCGCACGCGCTCAGCGTGGCTGATGGAATATCGTCAGAACTCAGGACGAGTACGCGGATCAATCATTGAAACCCCGAATGTCGGCATTTAGTCTCGAGCTTCACACTTTGAGTCTTTCATTTCAGTTATTCGGGTCTATACGATCGACAACGCAGTCGCAAGTAAAATGAGATGACTTCCCGTCCGATATCTGATCTTGTATATCCCGAAAGCAGGGGCGGAAAATATGCGTTTAGAAGCATGTACCGCCATTGATTTAGATCTGTAAGGAAAACTGTCGAGTACCTAGGTAGGTACCTAGCAAGATACTTAATGGATGGATTTTTCTTTCCAGTCTCCATGTCTTACCTGGTAGCCACACTGAGACTTATGACACCGGCGAGCCTGAGTGGAGGAAGCAGAAGGGAGAGATCCAGTCGGTTGTCTTGGTTCGAGTTGTTGAAACTGCCGTGAGTCCTCGATTATACCGTTGATGAACACTTTCCGCGTAGCGATATCCCATTGAGTTATTGTACCTTGGACAGAAACCTATTGACCTGATCTATCGGTTTGGTCCATACACCGCGAATAGAGGCGTGCGATTACTGATGACTTCCGTACCCAGCATAACCTTGAAGACAACGGTGACTTATATGCGATCAACGAAGATATACTCGCTGGTAGCTACTTTTACAAAAATATTGCATCTCCACTCTTCCGTGCGCAAAACAAATCTCACGCCAGATCTACGTCTACCGGAGCGAAACCATAATTGTGCGCACGAGATTATGTTCAAGTGAGGGTTTTGACTCTTTTGAGCTTGAACGTTTGAGACCCACACAGCATCCGAGGCAGCTCAATGTGATAGGCACATGACGTCACCATACCCATCGGCTACAGCTTCGTTTGCACGAGACTTGGAGGAACCGGGTCATTGTCACCGGTCTACGTACGTCTTCCTGTTCACTTCCTATTTAAACTATTTCATACCTTCTCAGTATTTCAAACGAAGCTTCCTCAAGTGTTTACTCCACGCTCATCCACCACCTTCACCACCATGTCCGAATCAATTGCCCTTATGCGTCGCCGCCGAAGCGACGAGCTCCACAAGCTCGCAGATGAGCATTTCCAACATGATCTGCAAGCCGCTGATCGCGACGCACTCAAATCCGCTGCCTCTACTGTCTCGAGGTGGACGACCATCGGATCAGCAGTCGGTCTGGGTCTTGGACTCTTTGCTGCCATCCGTCTGCGAAGCAGTCGCAAGGCTTTCTTTGACGCGATCCGAGCTCAAGAACGACCGACCAAGGTCGTGTTCGCCGACGGACGCACCGGTACGCGCTCTGCCAATTCGGTCTTTGTCCCATTGACTCTCCTGCTAACTGAGACTCACCAGAGGCTCTCCCTGATTTGACCCCCATGCTGAAGCCCACTACGTTGGGTGACGTCGCAACTTACTTCTTTGCCTCCCTCGGCGGCTTGTTCCTCGGCGGAGAACTCGGTATGGAATTGCTCGTTCCTCTCAAAGCGTCGGCCTTGACTTTGTGTTTTCCTTTGCTGACACTTGTAATGCAGGCTTTGCAGGAGGTGCAGCCAGCGGCAGCCGGACGATCACAGCTGATCCCGAGAGGAGAGAACGGGTGGAGACTGCGTTCCGCAGATTCAGAGCCGACGTTTTACGACGGGAGGCAGACTCGCTGGATAAGGGGGCCAGTGTCTCCGAGATAATGTTCTAAGGTTGCAGAGCTTGAGGTGAGACGAAGGGCAATGGCTATAATGTTGTTTCATCTGTGATGGATTCTAATTGTCGATGTTGGGGTTCGGCGTCTTTGCAGAGCGAGCTGCGGACATTGGGGGCAGTCCTCTTGGAATTTGTATACTATTTTCCACTTTTACCGTGAATGTCTACTGACACATTCAACTTCTTGTGATTCTGGAGCTTTCTGTCGGTAGTAGTTTCGAGAGTTGGCTGTGGCACATCTGTCCACGCAGCTAAGGTCAAGCAATTGCCTTGAGCAATGCGGCTAAAACCTCCTTTAAAATAGAAAAAGACGCCGTTAGATGTACGTATTCTCGCACAATCACACGAGAGCTCAAGAAAGATCTCAAAATTAACGGCTGCACCGAATGGCTCCGCTCGTCTGATAACCATCTTACTCCAACTGCGTGTTCCAGGCAGAGCACTGTCCTCTTTCCCCGCATCTTCGATCGCCGAAACGCCAAACAGCTTCAGTCGAGGCCAAGCATGATAACAAGACCACTACACCATTTCGATTGACCTACTCCAAATTCACTACCCAACCATCATACAACAATCTATCGGTTCCTCAAGAGGCGGACTTTATCCCGCTGTCCTTCCCCACTCATCCTTATCAACCCTACTCCGAGACATTTCAACTGCTCTTCATCGTCAAAGACTCGCATGAGATATAAGGAGAATTCAGATCCACGATGTTTGGAATTAGAGCATTTCATGCCAACTGGGCTAGCATATCAGTCGGAAGACGACTGTTTAAGCCAGTGACTTTCAGCTCCTCTTCCAACCTATTTTTCCATCGTTGCTTTTCCACCTCGGGTGCTTTCGCCATGTTGACCACGGAGCTCTCTGACGCGGCCATTTCAGCCCTTCGCGTCAACAAAGAGAGACTGGCGAGGGATCTTCATCACTCATGTCAATGGGGTTCGGGGATAAGATGGGGAAAGTAAGTTTTTGCGATTGTCATTTGAAATTCAACATGGAGTAAAAGACTGGATTCTCACCAATTGCGTTCAGTGACCCCACGGAAACGGGTATGCAGCGTCTGGCTCTGTCAGATGAAGACAGACAAGTTCGGGACTGGTTCGTTCAGACTATGAAGAATCTGAAATGCCAAATCACCGTCGATGAAATGGGTAATATCTTTGCCGTGAGGCCCGGTCGACGCACAGATGTACCAGCTACATTTATTGGCAGCCATCTCGATACACAGCCAACCGGAGGTCGATATGACGGTGTCCTAGGTATTTTGGCAGGCGTAGAGGCCCTGAAACGGATGGACGAGCTGGGTCTCGAAACAGAGGGAGGAGTCGGTGTCGTGAATTGGACCAAGTACTGATCCCGCACTGTTTCGGGCTGGATGCTTCGCCTTTACTGACCGATTATTCAGTGAGGAAGGCGCACGGTTTCCAATGAGTATGGTCTCGTCGGGCGTCTGGGCCGAGTGTATCCCGCTATCGAAAGCCCACGATCTCAAAGAAGTGCCCACCGTGGCATCACTCCCATCGGCCGCATCTGCTCCAGAAACGATGAAAGCGGCTTTAGAAAGAATCGGATATCTCGGCGACGTGCCCTGTTCTTACAAGTCCGTTCCAATGGCAGCACATTTCGAATTACACATCGAACAAGGTCCTCACTTGATTTCGGCCGGTCAGCGTGTCGGTGTTGTCACAGCAGTCCAGGCCTACCGTTGGTTCAGGCTTGAGATTACTGGGCGAGATACTCACACAGGTACCACCGCCTTTGAACACCGTGCCGATGCATTGTATGCCTCTGCGCAGATGATGGTCCGAGCACGCGAGGTGGCCGCGGCAAAGGGCTGTCTCGCCAGCGTGGGTATCATTGAAGCGGCACCAGGAAGTGTCAACACAGTCCCCGGACGTGTGAGCTTCAGCCTGGATATCCGAGGCCCGGAGACTGCGCTGGTGGCCGAAGTGGAAGAGGAATTGCGCAGTGCCTTTGATAAGATCGCTGCAGCTGAAGGCGCCGGAATTGGCAAACCCTGTCAAGCGAAGTGGACACTGGACTTTGACTCGCCGGCTATCAAGTTCCACGAGGATTGTATCGACTGCGTCCAGGAATCGGCCCTTGCAGTGGTTGCAGATGCGCCGGTGGCTGATACCAAAGCTTTGGTTCGGCCCATTATGAGCGGTGCTGGTCACGACAGCGTCTTTGCGTCCAAGCGAGTGCCAACGAGTATGATCTTTGTTCCATGTCGCGATGGAGTGAGCCATCACCCGGAGGAATTCTGCTCGGAGGACGATTGTGCCACAGGAGCATCCGTGATCCTTCAGGCGGTGGTGCGGTATGATCGGAGGAGGTTCAAATAAAGCTCACAATGTGATTGAGCCTCGAGGATCCCATCGCGAGAGCATTATCTAGTCGTCATCAACCACCCGTCATCAACGAGAGCAGAGAGGCACAGTACTAGCTCAGTCACCGCTTATATAAGAGAAACAAGGGGTCTCTTGCCGCGGAGATGCCTTGGAAATACGCCTACGAGAGACAATGGCATGCTTTGAATTCAGCATATGCCATGATCTCCGACAAGTAAACTACATCATACAAGAGAGTGGTATCATTTCAAGAAATTTTGATATTTTTTCATATCCCCATGTAACTCAATCGAGGAGACTTTCATAAAGATGTACCGACCGACCAGCCCCTTTCAGAGATGCAAATTGGTTTCCCAAGTGCCTACTCAGGACCAGGAAGTCGATATCATCAGGCCCCTAAGGTCGACCAAGAAGCGGACATGACACCAAGGCATAGGGCATCAGGGTGAGAGAGCATTTACTGCTGCTGGGGGGCACCACGGCCACGGCCGAAGCCACCGCGGAAAGAAGGAGCGAACTCGCCAGGGGCACCACCCTCCTTGCCACCCTCCTCACGACGGCGGTAACCACCCTCGCGACCCTCACGGGGAGCACGGGGCCGGCGCTCACGGTCCTCGCCGCCCATCATACCGCGGGGAGGAGCGTGGGAGCGCTGCTGCTTGATGTGGGTGGCAGGAACAACCTCGGCGGGGAGGTGGAGCCACTCGCGCAGGTAGTCAAGACCCTCGGGGGTGAGGGTGTAGTAGTAGTACTGCCACGAGAACTGGGTCTTGACGAAACCGCGGGAAGTCAGGGACTGCATAGCCTTGATGACCTGTGGGAGTTGTGAAGTATTAGTAACGAATTCAGGGCTTTGGATATGGTGCGCGTCCAATTTTCGACATACATAGAGGTTCTTGGTGTCAATGTCATTGTGCTTAGGAAGGTTGAAGTCCTTCTTGGCCACGAGCACACCCTCTGTATTTCAACGATCAGTCAATCTGTTTTCCCTTCTTCGATTCAATGTCGCAACAGGTTCGGCGCGCCGATAGTAGACTAGCCGAACTAGAAGAGGACAGTTGGCGACGGTGTTGGTTACATACCACGGAAGAGGTACTCGTGGATCTTCTTGCGGTCGGCCTTGGGGATGAGCCTGCGACATGTTAGTGATGTAGAACCACAATGAGACGATCTGGTATGAAAACGTACATTGTCGCGAGTTCCTGGCGCAATTCGTGGAATCGCTTTGACAACTACAGGAAATGGTGGATGATTTAAAGATTCTAGAGTGGAGCTGGCGTGATATGAAAAGTGCGATAATCCTGTTGAAAGGCTCGCTAGGGTTTCCGCCCTAATCTGTTTCCCGGTCCTCAAGCCGGAGAGTCATGTGATTAGACTCCCGTCGGGCGGCATCCATCTGCACCTGCATGGATCCATAACTTCCTGGGCAGTTAGTGACGGATTAGTCATAGGACGCAGTCTTTCACGTGACTCTATGACGGCGCCCCTCCGCTCTCAGTTGGAGGCTCGAATTGCGACTCAATTGGAATTTGATGAAGGCGGGGAAGTATTGCCAGGCGAGAGGCCAGCCCAAATCTAGCCAAGTCACGTGAAAGCTCCGGCCATCGCATCAGGCCCGCCTTATCTGTTGCACGCCACAACCTCAACTTCCTCAATCAACAGCATCACGTCCTTCGCATAACTTACTCGCCGGAGAGTCAGTCAATATGGCGCAGTCCAACATCAACATTCTTCTTTCGACGTTTCCTGGTCTCTCTCTACCCTCAACGTTATCGTTCAGCCTACCTTTTACAGCCAGCGTCGCCGACCTGACAGACAAAGTCACTTCATATCTCCCATCCTCTCTTTCCCTCGATCGACTTATCCTGACCACGACCAACAACAAGCAAATCTTCGCATCGCCAGCTTCAGTCAAGTCAGTCATCTCTGAACCTAATGGCGCAACCTCAAATATACTCCCAATTCGCCTTTCCGCACCTCTGTGCGGTGGCAAAGGTGGTTTCGGATCCCAGCTGCGTGCTGCTGGTGGTCGCATGGCAAGCAAGCGCAAGCGCAACCAAGGCGATGCAAACAGCTCCAGTCGCAATCTAGATGGCCGTCGTTTGCGCACGATCAACGAGGCCAAGGCGCTCGCGGAGTATCTTGCTGTGAAACCTGAAATGGACAAGCAAGAGAAAGAGGAGCGCCGGCGCCGCTGGCAAGCAGTCGTCGAACTGGCAGAAAAACGCCAAGACGAGATCAAGAATGGAGGTGGCAAACAAAAGATTGATGGTCAGTGGATGGACGACAAGGAGGAAATGAATGAAAAGGCCCGAGAGGCAGTTCTTCAAGCAATGAAGGACGGGGACTGGACGGACAACCTTCGAGAAACAATTTTGGGAGGGTCAAGTACCAGTGCAAGCGAGGGCAGTGACGAAGACATGTCCACTGTCTCCGAGGAAGACGAGGAAGAAGAACCGGTCAGCGGACCATCTCCCACTGATAAAGCGCCCTCCAAACCAGCCCCTCGCCGGTACATTGGATTCGACGACGACGACGAGTTTATGAGCGATTCGGATGAAGAGCAAGCAGAGGAGAATGAAGCCAAGGGTAAAGGCAAAGCTCGCGCATAAGGGAGCGATACCGGAGCTTCTGCATTCACGGTTTCTATGATGGCGTTTTTAGCGATTAGGAGTGACGCATATTGTTCTCAAAGTCTTCTTATTGGGCCAAATTTATAATGGCTATATTATCAAAGTGCTCGTTCCATATTTCCACCAATATCCGAATACGAAATGGCAGCAATTAAATCCCAATCAACAAAGTGAATGAGAAGACCAATAACATCATAGCCTAGATCTAGGCCCGGGCGCGCTTATCGATAAGAACTGCTTGACGGTCCAAAAAAAAAGGCTCCGCTCGTGTTCCGCATATTTGCGATCGCATGCAATCATGTCCCTTTGCGCAAGAGGCGCCCTGTTCCGGGCAGGAAAACTCAGAAAACTGCAACCCATCTCGAGAGCTCTGACAGCTCAGTTTGAATACTCAACATGGTCGAATAACGGTCCAAGTCGCTTTGCGACCAAGCACAACTCTCCTCTCAGCCTCCGACACGGCCAGATTCGCAAATTCTCGGCACCTCAATCTCAACAAGGGAAAGATGAACTTGGTCAAGATGAACTCATCGATGTGCTACCTATCTGTTGTCCTGGGTGTGGCGCATTCTCTCAGACAATCGAGCCTGAAGAGCCTGGCTACTACAGTGCCAACCGAAAGCAGACCAGGAAGCTCTTAGCTCGGAAGAAGGGTGCTCTCGAGCAAAGTAGCAAGGAGCAGGATGAGAAAGATGCCATCCTGAAAGATGCTGGAATTGAAGACGACTCACAGTCTTCGGCGCCGGTCCCGATTCATGGTCAGTTCACTGTCCAGAGCTTCATTGGCATCCTGAAAACCAGCAACTGACAGTCTAAAACAAGGCGGCGCTCTTCCTGACGACGTTCTCGTCCCTGAGAGTCAACCTACAACTGAACTACTAGAAGCACCATCGCGTGTGTCCCATGTCTGTGATCGCTGTCACGACCTGATACATCATAACAAGGCCGCCTCTTTGCCCAAGCCTTCTGTACACTCAATCCGGGAATTGATGGACGAGTCACCTTACAAATACAATCGCATTTACCATATCTTGGATGCCGCGGATTTCCCGATGTCCCTCATCCCACGCATCCACGCTGCCTTGGACGCTCAAGAGCAACGGTCGAAGAATCGACGAGCAACGAACGAGAAGTACAGCGGTGGCAGGAAGCTGCCCACCTTGAGTTTCGTCATTACACGCGCGGACCTGCTTGCAGCCACCAAGGAACAGGTAGACTCCAAGATGGAGTATATCCGCAATGTACTGCGGGATGCTCTGGGAAAGGCGGGTAGAGACGTCAGATTAGGCAATGTGCACATGATTAGCGCTCATCGCGGTTGGTGGACGAAACAGGTCAAAGAAGAGATCAAAGAGCATGGCGGAGGTATTTGGGTTGTTGGCAAGGCCAACGTTGGAAAAAGCAGCTTCATTGAAGTGTGTTTTCCGAAAGATTCGTCTCGCCTCGAGAATATGGCTGAGTGGATTGAACAACAGCGGGAAGAGCATGAGATTCCTAATCAGCGCCAGGCCTCTCTGCTCGATCCCGAGAGCTTGCTTCCGCCGGCGCCACGCGAGGACATGTACCCGGTGCTTCCTGTGATTTCCTCCTTGCCTGGTACCACGGTGTCTCCGATTCGAATTCCATTCGGTCGCGGAAAGGGCGAAGTCATTGATCTGCCTGGCCTTGAACGTGGAGAGCTCGAAGATTATGTTCGCGACGAGCATAAGCGTGACTTGATCATGACCAAGCGTGTCAAGCCTGAACGGTGTACAGTCAAACCAGGTCAATCCCTTCTCCTGGGAGGTGGTCTGGTGCGCATCACCGCTGTTGACCCAGACGACACCGTTCTCGCTGCATGCTTTGTCCCCATTGAGCCGCACGTCACTAAGACTGATAAGGCCATTGAGCTCCAAACAGAGCGACGCCCGTATGTCGGGAAGCAGCTTATGAAAGAAGGAACTGGCGCGACGATTGCCTCGTCAGGAAAGTTCGACTTGCGCTGGGACACGACTGCCTCTAACCTCCCGTCGCTCGTGGCCAAAGCTGTGAAAGACAAAGGCATACCTATTCCCAAACTTCCCTACCGAGTCATGTCGGCCGATATTCTCGTTGAAGGCTGCGGCTGGATCGAAGTAAGCATCCAGGTCCGAGCAAGACGCTACCCAGGGAACAAGAACGACCAGGTGAACTATCCACAGATTGAGGTCTTCACTCCCAACGGCAAGCATATTGGTATTCGACCTCCAATCCAGTGCTGGGACTTCATTGCGCAAAAGCTGAAGGCAGACAAAAGGAAAAGACCGCGACTGAGGTTCCGCTATAGCTGATCCACGATCATTCTTGCGCAGATGGATCACGTCGATCTGAAGTACCATGTATACTAGAAATCTGAGCATAGCGTCTGGCGTTCTAAACATCGTTGCATATCATACCCAAAGAAGAATTTATGTTGTATAGGTCGCGATCTCGAGCAAGTAATCACACAGGTTTGGGCTTGGGCTTCCTTCCCTCATCTCGAATGATCCGTTGAAAGAGCAGTGGCAGTCCCTAATTGTACAGCGGCCGTCTCTTATAAGACAGAACAACGCCCAATTTTCTCGACTTCTTCTTTCGGGCCCTCGTCATATCGATATCACTTTCCTGACGATGGAGTGACTTCTACTAGGTAGTCCTCGATTAAGCAGGCGTTTTACACAGAAGAACATATCCCATCGAACAGTAGAAATGTGAATTTTCGTGCTTGGGAAATAAACGACATAAGCTCACCGAGCACGTCGCTCAAAAGTGATCAATGGAGGCGTAAGAGACTATCATAGGTCTACATGTACAGCTCAATCAGTCGACGTTGGCGAACATGAATGCGGGCTGGCCGGGGACAGCGTGTTCGGCGTTCAAACCCTCGCGGGTCTCACCAGTTCCAACGACCTCACCGGTCTTGCCACCCTCATGAACCTTGATCACCTCAACCTGCTTATAACCAGAGGTTCGCTGCAGACCAGGAATCATGGCAGTCAAGTACTTGAGCTCATCGAAAGGCAGCTTGCGGCCGAAGACGAGCTCCGGGTCCTCGCGGCTACCCACGAGGCGGCGCTTCAGAGTTTGAACGAAAGGCATGGCCTTCTTCATCTCGCCCAACTTGCCAACCTTGGCATTGAGCTCCTTGTCATTGATTGAGACAGTCATGGCGTCGAAAGCCTCGCGCACGAGGTCGATGTACTTCTCTTGCCAGGCAGGGAAGTTCTCGGCATAGTAGATAGTAAGCTTCTTAGGCTTGCGGGGGTCAAAGTTTGACGCCTTGCCCTTTGACAGACGCTTAACGAACTGAGCCTCTGATGACAGAATGCTGGAAGAGGTGCTGCGGACGTAGCTTTGAGCAGCAGTGAGCTCTAGCTTGGGCTCGGGAACGGTAGGGAATCTAGCAAAGTGGATGGACTCGGACTGAAAGCAGGTTAGATTTGGAGATTGTAATGAATCTGGGAGTGGGGGCACACCAACCTTCTTCAGGACCTCCAGCCACACATGCTCAGCCCAGTGAGGAGCAATCGGGGCCAGCATCAACGCCTGCAACTCGATGTAGCGGAGGATGGTGTCACGGTGCATACCACAACCAGCAGCGGTGGCGGCCTCGCGGTAAGTGTCACGAGCGGCAGTGAAATCGTACAGACCGGACTTCAGAGCAAGCTTGAAGTTTGTGCTGAAAAAAAAAATCGTAGGTTAGCTGACGTATCCACCTTATCAAAATCTAAGACAGTACTCACTCCTGGTAGTGCTTCTGAGCCTCACGGACGAGGCTGTTCATCTCGTTGTCAAACAACTCGTCGCAGTAGGCATCAGCTGCACCAGTGCGGAGGGAGGAGTCCTTGACGACCTCCTCGATCCATTCCTTCAGGGTGAAGAGACGCAAGATGTTACTGTTGGCAACAGCCTCCTCAAAGTTGGCATCCTCAATGCCATCACCAGCATCGGCAAAGGCAATTCGGGTTGCGTCGGCACCGAACTTATCAACGGCATCCTTCAAGGTAAGGAAGTTACCAGTACTCTTACTCATTTTCTCGCCGTTGAGCAACAGATGACCATTGGCACGGACTCCACGAGGCCAATACTCGGCTGGGAACAGCGCGATGTGAATGTAAAGGAAGAAAGTAAGATGGTTCTGGATCAGATCCTTGCCTGAAACACGGACATCAAGGGGATACCAGTACTCGAATTCACGGCGCATCTTCAGCAAGGCGTCCTTGTCAATACCGGACTGGGTGATCAGGTCGTCGCTGAGCTCGCGACGGGTGAAGACGTAGTCCCAGACTTCATCCGTCATCTGGTCGGCGGTGACGTTCAGGGGACCAGTGGTCTTACCGTATCGATCACCGTGGAGAAGGTGAGCGATGGTATAGTAAGCCATGTAAACAGTGCTATCACTCAGGGACTCGACCAAGAACTGAGTGTCCCAGGGGAGCTTGGAACCTAGGCCGTAGGTGCGGGCACAGGCCCAACGGTTCAGCCATGACAAGTTCTTCTCGAAGCCGTTCTTGGTTTCAGGGGCATAGGCGTTGAGCTTGTTGACAACGTGGTCCAGGGTCTCCTTTTGCCACTGCTCATCATTCTCACCGTAGTTCAGGAACCATTGGCCGAGATAGGCCACCACACACTCGTCACCGGAGCGAGAAACAACCTTGCCCATGGGATCGGCGAAGGGGAAGGCATCCCCACTTTGGTACAGCGATTGACGGACCTTGTCCTTAGCAACGCTGACAGGCTCACCCTTGAATTCACCCACGATCAGAGTTCCCTTGTAGAAGCCCTCGGTGTAGGCAAGATCCTTGGCCTCAGCCAGCTGAGTGACATCCTTGGGCGAGTTGATTTTGAGCTGTTTGATCAAAGCAGGAGCAGTCAAGTTGCCGTAAGTTGGGGTGTCGATCAGAGGGAAAATCTCCTTATCAGCCCACTCTTTCTTAATACCATAGTAATCGGCCTTCTTAATCAAGTCCATAAGGGTGGCATAGTCGTCGGGGCTGTCGGAGGGAACTGAGGTGACGACACCGGTTCCCTTTGAAGCAGAGACACTCTCCATGGGCAGAATATAGACACCATCCTTATGGAATGAAAGAGGGGCGTTGATAAGAGTACCAACGAACGAAGAGCCAGGAGCCTCGAGAACGAGAGGAAGCTCATCCTGGGACTTGGGGAAGTAGCCGTCCTGGAAGAAGTGGCCCTGGAAAGCCATGTTCCAAGCAGCACGCTTGGTGACAATAACATATTCCTTCTCCTTCAACTTGAATAGACCGTAGTTGATCTTGGGGCCAACGAAACAGTTGGTTTGGCCGTACATGGTTTCGGGACGGAGAGTAGCAGGGACGAAGAAGACCTTGGCGTCGTCCTCGATCTTGCCCTTTACGAGTTGAGCAATCTCGGGGGCCCACTCCTTGACCTGCAGCTTCAAAGCAGTGTACTCCTGAGGGCCAATTCCTTCACCTTCTGTGCGGTCGTGGTCCATGCAAGGCTGACCATCCTTGGGAGAGTAGATAGTGTAACGGTTGCCGTACATGATTTTTCCGAGCTCGCGGAGACGATTCATCTGCCAGCGGACGAAGGCGTCATAGTAAGGGTTGGCGTCGGTTGTGACAAATTGGCGGCGCCAGTCGACACGGGCACCCATGCTGTCCAGGTCGCGAATGGCGAGAGGGGGGAAGTGGTGCAGCCAATGGTTGGCATCGGCGAACTTGTGAATATCCTCAAGGGGGACACCGATCGCCAACATGATCTGGAATTGATACTTCATCTTCACGGTCTTAGCGGCGGCCTTGCTCTTCTTTCCAGAGAACTTCTCGGCCTGAGCCTTGGCTTCGGGCTTGGACTCTTGCGTGGGCGCAGCGGGAGCGCTCGCCTCATCCTCCTCCTTGTAACCTTCGAAGTTCTGACCAAACATCTTCACTTCGTCGCGCAGCTTGTCGGCACAAGCCTTGATGGGCATACCGGTGCAGTGGAAGCCGAGGGGGAACAGCGCACGCTTGCCCTCCATACGAGCGACACCAGTCATGAACTCGACCTTACTAGCAGTGAAGCTGTGGCCGGCGTGCAAAGTACCGTTCATGTAAGGATACGCCATGGTACCGAAGAACTTGGGGTGTTTCTCACGCAGCTCAGAAGCGGTCATGGAGCCTTGAGGGACTTCTTCGAATGACGGGGCATCGGCCTCGAAGACTCTGTTCTCCTTCCATTGTGCTTGGTACTTCTTCTCGATGGCAATCAGAGTGTCACGTTTCTCGGTCTAGAGAAATGGAAAACATTATTAGCGACATTAAAAACAGATCAAGTAAAGTAAAGAATTTGGTAGTAAACGGCGTGATGGAGGGGGAGGGGTAGATGAATGATCACATTTTCGAGCTTCAAAGTGTTTTTCGTGCTGTTGCTCGGATCGAGCGCAGCAGCGGATGCAGCAGCAGCCGCCATGATTGATTTCAGACGGATTGAACCCTGGTAGCAAGATTCACAAAAACTACCTAAGGAATTACAGATCGCGGGGTTGATATAAATTCAAGTCAAATTGTGCCGGTGACTCAAAGGCGGTCGAGAGGCGGCGACGGTGAATGGTCAAGTGCCTAGGACTCGAGTTGGTCGTATAGGTATGAGTTGAGCTAGGTGTCTTGGAATTTTGCAGAAGTGATTAATATTCTGTGTAGATATATGCTTGAGTGTACTACCAAGGACTTTCGTCTTATTTAATATTTGATGTAACAAGCATATAGTCTTGTCTTTCTGACAGCTGAGGTGGTCCAAGAAGCATAACTATTTGATGTAAATAACTCACGTGACCCTGAATCGCGCCGCAACTTTCCAGTCATGGATGTCCGCCGACAAAATTCCCCGGATCAGCAATAACACGCTTTCGACTCGATAACAGACCGTCCTTTTAGCTCAGGAGTTGTTTTGTTGGTAGATCGCGATTTCAGTCAATCCCTTTACTTTCGACGCACTAGGGTCGACCCCCTGGGCGATACCCCAAGCCATTATGGTCAACTTGTTCAAGCGCATGCGCAAGCTGAAGACTGTAAGTATACAGGTCTGTCCAGTTTGACTGAATGATTGATTGGGAAACAACCAAACTATATGAAAGCTCGCTGACAAGAACATCTTCCAAATATAGAGGGTAAATTCAATCCATATTCCAAGCAAAACTTCGCTTCTTCCAAAGCTCCTCCGAATCCGGAAATCCTCCCCTTCAGCAAATTGCCCTCTCAGCGCGCCGAATCCAAACAACCATGAAAAAATGCCTCCGTGACTGACACAAACCAACAGATTCTTGATATCAGAACCGGTCTCGGTGCCGCAATCTTTCCCAATCCCACCTCTGCCACGAAAGAATTTCCCCCAGTCACTCGACTACACCTCACATATGCCCGCAAGATCTACAATGGACATCAAGGCGCCCGTCACTTCTGGCGCAATTGCCTTCCCCGCCTCAAATATCACAACCCGGCTGTTCGTATGACGGTGCAACAGACAGAAGACCAGAGCTTAACGCCTTCTTTGACGATCTACTTCGCCGAGCGATTGAGCAGCACTGCACCCGCGATCATTGGGTCCAAGAAGATCTCCGACAAGCACGCTCCTGCCCCCGAGAGCAGCGAGAAGATCGCAGTCGTGGACTTGAAAGATCTTACATACAAGGAGATTTGGAGTCGGGTACAGGCGGCGACCGGAGCCGAGGAGGTCCGTACCTCTGCAGAGGACGAAGCCGAGCGGAAGCGACTGGACGCTATCACAGCCAAGGCTGGCAAGGATCGGGAGCGCATACAGGCCATCCGCCAGGCCAAGAAGGATCAAGAGCGGATGTTGGCCGAGGCGCGTGGTGAGGTTGAGAAGATGAAGGAGCTCTAAAGCGGGCTTTGTTCTCGTACCTTTCGAAGCTATCATGGACGCGTTCTTGTGATTCTTATCGCATTCAAAATCTGTATCATATATATGTGGCGCTTTCAATTTTGACCTGTGCAACCCCTAAATTTACGGCTTCCAAGCAGTATGTCTTCCGCATTGGTATCATTCGGCCCCAACAGATCCGTTGCCCAACCTTGAAATTCTTCCGCCCTGTCGTATCTCCTCTATTCACGAAGTTCCCATCTGAATAGATCACTGCGTGGATTCAACAAACATGACTTATCTACTACCAGAAGATCTGATACTTAGTGCGCAAGACAAGGTGAGGTTGATCAAGCACAGAACAGGGATGCAGGCCAGTGTCCAAGCCAGCATTTTGATTCCATCCACATTCGCCTTAAAGCGATGGCGAATCGCTTCGGGGCTTACTGACATCCGAGCATGTACCTAGCTTAGCCTTGGGGATTACTAGTTGTCTACTTGTTGGAATGAGGCCAGAGCTGAGCTAACAGGAGGTACATACACATGCACCAGCGGTATATTTGATCGTCATGAGCGAAAGGGCAATGCACCTTTCAAGTCGCCCAATATTTCCCAATATGTTAGTCAATTCTAATGCCGGGTCGACTTCACGCATGGTCAGGGTTGTAATTAGTACCCCCGAGAACGTTGTGCCCACTGGGCGCAGACGAGGTTGGGGTACCTGATCGATGTGAAGCGCTTTCACCTTGCGAAGAGGGCCCGGCTTGAGCGCGCCCACCAGCTGCTGCCTGTAGTCGTTGATCCAACGCCTTCAAGGCCAACGCCCGTCTTCGCTCGGCCTCCTCGCGCTTGCCAGAGCCCCGCCCAGCCGCGCGTTGATTGCTGAGGAGCGTGGGGAGGCCCGCCTCGCCGCGCGCGAGAACTTGCTGGTTTCCGGAGGCGATCTCATCCTCCGAGAATGGGGTGATGATCTTCAGAGATACCAGTGAGGTATATATTTTGTCCGCCACGAATGCAATTGGGGGCTGCATCACATCGGGAAACAGACAGGCAAAGGCAAATGTCTCGCTGGCGTCGCCTTTGATACCCTGCCCATTGGTGGAAGTCCCGGTGAGATCGGGCTGTCTTTTATAGAACCGTAAGTACGTCCAGCTAGTCAAGAGACCGAACCAGGCCAGTACTGCAGCGGTGTCGGTCCCAATGATGAATCCACTCAGGGTGTTGAGAAGGAGGAATAGTGCGGGGAAATGCTTGACGCGCATTTTGATCAGTCCCTTGAAGACGGTGACGGTATGCTCGGGCACAAGTTGCTTGAAAGCGACAAGAAATGAGCCTTGAATGGCAACACCGCCACAGATCTGAGTGAGACTGATCATGCGGGACGGGCATCATGTCAGCTCACGAATTTCCAGATTTGCGATTTGCGCAAGGAGATGAGACGAAGAAGAACATACCCCCTGGTTGAAGACCCAGTCAGAGCGGCCCAGGTCAGATAGAATGGAACGATCATCACATTGGGTATCACGGCAACTGCCAAGATGAATTTGCTGAATTCACGCGAGCCCCATGCGCGCTCGAGGTACTTGCCCCCATAGAAGATGGTGGCTGCATTGAGCAAAACTGTAAAGATATTCTGCTCCACAAAAGTCGCAGTAAGAAGAGTCCAAGGATATTGGTAGAAGAGCGAGGGAACCAGGGTCAGATAGGGGATGATGGGACTCGTTTGGACACTGCCAGCAGTGGTGTCGAGTTGGCGCCATCTGGCGATGTTGTAGAGGAGCGATAGGGTTAAGAGGGCGATCAGAACGGCACGAGTGGCCGAAGGAATGTTGAGTCGCATGGACATATCGTCTCGCGGCGGAGACGAGACCGCAGGACTGATCGACCTGGAGCCTGGAGTGTTTCGCAAGGTGATGACAAAAATTCTCAGTTGTCGAGGGCCGGCGGTTGAGGTTGCCGACCGCATAGACCGCATACCTAGCGGCGGCCGCTAGCCATAATAATGACCACGATCATGTCCGTATTTGCCAGGCTACCACTTCCGCGAGCGATCGCAACTGCGAGGTACGAGGTTAAAAGCTCACCAAGCCATCTCTACCTCGGCAATAGATACAGTCCCCGTTGCTCTGTAGACTCCTACTGCAAGTTCAATGTATGCTTGTCAAATGATGGTCACGTGATCTATTGACATCGGGCAGCATTTACGCTCCAGATCACGAGATCCAGTTCCGTTTGCCAGTTCCTTTGGTCTAGTGCGCTCCAATTGAGGTACATCCGACATAGAAAGGATCAATCTGTCGATGCTCCGATGTTGGTCGTAGTAGTTCGTTCACTGGAGAGGACTATGAAGTGTCAGCTCACTTGCAACTGCTCAACGTTTTGACTGCTCTCGGTAGACCCTCACTGCGCGCTTTAAGCTGCCTAGATAGGAATTTATTTTTGACCTTTTTCTACTCCATTTCGTACGCATGAGTACGTAGGTGCTAGGTAGGAGGACTAGTAGATAGTAGGTACTAGGTACTAGGTACACATGCACCGCACCCGCATGGATACGATCGATTATATATGCCCAGGTACGTGCTGGCTTCCAAATGCGCAGTCGGTGGCTCTGAGGGACCTTGGTGTAGTGTTCAGGCCTCCTCCAGCTTCGGGCAGGGAATAGTTCTCGGGCCTTGCTATGCATGTAGGCTTCAAAGTCGAGAATAACAGATGGGTCATGTCATCTTAACGAAACGGTGATGTAGCTGTCTGACTCCCTATATAATCTCATCCGTGACGTTCGGGGAGCCGATTCGATTATTGTCCAAGAAAATGGGAGTAGCACCGAGGAACTGATTGAATGAGATCGCCCATATGTTCTCAGTGCCGGTTTCTAGTGCACTACCTTAGTGACTACTACCATGTGACTCTTGACATCTTGCTGCCTTCTCGAAGGGCCTACGGTACAGCATCGATGAGCGTAAGGAACAATGATATTCCGAACCGATGCTCGAACCGGCCGGAAAGAGGAGAGACCTCCAGAAATCAGGGCAACGGGGAAAAGCGAATTTCTCGATTAGGACTAGATGTCCCGTGCCACAAAGAAAGTTCAAGCATGGCGATTACATTTGCCGATCCACTTGAGGTGGGTCTTGGCACCCCAAAAAGGCTAGACAGTCACGGGCATCGATGCTCAGGTAAGGCTGGACTCAGAACTTATCTGAACCCAAAAATCTCCAACCCACAGAGCCGAACGGCCAGAGGGAGATGCCGCGCAGGTCCAAGCGACACATAGGAGACCTGACCTGATCTACGATTTCCGGTGAACTGCGCAGAGACAGCAGAAGACAGTCACTTATCTTGTTCGGCTGGGAGAGGTAGGTACATCTAGTCCTGAAATGGGCATCTATGGCACCTGTCTTGTTGTGAAGAGGCTCCTTTCCTTCCTCGAGATCTGGGTTCTGTAGGAAGCGCGAAGCCAGATACCAGGTAGGTGTTCGATTGTGTGTGTCTTTACCCAGACAGTAGTACTGGACTACTACTAGACTTACTAGCAACTTAGTAGTCGGGTACTACTCACTGACTCGGTGAGTCAGTACAGGACTACCGGCATAGCTCCGAGCCTTGCTGACTTGCTGTCGTTCGAGATCTGTGTGGACTGTGGACTGTGGAGGGCGCCACCGCAGAATTCCGCACATTTGGAGATTGAGTCCGAGTCCACTTTTCAGCTTCGGGAGTCGTGGCTGGTACTGCGCTTTACCTTGGGATGGGGTCTCTGCCCGTGAGATTGTCACGCCGTGGAAGGTGACGCGCAGTTTGATGTACTTTGTTTTATTGTAGCCGATGTACAGTTGTACACTACCTTGTGGCTTGTAAGGCTTGTTGTATTGTAGCAGATCTGAAGAAAGTCAGCTGGTCTCGTTTTCTGCAGCTTTCTATTAGAGAGTGAGGACTGAGAACTGAGAACCGAGACCTGTTGTTATTATCATTCGGTTCTTCTCAAGTTGGTAGTTGTAGCGGAGAGACTGCGTCAGTCTTCGACGGGAACAAACCCCAACCAAACCCTTTTGCTCTCTCGTGAGCCCATCAACTTGTTCTCCATCATCCATCCTTGAATCTTGCGACATTTGCAGAGTCTGTCTAGTGTCTCTCCATCCACGGCCGGTCTGTATTGATTGTCAAGACCTCCACCCGATTTGCTCCCCCCGGTACTTGTCTCTGGCCTTGGAACTCCCCTCTCTGTCTCTCCTCCCCCATCTACGCTTCCACCTTGCACCTGATCCTCTGGTTCGGTCTACTCGCGGCTACCAGCCACGGATCAACCTGACGACGTGACCATCCGATCATCTTCTGGACATTCTCATTTCCCATTCCCGCTTCCCTTTCTTCCACCTCTCTCTGTCTCTCTGTCTCTCTGTCCCTCTGTGCCTCGCTCTTGCCTTGACTGCCGCTTCTGCATCCTTTTCTCCCTCCCCTCCTAAGGGAGAAGCCCTCTGGTCCCTTCGATCGTCAATCATTCGCGTGTGGGAGCGTGGAAACCTTTCCTCTTACGGAACCGTGACTTTGCCCTCTTCATTTGCGCATCAGCCACCTGCCACCTGCCACCTGCCACTGGCCTGTCCACCGTTCGACGGGCTGGAACCTTCATACCTTCAACTTCCCCGTGACTTGCATCTCGTTCTCCTGCTCTTCGCCCTTTCTCTCTTCTCCGACTCACCTGCACTGCAAATCCTTCGCTGAATTCCTCTCTCGTGGGTGTTTCCACCCCTCCGACCCAATCAATCCCGCCGTCTGGGGCAATTCCATATTCCACGGGCACTTGACCCAATTCCCAGCTGCATCCGTCCAGTCCCTCCACTGTTCGGCACTCCGTACCCTCTTGTCCCTCTTGTCCCTCTCTGCCCCCCCCCAAAGTTCATCTGCATTTCTGCGCGTCTCTTAATCCACCCTCGACTTACACCACCCCCGACACCCCCGACACCCCCGATCTCTCCCTCCGAGCTGCCCCCGAATCTTCCTAGTCTGAGCCGGCACGGCGTCTCGGAAGACCTTATTCTGCCCCCCCTTCCCATTGCGGCTGCGACGCGCTAAAGAGTATTCCACCCTCGCTCTTCCACATTCTTCAAGGTTCACCATTTTTCACCGTTCGGGTTCCTGGAAGCTCCATCTGCCGTCTGCCATCTGGTCTCCGCCGCTGAGCGCCTCCACTTTTGATTTTCATCTTCCCTTGCGGAAGCCCGCCTCACCTCCCCAACCCCGACTTCTGGCATGCGTGCGGCTCTGATCTGATCGCACATGTCATCATGGCACAACCGGATCTGACGTCGCATCATGTCAACTACCTAATATGGCGGTACGTGATTTTACCCCCATTTGCGTGTGTTCCTTTGCGTTTTGCCGCCCGGCGCCTTCAAGTCCAGCGATCATGCAGCTTGCTAACCCGGCCCTCGTGCGACTTTAGATACCTTCAAGAATCAGGTTCGTAGCAAACCACCCCCACCCACTTGTTAATCTTTCTGTCCTGTCTTACTATGGGCTTGTGTCGTTGCGCTTATGATCCCCCTTCCTGCACGTTGCCGCGTCTATACCTCTGCTTCCTCTTGACATTATCCCGATCCAACTTCTAACCGCGCTGGCGCGTAGGTCATGGCGATGCTGCCGTCTCACTTCAGCGCGCATGGTACCCCAATCCCCAAACGTTGCCTTTCGCGCGTCACATTAAAACACATGCCCTGGTCTCGCTTGTCCAGAAAGGCCTACAATACCATGAACTCGAGTCCTCAATTGACAAGGTACGTCAATACCGGCAGCTGTCATCGAAGGACAAACATGGCCGACTGTCTTGCGCGCCGTCGCTGGCCCGCAGAGTAAACACCGCGATCTGTATAATATCTCCAACGTGACTGACAGTCTCCGTACAGGACGGCAATCCGACCACATTCACACCTGAAAGATACTTCTTCGGCCCGGAGCCATTTGACGTCGGCTCGTTAAAACCCAAGGATGAGCCCACTCCAGCCCCAGCCGGTTCACCGAAAGGACCAGTTCCAGAACACGTTGAGGAGGTAGCAACTGAACCAGTCTCTAATGGTGGACACGCGGCCGACCCTGCGCAAGACAGCCATGCTACGGAGACCAATGGCGATGAAGCGATGGAGGTTGACAGAGCCGAGAGCAAGCCGAGCAGCCCGCAACCCCAAGCACCTGAAGTGGATGGCGATGGTGATGTGAGCATGGGCGCGACAGAGCTGGAAGAAAAGCCCCGTGAACCGACTCTCACCACGGGCAATAGCGTCGGAGTACAGATCTCTCCTGCCAAGGCCGCCGATTTGAGTCCGGATGCCGTCCTGCTCAACGAAGAGCACGCCATCTCAGCGACATGGTGTCCAAAGGATTCGTCTTTGCTCTTGGCCACCGGAGACACCTTCTGTTCTCTGTGGAAACTCTCAGCCGCAGCCGAGCCAGCCCGCAACCGCTTCCTGGATCTCAAGGGAACGGGTGCATTCGTGTCGGCCGTCGCGTGGGACAGTGCCGGTGCTAAACTTGTGGTGGCCTCGTACCGGCAATTGAAGGGCACTGTAGCCATTTACAACACAGACGGCAAAGTCATGGACCTTTTGCCGGATATGCCTCGAGTGATCAATGGTTTGTACTGGGCACCAGATAGTCCCCAGTTGGTCATCGTGGCTTCCGACGAGCGATCGTCTGAACTGGTCTTGTGGGATGATGGTCGAAGGCCCGATGTGTACCCGCCATCGCAGACGATAGCAAACCATCTCTATGACGTGGCATGGTGTGGCAGAAACCGGGTGTTTGCTTGCGGAAAGGGATCTGTGTACGAGTGTGAAGTGAGCGACAATATCCGGCTAATCAAAAGCTATCCCTCGCCGCAGGCCGACATGCAGTGGACCTACGTTCGATCCATACAGGATGGAGATACTTTTATCGCAGTGACCGCAAGTGCGGCGTCCTCGGCCATCTGGATTCCGACGCACGACATTCTGGTCGAAGGTGCCCACCAGGCCGCCATCACTGGCATCGACATCAAGCCGCATGCTGCGCTGCCAAGGCAAGAAGGCAATCTGTCCATCTCATTCGCTTCTTTCTCCATTGATGGCACCATCGCTGTGTGGCAGGCGGATCTCGTTTCTAAAGAATACAAGTGCATCCATCGACTTCGTCTTGGCGCGTCCAGTCCCGCCATCACTGGCAGTTTCTCTCCTGATGGCTACGCGCTCGGCGCTGTCAGCAGAGATCAAGTCCTCATTTGGAATGCCGAGCGCGGTGGTGACCCGATTGCCACTTGCAAAGCCCCTCGTGTCGCCAAGGTCAAAGAGGACCCCGATCGCGCCACTAATGGACAAAATGGACACGGTCCCTCATATCCTGATCGAGCTTTGTCGTGGGACCTGGACGGGAAGAAGCTTGTGTGCGGGCTCGGAGAACAGGTACGTTCAATCCCACGGTCAAACAAGCGTGGCACAATTACTGATCATGTCGATACAGATGGCTGTCATCAATTTCCAAAGGTGACTTGAAATGATGTAGTCGATGTTGAACGACCCTCATTAGAACAACATCTCCAAGCACGCTTAGAGCTGGCTACGGCTGGTGTTGACAAATCTCCTCGGTTTCTCGGCCTGCTTCTGTCGCTAGTCGACCGCTCGCTGAGACAAACACCAGTTGAAGATGTGTACGCTGTACAACATTGAGCGGCAGTATACTGCAAAAATGTCGCTTTGTATTTATGTGACGAACTGCGCCCCCGAGTCTCTTTCAAAACCTTGCCTCCCACCCAAAATCTTCACTCGGTGATGTTTTTTGGCGCTATGATACGTCACCGCCCTTCATCGCTTCCACTCAGGTAGTAGCGGTGGTAGCAAGTTGAGTTCCTTGAACCTTTCGATCAGCAACCTTCTCCGTTCTCATCTGAACATACTATTTGCATTCAGAAAAAGTACGATGGCCTTGCATTTGTTCAGGCCTTTAATGAGCCGTGGCGTACGTCGCACAGGGAAGGTGGAGCTCCTGATTCAATTTTGATGTAATGTCTGATGCCCGTTGGCACTGATGAGTGATCTGTGATTGCACAACATGTTCGACTTTCGGAGTGAAGGATTGTCAAGCAAGAGCTTTTGTCGTAGTCGAACAAAAGCACGTGTATATAGCGTACTTGTATGCATCTCCTCGATCATGAAATCCCAGGTCTCTATTTGGATGTATGATGCTCTTCTCAGTGGCTCAATCGCGTGTCTTCCACCTCCAACGATTGACCTTGTTCATTTCGCGCGGGCACGGACTTCTCCGCTGCCCTCATGAGCTCTTCTTGCCTTTTGTCTCTCCTCATCCGTCGAGCTCGCGATCGCACTTCAAATTCGACCTCGAGATCCCTCCAACCTCGCATCCATGCAGCTATCCCGTCGAGGATCCTTTCACGGTCTATCTCCGCATCTCGATCTCCCCGATTCCCTTTGCTTTTGCGGCCCATCCAGGACCCCCGCGTACGGTGGTATTGAGCCGAGAAATCCCTCAATGCGCGGTTCCTTTCCTGCTCCTCCTTCGTACGGTTGGTCCACTCATGCAGTCCCTTGACCGTGCCCTGTAAACATTCTAGATCAATGGCATCTTCGATGATATCGGAATGTCTTATATAAGGGGGTCTGTGTTAGCCGGGGTGGATCTCACATATGGAAAGCATCGATCTTTCGTAACTTACAATTCCAGTACTTCTTCCTCTAGCTCGGTAACGTCGCGAGTCAGACCGCGGCACTTCTCTTCGAATCTCTCGCGGATGTGGCGGGCCTCGTTGCGTCGTCGCTCAACCTCCTCATTAAGCGAAGTAATCTCGCTCAATAGATGCGTCAATTGCGTCAATAAAGCGGCATGACCCAGATGGTGATGCTCGGGACCAATTGACGGCGCATCGTCATCGTTCATTTGATTGAAGTCGGTAAATCTTGCGACAGTTGGTTCCTCCGAGGTCGGTCGCGAAGGCGTCGAGGCCTCGCTCGTCAGCTCTGGCGACGCATTCGTGAAGATTGACTCCAGAGCGTCCAGGTGCGCTTGAAGGGCATCTTCGGCTTCTGGTGCAACACCACGACGATCGATGGTGTTCTCCGCTATTTGCGACAGCTGTCGTAGTCTTTCTGACCAGGATCGGTTTGCTGATGGAGAGTCGCTGAATTGCTCAATCGTTTCGGGCTCCTGATCTTCTGACACGAACGTATCGGTACGATTTGAGCCATGCCGGTCCTCATCCTGGATTGAGGACGTTCTCTGGGTAGGGACTTGTGACATGATATGTACGCGACGCAATCTGCAATCGAAATGGGCGCAAAACTACCGGATTGTATCCTTATATAGCGCAAAATCAACAACCGATATGCCTGATTGATTGGAGCCTATCGATAAGATATGCGCCGCGATCAAAGTCTCTGTGCCAAGACAGGGTTGGGACGCCAACGAAGCTCATGATGACTCTCATTGTTGCGGTCAGATTTGCAATTATCCTTGGGTTTCCTCATTCTCCGACCAAGTACCTGTCACGGACCCACTTCAGGATTGCGCTTGTCTTGACTCTTCAGCGACATGTGACCTACAGCTCATTGCGATCGTGATGAGATGGACCACGTTTTCTCGGACTTATCAGCAACGTTATGGCCGGACCGGTCGCTCGTCCATCTGGCCAGGACGGGTGCCCCACACTGTCACTTTTGGCACGAGATTGGTGTTACTCACGAGTCACGAGTATTTTTCCACCGCCAAATGATCCGTCTACCATCGAGACCTACTCCACCCAGATCTTGTCCCATTGTCTATTGAGATTCATCAGAACATCGGGAACATGGCACCTACAGTATGTGACAAAAGGCACCTTGAGGAGACGATTTCCCGCTGTGAGACGTCACTTCGGCCTCTGACTCGACCCTAAAAAGGCTAACACCTAATTGCACAAATGACTCAGATCGCCAATGTCCCGTCGCTTGAGACGGCGCGCGAGGTCATTTCCAAGTCCAGAAATTCAGCATTCCCTCCCAATCTGCTGCCCATAACAGCCTCGATTGCGGCCGATCTGTTGACGCCAACATTGGCCTACCTCAAGCTTGCAGAGAAGTATGTCAACCAAGCTCCTTTGAATCCCCGCCAAACCATCCCACCACCAGCGGCTATGCCACGATGACCAGAGGCGGGGAAACCACCACTAGGCATGAGAAATATACTGATCCCCATCGCAGCTCGCGCATGTCATTTTTGTATGAGAGCGCTGCTACTACGGAAACAATTGGACGATACAGTTTTGTTGGTGCAGGTACGTCGGGGGTCTTGTCAACGTGCCGGAACTGCGGTCGTTCCGGGGATCTTTAAAACGCAACCGTGCCGCTAACCGGGCGTCTCGTCTCTCCATAGACCCCAAAAATGTCATCAAGACAGGGCCAGGCCATGGCCCCGCCCAAGACCCTCTACCTATCCTTGAAGCCGAGCTCTGCAAGGCTCGCGTGGCGTCTGTACCTGGCCTGGCGCTCCCGCCACTGACAGGTGGAGCGATCGGCTATGTGGGTTATGATTGTGTACGATACTTTGAGCCGAAGACAGCGCGGCCGATGAAGGACGTGCTCGGCGTACCAGAGTCGCTGTTCATGTTGTTTGATACTATTGTCGCCTTTGACCATTTCTTCCAAGTGGTGAAGATCATCACCTACGTGCCGATCCCCGCGGACGATGCCGACATCGAGACCCAGTATCGCCAGGGCCAGGAAGTGATTCGGAAGACGATTCAGACGCTGCTGCAAGAGCGTACACCTCTGCCTCAGCAGGGACCCATCATCCCCAACCAGGAGTACACGTCCAACATTGGCCGGGAAGGCTATGAGGGCCACGTCCATCGATTGAAAGAGCACATCAAGAAGGGTGATATCTTCCAGACCGTGCCTTCACAACGACTCTCTCGACCCACCTCCCTTCACCCCTTCAACCTTTTCCGCCACCTCCGCACTGTCAACCCCTCCCCTTACCTCTTCTATATCGACTGCGAAGACTTCCAACTAGTGGGCGCCAGCCCCGAGCTCCTCGTCAAGGAAGAGCGCGGCCGCATCATCACTCACCCCATTGCTGGCACGGTGATGCGTGGCAAGACCACGGAGGAAGACGACGCTCTGGCGAACGAGCTTCGCAGCAGTCTCAAGGATCGAGCCGAGCACGTCATGCTGGTTGATCTGGCTCGCAACGACATCAACCGCGTTTGCGATCCCATGTCTACCCAGGTCGACCGGTTGATGGTGGTTGAGAAGTTCTCGCACGTGCAGCACCTGGTCTCACAAGTCTCTGGCACGCTGCGACCAGACAAGACTCGCTTCGACGCCTTCCGCTCTATATTCCCGGCGGGCACAGTATCTGGTGCGCCCAAGGTGCGTGCCATGCAACTGATCGCCGAGCTTGAAGGTGAGAAGCGTGGCGTCTACGCCGGCGCTGTTGGGTACTTTGGTTACAACATCGCCAGCGTGGATGGGTCAAGCGAGGTGCCCGGTGCTATGGATACCTGTATTGCCCTGCGGACGATGATGCTCAAGGACGGCGTTGCCTATCTGCAGGCGGGTGGTGGTATTGTGTTCGACTCTGACCCATACGACGAATACATCGAGACCATCAACAAGCTGGGGGCGAATGTTGCTTGCATTCGGGGCGCAGAGGAAAAGTACCTTAGCATGGAGAGCGAGTCTCGCTCTGCTTGAAGAGGAAATTTTCCCGCCCAGTCAACACAATTTATAAAAAGAGTAGGCGGGAGTTCTCGCCTCGGAATCGATCTACTCATATGTGCCTGACCATACCGCATGCTGTCGTATCATTGGTTTGAAACTTGGGAATCTGTCCTCTCTCATTTGAGAATTTTTCATGTCAAGTCCTTTTGTGAAGCTTGGTCCATGTTGCAATGCATTGTTCTTTTCCGGATAGATCCGTTTCTTTCATGATTTTGCCTCTTGGAGTTCGTCCGTATATAGTGAACAGTTCTCAAGGTCTTGTCTCTGACCTACCTCCTCTACCAGATCAGTCCCTGTAGCATTCCCGATACGCTCGATATGTCGCCCAGAGACATAACTGCTGTACGCTCCTTCGCCCCTTGCCGTCTATTGGACGAATCAGTAGCGGTCATTCTCGGGGGCGCAACACATAAATCGCTGTATAGCTAGAAGCCCGGCATCTGTGGACGGCAGGTCAGTAGTAGGCGTGGTGCAACTTCTGATCCCAAAAGTGGTCCGCACTGAGAAGAAATGCCCTTGGTGACCCAGGGTTGTTTCAGTCGAGGAGCGTTATGAGAATCCATTTTTTTTCTCATTCCGAGCGCACAGGCTGCGCACTTGCGCAGTACTTGACATGGTCAGGATGAGTGAAAAGACTGCCAGTACGAAGATGTCGTTGACAAGTCTATAGACCTCTTATCATGGAGAAGTTCTATGTCATGTCAGTCTTCCATTTGTGCTGTTCAGGGAATCAACATGACTAGTAGAGTGCACGTGTCCCTCTTGATTGGGTCGTTGTCTCAAACGGTCTCCACTACTTCCAATGCAACCTTAGCTGCTCCTGCCGAATGAGGGCCGAGGTACTACCGAAGCCACCATAGTGAATCGAGCATCTCCAGTACTGAGTCTACTGACTGACCAAGTTACAACAGTAGTGAACACTGAACAGTAACATGGAACAATGGACACTACTGGACTAACAGTGGACACTAACAGTGACCGAGTGAACTCTCTAAAAATGTACTAGCAGTAGTAAACATTAGCCAGTTGCTAACAACTGACTACCATCAAAACCACCACCACTACAGCACTAGATCCATCCCACTACCGCAGCCCCGGAGTACTACGATCGATTACCACCAAAAAACCCACTGCAACACTGCCACCACCTGCTCACAAATCACCCTCGTCTTTCACATAAGATAATGAAAGACGGGCACGTCTTTCCAACCATGTCCCGACTCAAACCATCATTACCTGAATTCTTGACGCCGCTGAAGATCGACCATGAGCGACTCCATCATCTTGCGTGTCGCCTGTGCTTGACCTATCGTACACTGGCCGCGACATCTTCAGAGCAATTCTTCCCCACGGCCACGACCCGTCTGCCTACGGGCCGGGAAAAGGGTCGGTACTTGGCTGTGTACCTCGGGTTGTATTATCTGCGAGTCGCATTTATCGAATTGTTGGGTGAAGAGCAAATAGGCAAGCATTCGCATGTTCGACGAACCTTGGAAAAGGCATGGCCTATTGAAGATCGACTGCGGCGGGATGATCCCGGCTCATTGTTCTCTTGGATTGGAGATTGTATCGCCGAGGTGATTCATGATGATCTTGCCAACTCCAAGGAAGATGCTCCATCTGAAATTGAGATGGGGATATCATTTTGTTTTCCGATAAAGTACATCTCTCTCTCTCTTTCAGCTTGCGGCCCTGAAATCGGTTGTCTGGACTACGAATTAATTCCAGGCTGAAATTGATCATGGAAAATTGCGAGATGCCGAAGAGAACGCAAACAAGAGACTGACATGCTGATATAGACAAAACTCCGTTAATGAGGCGATATTGATGCCAACCGGCAAAGGCTTCGCATTGGGTACTTCACTCAATTTGCATCAAGCCCTTTTGGATGGTTATGAATGTCACACGCGACGCTCGTCTGAAGCCGACCAGGATGAAAAGCCCGCCAAACGACAGAAGAAGTACTGCCTACCTACGCTCAAAATCTCAGTAATGACCAACGACACTATTTCCACTCTGGCATCACTGGCGTACTCGATCCGCGCGCTACCCAATACGCGCGTGGTGATGGGCCTGCTCGTCGGCGCAGGATGCAACTCTGCAGTGCCCATGAAACTCACCGACTTGCAAGATTCCAAAATTCAGCATATCCGAGAGAAAGACCCCACAGCCGTGGACTCCGTTGTCTCCACGGAATGGACGCTCAGAGGTGCGACGGGCCCTCTCACAGAGCTAAACTTGATCACCAACTGGGATACCGAGCTGGACGCCCAATCTAATCGGCCTGGCTTTCAGCCTCTGGAGTACATGGTTGGCGGACGGTACGTTGGCGAGCTGGTGAGAATTATATGTCATGACTGGTTTACCGGGGTTCAATCTGTACCGCGGTCGTCTCTACCTGAGAAACTGGTGACGAAATATGCTCTAAAAACCGACTTCCTCTCCTTGGTGGTCGCGTCCAGCTCTTCAGACGCCCAATTGGCCGAGAATTTACAACGAGATTTGCCCGCACCGACATCCAGTGACTGGGAATGGACGGCCGAGTATGCAGGTCAAATGCGTGTTGTCGCAGCCACCGTGCAAGATCGCTCTGCTGCTTTGATCGCCGCGGCGACTGTGGGATTACTTGCCTGTGTTGGGGAGATCAGCCTTCAAGAGCAGAACGAGAGGGCTTCACAGAAAGCTCGAGTGACTGCTGAAACTGAAACCGAGAAGCTTGAATCACATCCCCAATCAACTTCGGGCAATCGCGGACTGTCCAGACCTGGGTGGCTCAAGGGACCGGAGGAATTGGTTGTGGCTGTCAACGGAGGAGTCATACAGCATTATCCACACTACAAGGAGACGGTACAACGATACATTGACAGACTATTGATCAGCGCTGGCCCTCAAAGTGAAGGGAAGAGTATCTTTTTGCGAGAAGCTAGCGATGGAGGTCTCATCGGAGTGGGTGCTTTGGCTGGGGCTGTGGCGGGTGATTTCAACGGGATAATTGGATCCACATTTGAAAAAGAGACAGCAAGTATACATAAGAATGGCGAAAGAGCAGTTTCCTCTTTGACAGGCATATAGTATCGAGGCCAAAATGTCCATTGACAATCTATGCTACAATTACATGGGCAGTCGGGCATGATATGGAACCAGAAAGTCCGGATACAGTTGCAGAGGAACATGCTCAGAATTCGGTCATTTGCAGAAACAAATCTCCTTCCCGCCCTATCGTACAAGAAATATAGACCGGCAGCAAATTCCAGGGTATCGCGAAGAGATTCCGTCTGCCAAACGATCTTCTCCGTCTTTTCCAGACTTCATCCTCCGCAGAAATATCAAGATTCAAGCACACATGACAGTTGCAGCTGTTATTCTTTCCCTCGGGCACACGAATTCATTTACCTTCCAGAGATCGTGTATATTGCCAGTCATCCATTCATGACATCCTCAGCTCACGAAACATTGTGCTGTCGTCTTTATTGTGGCTCTTTTCCGCACCTCTATTCCCCAAGAGCCTGATACTGCTCAGTAGTGTAGCACTTTGGCGTCCATGCGTGAATCTTGGGGATCTCCTCCTTCAGCACCGAGTTGACCAGACGGTGACGGGCAAGCAGGTTCTTGCCGGCGAACTTATCAGAAACAATCACGGCTTGGAAGGCTTGACCACAGCCACCTGTCAAAGAAACAAGACGAACAGCACTCATCAGCCAGATTTTTCCAAAGAGAATCAACAAGCGCCAGTCACTTACCAGACAGATCCTCAATCTTCACCGTTTTCGCCTCGAGCTCAACCTCCAGCTTCTTCTGGAGCAGTTCCGCCGTCACACCGGAGGTATCAGCCATTGCAGCGCCGACAGCGGAGAACGAACGAGCCGAAATAGAGAAAAACGGAGCCTGTCGCGAGATCTGGGCAGCGTTTGGAACGGTAAGGTAATGGTAGCCTCGGCTCAGCTTGGTGATGGTGGAGGTGCGGAAAAACATGAACGCTGAGATGTAGAAACTGGCTGTAGTCCGGTGAGTGGTCCAGACTGTAGATGGGTAGTGTTTCAATGCGAGTTACAGTAGTACAGCCTGTGTTTGACAATGGCGTGAAATCGAAGTTGCGATTTGATGTCCGCCGCGGAGCGGAGGGGCCGATCTCAGGTGATCCACCCATATTACGACAACCTGACTTGTAGTCCGCCCGGCCCGCGTCTGGGGGGAGATTACTAATTAATGTGGCTGATGACCTGGTTCGACCTTGGAGAGATGGAGAGTGGCTGGTGAGTGTATTTCGTGGCGTTCCGCAGACGGAGAAGCTATGCCATCATTAAGACAATTGTTATCGAGTGCTGTGTAGCGTCACTCTTATCAAAGATCTTAATATCGCACTCGATACAGGAAGAGGACAAATACACTCATTGACTCTACCTTGACCTTCTGCAAAACTCTATGAATCATCTGCGGACAATTGTCACTCGATACTCGACAATGGCGTCTTCTTCTGCTTCTACGACTTCATGCTCGCCCTTTACCCAGGCCGTGGTGGGCGCTATGCGAAAGCTGTACGTGTGACGTTTGAAGATTGCAGAGACTAATGGGTCCTCTTCACAATGGAAAGATCTTAGTTTTTTCATTGACTGACGGTCAGAACCTGATCTAGCTACCCTGAAGAGCTGGCAGACAAGAGCTTCGACAATACAGGCTGTAAGTGATCCAATGAGGTTGCGATGATCATTCCTCACAACTCAGTTATCAACGCCCTCCTCCCCTACTCTGCTATCGATATTTGAACAAGATCCAGGGAAATTGTGTCACAAGCTAATCAAGTATGACAGTACTTCTTGAAGCTCCCTTTGAGCCCACGCGCCGACAAAAAAACTCGGTCCTGCTGGCCATCGACTTGACTACCGCTGTGGCAGATGAAGCCATCAAGCGACAGGACTCTGCTATTGTCGCCTATCGTACGTACGACCCCAGTTCGCATTCACTTTATCGCCATATGTACTCTATGCAATGGCTAAGACCCTATTCCAGATCCCATCATCTTCCGTGGCCTCAAGTCCATCACTCTGGCCGACACTCAACAGCGCTCACTCCTCCGGCTGGCCCAACATGGAATCAGCGTCTATTCTCCCCACACAGCCGTCGACACCGTCCCCAACGGCATGGCCGACTGGCTGTGTGACGTGGTGACGTGCAACTTCTCCCGGTGCTCCTCCTCGCCAATTGATGGACTCAAGCCCAGTATCCAAACCTGCTCCTCCAGCTTCTACTCTGCACCAACCTACCCGCAACCTCACGCCGTGCCATCCACTACCAACACCGAGAGCGACATTTCCTCCTCCTCCCCCTCATCCTCATCTCCTCCTCAACAGATGCCTCACTCGCGCTCAACCATTCACCCGTCCCCCTCGGCGTCTATTCCCGACGGCTTCGAGGGTGCGGGCGCAGGCCGCCTCGTCACGTTCGAGTCCGCTCAGCCTCTCACCACTCTAATCGATAACATCGGTCGAGGCGTCGGTCTCCAACCCGGCATCCCCATCGCCATCCCCCAGGGTCAATCCGTAGACTCCATTCAGATCCGAACAGTAGGAATGTGTCCCGGTTCCGGATCAGGCGTCCTTCTTCGCGGCGGGCAGATTCCCGATCTGCTGTTCACCGGAGAAATGAGTCACCACGAGACTCTTGCCGCCACGGAGCGGGGATCCGTCGTGATCTCCCTGGCCCATTCGAATTCCGAACGAGGCTATCTCCGTGCCGTGATGCAGTCGAAATTGAAGGGCGAGTTGTCGCGGCGCTGGGAAACCGAGCGGGCGGCGGCGCTCAAGGCCATGCAGGAAAGTGCGAAACAGGGTGGTGCGGCGCCTTGGACGTCAGCGGAGGATGTGTATGCGGATGAAACGGTGGATGTGGCGGTGAGTGAGGCCGATCGTGATCCGTATGGAATCATGATCTGGCGGGCCTAGGGTAGTGGTGGATCCGGGTTCTTGCATGCCAGTCACCAATTTCTATTATTTGAAGCTTGACTCCAAATCTATCGACGAGGATGAAATATATTCAAGATATTTATGTCTTGCGGGTGAGAGTAAGGCTACTCCCGGGCCCATGGCGACTATTCAGATGTGGCCAAGTCTCGACGGAGTGGTAAGCTCCAATCGTCAGGTCAGCCTTAGTTCAAGCCTTCCAAATCGACGGAGGTACCTAGGTACGTGGTCGTACGTTCACGGGGATAATGGCACACCAAGCGGTCTCGAGGGCGTCGGGTCGGTAGGCCTATTTCCTTTTAAATCATGCATGCCACTTGACGCTACGTAGAATAGGTATCGATATATCAAGAAGCAGAATATGATCCACCACCCGACTTGCTTCAAATTAGAAGCTACTATACGAGACCCTACTTGACGCTTACAGTGCGCAGAGAAAGCGTCGCTTGGCCATACCATCCATGGGGCAAGGGAAAAACAAAAATGTGAAGAAGTGAGATGGTTTAAAATCAGAAGATATGAAGAGGAGAACAAACTTGAACCCCAATTTCAGTAGTGAGAAGGATATCCTAGGTACATGAAAGACACGAGCAAAAGCAGCAGCGAGAGACAAATGAGACTACGAGACAGGGTAGGAATAGGGGGTTGTGAGGGGGTTAAGGGGCTGAAGCACATATAGAAACAAACGGTGACCTGTAAAAGGGTTGGAGGGATAATTGGAATTCCACGCAGAGGCTCCCATAGAGAGGGTGGTTGTTTAAAGAATTGGCAATGGAAAGGTGGTGTGATGGCGAAAGAGCAGAGAAAAGGGGAGACAAGTGGTGGCTCGTATAAAGTACATGACCGGAGATGTCATGCTGGTCATGGCACGAGCGCAAAAGAGGGAATCAAGGGATTTGCTGTAGGCAAGAGGCGGCAGATACAACGACAGCAGGGAAGACGGTGCGAAATTCGAGGGTCGAAATCCCACTTAAAGATCGATCAGACTACCACCATTTTGCTGCGGTCGTTGCTGGCTTGCCCATGGGTTGCTGGTCTGCTGTTGTTGCATGAACCCGGTCTGTTGCGGCATGCCAGTATATTGCTGGCCGAAGAAGGGATTATTCCCTGTTTGAGTGGCGTGGAGACGGTTGAGACCTTGACCAGCAGAGTTGACAAAGGTGCCTGGAGCGGTATGTTGAGAAGGAATGCGCAGGTCTCCTGTATTGCCAAAGGTATCCTGGCCTTCGCCAGTCGATAGAAGTGCGTTGAGTCGCAAATGGTGGGGGTCAGCAGACTGAGGTGGCGTGCTCTTGGGAGGCTGGGGGGCCTGGAAGTTGGCGATGGGGTTGGGTTGACTGGGCTGCTGAGCAAATGGGCTGCTGCCATTGTACATGTTGTTGCTGTTCTGGTTGCTGAACTGCGAGGTCGCTCGGTCTTCCGCCAAGGCGTTTAGAGTAGGAGGGCCAGTCCGAGATTGCTGGGCAGCGAATGGTGACTGAGTGCGCTGAGCAAAGGGATTGTTTGATCCGGTTGGCATGGGCTTCAACGTATCGGCGGGCTGATTGGCAGTCCAGGGGTTTTTGTTCCCTGCGGAAAGGTAATTTTCTTGGGGAAATTGCTGTTGTTGCTGCTGTTGCTGCGGCTGCTGACCGAAAACATCATTGGTTCCCCATGGGTTGTTCATGTTGAAAGCGGTCTGTTGAGGTTGAAGTGTAGACTGGGGCTGCATGAAGTTGTTCTGAGATTGTCCATATGGATTTTGGTCAAAGACAGACGGCTGTTGCTGGGGTTGTTGCTGCTGCTGCTGCTGCTGCTGCTGGTATCCGGTGGCATATGGATTACCCATGCCCGTCGGCTGTCCCTGGAACCCGGTTGGCTGCGAGTATTGGTTATTCAGGAAGCCCGTCGACATGGGTTGCTGAGCATTGATCGGGTTGCCGAACCAGTCAACCGCTCCCTGCTGCTGATAGCCCTGGTTGAATCCAGTGGGCTGCACCTGGGCCGGAGTCTCGTCAAAGAGCGAGTGAGCGTTACTTTCCTCCAATTCACGCTTGCGTAAATCTTCTTCCTCTCGACTTAATTTGATCGCCTTTTGGAGGTCCTCATCGTCATCGTTGCCGGCTTGCTGGGCACGTCGCTTGCGTTCCTCTTCAGCCTCGTGTTTACTAGCTTCAATCGCGAGTCGATACTCGGTGTCGTCTTCATCGTCATTGCGCGGGCGACGACGCTCTCGACGTGCAGGATCGCTGCCGCCGCCACCACCTCCGTATCCATCGTCCAATCCACTCACGCGGGTCTTCCACAATTTGCGATCCGATCGCTCGCTGCGCAGTCGGTCTTCGTCGAGAACCAAAGCCGTAAGTTCCTTGGCAGCCACTCGCACTACGTTGAGAAAAGAGGGTCAGTTGTCATGCCCGCGCGGGGATCTCAGATCGATCACACAAGAATCGCTCACCATTTTGACCGACGTCTCGACTTTCCTCGTCGACGTATTGGAACTCGCGCAAGGTCTTGATGATGTAGACGTTCTTCCGCGCCCAGGTCACGACCAGCTCGGACCCCTCGTGCAGGCAGTAATCGAGCACCTTCAACGATTTGAGCACGTGGCGCCAATTCTTTCCCTTGTCGTTCAGGCGTTTGTCGAGCATGTCCATAATCTCATAGAACTCATTGGGGCTATATGCAAGGGATGAGTTAGACGCACATCGGTCCGGATGGAGATCATGAGCGGAGGGGTGAGGGGGAGGACCAACCTTCCAAAGGTCATAGCAGCAATCTCCGACATTTCCGTGCCCGTCGGGCCCCATGGATCATTGCTGGTGGCTAATTGAGCACAAGTCAGTATCGTGGAGAGACACAGTCGTTGCACCTCTACTGACAATTGCATCCACCTCCCCGACGCACCAAGTCAGGCGATCGGACCGGCAGGGATCCGGATCGACTGGGATGATGATCGCGGGGGTGCCGGCGCAATCGACATGAAAGGGAGGAGCTGATCTAACTCACCATTTCGAACTTTGACTTGCACTGAGGAGTACCCCTTTGTGACGTTCTTGACACTGCGAACGACTTTGGACATGGTGGCGGTCTATTCAACACCGTTCGGTCGCGGCAACGAGTATGTGATATTTAAATGGGATTCAGAGCAGGCAACTTCCAAAGAGCCTTTTCTCGCCTTCACTTTCGCTCTTGTCTTGGCGTCTGAGTCTTCACCGTTTCTTCAAGTGTGGTCGTGAGGGAAGAGGACGGAGTGAGGTGTGCGGAGCTCGGGGGGTTCAATGGCCGCGTATCACCGGACGGAGTCGCTGTATGTAGCAGGAGTCACTCGGAAGATACCAAACGCGGTGGGTGTCAAGTCGCAAACACGACGATAAGAGTATACAGATATCAATGATCAAGTACGACAGACTTGAAAGGTGTGGTCTCGGGCTTGAGTCAAAGAGGCGAGCAAGGAACGAGTGTGAGGGAGAGAGAGGGGACTGTGGCTGGAACGGAGGTGCACGAGCCTTGGCAATTGGGCTATGACGAAGCGGGAGTTTTCTTTGGGGGGGGGGTGGGGAAGGTGGGCTTTGCCTCTGCCCGACCGCTCGTGGAAGGATTTCGCAGTAGACTGAAGACTCAACACGGCCCTCAATGTAGAGAGAGATAGATTTTTCACGAGAGGGAAAGGAAAGGCTACCGGCTAGCTAGAAGACTCATATGAATAACGAAGCACGCACACTCGATCACGAGCTATGTCAGTCCACGTTCCTCGAAAGTCGACGCAAAGGGCAAGTATCCAGGACAATCTCCAAGACAGCTTGATAGTGTTCGTTTCCGGTCATCACGCCCCTTTCAGGATGACTGCAAGAATTTCCAAGCGCTGTCACTGCCTAACGTGGCTATTTGTTTCTGTACACTGCAGTAACTGCACTCCGGACCCTTGACTCTCAACTCGATTCGTGTTGGAGTGCCAGAACTTCGAAATATACCGGTCTAGTACTTCCCTTGACTCAGCACTCTTCAGCATGGCACAAGTACCTCACAACTCACCACAACCATGTACCCTGGTAGGAACCCCTAATCTCGAACTTAGGGACTACAAATGCCATCTAAACTAATCCACAATTACGCGTTACTGTCCATCCACTTCTCATGTCTCGTTGACCTTTTTTACTACTACTACTACTACTACTACTACTACTACTACTACTACTACTACTACTACTACTACTACTACCACTACTGGGCGACAGACTAGGCAGACAGATTAAGTAGCTGAAAGCAATATAGTGCACCTTGAAGCCCCAATGACAGAGTTCACAACTCAATGAAGAGGAAATGTGCATGGAGGTAAGGGACGATGTCCTTGGATAACTTGCACAAGCTATGATGCGGAGAATCTGGGGAGGAAATTGCGGACGGACTCGAAAAAGGAGGAGGTGGGCGCCTTTGATCCGTTTCATCCCAGACTCGACCACGTGCTCCGTGCGTCCGCCAAGCTTCGAGGCAGCAGAATTGGAAAGGTACTGATCCAGAGTCCGGGTTACTTCCTCCTACGACGGCAGACTGACACTCCAGAGTGAGATGCTTGACACGGAAACATCCTCATTCGATGGATATAAGGTGGTGCCGTCAAATTATTGTAGTTTACATTCGCCGTCCATGATTCCTCGTTCTGTTTGATATGGAACCGTTAAGAGTTTTTACATTCGTCCTTTAGGAAGATATCTCTCTTAAGCGAGCACCTTCTCAGCGGCGGAAACTGTGGCAGATTTTGATTAGCATTTCATCGTGTATACCTCTCGCCTCGACTTCGAGACGGTCTCTCAGTCGAATGACTGTCTCGACGGGAGCCGACTTACCGTCGACGCCGGTGTTGTCCGGCTCAACAAAGGCCTCCTTGACCTTACCGTCCTCCACCAGCAGGGCATACCGCTTGCTGCGGTCGTTGCCAAAGATGGAGGAGCTTTCAAAGGTCAGATCCAGGGCCTCGGTGAACTTGCCCGAAGGGTCACCCAGGAAGCGGATCTGAACAAAGGGCAAGAGTCAGCTTTCACGACACAACCGTCGGCAATGGAATTTGAAAATCAAACGTACCCCGCTCTTGTTCTGAGGATCCAGAGTCAGACCCCACGCCTGCATGCTACGATGCCAATTGTCGTCAGTATCCTCAATTCCTGCCCCTTCGCCAGTGTTCTTCCTCTGCGCTTCACAGAGTGCTGTGCTTTCGAGCACACGATCGAGGTCGTTCGGCGGGAACTTCTTACACAAAGGGATCATTGACGGAGACCACGAAGGTCTGTCCGGCCTCCTTCAGCTTTGGGTGGCTGATATAACCGGGCACGTGGGTACTAGAACAGGCGGGGCCTAAAGAGTAATGTCGCAATCAATTGTCTGTCCATTGCACGAGCTGACCGACATGGCCAAACCTGACACATGGGTTTCGCGTTTGCAGCTGGATCGGACTTACTGAAGGCGGCGGGCACACCAACGATGACTGCCTTGCCCTTGATCTCCTTAGCAAGGTTAGTCTTGTTGCCCGGCGAGTTTTCGACCAACACCTCCAGGTCGGGGATCGCATCGCCCTTTTGGACGAGGTTGCGGGAGGTGCTGTGGAAGGGAGCCGCCCTCACGCGGGTCGCTTGGGTCGCCAGACGTCGAGCAAACATGGTGTCAAGGAAGGTGATGGGGTTTCGAATGTGGAATTCAAAAAGAGATGATAAAGAGAGAGCGGGATTGCAAAAAGCTAGCCTAGAGCCAGATCAAGAGAAGGACCGTGGTTCAATGGGTACCAAGATGAGGAAGTTTGAGGTGGCCTATCGATAAGATCGAGACTTCGAGAACAGGGTGAGCTACCCGTCCCAAAGTGGATAGCTTGAAGTTGGACCATTTCGTCATCAATCCGCGCCGCACGAAACGAGGTTGAGACGCGATCGACAGACCGTTCGTGCCCTCGTTTGAGCCCTGCGTCCCGCTCAACGGTCACGATCGGCAAGCCTCTATTCCGTTGGGCTATCAGCTATCTCAAATCGCACTTGCGACTGATCCACCTGGTCGACTGGAATCCTGTAAGCTTGGGAGTGATCGATCTTCAGCGTACATCGGAGGGAAGATGATAGAGCTCATTCAGACGGCCAAGATCAAGTAGCTCGTAGCCTCGTGTACAGACGCTGAATAGATTGGTATCACCACCAGTGCCAACCTGCCACATGTCCGATTGGGGTTGACCCGTTGTGGGAGAGCGCAGCTACCTAACCCTTTTTTGCAATGCCGGGACTTCTTCAGGGAGTACCTCCAACTCGGCTTCTGTGGGGAAAAGGAGGTAAGTTGTGGATTTGTACTGACAGTACTTTGAGTCTCAATGAGGTCGTTTTCTTCAGATCAGGCTCTATTGCCGAGTGCCTTCCTGGGTAAGCTTGAGAAGGTTCCAACGACAAAGACAGATCATAGCCTGTCGCACTGAACACTGCACTCAGTGCACTGCCGAGGTAGAAACGATACCTGAGGTGAGTACCACAGGTATCAAGCACCTTGATACGGACTTTACCTAAAGTTCCTGCCTGTTTAAGGTAGATACTAGGTCCCTCGGCAACAGTACTGTAGAGTGTAGAGTGACTAGAGTCAAGAGTGTAGTGGTCTCAGATGAAGGTCTGACTTTCACTCTGCAGTCGGGTCCTGAATCTGCCCCGATCAAATTATTGTCATTCCGCCGAAGTTCATCCGCAGTAACTTGTCTCCTCCTACAATTGACGCGAGTCGACGCATTACCTAGTCGCCGGCTCCTTCTAATGATTCTACAGTACTATGTACTGCGATCCCCGCCCGACGAGTCTCCCTCTTCTTTGATGGTCCGATGTCCGAGTCCGCGTCGGAGCACCCGATCACCTCGCGAGGTCCAGGAGTGGACGCGGAACCCATCGCAACTCCAAGATAGGAGGAATCGTACCCAGCCAGCACTGTACCCGGGATTTGTCCCGAACGGTGGAGCCTCTCCAGTCGCGCCTGGTGGACAAAAGGGAGCCCTTTTGCGTCTCCAATCAACCCCTTTCGGCCGAGGAGGCATCTGTCCGGATAAATCGCGGTACACGGGTATAGTCCCTCAAGATCGTTGCGCGGAGTCTCCGAGTACCTCGTCGCAGGAATCCTTCCGGGCAATAACATGTTGGAGACCGGGACAGGGAGACGCAACCTCACCATACATGATATGAGTATCGTCATCTCGGTTGTTCGGTGAGTTTAACGTTTGCACCATGTTGCACGATGGCAGAGTCGGGTCTTGAACCCACACGAGATGCATGGGGTGGCTTGACTGGCTTGACTGGCTTGACTGGCTTGACTGGCGTTTACCGGTACAATCATGAAATGTCCCTCCACTGAGTCCACTCCATCTGGTGCGCACGGACGGTGGCTGTCCCTAAAGTGGACGTCTCGTCCACTGTTGCTTCGTGCCGCCTGAGACCGTGGGGTCTGAGAACGGGCGGTCTGCGACCGGATCGCTGGTTGCCGATGCTGCCGAGGATGCTCTGTGGAAAGAGGGCTGGCGATGAAGCCTTGACCAGATGAGAGAGTCTTTCCACTCATGCATGACCACCGATGATTGACCTATGTTGACTCCGTATACCGTGTCAATCTACTGTACGAGTGTACACTGTACACTGTACACCCCGTCTTTGGACAAGTGGACGGAACCGTCATCAGAACTGACAAAGAAAGGTCGTGGTTCAACTAGTCTCGCGAAACGGTGGGAGAACCGAAGAGTGAGAGCTCTGTACATGGAGTTCGATCTGATCCGACCGGCCGCTCAGAGATGGAGTTGGCAAAATCAGAACCTAGGGCCGTGCTCATGACCCGGATCGTCAGAGTCTCGTATGGCTATACAGGATCATGCATCCCCTTCGCCCTGAATGGACCCATCCTTCCCTTGGACAGACAACAGTTCCCAACTTTCGATACTTGGCAATCCGGAATCGAGGGTCACCGCCTGCGTGAGCGGCGGTATTCTCACGGTCAGTCAGGTTGTATGCCCACCGTTGGCACGAGTCAATGGTCATACATATTCTTCCGCCTGAACCATCAGTCCTTTTTGTCCTTTTAGTCCCGAGTCTCTGGCAAAAGCAGGGGAATCGGGGTCGTTCTTCGGGTTTTTGATTCTTGAAATCGATGGCCGTGTGTGAGTTGGAGCGTCGGAGAAAGGGTTGATTCAACTGTGTTGCAATGGCCCACCGGTCCAGTGGTGATGTTGGCTCTCGTCACCCGTAGGGCATCGATTCCATCATCGTCGCTGCCCGTGTCACGGGTGGTCCGGCGGACGATCTTTGCTCAGTTGCCCACTTCCGATGTTCCAGTCACTTGGATCTCGAAGACGTGACCTGGTCAGTCTCGGGAAGGGGAAGACGGATCAATCGCTGAGTAGGAATGGGAGAGAACACACTCCCATCTGCCTTGGGTGTATAAGGTAGCTATGCATCATGGATCAAATCGGGGTCAGCCCCGAGAGAGGACTATGGGCATTGTCGAGGGGGTACTACTTTGCTTGCCAAACTCCACCGGAATGTACATCGGTGGTTGTGATTTGTACTCGTAGTTTTGTCCACATCCATCGCGTGTCCCGGTAGTACTTCGATCACCACCACCACGCAGTACCTGCCGTGGTACAGTCTCTAAACCGGAGTACAACGACAGGATCAAGACTTCCTCTCAACCTCTGGTTCCAGTCAGTCTCTCCCATCCGCGTCTATGATGCTCATCTCTTCATCTCTTCATCTCTTCATCTCTTCATCTCTTCATCTCTTCATCTCTTCATCTCTTCATCTCTTCATCTCTTCATCTCTTCATCTCTTCATCTCTTCATCTCTTCATCTCTTTCTTTCTCTCTCGCTCTCTCGGACACCAACTCTCACTCTCACTCGCATCCCAAGTCGAATGCCTCCACCACACCAAACACATGGAAAAAAAAATCCTCCTCCTCCACCACCCTCTCTCTAATTCCTCCCCCCCCCCCCCCCCTTCCCCTCGCTCCCAACCCCGACTCTCTTGACTTTCTCTCCCTCCAACCCCCAAGTTCCTTTTCGTAGTCATCCCCGAACGGGACGGTTCCTTACCCGTTCGCTTCTCCCTCTGGCCTGAGAAATTATTATTCCACCTCCTGCCTTTTCTCCCATTTCCTTCATTCTCTTTCCTCGAAATCCCCCTCCACCAACCAACCAACCAACCAACCAACCAACCCCCACCCTTGCACCGCGTGAGGCGCCTTCCCCATCCCCGTGTCGCGGCCCGGCTTGAAAGCCTGCACCTTCGTTTTCGCCCTCCGTCGCGTCGGATGCCGTAGAGGTTCCTTGGTTCTTTCTTGGGTCTGCTGGCTTTTCGCAGTGCTTATTACCCTCCGTATACCCGCCAGCCCGCCGGGTCCAGCCTGCTGCTCGTTCGACCGGTCGCGACCCGTCTAGCCCAGCATGGAGGGTGGCCAGACCTCGTCGAATTCCGCCCCCGCTGGGAACTCCAGCGATTTTGTACGTGAAAAGCTTCTGCTCCCCGGGACTGCAGTCGGCGATCGCTGTCCAGATCTTTCCTGGATTGTTTGCTTTTTTCTTCAACTTTCTGTCGCAACTAACACGATCACTCCCGATGGATAGGTTCGCAAACTGTACAAGTGAGTCCCTGAACCACCATCATCACTGCCGCTGCTCGGCCACTCGACTTCGAGACTGAATGCGCCGCCATCCGCCTAGTCGCCACAAACAACGCATGATGGTCGCGCACTTACGACAATGCATCTCCCCGACTCCTGGACTAACACTGTCGATAGGATGCTGGAGGACCCTTCCTATGCATCAATTGTACGCTGGGGCGATGAAGGTGATAGCTTTGTGGTTCTCGAGGTACAGTCCATCCCATCCGGCACGTCCGCCCGTGGCCGCGGTCATGATCACGTCGCTCCCCACGTACTGACCCGGCGCCGACAATGCTAGTGTGAGAAATTCACCAAGACCATTCTGCCGAAACACTTCAAGCACAGCAACTTTGCGAGTTTTGTGCGCCAACTCAACAAATATGACTTCCACAAGGTCCGCCAAAACAACGAAGAGAACGGGCAGTCGCCGTATGGGCAAAATGTGAGATTACACCCCCGGGTTTCGCCGGTCCACAGCCGGCGACTCCTTCGCCCCCCCCTGGATCCTATGCGATACCCTGTTGCTCTGTGTCTTTTCTTTTTTTCCTGGTGTGATGCCCGTCGCGACCGATGCTCTGACGCTGGACTCTCTTCGGATCAATTCACAGGCCTGGGAATTCAAACATCCCGAGTTCCGAGCCAATAGCAAGGACTCCCTAGACAACATCCGCCGCAAAGCTCCTGCGCCTCGCAAGCAAACCCAGCCGACCGATGAGGCGGCCCCAACTCAACAGATCGATCTACTTAACCAGCAGATTGTCGCCCAGCAACAACAAATACAGCATCTCTCAGACCGATACGCGCAACTCACCGTCGATCATCAACTCATGCTGCAGGAATCAATGCGCGTCCAGAAGACGGTCTTGAACCACGAAAACGTCATCCACCAACTCATGACCTACCTGCTCTCAGTCGATGCGCGCCAGCGACGAGACAACAAGGCCCTCTCGTTCCAAGCGCAAGGCGGCGCCGGCGTCAGTCCGGGGCAGGTCGGCGCGATGGATGACGCGCCCTCCTCTCCCCTGCAGCAGGCGTCCAAATTGTTGAGCGACATGAATTCCGAGATGCAATTTAACATGGCGGCGATCGACCCGGCAGCCAACGATGCCTCCAAGGCTGCGGTCCCAGTGGCCGCGCCCGTCTCTCGGTCGGAAACGACGGCACCCCTAATACCGCCGCCATGGTATATCCCAAGATGAGTGCAGACCTGGAACAGGTGGTATACCCCGTTGGGGCCACCAATGGCATTGACCCGATGTACAGCCAACATGTCAACAATGTGCCGTATCCTATGCCCGCCAAACCAGATGTTGATGCCAACGATGCGCAACGGTTCCAAGACAACGGCAATCGCAAGAAGACGACGAACGTCGATCCGGGCTGGATGCGCAGCCCTCAAATCTTGCTTGTGGAGGACGATGCGACGTGTCGACAGATTGGTGGCAAATTCCTGTATTCCTTCAACTGTGTCGTCGATACTGCTGTAAGTCAGCAGTTCCCTCTGCGACGGGGTGGAACTTGCCGCATGACCTAGCAGACGAATGCTTACTGATCGGGGTTTGGTTTTTGTAGTTTGACGGCCTCGAAGCTGTCAACAAGATGCAGGCCGGCTCCAAGTACGATCTCATCCTGATGGATATCATTATGCCAAATCTCGACGGTGTATCCGCCTGTCACCTCATCCGCCAGTTTGACCGAACTCCCATCATTGCCATGACCTCCAACATCCGAAGCGATGATATTCAACTCTATTTCCAGAACGGTAAGCGGCGGTCTCACCCAGTTTGATTCAGAATGACAATGACCTCGTCCCTTGACTAATGCGAGTACAAAGGCATGGATGATGTCCTACCGAAACCTTTCACTCGCAAAAGTCTTCTCGGCATGCTCGAGAAGCACTTGGTTCACCTGAAAACGATGGCACAGCCCATCGACGCCACGCCAGCTCCAGCGCCGAGTGCGATGACCGTTCAGCCTTCGGCCACGCAGTCAATCAAAGAGGACAATAGCTCCCCCGGCCAATCTCCGGCCGGCTCAATGACGAATTGGCAGTCTCCGGGTCAGTTCCATGGCATGCCTTCAGTGCCACAACCGATGTCTGCAGTTCCCGGTCAGTACGTCCCTGGTCCCGGCGCGCCGCCGGGGACGTACGCCGTCGATCAAAACGGCATGCAGTACCCAGCACCTGCCAGAGTCACCGTTCCCTCCAATGGCGGACCACCCCGGCCTCAGCACCGTCGGCAAATGTCTGACATGTCGAGTGCCACCGAGAACCCCAATGTCAAACGGCAGCGCATGTACTCACAAAATCAACCGATGATGGCTGTCCAAGCCGGTCGGCCTGGTTGAACGTCCTCAAGCTGCAGTATGACGCTCAACCGCCCCTATTGAAATCCCCTTTGGCTCTTCCTGCCCCGCTCGACCGCATACGGCCCTTCTATGTGTTTCACTTCTGTCCATTATACCAACATTCCCACTGTCTATATTGAGGTCACTGACCGTACATTGCTCACATTTTGCACTTGGCATTCCTTGGCTTGTCTTATTGCTGTCTCTGGGACAGCTTCTTCCAGCGCTGTTCAGGGTCTTAGATATGGTCACTTTCTTTTCGCGGGAGAGAAACTCTCAGTTTTTGGGATGGCGCATTTGTTGCTACGGATTTGGACTATTTAATCGGCGTTTCGCCGACCTATGAGACCCTTTGCTGTATCACTTATCAGGTGGCCGCTATTCAAACAACGTCAACCACTTGACAACATCCATTCCATCATCTAATACGTCTGATCGTGAGCCGTAGGTTCTGTACCGCAAATGAACCAGTCACTTGAATTATCACGATACCCCGACCCTGTTGGGCGACGCTGTAGCTTGATTCGGGAAGCCTAAGTTGGAAAGCGACTGTTCATCAACTCATCGTGTTCAGATCGTCTTACGCACGATCACAATACTTGTCCTGACAGTACTCTCCAGTCTGTCCTATTCAAGTCATTATTCGCCTTTTCGAATCGTCATGGGCCTCCATGCGTTCGATCGCCTGAGATTTTTGACCCGAATAAAATTCCCACGTTCAAGGAAGCCCTTAAAGAAACAGATACCCCACTATACCCGTGTTCCCGCACAGGAACGCCGCTCGGACGAACCTATGCCTATGTAGATCCTCGTCAAGGGGAGATCTGGACCGCAGGGTCGTGTCTAGACCGGATCAGCTTCCACGATCGATTTGCATTCGACGGTATGGAGCCCACCTTGGTCCAGACCCCTCATTAGGTACTAAGGTAGGTAGGTACCTTGATGGTTCTGGACTTTCTGGAGTCTGGACTCTCTGTGGCTGCGTGTGTGGCTTATCACGTGTGGCTCAACCATGCTAGCTCACGTGATGCAAAAGGGAGCAGCAGTCCCCGTCAGTGCAAAGCCATCAAACAGTGCAAAGAGTGCAACGCGGTGGGTGTGTCGCCGGCTTGGCGGGGTTTTTTGTGCTCCTTCTTTGATAGCAAACGTCGTTTTGGGTTCCGCGGCTAGGAAAGTTGAACGCTGTGGTCCCTTGCCCTATTCTCTTCCACATTGTTTTCCTGATCCTGCACTCGACTGCGGCGCCTACTTCCAGCCTCTGTCGGAAAATTTGACCTGTGCACGTTGAAGCTTCCGAGCTCCAGCAAGTGACTCATTTGGAAAGCTTGTTGTTACCTGCCTACAGTCCATCTGAACATGGGTGCAAAGCAAAAGGGCGGCGCAAAGCCCAAGAACACTGCGGAGGAGGTGGAAGATACTCTGCAGGCTGTGGTGCTTGCCGATACCTTTGAGACCAGATTCGAACCTTTCACGCGCACGAAGCCAAGGGTATGTGTCGAAGCATGGAACGACGTTCACTGTGCTGCAGATCTGGCTTGACTGACTGCTGTGTTCTTGCTATGAATTAGTGCCTCCTTCCTCTTGCCAACACGCCTCTCATTGAATACACTCTCGAGTTCCTGGCCAATGCTGGTGTTGAAGAGGTGTTCCTTTATGCTGGTGCTCACTCGGATCAACTAGAAAAATACATCAAGTATGCGCCTTCTTTCACCAATGATGATTGACGAGGCTATGACTGACCCTAGGCCTCCTACAGCACCTCAAAATGGCGCGCACCGTCCTCACCCTTCAAGCAGCTGGCCTTCCTCAAGTCCACCTCTACTTCTGTCGGCGATGTCATGCGCGATCTTGACGGCAAGCACCTTATCACAGGTGACTTCATTGTTGTCAGCGGCGATGTCATCAGCAATATGCCCATCGAGGGCGCCTTGTCGCAACACAGGAAGCGTCGCGAAACCGACAAAAACGCTATTATGACCATGGTTCTCCGTGAAGCTGGCCGGACGCATCGTGCCAAAGCCTCCTCCATCTCGCCTGTCTTCGTGATCGACCCTACCAAGGACCGCTGCCTGCACTACGAGGAAATCGACCACCACTCAGATGAGCATCCAGCGCGGTTGAACATTGACTCTGACATTATTTTGTCTCACTCCGAATTGGACGTCCGCCAAGACCTCATCGATTGCAGCATCGATATTTGCACTCCAGATGTGCTGAGCCTGTGGTCTGATAGCTTCGATTACCAGTCCCCTCGAAAACACTACTTGTACGGTGTTCTGAAGGACTACGAGTTGAACGGCAAGACCATTCACACGTACATCATTCAAGAGTACTACGCTGCGAGGGTACGAAACTTGAGGGCGTATGATGCTATCAGTAAGGATATCGTCTCTCGATGGGCGTACCCATTGTGCCCCGATACCAATCTGCTACCCGGGCACACATACAATCTACGCAAAGGTAATTTATACCAGGAGCAGGGAGTCACGTTGGCGCGTTCCTGTGTCCTCGGACGCCGTACCGTCATTGGTCGGGGTACAAGCATCGGTGACCGAAGCACTGTTCACAGCACGATTCTGGGACGGCATTGCAAGATCGGCAAAAACGTTCAGCTTGAGGGGGCGTATCTTTGGGACAATGTGGTGATCGGTGATGGCTCGGATGTTCGTGGAGCGATCATTGCTGACGGTGTGGTTGTCGGCAAGAACTGTTCTGTCGGACAGGGCGCTCTTCTCTCTTACGGAGTCAAGATTGCGGACGGTGTCAAAATTGGGGGCGGTAAGCGCATCACCCGGTCTCGGCCAGATGGCAGCGTCGGCCCCAATGATCCTAGTGTGGTCGGACAAGGCGGCGAGGGCTACGAATTCATCCCCGGCGAGGAGGAAGACGAGGACGATGATGATGTGAGCGTTGCGTCTTCCGGGCTGGTGTACCGTATGCCCGGTCTCTCTCTGTCCAACGCTTCCATTTCCACTCTATCCTCTGAGATCTCTGAAGGGTCATGGCCGCGCTCTGGACGGAGCAGTTTTTCTGATGGAGAGGAACAAGACAATTTCCACCACGATGCCTCGGTCAGCGTGTTTGACAGTCTTCGCGAGGGCACATCTGCCGACGTAGTGCAGTTGGAATTGGTCAGTCTGCGTATGACTGCCAACGCCTCGGACGTCCAGGTTCGCCGGGCGGTGGTCTCTTCCTTCATGAAGTACATCCAACAATTGATCGAGAATGGCAAGGGTGCCGGCGAAGCTGTCAAAGAAGTCTTCACCAAGTACCGTGAGGTTGTGGATCGAACATTGTTCGACCGCAACAAGGAGGAGAAGAAGGACCAGGTGGACTTCTTGCTCCAGCTGCAGCAGGACCTCGTCCACCGGAACAAGGGTGCTAGTATCCTCCTGTTCACGGCCAAAGAGCTGTATGATCTGGAGCTGGTGGACGAAGAGGCCTACGAGCAGTGGTGGAACGATGAGCGATCCAGCAGCACCGAGGAGATGCGAACAGTTCGTGGACAGACACAGCAATTCGTCGACTGGCTGGCGAATGCTGAAGAAGAGAGCAGCGAGGAAGAGGAAGATGAGGATGAGGACGAGGATGAAGAGAGTGATGATGAATAGACCACTCGACCAATTATACCATATATTCCTGATGAGTTGACGAAATGGAAGCATAACTATACAATATGTACTTTACTCAGTATATCAATATACTGATTGGTATATGACATTCAACGGCTTCTTTGCATTTACTGATGTACCGTACCACTTCTCCCAAATAAATGGCTTGAAAGGGCATCCACCCACCAACGGTGAATCATGGGGGGGTACTTGCCAGAGTCCCACATGTTGCAACAAAACTCATACTGTCAAGACAGGGTCCCAGATCGCGCAGCCAAATAGTACAGGTTATCAGTAACGTACCGACAGGACATTCCTATGAAAGATAGTAGCACCTGTCATGGTATACTCCGCTAACTCCGGACTTGCGGATACCGCCTACTATGTACCTACTACCTAGTCCTACTCCATGATTGCCCTCGATAACAGGTATGTTCTGCCCGATGACAAATATACACCGCCTTCAGTCTGCCCAGAAGGCTTACACCGCCAAGAGGGAGAACCCCCAGTCCAGCGGAGTTCTCATTCTCAATGAGAGACTGAGAGTAGTACTTTGCTTAGTGACGTTGTGGCTCCATTGCCCGTTCCCGCTGGCGTGACACCTCCGATCGCTGCCCCTCTCTTCCCTCTGCGATCTCCAACCGACCACCCTTGTTCTCTTGCTAGGCTCTGGCTTCGCAGCCTCCGTCCCCCTCTCTCCTCAGTTTCCACTTTAGTAGTCAGTCACTGACGCCCTTTTGGTCTTTTGTCTCTCTCTCTTTATATTTTCGCTCTGCTACTGTCGGCAACGTTGCCGCCACACGTCTTCACGACGCCTCGCCTGACACGGAAGAGAAAGGCGGCTGAGGCGGCGATTGCGGACACCGACCAGTCTTCCCTCAAAGCCGCCACCAGGGCTTGTACCCGCGCTGAAACCGCCACCGATTTAACACCGGGTTCCAATTCTCCTTCCCAGCTGCCTCCGGTCACCTCGCTAGATTCTGAAGCTGAAAGTGTGACCAAGGTGGACGGTCGGCATCCGAAAAAGAATCGAATCGCGACGCCCGCGACCACGGCCGGCAGTATGGATTCGGATGATGATTTCATGAGCGATGTCTCGAGTCAAGATGCTTTTCACACGCAGGGTAGTGACGATGAAAGCTTAGGAGAAGGTACGTGGGAGATGAATCGGTGATCGGATGAATCAGTGATCATCTTTGGATCCAAACCCCCCGCCCTCTGTTTGTACATGATCTTGCTGTCGTCTCCATACGTCATTTGCATGATCAAAATCAAACAATACCCTGTAAAAGGTATCTTCTGCAAAAGGTACAAGTGCGCTAACGTCATTCGCGTTCGAATCCTTTCTAGATTTTGGGGATTTGGATACTGGCTTCTCAGACGACAAGGACCTCCTGAAGCAAAAGCGCAAACCTTACGAGGTCAGATTCGACGTTTTGGCTCCCGCCGACATCGAGCGTGAACAGACAGTGCAAGTCCACGAAGTCTCCACGATTCTGGGCCTGCCACCAGAGATTGCTGCCATTCTTCTTCGGTTTTCACGATGGCGGAAAGAAAAACTGATAGAGGATTACATGGATCACGAACAGAGGACGCTTGAAGAGGCTGGCCTGGATAATGACGGTGATGAAACAGCTAGGACAAAGATCATTCCGGGCTTCATGTGCGACATCTGTTGCAATGATGGAGACGACATGGAAACGTATGCCATGCGCTGTGGTCATCGCTTTTGTGTGGACTGTTACCGGCAATACTTGGCACAAAAAATCAAGTCCGAAGGCGAAGCTGCTCGGATACAGTGTCCCGGCGACAAGTGCCATCGTATAGTGGATTCCAAATCACTGGATCTGTTGGTGACTGACGATTTGAAGGAACGGTACGTCAAAGTCTTGTCCAAGCCTCCAGGTAGGACATGCCGCGCATGTCTCAGCACAATCAGAACTAATATCACCCTGTTGCTGCGAACAGCTACCGTGCCCTTCTCACTCGGACATACGTGGACGACAAAGACAACCTTCGATGGTGCCCGGCTCCTGAATGTATCTATGCGGTCGACTGTGCGGTGAAGACTCGGGATCTTCGGCGGATCGTACCTACCGTACAATGTCGTTGCGGACACGAGTTTTGCTTTGGCTGTTCGCTGAATGACCACCAGCCCGCTCCATGCACTTTGGTCAAGATGTGGTTGCAGAAGTGTGAGGACGATTCCGAAACCGCGAACTGGATCTCCGCCAACACCAAGGAATGCCCCAAGTGCCAGTCTACCATTGAGAAAAATGGTGGCTGCAACCACATGACCTGTCGCAAGTGCCGACACGAGTTCTGCTGGATGTGCATGGGGTTGTGGTCTGAGCACGGGACCAGCTGGTATAACTGCAATCGATACGAGGAAAAGTCGGGTTCCGAAGCCCGCGGTGCGCAAGCCAAGTCTCGAGCCTCGTTAGAACGCTACCTGCATTACTACAATCGCTACGCGAACCACGAGCAGTCTGCCAAGCTAGACAAGGATCTTTACCTTAAGACGGAGAAGAAAATGACCAGCTTGCAATCCGCATCGGGTCTCTCATGGATTGAAGTGCAGTTCCTTGATACCGCTTCTCAAGCTCTCCAGCAGTGCCGTCAAACTCTCAAGTGGACATATGCCTTTGCCTATTATCTGGCGCGTAACAACCTTACGGAGATCTTTGAGGACAACCAGAAAGATCTGGAGATGGCCGTCGAGAGCCTGAGTGAGATGTTTGAGAAGCCGGTGTCTGAGTTGGCTCAGCTCAAAGTGGATATCCTCGACAAGACGGCATATTGTAACAAGCGTCGGGTCATTCTCCTGAGCGACACTGCCGAGAATCTGAAGAATGGTCAGTCTGAAACAAGTCTTGAAAACCCCCCGTTCGGCATACCATGTCCCGGTGACTAACATTCATATCTAGAAGTGTGGACGTTCAACGTTGAGTGGTAGACCCATCCAACCTAGAGACCACCGACTTTCAATACAACTGCATGGAAACCCCCAATGATATTGACGACGTTAACGATATCTCTTATGGCCTTCACTTTGTGCAAGCAACCGTTCCTTCGATAGCATCACCCTCTCCCTCATCGTACCCACTTACTCTGCCTCATTTACCTTGCTTGTTCGACACTGGACGGCGTGCACTTTTCGCAGCCTTGGAGAGTCTTGCTGTCTCCAAGCCCCTGCACGCCCCATCATCATCATCAATTGAAGCATCTATTTTCACAGGGCGCCGGGGCGTTTTGGGATTTCGAGTTGAATTTGTTGACACCCTTATTCCATAGCTAAATGCCAACAAGTTCTGTGTTACCTGTCATGTTTATTCTCAGGTCGGACTTTGCGGCTATTGTACTTGAAGGTATATCCTGGAAGGTCCTGCCGCCCACTTCGTAGATGAACCAACCCTTACATCGCTACCTGCGTACTGTGTTTGGTGCGGGGCTATGTATACAATTCGAAATCAAATCGCTCGGATCGGAAGCCCCGGCACAGTACCAGTCTACTGGCTATGGAGTGTATGTGCTACAATACTGCCCTCAAAAAGAATGAGAGAAATGTTAGATCCAATGCTCGCGTAATTTGGCCAGGTAAATTTTTCTCAAAGATTGATGAGACAACGATTACCCCTTGAGGTTGGGATAGTGCTAGTCACCTGCAGTGACGGCTAAAAAAAAAGAGGAGACGACCTCGGCCTGCTGCTTATCCAAGATCGACTGGCCAGATTTCTACACGAATGCGAGGAACGCGATGGATTAGGCTCGTTAGTCACGAGGATGGATGTATTAAGCGGCTGCTTATCAGATTGATAAGTGGGCGCAGGTGTACGGCAGAGAGTACCACAGAGGCACTTTGTTTATGGGCAGACGGTGGCGTGATGAGTAAGTAGCTAAGATGTTGTGACCCTGTACCTCGGTTCGATTTTGAGCCGTGCCAAGGCGCTCGGACGCCCGATCTGGTAAGTAGTTCCGGCTCCGTATCAATCTTATGTAAACTCCGTCATCGGATCGGACGAAAGACGGTCGGCATTCATCCTTGTTTCGGGGAGTGTTTTCACATCGCGATCAGGATATGCGCTGCTTTGCGCGCCATAAGAGGCAAGGAATTGGTTCAAAGGTAGATTGATGGACATTCATCAATGTACATCTTGGACCTCTCTTCATATTATACTTGAATGAAATTTGAAGGTCAAGGTTTTAGAATGGAAAAAAAGCAAGAATGCGAATGCCGCCGTGCATGAGATCTCCCCAGAACGTTATCTGTTAGTATTAAAGTCTGGTAATTTTAATGTAGTTGCTGTTAAGCTCAATTGGAGCAGTAGTACTGCTCATGGCTAGGGTAGTGAGCGATTCAATCCCGCCGCCCTTCTCCCTTCTCCGGGCGCCCCGACAAAAAAAAGCGGACCTGATCTCTTTAGCAACACTCATCTTCTTTCTATTCTCTGCTCTTTTCATCCTCTTATCGCTTCAACTCTCTCTTGTTGCACCTGTACCAGCATTCTTTGTCTTTCGCCGTACTCGCTTTCCCGCTGTGGGCCTGAAGAAACCTGGTCGCTTGGTGCCGGACTTGTTTTTGCTGGCCTCGCGGAGATCTTCCATTGTTGACCTCATCCCCGATCCAACACCTTTAATCTACCTCGACAGCCTGTGGTCACAGCAGAAGTTCACCTTCTACGCCCGATCAAGTGGCCTTTATTGCCTACCTTTCCTTGACATCTCGCATTGCGCCCTTTGCGCCCCGGGCTAGCGGAGCTCCATGGCGTCGTCTCCGGACCAGATTCCAGGACAGGAATATGAGTACGTCTTCCAATCGCAGGAGCTTGAGTGGCGGGTGGTATCTGTTCCTTGATCCGCAGTGAAATCATCGCTGTCTTTTCCATATTCAGACGCCAAAGCTCGGCGCGCAGTGGTGGGCGACACTGGTCGGAGAAGGAGAGGTGGTTCACCGTGGACAAAGATGCTCGATCGCCGCCCGCTAGGATTCCGAGGAGACGGCATGGCACACACATACCAGAGACTGACACGTTGCATTTGAATCGTATAGCTATGAAGCCCTTCCATCTAATTATGGCCTTGGCCATAACATGCTCGCCGGTGCATTCGCAGGGATCGCGGTACGTTTGGCCGCCGCGGAGAAAATGTCGACTCACTGGATAATCCTGAAAATTTGACCGACGAGACTGATTGTTGCATACTTGAATAGGAGCACTCAGTGATGTACCCAGTTGACTTGCTTAAGGTATGCGCCAGTCTTTCTTTTTCCTGTCTGAATTTGCGCCGTGATTGAAGCGTCGGAAATGGAGCCGTGACTGACAGGAAATGGTCATATTTTACTAGACCCGCATGCAAATCCTGAACCCGTCCGCAGGCGGCCTTTACACCGGCCTGACCAATGCTGTCTCAACCATCTATCGAATCGAAGGCCTGCGAACATTATGGAAGGGTGTCTCGAGCGTGATAATCGGAGCCGGTACGTCTTTGATGCAATCTGCGTTCTAAGCTAGGGTCCAGGAAACCAAAAAAAAAAACAAGGAGACTAATATTGAGCAGGTCCGGCACACGCGGTTTACTTCGGTACATACGAATTTGTCAAGGAGCTGGCCGGTGGCAATGTCGATGATGGACATCATCCTCTCGCAGCGGGTACGTCAAGAATGACAAGTTTGTTCTGTCTGCACTGGTATCTTGAAACTGACTAGAAATTCACAGCCATGAGCGGAGCCGCTGCGACTATTGCTAGTGATGCGCTGATGAACCCCTTCGATGGTAAGTGGATTGAACGATTGGAGAAGCAAGACCGAATGGCTAGACTGACAACTTCCCACAGTCATGAAGCAGCGAATGCAAGTCCACGGTTCCGTCCACAAGAGTCTGATGCAATGCGCCAAGTCCGTGTATCGCGCCGAGGGTCTGCAAGCCTTCTACGTCTCTTACCCTACAACTCTCTGCATGACCGTGCCTTTCACCGCCACTCAATTCGTTGCCTATGAGTCCATCTCCAAGTTCATGAACCCCAAGGGCGAATACGATCCCTTCACTCACTGCATGGCCGGTGGTCTTGCTGGTGCATTTGCTGCCGGTATCACCACTCCTCTCGACGTGGTCAAGACGCTGCTCCAGACTCGCGGTCTTGCGCAAAACGAGGAGATCCGATCTGCTCGGGGACTTTTCAATGCCGCGGCGATCATCAAGCGCCAGTTTGGCTGGGGCGGTTTCCTGCGTGGCATGCGGCCCCGTATCATTTCCACCATGCCCAGTACTGCCATTTGCTGGACCTCCTACGAAATGGCCAAGGCCTACTTCAAGAGCCTTTCCGAAAACTAAAATCGCATGCTCGCAATGGTCTCACAGTCTCTTGAAATATGTCGACATCCATTCTGGCCGCCAGGTTCCGCCGTTCTTCCCCCAACCTCTCGTCCTGCATCTGTCCAACCTGTACACTTAATCTGTGTGATCACCCCCATCGCACGCTGACCTGATCCATCTCCCCGCGATGGACTGCCTTCGGCCTGTGGCTTCTTTTCTCTCCAAACTGGTTTTCACTCCATTAGCGGCTCACTCTCGGTCATGGCGCGGCTGGCCTTCGTTCTTGGTGTCTGCGGGAATAAACAGAAGCCTTGTTTTCTCGAACAATTTCCGCGCACTTGCTCTGTTCGACCAGACAAGTGCGATGCACGCTTCTATGTGAGCCAGATCTCGGACCAGGCTGGGCAACCACCTCTCTGAATCCTTTTACACCGAGATGGTGCTTGACTCATCTAACTCCCTCTTCACCTTTTTCTTCCTCTCCCCAAATGTCCTCCTTCATCTATTCTTTTCTCCCGTCCCGTCTTGTTGTGAATCATGCTCCTCCTGCTCGCTGTGCGCTCAAAAATGGCGTTGAATCCTGGAGTGCTCGAGATCACTTGTCTTTCCGTTCTCCTGGGCTGGTTTCTATCATGTTGCATCTGCAAACGCTTTGGGGATCCTTCGCGTTTTATGACTAGTGTCTCATTTTATTATCGTTATAGTCACGTATGTATTGATAGATGTCTTTCTTGAAGGAATACGAGATGTGATGTCCTCGGTGTTCTTTTTTTGCATGCAGTTCGGCTCATCCAGGAGGATAGGCCGGAGTGATCGGTCAGCTGGAACCTTGATGGGTCATCGAATGGCTCCATAGACAAACATCCAACACTTCCGACCATGACAGATAGACAGTCATGACGACTCTCGGCTCGACTTGTTGACCACGAAATCATCAGGAACGGACCTGGCTCATTCAGTGAGCCTCTTCTATCACCATCAACCCAGTCTGCAATCACCACTGAACCTACCTTCCCTCTGGGTTGTCTCTTGTCGCACCCTCGATGGAGTATGATCTTCATCCGGGCACATTGGGTGTTGGTGTTTGTTTGCAAGTCCCGTCTATGGCGATATAGCGGCAAAGCGCCCATGCATGCTCAGCTCGCCCAAGTGAGAAGGTTTCTACGCGTCTAGATCATCATAGTCAATGTTACTTGGTGTGGACAGGGAGTCTCTCCTCAGTACTGTCTTAGGCTGACTTTGTGGCACTACTTCTTCGGATTCTTCCGTCTGTTCGGGAGGGCTTCTGCTTCTGATCTCTTACCAAGCAGTATGACTTACGTCCCAACTGTCCACAGGGACGTGTCTCTTTGTCAGAGGGAAAAAAAAGTCGACATCGGTCGCAGCCACTCCTGCATTGAAGGACCTGCAATAAATCCAATGTGCTCTATTGAAAGTAGGACGGGTTGTCTTGAGTGATGACGATCTCACTTTCGCAGACTAACCCGGGTTAGCCTGCAGATAAGGCTGCCCTCGGACCCTCCGATTTGCACCAAGTTGACGCCGTCGAACCCGCTATCGGGTGTCGAGAATGTAAATATACCTGGAGTCTCGAATCCTCAACTGGATAAAAATCAGCGTGTATAGCGCAAGATTAGGTTCATAGTTTCCTTGTAGTTACACTTGCTTAAAACTGGGCGACCGCGAGATCTGGTGGAGCTGGGCCCGAGTATCCGCAGCCGCAAGCAGTTACTTGACCTCAACCCGATCCAACGACGTCACTCCGAAATTCTAGATTTCCCACCCCTCACACGAGTCCGCCGTTCACTACTGTTCACCACTGTTCACTCTGTTCACTCTCCACCGGCGATCCGGCATCGCCATCTCTATCCCCTTACCAACTGGACCTGGAGCTCCCAGGCCTACCTCTCACTTTTCCCGTGCAGTGAAATGGGCACGGGCTTGCATTTGTCCAATGATGCGCCCACGGCCCGCGTCTTCTTTGCAGAAGACATACGATGAATGCTATCTCGCGTGCTCGACTGCGGTCTACTTTGAAGGTCAAGTAAGTCCACGCTTCACAGTGATGATGACCGTCCATTCCTTTACTTCCCACCAACTCAAGCCTGGTCGGGCCGAATAAGTATGGACTTGTCGCTTATAATCACCAGAATAATGAAGATGAAGCATTACGATCGTGGAAATCGGCGCTCGAGACAATCAATTATCATAATGCCCGTCGGCTACCCTCGACATATACACCCAAGTCTGAGACGGAACGAGCGCTGCAAGATTCCATCCGCGCATTAGAAACTCAATGCCGAGACCGGGTCGAGCTGCTGGAAGCTCTTCGCGAAAGCCGTAAAGAGTCGGCCGAGGCCAATGGCAGCAAAGAACCTTCGACTCTCAAGAATTGGAGGCTCCCTTACCATATGAAACGTTCTCCGTCGTCAAATCACTCACCGGGCTATATTGGAGATGGAACAATCCCCGCTGTCGGTTATACCGACTTGTCCAAGCCTGCCGCAATACCCGGGCATCGAGGCGCCGCTAAGCCCACGCCCGACTCTCAGGCTTTGGTGGATGAGGCCCCCGCCTTGGAGGCGCCGGCTCTACGAGTGGAGTCCAACTCGTCAGACGTGAACAAGTCCCGAGGTTCAAGCCCCGAGAGACGGAAAGGGATGTTGACAACTTTACGAAACAAAGAAGGAAAGAAGAACAAAACCAGCTCAAAAAGGAAAGATAAGAAGGAAACCAGACCGGCCGCGTCAAAAGCAGCAGGTTTGGCGTGGGGAAGTATATACCGGACGCCATCGAGAGAGAAGACTCATAGCGAAGCGATGTTGGCTTCTCGACAGATGGTCACTCGTGACCCCAATTTCCGGCGTGATGTCGAGCCCCGAACCAGCTCTGGTGATGAACCTGTGCCCTCAAGAAAGTCCACACCACGAAAGACCGACTCCTCAACGGACCAGATTCCCGCGGCGCACTGGCGTGAGCCCCAGCTCCCAACTGCCTCGAGCAGGCGTTCCCCCAAACCTTCGACATCGACATCGACATCGACACCGCTGTCTCCGCGAAGACCTCCGTTGTCTGCCCAGGGCCATCACTCGTTCTCGCCTCCATCTTCATCCGGTCAAATCTCCATGCCGGATCCGAAAGATTTCACACGGTCCTCCACGTCCTCCCCTGTTCCCAAGCCCTCAGTTAAGCCCAAACCCGCCGGTCTTCGAAGTTCATTGGCGCCTCCCACGAAACCTACTCCCGCCAAGTCAGAAGGCAGTTCGCCTTCTGCAACACCTCGGCAGGAACGGAACGCTCATTTACCGAGCAGCAAATCACGCACTAAATCTGCCCCGTTGGCACCACCCACTAGACCTCCAGCGACCAACTCACCGTCTTCAAGAACTGGGGCAAGCCGACATGCCGCAGCTCACGCCAACTCCTCTCTTCCTTCAACGAAAGAGGAAAAATCGGTGCGACGAAAACCGCCTGCGCCAAAACGCCAAGAAACGCCGCCATCAAGTGATCCGGAATCTTGGGAGCAGCGATCCTCCTCCTCCGATCCGGACGACGAGGACGAGGATGATGAAAACACAGATGTCACAAAGATCTTGGGCAAGCTGCCCAAAGGAATCGACTTGCAGTCGGCTCGACAAATCCTGAATGACATCGTCGTCCGCGGAGATGAAGTACATTGGGAGGATATTGCGGGACTCGATGGAGCAAAGAAAGCGCTCAAGGAGGCTGTGGTGTACCCCTTCCTCAGACCGGACTTGTTCTCGGGGCTTCGTGAGCCCGCTCGCGGCATGCTTCTCTTTGGCCCTCCAGGCACGGGCAAAACCATGCTGGCCCGTGCAGTAGCAACTGAATCGAAATCCACCTTCTTCTCCGTCTCTGCGTCCAGTTTGACGTCCAAATGGCACGGCGAGAGTGAGAAGCTCGTGCGTGCCCTGTTCGGGCTCGCCAAGGTCCTCGCGCCCTCTATCATCTTCGTGGATGAGATTGACTCATTACTCTCCACGCGGTCCTCGAGCTCCGAGCATGAGGCGTCTCGACGATCGAAAACCGAGTTTCTTATTCAATGGTCCGACCTTCAACGTGCCGCAGCCGGCCGTGAGGTATCTGCGCGTGAAAAGAAGATGGGAGACGCCAGTCGCGTGCTAGTCTTGGCTGCCACCAACATGCCTTGGGACATTGACGAAGCCGCGAGACGCCGATTCGTACGGCGACAATATATCCCACTTCCAGAGCATCATGTGCGTGAGCAGCAGCTACGTAGGTTACTGAGCCATCAACACCACCAGCTCAGTGATGCCGATATACAGACTCTTGTAGAAAACACAGAGGGTGAGTCTTCCAATGATGAGATTGAAACAGCCTCGCGACGCTTTTTAAAAGAATGACCCCATTCCACTGACACACTATCCAGGCTTCTCCGGCTCCGACATCACAGCCCTTGCCAAAGACGCGGCCATGGGCCCTCTTCGTAATCTCGGCGAAGCTCTACTTCACACTCCGATGGATCAAATCCGAGCCATCGAAGTTGGAGATTTCGAGGCCAGTTTGACGTCAATCAGACCAAGCGTATCATCGACAGGTCTCCGTCAGTATGAAGAGTGGGCGAGAGAATTTGGTGAGCGTGGCGGATGAGCGGATAATGTTGGTGTATACCCCCCTTCCCCCCCCCTTTGTCGTTGGTACAAATATAGTACTTTATTTGTTTTAGAGCCAGTGGATTCGGCATTGTCAAGCAAGACGAAAAAGAAAATTCTCCAGAGGTTTAATCGGAAAGCTGGAGCATAACTTGCAATGAGGAGATCGGGCTACCTTTACCACCTCTAAGCCATCGTAAGCTACAATCAATATGTGAGTTACACACTAAAGCGGAATCAAGTTACGAGAATTATCTTCAATGTAAATCCCTGACTGGAAGGACATATGTACATGTGGTGTAGTACGCCATCCGTTCGAGCCTCTAGATCGCCTTTCATGAATCTTTACGTCGGGTGTTCCGACTCGTCTCCTCATCTTCCTTCAACTTGAAGGTAGTCGACGTACTTCTGGAGTCTACTATCCCACCCTGTCACCTTTTTTGTCAACCTGAGATAGATGTTCCTCCGTCTAAGGTTCTCGGAGGTTGATTGCTGCCCGCAAAGGAAATTTGATTATATATTTACAGGGAAAGGCGATGATATATCACTTGGATCGATGACCACTACTGAATGCATCCCGAACACACACAATTCCCCCAATTGCATAGTCCAACGAGGACTATCGCGGCCACATTCGCACAGCTGGGGGCGATCTCAAATCCACTTCCAGTGACTTGTCGTCGATTTCATATCTTGCATGACTGGGTGCTCTCGTACTTGTGAGTCCCGTAGCTTGGACAATTAATAACTACCTGGCTTTGATCTGTTGCTATAATAGCTGGCGGGGGATCGATGTATAAGCGGGCGAATCGAGGGTAAACAGGTTGCGATAATAGCAACCGAGGCTTCTGTTAGACTCCAGACCAGAGCGGTTGAAATTGTGTCGAGTAGATCTCGATGTCCTTCGGAGCCTCCGATCAGATGACATGACACAAACCCACGATGAGTGAATTGATCGATCTCGACTGAGACTGAGGCTCGCGGTTTAAGGTTAGTCGTAGACTAAACAAAGTCTGCGTGGACATCCTTGCATAGTCGAGGAAGTAGATAGGTCGGTGCTTCACCTGGATTATCAGTTCCATATGACGAGCTTTCTTTTGATTGAACAAAGCGACGAATTTGGAAACCGGGAGCCCTGCATCCTGACGGCCGGCCACTAAACGTTGCAATGAGAACGTGGGCATCAACTTCAGCGTGGCGCGGCATGGCATGTCTGAGAGACAGCCCATCTGACCATATTGCGTCTAGTCGGTGCGATCTCGTGGCCCTTTGCTTGATCGGCATGAAGGAATGAAGATGGGCCTTGGCAGTGACTATCTTCACGCCCGTCAGAATGTCATTCGCTCGCCAGAAATTCACGCTCGCAGCCTGTGACCCGCCAAGTCACGGTGAAAAATCTCTATGAAACCTGCATGGTCGAAACATAGACCGACGGGCCTGCCAAATCCAACATTGCGTTAGGAGTGAGCAGGCTCGAAGGGGATCGACGAAATCTCCCTCGGTTTAGGCGATTTCTGCAAGGAAGCATGTTGACCTTTGAGGGGCTGAAGGGGCCAAAAAGCGGAATAGTCAGCGTCAGAGGGCCGGGAGCATATCATTCCTCGTTGGGAAATTGGTCCTGCAAGTAAAGTCGTCAGCCTTTGGAAAGTCGTTCTTCAACAGGCTCGTGTAGGAGAAGCTTGTGCTGGTGAAAAGTGAGAGAGCACATAACATCCCATTCCGCCTCATACCTGTCTCAGCCTGCAGAAATTCAGCTGTCGAAGGGAACTCGGCTGCTTTCCTGATAGATAAAGTGAAGCATTCCGTTTCCCTTGCCTCAAGTGCTTTTTCAGGGTCCAAAGTCTTTTCTTGCAGGTGTGACGTGACGCTCCAGACGTTGAAGATGAAGATTGTCTACTCTTCATCTCTTATCACCGTTGCCCTCTTGGCTGCTGGTGTGACCAGCGCCAGCGTGTCCGGATGTGGCAGCGACATTCCTTCTGCATTTCCCAACCCAGGTCGAAGCAAGAGCCTACGTCTCCCCAACTTCGATCGTGAATACAGGCTACACATCCCTGCCAACTATGACAAGAACAAGCCGACTCCGTTGTACTTCTCTTTTCATGGAGCCACACGGGACATGAACGAGCAGGAATCGCTCTCCCAATTCTCAAATCCCGAGTTCAATCCGAACGGCATTGCCATCTATCCCAACGGTAAAAATGGCCTCTGGCTGTCGAATCCCAACGCTGACACGTCACGACCCAATGACTTGGATTTTGTCAATGATCTTCTCACTCACATGGAGGAGAAACTCTGCATCGACCCTCGCCGGGTCTACGCCGCCGGCAAGTCCAACGGCGGAGGCTTCACCAGTGTACTCGCCTGCAATGCCACCGTAGGTCGTCGCTTTGCTGCCTTTGCGGCCGTAAGTGGCGCCTATTATGACACGGATCAGACTCCCGGTGTTGGTCCCTGTGCACCTGCCAAACGCGACGAGGGATATCCCTTCCTGGAGTTCCACGGTACTGTTGACGTCACGGCGCCCATCGATGGCAACACTGAAAAGCACCCCAAGCTCGCCGTCATTGATATCCTCAAGGGTTGGGCAGAGCGTAATGGATGTGGCGCGAATGCTCAATGGGCTCGGAATGAGACTGTATTCGAGAACCCGTTGGTGAAGCACGCCAGCTGGGATTGTCAGGGCAAGAACGGCATTGTGCAGCATTATCGCGAAGGAGAGAATGGGCACTGCTGGCCTTTGACAGTCAGCAACGATGATTTTATCAATCAGGGAAGCCGTTGTCCATTGGGCAAGTATGTATTCAACGCGACCGAGTACATCTTTGACTTCTTTGGCCAGTATCAGCTGAACCCTTAAAAGCAGAGGGCAGAAACTGTCTGCAATAAAATGGAAACCTGTACATAGGGACACGTGAATGTCACGTCCCATCCCGGTTATGTCAAACTGTACACCACAATACCTCCGAAGGCTTATTATAGAGATCAATGATAATCCGTGTCATCAGCGTCGCCTCCGCATCTTGAATATGGTTCTGAGCGCCACTGTGTGGTCAGTATTACATGATGCATGGTGGCCACCGAGTCCAGTCGACTCAGTCCGTACGGTGGCATATAAAGTATCAGCATCGGACTCAGCTTTGAACATCAAAACCGTGACGGGCCTCAAAGACACATCGCAGTATTCCACCATGGCTTCATCCGCCAGGAGTCAAGCAGAAGCTCAAGAGCACGAGGGTGCTCGCGATTCGAATCAGAAACACAAGGAACCAGAGTCCCACTACTGGAGCGGTATCCAGCCTCGTTACATGAGCGTGGAGCAAGAACAAGAATGTACGTGCTCGGCTTCTTTGAGGAGTCTTGTGAATTGTCAATTTCAGTTCTGCTGACCTGGCGAATTTAGCACAGTATGATATCGGAGACATGAGCAAGTCGGAGATGCTAAACCGCAACCGACTTTTGCGTTCCAAGCCACATGATCCGAATGACTACGCGGAAGGGCCTGTAGAAGGTTGAACGAAGCACCGAGAATGGAAATAAAAGGTCCGGAAGTCCAATTCTTCAAGAGTTCTATCAGTACACGAAAGAGGAACAATCTATTCGCTTAGCTTTTGTACATATAGTCTGTAGCCACGGTCTGTCAGAGTTCACAAGCGAGTATGCTCTATTGAAGGGTTTTTATTGTATATCACATTTGCTCTATACGGAAATCAGCTCAGGAGTACACGAATCTCTCCCGTAGTCCGAGGGAATAATGTCCGCAAACTCCATTGGCCATCTTCGCCGTCTTCATTTTCCTCGCCGCTTGCGCCTGGTCGTCGCGACGATCTTCCGCTGCGACCACTGATCATACTCCCTCCAGTACCAAGATTCATGTTCGTCATTCCCCGGGCCTCGTCAGCGGCAATAATCATGCCTTCGACAAATTCGAAATCACGACAGAAAGCCTCTACGGCATCCTCGGTCACACTTTGCACAAGAGATGCACTTTGAATGCGTTTGAGATTATCCGTCGCGTCCATCAAAGCTGATGGAAGGAAGTCGTCAAGTTGCTGACTTGACGCGACGAGGGACTCCGGCTTAAAGGCGATAAGCTTGATCAGATCTGCAAGTTGGGGTTTCTGCTGATCGCTCTGTTTCGGTAAATTCTCTTCCGCCGACGCCTCTTCAGTGGATTTGTGTGAGAACGGCTCCAAGGCTTCAAGGAGTTTGTCTAGTCCGGACTTTTCAAGGAGGAATTGATGCTGGATATCGAGCAGATTGTTGCGAAGCGTGGACAGCGCAGACGAAAGGGGTGCGTTCTGAGTTGCACTGGCAAAGCCAAATGGTTGAATAGCTGCTCGTGCCGCAAGAAGGATATTTGTCTGGTAAATAACTTGCGCCGTAGTGTCCTTCAACTTATTGGAAGATGAGCGAGCGAGCGTCAGGAAAGGATCAAAAGCGACGCGAAGCACAGATGAAAATGCATTCTCGCCGTCTGAGCTCAACCCGTCCTCCAAATCCACCGAGGTTTCATAAGACTTCATGAGAGACAATAGGCTCTCAAGGGCGTCAAGTAAGAATTCTGGAGGCGAAAGATCATCTGGAGGGACAAGAGAAGCCTGATCCGCTGCCAGCGCACTTGCGAGACCACGCATCAACTGCTCGAAATGATTGAACGTATACTGCTCCAATGCCTGCATCAAATCGACTAGGTTCGATTGTGGACCAATCAATTTGGAAAATGTCGTGCGGTAAAAGGCGAGCAAATTGACAACCTTGTAACAAGTGACCGGATCATCGTGACCTTGTATCACGAGCTCAACTCTTTGTCTAAGCGATCGAGCGACACCAACTAGGTCGCGATTGACCAGGTCGCTAAGCGCCTTTCGCCCGTCAAACGTCACCTCTTTATCTTCGTCGATGCGCGACCACGGCTCGCTGCTCAGGCCAGCCTGTATGCCTCGTGCAAGCTCTTCTCCATCGGCTACAAAGAGAGCCTCCAGTGCTTCCCTTTCAGAGACGGTTGTGGAATGAACCCAAGCAAGCATATCACCGACGTATCGTAGTGGATCATGCGCCGAGAATTCAATTGGCTTCACGCTCCGGTCAGCCACAGTACCAACAGCAGCGTTTCCGGACATAGCATCAGTCAGGGCATAGTGGAATGAATCTGACAAGATATAGTCGCGAGCTTCTGCGAAATAATCGAGACAGCTGTGGAACAAGCTCGGCTTCTCTGCCAGCACACGCAAGGCTCGTCGGATCGAGCTATTGATCCGAGGATCTTCCAGATTCAGTGACTGGAATTCCTTCTGGATCCATCGGTATAGTTTCTGGTAGGCGGCATTCAGATGCCTTGTGCTCAGATCCATAATTTCCAAGCCCAATCGCTGGTTTTCGCCGCCGAGAAGGAGCTCACAGTCATGATGGACCTGCTTCACTCGTGCCAGAACGTCGAAGAACCGATCATCAATGGGCTGTTCGCTCGCCGTTAATACTACGAGGTCTTCCTCGGGCACCAGAAAGTGGTTGGAGAAGGCATCCAGCAACTTTTGCTTCGTCTCGGTACTTTTCTTCTGTTCCATCAACGCTGTGGCTTCCTCCAGCACGGGCGCGGTCTCTTGCTTGGCTTGTCCAATATGTTTTCGCATCTCATCACAAGTTTGGTTCAGAGCTGAAATCACGCGTCCGATTCGTTTCAATTGCTATGGATTGCCAGGCGCATTAGCTTCCCGCGAGGGCAGATTGAACAGCGCGGAGGGTCTAGATACCTCTGCAACCGCTCCAAAGTCCCGAACGATCTCCGCATTACTCTGAATGACCTCCCTTTGCACATCGAGGCGTAGCTGACGTCTTGTCTCGGCTGTGTTGTGTATTCCACGTAAACTTAGCGTCCCCAGCGCATCGCGAATGTCAGAGTCGGCATATGATGCAGATAACACGGATGTGAGACGGTTGGACAGCGCCGTCGAGCGCTGATTTTGCTGCGGCGGGGAAAGTGGAGAGGAAGCGGGCGACGAGCCATGACCGACTCCTGTAGTAAAATAACTCGTCATAATTGCTGTCGCATGTCAACGCCTTTGGAGTGGAGGAGGGGTGTTGGGGTTTAGGACAGCTTCATGGGCAGTTGGGTCAGACCGCCTTCCGCGTATCTTATCGCATACATATGCCAGCAAACTGACAACGTACTACCAGTACCTGGAGCTACCTAATAATGATGCTCAGGCACGAAGTAGCCCTGCAAAATATAAATCTCCTGGTGATATCTCTCGCTGTTGGTCGCGATCGCCTGCACAATGGACCAGTTCCCCAATGGCGCTTTAGCCTCCCCTACTAAAGCTCGTCAGGCTGCCATTCAGGCGAAAGACTGGGCCTACGTGAACTCCTGGCTCAGCCGACACTATGCCCCAAAAACCGTTCCACCATTTGAGCGAAATGAGGATACTCTTCGGGTTTTATTAGCGCTCGCAGCAGCTAGTGATGCTGCAGATGAGGAAGCCGAGCTGCAACATCACGCACGAGAGGGTATTCTCGACGTATGCCGAACTCGAAACGCGAGTGACGCGAATGACGCTCATTGTCGGCAAAAACACGAGATTCTGGATGAATTCGAGATGGGCCTAGACGGAACAAGCCGAAGCAATTTGGAAGATCTTGCAGGCACAGCTTTTGTCCTCGGCCAGTGCTCTAATCCCACTCTGCAAAGCCTGAGCCAATCCGTTGTTGAGCTCACAGTAGAGGAGTTTGACATGCAAAACCAACTAGCAAAGGTACATGCATTACATCAACACCTGCAAAGGGAGCTTGAGCAGCTTGAACTTGATCTGCGGGAGCTAAGATCGAATCCGTCATATGAAACGCCTTCTGAGATCCAGAGCTCAACGTCGGAATGGGTGCGCAGCACGAAGATACTCAGTGCCAAGGTTGGAGAGTATCAGGATCGAATTGCACTACTTGAGCGCAATCAGCTCAATGGTCCAACTATTGAAGAAGTTATGATGGAGGAGCAGAAGGTCGTCCGTCTCAGGGACGATGTGAGATGTCTTGAAAGCCATGTGCGGGCGTTCCACGATCTCCCAGTGGATGTGACTGGGGCACACGCGCATTATCGGGAAATGGAGAAAAAGCTCAAGAACCTGAGACGTCAACGGGATGCTATGCTCGACAGTTCCACAGACCATCAGTGAGAAAGGAAGGTAGCTGATCTTCATACCCTCTTACGCATTAGAGCCTACTTTCAATGGAGACTGTCATTTTCTGAGTCATGGGATGGGCTCTGATATTGAAAAGCTAAGCTACTGTAGTGGTGAAAATCTCCATACGTGAAAACGTAGAGGCAATATGACCAGGGATAATGCCCAAGAAGCAATCAGCCCAGAGTCAAGATGCTACAACGAGGCAATTTACTTGTCGATGCCAAGGGCAGACTTGATCTTATCGCCGCTGTGTGAGAAATTGTTAGTGTATCTCCCAGCTGTGATTCGTGTTTCCACTATAGCGACAACGGAACATTAGACTTACACGGAGCCAGTGGCACCATCGTGAGCCTTGTTGTCATGCACACGCTGAGTCTTGTCAAAAGTCTCCTGAGTGGTGCTCTTGCTATCGTCAGGCTGGGCACCTCGAGTAATGCGGTCAGTGGTATCGGTGACGGTTTCCTTGATCTTCTCCTGGGTGGACTTGGCGGAGTCGGGAGTGATCTCCTCCTTCGCCTCTGTAGACGATAAACTATTAGCAGTCGACAAAAATGTTCAGCAACGTCAGTGATACGTACTGGTGGAGAAATCCTTGCGGCCGGCGTCAGACATGTTAAATGATGATGCTGAAGCTGGTTCTTCTTGACTTTGAAATATGTAAGGCTCTAAGGTCAAGTTGAATGTGGACGATAAAATATTGATGGATAGATGGATGATTGGAAGAAGAAGAAAAACCGGCAGAATCTCAGAAATTGCGAGCTTTTATAAGCTTGGGACAACTTTCATGTGACACTGCATGGAATAGCAAACGAGCAAACAAACTAGCAGAGGGTGTGTGACATGGTCTGTTTGTTGACGCCTGTCCGGACACCGGAACTTTCCGACCTTCTGCTTGATGAAAGATGAAAGCCGGAAATTTTCTGGGCTTTTGGATAGATTGCTAAGTTTATTGTACTAGACGTGTAATGCATGATATAAACTGAAAGAAAAGAAGATTCCACTTTTATCAGTCTGCGTTCTACGACATAACGCTAAAGTCCTTTGAGGACTAAGAGACAGCACCTCCCTACGTGAGCAAGCCTGAATGTCGCTCTTGATATAGTAAGGCCTTCCCCCACAGAATTATAATGAGAAGATGCTTAATCATATCGTAGCTCATGCCGACGTTCGAGCCCTAAAGTGCCTGCAAATCCCCTCTGAAGTGATGCACATAGTGTCTCACCCAGACTTGGTTGTTGAGATAGGAGATAAGTTAGCAACCACCCTGCAGAAAGTATATCAACTGCTCAGAAGTCACAATTCATGACTGTGTCTGTAGGGAACCTCCAGCCTAAGGTAGAACTGAGATATGACAGAGTATATGGCTCGGCGCTTTAAGGTGGACTTTGCCGATCACGGGGACTCGGAATCTCATAGACGAGGTAGTATTCCTAGCACAATGATGAAGCGTTGTATAGGTTCATTTCTCAAGCACCGGATTTAATATTAAAGGCCACACTTACCGCAATGAATAGTCGCAGGCATGTTGAAGTGGACTTGGTAGTCCCTGCAGTGCCTGATTCATAGGTCAGCCGTTCCGGTCATCAACTGAACACAGAACTACTGAAATGTCAGCAACGAACGGAGCCATGGATGTAGTAGAGAAGGCATTGATGAGATCAGTGACGAGGTAGACCCAAAATCTTGAGATATCTCGTGTCAGTATGTAGAGGGGTAGGCGAGATAATTCAATTCTCATACTCCTGTCCGTCTACATATTGCTGGAATTTATATGCTCTTGTTGTCTTCCTGCTCTTTCAGCCTTTGTGTCATTACCAACCTAAGAACCCAGGGCCGATACAGATAAATTTGAATATGCGAAAGTTTGACGATCAATCCCAGACCTTTTCTATACATATCATTGATGACAGCGAGGATGTATTGGACTCTTAGATGAATTAGCTAAGCATTTGACCATCTGAGTCATGCTGGCTGAGTTCCCGAATGCTAGACGCTTGAGCAGGCCGCTAAAACGCGTCGATTTTGTCCTCTTCAATAACTGGCATATCATCCCTTGGTCATGAGGATGGATAAAATGTGCTCTCACGACAAGATAATCACACCCACGTAGGATTATCGCGTGTCTTTCAGCAAGGAGATCTATTCGTACACCGAGCTGTGAAACCGTATCCATACAATGGCATGGTGAACAAGGGCTAGGTACGCTGAATCAAGGGAGAGTCAATGGAAAGAGATATAGCTGGAACAATATGTCAGACTCTAAAATTGCAATTGAACAAGACAAATATATACAGAAAAAGAAAGAAGTAGAATGAAACTCCGCGATCAGGGAGAGGCTGTACCCTGTCGAACAGCACCATTGGTACACCTCCCGGCATGGCTGATGGATCTGTAGCAGACGACTTCATGAACTGAGATAGAATGCATAGCTATTTCTGGCAAGCTTTTTCTACAAGACCCATCGGACATCATTTCCAGCAGAGAATCTGCCCGTGCAGAAACCCAAGCCAGCCATCCTCATTCTCCACCCACGTCCTCCACGCTTTTGCCATTTTCTGCAACTATGTCTCGCTAGCAAGTTGTTCTCGTACTACGGTCACGGCAAGGCCAGAGGAACGGGCTCTTTCTTCCATTACACCACCCTAGTACTCTCGTTCACCGCGGGTAGCAAAACACCAAGAACCCGCACTTTTTTTTCAGTTTCGCTGTTGAAAATCCAGCCTTTCTTGCCCAGACATGCAGTTGGAGATCTGCCTTGATATGATTGCCCGTAGCTTGTCGCATTCGAGCTTGGAGATCCCCCAAAGTCTCTAGAGCCTCGGAAGTAGGGTGTATCGTTGATTTGATAGACTCTTGGACCGCCACGATGCCTCCTGGCTTTACAACCCGCCGTATCTCCCTGAATGCTAGAACAGGGTCTGCGATGTGCTGGAGGACTTGATGCGCATGCACAACGTTGAAGGTATCGTCTGAAAATGGCAGACTGTGTATATCGGCGACGTCAAATTTAACGTTTGTCAATCCTCTGGAGCTGGTAAGTGACCGTGCTCCATCCAGTGGGTCAGATCCATAGTCGACGCTCACCACTTGGCTCTGGGGAACTCTTCTTGCCAAGTCGACCGTGATGGAGCCAGGACCGCAGCCAACATCGAGGATGCTCATGTGTGACCGCAGATATGGCAGCAAATAGGCGGCCGAATCATCGGCATCTCGCCAAATATAAGTCTGAAGGACCGAGGGAGAGTGATCATTTGTATAAGTCGGCGGAACAGCTCTCAGTGTAGGCTATTTTGACAGCAGGTTCCGTAGCAGTTGAGGTGTAGAAGCGAGTCTGATGAGACGCGGATTGAAGCTAGGTGAATGGTCTGACATATGTCAAGGCTGTCTTATGGCGATCAGAAGACAAAAGGTACTGTATCACTCACACGGGCATTATTCAAGGGGCATGCCTAAACAGTAGACATAGTGAACTGGAGAAAATGTGACTTACAATCGGTACTCAGAGATGCCAGGCCAATAGACGACCCATAAGCATTACTGAAGCAGAAGTGCATACAGAAGCTCCACCACGGGGACCATTGTCTTTGTTTGACTTGTTCTTGGAGCTTTGATCCCCCCGTGATTGACCACTCATTTTTGCTGTGAGTGTGGTCCCTCGTCCCAGCATCGTCCAGTCGGATCAGATGAGGTATTGATAGACCCAAGAGCCAAGACACTGAACACTTTTCTAGCGAAGCTATCCGTAGCTTTGGTAACGAAGACCGCACTAATTGCATGATACAGGATCGTTCTGCATCTCGGTAGGGCTCGGAGACCACAGAGAAAGAACTATCAGCACTCAGCCCCGTGACAATCCGACCCTGACATGTGAACGTGTTAGTTCACACTTCACACCCAAGGTCCAGGCGGTTAGGGTTGCTTAGTCAACGGTTGCTGACGGGAGGAAAACAAAACCGAGCCAGTTGAATAGAGGTGGTAAATTGAAATAGGAAGTGAAATCCATTGTAGTGCCCAAGTCGACGCAGGCAGGAGAAGACTACCTGGTCACGTCTCAGTGGTTAGATTCTATGATTATCATTATTCTCTCCACGCATGCATCCCAGACGCGCGAGGAGCGGGGCCGAGATCGGGCCCAGGATGTCTAGGCTAATCCAAGCCCAGGCCTGATCTGCGACGTCGCAGATCTGCATGCTGAGATACGTAACCCAGGCACATATGGAACAGTTCGTGCATTTGAACGTACCCGAGTATGCAAACCTGCGGGCCAGCAAGCCCACTCGAGCTGAAATAGCTACCGGGAAGAGCCTCCGGCAGATCAGGTAGGGACTACCCTGGCAAGTCACATTGTATATTTCCTTGATTCAGAATGTGAGACAGCATCTGCGCCGCCAAGTACAGAGATGCTCCAAGTTGTTTACTTCAAGTATCGCGTATAAAATTGAATATACTGTATCGACATACGTATTGCCATAGAACATGGACATTGTACAAATTGCAGTATGTAGTTATGGATGTCTGTTAGGGGTTGGGTCCGGCAGATGCTGCGCTGGTAATCATGATTGAGCTTTGCATAAAATAGGACTACCAACCTAAGTGCAGATGAATGCCAACCCTTTGAAGTTGACCGTGCTCAATGAGATCCACGGTGGAGCCCGCAATCAGCACTAGTTCCTAGTCCTACATATAGTAGTAGTACTGAGTACAAATGAAGTTTTATGTTGTGGAAGTGACCACAAACAGCGCAATGGCGAGATAGTACCCGACTCTAGTCCAGGTCATGTTTGGTCGCACCGCTAGTCCCTCATTGAATGTCATCTTCTCGCCCCCCTGCATACTCGGTGTGATGAGAAGTTAGGAGTTATCGAGGGAAGACACCTCTCGCCAAGCTTCGTTCATGCTTTCTGATTGCGGTTTTGCAAGGATGCACCTTTTAGGACCGCCCGACTATCTCACTGCTTCAACGCTATACCCAGAAGAGGGACTATCTTCGTGATCGCCACCGCTAGACTATGAGCTATTGGCACGTTCATTCGGACAGACAAGGAATTGACAAATCAATACTCGAGGTCTTGTTATGCACAGCGTGGGAAATATCAAAATCCATTATTCTCAGCCATTATCCACCGAAACTCTGTTTGTAACTGGTCCATCGTGGGTCAAATTGGGTCGAATTGGGTCAAACAGTCCCATTTCGATGAGATGCATGCAGCATAAACCATTGACCGACAAAACAAGAAGATCAGCGGGCGGCTGAGATAATTTTTGTGAGATGTACCATAGGAGAAAAGTTTGAATATGTCGCAGGGACCACTCTTAAAATTGATGGTTCGCTTTGATATCGAGAACGACTCAACTCTCTCATCACACCAGAATGTCGGTAATTCTTGGAGACCACCTGGTTTCGACCGGGGAAATTACATCGCCAACATCGTTCTTGCCCCATGTTAATGCAGTTAATGCAGTGGAGGATTTGAAAGCAGTCAGCACGACTGTAGAAATTGGGACTGAGGTATCTTCGGACTTTCTCAGGCGACGAGCCTACTGGGAGACCACCAAGCGCGTGCTTGCACAGGCAGTCAATGAAGAGTTAGTCGTCGGCACTCTCGAGACAACAGCTCGATCCAAATGGTTGCTCTTGCGCGCACCCAAGCCAGAAGCCATTGCTGGGTACGATGGTACCTGGATCAAGTGTGGCGTCCGTGCTGACGCCTATGTTGAAACGGACGGCGCGAGGATCTTTGGTTTCTTGCGAGCCGAAGACTTGCTCACTCCCGTGCTGCTCGGACGCACAGCGGTCGAAGCTGTCGAAGAGCTTGACCCAGAAGTGCTGTGTCGCATCATTTGCAGTTGGCAGCCTGAATTGGCTCAAAACGGGGGAGGAGCCACGCTGGTTGGAGAAATCAAAAATGCTAGAGATAACCAGGGTATGTTCAAAAAAGAGTCTGTACGGTGATACGGAGTTTGACTAATTCACGATAGTGAAATGGCTGGAGATCGCTGCTACGCAACCAAGATTGCATCTCAAATCTCCTATGGCTGACTGGGAGCAATCAGTCGTGACAGGGCATCCCACACATCCGGTAAGTTTCTCTCTCACGAGACTCGATGCGCAGAAGACTGAAACTGACGGTGACTTAGCTTCACAAAACATGCTTCGCTCAAGCCCCCTTGAAGCCTGTCGTGCCAGACGACATCCCGGAAATGCTATCTCCTGAACTCACGTTCCTCTCCATTCCCAGATCGGAAATGAGAGTTACTGGACCCTTTGAGCAGCTCCTGGAGCCGCTTCTCAGCTCACTCGAGATCCCCAAGGCCGAAAATCCTGATCGAATCACTGTGCCATGCTTCACACGCCAGCTGCCAAGTATCTTGCCCTTGTACCCTCAAGCCCGCCGTCTAAAAAGTGTCCCCAACTGTTGCCGCGCTCAGATCTCAATGCGCAGTCTCTCATTCAACCCCGAGACCAACTTTCCTCATCACATCAAGATGTCACTGTTTGTTCAAATCACCTCTGGTCTGAGGAACGTCAAGCCCTGGGGAGCAGTTCTGGGTCCTGTTCTTGGTAAATTACTACCAAAGTTGCTTCCAGAAAATGTATGGATGCTTGAGGAACCTGCATCTGTTACAGGCGCACAGGAGGACTTTAAAGATGCGGGTCAAATATCGGCTGTCATCCGAACTCTGCCAAAACAACTGGCCGACAATCCCGACGAGGTGCTTATTCCCGGTGCCGGGCTCTACCAGAAGCCATTCAACGAGGATCAAACATACATGGAGATCCTCTTTGGTCTTGATGACCTGAAGAAGAGACAAGATTGGTTTAGGAAGTAGGTCTTCTATTATTTCTGCAGTCTTTATCTTCTTGCTTGCCCTTCATGGCTGACACTTCAAAAATAGGTATGCTGCCCTATTGTTCTCTGCACTGATGCCCCCGTTAGTTCGCTACGGGCTTGGCTTCGAAAGCCACCTTCAGAATGTCCTTGTCCGTGTCAATTTCAAGACAAAGGAGCTCACCGGGTTCGCTATCCGCGATTTTGAGGGAACTAGAATCCATTACCCTACGTTCCTCCGCTCAGGGTATGAACTCAATGAGCTTCCTGCGGGCTCTCCACATCTTTCCGACACCGCACGTAAGCCATGGAACAAAGTGCACCATTCCATCATTCAGGATAATGTGAGCCCGATCTTGCATATATTGGGTTTGGAGGCCCACGGAGGCTGGTTGATCGTTCGGGAAGAGTTGGAACGAGTGCTGAACCCTGCCGAGGATCCCGATGCACGAGGCCTGTGGGAATATTTCACCCAGGAGAAGATGTCGATTCCCCGATTCATGGGAATGCGATTGATCGGCCGCTATGTTGAGGTAAGTCCCTACATAATGACTTTTTTTGAAGAGAATGAAATCATAATAGCGTTTGCTTGCGACTAACACTCGGACAGAGCCATGAGATTGACGTGCCGAACTTTGTTCTTCGGAAGTGATTTTGAGAAGGAGATCAGGCAGCTAGTAGCTACCTTACTTAGTCCTCGTCACCTGTTCAACCGTGTGTCCTAGATGTCTCCTAGCAAACCGAAGTCTGAACTCTACTTGAGAAGGCAAACTGCGTTGCTGTACCTCAGCCTAATCCCCAAAATGAATCTCGGCTTTCAAACTGTCTGTGTATACATTGAAAAGTTCTCGTGTCGTAGTCTTGGGAAAGACCGGACCTGGAGTTTTTTTTCAGGGAGGTGAATGCTCTGAATAATAGCTTGAAGACGCGCAGAAGTTGATGCGCAGGCTCAAGAATCTCGCAGACAGTTCTATGGAGGTAATGGAGATATGTAGAATATATTTTTGGTACATACCTGGGTACGATCCGTGAATTCTATAAAGAAGAAGGAGCAGCTCGGGCAGCCGGTTGCCCGAGCTGTCAATTGCTACTTTGAGAGACCAACAAGAACGGGTTGGGGAGAGAAGGAGAGGAAGAAGGGAAAACCTGCCCACGCAGGGGAAACCCTCCAAACCTCTCAACACAAGCTGGTCCTGGCACCAGGCACATCACCCAGGATCCCCCATCATACATGTTGTCTGCAACTGGACGATACCGAAATGGATATATTCTGAGGGTACTACTGCACTAGTACGGCTGCAAGAGATTGGTCTAGGATTTGAAGAGCCTGATCGATCTCTTGCGCAGACACGGTGATCGGTGGGACTAGACGAATAACCGATCCCTGCGCGGGAGAGGGAACAACACTACACGACAATCCACCGGCCAAGGATTTCTCCACGACAGCATGTCCCAGATCCTTTGCAGTGATGGCTGCCCCTGGTTTTGTCACCAATTCCAAGCCCTGAAGAAGTCCACGTCCGCGCACATCGCCGATCCACCCTCCGTACTTTCCCTGAAGTTGGCGCAAACCTTGTGTCAGCTGGGCTCCACGTTCAGCCGAGTTCTGACAGAGTCCATCACGCTCGACGATCTCCAGGGTCTTGTTCCCCACAGCGGCAGTCAAGGGGTCGTTCTGATGGGTTGTGTTCCAATAGAACACCGAGTTCCGGCAGCCTTTCTCGATTTCAGCACTGGTGACGAGAGCGGCAAGAGGAACGCCACAGCCCAAGGTCTTGGACAAAAGAAGGATATCGGGGACAAAGCCCTCCTCTTCTTGGAAAGCGAACATCTTGCCAGTTCGTCCGACGCCGGTCTGTGCCTCATCCACGATCAACACGATCCCGCGCTTCTTGCATTCAGCACTGAGCCGCGTCAGGTAACCGCCGGGCAGTTCTAAGATGCCTCCTCCGGACAGAATCGGCTCGATCACAAATGCGGCGAGCGATCCGACGCTCTGGCGATCAAGCAAGGACCAACCGTAATCGAATTCGGCCTCCCAGTCGTACTTTCCGTCTCGCTGGAAGGGCGATCCGTATGCATACGGTGCGGGGAAAGCCAGCTGGCCCGGCATGCATGGCAGTCCAGTGTTGCGATATTTGGAGAAAGTGGCGGAGCTGGCGGCCCCAGTCTGGCCGTGATAGCTTGCAGTGAGAGCTATGACCTCGAACTTTCCGGTGTAGGCCTTGGCCAGCTTGATTCCGGCCTCGACACTCTCCGATCCTGTGTTCAAGAGAAGAGTCTTCTCCAGGGGTGAGGGCAGCAAGCGAGCCAATCGGAGAACCAAGTCCGCCACGGGCTCTGTGATCATCGTGCTGTGTAGGTGATCGACCGTCTCAATCTGAGTTTTCACCACATCCACAATCTCGGGATGGGAATGCCCCAGGAGCGAGCTTCGCTGACCTGACGTGAAGTCAAGGATTTGGCGTCCCTCATCGTCTGTGAGGTACGTCCCCCGCGCCTTGACCACTTTTACTGGAGAGATGATGATGCCAGTGTAGAGGAGGTGGTTTGTCGCCGAGGCAAGGTCGAATGTCGTCATGTCTGTGACAAGGAATTCTGATTCGGGTAAGATCAAGAAAAAGAGAATTTTCCTAGGACTCCCGACCTGGAAATATATGGAAAGGGAAATGGTTGAATAGTCAAAAGGGGAACTGTGAACACCCAAGTGGTTCAGGTTCTTGTGTCAAAATTATAGGCAGCGCATCTACGATCACTCATACTCGGCGGTGTGCGTGGAACATGGGCACGTACTGTACGTGTCGAGCCATCACGACCATGACATAGAATAGAATTGGGATACCAACCTCCTTGAGAAGGAATTGCGTGCTAGTAAACGCATTGCGTCGACATGCAAGCGGAGCGTGTCCCTCGCCACTCTCACTGCTCCACCATACAGCTCAGCTAGCCACCACATTGTGAAATTCCCCCACGTCGCTGGCCTACCTGGCCCACTTGGCCGTGGGGAGGATGAATGAGCTTCGATATGTCGTGGGTCAGTGATACTACGGTGGAGTGTGGAGCATAGCTTCTTACCATTACTAGTAATGATAGTCACTCTGGCGTGCGGGAGTGGGAACGGCTAAAACAATAGGGTCTGAGAGCTGAGAGATGAAGTCGCTAGTTAAAGTTGAATATCCATGCCCGAGTCCGAGTACTGTGTAGTGTATAGTGTAAAGTGTATAGTGTAAAGTGTATAGTGTAAAGTGTATAGTGTATACGAGTTAGACATGGCCATTGAATGATATTTTCGATCACCGCGACCGTTTAGGTAGGATTGCATACAATTCTTCCTCTGTTCCTTTGTTAATGATAACGTTTAACAATCTATCCCATGAGTAAAATGCCCACTGGCGGTGCACGATTCCAGGATACATTGCTAAGGAACTAACCGAGACGTGACTTCTTTCAAGTACAAGGAACAGCAAAGCTCGTGTCTAGAGATTTGTGCATGAAATATCTTATACTTTGATCAAATATAATTGGATGCGCATTGACTCAGAGTTGAATCCCACTTTTATTCTGTTCAATGTTCCTTCACGGGTTGTATTGGTGGAGCTACTGCATGGAGCTGCAAGTAATGGGCGCCAAATGATACATCTCATGGGACCCGTGTTGTCGCTCACCGCACTTTAGATCCGAGTATGTCCGAGTCTGGCAGAGCTGATGGATCGACTAAACTTTTCAGTTTACTTCTGGCTGCACGGGCCACCCTCACGGGGTTAGCCGGTAACCTTTTCCAGGCTTTGTGGCGCTTGTTGTACCGAAGGCTCGGGCCGGCTTGTATCAAATTCATTCACGCATACGCGTCAACTGTATATTTCTGAGTATATGTCCCTGCTAAGCTACACAATTTGAACTCGATTCACAGAAGACGCGGGTCACAAACTGAGAGTAAGTGGGGAAAAGAGGCAATAAGTCTCAGTTTTCCTTCCTGAGCGGCAAAATCCAGGCCGTGATCGAGATCACCGAAGTGTGAGAGTCTTTGGATCTACAGTATCTGCATGTATATACCTCCAGACACGATGGACATGCAGACTGAGAAGTTCGGGTGGTTACACACGCCTGCTCGGTACAGGTCTTCCGAGATGCCGAGATGCAGGCACTGTGCAGTCAGGCTTGTATCCTACGAAGATTTCGAAGTCGCTGCACGCCGTCGTCAGCTCAAGCTCCTCGGTTAGTCATATCAACTTAACCCTACCTAAGGCACGACGCAGACTTCTCGTATGCGGATCAGAAATCTTTGTGAATAGTGTCTAGTGAACTGATTTACACTAGTCACATTATTCTGTGTATTTAAACGCTCATGATTCCTACGATCATTTGACCCCAGATCTTGAATATCCTCTTCTGCCCTCCACCCCCAGTTTACATTTACTTCACTATGCAAGTCCAATATCAGCTGCCACCTCCTCTTGGCCATGCGGTTCCTGTGTTGAAGGAGCACGCAATTTCTGTACACTTCCCTGCCTGGGCCGATGTGGCAGGCTACGGGTCTGGAAACAAAGAAGTTACGGCGGCTTTACAAAATGGCTATCCCAGGACCTTTTTGCACACGTTCGTTCGAGAGGTACGCACTTGACAGACTCTCGACTACGCTGGCGCCCAAGGGTCTTAGTAGAATACTAATACACCTGACTCTAGTTCTTTAATCGATGTCTCCACGACCTCCCCCAGCCCGTGGAAAGCATCGCCGTGTTCCCCGATTACCAGAGTGCAGCTGACTGCCGGTCTTTCTTGATGGACAAGAAGCTCCACCCAGACGGTGCTGTTGACGAGAAGGATACATCACTATTTGCGGTGAAACTCAGTCAGGGACCCTCACAATCTGATGCTGAATTCGCCTCGATCCCCCAGCTCTATGCTGTGACACATCCGCATGCCGCAGAGTCGCAGAAAATGACGTTCTGGAGATTGAACGGTCGTGGCATCTCTTCCAGAGTGGCCAAACAATGCCTTCAATGCAGCAAGTGTGAACTGAAACCTGTTGCTGGCTCGCTACAAGAATCTTCCAATATCAAGGATCTGGCCGTCTATGGCACCCTTCGCAAGCGGGTGGCCGACCTCATCTCGCGCTCCCCCATTAATCCTAATAAGCCCTTGCCGACCAGTGAGGATGTCTTTCTCAGCGCATCGGGCATGGCTGCACTCTATCATGTCAACCAGGCGCTTTTACGATGGCGGAGGGCTGACATTGTGATGCTCGGCTTCCCCTATGAGCTCTCTATCAAGATGATTGAGACAATTGGTGTGCCGTACCATCTGTACAGCTTTGGCACCGATCAAGATATCGACAATCTGGAAGCACTTTTAATCAAGAATGCTGACGAAGGCCGCAAAATTCAATCTGTGTGGTGTGAATGTCCCAATAACCCGGTCTTGCGAACGCCGGACATGCACCGGGTGCGTGAGCTGGCAGACAAGTACGATTTCCTTTTTGTGGTGGACGATACCATTGGGAGTGCCGCCAATATCGATGTGACTGATGTTGCTGATATCATTGTCACATCATTGACGAAGAACTTCAGTGGCTACGCCAATGTTCTCGGAGGATGGTGGGTTTTCAATCGTACCTGCCGCATTTTGCGATTCATTTGACAGACTACTCACTGCGTGAAATCAACAGTGTCACTTTGAACCCGAACTTCCCTCATTACCGAGAGCTCAGCACCGTCTTCGCAGCAACTCATGTCAACAACCTCTTTGCAGAAGATGCGCTTCAGTTAGAGGTCAACAGTCGCAACTACCTCGAGCGCTTTACGCAGCAAAACAAGACCGCTGCCTATCTGATTGATTATCTGACCCCCTTCATTGCTGATCCCCACAGCGCGCTGAATGATATTTATTCGCCCCGTGTCTGCTGGAGCCGAAAGAACTACTGCAAATTCATGCGACCCGCGACCGACGAATTCGAGCCGGGCTTTGGCTCCGTCTTTGGAGTGGATTTTGCGACCACTGCGCAAGCGTCCGCTTTCTTTGACAACTTCCCCGTGTGCAAAGGGCCTTCATTTGGTGCCGATGTCACCATTGCCTTACCGTATGTTCAGCTGGTCATGCAGAACCAGAAGGACTGGGCTAGAGGGCATGGACTGAATGAGACTTTGATTCGAATCTCTATTGGTCTCGAAGACCCAGAAGTGTTGCTGGGTCATATCAAGGCGGCTTTGCGGGCGGCGGATGAGGCCCAGGCATCGCTCTGTCGCGACATCATGTCATGAGAGAATTATCGGCGCAGGGAATGATGGTGACCGAGGACTGCTTTTTTGATATATGTATCTAGTGCAACCTCACGCATATAATGGGGCGCTCGAGAAATGAGCAACCAAGCTTGAGCCAGTTACACAGGTGATTCCCAGTCTGCTTCCCACGATGCTGCTGTTCTCCTATAGATCATGGATATGAGGTCGCGTCGGTTTAACATCTTGAAAAAACGCTCTAAACCATCTAAGGTTGCTCTGTATAGTCTGAAAGCTTGCTCGGTGGAGTGAAATTGACGTCACTGAAACAACTTCCAATCTTCTCCTCTCAAACATCCAGTTGCTCTTGCCCGAGGCGACCTTGGGTTGCACTAATTAGAATCACTGAACACTTGTCTATCTCGAACACTTATCATATTTCTACCACCTCGCCTGTCACATTTTTCAAACGAGCTCAATCTATTGAGAAAGTAGTATCCATCTTCCTGATAGTTTATGAGTTATATCCATGTGTGTCGGACCAATTGGCATCGACAAAACAGCTTCAAACAAGGGCGCGTATTTATCTAGAGTATCTTTTCACACATCACCACACCGGGGCCCAGTATCACCTGGATGTTTGGATCATAACAGACCATTGGTCGATGGAAATTGAGTTGCTGCATTAGAATTTCTATTCGAACCGGGAAGGATTTACCTCGCCTTGCTGCGAGCGTGTCCCAAAACGGTAACATGCCGACTGCAAGCTGTGCTGCAAGGTTCCCCGTGCCCCCGAGGAGATGACGGGCTCGATAGCTTTGCTTCTGACAAATCGCTTCACGGTCCATCTAATTTCAGCTCGGGTGGAGCCCGCGAGTCCTCCGAGGAAAAGGATCGCTTGGAAAGAATGGAGTTTTGCTGTCCAATCCTTGCGGTTGCTGAGACGTGCCCAGCATTTCTCAGTAATTTTGTGAGTACAGTTCAAGCTGACAAGACAGAAGAGATGGCCGGTCCAGCCCAGTGACGGCGAGGCAACAGAACCCTGTCGGATCATCGGATACGAAATTATGAATGCAACCTCCTCCTGAGCCATGCAAGATGCTGTTCCTCCCACTCCATCATTATGAGATCTCTGGCCCCGGAAGTGACAAAACAACTTATCGTTGGGAAAGCAAAATACCCGGTTTCCCAGCATCTTTGAGCTGGCAGGCAGTCCACGACTCATGGGTACCCTATTTAACCCCCTAATAGTCCCGGAAAGTCCAAACAAGATGGACAATTTATGGTGGTGCAGCAGAACCCAATAATCGCATTCTGCGACGATACAGAGGTCGGATCAGATTCCTATGATGTACTGTATGTATCTCCTTCCAACTCCTGTCCACTTTTCCCGTGTCCAGGCTCCAGACTCTGGAAGTATCCGGTGCAACAGGTTGAAGCATGAACGACGGGGCGTCTCCTCCAAGCTGGGATGACAAGTGGACCGATTGGCTTCCCCGGGACCAATGCAGAGGGTGTCAGTGGGTTGATTCTCAGGGGATCTTCGGACAAGGGCGTTCGGTCTGTCGATCACAGGCAGCATCTGCATCTGAATCACTCAATGATGCAGAGGGGTTGGGTCGCGAAGATCGAACAACTCCTACCACACCCAATCATGGCCGTCATTCGTGACGAAAAGCAGGTCCCGAGATTGGGCTTCTGAGTCTTTACGTACTTGCAGATTAGTAGAGCATCTGATAGGTCTCAAGCTGAATGGAGTCGATGACAAGACACGACAAGCAGCCATCTGAGATCCGAGGAGCAAGGTGAGTGCCAGGGATAAAACTGAGGGGTCATGATGTCTGCCCAGGGGGAGAGAGAGAGAGAGAGAGAGAGAGTGAGTGAGAGAGTATAGTGAGAGCGTGCGACAATGCAAAACACAGCTCATTATGATCGATGCCCCCTGGGTTCAATTCGGGATGTACACAAGTACGATCAAGCCGAAGACAAAAAAGAAAAAAGACACCATGACCCACTTCTCGACCACCACAATCATATCTGGGTTTATTTAGGGGTGATCAGCTGTCATCTTTCTTTTCAGATACGAAGCCCAGCTTTCAGGCGGAAAGAGGAAACAAAAAAAAAATGTGGGACGTTGGAGCCCAAGCTCTGGATGTCAGAGTCATTATTCTCATCCTGACAACTGGTCTGACCAGCCGAGCCTTTCAAAGCCTGGTAGACTGGACGTGTCGTGCATTTCGCACCACAGATCAATTCGCCAAATTTTTCTACAGCGACCTCGATGGCGAGAGCAAGTTCCAAGAGGTTCAGGCCACCGTGAGGTGGTGGCAGCGTGTCGTGATTGCTATCTTGACAACCAGTGCAGCAGTCGTGTCTTTGTCACGGGCCGTTGTCGCTTCAACAAGAGAGGAATGGCTGCACTGTTATATCCTGGTAGGTTGCGTTTCACTCGGGGATTGTGGACATGACTACTGGCGTCTGTTACTGACTGAATCAGAGTCTAATGCTCATCCATTGTGTCGCCCTGCTTGTGGAGTCACGCTGTACTGTGCGGTATGCGCTAGGTCTGCAACTGAGTTTGAGTTGTCTCCTGGGCTTGGTCTCTGTCGCATTCGAGATTGAGGCATACTATCCTGCTCATCGTGAAGCCATCCAGCGAAGACTGATTGGGGCCGAAGGTTGCTGTCTCCTCGCCACGGCGGCACTCTGCGTGCTGCTTCCCCGTCGACCCGATGTTTATCATAATGAAATGATGGTCGACCGGGAACTGTCCACCTCGATGCTCAGTCGGCTTACATTCAGCTGGGCCAGGAAGATTATCCGTCTCGCTCACCAGGAGAAGGAGCTTGACCCAGCTCACCTCCCAGCGTTGGACCACAGCACACGATCACAGCGTCTCCAAGAACTCTTTAGCGAATGCCAAATGCGCCATCAAGAATCACGGTCAGACGGCCCTAACACGCCAGCACCGATGTGGTGGATACTCGTGCGATCTAATCGTGCAAATCTTCTCGGGGCGGCGATGTTGTGTCTGCTCCTGGCGCTGCTGTCCTTCGCCCCGCACATGATTCTATTGCATATGCTGCGAGTCTTGGAATCTGAAACACCAGAGAAGAAAGACCCCGTTCTGTTGGGGGCATGGGGACTCTTGCTGGGGTTGGCGATTGTTTGCTCGTCTGTCCTCGAACAGTGGGTAAACTGGATTGCATATAACAAGATCTCGGTCCGAATGATCGAGCAGATATCAATCATGGTTTTTCACAAGGCTATGCGTCTCCCCGGGTCTAAAAGATCCGACCGCGACGACGAGAAGGAGGGCGGCGCTGCGAAAAGCACCATCAATCTGGTCGCAGTTGATGGCCAGCGGATCGGTCGATTTGCTACGTACTTTTATCATTTGGCACTTGCCCCGATGAGGATTATCATTGCTTCAGCCATGTTGTTAAGAATCTTAGGCTGGCAAAGCTTGGCGGCCGGTCTTGCATGTATTGCTGTTTTGATGCCAATGGTCATTCCCTGCGGCCGCAAGTACGCGGTAGCTGGCAGACAGTTGATGGCCGCACGAGATAAGAAAATGGATCTTCTCACCGAGATGCTTCACGGGATTCGCCAAATCAAATTCTCTGCACTTGAGGACAAATGGGCGGATCGGATCGGATCAGTGAGAAAAGAAGAGCTCGCTGGTCAGCGCCGCATCTTTATATCCAATGCCGGCATCATGTCCTTCTACATACTTGGCCCAATCGCCTTGTCTGTCGCGTCCTTGGGCGTGTATGCGCTGCTACACAATGGGCTAACGGCTTCCGTCACTTTCACTGCTACATCAATCATGGGCTCGATAACGATATCATTGAGTGTACTTCCAACTCTACTCTCGAACGTGATTGATACTTTGATCAGCACACGCCGCTTAGATGAGTTTTTCGCTGCCCCTGAAAGAATACCAAACCTGACTCCAGCCGATGAAATTGCTTTTCAGAATGCCACGATTGCATGGCCTGGTGCCTTGACATCTCCCAAATCTACCTGGTCTCTTAAAAATCTCGATCTAGAGTTTCCTCGGGGCAAATTGAGTCTGATATCTGGGCGAACGGGATCGGGCAAGAGCCTTCTGCTGGCCGCTATACTGGGAGAATGTGATATCATTACAGGGCAAGTGATGGCCCCCCTTCAACCGCAGCCAGAGACTTTATGGCGTACGTACACAGACAGTGGGAATTGGATTGTGGACTCTGCCACGGCATTTGTGGCTCAAGCGCCATGGATTGAGGCTGCAACCATCAAACAGAACATCTTGTTTGGTCTCCCTTTCCGTGAAGACCGGTACATGGACGTGCTTTACGCATGTGCGCTAGGAAAGGACCTGCAAACCTTTCCCGATGGTGACCGAACAGAGATTGGCGCCGACGGAGTCAACCTGAGTGGTGGACAAAAAGCCCGCATTTCCCTCGCCAGGGCATTATACTCTCGCGCTGGTATCCTGGTGCTGGATGATATCTTCAGTGCAGTTGACGTTCACACCGCGCAACATCTGTACGAGCATGCACTGACTGGATCTTTGGCTGTGGGTCGAACCCGAATTCTCGCCACGCATCACATCGGTATTTGCTTGCCTCAGACTGAACGTATCGTTCATTTAGAAGGTGGAGCGGTCGGATTCACTGGCGTGGCTACTCAGCTGCATGCTAGCGGAATGCTGGACAGCCTACTGCGCTCTTGCAAAATGGATGAGGAGCCAGACGGAAAGGGAGATTACACATTGAAAGATATGCCTTCGTTTGCTCTCGAGCACCTTGCTGAGTCCAGTCAACCCACAGCATCCCCGGGGGAGCAGTTCAACGGTCAGACACCACGAACTTTCTTGCAAAAAGAGCGAGGCAAAACAGACAAGTCCTCTCTGCAGCTTTTCATTCAGTACATCACTGCCAGCGGGTCATGGTGGCTATGGGGTCTGGTTGCCACTACAAGCGTGACGTATATGCTTCTCATCCTAGCGAGAGTAAGTCCATCATCCCGCGGCGGGCATCCCGGTGAGTTGCTTGATATGCTGACTTCAAGAGCAGAGCTGGTGGCTACGTGTTTGGAGCAACCATGACACCGACGCCGCTTCCGCCATCAATGAACCAGGTCTGGCGGTGGAAAATCTGAAGTTCTACTTCGGTATTTACGTCGCTTTCGCTATATCTGAATGGCTTGTGGGTTCAATGGTCAACGTGTTCATCTTCTTCCCTGCGCTGCGTGCATCGGAGCGTCTTTTCCAGCAGTGTCTACGTGGAGTACTTAGCGCCCCTCTCCAATGGCTTGACGCCGTCCCTGTTGGCCAGATTTTGAATCGCTTCTCGGCTGACTTGAACATCATCGATTCTCGAATCTGTCTCTCTTTGATTCAAATGCTCGCCGCTGGCTTGGAGTCTGGCAGTGTCATTGTCGCTGGCGCGATCGTCAACCCCCTCTCGATCGTCCCCATTGTTCCGCTTGCGTCTGCATGTGTCTATTACAGCCGTGCATATCTCGTTGCAGCCCGGGAGATGAAGCGCATGGAAAACATTGCTCGCAGCCCAATCTACGAGAAATTCAATTCTTCTCTCACTGGACTTTTGACCATTCGCGCCTACGGGAAACCCCATATCTACATCGAGCAAATGCAGCACCTTGTGGATGGTCATGCTCGGGCGTACTGGCATCAGTGGTTGTTGACACGCTGGCTTGGAACGAGAATCAACATCATCGGCGCCATCTTCACCACGTGTGTCGCTGTGCTTGTGACAAGCCAAAACGGAGCAGATGCAGCCGCGGCCGGCTTTGCGATCGGATTTTCAATTCAACTTTATAGTGCCATCACTCTGTTGACTCAAGTCTACACTAGCCTGGAGTTGGACTTGAATTCCGTCGATCGAGTCCTGGAATACTCTGATGTGGAATCAGAACGGTATGAGGGCATCGATCCACCCGCTGCGTGGCCAACCGAGGGCCGCTTAGAGATTGCCAACCTGACAGTGAAATACGCATCTGACTTACCGCCGGTGCTCAGGGGTCTCAATATCAATATCAAGGGTAATCAGCGCGTCGGTATCGTTGGCCGAACCGGGGCAGGCAAGTCATCGCTCGCTCTGGCCCTCTTCCGATTCCTTGAAGCCAGTCAGGGTCAAATTCTCATTGATGGAATCGACATTGCCAAGATGACATTGACCCAGTTGCGTAGCCGACTGGCTATCATCCCTCAAAACCCCGTGTTATTCTCAGGAACTGTTCGATCTAATCTAGATCCATTCCAAGAACACGATGATGACGAACTCATCTCTGCTCTTGCACAAGTAAAATGTCCAAGCTCTACGGCAGAACTTCCATCATCAGAACTCGACATGCCGGTCTCTGAGAGCGGGTTGAACCTCTCTCAGGGCCAGCGACAGCTCCTTTGCCTCGCCCGTGCGATTGTCTCCAATCCCAAGGTTCTCATACTGGACGAAGCAACTTCTTCGGTCGATAATGCGACGGATGAGAACATTCAACAGGCATTGCGGGCAAGATTTGGACGTGGATCGTCAACGCTACTCGTAATCGCGCACCGCTTAAGCACGATCGCCGACTTTGATCATATCTTGGTCTTGGACCGTGGCATGGCAGTAGAGTCAGGGTCACCTCAGGAACTGATCAATATTGAGAACGGTATATTTCGGGCCATGATTGAGAAGGACTCTGAAAGCGACCAACTGCTTCAAGTTATCTCGGGTTGAGAACGGCGATTCCACTGGGAAGACGGGAACTTAGTCTGATTCAGACTTAGCTGGGCTGAGTGTCAGTCTGATGCAACCATTGATTCATATGGATGGTCAGTCGTCAGGCCTATGGAGCATAATGTGTAATTAGTACAATTTCTTCAGTGTCTCTAAGAATTACATGAACTACACGCGATTTCGGTTTTTGGACATACAATACCGCTCCGGCAATTATGTATCTGACTTTTCCCCTCGCAATTCTGCCACGTACTTGTATAATCAATGCCGAGTAGTGGCGGACTTCCATAATTGCACAACTCGTGGAGCCAAAACTTACGGACTGAACCGCTCCTAAGTCAGATGCTGATTACTCGATTTGGACTAACGCGATCTCCCTTTACATCGGGCAGAACTGTATCAGCTTAAGTGGAGGTGGAGCCTGTCTCGATGTACGCCGCCCGCGTCGCCACCCTTCTGTTGATACAAACTGGTAGTCTCCTCATTTTCGTTTTGCTTTCTCCCCTCGACCATCTTCAGTTCCATCTGCTTTCATACTTTACGATATGCGACGATCTGATCTGAGTGTTGACCATTCATTTTCTGCTTCGCACCTATCACCCCCTCCTTTTTCGTTTCGTTGCCAACCATTCGACCACCGATAATCTTATTAAGACTCGCCACCAAACCCGTCAATGATTCCACCACCTTCAAACCAGTCGTCCTCATCTTGGGGACTTGATAACGCCCTTGATGTGCTACAATCTCCCACATTCAAGCAAAGCTCTCAATCTCTTGGTCATGATCACGAAGCGGATGCTCCTAATGAGGGGCAATACTATCGATTTTCCCCGCATCTCGCCAGCCACTACTTTCCAACTGGGGGTCCTCAAAAGGTCGGAGACTTTGATCTAAGGGCGGCTTTGCCCAACCAGGACAACTTGAGCCTGGACGAGATAGAGTCATCACTTCATGGAATGCAAATCGCCGGCAACTTTCCAGGGTCCCCTTCTACGCACAACGACCTTGCTACCAGCCCAGACAATGCCTCCAACCACCTGATCGCACATGGTCCTCACCAGTCACAGCTGTCAAAGCAGCTCAGCGCGGCCGGTCCGTCCAATCCTTTGCAAATGCAAGACACCAAGGCAAACACATTCTCCTTGTCTGATTTTACCCCGCGGGCCAGTCCTTCGGCATTCTCGGATCCTACTTTGAGACCTCGTCCGATCAGAAGCGAAGAGGCCGGAGTTTCGCTCGACCAAGCCAGTCCCGTGAGACTTGTGGATCCTCCTTCGAGATCTCGTCCAATCCAAAGACAAAATCCCGGAGTCTCGCTCGATCAAGCCATAGGCGAGTACGTCGATTCCTCCCGAAAACGCACCAACACCAAGGCAAAGAAAGCCAAAGCCAAACCTGTCACGAAGAACGTGGATGCCCACTTCGACACGCTCCCCAATGTCCTGGACTTTAGCCCTAGCGCAGACTCTGACACCAGTGCCACTACTGGTCTTTTTGATTCGCCTGTGACAAAAGAACTCAGTCCCTTGGAGTTTGTACCCTATCAGGTCGGTGGCAGCGGTGTTGTGCGCAGTGGCCGTTATGACACACCACCCTCCTCGTACGATGAAGCAGACTGGGCGGTCCACACGGACGCTGTCCCGAACATAGTTACCACCTCAGCTGGGGTCAAGGTTCTTCCGGCCCTTTACAAAGGCGCTGAAGAGCGTCGAGTTGGTCTCATGACAAAGTTGCTTGGAGATTTTTCCGATTATGCTCGATTGCTTGTACAAGTTGGCCGATCGCCTACTTTTTGCAACAGCCTTGACGACCCCCGCCCCATTCATGTCTTTGTTGACATGTCCAACGTACGTTTTTGAGCCTGTCATCTCTGTCCCCTGCTGAAATAAATAGCTGACCAATGTTTCCAGATCATGGTGGGCTTCCACGATTCGGTAAAAGCTTCGCGGAAAATTCCCGTCCCCACTCGCATCCGTCGTCTTCACATGTCCTTCGCAAACTTCTCCTTAATCATGGAGCGCGGCCGCACTGCGGTTAAGAGAGTCTTGGTTGGCTCTGATCGACTTCCCGCTATCACGGAGGCGGAGAAGCTTGGCTATGAAGCCAACATTCTAGATCGTGTACACAAACTCAAGTACACCACCCCCCGATTCACCAAAAGTCGAAAGACACATGGGGCCACCACTTCATTCGCGTCTGGACCTGAAACGGCTGGCGCAGGCATGGAGCGGTGGGTGGAACAAGGTGTTGACGAAATTCTGCACCTCAAGATCCTGGAGAGCATCGTGGATACAGATGAACCATCCACGATAGTTCTTGCGACCGGCGATGCCGCGGTCGCTGAGTACTCTGGTGGATTCATGCGAATGGTGGAACGGGCCCTCCGGCGCGGTTGGAACGTCGAGCTGGTGAGCTTCGCGCAGACGATGAGCAATTCTTATCGTAACAAAGAGTTTCGCGCGAGATGGGATCGTCAGTTTCGGATCATCGAGCTTGATCGCTATGTTGAGGAGCTCTTCGAGTGAGTGGCAGAGCGATTCTGCTCGTCTTCATGTCGTTACGATCCCACCTCTTCATGCTTCAAGGATTTTCTTAATACTAGTCAGCTCGTCGGTACATTCTTACCTGACAGACAATTAGTGACATGCATTGCATTTGATCATTCATCTTCTGCCTCTCCTTATGTAGAAAACTTGTAGTCATAGGAAAATGTGATGTTCAACGCTTCAAACATCTTAAGCCTCTTGCCGCCAACTGGTGGCGAACGTGATTGGGCGGAAGAGGCACGGCTCTTCCGCCCACGCCTTACATGATGCTACTACCTCTTGACAAGGACGTCGCTCGAAGCACCAACCATTGTTGCTTTGTGCGGGACACAGCTACACGAGCTCTCTCGTTTCCGTTATCTGCACTGCGTCAGTGTTGCTAGCCATTGCTGGGGGACATTTTTTTTGAAACTCTCGACAGATTCAGCCCAGTATGTACATTGACATGAAGTGGGGCTTGATTTCAAGATCCGTAGGTGAACCTGTCAAGCTTACCTCCACCGTACAGAACATTTAGCAGCTCGTATATCGCCAACGAGTCCCCTCTTGCCGCTCGGAGATTATCTCCTCGAAGCCTTCTAAGGATTCCGCACATTCTGCTTCTCGGCAGTCGGGCAATCTCAAGTCTCAGCATGGCTCACATCACGACGAAGGATTTTTTCGGCGGTGCAATCCGCGGGATTGTGCCACATCGGTGGATCGATGGCAGGTCAGTACATTCTCTCTGGAGTTTTGTCCTTGTCGTTGTATTCTCATGGTGGTCCTGCGCGACTTGAGCTATTGAGACGGTCGTATGTCAAGTCAATATAGGCTTCTCTTCTCGTCTCTCGATCTCATGAGCTTGTCAAGTCGTCTGCCGCGCGTGAAGGGAGCCAAAATCCTTGATGCGACGCAACCCCCTCTGCACTTTCCTTGGGCAGCCTTATCCGCGCGAGTGGAAGAGTGCCCGGGGCTTTTGCTACAACATCAAGCAAAATACATTCCACGGATCACCCCGCTTGATTCCGGGTTCTCAAGGATGAAATAAAAAAAGACTAACAAAGTACATAGTGATCTCCGCGAAGTCCCAGATCATCAGGAACTCTTCTTATCACCCGACACGCTCTCAACCTTCATCATTGAGATCAATCAGCGCGTGTCCAAAGAGGAAGCCCTCTCCACATTCGCCACTTTCACCCACCAGCATCCAGGTCTCTCGACCGCAAGCAGCGGCACAGCAACCGCCGGCACTGCGGAAACGATCAATCAAGCTGCAGCCCTGTACCACCTGAACGATCTCTGCGATGAAGGCGACGCAATGGAGATTGTGACTCCGCCGACGCGCGTAGTCCCGACTAGTCTCTCTGCGTCTGCACCGCCTGGCTCGTCAATCTCTGCGTTTGAGGGCATTGTGCAGTATTTGACGACGGGTCGTCGGCGCGGGACGAGCGGCGCGGTGACGGATTCGGCTGTGGCGGGGGCTTCGATCGATGGACCTTCTGGGGAGGGCGCGAAGGTGTCCAAAGTGACATGTCATTATTTGCTTGTGCGGTTGGAGGCCCAGGAGACGGATTTGTTGGCGTTTTTCAATGTGCCGCATAAGGAGTTTGATGAGAAGGGTGATGCGCAGGGCCTCTCGAGGGAGGAGGGTGTTGCGGAGAGCTTTATGGCTAGCCTGGTCGACCGATTGGAAATTCGAGACTGGGGCTTGTTTGTTTGATCAAATTTAATTTACATGTCGCGGTATAGGGGAGAGAGCTCGAGCCAGCATGATTACCATGCTTTGTCTTTGCTCTAGTGATCTCTTCGCTGATCTAGCACCCAGTTGGAAATGTTATAGGTTCATAGGTGCTATCAGTAGCTGGAAACACATGATACACCTCATGTCGATAGATGGTAAGTCGCAGACAGTGTTACCGGACGTGTCTAGAAGATCTGAAACATCTGTCTTATCACACTCGATTCATTAGAAGAAAAGCAATGCCAGCTTGCCATGGACGGTCATGTCAAAATGAAAGTGAACGCAATGAAATGGCCATGGTCGAAAAAAAAAAAAGTCAATCGCTAATCTAAAATGGCAGGAGTCTCAAACGCTAAAGTGCACAAGATGGTGCCGCGCAGCATACGCCAAGAAGGCATAAGGTCACATCATCAATTCATAGACAGAACAGGACCCCCAAAGACTCAAATGACAAACTGATCAAGATTCCTGGTCACGTCCTCAAGAATCCTCCTTTGGCCGGGGATAACGGCGCTCTTCTTCGGCGAAACATTCCGCGGCTTGGGCTTGATCTGCTGGAGCTTGCCCTGACACGTACCGCATCGAGAACGGTCAGTGTCAATACTCTTCGAGTGCCGGCGGTATTCCTGGCCGCAGGCGGTGCAATGCCACACATATTTATAGTCAATCTCATACGAGTGTTTCGTGGTGACGTGGATTTGACCTCCATACAGTGGGTGATCGCGCATGGCATCGGCGCATTTTTCACCCCAGTTTTTGAAGCTCGCGCCGTGGGGGTTGTCGTGGATGTTCGACACCATGTAATTAGCGAGGTGACAATATTCGTGAGCGAGAGTGTTGATCAGCCGGTATTCGTTGTCAATGATCTTCTCGGCTAGCTCGATGCTTGCGTGGTGTTTGATCTTGCTCATTCCTCTCGATTCGCCGTTCGGTCCACGCGAGACCACTCGTTCTCCTTTCCAACGAGCACGGCCGGCGGTGGTGTTCAAAGTCTTCGACCAAGTGATCGTCACACCGCCGGTCGACTCGGCAAGTCGACTCACCTCTCCGCCAGATGCGGCTTGGTCCAATGTGCGGAGAAAGGCTTCTGCAAACTCCGCCTTTTTATGGTTAAAGGACAGACGACGAGCCTTTGCTGCTCGGTTCTTCTCGGCTTCGGCCTTTTTGATGGCACTTTTACTAAGCGGCTTCGGCGTCGTCGGCATCATGTCGCCGCCTTTGCGTGTGGGCTCCAAGTCGCTGCTAGAACTCGAGTCACGGCTTCTATGCCCGTTATCCTCCTCACTGTCGTCAAAGTCTTTGAGCAGCTCAATGACTTTACGACTGGTCGATGTTTCCTTGCGTGGAGAGTGCTGGTCATTCCATGTATTGGTCTCTTCTTGACTCCAGAATTCATCCACGCTCTCGCGATGGGGCGTGGCGGGAATTCGGACCTTCTTCTTGGTTGGAGAGCGCAGTCGCGATGGCCTGGGGCTCACTGGAGGTGTTTGCAGCTTCTTATTTTGAGATTTCTTCCCTTTCGGGAGAGCTTGGGGCTCTACGAATGGGCTTTGTGTAAAATTGTCAGAAGAATGTTCGACGTTCAACTCTAAAAGACAACATGTAACACGTACCTTTCAGATTGCGGTGATTCCTTATCGAATGGGCCATTCTGACTTTCCAGGGTCATTGCATCAAGCTTTGTATGGAGATCCAAGTCTTCCTGAGACATGGGTTTAAGGCTGACCCCATTCGTGTGGGATAGTCTTGAAGCTTCTGGGATTCGGGGATCCAGTACTGCAGACCTTCTCGGCATCTCATCATCACTCTGCTCCCTCTCAGCGACAAGGTTGGGTCGTCTGCCTCTCATCAATCTTCTCCGGCTGGAGGGCGGAGGAGGAGGGGGTGACGGGAGCTTTTCATCCTCTGTCTCGGAAGCTGAAGTTTCATAGAAACTGGGATCCTCATTGTCACTGACGATAAAGTCATCTAATGAGTCAAAGCCATTGTCCTCATCGTCTTCCTCTGTCTCAGATTCCACGTTGTGTCTCCTCAATGCCGGGCTGTTATTTTCTGCGCGAGCTGAGCGGACTGATTGGTGCGCTCCCAGTGGTCGCGGCACATCTCGTCTGGTTGGTGAAGCGGGAAGACTGCCATTCTGCGCTTCCCTGTTCTGCTCCGGGGTGTTTTCTAGAACATCGTTTTCTTTCTCGTAGTCGTCGGTTTCCAGCTTGACAGGAGGTCTTGGCCGCGGTGTCTGGGAGATGGGAAGCAGCAAAGAGTTCACGTTGGCTGTTTTCAGGGTTCGGGCTTTTCTCTGTTTCTTGGGCGGGGTCGATTCAGAACCCTTGGAGACACTTTCTTCAGAAAAAATATCGAACACCAGACTAGATCCCCGACTGTGACTTTGGAAGGAAGGTTTCGTTGCCGTGCTGGGGGTCTTTGCTTCAGATGAGCGGAGGTTGATGTCGTGCTCAGCTGCGATCTTTGCTTGAGTGGGTGTTGAGTCAGCAAACGGAGTCTTTTGCTTCAGACTCTTTTGCCGTTGAAGACCAGTGGTCAAAGGGTTGGAGGTATTCAATCGTGCCATCGTGAATCGATACGCGGGCGGGTGAGGGTGTCGTTGTCTGTTGCTGAGACCACGCCCTTTGGTCAAAGGGATCTTCCCTCTTTTTGGAGAGTGGAGAGGTGCTTTGATGCTGAGATTTTGTTGAGCAGCCGTGAGACAGCTTCCTGGTCGTGCTTCATATGAGCTTGAGCCTCCCAAGGTTGATGGCTCTTAAAGTTGTTGTAGGCCATCCCACCAGCGGTGGGCAGACCGTTGGCCGGGTAACCCCTCGCCTCGGATCGGGCAGTAAGACGGAGTATAGGCCATTAGCAGGTTCTAATTAGAATCATGATACCGAACATATATGACCCACCGAGATCGAACAGATTGGTACTCGAAAGCAAACTGGTTGACCAGATCAGACACATGAAACAAGAACTGCTTGCTCACGTGAGAACGAGCCTGTATGATTTACCCTATTTGAATGTTCTAGCAAATTCTGCTTCCCGCATGGTGCTTCGCAAGTTGACACTTTCATGTTCCGGAGCGGCACTCAGCTCTGTCGCGGGGACTGCACAATCACACCTATTATATGCGGTAGACTTATATGATTTGAGTCGACTAGGTTTGAGTTGATGGTGTGATGATTATGAGTAGCATTCATATGAACCCACATTCGCACTATCTTTGAGGGTACTCCCAGGGCTTCATCTATTCTCATTCATCAGAAACCGTGAATTGTATCAATGTTTCAAGCGTTGTATCGATTCTTTATCGGTGAATATATGACAATGAACTCATTATCGGGTAATTGTTGATTGTGTACATTTTAAATTATTGATGTCTCTAGGCATTCACGCCGCTGAGTTGCGCAGATTATTTTCCCCTGCGTCATGGACAATGATGAGCGTTTTCGAATACCTGTTCATATAGTAGTAGTAGTAGTAGTACTACTACTACTACTACTACTACTACTACTACTACTACTACTACTACTACTACTACTACTACTACTACTACTACTACTACTACTACTACTACTACTACTACTACTACTACTACTACTACTACTAGCTGTACTTACATAGGCTTGGTGGTGTCCGAATAAAAGTCCTGGGTGAGGCTGGTCAACTTTAGATAAAACTTTAGCTTCGTTCTTCGCATAATAAATTGATCTAGGTACCTAGTACCTACTTACATGCTTACGTTCACTCGTATGTTGCTGTTTCTGGGTGTCGCTGGAGATGCCATGATATAAATAAAACAGGCGTGATCAGCTCGAGTTCTAGGTGTGAAAGGGGAAGTTTGAAGCAGCGTCAACCCTGATTTGTATTCATATAGAATATACTTATACTACAGTGACTAGAATGGTATTATAAGTTGATCCTGCTATCGTGATTTGTTGCATCATAGTCAAGGTTACGATCAGACCTGCTCAGCTTAGTATCTATACAACTCATGTCTTACCCAGGTTGCCTAGGAAGATGATCCATCTGAACCCGAGCTCCAGTACTGCAAATAGCTTGAGGCAGTCGTTCTTTCTGTAAGAAACAAAAGGACGAGTAGCAATGGCGACATCAGTCAATTTGTTAATCTGAAAAAGCAACCCTCACCACCCTACCCTTTCTTCTGTTCTTTTCACAAGACCTTTGGTATGCTGTTCGGCGGATAGCACCAGCAAAAGTCGGACACTGGCGACTTTCTGGAATCTGTCCAAGTCTGAGTTCAGGGCAATATCTGGACCATTGACGGTACTTTCTCTTGAATGTCCAAGGTTCCACCAAATCTTGTTCCTCCCAGATACCGATGGCGAGCTTCTTGAGCATTGTTTCGTCAAAAATGATGTGTGTGTCACTGTGCCGAGGAACCTATGAGGCATCTGATCGCTTTTTGCCGCTCCTTCCTGCGACGGTTATGGCCTTCAAGATTCGAAGTGTTCGGTCAAATCTCGTTGGGAGAAGAGCCTGTTGAAGCAAGTGGTCCAAAAGCCCTGAGGCTACTTCGTGTGGTGAAAAAGGTATCCTAGCAAGGAACAAGTACAGTATACTATCGTAGGAAGAGTACTACTTTTTTTTCCAGTCACGGCCATCCGCTGATAACGTGTCGCCATCCAAGTTTGGGAAGTCGCCAGTGAAGGTCTTCTCATCTAAATCAGTAAAGAGAAGCCACTCACTCCACCTTTCCATTGAATCCTCCGCTTATGCTCATCTCTTTGACTCTTCAATCCTGATGTTGACGAATTTTCGGTTTGACTGGTATGGGAACCTTTTGATAGAAGGCTCAAGATCGCCCAGAAAACCCGTGGTGGTTTTATCTGTATATGACTGGGTCGGAGACATCTTGTAGTATTCAGATGAGATATATCATCAGATCTGTCGGAGGTGTTAGAGTTAAGATTTCAGCGCTGGGTGTTGGATGATCGGGTGGGTTCTGCGTCTAGCAGGCCATGGATCCTGAGCGAGACCAAGTCCAGGTGTTGGTCTCACCGAGAGATCAATTGTGGATGGACAATCATCTCAGGTCCATCAAGTCATCTGAAGTGAGGCCATCTGCTCATTCAATACCTGGAGAATGCAGTAGGTCAACTCTTTATGAAGTAAGTTTTGCCTGAATGTTGGATAGCACGGGTCATTGCAGATAACGCACGACAATATCCCTTTAGCAGATCCCTCGGCCGTATCCCTGCTTTGTGCACAGAAACCGTGGGCGGAGCTTAGGTACATGCATCGTCTTGATATATAGTTACATCAAATGGTTGCACACTGTGTGATAGAGAGGTCGCCTCATCCCACTGTGTCTTGGCCTGAGGGCTCCGTATGGCAATATGAATGTCTGTGGATGCCCCAGGCCTCGAGGTTCATATATGTATTTCAAAGTCCTGGACACCGACCGCTTAGGTCACACTTGGTGTGTCTTCCGATCTCACTGATTCTCACTAGTCACTGGACTCATTACAGTAGTGCCTACGTATCGCGCGTGATTGAAACCCAACTCCACTCAGTAGTCAGTAGACTCAGTACTACTAAATCAGTTTGTGTACCTTACCTATCTCACCTATCTCACTTGAAAACCTCATGGGGACCCTGGAGTGATCGCCCACTGTAGATGTAGAGTGTAGACGATGATCGAACCGTCTCTGCAGTCTGCAGCACAACAATCACCCGGGCCACTCAAGTGGACGGGAACGAAAGGAATCTATGGTACTAGTAACTATAGTGGGATATCTCAGTCGACGATGATGAGATCGTCGGATATGATCATCTCCTCCGACTCCTGGTACTGGTACTGGTGTCTAGATGAAAGACAGGAGACGAAGCCGGATCTTTCTCCGCCAACCTGGAAGTCTGAACGGCGCTTGGCTCGTATACTCCTAGCCGGGAACCCCGCCGAACCGCCTCTGTGTAAAAATAAACTGCGGCATCCGGTGACCTCCGTCGTACTGTATGTTACATTTCCATGCAGGACTGCTGGTAAGACCTCACGAGTCACGAGTCACGAGTCACGAGTCACGAGTCACGAGTCACGAGTCACGACAGGCTGTTGTGACACTACCTTTTAGCTGTGAGATACGTCCCTCCAGACACTCGACACTCTACACTCTACACTCTACAGTACTCAAGGTCAAGCGTGCACCGTTAAAGGAAGACCTGCTTCCGTCTCCCTTGCTAATTTGAAAACCAACACCACTTCCATACATGAACACGGAGGCAATGGTCTAGTCACTCTGGTGCGTGTGGCATCTAGATTACGCCCCATCGAAATTGAAATGAACATGGAGATGATTAATTTGACCGTTGACGACACCCCTGAAAAGGCTGAAAAGGGCACTTTGCCACCATCTACCCCTTTTTGGAATGTTCCTGAGCTGCAGCTGCCAGCTTCTGGGTCGGGGTGAATTCAGACACAATGTTTCTGAAAACGGTCCAGTGCTATATACTAAGCCTTCCTCCAGAGAACACTTCGAAGATCAACTCGCAACCCTTCGACAAGGTCCAGTGTCTGCATCGGTATTTCTCACGTCAGCGCCACTAAGAGTATTGGAACTGCGCCGAACCTGGAATCCAAAGTCCACGGAGGAGCCAAATGGGGAGTTAGACACCCGCGACCGGAAGACAGAAACCGAAGATCGGTCTCCACTTTCTTGCAGTCGAGGTGTCGCTGTTCCTGCCGCCGATTAGTGGGCGTTCAGCCTTCCGCTGGAAATTTTGGGCCTTGTGGGAGTCTAGAAGACAGGTGGATGTTCGAAGTTAGTACTGACTCCTGATTCACGGACCCTTGAGTGAGAGTCAGTGAACAGTGAACAGAGCAGTGGGTTTAATATTGCCTTCTCAAGTGCGGAGATTGGATGACATCGAGATGTTCATCAGGTTGCTTAGTAGTGATTGACAACCTTCGGTAGCCCAATGGAGGCTAACCTTGTTAAGCAATTGCCTATGCGAGTTTGGAGGGGCGATTGAAACAGTCAAAAATCTTTTCCGGCGACAATCCGAGCCTCTCCAATTTTTACTGACATCCGCCATTGACGTGACGTGGAAACATTCCAGATACCTGACCCGTTCTATGATCTTCTGGGACAGGTCAAAGACGTTGATTCAACCATTTAGACTTTGACAAGGTTCCAAGTTCAACGCTTATGTGTCCCATTTAAGACTCGAACCTAGAAACTTCCAACTGGCACGGGGCCATCTGCGATTCCAGGCACCCGATTGTGGGAGCTTGCAAATAGATTCACGCTACGCCATGGTGTGTATATCTGGAGCCCGTCTCCCAATGGATGTAGAGAGGCAATCTACTAGAGATCCATGGAAGCATTGGAAGCACCTGAGTAGGCGGGACTCCCATGTAGCTCAGAGCCTCCAGCTCAGACTGATCATCAATGTATAAACCAAGGTACACTTATATGCAACGATAGAGAGAGGTTAGTCAGACCTCAAGCAAGCATCAGCATCTACATTTGTACCACTATTTACTGATCTAGTCTCTGCCAAATCAAGTCACTCAACCGTCAATTCCACAGAGATACTGTACAATTGTCACATTGCATCGGGGGACCACGATGCCAAGACCCAGTTTGGAGTTCAGTCAGGCAAAAGGGCCCATGCGAACGGCACTGGAGGCAAATACGAGACTGGCTCTCTTCATTCGCCGGGACCACAGGGCGATGAGACGCCCAAGCGATGATCGCAATGCAACGGAACCGAACACACCTCGGGGATTGTGTTCTTTGTTGATCCACCCCGACTGGTGGGAGGACTTTACTTTATTGTTGTGTGATTAGGCAAGTTTGGGACGCGTGCTTGAGGGAACCGAGGTTTCTTGCTATGGATGAACCTGACTGGGAGGTTCCATGGTTCAAGGTCCAGTTGATGAAGCCCGGTCGCGGGGGGCGCGGATATACATCTGGACGATGCTACACAGCACGCATTGTAAATACCCTGGTACACTACAAGCATTCTACCGGTAGTTCAGTGGGTTTGCGTGAGGCTTGAGCCGCAACGAAGTAATCCAGTCTGAGATTTCCAAGAAAGGTCTTCGATGGGAATATGGTAGAGTACTATCGAATTGTACGCCAGCGATCTTGCAGACCGTTGAAAGATCAATCTGGAAGTGGTACAAACTACAAGGTGACTCTGTGAGCCTGTACCACCCAGTGGAGGACTCAACCTGGAGCTTACTGCAATGTCAGCACCTTGACTAGGTATATCCATGTAGTAAGTGATGATAGGGTATGTTAGATCTGGTAACAATCCACCACTGTGGTGGAGGAAGGTTCACTGTTGAAGTATAAATAAGGGTGACAATCACATTCTAAAGTGAGACATGAAAATAGACTTAAAAAGCTAGCTGGGCGGCCATTTCGATCGCCTCAGAAGGTAGCGCATGACCGGGAGGGCATGGAACTTGACCCTTTCCTAAGGTGGTCGTTGAAGATATTTTCTTACATACTAATACTACTACTATGGTACTACCTGTTACCTACCGTCCTGCTCCATGTGCTACTGCGGAAATGAACAACCTAGCCTTTGCAGCGTTCCCACTTTTCTACCCTCTTCAAATCTACCATATCCAGCAGCTCTCAGTACTAAATTTTCTGCTCAAAAGAGAAAGCTCCCGAGCGACCACTAGTTGTGTTCTTCCAAGGCACAATGAAGTTTGAGGGATGAGATCAAGGAACGAGGGACCTCCGGGACCTGTAGCTTGGACCAGCGGAACCAGGACAGCCGGTTTTTGTGTGGGCTGTGCGAACGGGAGCCTATCAGCGATTTGGCACTGGGCTTGGTCCGAGAGAAGCTCCAACGGTGGGCTTCGCCAACAGCGACAGGTTCACTTCCTATGTTCCTACTGTTGTACTCTTGGTTCCCTCCTGAGGTTGGTAGTGAGTCAGTGACTCTTGGAGTAGTTAAAGTACCTACCATTGATTAAGGTAAGCACAAGCACAAGCACAAGCAGCAAGCTGAACGGAACCAGATTGCTGGTGGGGATCTTGTTGCAACTTGCAGGGTGTGCTAATAATGAAGTGGCAAAGTTTCTGTTTTCGTACTCGTGTACAGTATTGTAAAGAGTGGTATTGTAAGAATCACGAGCTTGGAGCCTCAGCGAGTCAATAATGGACCATGTCACGATTATAACTACACAGTACAAACTAGTTACAATATATGAATACAATGAACTTCATCAAGGCATGCACATTCCATCACTGTTGTGATTTCATATGTGTTCACTACTCAATACCCAGTACTCACTGACTCAGTAGTATGAAGTATGGACACCTCGTAGAGGCTCTACGTTATGATTGTTTTCAGCATCTCGTGGTCATGACCAGTCTTTCATTGCTTAGTGAAGTATTGTGGTCGCAGTTTCATAGGTACGATACATGTACAGCGAGTATGTAGGACTACACTTCTACAGGTCTTCCATTCAGACTTGTCGAGAGCTGGAGATGCTTTATTATCATGAAATTCAAGGATTGTGCAAATCAGCATGGTTTGTAGCGTGATGACTTGAGAATGAGTCGCCGATATTAATGAGATCGATCGGTGGTTCGCTTCAACGGCAGTGACATGAAAAGCAGTAGACAACTGGGTTCAACTTACACTCTACACTTCTTTAGTCAACAGACTTCTCTCCTACAGTCCCATGATTAAGAGCTTACCCTTAGCCGTCTGCGGAAATGACAGATCGACTCTGTGCGGCAAACCGTCAATGGTGCAGGTCTCAAGCTTGAAGCCACTACCGCAAAGGCGCATTCGGTACTCTGTTTCCTGGATGAAGTGACCCTCTCCACTTCACGTTCCAACGGCAATGATGAACAATCTGGTCAAATCACCGTCTCCTCTGGAAGTCTGAACACACCGATCAGCGCCCGAGAGATCGTTGCAGCCCGGGCGTTGCATGGAAACGAGGAATGGAAAATCGAGTTCGACGACCAGACCAACCTGCATCCCTGCATGCCGGAGCGGACACGATAACAAGGCACGGGCAAATGAAGACCACCGGCTGTCCAGTGTCCACCCACAGGCTCGGACCACCGAATCGAAGCCGTGGGAAAGGCTGGAACTTTCCAGGCTGGACAAGTCGCAGGAGATGCTGGGTGTGTGGCGGGTGGGGCAGGTTTCAGGGGCCGCCGCAATGTCCGTGGAATCTGCTGGGATTGAATTCAGTCTCATTCGTTCCAGTCGGCCCGTGGAGCCCAGCGGGATGTATGGATCATTGGCCGATAACATGAGGATCTTGTTTGCGCCAGAGTGGAGGCGGCCTAGATGTGTCGAGGAAGGCGCTGCACTGCGGGTGCAGTTCTGAGTCGGGTATTGGTGTAACTATCTTACAACAATGCTGAATCAGCAAAGCATTGGATGACGGTGGACGGGGGAGTCTGCAGTCATGGAGTCCTGGGACCTGGAGCCGTGTTAGACAAGTGGACGGGGGCACAATCGATGATAGAACTACCTGGATGGGGTGAGGACTGAGGACTGGGGACGAAGCAAAATCCACGACCACCCAGATGCATGGTCGCGCTCGGCAGGTTGGACGACAACGGCAGATATTAGAAACACAACGGGCGCAGCGGCCAACCCACGGTATTTCGGAGGACAAGAATTCAAGAATTGTCCCGTGGGAGCCACAGGAGATTCAATGATTGAGAAGCAGAAACAAGACCAGTGATCCTGAGGCCAAAAGTACACACGTACTGTTCACCTTGTAAAGTGTCAGTACGCTTGCTGATCAGATTGGCTCACAGACCGATCCCCGGGGACCACAACAGCACTACAGCTCTGCTATTTGGGGAACACGCGTACAAATCGTGTACTGCCGGAGTATCAGACGGCCGGTATGGTATGGAAATGCAGAGCTGAGCCATACCGCAATCATCAATGTACCAATCTGCTCCTGGCCAGGTAGCTCCACTGGCAGTCTCGCTGGCCAATAGCCACACGGGGCCAGGCCATTCCAGCCATAGACAGGGGTCCGAGTCCACCGGTACCTTGCCCACTCACTTTCCCCTGATCAATACACTTCATACATTACCGTGTACGGCACACTGTACTATCCAATTACACCAACATGGAAATGAGACCTGAAGTCGACCCCCGATCCTAAAATAACAGCAGTCGCAGCACTGCCAATATTTTCCCACCCTCTCTGGCAATCTCGCCTGCCTTATCCTACCATCCCCCCCCGGGCCCTTCCACTTCCCAATCTTTCACCCGCCCCTTCCTCATTCCATTCGCTTTGTTACTTTTTTTCCCTCTTCCCCCTCCTGTCCCATCTTCTTGTGCTGAGGCGACACTCTCGTTTCTTGAGGAAGGCTCGGTCTAGGGAAAGTGCCCAGTTGTTTTTTTCTCCCAATTACGCGTGTGCTGTCAACTTGCCCTTTCACTTCACTCGTTGCACGTCCGATCGAGTTTGAGACTCACCGGCTCCCCAAGATATCTTTGTTTCGACTCGACTTCACCGCGTGTTTGCAACCGCCAAATCACTTTCTTCTTTACTCAATCCCCATCGACTATTTCCGCCGATGCAGGATTAAAGCTTCGACTATCTGCAGAACAATTCATACACAACCCTCATCGTTGGCCCATCTTTTCATCAGGCTTGATCCTTTGCATGAGTCGTGGTTGAGGTCAGTCCTCTCTCCCTGCCAATCCTGGCTTCCGTGTCCACCCTCCCCCGATCTAGAAACAGACACCGTGAATTGGGGTCGGCCCGTGGAACATTTGGACTAAGACGGACCCTTGATAGAGCTTGAACTGAGCATTCAATTGCGACCCTTTTCATCATGTCTGGCTACCAGCAGCAACAGCAGCCGCATCAGCAGCCGCCGCCGCAGCAGGGAGGCCACTACGAGGATGACTATGGTCATCCAGGCGCCCACGGCGACTCCTACTACCAGGACGACCAAGCCGGCCAGGGATACTACGACAACCACGACTATGGTGACGGTTATTATGACCGAGGGTATGCATGCCCTTGATTGTCGTGGTACTCCACCACGCGGATTTGAACATCTGACCATCTCCACTGAATGAACACTAACAAGCCTTGAATTAGTGCACCAAATGCATATGCCCAGGAGGGTGCTCACCCCGGTCAGCCCGGTCACGCCGAGGGCGGATACTACGAGTCTGGCCATCAGGATGAGTACTACGCCGACCAGTACTACGATGCCGGCCAGGCGGGATACGGCCGTGGACGCCGTGGCAATGAATCCGAGGAGGACTCGGAGACCTTTAGCGACTTCACCATGAGATCGGAGACAGCTCGGGCGGCTGACATGGATTACTATGGCCGTGGCGACGAGCGTTACAACAGCTATACTGACAGCCAGTACGGTCGTGGGGGATATGGCTACCGGCCACCATCGTCGCAAATCTCATATGGAGGTAATCGCTCATCGGGTGCCTCCACCCCCGTCTACGGCATGGACTACGGAAACGCGTTGCCGGCTGGCCAGCGTTCGCGGGAACCCTACCCTGCCTGGGCCTCGGATGCGCAGATTCCGCTCTCCAAGGAGGAGATCGAAGACATCTTCCTGGATTTGGTCAACAAGTTTGGTTTCCAGCGGGACAGCATGCGCAACATGTACGACCACATGATGACTCTCCTGGATTCCCGGGCATCTCGGATGACCCCCAACCAAGCTCTTCTGTCGCTCCACGCCGACTACATTGGCGGCCACAATGCCAACTACCGCCGTTGGTATTTTGCCGCTCACTTGGATCTGGATGACGCAGTCGGTTTCTCCAACATGAAGCTGGGCAAGGCAGACCGCAAGACTCGGAAGGCTCGTAAAGCCGCGCAAAAGGCGGCCAAGCAGAACCCCGAGAACGAGGAGGCGACCTTGGAAGCCTTGGAGGGTGACAACAGTCTGGAGGCTGCCGAGTACCGCTGGAAGTCTCGCATGAACCGCATGTCCCAGCACGATCGTGCCCGTCAGATCGCCTTGTACCTGCTCTGCTGGGGTGAAGCCAACCAGGTCCGATTCTTGCCTGAATGTCTGTGCTTCATCTTCAAGTGTGCCGATGATTACTACACCTCCCCCGAGTGTCAGGCTCGTGTGGAGCCAGTCGAGGAGTTCACCTACCTCAACGAAATCATCACTCCTCTGTACCAGTACTGTCGAGACCAGGGTTATGAGATCTTCGAGGGCAAGTATGTCCGTCGCGAGCTTGATCATAACAAGATCATCGGTTACGACGACATGAACCAGCTGTTCTGGTACCCAGAGGGCATTGAGCGCATCAGTTTCGAGGACAAGACTCGTCTGGTGGATCTGCCTCCCGCCCAGCGCTGGCCCAAGCTGAAGGACGTGGTTTGGAAGAAGGCCTTCTTCAAGACCTACAAGGAGACTCGCTCTTGGTTCCACATGGTCACCAACTTCAACCGTATCTGGGTCATTCACCTGTGTGCTTTCTGGTTCTTCACCGCATACAACGCTCCTACCTTGTATACTCCCAACTACCAACAGCAACTGGATCAAAAGCCCCCCGCGCCCAAGTATCTCGCCGCCGTCGGATTTGGAGGTGCTCTTGCCGGATTCATTCAACTCTTCGCCACCATTTGTGAATGGTGCTATGTCCCCCGTCGTTGGGCGGGTGCTCAGCATCTGCGCAAGCGTTTCTTCTTCATTCTCGCCGTATTCCTGATCAACTTGGCCCCTGGTGTCGTCATCTTCGGTTTCTTGGACAAGTTGCCTACCGGTATTCAAAAGCCCGTCGGTCTTGCTCTGGGAATCGTGCACTTCGTCCTGGCTCTCTTCACTGTGGTCTTTTTCTCCGTTCAGCCCCTGGGCGGTCTGTTCGGAAGCTACCTCAAGAAGAATGGTCGACAGTATGTTGCCAGTCAGACCTTCACAGCCAGTTTCCCTCGCCTGCACGGAAATGATATGTGGATGTCCTACGGTCTGTGGGTTTGTGTTTTTGGCGCCAAGCTCGCCGAGTCCTACTTCTTCCTGACCCTGTCGCTGAAGGATCCCATCCGCATTCTTTCGCCGATGCAAATTTACGAGTGCACTGGTGTGAAGTATATCGGCAACATTCTTTGCCACAAACAGCCCCAGATTCTCCTAGGTCTCATGTTCTTCATGGACTTGACGCTGTTCTTCCTGGATAGTTACCTTTGGTACATTATTTGCAACACGATCTTCTCCGTTGCTCGGTCGTTCTACCTCGGTGTCTCCATCTGGTCTCCCTGGCGAAATATCTTCTCGCGCCTGCCCAAGCGTATCTACTCCAAGGTGCTCGCCACCACTGACATGGAGATCAAGTACAAGCCCAAGGTGTTGATCTCGCAAGTCTGGAACGCCATCATCATTTCCATGTATCGCGAACATCTTCTGGCCATCGACCACGTTCAAAAGCTTCTCTATCATCAGGTTCCGTCCGAGCAGGAGGGAAAGCGCACTCTCCGCGCTCCCACTTTCTTCGTTTCCCAGGAGGATCAGTCTTTCAAGACCGAGTTCTTCCCCGCTGGTAGCGAGGCCGAGCGTCGTATTTCGTTCTTTGCCCAGTCGCTATCCACGCCCATGCCCGAGCCTTTGCCAGTCGATAACATGCCCACCTTCAGCGTGCTCATTCCGCACTACTCCGAGAAGATCCTCCTGTCTCTTCGTGAAATCATTCGTGAGGATGAACCTTACTCTCGCGTGACCGTTTTGGAATACCTGAAGCAACTGCACCCTCACGAGTGGGATTGCTTCGTCAAGGACACCAAGATCTTGGCCGATGAAACCTCCCAATTCAATGGCGAGTACGGCGAGAAGGGTGAGAAGGATGCTGCCAAGAGCAAAATCGACGACCTCCCGTTCTATTGCATTGGTTTCAAGTCCGCTGCTCCCGAATATACTCTCCGCACGCGTATCTGGGCATCTCTCCGCTCGCAGACCCTCTACAGAACGATTTCTGGCTTCATGAACTACAGTCGGGCCATCAAGCTGCTGTATCGTGTCGAGAACCCCGAAGTTGTCCAGATGTTTGGTGGTAACTCTGAGAAGTTGGAGCGCGAACTCGAGCGCATGGCCCGTCGCAAGTTCCGCATCTGTGTTTCTATGCAGCGTTATGCCAAGTTCAGCAAGGACGAGCGTGAGAACACCGAGTTCCTTCTCCGCGCCTACCCTGATCTTCAGATCGCTTATCTCGATGAGGAACCTCCTGTCAATGAGGGTGAGGAGCCGCGCTTGTACTCAGCCTTGATTGACGGTCACTGCGAGCTTCTGGAGAACGGAATGCGCAAGCCTAAGTTCCGTATCCAACTCTCTGGCAATCCAATTCTTGGTGACGGAAAGTCTGACAACCAGAACCACGCTATTATCTTCTATCGTGGTGAATACATTCAACTGATTGACGCCAATCAAGACAACTATTTGGAAGAATGTCTGAAGATTCGCTCCGTCCTCGCTGAATTCGAAGAGCTGTCCACCGACAACGTCTCGCCGTATACCCCTGGAGTTCCTTCACCGGAGACCACCCCTGTGGCGATCTTGGGCGCTCGTGAATACATTTTCTCCGAGAGCATTGGTGTGCTTGGTGATGTCGCTGCGTCCAAGGAACAGACATTCGGTACCCTTTTCGCACGTACCCTCGCCCAAATCGGTGGTAAGCTGCATTATGGCCATCCTGATTTCCTGAATGCTACTTTCATGTGTACTCGTGGTGGTGTGTCCAAGGCTCAGAAGGGTCTGCACCTGAACGAGGATATTTACGCCGGTATGAACGCTCTTCTTCGCGGAGGTCGGATCAAGCATTGCGAGTACTACCAGTGTGGTAAGGGTCGTGACTTGGGTTTCGGCTCCATTCTCAACTTCACCACCAAGATCGGTACTGGTATGGGTGAACAGATGCTCTCTCGTGAATACTATTATCTCGGTACTCAGTTGCCTTTGGATCGCTTCCTGTCCTTCTACTACGCTCATCCTGGATTCCATCTGAACAACATGTTCATCATGTTGTCGGTGCAAATGTTCATGATTGTCCTCATCAACTTGGGTGCACTGAAGCACGAGACCATCACTTGCAGGTACAACCAGGATCTGCCCATCACCGATCCCTTGGAGCCCACTTACTGTGCGGACCTTGTGCCTATCATCAACTGGGTGAATCGTTGCGTCATTTCCATCTTCATTGTGTTCTTCATCTCGTTCGTTCCTCTGGCTGTCCAAGAATTGACGGAGCGTGGTGTCTGGCGCATGGCTACTCGTCTTGCCAAGCATTTCGGATCCTTCTCATTCATGTTCGAAGTGTTTGTCTGTCAGATTTACGCTCAGGCTGTCCACCAGAACTTATCGTTCGGTGGCGCTCGCTATATCGGTACTGGTCGTGGTTTCGCAACTGCCCGCATTCCTTTCGGTGTCTTGTACTCCCGATTCGCTGGTCCGTCGATCTACCTTGGTGCACGCCTCATGCTCATGCTTCTCTTCGCAACCACGAGCGTTTGGACCGCCGCTTTGATCTGGTTCTGGGTTTCATTGCTCGCTCTGGTCATTTCGCCATTCCTGTTCAATCCGCACCAGTTCTCGTGGAACGACTTCTTCATCGACTACCGTGACTATCTCCGCTGGCTTTCTCGCGGCAACTCTCGCTCGCACGCCTCGTCCTGGATTGGCTTCTGCAGACTGTCCCGAACCCGACTCACTGGTTACAAGAAGAAGCTACTCGGAGTTCCTTCTGAGAAGGGATCCGGCGACATTCCTCGCGCCCGCTTCACCAACATTTTCTTCAGTGAAATCATTGCCCCGCTCGTTGTTGTCGCTGTCACCCTTGTACCGTACCTGTACATCAACTCGCGTACCATGTTCAGTGATGACAAGAAATATGCCCCTGACGCCATTCTGCGTATTGCTCTCGTTGCATTCGCTCCGATTGGTATCAATGCTGGTGTTGCTGGCATGTTCTTTGGCATGGCTTGCTGTATGGGCCCTATCTTCAGCTTGTGCTGCAAGAAGTTCGGTGCCGTTCTCGCTGCGATTGCCCACGCCATCGCCGTCATTGTGCTCATCGTCTTCTTCGAAGTGCTCTTCATCCTGGAGTCGTTCAACTGGGCACGTACCGTCTCTGGCATGATCGCCATGATGGCTTTGCAGCGTTTCTTCTACAAGCTGATCATCTCGTTGGCATTGACCCGTGAGTTCAAGAACGATCAGTCCAACATTGCCTGGTGGACCGGCAAATGGTACAACATGGGATGGCACTCCCTCTCTCAGCCCGGCCGTGAGTTCCTTTGCAAGATTACCGAACTCGGTTATTTCGCTGCGGACTTCGTCCTTGGTCACACCATTCTCTTCTTCATGCTTCCCGGACTTGCTATTCCATACGCAGACAAGTTCCACTCCGTTCTCTTGTTCTGGCTTCGTCCAAGGTATTTTTCTCCCGTGATTCACCTGTTCCTTTCCCACCGAGTCAGCATTGCTAACAGTCTACGCAGTCGCCAAATCCGACCTCCGATCTACTCTCTCAAGCAGTCTAAGCTGCGCAAGAGACGTGTGATCCGTTTCGCCATTCTTTACTTCGCCATGTTGCTGCTCTTCCTCATTCTGCTCATCGCGCCGATCGTTGTACGCAACATGGGCCTCGACACCAGTCTGCGTAAGACTCTTTACAACGCCGTTGGTGTCAAAAAGGGCGGAATGGCTCTTCTCCAGCCTCTTGACGCGGGCCTCAACGACACAGTGTCCTACTACACTGGAAGCGGCCTTCCTCATGGCTTCTCCTCTCACGCTGCTGTCACTCCTACTGCCGGCAACTTCGACTTCCAGCGTTTGCTGTGACCTGGTCGCTCTGACCCTGTATGAAAACGGCCTGTACAAAGATTATTGTTCTGCATTCCATTTCTCCTTCATTCCTCAGTCAAACTCTTTTGCATCCTTTTGTCACCCACTAGGCGCATATGTCGGTCTTAATGGATTCATTGGCAGATCATCACTTGTGATTCATGCGTGATTGCCAATCCTCGGGGGGTGTTCCTTCGTTTACAACTCATTGCTCATTTTCATCGTTCTCTTAAAACTCTCCGGAATAAAATTCTGCATATTCTTCAAAGTATTCTCTTCCTCTGCGTCCCAGATTTCGTAGAGCTACCTAGTACTTCAACGTATGTTCAACAGTGGAGGCACTCGTCACCTAATGTCAGATGTCAGATGGAATCCAAAGCGCAAGCGTAGGTAGAACCTCCAGAATGGAGAAGAGGCCCATACCAGTTGGGAAAGTGGATCACGTGACTCCAAGGGGCTAACCTTTGGCCTCCGCGGCGCCCCGGTCATACATTCCACGCGACGTACCTTTTCAATTAAGTCGCACTGTTGCTCGCGATTACCCAGCCTGGTCGACCTTCCTGAAAATTTCATTGTCGGAAACGCGCTGAAAAAGCTGCACCTCGCATGAGATGGATATCCAGGAGACACATCGTCTCCTGTCGGAGTTCCTCCACGGACTCGCGAATCTATTTCACCGTGTTCCCGGCTCCGCAATTATTCTGCGATACGTCAAGTCTAGTTACCAAGATGATCCGATTCGGTCAGCGGTGGAATTGTTCTTGTTCCTGTTTGCTGTGCGGTATCTATTAGCTCCAAAATACTCAACAAAGCCTGGCGTGGTCCCGTTGACCGAAGATGAGATCGACGATCTTGTCGACGAATGGACTCCGGAGCCGCTTGTGGCCAAGCCCTCTGCGTTGGAGGAAATGGAAGTTGAAAAGCGCACTGTGATTGTTGGGTGAGCGTCTCCCCGGCCGAATCTGTGAGGATGCTGAATGTGTCATGCTAATGTTGATGTCTCGTTCTAGTCCCGTAGGTCCCAAGTCGAAGCTCTCCAACGGACGTACTGTGAACAACCTTTGCTCTTTCAACTTCTACAACTTCAACACCAATGAGTCACTCAAAGAGCAAGCTATCCAGACCCTTCGAAATTATGGGGTTGGCCCTTGCGGACCTCGTGGTTTCTACGGCACCCAGGACGTACACATGAAGACCGAAGCCGACATCGCATCCTTCTTGGGTACACCGGCTTGCATTATGTACTCACAAGCCTTCTCCACCATTTCCAGTGTCATTCCTGCATTTTCAAAACGAGGAGATATCATTGTCGCGGACAGGGGTGTCAGCTTTGCCATTCGCAAAGGTATTCAGATCTCACGCAGTACTGTACGATGGTACGACCACAATGACATGGAGGATCTTGAGCGCGTCCTCGCCAAGGTCACTAAAGAACAAGCCCGCAAGCCGCTGACCCGTCGATTCATCATCACCGAGGCTCTCTTTGAATCCTATGGTGATATGGTGGATCTACCTAAAGTTGTATGTCACCGAAATACAGTAATACCTGGCTTGTTTCTGCGTTCATTGCTAATCGGCGCCTTCCTATCTAGGTCGAATTGAGATTGAAGTATAAATTCCGTCTAATTCTGGACGAGACATGGTCCTTTGGTGTTCTGGGACGCACCGGACGTGGTCTTACCGAGCACCAAAACGTCGATCCCGCGCAGGTTGACATGATTGTTGGTTCACTCGCGGGACCTCTTGTTGGCGGAGGAGGTTTCTGCGCCGGCTCCGAGGAGATTGTTCATCACCAGCGTATCTCAGCTTCAGCTTATACTTTCTCTGCCGCCCTCCCTGCCCTCCTTTCAACCACTGCCAGTGCCACAATCAATCTCCTACAAAACAGCCCGGAAGTCATCAGTCAACTCAGGGAGCATACCAAAGCCATGCGCGCTCAACTGGACCCTCGAAGTGATTGGGTGTATTGCTCCAGCGCCCCGGAGAATCCCATTCTTATTCTTGTCCTGAAACCAGAAGTCGTGGCGTCCAAAAAGCTATCTTTTGACGATCAACAGTATCTCCTGCAGGATATTGTCGACGAGGTTCGTACTCGGAATCCATCACCTGTTGTTCGCCTCATGCTCGATCAAGCCCGCTAACTCCTGACTTCTTGTTTAGTGTCTTGCCAATGGAGTCATGATCAGCCGTCTGAAGGCTCTTGATGATAACTTCCAGCCAAGACAAATTGTTTCTCCTGCACTCAAGGTCTGTGTCACGATCGGTCTCACCAAAAAGGAAATCGAGAAAGCCGGGACTACCATCCGGCACGCCATCACAAAAGTCATGAGCAAGAGAAAGTGAAATGTCCACGGATATGCTCATGTCGTTTCGCCTTGACTCTTTCCTATCTGAATGACTACTCATGCTTCAATGACCTCCGGCATCTTTCACATGTACATTTACTACGTGTCCGTTGGCGATTGATTGACACCCAGCGTTTCATGTCTTGTCTTCTCTCTTGTCTTCGACTTGTTCATTATTAATTATGGCCGTTGATACTCGTATGGCCCCAGCCCTGGATTTCTCTTCTTCCGATCTTTGGTCACTCGGGATCCTGACCCCGATGCTGTACTTTTGGCATAATTCATTACCTAGATTGTTTAATATTAGTCTTATGAAACGAACTCGTCGGTGTTGCGCCCATCTGCCTGTCTCCTCGACGATGCTCACCCCTGCCCGTCCGTTCGAGATCAGTTTTCACGCCGGCCTTTGATGTGATGGCTCTTCCTTGATGATGTCTCAGTCGTGGAGCCTCGTGTCTTGCATATCAAGTGACAACAAGACCTGTGTCGAGCAAGAGATCTTCCCAATCTACATTATTCTGTGAGACCATGGAACGAAAGAGGTTGGGATTTTTGGTACGAAACGCCCAAACATGTCGCCAAAGTCAACAAGGAATCCAATTTCCAGCCCCGTCCTGACCCCTGGCCCCCATCCTCCCAAATCACAATCCAGCCCAGCATTCCACAAACACGGCGACTTGTTAGTCTGGGCACATTCCAGACCAGCTTTTGCTTCAAGTCTCACTCGATCGCGAGCCCTACTCGTCCCATCGCCGGATACTCTCTAGGAATTTGATTGAGCAATGGTAGGCCCAGATCGCGGCTTCGCACCATCTGGCTTACTCAACTCAAGGGGCCAGTACAATGGCATGAATTCGAGACTCTTGAACTCTTTCCCCTTGCTAGTCCACAATGACTGGGCCTGTCCTGGTCAACCCTTCGTTGACCTCTTCGTGCATGGGTCTTCCCCATTGTTCCATTTTCTCTTAAGTGGCTGGCGGCCATCATGCATTGCTTGCCGACTCCGACCTTGAGATCGACCTTTTTCTTTCATTTTTTTGCGCGTGCTGGATGGATCGCGGACGTCGTGTACAGGCTTCAGGGTGCCGATTCAAGTGACTATACCTAGGCTTCAGCGTGGAGAACTGAGTCAAGTCCGTCCGACGGTTGAAGGCTTCCAATGAAGCAGATAATCAGGGCGCTCTTGGCCTTGCGCCTTGTGTGTGATGTAGTGTTTGCGCAAGATAATGGTGAGAAATGGAGCCCTCCTACTCGGTTGCCGCTTCACCTGCGTTATGACTGACTATCATCAAGGAGAACCTAGCGTGCCCTGCATCGATTCATCATACGGCATCTCCTTGGATACTGGTGACCTGAGCCTTCCTGGTATTGGTGACGCCAGTCATCCAGCAGTCTCACAGGGACAGGTCAGAATCTACTATCTAGTCACTAATACGTGAGGCTTGCAGAAGGACTCGAAAGCTCACTCATTGTCTCATAGGTCCCCTCAGTGGAATCTCCAGCGGTATTTCTGCCTAGTTCCCAACCACAGGACGGCTGGCCTGCATCATCATCATCACCACAATCCACGCCAACAGCGTGTTTCGGAAGTCCTGATCTCCTGCTAGACGACCCTCTCTTTGGATCAAGATTGTTAAATAAGCCCGGTCGACCTCCCGCTCAACACCTCGGACCTGCTCAACACCCTAGTCCTGCTCAACATCCCGGTCCCAACCAGCCCATGAACCCCAGCCATCAATTCGGTATTTCGTACTCGCCATACCACGCAGACCGATCGTGCAAGTCCCAAGAAGAAGTCAATAGGGATCTCGACAGACTAGGAGACTACCCGTTCGTCCGAATCTACGGAACCGACTGCGATCAAACCGTCAAAGTTGCCCGCTCTGTACGACAACGCAAGAAACAAGTCTTTGCCGGAGTCTACGACCTAGCCGATCTCCCAAAAACCCTCCAAGAATATCGAAATGCAGCCACTCTCCCCGACGGCCGTCGAGACTGGTCCGTTTTCCACACCATTTCCATCGGCAACGAGCTGGTCAATAGCGGGATGGCATCTCCCGCGGACGTGATCGGGGCGCTGAATCAAGCCCGGACTATCCTTCGCAAGGACGGATACCAGGGCCCCATCGTCACGGTAGACACATTCTCAGTCCTTCTGAAACACCCTGAGCTCTGCAAAGCGTCTGACTACTGCGCGGCGAATTGCCACGCCTTCTTCGACGCGAACCAGCACGCGTCAACTGCAGGTCCGTATGTTCTCGAGCAAGCGCATGCCGTGTCTGCCGCAGCTGGGGGCAAGCGGACCATGATCACAGAGTCCGGCTGGCCGCATGGTGGGAATCCGAACGGTGTTGCTGTGCCGTCGCCGGAGAATCAGCGCAGTGCGATTGAGAGTATTCGGCGGAGTTTCGCTCATCGCGAGGGGGATCTCGTGCTGTTCACGGCGTATGATGATATGTGGAAGAAGGATAACCAGTATACGTTCAATGCGGAGCGGTTTTGGGGTATTCATCAACAGTAGGAATAGAGAAAGTTTGACCTCGTTCAAATATCCATATTTTATACTTGGTAGCCAGTCTTGTGGTTAAAGTCATCAACCCTTTTATATTAGTACACATGCACTGATGCTTGGGTACTTTTGACTGTGAATGGCGGGAAATAGCTCTTTCTTGATCAGATCATCTTCACTTTTGCTGCTGTCATGTCTCGTAGAAGCGCTATTTACAAAAATTCAAAAACGGACCCCAGCAATCTGCCAGGAAGCCACCTTTGCGCTAGCCAGATCGAAGTCTGCGCTGTTCATGAGACTCTCGCGCGCGAGATCTGAGCTTTTCGAGCCATCCGCCGGGCCCGGCAAGTTCCTCGTAAGCTGCCTTGTTCGGAGGGAAATCCCAGAACGAGTCCTGATCATGTGTGGGCTGGTCACCGTGATCAAGATCCCGCTTTCGTTGGCGGACAATATCCTTAAGCAATCGACGGGTTCTAGAACTGGGCTCTAGCCCCGTCACATCCATATCATGCAAGAAGGATACCACGGCAGGAAGGTCATTGCAACCATACCAATAGAACTGGATCATCTCATCATACAGAGCGACAGATGAGCCTAGCAGCGCAGAGGCACGACCCTGGTCCTTGATCGTCGTGCGGAACTGACCGATAAGTGGTGAACCCGGGAAGTGCGTGTTCAATAAACGGAAAGCAATCAGCAGAGTACGCGGGTACAGTTCGGTAATGACCTGGTCAATTGGCACAACGGCTGGGATTCTAAATAACCCTGAGGAGGTGTGAGTATGCGCCGAGTCGGCAACGTCTGCGTCATCGGAACTCGTCTTGTTAACAGCGCCGGGCATGGTGATGTTGGCGTTCTCATCCAGGTGTTGTAGCACGGAGAAAATGCGCTCCTTGCAGACTTCCCAGAGACCCATGTCGCCTCTGCCCTCTTCAATTGCTTGGAACAGCGCAAATTCAATCTTCTGGGACTCCTTCTTCACCACGATCTCGATCGCCTCCTGTATGGTGATTTCGGGCTCCATCATGGTTGCCGATGCGGGTTCGCTGTACCCGAGGTCACTGATGCGGAGCTTGAAAGGTTCGGTGACTTCATCTGAAGGTTCTCCGTCCACGTCACCGTTTTCAGAATCTCCGTCAGAAAAGGCCAAGTCACCTTCAGTACCATATGTTCGTTGCTGCTCCTTTTTGGCTTTTGAAGACGACTTGTCTTTCAACTGAATGTCCTTCAATATTGAGCCAAATTTCGTCATGAGTTCTTGGATTCGCTCTTGATCCTCTTGGGGAACGTTTTGTGATTGTTTGGAGTCTCCCGTGTCAGCGACCTGGTCGCGGCCCACGCCCAATTGCCCAAGGAGCTCTCCAAAAGCTTTCCTTTCAGGGCCTGTGACGGTGGTCGAGCTTTTTGTCGAGTGAAGAGACGGACTTCGCCCTTGGCTGCGACCTTTGGACGTTACTGAAGCCGAACGGCGTCGCAGATAACTTCGCCGAGGTTGGGCGCTGCTAGCCCTTGACTCAGACCCCGACTGATGTGGAGAGCTTTCGTATGCGGATCCTTCCTCGTCATACCTAGGACTTCCTCCTCGTCTTCCATACTCGTAAGACGCCCGGTTCTCTGCGGAATATTGGCGGACGCGAGCAGCGAACGTCCTCCGCAAGGACAACGAGATTGGCGCGAGGGTGCGGGTTTGGTACAAGAATGGGGTCGGGGAGCTAGTCGTTGCCGACAGGTAGAATGCACGCGAGATGTGCGTCGCCATTGCCTCGCCTGGCGTTTCTGGTTGCATTGAGCGTCTGCGTAACACTTTTTTTGCTGTTTGGCGGATTCCGGGAATTTATGGATCAAATGGGCCGGGGAATCTTTTACTATCAAGATCACATGACTTCGCGTCATTCTCCGCGCGTGATCCGCGATTAGCACCTAAGTGCCATCGTGAAGTCAGTGCGAGCTTTCGTGCAGGTTGCATGCGACAGCAACAAACGGCAACAAAGATGGCCAAGGGACCCGAATCGTCTGAACTGTCCGAGTTCGAGAAACAGCGTCTCGCAAATATTGCCGAACGTGATGCGCTCTTGAAGAAGCTGAGCTTGGAGGCGCAATCGGCGGGTCTCTTTAATGCGCCGAAGCCTCTCGGTAGTGGTGCGCCAAAGCCCAAAAAGAGAGCTGCACCCAAGCGCATCAAGGTAGAAGATGAAGCGCCGCTACCTCGTCGGCAATCGTCACGACTGAGAGGTTTGACGGCTGACAGCGAGGTCGTGAAGCGCAAGGCCGAAGAGCAGTACGAGGCTGCTAGAGAGGCTGAGCGAGCTAAAAAAGTTCGGCGGACCGATGCTTACTCTGCGAATGACATGTTCATCGCTGGGCAGAAGTTGGAAGGGGATAGCTTGATTGGCGTGGATGTCGTGAACAAGGGTGTCGCTGAGCCGTATGTGCGAACCTTTGGCGATGATGACATCAAAAAGACAACAGACAAGGACTTGAAAGCTTTGCGTGAGGAAATGGATGGACTGAGTTTGTGGACTCAATGGGACCCTCAAAGTGAGTTCAGAAAATATCCAGGACTCGCTCCATGATGCCTTGCGATAATTAAGACGTGAAATATGTATAGGGATCAAGATCACGCCGGAACGAATCTATGCCATGGCTTTCCATCCATCCGAAACGAAACCCCTGATTTTTGCTGGCGATAAACTAGGACATCTTGGCGTCTTCGATGCCTCCCAGGAAAGGCCAGAAACAGGAGATGACGAGGAGGAAGATGACGACCCGGACCCGGTCTTGACGACACTCAAGCCGCATACCAGAACGATCAGTGCAATGATGGTCCACCCGTCAAAACCGACATCCTTGTTCTCCGCAAGCTACGATAGTTCTATCCGAGAACTGGATCTGGAGAAGACAACGTCCATGGAACGATACGGCCCTGAATCTACAAACATTGACGAAGCACTTTCCGGAGTCGACATGGCCGCGGATGATCCCAACACGTTATATTGGACTACCCTGAATGGTACTTTCGGACGCTATGATATGCGCGCCCGGCTTTCGTCAAAAACAGTCACTAATTGGCAATTGTCTGAGAAGAAAATTGGAGGCTTCTCACTCTACCCTACGCAACGACATTACTTTGCGACGGCAAGTTTGGATCGGACTATGAAGTTGTGGGATCTGCGAAAGCTCTCAGTCGATGAGCCAGTCCCCGTTGCGGAGCATGAAAGTCGCCTTTCTGTGTCCCATGCTGCTTTCAACGCAGCAGGTCAGATCGCCACCACTTCCTACGATGATACTATTAAGCTCTACGATCTCGGGTCCAAGGGCATATCCACGTGGAAGCCTGGCCACACTTTATCTGACAATGAGTTCCGTCCGGACACGGTTGTGAGGCACAACTGCCAGACTGGGCGTTGGGTGACAATGTAGGTTTTAGACCCAGCAAGCACTCTTCTTGCTCTTTGGGTAATTCTTTTCAGATGGATGATGACGCTAACCCTTCTCTTCCCAGCCTTCGACCTCAATGGCAAATGAACCCCCAGTCTCGTATTCAGCGATTCTGCGTCGGAAATATGAACCGTTTTGTTGATGTTTACAGCGAATCCGGTGACCAGCTCGCTCAGCTTGGAGGCGACGGAATCACTGCTGTTCCTGCGGTTGCTGTTTTCCATCGCAGCAAAAATTGGGTCGCCGGAGGGACAGCCAGCGGCAAGCTTTGTTTATGGATGTGAATGGGCTTTCCTTGTCCCTTGGCATGAAGCCGTGATCAATTACGAGCTCATTTTGATGTAATGGAGGATTTATTCTTTGCACAAATAATGGTTTATGGAGGAAAGGGACGAAAGGAATGAAATGGTCATTTGTCCAGAACGTCTTACGACCTTCATGCTAAAAAGACTGAATGTATTTCGAAAAAACCACATCATTCTTCAGGAAATCATGCTCCTTGGTACTCGCTTGAAGATGTAGGTCGAATGCTCTCTCGGAACTTCGTGGCAAAGTCGGCAATATCACCGCACAAGCCCCCGGCAGCGCGGTGTGCATACGAAGAGCAACGGGTGCCACACCATGTCCTAGATCGTACCTCTCGATATTCGCCAAGGCCCATGTGTTGACGAAGACATCCATGTTGGTAAAGTCAGCATGGGAGCCCATCATTTCCGTTGGGCCGAGAGATGATCTGAGGGATGTCAGGTGGTTGACCAAAGAGATGTCAACTGCCTTGGTTGACTTGCGGATGGTCGCTGCGGCCAGGGCGAGACCGCGCACAGGATCGTCCTCTGATGTGAAGTCATCAGAATTGATAGGGCCGGCCTGTGTGGCAATCACTGCATTGCCGAAATAGTGTTCCGAACTCGTGTGTCCTGGATCCCGGGATCGTACATCGATGGGCTGTATAAGCCGTGACAGGCAACCCTTCTTCGTGGGATCAAGGTGCAGTCTGGCACGGGTAATTGATGTCCAGATAAGTGCTGATAGAACATCGTAGGATGAGACAAATCCACCTTCACGCAAGTACGGCAAGCACTCTCCCTTAAGAGCCTTGAGAGTTGCGCCGTCTACGCGATAGATCTTGGCTTCGAATGAGGAGAGAGAACCCGCAGGAGGTTTCCATTGGCTTTTCTCCATCACATAGAAGAATTGAAGTTTCTCAACAGATTCCTGTCGAGTGTATTCGGCAGCGTCGAGAGGCGTGTTGAAGGGGCCTCGATTCAGATCCGGAGTGAAGGTAGGCATCTCGGCACCTTCACGGTGCGCCTTGCACCCTTGGAATATCAGAGACAAGAATCTGTCAATAGAGAACCAATCCCCAGTCGCATGGTTGATCCTCGCGCCCAGAACGAGTCCCCCTTCCAGGAGACTCAATTTCAAAAGACAGGCTGGCTTCCTATCTGTTGCGGCCGCTGGCAGATACTTTGCATAGCCCATCTGATCGGGAGCGAAAGAAGTCCGCGCCAGGTCTGAGAACGAAGGCTGCCCGGTGGAGTTGACTTGGTTGATGTCGAATTCAAGCTTGCTATTCTCATCTTTGATGATGCAAAGCTCGCCGTTCTCCTGTAATTGCAGTTCTCCTGTCATGAATGGTAATGCGCCAAGTGCATTGTTCAGACCAGCCTTCAGCGAAGATAAGAGCTCCTGCACATTGACCTCTGGAGAAATTTGGTAGAATAGCAAGAGAGGCACTTCCATGTGGAACCCGCTCTTGTCTAGGTCCGAAAGCTTGTACTTTGTCTGCTCCGCCATTGTTGAATTCGCCGAATGTTGCGATTCTGCACAAGGTAAAGGAAGAAACCCTCAGTGTCGATACTCTTCGAGCTTGATGGATGCGTGTGCGTAATTGAGCCTTTGCTGTTCAACTGGAGGAATTCCAAATTTCCAAGTAAGTTATAACTTATCCGACGATGGGCGATTGTAAAAACCGAAGGGGCCGTCTCCTCGGGCACCGTTTTAGGCAAATGGTGCAGCATCAGATAGTTAATTTCACTTTTTAGGACCAAGTCGTGAACGCGCCAGATTTTTCTCCCCTCGATTTCTGATCCACTCAACTGAGACAATCGGAAGAAGCTCATCGAACGAAACTCATGTATGACTATGCGAAGGTCGTGGGTAAGGACGATCGGAGACCCCCCGCCCCAACCTCGAACGTGAGGACCTAAGTGGCTGCCGTTCAGCGGCTTTGGGACGCCTGATCTCGCAGATCAGTCAAAGTCGAATTCAAGAGTCCGGGTTGAATGGTTCCAAGGGGGGCTTCAGTGTCGGAGACGATGATAAGAGAGCGGACGAAAGGTGTGCGAAAGAGAAAGCAGTTGTTTATGTACCGAAGCATCAATGGAACGTTTCACCGACCGGGCTCAGGCTCATACAGCAGTATCTTACGCCGCTCCGCATGAATTGATTTGAATACGTCACTATGGAGGAGCTGTGAAAGTGAAAGAAGTCCGAGTCTTTTTCTTCGATCACTCTATGCTTGAATCGCGAGGATAGAGTACACACCGGGCAAGTTTTAAAGGTCTTCCGAAACCTGGGCGGGATATTTAGAGCTCTAGAAGGGGATGGCTGGGTCTGAAGCTATGATATCTGGGTCTCCCCATTGTAGGGAAGGCTGACTGTTGAACAGATGCCACATCAGATCGTCAGTCACCGGCGGAATACCAGTGCTGGTGGTCAGCATCTGGTCTGCGGATAAAGATGGCGTGGCGTAAGAACTTCCATGCACCGAAACTTCAGCACCCCCCTCTGTGTCTGTGAACAGATTCTCATGGGTGACAGGATACCAAGGAGAGATTTTGGCTCCAGGGCCCAGGCTCTGTCGGCTCTGAATCAAAGGCGTACACATGCCCTGGAGTGTCTGCAGAAGGTTGACAAGCTCTGCTATGTGAGGGCTGGAGGTAAAGTGCGAGAGGCTTTGATTGATATCCTGGAGGAGCTGATAGTCCTCTGTGTTCACTTCGCCAATGACGTTGCAAAATAGAACGAAAAATGGACTCAGGGGGTAGAGAAGTAAAGTCCTATATTGAGTTGAACGGATAGAGTTAGACACATATTAGTATATGGTTTGCGACACTGTATGAGTAGAAGCTTACCACGTCAGCCAGGACGGAAAGGGGTCCATGAAACCGGGGCCGTTTGTGATATCTTCGAGCATATACTGCATGATCTTAACCGCCTTGCGAGAATAACAAAGGCATTCTTTGTGCGATAGAGGTGAAAAGGCATATCGAAGCCTCGACCGCAGAATTTCAACCAGAATTGCATAATACGAAAACTCAACGGCAATCCAATCCCGGCTGATCAAGTCGGGTGCAAGATTTCGACTCTATTTGTTATTCCTTACCATCAGCGGGATTCAAGCCGTTTGCAGTGGACCGGTTCCAAACAATGGACTTACCGATTGTAAACTCGAGAAGATGATTGCCATGTTTTCTTGCAACCTTGTATGATGATTGACGATTTGTCGAATGTCGGCCATTTGGCTACATGCCGAAAGCTCACCTTGAACCTGTGCGAGATCCACCAAAACACGAACCAGAGGCATGTGAGCATTTGAACCATCTTCAGTGACAAGGTCACTTGCGGGGCTGTTCAGCTCAGGTAGAGACAAGCTTCGATGAAGGAGGCAACCAAGGGTTCGATCTAGAAAGAAACACCAGAAGACTGAGCTCTTGATCTCTTCATCCCGGTCTGGATCCGTGTCGAATTTCTGCCTGCGGGTGTCGTGGTAACCTAGAGCGGATATCAAGCGAGCAGCGAAGGAATTCAACACCCATGCCTGGCTCATCCTGCCAGACAAAAGCATCAGGAGAGTCTGTGGCCAAGGATATTAACACTATGCTTCGGCAACCCAGTGGTCCATGAATACATACTGCAGATACCAAGGCCTGAATGAAAGGGAGACTAGGGCCATTCAAGAAATTCAGATTTCGGAGCGCTTCCATCGCAGAAGCGGTGTACTCTTTCTTCAGTTGAAGCAAATGCTCATTGATGATCGGATCTTGATAGACTCGGGGCATATGCAGGGTGTGGAGGATGGCCCTCACGTGTATGCAAACGGAGTATTGGTAGAACTCCTGCCCGACAAGATCGCCACTGAGGAACTTGCTGGCAATTTTCCTCAAGCTCTTAGCCGAAATATGGTCAGGCCAGTGCAAATTCCCTGAAGCTCCCGCAGAGCCACTGTATTCTGTCGAACAACCGGTTAGCTTGAATCAAGGCATGAGCGGAGGCGTACTGCCTACCTCGCAGAAGCATAAGTAAAAGCTCCGACGTTGGCTTGCATGATCTTGGACTATCTGTATCTTGATCACATAGTGCATCGTGACTCAAAGCCTCCTCTGGCACTGCGTTAGCTTGGTGGGCTAGGGAGTTCACAAATTGCAAGGCTGATTTGAGGATCATCTGGCGCTCGCGATTGAATCCCCCATTACCGTCAAGCTCAGTTTGGATGATGACTCGAGCTTGCTCAGCGTGGTGAGTAGTCTCGTCAGAAGCCATTTCACATCTCTGCCTGGGAGGCGACTTCGACATTCCGGAGCCAGGGGTGCTATGCTCAGACTTCCTTTTCTTGGTCGAAGAGTCATTCAGGTCAACATGCCAACTTTCACTCGTTGGACTTCTTTTCCGAGTCCTATGCAAGTTAGATCTCTGGTGCACTCTCCTCCGGGATATGTAACAAGGTTCAGGTGCCTTGATCTTACATGTGCGGTACCGTGACTGCCTTCTCCAGTCGCAAAAGTCTCTCGCCTAACGAGCAGATACTGTCATGCTGAATAAGAAACAAGTTCGCCTAGACCTTTCTCAATATTCCCACTCACATGGCAGGCTTCTGAGGCCGACTTGGCCGCTCAGGACGAAGTCGCAGGCACTCGATGCCTGCATCCACGCAATTGGCACATTGAGCGCGTCTGTCGCAACGAACCTGTAATTTGGGTGTCAGTAAAACATCCAATTCGGCGTGTAGGCGAGACAATAGGACTTACCTTACGCGAATGACAAGTATCGCACTAGAGGAGCCATCGCACATTTCAATTAGCAAAAGCTCTCCGTCTGACCAACGTACAGCGATCAACTGCATTCAAGCAATCGCATTACAATGAGCATGGCGGCTTTCAGTTCTGTGGTAGCACTCACCGCACGTAAGACCCCGTCACCCATTATTCTGTGCCACTCGCAGAGTCACGGTTCTCTCAAACGTCAAAGTGTCAGGGCTCAATAGGTAATTTCTAGGGACAGCTCTCAACGAGATTCGACCGATCATGATACGTCATTCGTAGGATTTTTCGTGCAGCATCCTTGAACACACCCTTTGCCCTCCAAAATCCTAAAGCCGCCCGAACTGGACGCCGAGTAAGATGGATTTCCTCTTTTGGTCGGACCTCCGACCGAATCGGGTCTGATCTCAAAGACGTGGCGAACCTTAGAGAACCCTCCACTCTCCATGCATTCATTTGTACAGTACAACGACCGAGAAGATACCCGTACCTTATAGTCAGACTACAGCAAATAGACTGGAGTCACACTTGGCGTTCAATGATCATTGATGTATCATATTGGGTGATACAATTCATCGCTGGGCGGTCTCTCGCATCGGTGCTATGGCGCTTGCTTATCTAGTTCAGGGCCGTGAAAGGAGACGGGTGACTTTCACTCTTCCAAGATAGGTAAGATATGATTGAGATATTCTGACCGCTTCACTTCTTACCTCAACTATCATGCGATCTACTTAGCTGGCCTCTTGGAGGGTCGCTCACTTTCAAACAAGCAAGCAACATCTCAGCAAATGATTGGTCTCTTGCAGTACAATGTCACCGGTCTATATCGGGAACGTTGCTGTATCTCCAATGAACTTTTTGGAGAAAGAAAGTTGGTATAGACTAAAATGGTTTGGATTGTGGTGAACGTAGAAAATTCCGAAGACTAAAAGCAAAAAAAAAAAAAGGGTATCAACACCGTGTCCTATGCCGAGGAAAAACAAAGTGATCCACCCTCGACACATGATCGAGACAAGATTCGAGTCAAAAATATTCGACAGTGAGGTTGAAGGTGAATGGCGTAACGAGGCTTGTGCGTGAACTTCATGAGCACGTGCAGGTCAGGTGAATTTGTGGCAGGGCCCAATATCAAAGTTCACGAGATATATGAGGTGGAGATAGGAAGAAACAGAGGGAGACGGAGAGAGAAGAGAGGTGGGAATGAAGGTAAGGAGAGGGCAGGAGTTATGAGGAGAGAGATGGAATATCGACTTTTCTCAAATCTCATTTCGAAGATCCTCGTGTGAGTGATGCTGGGTCTGCTCCCGTTCTTTCTTGCGGCGCGAAGGAGCAGGCACAAAGTCAAAGAACCGGTATTTACTGGAAGATTCTTTCGTGACGCTAGATCGGCGGCCTTTCGAATTCTCGGAGAACTCAAGAGAATAAGTCGATGAGTTTTTGGAGCTCCCAGTGCTATCCCGAGGATCGGACCATCGAGGAATGCTGAACGGAACGCGTGATTGATCCCAATTTGCCGACGATGAGCTTGGAGGCGTGTCATCTTGGTCAGTCACATTGTCAGTCGAACGACGCGGCATCGACGGTCGCGGGCTGAAGAAACCAATGGAGCCGCGGTGGCCAGGGGTGCTCAATGCCGTGGACACGGAGGTAGTGACGATGCTGTTGGCCGGGGGCGTTTCTGAGGTAACAGTAGTCTGACTGGACGTCTCATCATAGAAGGTGACTGCTCGCTCCATGGAATCAACCAATTCCTCCCATTTGACCTCAAGATTCACACTGGGTCGTTCCGCTTGCTCAGCTTCATGAAGACACTCCTCGGTGCGTTCATGAAGTCCCACTGCGAGCTGATGGAACTTTGCAAGAAAGGGGTCCAATTCCTCCAGTTCTGAAAGGCGCTCTGGAACGACTTCGAGCCAGATCCTGATTAGGTTTGCGAAGCACCGGGAGATGTCGATCAGGAATGGTAGACTGGGAAATCCTTCTCGGGAAGTTGCTGGCAAACGACCCAGAATTTGCAATGGAGTGGTGTAAGACGGTGTGATCAATGCAGCTGGTCGCTCGGCGGAAATGTTGCAGATTTGATCCACAAAGGTCTTGAAATCGGCGCGATTGCCAACCAAAAACTTGTTCATTGGTTCCATCCAAGGTTCCTTGTTACCGAATGTGGTCATATTGGCAAGACCCTGCAACGCCTTGGCGATGAGTGTCAGGGTACGCTGGGCGCGAGGTCGAGGGTGGTCTATCATTAGGTCAGCGGATTACATTGACCTTAAGTCTTGATGCCATCTAATGCGTACCTTTCAATAGCCCAAACAATTTGGGGTTTAGAATCGCCGGGCAGAAGAAGCGCAAGAACAAGAAACCAGAGACACTGCTGTAAGTTACGGAGCGAAGGAAGTCACCATATCGGTCTTCTGCGCAAGCTCGCACGTGCCGAAAGATGCGTCGTAGTTCAGCCGGGCAACGAGGAACAGACATTGCGATTGACTTCCAGACACCTGTCGTGAGAGCGATGAGATTTCGCCAATTACGATCAAGATCTTCCGAGCGTGGCACTCGGGCAGGATCAACCTCGCACTCCGGATCACTTTCGTCGATTTCTCGAATGCGCTCCCCAATAGTCTCTTCGAGGTACTCTTTGCCAAGCCGACGCATATGCTGATCAAGCGCTTTCGTGAGCAGGGAATTTCCTCGGAACAAGAGGTTGGCCTCAACTGTAGCAGTTCGACCCATATCCCTCACAAGGAGTTCCCGATCTTGAGCAGACTCGCGAGAATCATTCGACTGAATCCTTGTCGTGTAGCGCAGGCGATTTGCAGTTGATTCCTTGTGTACGCCGTCGATCTCATCCTCAATGAGCGCGGAGATCCAGTCGACCGTCGTGCCAGAGACCTGGTAAATATTCAAGAGCATCTCAGACAGCTGAGTCAACTCAGAGGACATCACTTGCGCCATGTTAATTGTCAGCCCATTGGTGAAAGCATGAAGTAGCTCATGCATCGGTTTGTACTCATCCGACATCAGGATGACCGTCTCCTCCATGCAGACTTTCATGAACATCTCGCCAACAGCCTGATCTTGATCGTCGAGAATGGGCCACCATTTCTCTGTTTCGACTCCGGGATCTAATTCCTCAAGGCGCAAATCGACTCGGCCAAAGATAGCGTCGTTAGTCGAAATTTCAATCTCATCTAACATGTTTGCTGCGTTTACATCTTGGCCGGAGTATGTACCGTGCGCGATCAGCGTCCAGTCTCTTTGCGTAGGATTGAGTGTTTTGACCAGAATTGAGGCCTGTGAGAGAACGGGTGGAACATCGCTGAATGTGAAGTCTTCGCGCCAAAATGGATTCGTGGTACGGTGTTTGACTGCCGTTTTCGCGCGGATTTCACCATCGAGGAGCACCTCGGTGTAGTAATCGCTAACTTTTGGTGACGGCGGAGCAGAGTGGTTGTGTGATCTTGACATTTTTCGGCTGCGGGGAGTTTCCTCTTCCTGAGGTCGATAAAGTTTCGCTTCAGTGATTCTAAGATTGAGGATGCGTTCGATTCGAAACATGTCATTAGTGGGAGTCTTTGCTTCAGGCGTCTGAGGATCCCGGTCTCGGTCAGAGCTTTCGGGGCCATAGAGCTCTGGAATTGTAAATGCGCGCAACAGAACGAACCAAACTTCGAAAAGCACCCGGCTTTCCAAGGCAAGGTAGATAGGACGCATTCTAGGATCGGCAACAGGGTGCGCAGTGTATTGTGGATAAATGGCGATACAAAACTCATCATCGAGTACAGAAGAGTCGAGCTGCTGAATTGCACAGCGCGAGAGCTGCGAGAGCTGGACTGTGGCAACAAGGGTTACGTCGGCCTCCGTATACAGCTTGAAAAAGCCGTTCTCCTGCAACGTGCAGCTCACCCGCTGCCAGGATGAATTCAGAGCTCTGGATTGCCGGTATGTTGAGACGCGACGCACCGAGGCAGGACGAGCCCCAGAAGCCGAGGGCTTGTCCCACAAGAGCATCTTTCCAACCTTGATGATAGCTGCATCCTTTTGGGACACATTTTCTGAGTTTCGACGACGCTCTGTGAAACGACGATCACCAATGACAACGGCTTGAGGTTTGGTCATCTTGTTTTGAACGCCTTTGGGACGAATAGGCTGCCAACAAAGCAAAGCTGCCAGCCAGGAATCAAAGGTCTCATTAACATGAGGTCGAAGTTGGATGCCGAGTCCTGACGTAAAAGTATGCACACTCAAATATGTCGTCTGCAGTTCTGCATCAAACAGCGTGCGGACGCGACAACCACGAAGATCAGGAATGAGCGTCTTTGCTAATGCGGGTTCGCCCTTTGCTTGATATATCAAGCTTCCCGTGGCGACGTTGATAGCGCAATAGCCCGAGGTCCAAGAATTGGAGGACGATGGCCCACTCGCCGCTGTTCGGAAAGACAAGATTCCATGCATGCGACCACAAGTGGTCTTCATTAGTTGCAGAATTTTGGAGGCATCTGTTTTCGATAATGGCGATGCGAAGGCAGCTTGGTTATGGGCGATAGTACTTGTCACCCCTGAGGATTGAGATCGACTAAATCGTTGACGGGTAACGGCCTGACCAAGATAGTTAGGCGAATGTATTGAAGGGAATCCGATTGAACTTGCGGTGTCCTCGGCAGTCTTAGTATCCACCTTTCTTGCTTGTGATGAACTCGTCGCATTGACCGATCCAATTCTCGCCCGAGTTTTGAAATTGTTGGACGCCATATCCCCCCTGGGTTCCTCGAGAGTCGTCGTTCGTGATCGCGTGCGCTGGGTTCTCACCTCTGGAAGTGCCTCTTCTTCGCTTCGCTCAGTCGGTTGCGACCGCATGGCGGTCCGTGGAGATGAAGCGCTCGTGCTATTCGCGGTAGGGGGTTCCGTATCGGATGAAGTGGAATGTGACTCTGGAGTTACGGTGCGTATACTTGTTTCATGAAAATTGTCAGGGTAAATCATGCCATGTCGGTCCCTTGACGAAGATTTCTTGCTAGGTCGGCGTTCCACTGGGCGACTGTGAAAGGCTTGGTGCAGTGAGCCTCGTTTGTGTTCATTTGAGTTATCAGACTCCATTCTGCGCGATCGCGACCACGCAAAGCAGTTGCAACGAGGGACCTAAAAAGTCCAGATGCGGAGTTCGACACTACACTGGGTGCCCGACACAACTCGGCTCGCCGAGACCGTCACAGTCAGGGAGAGGTAGCCTTTCCGCGAAGGGGGGCCAGATGTCCAAATGATAGGAATTTGCTCAGTCACGCATGGGCAATGTAGAGTCCGTTATATCCAAGAGATTGCGAAAGAAATGCATGGAGTCTAGCATAAAGTCGAGACGGGCTGACTATACATTCGGGCGAGGTTGGGTGCGAGGGCGACCAGGGAGGAACAAAGGCTGGCGCGGGTCACCGTCGTTTGTCCGACACGAGAGAAGCCTAAGATGAGACGGTCAGTTACAATCCTCGCCACAAAAGACCTGCACAGCAGAACGCGCCAATCACAGCTCGGTGGTTGGGTTCTGAGGAATTCTTGAAGCTATGGCGGTCGACGGGGGCACGGTGTCGCTCATGGTGCAGAGGAAAGACGAGACAATCCCGAGATTCATGCAGACAGGGCGCCAGAAGTCATTGAGACACAGATCCAGAGAAACTGAAGAAGACGCACGCACACCTACACACATTCATCAGTCTCTTTCGCAATCAGTCGTCTCGCGTCGTTGCTGCGCCGAAGTTGGGACTGGGTTGCGGTCGTTGAGCTTTGGAGGGGAGGGGATTGTGTGCGGTCCTTTGCAGATCCCTTTTGAGATTTGACGTGTAGGGAACCTCCGAATCAAGCGCGAATTGGGATGCCGGAGAAGAAGCAAGTTGAAGTCGCTTCTCGAAGACAGAGCACGCCTCCGACGCTGGCATTCGAGATCGTGACGGTGTTGGACGGTTAGTGAAGAGAGAAAGAAGGAGAGGGGGTGGAGCGGGAGGGGAGTGGAGTGTGGACAATCGTCGATACGCTGCCCGGACTTGGGTTTTGTTGTATAGGGGATCCAGCAGAGTCCGCATAAGTTGGGTGACTCGAGGTCAAAATTGAAGATGCACGTCCCCTGTGTGAGACCCTAGGAGTCTCGAATTCTGCCTATTTGCTATGGTCCATTTTCTTGGAAACATAGATTTCGTTTATGAGGTGAGTTGAAAGCTTTTTTAAATCATGGAATGAACGGATCGAGTCGATTCCATCAAGGTGGTCAGTCGGACACCTAAGCTTGCCTCAATTCCACCCAACCACCTGCAGCGTGGACACTCTTGACGCAGTGGCACTGTTGATCGCACTGTGTTTCAAACTCTCCAAGATATCATATTGCCTACCACCATCAATACCGCTTCGGCGGCCATGTGCTTTTTGTTTTTTTTTTTGACTTCGATTCGCCCATATTGTCTGGTGAACAGTTCAATGGATGTTCTTACTTCTGGGGGATCCCGGTCGTCGAGCTAACCATTTATCTCAAGGGGAGCTGCAGCTCGACCGTCCAGAGAGTTCAAATTGGTCAACGGTTGCCTCACGGAGGAAGAACTTACCTAGTGTGATCAATATGGAAGGGACGATCGAGAAAGCCATGCAATCTTCGGGACCGACGACATGCTTCTGAGGATCTATGAAGAGATCAGTGAAGATAGATTTACTTTGACCACTATGAAGGACACTACTACGAAAGGGATAGATGCCTTATAGACATCAGTGAAACAGTCCAGGTGCGTCCTACATAATTCTCGGAACCGTGTCTACTGTCTACGTACGGGATGTGTAGGTATCGTGCAGCGACACGAAGATTGTGTCCAGGAGCCAGTGCTGGCCATACTCATGTCTCTGCCGACGAGCGCGGTGGCTCTACGCTGTTATCCGAGGATGCGCTTGGGGCAGCTGTGCGGACTCGGGAGTAAGACCCCATGTAAGAGGAAACTGGGGGGACATGGGTATGCTGCTCCGGATGTCGAGAGAAAAGGAAAAGCATCTCAATCGAGAATTGGATCCAAGTTCGTGGGCCCAAGAGCCATTTGCCGGGACACTCCACAGTCCAGTAGTCCACAATCCACACAGCTGGACTAGACATGAGGCTTACCGATCGGCCAATTGTGTACGCTGATCTCGAGAGTCGCGCGAGATTTCTAAGATGCTCAAGTCTCGGTGATGACAACCAGAATACCACACTGATCAATTGACCTTGAATCGGTTGGCGGTGTATGTAATCGAATCCTTTTGGGAGGGCATCCAGTGGCTCCTTCAAATCGGGCTGACTCAGGACCAGACCACATCTTCCATGTTGAGCGGGCAGCTCTTGAGTCATGCGCAAAAGGGCGACGAGCAGAAGAAGTATCGACGCAGCTAGACAGCCGTAGGAGTACCTGAAGTCTAATGGATCTGACTGATCATGAATACTGGACATGGATTTCCAATGACCTCTCCAGCTGTTGTTGACGTTAGAAACCTGGAATGGAAAGCACCCAGGCGAAGATTTCTGAGAATGACGCTCTCTCAATGCCACCTTACTCTTAGACGGCACGGAGGACAGCGTCTATCGATGAGGCGACACTTGTTGACTCTTCTTCCATTCTGGGAAAAGGCGAAACCGCGAAAAAAAAGAGAGAGTTCTAAACTTCAACCTTTGGGCGAACTCCTACCAGTAACTTGTAAGGTATGGATGTAACACTAGTAGTTACTAACTTACTAGTAGTACCTTACTACTACTATCTACAGATCCGCAACTCATGGACCATGGGTAACTAGATGCTGTGGGATTCACCGGGTTGGTGATCCTGAGGTATTCATTATGTATGCCTGAAAGCACGTGCCACTACGAGCCGCAAAGCTACCCAAGAGCAGCTGGAGGCGGTCACTTCTTATGTCATACCAAGGCGGCCGTGCTTGGAGATCGCGCATGACTTCCAGCATATGGTCTCTCACGAGATCTGATCACATGCGAGGCTCACTGCTTTTCTCACATCGAGGGACGTTTGCCATTCTTACTCTTTCCCTGCCAGGCTTATGCATACATATGACCACCAGAACCACTAATGTGATTACTTGTTCAAAGTCGAGAAGCTGGAACGGCTCTTGTCTGTTTTTGAACTACTCTCCAGTCTCCTCTCCACCTTAGCCCGCATCGCGTGATTCGTACCTATATAGCCCGAGATTCGCTGCTCTCGGCGATGAACCCCCGGGACCGCAGATAAGCTGTCGAAAGGAGTGGCACGATGATGTCCTCTAACATCTTGTCACGTTTCTTGCCCCCCACGGACTCCCCCTCGGTATACGAAGCTATTCGCGAACATGATGCAGGGTCCGATTCCTCCGATCTGGAAGAGCGTGCAGGCTTGGCTCTTGGGATGAACCACGAAGACGATCTCAAAGAAAGCGAAAGGATAGCCCATCTGGTGGATGCAGCTCGCAGTGACGATTACAGCCCGAACGTAGGCGTGTCGGGTCCACGATCTCGAGGCCATGGAGCTGTACGGCGTGGTTCATCATCTCGCACTCGCTGGCGAATGCACACGAAGTCGCAGTCGCCGAATCCTCGATCAGAGTTCCGCTACGAGTCAGAGGACCGGGATGGAGACGTGCCATTGTCTCTCTTGGTAGAAGGGCTCGACGAAGAGGGATTAAGGTCGCGTCTTCCTCCGCCCCCCCACAGTATGCCCAGTCAACCACGAACTCCGAGTCCTGCCACATCACCGCTGCCGAATCAAACTCGTGAACCGACACGTCAAAATCCTCCAATACCAGGCGCCATAAGCGCTCTTCCCTTAGCACGCTGGTTTGTTGCACAGCAACACCCAGGGCTGAGTGCTACTGATCCAAAGCAAAAGGCTATGTGGCGGTGGGCAAATGTGGAGAATTTGGACAATTTCCTCAAAGATGTGTATACATACTTTCTGGGAAACGGGTTTTGGTCCATATTATTGAGTCGGACTTTGAACCTCCTGTACGTGGTACAATTCAAAGATAGTACCTTCCTTCTGTCCTGCAGCCTAGGTGCCATTTGCTGACTTTTGACACACAGGACATTTGCTTTTGTGGTTGGATTCACGACTTTCTTAACCAACTGTATAGACTACCACAAGGTTCGAGGAAGCAAGTCGTTAGAAGAGATCCTTGTTCCCAAGTGCGTTTCGAGGATGTCGGGATCGGCTACGCTTTTGCTCTGGTTGCTGAGCTTCTTCTGGATCAGCAAGTTCTTTCAACTTTTGCTAGATGTTCGCCGGCTCAAGCACATGCATGACTTTTATCACTACCTGCTCGGCATCTCCGATCCAGAGGTGCAAACTATCTCATGGCAAGAAGTAGTCAGCCGCTTGATGACACTTCGAGATGCGAACCCGGCCACAGCCGCCGCAATTTCTGCCAGACACCGGAAGTATCTCCGCAGTCAGTCAAAACAACGAATGGATGCGCATGATATTGCGAATCGCTTGATGCGCAAAGAGAACTATATGATTGCTTTAGTCAACAAGGATATTATGGACCTGACGCTGCCAATCCCATTTCTGCGTAACCGTCCGCTCTTTTCAAGAACATTGGAATGGAATCTCAATCTTTGCATAATGGATTATGTCTTCAACGAACAAGGCCAGCTGCGGACGATCTTTCTCAAAGATACGCATCGCAGAGCATTAAGCGATGGCCTTCGCCGACGATTTATCTTTGCAGGCATCATGAATATCTTTGTCGCTCCTTTCATTGTGGTCTACTTTCTCATGCACTACTTTTTCCGATACTTCAACGAATTCAAGAAGAACCCGTCTCAGATCGGCTCTCGCCAATACACGCCGCTCGCAGAGTGGAAATTTCGCGAGTTCAACGAGCTCTGGCATTTGTTCGAGCGACGAACCAACATGTCCTACCCTTTTGCCAGTCGCTACATTGACCAGTTCCCCAAGGACAAGACGGTCCAGCTTGCTCGTTTTGTTGCATTCGTCTCCGGTGCGCTGGCATCGGTGCTTGCACTCGCTTCAGTGATTGACCCAGAGCTCTTCCTTGGGTTTGAGATCACCCCTGACCGGACCGTACTTTTTTACCTTGGTATCTTTGGTACGGTGTGGGCGTTTGCGCAGGGAATGGCACCCGAGGAGACCGACGTCTTTGATCCGGAATTTGCACTCTTAGAGCTGATTGACTTTACACACTACTGTCCGTCATCATGGAAAGGACGCCTGCATAGTGACGACGTGCGAAAAGAGTTTGCCGTGTGTTACCAACTGAAGATCGTCATTTTCCTCGAGGAAATCTTGAGCATGATTTTCACCCCTTTCGTGCTCTGGTTCAGTCTACCTAAATGCAGCGACCGCCTGATTGATTTCTTCCGCGAGTTTACGGTCCACGTTGACGGAGTGGGGTACCTGTGCTCTTTCGCGGTATTCGATTTCAAGAAGGGCACAAATGTTGGAACTCCAGGTCGACAGGATGATCATGGCCGTCGAGATCTCCGGGCCGACTATTTCTCAGCCAAGGATGGGAAGATGCTCGCGTCGTATTATGGTTTTCTTGATAACTACGGGAACAACCCCCAGCCTGGGAATCGTCGTCCATTCCACCCGCCTCCTGGATTGCCCACTCTCGGCTCTCCCGTGATAACCGCGACTCCGGCTCGATTTGATCAAGCAACGCGGCTGGGCCCAGCAGGCGGGCTCTGGGGCCCGCAGTCCGTCATGGCAGCCTCGAGATATCGACAGGCGCTACCCGCAGACCCATCTCAGTCACCAGGGCCTTCCATCCTTCTTGACCCTCACCACCAGCCGTCTCACTACGGATTCCGCTCTACAGCGCGACATCCGCCTCATCAGCGTTCCCGAGCAGCTCGGTCCCAGCTACCTCTGTCCCGTGCACTCGAGGATGAGGATTCCGACCCGGCCGAGCCTCGTCAATCGTCATCTCGTCCATCTCAGGGTGGAATGAGCGGACCCGCTGGCCTCGGCGAGAGTAGCTTAGGTGATTCGTGGAGAATGAATCCCCTTGGCCCAGAAGATGAAGCGGTTGCGGAAGATGACGACGAGAATCTCGACGCCATTACTGGCGGTGGAGGTGTACTTGGACTCATCCAACAATTTCAGAAAGCGAATGCTGAAAGCAGAAGGCCGCCTATGGGGATCTAGTTCTCAAACACATCCGGAAGCACGCCTTGCGTGATTGTCTTTTGAATAGTCATTCAGCGATAGAAATTGACCTCATATTCTCCGTTTTCAAGGCCTCAATTGCCGCTCGCATTATGGCCCGTACACGGACGAAGACAGCCGAAATATGGAATACAAGCCAACCAATCGTTCGGCTCTCAGAAGTGCCGTCATCCAACTTTTCATACTCTTCAGTCAATCACAACACTTTAGTAGGCTATCTGCTCAAGCTCGTGCACAGTTCTCTCTCCGTAGCAGGAAAAACAGCAGTCTCAATCGATCACCTAGGAACGGAGCGGAACATGTTCGCGACTGCCTTGAACATTCGCTTTCCTGTATGTGGTATGAAGTAAACAAGTTTCGGCCCGGACCCTGGACGCAGCCCCGGCGTATTCGCTCCGACGTCAGCCCATCAAATGCCTCGCCCGCCTGGAGATGGGCCCGGCTCGACGGACGCTCGGCGGGCTTGGTCCCTTGGAAGCAATACAATTGAACGGGGCGTGGACTGCAAATGAAATGACTGCTTTGACGAGAGCCAAGAAGTTGGGGGGCCATAACGATGGGAGCTAAAATCAGGACTTCTGGAGTGGATGCTTGGAGCGGTTATTGCATTGGACGGAAGTCGGAGAGGTGAAACGGGGGGGGGGGCGAAGCTCGGCGTTCAGGTGAGACCGTCGATGCCTTGCTTGTCCTTAATGTATACTTGTAATTTGTATACTTGTAGGTATGTAATTGCTACGTCACGAATGAATGACAACAAATGTTGAAAAGATGTACAGTACTGAGTGCTAGAAGAGTTGTGATCAAGCTTGGAAACAAATCGTGGGTGAGGTCCGACCTGCGTATTTAGGATTGCCATCACGACGAGACCAAAGTAACGGGATGAGGTTGATTGATGCAATTTATATGTTTTGGGACCGAGTTTAAGCGCGGCAGCGAGTCATGCGCGGTGCTACCCGATCTCGGTGCTGAGGCATGTAGCTCTACTTCTCCAATGACAAAGTAAAGTGATGGTTGTCTGCTCTGTGCTCTGTGATTCAGGTCCCAAGTGCATGTGTCAGGGACACTTGGAAGAGATTTGGACAGTCCATTCGAGGACGCGAACAGAGCCAGCGGTTTCAACTGTAAACGTGAACCTGGTGTAACTCGAAGTCCAATGAATAGGATCCATATGCAATGGCCAAAGAGCAGCTGCTCATGTTCTAGTGCCCAGTCATTCTGCATATTAGTAACACACTCAAATGAAAATCACTGCTCACTTTTGAGAGAGAATTGATACACATCTATTCATAGATCCAGTAACTGGGCCGTGCGGCTGTTGGCCTGCCAAATCTCTCCGTTTTCCTCGATGAATGATCAACCTGCTTCCATGTACAGAATGAGCTTCTGAGCCACACTTGTACTGCCGCATCTCGTTGTTGGTCCACCAAAGCACTGCCACTTTCTTACTGCGACATTCATCATGAGCCTTCCGAGCGATATGCATATTGAAGATTGCTGGATTCTGTCCTGTAATCGTGGCCCTTTGGTCGCATTGATCGGCAATCCCATGCAAGGTTTCTCCGACTGTTTGGGCCAATAACTGGTCCGCGTTGAACTGCTAGTCAACCCTGACCCATTTTTTGATTCTCCGCTGCACGAATGATCTTCGGTACTCAGAAATAGTATTTTACAAGTGTTTTGGCTAGTGCTGAGGAAGCGAGTTCACTGGAGCATCGGTGTATGACTATTTCAATCAGGGGCTGTCGGACCCATGACGATGGCGGGTATGGACCCAAGGAGGCTCCCGATTACAGTAGGAGCTGATATTCACAGGCGTCCGAGCCTCCGAGGTAACAACTACCTTAGGTGTACCGACGGTATACAACAGAAATCTGGAAAGCATATACGTGCACAATGCAAGTCGGTTTGTGAGAGAATTTCTTCATTGTAGCACAGTGACTCGGTAGAGCCCAGCACGGTACACTGTATACATCCCACCACAGTGTACAACTGTACAAACTGTACCTCGCATAGAAGGATAAACAGAGAGAAGATCGAAGACAGCAAGACCCTCAGAGTGACTGGTTCCTGGATCCGACCCGTCACATGTGGATCCCCCACTCCGCAATTCAGTCTCCCCCTTCTGCCTTGAGCTTTGAGCCTTGTCTCGTGACATGATCGAATTCTTTCATTTTCATCTTGGAGTCGAGCACTTGCAGCTCGGAACCGAATCGCTGTAGACATTGCAATCCCTTCCGACAGTGGTGTCTCTCCTCGCCCTCGCTTCCTGCTCATCTTGGGAAGTGAATGATATCTGATTCGACTCCGTCTTAGCCGCACTCCGACGGGTGCGACGGCCGCCATGTTTCGCGCCCGCCGCTACCGCGTCCTGCTCGTATTTGCCGCTGTCGTGGTCTTGACGACTTTTCACTTCTCACGATCTCGGGATTGGAGACAGACTGCAATCATTGACACATCCAAGGGAGGTCAATCGGCGCCTGCTCCGAATCCGTATCCGCCCAAACCACCGACTCCCGTGGGCGATACTAGCAAGTCTCAATCACCGCCGGTACCAAACCACAACTCCCAGGATACCCCTCCATCCAATGACCTGAAATTAGGCCAGGGTGCAGGAATCACGACGGATGAGAAAAACACCGGGGAGAAGGTTGGCTTTGCATCGGGATCCGGATCGACCGCCTCCAACGATGCCGCCCTGAAGCTATCAGAAAGCGGGGTCGCAGACAGTTCCAAGAAAGGCGGCAGTGAGAGCAAGGCCACTACTGTGATCACAGGGGATGCCAAAACGGGAACCGAAGAGATTGACCGTGGCGGCGCCGGTCGACTCACGGTCCAGGAACACCCCGATGGCCCTGCGGTGCACTGGATACAGACCCCTGAACGGTTCCCTGTGGCGGCCGCTGAGATGATCAAATTACCCACCGGTCCAGCTAAATCATTACCCACCCTACAGGCGAAATTCAAGGATGAGTCCAGCACGGCGAGACAGGAGCGTCTGCAGCGGCTCAGCGCCATCAAGGCGGAATTCAACCATGCCTGGGCCGGGTACAAGAAAACGGCAATGGGTCACGATGAGGTCAAACCGCTCTCGGAGAGCTTCGATGACCCCTTCAATGGCTGGGGAGCAACACTGGTTGACTCGCTGGATACCCTGTGGATCATGGAGTTGAAGGACGAATTCTCGGACGCTGTAGACGCAGTGAAAAAGATCGACTTCACAACCTCGCCGCGGGAAGATATTCCAGTATTTGAGACGGTCATTCGGTACCTCGGTGGTCTTCTGGGAGCGTACGACATCTCTGCTCACAGATATGGAGGCTTGCTGGAGAAAGCCGAAGAATTGGCGGAGCTTCTCATGGGCGCATTCGATACGCCCAATCGGATGCCAGTGCTTTACTATCGATGGACCCCGTAAGTTCACAATCGTCCACCGAGTCTTTTCGTCGTTATCAGCGCGGCATAAGCGAAAGCTGACAAGCACTTTCTTCCATCTAGCGAATACACCAAACTCGCCCATCGGGCGTCAAGTAAGGCGGTTCTGGCTGAGCTTGGTTCCCTCTCATTGGAGTTCACTCGCCTCGCTCAGTTGACCAAGAAGGATATTTATTACGATGCGATTGCGCGTATCACCAACAGACTGGAGGAACTCCAAGACAAAACCAGCATTCCGGGCCTCTGGCCGCTTTTGGTGAATGCACAAGGGTGCACCAAGTATCGACCTGCCCGAGATACCGAAGGCTTGAGCCCCGATGACGCTGAAGATGCGTCCGTTCCCCACGACAGCCCGTCGCCGATGTCGAAGAAAGCTCGACCGACACCTTCCTCTTCCCGCATAGCGTACCCTGCTCCCACCACTTTTCAACCCCATGCGCAAATGATTCAACGTCGGGCAGACATTGATCTCTCGCAAGCTGAACCGGCAGCTTACAAGCAAGGCGGAGACGGTCAAGTTAGCAGTGTCCCGGACAGGTCCAGCACTGAAAGTGCGACACAGGATGTCGAAAAGTGTGACGGGGGCCTGGAGCTTCCGCCTACCAATCGACAGAACAAGTACAGCCTCGGCGGGATGGCCGACTCTACATACGAGTATCTTCCCAAAGAGTACTTGCTCCTTGGTGGCGTCAATGACCAGTATAGAAAGATGTACAAGAAGGCCATGGATGCGGTACGCAAGAATTTGCTCTTTAGGCCGATGATCAAAGGCCAGCAGCACTTGCGTTTCGTGGCGAGTACCGGCCCCCTCGATCCGACAAAGAAGCAGGAGCTCATCTCGACCGATCTGGATTATGAGACCGGTCACTTAAGCTGCTTCCTGGGTGGAATGGTGGCCATCGGTGCAAAGATTTTTAGCATTGATGGTGACTTGGACCTCGCGGCCAAGCTCACTGACGGCTGCGTCTGGGCGTACGAGGCCACAAACACCGGCATCATGCCCGAACGGTTCCGATTGCTCCCTTGCAGTAAGGACAAGTCATGCGAATGGGACGAGAAGCTCTACCAGGCCGAGGTGAACCGCCACTCGCGTGGCCTGGACAAAGGAGCGGAAACGCGGTTCCGTAATGGCGAGAGCACGTACGGTCAACGCGTGAAGTTGAACAACGATCTCAAGTCCAAGGAAGCAGGCGAAGCAGGAATTGGTGTTCCATTGCCCATGCCTGGCTCCGCCAATCCACATGACCTGGATCCTTACAGGAAGCGTGATGCTGTTGGAGCTGGACGTGGTGTGGGAGCGCCAGTAGCCAACCCAGTGCCCCCATCCAACGCAGCACCAGGCGCCAACCGTGCTGCGCCTCGTCCGGCATTCGTGTCTCAGTCGAAAAGCAACGAGCTCCATGACCGTTTGCCGTCTGGCATGACCAGCATCTCCGCCCCCGAATATTTCCTGCGACCGGAAGCTATTGAGTCTATCTTCATCATGTATCGACTGACTGGTGATGAGACCTGGCGGGAGAAGGGTTGGAAGATGTTTGAGGCGATCGCAAAGCACACTCGCACGAATTTGGCGCACGCGGGTATCAAGGATGTCACGGCGTCCAAACCCGCTCAGAAGGATTCCATGGAATCCTTCTGGACTGCCGAAACGCTCAAATACTTCTATCTCCTTTTCAGTGAACCCAGTGTGGTGGATCTGGATAAATACGTACTGTGAGTCGAAAACCACTTGAGGAAACTCCGAAACATGGGCCAAACAAATGCTGACCCGACCAATCTGCAGAAACACCGAAGCGCATCCTTTCTTGCGTCCAGTCTCATGAGCAATTGTCAAAGTTTGTGTGTCCAGCTCTACGATATTCTGATTAACTGAGGCCTTATCTTGTTGAAATATTTGTCCTGCATGCCATAGTGATACCATCGAAAGAAGCTTTGCATATATATACTCGTGCATTTTGGTCATGGTTCTATAACCCCGATTGTAGATTGCCTGGTGCTAGGTCAAAGTGCAGAGGCTCTTTTGAGCAATCGAGCTTCAAGTTGGAGACATGTAAAGAATTAAGATGCAAATGCGTTCACTCGTCTTCTCTCCAAAAGATCCCTGGTTCTGAAATATCCATCTACGAGAATTCCTCGTTTGAACAAATTCACTGTACCCCGAGGTTGTTTCTTCTTGAAAGGGTGGCCCACACAAAGTGGACACTCGAATCCTTGAGCTCTCCCCGCCTCCGAAACCACTTGCATGCCACAACTCCAACAACTTCTTTCTCTCTACCCGACACGGCCAGGCGGGATGAGTGCTTTGCCTCTCTTACCGCGAAAATCCAGATCGAGCTCGGTGGGAAATGGAGACCGGGATCTTGGAGCCCCAGCAGTTCTGGAATGGTTAGTCCGTCCCACGACTCTCTCTCTCTCTCTCTCTCTCTCTCTATCATGCCCCCCGACGCCGCAGCATTTGCGGTGTTGAACGCCGCATTTCCGCGGCTATGTCATGGCACGGTAGTGGTGGGCCAAGTCCCCAGTACACACGTTGGTGCGCTGATAACTAACACACAATTCTTCCCGGGATAGAACTCCAAGACATTGTCTCCAAGCCTTGCGACTCAGAAGATCTGATTGATGATGCACTCAGAGAATACTTGGGCTTGACAACGCAATACAAAGGTGGGACCGACCACGATCACCTCCCGATCCCCCGCGCTCGCGTCCGCAGCCAGGTCGATAGCTGGTCTTTGGCTGTCCAGGCACGCCAAATCCACGCCCATTGCCTCGTAGCCTTGTCGCGACTGTCGCTGATGCCCTTTGTCAGATGAATTCCTCTCGACCGAGTACGACATCTCCCGTTGCTCGTACAAGCTTTTCGACTCTTCGATCTTTGGGGCTCATGCGGACTATGTCCGTCGCCAAATCATCTATTGTCTCCTACAGGTACCTTCTTCACCCAGTTCACACACATTTTCTTTCGCGAGGCGCGGCATGTTGGAAAAAGAAAACAGAATATCTGGCTGACGTTGTGGCTCTACAATCTAGGAGGATGATCTGAAAACATTACACTTTATCGCATCCTTCCTGCTTTTCGATGGACGGCAAAATGAGGCCGCTCTGCAAATGATGAATGAAGAAGGCGTCTTTGGACGTCTTCTTGAACTGATCCAGACGCTCCGCAACCTTGAGACCGAGGGTGATGCTGGTCTTCACCGTCTGCTCATGGACCTGTTGTATGAAATGTCGCGGATTCAACGGATTAGGATCGAAGATTTGGGTACGTGCACTGCCGAGATATGCAGCGGAGATATTCTCCCACCCAATTTCGCACGCTAACTTTGTCTATTTTTTTCCGTTGGGTAGTCCTTGTGGATGACGATTTCGTACGCTGTCTGTTCGACATTATCGAGGATCTATCATACGATGTCACCGATCCTTACCATTATCCTGTGATCCGGGTGTTGGTAAGGTCACCAATGCTTTGTGAAGTTGATTCCAGGTCGAGCTAACTCGGTGCTAGCTCGTTCTCAATGAACAATTTATGATCTCAGCTCACAATCCAGCTGACGAACGGTTCTCTTCCGGCAAATTGACCAACAAAGTCATCAAGGTGCTGTCGGCATATGGTAGCCTCTATAAAACTTTTGGGGAGAATATCATTCTCTTAATTAATCGCGAAGGTTAGTCCTGCATGCGTCCATTGTGTCTATCCCATACTCCCATGGCGACGCAAGCTCACACGAGAACACAGCCGAGACGTCCCTGCAGTTGTTGACACTCAAGCTGCTGTATTTGATTTTCACCACCCCGAGCACGTACGAGTACTTCTTTACGAATGATCTGCACGTGCTAGTGGACATTCTGATTCGCAACTTGCTTGACCTGCCGGAAGAGGCGTCTGCACTACGACATACTTATCTACGAGTGCTCTACCCACTCTTGGCACACACGCAGTTACGGCTCCCTCCGCATTACAAGCGGAACGAGCTCAGGAACTTGCTGCGAATCCTGGGTCGCGGACAGATCACTTATGGAACCGAGACTGAGCAAGAGAAGATTCTTCATTTTGAAGAGGTAGACGAGACCACTCGAAGGCTTGTTGCACGATGTGCCACAGTCGACTGGCTATGCTCCCCCGATTCCCCATCTACTGCGACTCCGGTTCTCGAAACCTCGGCTCAAGCCCAGGCACCCGCGAAGATTGCGACAGTCTTGGAAGATGCGAGTCAGCAAGACTCACCTGTTGAAATTGAGCCGGCCGATGTTTCGACGCCTCTCTCCCGAACAAGTACTAGCCCTGATACAGCCGACATGGTACCTCCGACAAGGGTTGATTCACTAGAATCCCGCGATTCATCTAGCGCCTTTGAATCACGACGTGGGTCTAGCGCAAGCGCCATGAGAAGGCTTGGTATGCACCTTGAACCTGCATCAGCATCCACACTCAGTGTTCAGGCCGTTGCAGCGCAACACGAGAAGCCCGGCGTCATCACGCCCAGCCGTACTGGCGGCAAAGAAGACGTTCACTTGCCTCCCGAGGTGCCAGTGTTGCGTCTTCCAAAGGTCAAGCCTGCACCACCCAAGTCCCGTCGGTCGCGCGGTCGTCGTCTCGTGGTTGACGAGGAAGAGCAACCTTCAACCAGTGCTAGCAGCATTGACCGAAATAACAATACTGGAAGCGACGACATGAGTCCAACGTCTGTGCATGAGTCGCCCACGAAATCGTTACTTCAAGCGGCAGCTACTGCCTCGGCTCACGCAACCGTGAATCCAAGCCCTAACACAAGTGAGAGGACTCCTGATCAAGGACAGACTTCAATTGGCCTTGGCGCTGCTGCCGCTGCCGCCGCCGCCAATAAAGCAACACCTGTGACTCCTACGACAGCGCGACGATCAGCATCGCATCCTCCTCCAGCCGTTCCTCCACCTCGTCGATCAGCGCACACCACCCCATCGACTAGTCACCATCGCTCATCAATTGCATCAGCATCAACGTCAGCGTCAGCATCAGCATCAACGTCAGCGTCAGCATCAGCATCAGCGTCAGCGTCAGCGTCATCCAGTTTCTGTCCGTCGACAGACCTCATACTCCACACTCACCCTACCCCCACCACCATGACAACCACTACATCAACACCAACTCCTACGACCGCCAACAAACATGGACAAAAACCGGCCCCGCCCAAAGCTCGTCGCTGGGGCCGCAGCAAACCCCAAACCCACCCCCACTCCCACTCCCACACAGACTCCATGGAAAGCGGCATCAGTACCGGATCTCAAGCGAAAGAAAGCGACGCCGAGGCCGTGGCGTTTGCACAGACCCAGGAGCCAGCCGGCCCCGAGGAAGGAAGTGTTTCCGATCCATTCTCACCGACCAGTCCAACTGGTCCTGATCCTCATTTTAATCCCACGTTGGTGGCATCTCCTGATAATATGAAGGGATCCGTGGGACCTGTCAGTGTTGAAGAGGCGGTCCAGAATGTATCTTTACATTGAGAAGCGGGGGGATGCAATTAAATTGTTCTGTCGAGGCTGTATATCCCACGGTCTTGATGGGGACATTGCCTGGTTATGTACAGTTGTCGACGCTGTGGCTGGCATTTTTCACCACGCAGCTCCAAATATGTTCATTAATATGTCATCGGGCAGACAATCGACGATTCCAGCTGACTGGGGTGGACCTTGTTATATTTACAATTGATAAACAATAACACTCTACTGAGAGTTCATGTGAGCTGTGTTGGTTCCACGATGAAGCTAGCCCTATACCTTGATATGGGTCAGAACAAGGAACAAGAGATATATAATACAACTTTGTTCAATCCGAGACGTCTCCCACCGGCAATTCATACAGAAACCCCCAATTTCATCGCCTTCTTATCAGTGTAATGTATCCCCTAAGACCAACAACATCACCTAATTACCCAGTCAATCCCATCAACATCAATCACTTGGAAAAATAGAAGACCATCATGTCGTCCTTAAATCTTCAACCCCCAACTTCGGCCCACCCCAACCACCGTATTGCCCCAGAATCCAACCCAAGATCCAACCCCTTCCACCTTATCCTTCAACGCCTGCTTATCCTCGAACCGTCTCTTCACAAAGGCCTCCGTCTCGACCATGTCGGGCGTCGGATCCCGCGTCATGGCCATTTCGGCACTGGCGTAGATGGCACCGATGGCCATGCGGCGCGCATACCACGTCGAATCGACAGCGGTGTCACCGGCTAGATTAAGAATGTCATTTGAAAGGGCGTGTAGCTCGGAGAATGCGAGTGGGATATTTCCTAAGAGGGACATCTGGGCCAGGGCCTTTTTTTTTCCCCAACCACCCGAGATGTTAGCGAGACGTGCTTCAGCATCATTGACGACGAGAAGAATCCCCCCCCCACGGAGATAACAAACTTACATCCTGCCAAACACCCTTCACATCCTTATTCATCCTCAATCGCTCCATGATCAAGATCCGCACCTTTTCATCCACACTCAGTCCCGACCCCTTCCCCTTCCCCGTCCCCGTTCGATCCCCAGCCGGCGTGCCAGCCGTCTCGCCAAAAACACACCCATCCTCCACCTTCGCCCTCAACAAGCCCCTCCGACTCGCCAGCCAAAACAGCACAAGATCAAACTCGCCTCTCGGCAAAAGCTGCACCGAAACATCGAGGAATCCGGCATCGCGCGCACCCGCCGTCAGCGCCGCTCGCGTGAAACCCTCCGTGGGGATGTGCGCGAGCGAGGCACTGAGAATGGCGACTTGGCTGTTGGTGTATTCATGAGTCGGGGGTCGAGGGTGCAGAGAGGAGTGGTAGGTGCGGATCGAGGGGTGGAGGGCACTTTGGATCTGGGGTTGAGCGTGGAGATGAGAGCGAGCGCGAGCGCGGATGCAGAGAGGTGTTGGTGTCCGGGTTTGAGCTTGGGAGATGGTAGCCGAGTTAGAAATTAAGCATGAGCTTGAGATGGGAGAGCTTCTGGCAGTGCTGGTGCTGGTGCTGAGGCTGGTGCTGAGGCTGTTGGCCGGGGCGTGGTATGGTGCAACTGCTCCGGGTTGATGTGATGTGCGTAGAGATGGGATGGCGGATAGACTCGTGCGGGCACGATGAAGGCGTGGAAGAGATGCCATGGCGACGATGGGATGATAAGAATTATGAAATGCTTTGATGCTCTAGTCGCAGGCCTCGCGCGTCGCAAGCTGCCGGACGATCTGGAGATCTAGCACAGCACGGCTGAGTTCTGGATTTCTGGAATTGCGGGCGGAGAGAGTTCAGCTCGCAAGGCTGCGATCTGCCCGCCGGAGGAAGTTACAGTACTGTTCGGCACGTGCCGTGCGGACACCACCGGGAAGACCGACCTCATACGACATCAAACCAGCATGACTCCTTGTATCGAGTCTACCGACTACTTCATTTCCAGTCGTATGTCAGTTGGTAGCTGTGTGCTAGCCTAGTCCTACTAGGTGCATGAGTACCACTGCCAAGTATTCACAGGGTTGTAGTCATACCCTTTGCAAGCGCTAGCTTCTGAGCGATATATATGTATCACATTTGTTAAGACATCCAATTTGAGACAGCGAAAGAATATGATGGTGAGAATATTGATCCGTGTGCCAGTACATGGAACAGAGGCAAACAAATCGAAAGCGATAAAATGTAAGGGGACGAGAGAAGAGTGCAGAGTCCCGCAAAAAAAAAAAAAGATTGGAGAAGACGAGACAAGCCACAAGATGAACGAGAACCGGAACCCAGAAAGGGGATCACCATCGTGCAAGGGAAGCCAGTCTACATCATCTGGTCTTGAGTCATGGGCATGGGCTCAGCGGGTCGGGGTGCGTCCATCACGGCTGGGCCACTGGGAGGAGTCACATATTTGACAAATGTGATACCCAGGGGACGACCTCCATACTGGTAACCAGTGAATTTGGCTAGATGGGCGGAGAATAATTAGCAGTGCAACGAAAGTAATTCAGCTCAAGAATCAGAGATTTCTTACCAATTGCAGTCTCAGCAGTGTCCGGGCTGTCAAATTCGACCACGCCAGTGCCGCGGGAGCGGCCGTTGGGCTCATACTGAATCTCAGCGCGGTCAACCTTGCCGATTGTCGAGAAGAGATCGACCAGATCCTCATTGCAGGTGGACCAAGGCAGCTAATTTCGAGCACAAGTCAGTCATTGACCGGATCCATTCCACATCTGACAAGGAAATGCCAAACGATGCACCAAAAACAGGGAGAACATCTTACATTGCGGACGTAAATCACCGCGCTTCGATCACCACCCGATGTCGCAAAGTCGGTGAACGGGTTAGGAGGGACCGAGGCAACGGGGGCTTCAAAAGCACCGCCGCCCCCGAATCCACCACTGGGAGCGCCGCCAAAGCCACCACGGCCGCCAAAGCCTCCGCCGAAGCCTCCACGACCACCAAAGCCGCCACGGCCTCCTGCAAAGCCCCCGCGGCCGCCAAAGCCACCGCCAAAGCCACCGCGACCTCCGAACCCAGGGCCACCACCAGCAAAGCGATCCTCCCGGACCTCAAGGGGACGGCCCTGCCAATCGTATCCGTTGAATTGCGCAATGGCGTTACGCGCATCGTCCGGGGATTCAAAGGCAACGATACCGGAGCCCTTGGGGCGTCCAGTAGGGTCGGTATGCACATCAGCGCGGATGACGGTACCTTGTTGGGCTAGTAGAAGAGAACAAGGCGAGTCAGCATGGCTCCGATCGTGCATCGGATGAAAAGGAAGAAAAGGTGACGGGGCAAAAGGAAAATCAATGGGATAGGAGATTCAAGTCTGCATACAAGCGACATTGCGTGAATCATCCCGGGCAACGAGCTTGACTTACCAGCTTGGCGGAACAGGTCCTTCAGATCTTGCCAGCCCACATTGAATGGAAGCTAGAGGAAACGCGTCAATATTACCTTGTGCATCACACGAGAGAAGAGAAAGAAAAGCCCGGCCCAGGGCGCAAATGGAACCGCGTGTGGAGAGGGGACTACAAACGTTCGACACGTAGAGCTGGCGGCCACCACCACCTGGAGCACCACCTCCGCCAGGTGCGCCTCCAAAACTACCACCAAAGCCACCGCGAGCACCACCACCAAAGTCACCGCGAGGGGGACCACCGATAAAGCGAGGTTCGGCTTCCCGGTCCTGTCGTTATGGTCACCCCGTCAGTAAATGTGCGGCTTGCCGATTCGAAAACATCAATGGCCGACACGGTCGAGGAGATGATCTTACTTCACGAACATAGACGAGACGACCCATCAAGGTTTGGTTGCTAAGCGTTGCGACCGCGTTTTGTGCTTGCTCCCTCGTAGCGTATTCCACAATCCTAGCGCAGATCGAGTTAGCGAGCGATCTACGGTCAAAGGCCCCCAGCGAACCGAGGGGGCGAGGTGGCATCAGGCGCAAGAGACTTACCCGCATCCCTACAAATATCCGGACAACCAGGCCCAGCCCGTCAACCCAACAGTCCAAGCAAAGAAAAAACCAGGGAACAAATGAACCGGTGAAAAATCGGGGAATATCATGAGCAAAACAAAAAAGGAACCCGCCGCTCTTCACAATTGGCGCCCACCTTCGACATTCCATTCGGAAGTTGTAAAACATCGGCAAAGAGAACTTCTCCAGCTATAACAGAGAAGGGTCCAAAGATCAGCCCCAGCTCCACATCATTCCAACAACACCATCGTGGTGCCATCAATGGGGCCCTCCAAGATCGCCAGTCATGGAATACATCCAAGTCGGAAAAGGGAGATAAAGAACGGCTTACCCTGTCGCATGAAATCTTTCAAATGGTGCCACTTCACATCGTAGGACAGATTGCCCACATAGACCCGACGATCTTGTTGGGAGGAGTCGCGCACGGATTGCATCATATTCTCTTTGGCAGCCGACCGATCCTCAAAGTTACGAGCGGGCACGTAGCTGTTGCGGCCGGCGAACGGAGAGCCGGCAGAGCCCGCGGCACCAGCGTTGTGCAAGGGCGAGCGCGAACGACGATCGCGGTCGGAGCGACGGTAATCGTCACGGCTGCGGGAGCGACTGCGAGGTGAGTATGAGCGACGAGTGCGACGAGGACTCCGAGAAGATCGACGGCGAGGCGAACGAGACCGCTCGCGCTGCTGAGGACGGTCAGCCATGGAATAGCTGTAATCGGGATATTGAGAAGACATGACGAGCGATTAGGGACCAAAAGAGAGAGAGAGAGAGAGAGAGAGAGAGAGGGAGAGAGAAAGCGGGAGAATTGAGAAGAGCGATAGAGGAACGAGAATCACGCGCGGTGTGTGGTACACGGGACGACGTGATAATTGCGCAGAGGAAGCAAGAGTTGAGGATCTCTGACGCGCGGATCCGAGGTGACGATAGCAATGGTGTTGGGTGTTCAGGCGATCCGCCCAGGTTGACCAGCACCGCAGGCGAATCGACGGGCGGTCGGAGAGGCCAAGCGTGAAACACCCGGGGGGCCAGCCAGATCAGGTGACCTGTGGGCTGAATGGGTTGGACTGGGGGCTCCTCTTGGTCACGGGGACGCCGCTGCGGGCGTCGGATTGGCGAGCGGGACTCGGGAAAAGACAGCCGCAGCGGAGTCGAGGGGAAAGCGTCTCGGGCTCGAGCGCCGGTCCAACTTTCAGGAACCGCAGGAGTAGAAGAAGCAGCTGGAGGTGACAATTGAAACTCAATGGTCATATGTAGTGCGCCTCTGATCTTTTTTGGTCCCCTCATCCGGTTCACCCTCTTGAAGATCAAGGTCGGATGCTCTGATGCTCCGCAGCACATCCGGACGTTGAGTGATCTTCAGGCATTATTGTAACCGCCCCGCAATTGATCACGATAACGCCGCGGCATGGGGAGCCATGCGTGGGTCTCGCCTCTTTTCTCTCTCCGTAGCTGGCGCCCGGCCTATGCTGCCGGGGCATCACATCCATCAGGAAGTGCTGGCTCCCCCCCCCAGCGGTTGGGCCGCAACATTCAACAAGAAAGAAATGTAGTTTAATGAAAGATCATACTCACTTGATGAGGTCGATAGACGTCTGCTGGAATGGCGACACCACACAATTGAACAATTAGCAACCAAATGGCATGGGATAGCGGAGAAGGGATTGGGACGTATGGTGGAAGGAGGGTGAGCAAGGGCGTGAAAGGAAGCGAAGCGGTCCAAATCGACACGGAGTAGGAGAGAAGAGGAAAAAGTGAGGGGCTTCGGCGACGGGATGGACCAGAATGCGACGAACACCGCCAGCAACGGAGTCACTGGGCCAGGCGGCGATGCAGGTGATGATTGGAGGAGCAGTGATGGGACGGGCACAGGTTTGGAACGGAGGGGAACGAACGGGGGAGGAGGGGGAAGGACCTTGGACGTCGGTTGAAACGAAGGTTGAGAGAGTTCCGAAACAGCGAGACGAGAGCAAGCCAGGAAGGAAGAGAAGAGAATGAGAAAGGCAAAAAGGTACAGAGTCCAGAGAAGAAGCCGGCCTGTGTTTTGTGTAGGGCCGAGCAGGAGAGGAATGTACGAGGCCGAGTATGACGGGCGGGATCAGCGGCACACGGACGAGCAGAGAGGAGAGGACCAATGCAATGGTGAACCATGCACGGTCACCACAGCGTGTCGGGAAACACCGTCCATGTAGAGGAGCGGGCGGCCGGGATCCCAGCAGCAATGCATATATGGTCGAATGGATCACGCAGGCCAAGCAGGTCAAGCAGGTCAAGCAGGTCAAGCAGGTCAAGCAGGTCAAGCAGGAGAGGACCATTGTCATGCAGCCGGCCTCATGGAGAGAATAGGGCAGCGAGGCCGCCCAAGTCGGACAGAGCAACGGGGCAAGTAGGCTTGGGAGAAGGGTACAAGAGGGTTTAGTATGTACAGACCGATCAGTCTGTCATACCGGAAGTCGATCCAGAGTGGGAGCTGGGGCTTTTGGCTGGGGGATGGAAGACCGGGTGGGAAGACGTGTTCACATAGTTCACGTAGTTTATGCCCAGTCGAGGACTCGAAGGACATTGAATGGCATGCGCAGCGGCCAGGGCCCGAACCAGAGGCGGCAGTGGAGGAGCAAATGGAGATGCTTACCCATCGTTGCGAGAAGAAGGGGGGGGGGGGGGACCAATTGACACCGGAGAGGGTGGTACAAGAGTCACACTCGGGGAGCACAAAGACTGAGATCTGGCCCCGTGCGGGTCGTGGAGAATGACAATCGGCGGTGCGTGGCCGAGATGGGGCGATGGACGTTGGACAAGGAGGAATTGAGGGGACAAGGAAAGGGCAGCGGCGGCAGGGGAAGGAAGAGAAAGAGAGAAGAAGAGATTCCACGAAAGACGAAGACACTCTTGACTTACCGGAGGGAACAGAAAGAATGAGCAGGAGGAGAGCAGTGCCGAGCAGAGCAGTGCCGATCTGGGAGGGGGATGCCGTGGACGACACGAGCACCTGATGATCAACGTGGGGCCATCGGGGCTTCAGAGGGCCCAGAAGAGGCTCGAGTCAGGGCGAGTTGGTGCCTCGAGTCCTTTGGGGAAAACGGTCACCGGCGTGGTCAAAAGTACCTACCCAGCAAGGGCACCGCAGCTGGGACGCGATACTGGAACGCATCAGCTTAAGAAACGACATCAGAGGCAGGCTCACAATAGCTCAATTGGCCCACGTTATGGAATGGACGTGCACACGTGCTCGGTCATTCTATGCACGTACTGTACAATTGATCAGGTCAGAAGCGCACTACGAGAGAACGGAAGGTGTACAATGGTGAGACCCCAGGTTTCCCAGGGCCGTCCGGGAGGCGTGCGCGATGGCCCCGAGCCCGAAGATGTCGAGGGACGATCTCCCGAAAGACGGTCTGCGGAACGGACGGCCAGCCCGAACAGGATGAACAATGTCTACAGAGCAGCCCGACACGAGACCGTTCGCCCACGTGGATGCTAGCCGCAACAGGCAGAGTGGGATTTACTGCACGAGTCCTCTGCGAGGGAGAGGGAGAGGGAGAGAACAATCGGAAGGAATATCAAGTGAATTCGTATGTAGGTCGTAGCAGAAGAAAAGTTTCAGAGAAATCAAGGTCAAAGTCATAGAACAGATACCAAATGGCCGGACGCGTAAAGAGGTGTGGTGGGAAAGGCCACTCAAGACAAGACGAATAGAATGCACCGCCCAGGTCTCACCAAAAGACAGAACACGACGGTGATCATCAAGAAGAACGGAGAACCCCAAAATCTCATGCAACCCTGGAAAGCCCGACGGGACGGATCAGGGCCCTCCATGAGCATCCAAGTCCCGGGTCGGGCACACGAATGAACATGGTCGTCCGGGGGCCGAAGACAGAGGGGAGAAGCCCATCTGTCCAGTCCCTGCAGCCACGTCAAAGTTCAACCCACAGTGCCCGGACGGACGAGGCACGGCTACAAGCGGTGGCTGACCACAACCTTGGAATGGGCAGAGAATGAGGTCACGCGAAACAGTGACGGGTACAAAGTACGAAAAGCGAAAAAGGCCCAAGTAGTTGGCAGTCGAAGATGGGAAATCCCAGATCATGGCAGAGCATGTTGCAATCTCACAGACAAGTCTTCAGCGACACATGAAGGAAGGACAGATAGTTCAGAAGGCAATTAGGCCGCCACGTTGGTAGGGGGATAGCGACCGGGAATCTTCTGGTCAATAGACAGGACGCTATCAAGCTGTACAAGAGGCGCGCGCGTCGGCTGACCCATGTTGGCGGAGTCGGGCTTGCTTGCGGGAGACTCTTGCTCCAAGTTGCGAATGGGAAGCGGAATAGCCGCAGTAGGAGTCGAACTACTAGCTACGGCAGTACCCTTGGGACCCAGTTCGGGAGATTCATCAATCGAGGTAGCCATGGTGTTGTAGGTGTAGTCGGTGCCGTTGGTGTTGGTCGGCACAGTCGAAACGCTCTCCGGCCGAACTCTCTGTCCAGAAGCGGGAGCGTCCTGGTGATCGATTGGGTCATAACGATCATTCATGTCGTAACGGTCGCTGGTATCGTGGTGTTCGCCTGCCTGATAGATACCACCGGAACCCTCGACGGCCTTCTGCTCTTCAGGCCGCTCTTGGTAGTCGCTCACTTCGGGCTCGGCCGCTTGCTTTTGTTGATTTTGTTGCTGCACCGCAAGAATGGCCGCCGGCCCCATCCAGTCACCATAGTAGCTGCCGTGGCGGGTGTAGTCCTGGCGATTCATCTGGGAGCGCGATGGATCCACCCGGGTGGAGCCGTCATCGATCTCCCGGGCGTCAGACGTGGCCAATTCGGGCTCGCCAGCGCCATAGTAACGAGCAGGTCCCGCTTCGCCGGTGCCATCTGGCAATCCCGTAGCAGCGGCGATCATATCTCGGCCGTTCGAGCTGTTTTCACTGGAAGGGGACATTGGAGCAGCAAGTTGTCGATCGATCTGGACGTCACTCGGGAAGGCTCCGCCGGGCTGGCGGGTGGCGGAGGTGGGTCGCTCTTGAGCCAAGACAACCGACCCGGCTGAATAGGGAGTCTGATCGGCTTCATCATCTTCCATCACATCACTGTGGGTGGAACGACCGCTCACACTGCGCACATGCTGGCGCACAAACGCGTTTCGAGCCTCGCCGGTCGAGTTACACAGCTTGGCAATGTCATGGTACCATTCCATCATGGTCTCGTGCGATTCAGCCCGGAACACCCAGGAGTGACCGCGATGCATCGCACCAGTTTGACGCCCTTTCAGCAGGAATTTGTGGGAGCTCGAATTTTCTTCTGAGTGAGTACCGACCTTCTGCTCAGGCAAATAGAGCGACATGACCGGGGTCTGGAAGGCGACTCGGTCGGCCGACTTGAATTCGTGCAAGTGAGTCGGCGACAGCACGTACCATCCCGGAGTGTAACTCTTCAGATATTTGCTCTTGCGCTCGAGCATGCCCGCCCGAACCTCGGCCGCGGCAGGATGATCGATGCCATCGTACGTGACACTGTCAACATTACGCAGAGGAATGCGCGGGTCGACAAGTTCGGAGCTGGTGGCAACGAAGGCGTTCCACTCGTGATCCTGGGGCATAGAGATTGGGCCAGCACGGAGCTTCTCGACAGTGTCATACGCCTCGTCCGCTTCTTTCTTCAGGATGATTGCGTAAGCGTTGTAGGCCTTTTGGATCTCGCTCACAACGATGGACTCGAGTTCGCGACCCGAATTTTCCAAGTTCAGGTATGCCTAAGAAAGACGAAGTTAGAATTTGAAATGATTATATTCCACTTGGTGAGCAGCAACAACGAATGCCGTTCTGGGCATTGAACCTACCCGGTGCAAGTAATTCTCTTCCTCAATCTGTTTCTCAATCTGGCGATCGACGTTCAGACGCTGCAAAAATGGGTCACCCTTGCCCGATGTGGCTGATGGGTCAGTGTCCACCAGGCCGAGCACTTCATGGAGATTGCGCACGGCCTTGCGTGTGCCTTCAACCTCCTTGTCGACGGTGTTTTTGAAATCGCCAGAGAGACTCTTGATCTCCTTGGTCTTCTTCTGAAGATCGCTTCGCAGTCCAGTCAATTGACTGATAACCTCGACCTCGACGTCGGCCGCCTTTTGGGCCTCGGCCAGTCCCTGGCGGTGAAAGTGTTGTAGAATATCATGCGCGTCGGCAAGGCCACCAGATTCCAGGAAATTTGGTGGCATGGAGTGGTGGCCCATGACACTGGTGGCAGATTGGAAGAGCTTGGCCCGAGTTTCGTATGACTTTTGAATGTCCTTGAAGAAGGCAATGAGGTCTTTGAGAACCTTGCGCCAGGCTAAGCGGAAGTACACATGAGTTAGTCAATGATGCACGCTGATAGTGGCTGCAACGAGTGGGATGGCGACATACCTTGGAACCGATCCGCCAAAACCTCGGTGGGGTTTCCGTGGGTGGGGATTGGAACCGCGAAGACATTGTTCCTGTCGTCCTCGCCGTCCGGATTGTATCTTTCACGAGCCCCAAGGCTGAGGCTTCGGACGCTCCCCGCGCGTGTTGACCGACGACTTCCACTTCGGCGCAAACTGCTCCTCCGGCTCAACGAGGACTTCTTCTGAAGTGTGCCGGAGCGCGATGGACCTCGGGACATAACCGAGGCAGACCGCTGAACCGGAGCACTGCCGCCAGCTTGGCCATCCATGAGGATCGAGCTCCGACGACTAGCCGCCTCAAAGTCCTCCCTGAAGCGCGGGTTGTGGGCCAATTGATTGGATTGTTCCTGACTGGGGTTGTAGGCCGAACTAGGACCGGCGTAGGAACTTGGACGCGAGGAAGACCGCACTCCGCTGTATCCTCGAATCGTTGCCCCTGACTCATGGGGATGAGGAATGGAGTAGGAGTCGTGCAGAGGGGTCTGCGGCTGTGCGGCCGTAGTCATGCTGGCGGGTGCAGCGAGAGCACAGAGAGGTGTAGGACGTTGTCGAAGTAGGCAGAGACTCGGACTCTGTTTCACGGGCGAGAAGCGGGCTCGATACAGGAGACGAGGTGATCACTTTCGGGTGGGTGACTGGCGCGAGTGATCGGGGGATTGGTTACGTTGATCTGTCACGTCATGGACTTGCAATGTGTCTGGGAAATTGGTGCTTGCTCTCTTCAGGTGCCTCAATCCACAGAAGGGGGGAACCCTTTGGCGACCCAGCAACTGCTCCGGCTTGCGATAATTTGCGGGGAGTTCGGCGACCAGGCACGCTGGGATGACGGGAGGATCAGTTCGATTGCCCCACAGTAATATCGATGGCGCGACGATGGGCTGTAGGATGGAGCACGAGGGGAAAGAAGGAAGACACCGCTGGAGTCAGATGCAGCTCAAAAATAGATACCGACTGCTCAACTTCAGCCGATCCAGGCTGTCTTGAATGAATTGGGGGTTTGCAGAAACGGGGGTGACCGAGGCGCACCAAAGGATAAATGAGAGATGGGGGAAATGACGTCTACGAAAGGGTGAGGGACGCGATCGAGTGATGACGACCGGCAAACCCAATCAGTCCGTCCACGCTCGGCCTGATAAGCAGTCCGGCCTACCTTACGGTTCGTCACAGAGAGTCATGATGTATACCCACGATGAACCATTACATCCTCCGTCTTGCCCAGGATCCCATGATCCCATCGGTTCATCGGTTCACCGGTTCATCGGTTCATCTGTTGATCTGTTCATCTTCTCGGCAAGTGCAACTCTGTGACCCCGATGCCCTCTTCACGTTCCCACCATCATCACCCTCTCCTGGGTTTGCCTCGTATCCAAGTATTCGGTGACACCAAAGCGGACGGCCCTGTCGGTCTCTCCAACTGCACCACGAGGTCCCACCTCCACCCATGACTTCAATCGTCCACCTTTTGAAGCCTTGCTTCCCGGGTCTCGGGAGCCCCGGCTATGGGTCGAGGGGCAAGTACTCCAGTCGAAGAACTGTAAAGTGTAAGCCGTAAAAGGTAGGTACTAGGGGAGTAGGTAGTACCACCACAAAGTTTATTCGCACCAGATCGCAGTACTTGACGTCGAAGTTGGGCCTGACTTGGCGAGCGTTTATGCCGATGAGGCGAATCCCGCATAATTGCGTATGTCTAATTCTCGATCCATCCACTCAAGTCGAGGGCACCTGGGAGGTGAACAGGCACAACCTTGGCCATGGAGTCATATCATCTTCATCGTGACTTGAGGTCCGATGTCTATCACATCTCCAGGTTGCTCATTGCCGGACACGCACAGACAAGGTCCAAACGACCTACACAAACAGGGAGTGGAGCACTCGATCAGACATACCAACTCATCCTTCCACTACTTACAGCTTGACTCGAATCGGGCTGTATAGTACAGGGCCTGTGCAGAGTGCACCCCTCTGGGGGTGGTTTGTATCCACCTTTGAGCATCATTGCGATCATCCACTAGCTTGTTTCCGCCGTGCGGGTAGTGTTTCTGATCGGACCCTATGAACTCACCATTTGTCTGCCTAACACGCCAACGTGGCTGACGAAGGTGGCTTTGCCAGGCCGAGGCGTGGCCACAGCCTCGCACCAACAGACAATCCACGAGTGCGATCCCCCCCCCTGATGAAATACAATTTTAGAGTACTACCCACTACCCACCAAATGAACGACGGAGCCACGGAGCCTCGTGGGCTTGCTTGAGGCTGGAGGACTTTGGGGAGAGCAGAATGCGTAATACGATTGGCGGGCCTAACTAAATCGTCAAATCCACCAGACATCACTTTGGTACCCGAGGCGATTCGATGAGCACAGACGAGGAGATGAACGTGGGACCTCCGACAGATGATCGCACGTGCTGCAATGCACAGCTGCCAGATAGCGTTCCTCTGAACCTCCCTACTAGGTAGTAGGTACTAGGTACTATGTCAGCTTACTTAAATATGGGGGTTTGAAATGTATTAATCTGCTTGCTGATCACTCCTCATAATAGGCCGCGTGAGTTGCAAATGAATTTTGTGAGATCCAGTATGTGAATTCGAATTATACATGAAGAGACCGCGCCAGATACCACCACAAAGGGAGAACTGAAAACCAGGAAGGACAAGAAGAGAAGAACAGACTGGTAGAAGAAGATAAGCCAAAAAAAGTATCTTTCGCCAGACATGAGAAATTGATCCAAAATGCCCTCTGGACGCTCGAAACGCCCCAACCACCCCGCTTGCTCTTTGAGCAGGAATGCAGGATATCAGCCACATCGGAGTGCCCTGATACGAGAGCCTGCGCAATCTCAGGATTGTGGCTTGTCATCATCTTCTTGAAGTCCGGTTCTTCAGCCCATGCCTCCGCGGCCTTCTTCTTGCTAATCGACGGCTATTTTCCGTTCATAGCCCCCGGATCCGATTTGGACCCTTGAGAGTCGACCGTGTCTGTGCGGCCTGCCAAAATGTGCATCGCTCGTGTTGCCCGTTCCGAATGCCCTCCAATTACACATACTTTGCCTATCATTTCATCGATGACTGATCGCCTCTATTCGAGTGTCAAAGTACTGAAGGGAGTTCATTCACGTACCCAGGGGCCCAGATCAGTTCCTATATCGACGTCAACTCAATTCGTAATAAGTCTCACTCAGCATTGAGTTAACTCTTGCCGTGTAGTTTGGAGCCATTCGCTCAAGCTGGGAAACCATTCTGTCAAAAATGTCTTGTCTTTTCTTTCTGTGATGAAGATGGTGAAGTGGTGATCTAGGTTGAGGACAGAAGGCTATCTCATCTTTCCTACAAAAGAGAGCGTTAAAGTGATCCACCAAAGTTGAATGACATTTGATGGAATAAGTTCATCCCTCCAGATGAGGTGTTTACTTGCTTAGTCTAGGACCAGCTTGGTTAGTAGATAGTCAGGTGATATACGAGGCTTTTCCTCCTTGCTATCGCTCGCAGACAGAAGTCTCCTTTCCTTCTCTCTCCTCTGGAAATCTCTCTTGACATCGTCTTTTAAATCGTGTCTTTATACTACATGCATGTCCTGTGGAAACTCTCTGACTGTAGTCACTAATAGGTAGCAATCACTGATTCAGACGCGACCTCTCAAGTCTACTAGTATACTAACACTGTTCAGGGACACTGCCTACCTAGTAAGATGACATTGTTCAGGGACACTAAGATACTAGCTATCCTAGGACCAAAGTGGTCTTAGGACTGAAAATGTGCCTCGCCAGAGGCCACAACAACTAGAACCCGACCTCGGGAGCAGACGGGTCCATCGACATCCACACAGCAAGCGCCTATTTAGGAATCTATTGGTAAATGGATTTGGTCGAACTGAGCTCAGCCACCTACAGGAAATCCTCACCCCCGACAGTATCCTTGTGAAAGAGGAAGCTGGTTCTGGACATCAATGTTCAGTGGACCAGCTTTCTGATGATGGGCAATTGAGCCTCCGCGGGGCAGACCACCCAGAATGATATCCGTGCGACCCCTCCTAGTCGGATCTATATTACACGACTCTTCAAGATCAGGTGAGGCCTACGTCATATACTCTAGATGGATGGATATTTTGGAAGAAATTTGAGATTTCCTGCATGCTTAGGAAGCACCATGGAGGAGTGGGTAATTTACACAACAAAACTAGTAGGGAGACGCAAAAACAGTGGCTGAAGGAGAATGGAAGGAAGGATATCGCGGATTTTATGATGCGGGGACTGGGGATCTAGGGACGTCAATGCCATACGCCTCCTTGATTCGCTCCGCGCGGCGCTCCTCGTAATTGGGTCCGTAGATTCCTAAACATCGTTCAATTAGTACGGATGATTTCATGAACAATAGAGCGAGAGGGAAAAAGAGAGGCGAGCATAGTATTGCCCGTATACATACCACGACCCTCACCGAGCTCAGCCACGGTCTGTTCACCAGGAGTCTGGAAAGCCTTGCGCAGCTTGGTGCGACGATCAAACTCATCCACATCCTTATCCTTGCTGGTACCGAACAGGGAGCCACCAGTGTAATCGAACGCGAACATGCCGGCCGAAAGCGCAACACCGTAGCCAAGGACAGCGGGAAGCGAACGAACTAGAAACAGGATCAACCCTCAGCGCTCCATAGATCGACCATTTCCCCGTGCTTGCGCATCAAACTTACCTCGAAGACCCAGAATTGAGCCCGAGAAGAAACCGCCAATCGCGGTGTTCAAAGAGTCCTCCTTCTCACGTAGGTTGGCCGATGCGATCTTGGCAAATTCATAGGTACCACCCATCGCAGCTGCAAGTAAGCATTATCAGAATCAGTGTCCCTGAAAAGGCGTCTCAATGAAAGGTGCCGTACCAAGGGCTGTAATGGTACCACCGCTGCGCATGAAGACACCCAGCGGGCCAACGTTTTGCCTGGTCAGGGTGTTCTGAACCGCCGAGGCGAACAGACCAATTCCACCCGTCATCATGGTAGTTTTGATAGCTGCTGAGATCGCATCCTGAGGATGATAGTGGTGGTCCTCTTCGTGGTTCGCCATGTTGTGTCTAGGTCGCGATCGTCTGCAAAGGAACTCGAAGCCGGACGGAGGTCTGGTCGGGTTAGGATTTCGGACTTCCCGTTTTGCAGCTTCGCACCGCCCATCACACCGCCCGTGTTGGAACATTGCGTCGGTACTATTGATGGAGCTTATGGAGCTTGCCATGGAAGATGCTGAAGTGTAGTCGCAACTTGTTCTTCCAAGTTGCCCTTCCTACATTCGACTCGCATTTCGAAGCTCTTCTATCATACTCCCACAGCTTTGCTCAACAAATGTTTGCTGAGTTGCGAGCACTGACTTGGAGAATCATCAGACAATAACCGCCCACAGCGCGCCGGGCTCCCCGCTGTCTCCCCGCAAGCTCGCCAAGTCTTGTTGAGAGTAGGGAATTGCCAAAACACGTGCCTGTGCAAAGCAGCCTTCATGACCGGGGTGACTTGGGGGCACCAACACTCACCGTTTGTGAAGCCAAAAACATCGATAAGTGTCGCTGCACTTGCATAGCAGTTCGCTCGCAATGGTGCCCCCGCAACGGCCTGGTAAGAGCTCGCGCCGAGCGCTCGTGATTGCACATCAAAGAACACATGGCTGACACGATGTGATATCACAATATATAGGCAAGACAGCTCCTCGTCTTGCCGAGGACATCAAGCTCTATGATCCTGCCCATCTGCCAGGCACAGGACTCAACCTGCTATCACAGGTGCCGCCGGTGCACCCGAAGAAAGGTGACAAATCGACCAGCTCCATATCGCCGGATGCCTGCCGACACGAATACGTGACGAAAGATAATCAGACATCGCTGCTGAGCACGGAAGAGAGGCGGAGACCCGGAGCTTCTTGCAAAGTAGCAGCCATTTGTTCGAAATGTCGGTGTCACTTGCAGGTGGTCGTCAACTACACCTCTGGTGGTAGCGGATTCGCCGTCCCGATGCCGGGGGAGCATCTCCATCATTTCGTCTATCAATCAGGTAGACAGTCGGGACATGAAGTGTTCATTGAGGGGTTGGAGAGTGGGCAAGTCGAAGAGACCTATCACTATCAGTGCTCTCGGTTTTCTTGCGCAACAGTAGTCTCCATTCGCATTCTTTCTCCGCTACTCACGAAGCCGCTCGTGAGACTTTTGTGTGATTCATCAGTGATTCATGCGCGTGCATCGGAGGCCATTGCGGCGCAACCAGAACGACTCGAGGGAATGGCAATTCCAGAGCCGATCACAGTACTGGATAATTTGCGCCTTTACCTGCATAACGCGCTGCATGTCCAAGAGCGTAGCAAGGCTATTTCATCATCAAACAAACGATTCATGCTCTCCTTTGGATTAGAAGGTGCCGGCTGTCGAGACGTGCTGGAGTACCTTGGATTTGCATATGACGCTGTTCGTCCCTCACCCGCCCTCCGGAATCTGCTCTTTATACCCCGATTTATTGACATCGTTTGAAGGATGCTGGTAGCTGGCAGCCACCCAGCCCGAAAGTAGACATCACACGTCCATATTACGACGCCGGCCGAGTCTTCATTGATGACATATTGATTGAACTGCTCTGTTTGCTCCATCAGCGACCAGCCGCCGAGAAGAAGGGTGTCAACATCCCTGCCCTACCCGCCGCGGCATATCAATATCTGGCCTCTTCTCTCGAAGCTTTGACTTGTTCGTGCATATCTCTCGCTTCCCTCCCGCAATTCTCCTGGATACTAACGCCTCAACTAGATTCACGGTCACCTAGAGCCCACGAGTTCGGGATGGCATCCGATTCGTAAGTATCAACGACCTTGAACCCCTATGACTCGATATAATTCCGGAACCTGACTGTTCGGCTTCACCACATAGATTTTACGAGGATCTTGGCGTTGTTGAGGACATGGATGCCCGCAGCATTGTCAACGCTTACCAGTCTCAGGTCGCTCTTGATCCACGAAATGCCCCATTGTACTTGCAGAGTCTCAAAGGAATTGCTCTGGTTCGTCGAGGTGAAGATTTTGAAATTCTCAACCAGGCGATTGAACATGCCTATGCCGAGGGAAAGTTTACAGACGATGATCTCCTTGAAGCATGGCATTATTTTGGCTACCAGCCACTTCAGCAAGTACCCAAAGTTGACGACGATGCTCTTGTTGGCAAATTCTACGCTTATCTGAGTTCTCTGCCGATAGAGAAGCAGGATTTACCACGACTGCATTTGTGGCGGATCGGGTTCGACCTCGGCAGTGAACGCCTCATGGCTGTGTCTCAAGGTCAGATCACCACGGTTGAACAAGCCTATGATTATCTGGGAGCTCCGCGTGGTACACCGGATGACTTCATACTCACCATGTACACTGCAAAACTCAACGATGACCCAGCGTGCGTCGACCTCGCGAATCGTGCCGTCCAAATCATCGCCTCTGCTCGAAATTCGACCCTGCTGAAACATTTCCTTGACACTGGCGAAGCCCTAGCCGGGGATATGGACATCGGTGAAGCGTACCGACGGCTTCAAATTCCTGACCGGACTGTTGACGATGGTGCCATCATGGCGGCTTACACTATTTGTGTCGATGAGAACCCAGGCCAGGTCGATACCTACAATCGCGCTTTGACAGTCATTGCCAAGGCTATGGACAGTGCGGTATTGCGCCAGATGGCTGGCATCTCCAACGAGCCCGATCGTAAATTGTCCGATTGGCCGGTTGGGTTGCAAAATATCGGCAACACCTGCTACCTGAACAGTCTGCTCCAGTTCTACTTTTCCGTCCGCCCTTTCCGCGACATGGTTTTGCACTATGAAAACCATCAGATGGATGTCAATGATGACGAAGGTATCTCAAAAAAACAAGTCGGTTCTCGCAAGGTTGCAAAGAAGGAGGTAGAACGGTCTCTTAAATGTAAGTGGCCCGCAGCTTGTTGTTGATATGGCTTATAGATTTGATACAGGGAAGCGAGTCTAATTATTCTTAGTCATGAGTGAGCTTCGTGGACTGTTCAACAGCATGATCACCTCCAGAACTTCATCTGTGGCGCCGGGCCAAGAATTAGCCCGTTTAACTCTTATCAGCCCTGGAGGTGAAGCCGCTATTCGTCGGCGGTCCACGATTTCCAGATCGCATACCCTTGGTGAGGTTGATGGCCGTCCAGTTCTCGGTCCTCTTGGACCTCCTCAGCCGATCCTTGAAGAAGGGAGTGATGCACAAATCACCTCGGACTCAATAACCCCAGCTCCGACCAGCTCCAACGTCAGTGAAGTTGGCAGTGATGCAACATTGGTCTCCGAGCCGACTGGTAGTGCAGATGATACGGAGATGAAAGATGCCAATGTTGAGGATGCTGTGCTCTTGCCTGCTGAGTCAGATCAAAAGCAGAGGACAGGCGACCCAACTGATGCTGGGGCCAATCTGGCTGAGATTCCAGCGCGTCCACCCCCTGTCCCCCCACGCCCTAGCCTGACTTCCGAAGATGATCGCCGGAAGCAATTGATTGAAGAGGTTGAAATTGGTGCCCAGCAAGACGTCACGGAAGTGATCAACAACGTTCTCTTCCAGAGCCAGTGTGCGATCAGGCCACTGAGGATTGAACCTGACGGTGAGCAGGGTGATCAAATCAAAGAGTAAGTGAGCGCCATACATACTTCACTTGAGTGCATTTTCTAATAGATTGCAGTCTATTCTATGGCTGTACGCGATCATACATTTCGACTGCTGGGGGCACTCGGTCCAAGGAAGAACGGTGGTGCGATATCAAGGTGGATGTGGCTGGTGGACCGCGTGATATCTACGCAGCCATTGACGGAGCCTTTGACGCCCAGAAGATCAGTGTTGAAAATGGCGAAGCTGAGCAATACGGATCAATCACACGGATTCCCCCGATTCTTCAGATCCAGGTGCAGCGCGTGCAGTTTGATCCGGTGCAGAAACGGTCCTTCAAGTCCACAAATCACTTGGGTCTATATCAGACCATCTATCTGGACCGTTACATGGATACAACGAGACATGACATCATGAGTCGTCGCCGGCAGTGCTGGGCATGGAAGAGCAAGCTCCGAGATCTTGAGAGCCGTCGCGCGGTACTCTTGCGCAAGCAGGTACGGATTTTCTCGTGTCTTTTTGGGCAGAGAGCGGGGATTGTTCCAGTTTGAGACTAATGTCCTCTAGGAAAATGAGCCAGTCGCGATGACAGATCTCTTCCGTGCTACTAGGGATGCGCTTGAAGGGATTTCGAAAATTCAGAGCCCCGACAAAGTGGAGATCGATGCTACGCTTCTTGGTGATCTTGATCAGATCTGCGAGACAGTACAGAAGGAGTTGCAGAGTAAGGCGCTTTCGTTGCCCCGGCTGTCGATTTCTCAAAGTGCTAATTACCACCGACAGCTATCGATCAAGAGGTCTCGCGCATCCAGGAGCTTATCAAGAATCAGTTCTCTGATCTGACTAAGCTCCCTTACCAACTTTATGCGGTGTTTGTACACCATGGCTCGGTCTCTTTCGGACATTACTGGATTTACATTCGTGATTTCCAGAGAAATATCTGGCGCAAATACAACGACGAATACGTGACCGAGGTCCAGAATGAGGACGAAATCTTTGGGAACACCGATACTGACAATCCGCCCACGCCCTACTTCCTCGTCTACATCAGGGATTCCATGGAGAATCGCCTCGTGGACCCAGTTTGGCGGGACATTGACGAGCAAGAGCCATTTCAAAGTGAGGTGTTTTTTGACGGGGTCATGCCCATGGAAGATGTGCAATCTCCAGGGCACAACATTGACCACACCCTTTCGGACCCCCCAAGCTACGAAGGGGAGCCCATGCAAGAGACGATCGCCGAGGTTGACGGAGACAGCAAGTGAACGTAAGTGTTGTGAGAATGGGGCGAACAAAGCTCCAAGATCCGCTGAATATCTTGGCCCGCTATCGCTGTCGTAGTCGACGCTTCCGATTGCTTCACAGTTCCGGCTGCTTCGGACCGACCTGACAGTCCCCTCAAGGCGTCTGCATTTGTTTTCTGGATCTCTCCATGGCGACACTGCGTCGTCTTTGCATAGTCTTTCTGGTCTTATGTCAATGCGCATGGGACCAATGATACCACGATGTATTTGAACTTTTCAATGAAACGCCTTGAAGGAGATTATGCGGATTCCTTGCGATCAAATCAGACCCTTAAAAAACACGCAAATGTTCAATCCAGCGATGTGAGTGAGCTTGCCTCGGAAAGGAAAACGAATCTGACGCCATTCACATGACCCGGAGTCTTTCTATCCTGAGCAATTAGAGTAGCGAGGTTTCCTGTTGAACCCCAGAGCATCCGAACTGGATACTGGTGTGAAATCGGCAATGGCACTTTTTGAGCAGTCTCTCATAGTCAATCCAGGTCAAGAATGAGGGGTCAGGCTCCAGCTTTTACGTAGGAAGCCGCTGATTCAATGAACCTCAAGAGAGCGATAAAGATAGGGCAAGCTTTGGTCAGGACATGATGACCAGAATGGTATTGTTCCTTCCATTTTGCATTCAAATCAATATTCGTGCCGTTCAAGATGAGCAGACTCTCTTCAGCATAGCAGATAGACTATATGAGTCAAGAACTATCATGGCTTTTGCGTACTCGTGATGCTACTGGGGAAGGTATCCATCTAATGGATCTTTCGGGCAAGGTAAGGTGGCCCAATAATACAAAAGGTTGATTGCCTGAGGCGGTCAATCGGCTCCAGGTTTGGCCATGTGTTCATGCCTGAAGCTGCTAAGGCATCTGTTTTAACCAGCGGCCCGCGGATCGGAAGCCGGATCGGCTGTCAACTCGGCTGTTGTCGCAACTGAACGGATGCAGTAGTGGGCCACCTTACATCGAGAAGAATGGAGTCGTGGGAGGGACATAGATAAAAATTTATGCTTCAAAGGCTTCACGAGCATCTCACATCAGCGAATCGCTTGCAAATCTAAACAAACCCAATTCGACCATCCGAGAAAACACCTGTAGCTACCTGAAGCGTGCGGCAAAATGAATTTGGAGAAGGACTGACGCTTCGTGCGGGGAACTATCCGGGGAAATGTTTAGGCCCAGCACAAGGAAGCATCCGGCTCTCTTTCCGCAATCATTGCCGCTCCCCGGGACTATAAGACTGCCCACCTGCCGATGACGGCTCCGCTTTCACACCACTCTGAGTCTTAAGATCACGAACTGGCTCTCTTCTTTTCGTCTTCCTTAGACGAACAGCTTCGCAGTAGTGTACGTTTGGTCAGTCACCAACACTAAACCATGCCTTCTCAAGTAGCGACATGTTTGCGCTTCGCGCGCCAGTTCTCATCGGACCCGGTCAAGGTACGTCTGCACTCTACTGTGTCACAACCTCAATTTTGGGACATGTGAGCAGTAAGTTGATCTGATGATTGTTCGCCATTACAGCACCAGCGCTTCCTTGCGCGGAACTTTTCCAGCAGTCTGCGTCGCGCCGCGATCAACAAGGTCTTCGCCTCCGCCGAGGAAGCCACAAAGGACATGAAGTCAAACACAACACTTCTCGCCGGTGGATTCGGACTCTGCGGTGTGCCAGATACGCTGATCAATGCGGTCCGAGACAATACTTCCATCCAGGGTTTGACCGTGGTGAGCAACAATGCCGGTGTTGATGGGTCAGGCTTGGGTCTGCTCCTGCAGTCCAAGCAGATCAAGAAGATGATTGCTAGCTACGTCGGCGAGAACAAGACCTTCGAGCGCATGTACTTGACCGGCGAGATTGAGCTGGAACTCACTCCCCAAGGCACACTCGCTGAGCGCTGCCGCTCCGGCGGTGCGGGCATTCCCGCCTTCTATACTCCCGCTGCCTTTGGTACCGTTGTGCAGACCGGCGACCTTCCTTTGCGCCACAACAGCGACGGCACCGTTGCTCTTTACAGCAACGCTCGCGACACCAAGGTCTTCGATGGCAAGAGCTACGTGATGGAGGAGTCCATCAAGGGTGACTATGCCTTTGTTAAGGCGTGGAAGGCGGATAAGCTGGGCAACTGTCAATTCCGCTATGCCGCGGCCAACTTCAACGGCGCTATGGGCCGCAACGCGAAGATGACCATTGTCGAGGCGGAGCACATTGTGGAGCCTGGCGAGATCGAGCCTGCTGCGATTCATCTACCTGGTATCTACGTCAAGCGCGTGATCCAGAGCACCACTGAGAAGAAGATTGAGAAGTACACCTTCGCCAAGGAAGAGGGTGCCGACACATCGGCCCTGGGCAAGGGTGATACTGCCAACAAGCGTGAGCGTATCGTTCGCCGCGCAGCCAAGGAGTTCAAGAACGGCATGTACGCCAATCTCGGTATTGGTATGCCCATGCTGGCTCCCAACTTTGTCGACCCCTCTGTGGAAGTGACTCTCCAGTCTGAGAATGGTATTCTTGGTCTCGGTCCTTACCCCAAGCAGGGACAGGAGGACCCCGATCTCATCAACGCCGGCAAGGAGACTGTCACCCTGAAGCCCGGTGCCTCGGTCTTTGGCAGTGATGAGTCCTTCGGCATGATTCGCTCCGGTCGCATCGATCTGACCATTCTTGGTGCTATGCAGGTCAGCGCCAAGGGTGACTTGGCCAACTGGATGCTGCCTGGCAAGATCAAGGGTTTCGGTGGTGCCATGGACCTCGTCTCCAACCCATCTGCGACCAAGGTGGTCGTCACGATGGAGCATACCGACAAGAAGGGTAACCCCAAGATTGTCAAGCAGTGCGAGTTCCCACTCACCGGACCCGCTTGTGTGAGCCGTATCATCACTGATCTTTGTGTCTTCGACGTCGACTTCACCGACGGCTTGACGCTGATCGAGCTTGCGGATGGTGTGACTGTGGAGGAGGTCAAGGCCAAGACCGAGGCGCCTTTCAAGGTTGCCGATGACCTGAAGCCTATGTTGTAAAAAGACCACCTTAATCTGGGGATACTGTTTGTGAATTTTCTTTTCCCATGTACCTTGGCATGTTTCGATTTACCCCCTCAGCGTGCATTTGATTTGTTCCGACGATTTAGGATGATATCCGTGGTATACACCTTACTGTACAAGGACTCTGGCAGAAATATATCTGATGGTGATGTGTGACTCTTCCCACTGTGTTGATCTTGAGTAGAGCCGTTACCTACATCCAGACATTGATATATCGTAAGCGAATCGTGCCTTGAAATGCAACAGTCGTCATGGATAGCAGAGATTCTAGTAGACAGAGAAAGAAGATGATTGAGTCGAGTCGTATTTGAGTCGCATAGATTCTCACGAGTCGCGAGTATTGTTACAATGTGAGGGTAAAAGCTGCCAGAGCCCTCCCTTCTCTTTATAATAATCGAGTCCAATAATGGAAAGGAGCAAGATACATCAGCACCATAATCATACAACTCAAGGACCGGCGCCAGACAAGTCGATCCTCTGCAATCACTGCAATCGCAACAAACCACCCAAACGCTTGCGCAAGCGACCAAACCAATCTCTGTTTGGCGCCTCTTCGAACTCTTTAATCAGATTGTCGTAGTATTCCGGGTCACTCGCCGGGTAGCGAATCTTTTGAGACAATGGGAACTTGTTCGCGAAGCGATTCTCCAATAGAGCGGATAGCGCGTTCACAGAAGATTCAGAGATCGGAGGAAGAGGCTTGAGTGCCGGCTCGGGGGAGGATGTAGATCGCGATGAGGAAGGGGTGGTCGTCGTGGAGTTCTGGTTATCGCGGAGTTGCCTTTGAATATAGCTTTGCACCGAGACTGAAGCTGGGCGCACGGCATCTTGGGGCCAGTGTTGAAGAATGTGGGAAAGGCGAGTCTGGAGGGAACGCGGAGTGAGGGACTGTAGTTGAGGGTCGAGATGTCAATGATAGGTTCTGAAGATCTTTTATTCTTGCAATATCGTCTTCACTGAGAATTTTGGGAGTTCAAAGTAGCGACGCGATGCGTACCTGTGGTTTGGCCATGATCAAGGTAGAGTAGTTGAATAAAAGTTGACGGGTAAAAGCTGCGACACAAGACTCTTTCCAAGGGTTCACTATTGAGAGAGGTCGTGAAACAGAACCAAGTTCAGATGTATGTTCGAGCTACTCTTGCTTAGATATGGATGTGATGCGGTCACAATTCGATGACATGAACCGCTTCTGCGAAGCTGCGATCAGATCCGATCCAGACGAGGCAAATCAGTCCGTCGCAGACCGGAGGAGCCCACCGCCGACAGCCCGAGATCCCCGTGATTCTGCTTAATCAGCGCCACATCTCGCCCGGAACTCACCTCATCCGCGTTGTGGCTGCGTCGACGGGCTGGAACTCGAGAGGATTACTCATTGAATGCCTCAGGCGGTCACAAGGCCACTAAAATCCGGAGACTCCTCTTCTTGACGGTCTCGACGCCCTGCTGATCCCCGGTGATTCTATCCGCATATTCCATTCTCCTCTTTCGGTCGTTGTCTCACGTCTTCCGTTTATTTTGATTGTCTCTTCCTCTTCATTCTGCGACTCTGATATACATACCCTTCGTCCTCTTGCTCCTCTGCGGACGATTCTCCTGCTAAGCTCGTCATGAGCTCGCAGCGCTATCAACGGGTTCGTCACTCTCCCTCATCGCTCCCCTCGTCTGGCTGACTTTCATACTCTGCCGGACGGCCCTCCGTCACTCCCCTTTCTTCCAGACCTGGCGATATCTTGCAATATACTGACAGTGAATGCCCTCCCTCTCATTTTAGGTGAATCCCAACGACGAAGATGACGAATCTCATTCATATCCGTTGAACCCAACCAGCAACGGCAGTCCAAACTCTCCGCCTCCCTCGTTTCGATCTCGATCCCGTTCCACCTCACCGTCTTCGCGGCGACTCCTCCATAATGATCCATTGCATGAAGACAACGACCAGACTTTGGCCGACGCTTTTGGTGATGACGACGAGTCGGATGAGGACGGAGAGCCCGATGACAGGCAACGGTTGATGCGTGGCAGTCCAGATACGGGATCACATATTGGCTACGATCAGCCGGCACCATCGGCACCTTCTTCTGATACCCGAATAAACGGTCAAGAGCCCCCTCGTATTTCACCATTATCGCGCCGCCCAACGATATTGCCGACGTTCACCACACCTGCGGCAGGTAGTGGTCGGTCAGTAGCTCCGTCTAATGATGGTGTGTTCGCCAACTTGGCCGCCAAGCCGGAGCGTGGAGAAAAGACTGAGGATTTGCCTCCGGTGAGTATATCCCAAGTCGTATCTGCGTGTGAAATCCATGGGTCGTATATGCACTAACACAAAGATCCGGTTCAGTCCTATGAAGAGGCCGCCGCGGATGCGACACCGCCCTATTGGGAAACCACTATCCTGGCGCCCGGTCTCTCTTCCAACGAGGTCTACGTGGATGGACTGCCAGTCGGATCCGTCTTCTCTTTCGTGTGGAATGCCATGATCTCCATGTCCTTCCAGCTCGTCGGCTTCTTGTTGACCTATCTCTTGCACACCACCCACGCTGCGAAGAATGGCAGTCGAGCAGGTCTCGGCCTTACTCTCGTCCAGTGGGGGTTCTACATGAAAGGCGGCAGTGATTCGTCTGGGGGTGATGGTGGTGACCAATATGTCCCACCCCCGGATCCCAACAGCCACAACTTCGACCCTGACTCGGTAGGCACCAGCGGGGATGGTGATGGAGGTGCCATGTCCGGAATCACCACCAACGAGTGGATCTCCTACGTGCTGATGATTGTGGGCTGGTTTATCCTCATCCGTGCTGTGAGCGACTTCCTCCGTGCCCGGCGTCATGAACAACTGGTATTGCAGAGCCCCGAGCGAGGCCTGGGCGTCCCGGTTATCGCAGAAGGAGAACGTGCCGAGACCGTCGTTTAATGGTTGCCCAGGCCTTGGTTCGATCTTTGTTTTTCCTCTTCCCTTTTTTATGTGCCTCTTTCCCCTTTCTGGACATTGGATATGGTTTATTCCCAAGGCGTTTCCTAGGAACGGTTTCCTACCGGAGTTATCGCCCGGTTGCTACGTACATTCTCTCTCGTGCTTTCTTTTTCCTTTCCTCTCTCTGCAGATCCCTGTTCTGGCATCCATCCGCTGTCACTGTCAGTCTCCTTGTGTGTGTTCACCCATTATTACGTTTGAAGCTCATCGCCAATACCGGGAACTTTGCGTCGAGCACGATACCGTCCTCTTCCACGCTCTTCCACACTTGGTTCTCACTGAGCTTGTCCATTGTCTCGCTCGTCCACTGTTATTCCAGACTTCAGAAGATTGCCCTTTGGATTATTTCTGTAATTACCGTCTTGGAAGATACCACCTGCTACGCAACAGTTACATAGATTCATTCTCAGGTCTTTCGATGAAGAGTACCGCTTACTCGTTTAGGAAGCAACTGGCTTTTTAAGAACCCGGAACCCATTGCTATTCAGATAGCGACCCGATCTTTCCGTCCATGGCTTGAACAGTGTGAGTCTCTTTGAGGTGAGTCGGAGTGTTTCGTCGGTGCCTGGCAACGCCACCGACTGCGCCACACCGCAAGAGCTGGAGATTTTGGGCTCTCTTCCATTCTTCTTATGGTCTCGCACTGCAAGAATGCCCTACTGCTCATCCCCTTGCGTTGCACGGCGATGCAGCCTAATACCTCATGCAAACACCTGTGGGCGTCGTCATCGGTTCGAACGTCATGTCTGTCAAGAAACAGAACTTGGTGGAAGAACGACGGACGAGGAAGAAGAAGCAGCAAATCAGTCCGCCTGATAGGATATAGAACCTATCAACTATAGACGGTCACAAGTTCACAACACCTCCAGTAAGGTTGAGTATTCATTCTAATTTAGTAACTCGGCCCTTTCACACCTACTCTCAACGCTACTTGGGTAGTATGTTAACCCAGTTGTGCACCGGTACTTACGTAGGCCCCTCCCCACTGCGGATCCAGTCGTTCCTCTGCCTCTTCACAAAGACCCGCCGCGGTGCCCCGTTTCTTTTCTGTTTACACTTGGGATGGTCGCAAGGAATTTGATTTCCAACCTTGAACCCTCAGTCCACCCCTGGGGGCCAAAAAGTTGCCCATCTCCCTCCATTAGGGTCCTGCAGAGGACAAGAAGCATGTCTCCCGTCCCTGGGATCACTCCACCGCCCCCCGTTGAAGCTCGTTCGCTTTCATCCATCACCGCCGTCGCCGCCAATCCCCCCGCATATCCGCGCAATCCCACCCACGACAAGCATGATCCATTGGAGCTGTACATTGTGAGGGTACCGGGCAGTCAAGGTCAGTCAAGCAACCTCCACGTCAATGCAAATCGGTATTGTCAAGGTCCGCCGAGCTCAATCTTGCTACTGCTGCTGCATACGCGCTCCGCACCGAGGCAATTGAAAGGGTCGAATCTCCACGCCGGATGGCGATAGGCGCTAACTGCGGGATGCATGCATATGCAATAGACATTTTCCTCTCTCCCGTTAAGCCGCCCACCAAATCCAGTGTCTCTGCGGAAGCCATCAATGCATCCTTGTATTACCTCCATGTCGCAACTCCCGAGGACGATGCGCTGCTGGAAGAAGTCGAGCTCGAGCGTGAGAAACAACAATCGCAGAACTCGGAAGCGTCGAGAGACGCTGCGCAACGGGATCTTGCCCGGTTGAACAATTTCCGCCGGAAACCCGTCGGCACCGAGCATGCGCCTATGAGCCAAGAGAATGGCCGCCTTCCATCCGTGCCTCGTCGGCCGTTACCTGGATCGCACGCTTCAGTGGAGAGGGTGCCTTCGCTGGCGCCACCGGCACCCTCGACCGCGACCACGACCACGACCACGACCACGACAGGGCCAGGGACGGAGAAGAAAAGCGAACAAAGAGACGGTCATGAGGATGCGGTGAACACCGGCATCTCGCGGCTAGCGGTACCGTCCCTGTCCACAGTCGAGATCCCATTCCATCAAGACGTGCCCACTGGCGACGACCAGCCTAGGAAGACGAATCGATGGAGTGCCTTTGCAAATAATCTACAGAACGTCCCGAGTCGAAGCAAAGAAGTATGGAGGGAAAAGTTGGAGGCAGCATCCGCTGGTCGGTACAGCCTCGACGCTAGCCGGCCACAATTGCCCCCTCGTTGGTCGCACAACAATGGTCCTCGCTCGCCAAACCGAAGCCCCGAACACTCACCCAACCGTCAGCCGCGACAAGCTCCAGCCCATCGACGAGATGTAGGCTTTCGCCTGACACTCATTCGGCGAGATCCTGCCTCCGGTTCGCAGTGGAACGTGGCAACAATATCGACGCCTCGGATAGACCACAACACCGTAGATATTGAGATTTCTACGCCGGGCTACAATCGCTTTGCAGGGTCTCAAGAAGCGCTGTCTCTCGCAGATCTTGCTGCGAACTTGCCGCCTGGCATGTTCCAGTCTCCAGGATCTTCGTTGCCTGCAGCTCTGAAAAACGCGCCCTCTGGTGCACATCAAATACCGGGGAAACCCCAGTCTTCGGCTCCTGGCAAATTCCGCCGCCAATTGTGCGTCTCACGGCAATTCGAACAACACAGTGGTAATTGGCGTGGTACAGCAGAGACGGGTCACGGCCCTAATTTGGAGGGATCGAAGCTGAAGAGCGGTTACTATGCTTTCAATTCACCATGGAATGGGATATGCACATTCTCGTCCAGCGTCAACGGTCGCAGCCTGAAGTGCAAACACATGATTCCCACGCCGGGGAATCCCTCACATGCAGACAGCGACGGTAATCAGACCGTCACCGTTGCCGAGATTCGCTTCAACATGCCCTTCCAAGCGGCCAGTCTTCATTATCAAGCATCACGCAGTCCGCAGGCCCACCAACAGTCCCATCCCTCGCAGGACTTGGTGCAAACTGCAGCAAATCCACATCCAATCTCACCGCGCCAGCACTCATCCCACATCTTCAGCTCCGAATCCAACACCAATACCAAACGAAACACCTTTACCCAACTGCTCAATACGTCCAAACTCACTCGGCCACGCGCCACCTCCGGGCCTGGTCTTCAATATCAAGCGTCGCCACAAGCCGAGAATCCTCGCGCATCTTCGAGTCACGGCCACCCGATACGTCGCACCTCCTTTCGAACTGCATTCTCCCGCCAGAACGAATTCCGGCATCACTATCCGCCCCCACCAAATCAGCACCGCAGTGGAAGCACGAGTAGCGGAGGAGGGTATGACTCGGATGAGGACCGATTGGACTTTTCGTTGGCGCGGGAATTGGCCGGTGGCGGAATCCGCGGCAAGAGTGCAAAGTTGGGAAAACTAGTGATTGAAGATGAAGGGATCAAGATGTTGGATTTGGTGGTCGCGGCTTGTATGGCTGTGTGGTGGAGGGGGTGCTCCTCTTGACCCATACATAACCCTTCCACATCCTGATCTTTCGCGATGGACAATTGCCGGAGGGAAGGTTTGCCTTTTTCCATCGTGTCCTCTCTCATCGACCATCGCCGCTCCTTTCCGAATTTCAAGTCCCGAGACAAGACGCGACTTGCGACGAGTTGAGCTTACATGGCGCACCACGAATCTACGATGATGGCTTGGGTATGATCACATTGACTACTATCAAAGTATTACTTCCGACTGGTCATTTGACATCAACAAAGATCCCTCCCCATTCCAAGGTTCTCGGACGCCGCTACATTCGTGCCTGGCTTGGGTACATCTGGTACGATTTATTTCGTTGTTCAAGTCTCTTTCATCTTCCTCTTACATTTTCCCTTTCATCCCATGGGGACCCTTTTTTTCTCTTTTTTTGCTTTATTTTTGGGTACGGCCTATTCGCTGCTGGGTTGGGCAACATGGGTGCAATATTTTTTTTGGATTTGAACTGAGCAGGTAGCATGAGCGATTGCATTAGCATTATTTTTAGTTTCAAGATCGACATAATGTCAAAATCTGAGTAATTAGAGAGCGTGTTCCGCTCAATTTTCTTCCACAAGTACTTCCTTGCAGGTTTTCAAAGTTACAGTGCCCCATTCACCTCGTCACACACTCACATTAGCTCTCATGGATGCAATTTACATCGAGACCAAAAATTGTGTCAGCAATCAATCTTTGCGAAAAATCCCACCGTACGCACCATTGACGTGTGGGAGATTATGGCAAAGGGTTGTACCACACGAAGGTCATGGGCGATATAGGTAGACGGGCAGGCTTCATAAATGATTGATAAAGGAATTGATTATAACGAATCATGGGCTGCAGCCGAACTCGCGCAAGCTATCATCCCCCCCCCAAAAGCCTGGTAAATGGTGGCATACGAAGCAGGTGGACGTATTGTGTGCGCAGCAATGTCATTTTGCAAGTCTATCTTCGAACAAAGACAATACCTTTACGCGTCGAGTCTGAGTTTCCATGCCCCCATCGAGGATCAAGAGCTCATCGCATCAACACATACGATGTGCATGTAGAACGGGAACGGATCGCATAACAACGCAGAATTACGAGCAAGTTTTCGGCCGGACCGGGGCAAGGGGAGAAAGAATATTACTCCAAGGTAGAAAGGGTCAAATCACAGTTGGTGCTAGATAGTAGGAGAAGGCTTCCCGCCCACAAAAAAATAAGGTCTTTTCAAAAAGATCACCGGTGCACGGAGTCCATGCCGCGCTGCAGCGAAGCCTCCAGATCATTCATATGCCCGCCGCCAGCGGCCGCCTCCTGAGGCTTAGGCTCCTCGGTTTTCCACATGCCTTGCTGGTGGTCCGGAATCGGTACGTTAGTCGCCTGGGCAATCTGCTGTTGTTGGGTCGCATGGGCCTGGGACTGTTGGCGAACGGTGGCCCGGAAGCGGATGACTTCGTCGAGGATCATCTTGCGCATTTCAGGAACGTCGTCCACCACTTCAAAGTGGAAGTCAAAGGTCGTCGGGCAGACAGGCTCATCCGAGGCATCGTGCCAAATGTGAAGATAAGGGTGCTCGAGAGCCTCCTCGACGGAGATACGCGAGGAAGGGTCAAAAGCCAGCATACGATCCAGCAGGTCCAAAGCGTCCGGGTTGGCGTTAGGGAAGAGTCGTTGGAAGGGAATCTTGGGCATGAATGGGAGGTTGCGGACATATTCCTGAGCGCGAGGCGATCCGATACGGGCGAGAGTCTCCTCATTGGGGGTACCCAGGTAATGCAGAATCTGGTTCAGCTGATCGACATAGTCACGGCCCTTGAAGAAAGGTCGTCCACCGAGCAGCTCAGCCAGAATGCAACCAACCGACCAGACGTCGACTGAAAGAAGTTGTATTCGTTAGTTCTACCCGTCGTTCGACCTTACCATCGTCGGCAAATGGTCACGATGTGTGGTGGGTGCATCGAAGGTGATACATACTGGCTTTGGTATAGCTCTGGAAGCTCAACATGATCTCCGGCGCACGGTACCATCTTGTGGCGACATACTCAGTCATGTAGCCTGCGTTCTCCTCTGGATCGATAGAGAATCCACGAGCCAAGCCGAAATCACAAATTTTGAGCTCGCAGTCGGCATTGACCAGCAAGTTACCGGGCTTCAGATCACGATGCAAGACGTTGGCCGAATGGATGTATTTCAGGCCGCAAAGGATTTGGTAAATGAAAGATTGGAAGTGAGCATCAGTCAAGGGCTGACCAGATCGAATAATCGCGGCCAGGTCACACTCCATCAACTCTAATATAGCCTTGTCAGATCCAAGATCTGCGTACGTGGTTGAGGAGTCGAGTCTCCCACAATAGCGTGGTTCGTACCTTCATAGAGATATGTTTCGTTGAAGTTGTCCGGGCGGGGGATATCCATATCGTACAGGCAAGTGATCTAGCACATCCGAGGGTCAGTAGGGCCATCAAGACGGGCGGCGCGGGGCCTTGCAGCAGACGAGGGAGGGGCATCCGCCTACATTGCGATGGCCGCGGAAGTGCTGCAGAAGCTTGATCTCGCGCAAGGCACGCTTGGCGAGGATCTTCTTGCTAAAGACATTGGTGACTTTCTTGATGGCCACGCCTTCGCCGGTCTGGATGTTGGTGGCAGCACTGTGTTCGCGAGATGAGCGGAGATAGAATTAGCTTCACCTGTCTTGTCTCGTGCCCAAAGCTCCGGGATTTCGTTGTTTTTCCCAGTCTTTCCGTTGGACATCACAGTCGCATCACATGTATTCACTCACCAGACGATACCATAGGCACCCTGTCCCAATTCCTTGGTCACATTGTATTGTTCATTCACCACAAAGTCCTGGTTGAAGACCTTGAAGACCTTACGACCCTGGAGATCGGCCATGACGGGCGGGGTTTGTTTTCAAGACGGGCGGGTGGGGGGAGGGGAGAAAGAGGCACGAAATAAGGTTGACGGAGAAGACAGGACGAGAGGATAGTTGGGAGCGGTCTACTCGTGAATGTTTTCTTGGGCTTCCAAGTCCGTTTTCAAAACGAGAGTGAGCAGTCTCGGTTGAATGACTGAGAAAGTCTGCGTCCTAGGGGACAGAGATGGAGCACCCACTGCCACGAGGATGGGGAGAAAGAGGAGGGAAAAGGGGAATCAGCAAAGCACAATAGATTGGGTAGGATTGGGCCAGGACAGGAACAGCAACCGCCGACGTAGCAGAAAAAGGGTCCCAGGTGGGAGAGAACGAGAGACAAAACACACTGAGTGACGACGACTCCGTGGGAGAAGAAGAGGATGAGAATCAGGAGAAGAGGAGAGGAAGGAGGAGGAGGAGGTGATGTGAATTGTGATGAGAAGATGGAAAAAAGGTGCCCCGCAGTGCTCAGGTATCCCTCCCCCTCCTCCTCGACCTCGAATGTTCCCATGTCCTCAATGTCATCCGAGACGAAGTCGGGCACATTTCTTTGTTCAGATCGTGCAATGCATCAGCTCTTTCGGGGAGGGCCGCCGACGTGAATGATACGATGATCCTCCGGAGTTGTGTGGAGTCGAAACACTCGGCTTTGTATGAATGCCTGCTTGAGGTATATCCATTCTTTGTTCCTGTGTGAGAGCGTGCATCTCATAGAGCGTTAAGCTCAGTAAGGTTCCATCTTCCTAAATGACAACCTTACTCTCGACTGGGCTACGTTTGCAGTCATAACACGTTGAAGGGTGCCAGTAGCTTTTATAACAAAGCTGCGGCCGTTGTGAGAATATCGCAAGCCGATTAAACCTATATCAAACTGACATCGATATGCAGCTGTACACTGTTTGCTCCTTGTGCTCCTTGCACGGTGGAGACACATGATGCAGAAATTCTATTCCTCTGTTTCTGCTTGGCTCTCTTGCCTGAAGCTGCTGCACGAGGGCTCTCCCACGATACATTAACCCATTCTTGCGGAGCTTGGCCGGTGTAAGCGAAGACCATCACACTCTTCAGACCTGCAAGAAATACCATGCCGAGCTCATCCAGTCGAGAAGATCAATTGCCCCGAGGTTCGTCCTAAACACTGTCGAGTCTCACCACTAGTAAGAACGAAGAAATAGCACTGCAGTCTGACATGGCGGTTCCACTCCCGACGATCCAACAATGGGGATACCGTGTACCTTTGTGATGCCTTTGACGGCTCATGACACAATCTCGGTAGGAGTATGTCCACGCTCCGCGGTTTGTGAATTCGGTTTATCCGCCTCATGCCAAAAAGGTCAAAACTGGCGGATGGCGATCCAGAGCCGTCTGAATCGTGGCGAGGTACACGTTTCGACGCCTGTTTTACGCAGGTCTGTGACAATTGCGTCGGTCGTCACCTTGAAGCGGTTATACACGTGTGGTCCTTTCATGGAATAGGGCGACGATGACCTGACCAGACAGGGAGAACCAACGTGATCGATCACCTTGCTGTACTTGACCCAAATCGTGCATTGGCCCTCTCGATGCAATCGGCGCTAGACAATCCTGGCATCCTACGATAGACATCTCTACATACTCTATTCCCTTGCGGCTTGCGCTGTTGGCATGATCTTGGTCGTAGCTATATCGACATTGATATTCGTAAGACATATTTGATGACATGCAGTTGAAACGGGACCGACATAAATCATCACTGGGAGTAAATGGAAAAGGTCTGCACATAATGTCCATTCGCTTTTGGAGGATATCATTCGGCAGAGACCACTCTACAATTTCGTCTCCAACCGGCGCTCCTTCCGAAGAGCGCGAATCTTTTCCCGAGCTTCGTCGAGCGGCACCATCACTCCCAGCTTCTGGGTTGAAGGGTCGTCGCGGTTGCGGATGTTGACCGACCGAGACTCCATCTCCTGCTGTCCGACCACAAAGATCAGGTTGTACTGGCTGACCTGTTGGAACCACGTATGAGTACGACGCCCGAGTAGGGATCATCAAAATTGCTAAAGAATATCTTACCTGTGCGGAGCGAATCTTCTTGGCTAGTGTGTTACCAGAGACATCGACGTCAACGTTGAGCTTGTCCTTGCGCAAGATCTCTTGCACCTCAAGGGCATACTCGTTCAAAGCAGGCATGACAGGCACAATCATGATTTGGCGAGGGCTGATCCAGAAGGGCCACTTGCCGGCGAAGTGCTCGATCAGAATTCCCAGGAAACGCTCGAAACTGCCGATGATAGCACGGTGGATGACAACGGGACGGGATCGACCAGGGGCGGGCTGGTTAGACTTCTCGCCCTCCTTCTTATCACCTTCCTTCTGCTCGGCAGTCTCCTCTCCGGCCTTTTCCTTGCTGACGTACTCCAGCTTGAAGTTGATCGGCGCCTGGTAATCAAGTTGAATCGTGGCACATTGGAACTCTCGCTTGAGAGCGTCCGCGATAGTAATATCGATCTTAGGTCCATAGAAAGCTCCATCACCCTCGTCAATGACCCAATCATTGCCCTTGAACTTAGTCATGGCCTTCTTGAGTTGGTCTTCAGCGAAGTTCCACGTCTCAAGGTCGCCAAGATACTTTTCTGGGCGAGTGGAAAGCTTCAGCTTGAAGGTGAAGCCGAACAGGCCGTAGATAGTTTGCAGGAAATCGAAGAGACCCTCAATTTCAGACATGATTTGGTGTGGTTCGCAGAAAATGTGTGTGTCGTCCTGTCAAAAATTTTAGTCGTGGCCCTCTGGTCAATTTCCAAGGATGAGTAAGCTTACCTGTTGGAACTTGCGAACACGAGTCAAACCGCTGAGAGCGCCAGAAGCTTCATTGCGGTGCAAAACACCAAAGTCAGCAATACGCATGGGCAGCTCACGGTAACTTCGATCACGGTGCCCGAAGAGGATAAAGTGTCCAGGACAGTTCATCGGCTTCAACGCCCACTCGCCCTTTTCAACGTTCAACTTGAACATGTCATCGGCGTAATGTTGCCAGTGTCCGGAGGTCTTCCAAAGCTCCGTGGAGTACATGTTTGGCGACTGAATCTCCTGATAGCCACGCTTGCGGTATTCGGATCGAAGAAGCTTTTGTAAAGCGTTGAAAATGATGGTACCTCGAGGGAGCAGGAAGGGACTTCCAGGTGACACATCGTCGAAGAAGAATAGCTCCTGCTCCTTGCCAATGCGCAGATGGTTTCGCTTCTCAGCCTCCTCCAAGAACTTCAAATGCTCGGCCATGGACTTCTTGTCGGGGAAAGCAACGCCACGAATGCGCTGGAGGGAATCGTTGCTCTGGTCACCGAGGAAATATGCGGAAGAGTTCTGAAGAAGATCACAATTCAGTATACTGTCATATCAGACCAGCAATTTGAAATCCTTACCTGGAGAATCTTGAAGGCCTTTATTTTGCCGGTGTTCTGGATGTGAGGGCCACGGCAAAGGTCGACAAGCGTTCCGCAGCGATACACCGAAGCACCGTCTCCGGCGGTGAGTTTATCAACGTAGTAATTCTTGTACTTGCTATATGCGAACATCTTCTGAAGGTTTTCCTTCGAGACCCACAGTCTGTCGAAGCTCTGCTTTTCCTTGAAGATGCGCGATGCCTTGGAATCAAGCGCCGGCCAGTCAGACGGAAGCACCACACGACTATCCCACGTTGTTCATTAGTATGAGGCCATAGCATGCACGGATGTCCTTGTTTATAGACGTACTTTCCGGGAATAGCCATATCGTAGAAGAAACCCTGAGGGGTAGGGGGACCATGGGACAAGAGGCATCCAAACTCGCACTCGCACGCCTCGCCGAGAGCATGGGCACTAGAATGCCAGAACACGTCCCGGCCCTCTTGACTATTGAATGAAACGAGCGAAACGGTGGAATCGCCCTCCAGAGGCCGGTTCAGATCCCACAATTCTCCATTGACCTTCGCGACAACAACATCGGCGCTGACTTCCTTGGGTACATCGCGCAGGAAGGATCCGGGGGTGGTTTCGTAGGCCTTCGCAGGGACCTGGGTGGGCTTGCCGTCGCCAATATCGAGGGTCACATTGATCTCAGGGTGCGGTCGGTTCTTGGTCTCCTCGAGGTGTTGCTGCCAAAGCTCTTCGAAGAATCGGTTGCGTTCAATAAGCCAGTCTGGAAGGACTTCGGGAGCGGGGGCTTGCTTTTTAGCATTTTTTGGCGGGGTAGGAACGCTACCCTCAGCCTGCTCAGCAGGCCGGACCGGCAGCTCTTTTGGGGTTTCGGAAGCCATGATTCAATTCCCCTGGGTGAACTTCAGAGAAATTGGCCGTACCGGCGAAATGAAGAGGGGCAGATGGTCTGACTCGACTGCTTCCATCCCGCTTGGAGGGGAAAATGACTGTTTCAAGGGACGGGCGGTGTATCATGTGACTCTAAACTGCCCTGGCTAGCGACGCTGGACCGCGATGAAGTTTCCACCACCCGAAAACTTCGTTATCTGAGACCACCCCAACGACAAACAACCTCAAACATGTCTTTCCGTGGGCGTGGTACTGGTGCTAACCGGGGCGGTTTCGGCAGCCGTGGTGGTATGTGACATGTTTCTCCATGTCCTGTCGCGAGAGATTTCTGACGAAAGCTAACGAAATTTTTTTCTGGCACATAGGCCGCGGAGGCTTCCAGCCGTCCTTTGGCCCCCCCGCTCAGGTCCTTGGTAAATTTGCCCTCAATTGATACGATATGTCGCGGTATATATTGATTATCTTCGATAGAAATGGGTACTGTCATGCACGCTTGCGAGGGCGAGATGGTCTGCGAGTCCATCAACCCCAAGATTCCCTATTTCAACGCCCCGATCTACCTCGAGAACAAGGTACATGGAACATCTGGTCTAGCATGTTGTCTTGGCATGGTTCACTGAGCTAACTGAGCTTGATAGACACCCATTGGCAAGGTCGATGAGGTTCTCGGCCCCATCAACCAGGTGTACTTCACCATCAAGCCCCAAGAGGGCATTGTCGCAACTTCTTTTAAGCCTGGTGACAAGGTCTATATTGGTGGTGACAAGTTGTTGCCCCTGGAGAAGTATGTCTACCTGATCATCGTCCCAAAGTCATACAACATCGCCAAGAACAGCGCATACTGACTTCTTCCCACAGGTTCCTTCCCAAGCCCAAGCCTCCACCAGGTGCTGCTAAGCCCAAGCGTGCCGGTGGTGCCCGCGGTGGTCGTGGAGGTGCTCCTCGTGGCCGTGGTGGCTTTGGTGGTCGCGGTGGTGCCCCCGTGGCCGTGGCGGATTCGGTGCTTCCCGTGGTCGGGGTGGTGGTGGTAGCTTCGGTGGTCGTGGAGGTGGCTTCTCTCGCGGTGGCGGTGGCAGCTTCGGCGGTCGTGGCGGCTCTCGTGGCGGCTTCCGTGGTCGTGGTTGAGGTCCAATGCTAGCTGGCTAAACTTTCTTGTTATGGCGTTTTGGGGGATCTGGGAGCTCTCTGCAGGAATACTTTTTTCCTTTATTGTCCTGATACAATTGCTGCTTCTGTGGATGCAGACAGGGACTGTAAATTATGTCCAGTCATACAAAAACATCTGGTCGACTTGTCGCTTCTGTCATCGTGATCATGATCTTGCTACTTGTAAAGTTCCTAGTCTCGATGAATGCCGACCTTGCTTAGGTAGTCAGCACTCAGCACTGCCGCAGTAGTACTTCCGTACTTGTCTGTTCCAATTGACGAATTAGGCACCGACAAACTATCGGCTCGATATCGGGCCGTGGAAACCTTTTCTCCTGCGTGGCTGAAGAACTCGTGGCGCATGTCACTGTGCACCGCCCCCACCGTTACTGCCCATGTGATTTTATGTAAATGACGTTGACCGCTCAGCGACTGTGCGTCTGTCAACAACTCTTGGAAGCAGGATTATCGTCATCTTTTCCAAGTCCCGCGTTTTCCACACCTTTTCAATTCAGCGCGGCCATATCGCAAATTCCATTTTTGAAGCCTAGTGCCCCCTTACCAAACTACTTCTTTGAGCATGTCTCGCAGAAAATCGAATATGGCCACGAGCAACTCCAACGGAGACGGGGGTGGGTTTCGAGTCGAGCTCATACTAGACCCGAAAGCGCCTTTACTGATTCCAGTCTTGCAGGTCAGGAAAAGCAGAAGATGCTGTTGTCCTCTGAGCACGGCCACTTTAGCTTGGTCAAGTAAGACGGCATACGACAGACTCCTTGTGAAGCATATCTGATCATGTTACAGGGCCCTTCACCTCGCTGATTTGGTCACGGAGCTCAACGGTACGGTCATCTCTTTATTAACCCAAATTGTGTCGTCTTTTCGAACTTAACCAGCTGACAAGGTACAATACAGGTTTCTGCGGAGGCAAGTAACACACTGATATTGGCTTGAGCTCGTGCTAACTGCGGAGGATAGTCATGTCCGTGTTTTCGTCAATGCGCTACTGTCTTGGTGACCAATCTGATTACAGTGCGATGTGGGCTGCTCTCGGCTTCATGCCATTCGGTCTTTTCTTCGACTTCATGGATGGCAAGATTGCCCGGTGGCGCAAGAAGTCTTCGCTGATGGGTCAGGAGCTGGATTCACTCGCTGATTTGGTATGACCCTCGCCCCATCTATAAACATCCCAGTCACGATGAGCTAATTTTGCGTTTCTTTCCAGATCTCTTTCGGTCTCTCTCCCGCAGCGGCCGCATTTGCAATCGGTATTCGTACCTCGCTTGATCACTTCCTCCTCGCCTTTTTCGTTCTCTGCGGCTTGACCCGCTTGGCTCGTTTCAATGTCACCGTGGCCGTCTTGCCAAAGGACAAGACTGGAAAGTCAAAGTACTTTGAAGGCACTCCCATTCCCACGACTCTGTCCATTGCATCTCTGATGGGATACTGGGTGTCCCAAGGCTGGACTCACGAAAATATTCCTCTTGGAGTCGCTGCTCAGGGTACCATTTTCGAGTTTCACCCTGTTGTTCTGTTGTTTGTGTTGTCCGGCTGCTTGATGGTCAGCAAAACGATACACATTCCTAAGCCTTAAATGGCAGAAACGATTGATAACTATTGCACGGACACCATGATTGACAATCAACGAGCCCGAAATTTGATGGTGGAGATTTGAAGGAAGTCAGAAGTGTGAGGGTCGTCGAAACTGCTCATGAGTGCAGTCTCGAGCAACCCTCTGCGGTCATGTCGAGGTCGGTCCTCTGCGATATCTTCGATGTCTGTGGCCACGATTCAGTCATGTATATAAACGCAGGCCCAACGGAATACTGTGGCAGATTATTTTTGATAGATGAATGCCTTTCCAGATTTATGTGCATGATTATAGGATACATCTCTGTCCATGGCACATTCAATCCATAGCGCCATCGACGTGTTGGCACCTGGTAATCCCTCCTTTGGTAGCCGCACTGTTGTCTCATCGAAGCACAGACCTGCTATGCCGTTTTGAGAACGAAGAGAATGAAACCCTTTCCGAGTCTACAAGTACCCTCAAAAGGTGCAAGCTACTAAGCCCAGATGTCGAAGCGCACATCCAACCATGAAAAATGCCACTGAATACATAGCAAAATGGGCGGAGACGCATATTTGCTGGATCAAAGTACAGCGCATCTCAATCATACTATTCTCATTGCTTGTTTGTCACAAAATATGGGCACTACAGAATTCTAGTCCCTTTGCTTGAAAGACCTCGACGGATACAACCTTATGTCACGTGGGCTGAATTGACAAGTAAAGCTTCCGCTCCCCTTACTAAATCTCCCACAAGGACATCTTCAGTATCGTCGGAGCATGGAGAGTTGCCCGGGGAGGGTGGACACTCTTGAGCCATGGGTGTAACATGGCTTTTCGACTCCTCATCTCTCACCAAGGTCTCTCGTGAGTGCAAGTCTGCAAGAGGCATAGGTCAACGGCTCTGTAGGTCGGCTTGGAGGCCGTAAGAGTACCCTCGATCTTTTTGAAAGGCTTCCAGCTCAGCCGATGGAGTCTGACCTGGGCGCAAAGGGGAAATCCTTTTTTTTTCTACTCGAGTCCAAGGCGTTTTCGCATAGAATATGAGAAGTTCTAGACCTGGTTATTACCTGATGGAGTCAGATGTGAATAGAAATTTGCATGCAGTTGGACGTTCTAATGTGCCAATCGGGAGTCTAGGCCTTCCACGCACGCCAATCAAACGACTGAAATATGGATTCTATAGGCTTCCTTAATACTCCTCAATACTGTAGAGTGTAGACTGCCTTTACCAAAAACAGTGCGGTGTTCAAGACATTACTGTATTTATGTTGATTGAAAATATAATTATACATACATATATCGAGGAATCTGCAATAATATACACTACTGTACGCTGCACAGCGTCTTCGTACGGCCGCCCCGTACAGCCGTACACGTGTACAATTTCGAGATGTTGGACGTTGGATGTCAGCCAAGATGAAGACGCGAGTGGTGTTCGACTCAATAGCTGAATGCTGCAACGAGGTCAGTGATATTCGTACACTTCCATGCTATGTACATCCATGCTTTTTGTCTGTTACTACCCACCTTAGTACTATACCCCACGTGACTGAAGAGAGGTAAAAATATCTGTCATACTCCGCAGGAGTAACTGGCCTGAATCGCTTTAGTTTCCGTGCAGGGCTGGGATCAACAATTGTGTAGCCGATGTGGATTTTCAAAAGCGGAATATATCAGTGGCCACTGGCGACCTGCACTACGTACAAGACTGATCTGAAACGATGTCTTCTCATACATTTTTGCCCAGCGATTCAGTTCTAAATCGTCTGGAGCCCATAATAGCTCAGCAAGCTTAGTCTGATCGACAGAAAGGACGGAATATTGTCGTGAGATCTGAAGGGTGAATCACGCAAGATGTACCAAGAGACAAATTGCCCGGTGATTGCCCGGCCCCACTTTACTCCTCATGAATTGGACTCCTCAAACTTCAAAGCCACGATATCGATGTCGGGTCTTTCACGGGTCCCCATCTGAGTCCGCCTCGGGGAATGGAGCTACCTAGGATTCTAAGCTGCAGTCTTTTTAACACTGGTGTCCCTCCGGCTACCAAGAAGGAAAGGTCTTTCAATGGAAGCCAAGGCCTAATGATTTTGATGTCTGCCCGTTTCGATGGGGCAAGAAGGAGGCTTCCACATGGCTACTAAAGATGTCAGATGTTGGATCTCTTGCCGCACCTCGCGGGCTATATTCTCATTGTTTCAACATTCTCGAGAAAGCCACGGTATATCTTGTGCGCTACAAAATAATTTAAGCCGGGCGCCCTGACTTGTCAGTTCGTTGAATGTTGTGCTACAGTAAATGGTAAAGACTAAAGAAGGATTTGCCCATTGAGACTAAATTTTCTGATACGCTGCTGAAATACATCATTACAACATTGAGAAAAGTACATACAATTGGCCATACATAGGTGTATACTGTATCATATACATATTTTACATACATACGCTCATACAGTACGACCACAGGTTTACAGAACAACTCTCCACGTTTCACTTCCCTTCTAGCAGAGCTTGATTCTCGGGGCTGCCCCACCCCGGCAATGTCCGCTCACCTTGATCCGTGGTAAATCCCTTACTTTGTCAATTTGCGAAAGAAAGGGGATGAGAGAACAGGCGGCGCAAGCAAGAACTTATGTTTACTGACTACTACTGTGGAGTGTGAGTAACTATGATAGCCATGTACATTGTACAGTATATGATACCTTCAGTGAGTTGGTCCATCACCCGGTTCTGCGATGAAATGGATACCTCGCTTTTGTAAAGCCGAGGTATTATCGCCGAGTCTTCGGTCCTTTCCCCTCGTAAACAATGTCTCCGCGTTATAGTAAACACTAAACAGGATCCACGGTACCTTCACGCGGAGATTCCCAAGATTCAGGCCTCGCAGTAAGCTGGTGCTATTCGAGGCGCATCGATGTCTGTATAGATTCTCGTCTTGAAATTTCTTCATGTGGCCGTCTCGGTTCACTAGAGCATTCGAAATGGCACATTGGAAACGCGCATATACATTGGTATTGTCTTACACCAATGTATCTAATACATCTATCAAGTAATGTGCGGGTGTCACGGATATACGTATGCAGCAGGTTATCACATGTGTTGTAGTGCCCTGACAACTACCCAGAAATGTCAAGTACAGGCTTACAAGGACTAGATTCTATATATATATATATATATGAAGCCCTCTAAGATCGCCTTATTGCATAATCGCTTTGAGATTACAGGCCAAAAAAGATCACAGCGAAGATATACCTTAACATCCAAGGGTATGTGTGTCTGAGGTCAGATTCTTAACCAAATCTGAACCTACCCGGATATAATTCGCTAGTCACCGTGATGTACTGTCAGTCTCAGTCCAGTGAGTCCACCACTGCCGACGCTGACCTTCATATTGACGAGTACAAACACCGAGGCTCCATGGGTTTTCTGGAGAGCCTCCGCCTCACAGTAAGGCCTCACAGTAAGGCCTCGCAACAATCGACATCCACTCTTGAACACATATCTGATACTGTGCGATCGGAGCAGGAGTAGAGAAAGACTGGAAACCCTACTGTATGTGGCGCTGTGCCGGGCCTGCCGGGCGCCGGCTCATCACAGACGATCGGGTGGATGCACCTCGAGGACGAGAAGTATGTAAGGTAACTAAGTAACTTACCGGGTAGTACACTAACTCCACCGATGCCTAAAGTGGCTTTTCTTCTGGTGAAGAGGACTTCCAATAGTATGTAGTTGACGTAGCCTGCTAAGCCTCCTAAGCCACCAAGCATGCAGACCAATGTCGACCACGGAGGAGAGGTCTGATCTCCAGGATATCCGCTTGGCACTGAGTCGATCACTCACTGAGTCACTACTCAGTGTACTCACTATGTTACTGTGGTCGTCCATCGCTGACTTATTGTGTCTCAAGTCTCAACTGACTAAGACAGCCAACGAAGCCATAGCGGTCAAACAGTTCGTGTCTCCGACGCACACACGGCTAAGTACGGTCGTCCAATACCTAATCGCTTATGTAGGCACCCTTGACTCCATCAAGACTTGGTCGGAACTACATTTTTGCGAGTGCTGCTCCAGTGATTCTGGTATTCTGGTATACGTGCCGCAGGGTTTGCTTGCCAATCATGCACCGGCAATTTTCTAATTTTCGACACGCCGAGGTAAAAGTGATGCTTTAAATGACTTGTTGAAAATGGCCAAGTATACAAAAGTAGGCAAATGCCCTCGACGTCCCCAAATGTAATAATCTACTTGGAGAAAATTTTTCCAACGACAGGAGCCCACCGAGCCAAATATTGCTTTCGTACGGATGATGTATCCAACGTAGCTAAAGAAGTGTTTTCTAGGCTTAGTTATAGTAGTCCGCATCTTGTTGGTTAGTATAATAGCATTAGCGACTGGTCTGTATTTATAGCACAGACCTTGCATTCGGATCGACGCTATTCCTGTCCGGCAGAAGATACAGTCGAGATCTCGAGATGGTCAAACATTTAAAGATTTCGAGAAACCGTATTACAGTTTCATGTAGCTAACTTTCAAAGACATATGTACAGCGCGCTGTATAATACATGGATACCCGATACATACATTCAATACCAGTACACGTTCGTCGACCAATCTCTTGAAGTCTTCTGGAACTCAAAAGGCCATACACGACAAATGCCTGCGATTACCACCGAAAGACCCAAGTTCCGCTCGACGGGCTGGATGGTAGATCGACCGCCCGTAAAATACAGTACCGCCTCCAGAACCCCAAAGTTTCCACCTTGGCGGTTCTCCTGTCCCTGAAAGAGAAACCCACTTGGCTCGACAGGAACACACTAAAACAGAAGGCAAAAGAGATCCCCCCCCCAATACGTTTGTTTCATAGCGCACTGTGCCACTGTCAAGCAACTCATTCCTTCCTATCCAACATTCTCGACTCTCTTTCATCCTCGCAACACCCCTCACACTCGTTTTCACTTGGTTCCCCTGGGTCATACCCTCGCACTCGCTTTCATCCCCCTCTGTTGATTTTGCAAATGCAACTGGTTCGTGACTCAACTCGACCGACTTTCACCCCCTGACTTCGTCCACGACTCATCGTTCTCGCAAATTTCGAGACCCTGCCGCTTGTCTGCCACAGAGTCTTCACTTCGACCAACAACCGCTTCATCCTCAAGTAACTCACTCTCGCTAAGAAGGATTGTTACTTCCTTCCGTGGCTGTCGATCGAGTCTTTTTCCATCTGGTGTTTCCAACAAAGCCCCGACCTTGGTCCAACCCCGTCCGTACCCCCGACCGGTAAATCACCGCACCCAAAACAACAGTGCGACTTCCCACTAGGCTGCTGGGGATATTCAACCTTGACGATTATTATCGGACGTCAAAAGGAATTTCCAAGGGTCACGCGGGTCGTTCCTGGTCTTTCCTGTTACGTTATTTTTTCACTCTACTCGACCATTCAATACTGTGTCTCGGTCGCACGTCCTTGCCCCTCCCACCGTCAACATGCTCATCAACAATATGTGGACTGCGCTTTCGATCTCCGGTCTTCTTTTGGCAGCCAACCCGGCTGTTGCCGGGTACATCGACCGTCTAGCTCCTCGTAACAGTCTAACCCTCGTCGGTTGTTACAGTAGTAAGGAGGGACTCTCGGATCAGGTCTCATATACCTTCCAGAGTTCGGGTTGGTGTTTCGATCGCTGCAATGGCAAGAAGGCCGCCGTGTTCGCCCTTACATCTGGCACAGACTGCCTCTGCGGGAATGAATTACCTCCCGCGTCTTCCAAGGTGGACAGCTCGAAGTGCAACACGGCTTGTGCTGGATGGCCCCAAGATATGTGTATGTTTGATCCCCAGATTCAGCTCCCAACCGTTCCCCGACTTCATGATCAAATAACTGAACTTTTTAATACAGGCGGAGGATCAGATTACTATTCCCTCTACACGACAGGACTGGTCAGTGATGTACCCTCGGTATCGGCGACCACCACTGCTGGCAGTTCGAAAGGCACCGGTAGTAGCAGTGGTAGCGGGAGCAGTGGTAGCGGCAGCAGCAACAGCAGTGGCAGCGGTACGGGAACCAACACCAACGCTGGCCAATCCGCGACGTCGAACCCAAACTCAGGCAGCAACGGTGCGCCTTCCGCTGTGACCGATGCAGTGGGCCACACGACAACCTACACTGCGTACGCTGAGCAAAAGACGACGGACATTTCCGGAGAAATCAAAAGCAGCCACAATACCGCTGCCATTGCTGCCGGTGTTGTGGTTGGTATCGTCGGATTGGCGGCCCTTGCTGGAGCTGCTTTCTTCTTCTATCGATCGAAGAAACAGAATGCTGAAGGCGGTTTCCGAGGCACAGCCGGTGGCTATGGTCGCGATTCGCAGCCTCCCTCCATGACAGACTCCCGTTTCGATGGCGACTACATGGCTACACGCCGCCAGAGCAACGGGAGCATAGATGATGACCACGATTTCTCTCGCCGTATTCTGCAGGTCAGTATCAGCACTACTAGACACTTGCGATAGTGAATTTGCTGACTGTTTATCTAGGTAACCAACCCTGATCGTCGCTGAGCTGGCTCGTGGAACTCCCACAATGCCGAGCCGCGCTGATACGTCGTCTGTTTTCAAATCCATTGCCAAAGGTCACACCAGGTTCCGTCCCGGACTTTTTGTTACTATGCCTCGTTTCTTGCCTCCGGTTGTAATTTAGCGGAGTCATGACGTTTTTGCAGAATTTTTGCTCTTATCGTGGCCAAACCATCTTTCAATGTCCATATTGTGGGTGAATATGTATTCTCATGTCCTTCGAAGGCAGACGAGCAAACGTTGCCAGACACGCCCAGGCTTGCACGAGGGTCAGACCAAAGCGCTTGTGCCTGAATCCTCGACTGCTGGCTTGCAGCCCGCGTGAATCTGGCACGTGTGCATCTTTCCTGTTGTCACTCATTTCTTGGGCTTGGTCTGGGCCACAGATTCTATGGTTTTGGTATACTTCTTGTTATCTGTCGAACTGCTGGTAACGGATACTGTCAAATTTGCTCGATGCTCCTGCGTTTTAATACATTTCATGACCGAAAATATTCCTTACCTTCCCGAGACTATCTTGATAATAATTCTGCCTCGTCTCTCTCGGATGCCTACCGGCTAACCAGCAGATGCTGCGTGGTACTCGAGACAGTCCGTGTCTCACGATTACTTGCTAACTGCAAAACAAGTGCTTAGTAACTGTCGTGGCTAAAGCTCTTGGAAGGTGAAACCGAATGTCGTGCATGACCAACGAAGACCTAGTGCGTGTCAGAGTTCGTGACTCTGATCTTCGAGAGCTGAGTCATGTCCTTTTCTTGTAGGGATTCAAATTCTTTGAGCAAGCGCCCCGGCAAGAGACCAAAGTTCTGCGAGCCCCCGTTGTCCTACAAAATCCTCATTCAATGCTGGTCCTTGGGAGTGAGTCTTGACCCCGGTGGTTTCAGTCATTTTTTAATGATGTTAGGACCTGAAGTTCTGTACCGCGACGTCGAACACTGTGCGCTTCAAGCTCAACTGTGCGGGCCATAACCGCGCTCAAAGCTCAAGTTGTTCATCGACGCTTCGAGTGCGAAAGCTCGACATTGGATGAGTTTAACACGGCTGTTCCACATCCTCACTCGGGTCATTGGTCTGTATGCCCAACGGCCAGGATGAATGATCATGTCATTATTCGACTCCGGGGGAAAGTCTCGCTCTTGTTCTGGCCTGGGATGGCACACTGCGCGTTTCATTTTCGCTTCCGAGACCGCACCGCTAGCAATCTCGCCGCACCGCTAGCAATCTCGCTGAACATCATGTATCTCGGTCACGATTCCGTCAAATTGTCACACCGTCCACTCGGCCCTCAAATGCTTTGCAGGAATCACTGGCCATTTCTGAGCTGGTGCGGGAACGTGGACCTGTGCCTCTGGATCACGACGTGTACAAGATGAGATTCGAGCATCTGTCAGAAGAGTCGTATGTACACTCGACCTCTTGTGACAGGCCGTCCTCGACGTTCAACTGTGCTCAACACTATACGATGAGCCTTGGCGGGTGGCCATGCTCGACAGCAGGCCAAATGCCCTCCCTCACATGGAGACACCTTCGAGATAACACAAGCTACGATCTAGGACACAGGCAGAACTGGCAGCTCACACCTGCAAACGGGTGGGGACGGGGCCTCTAATAGCTGTCAGATGGTCATTGACACCTGTCATGGTTTCTCACTTGAGCACTTCGAGCATCGGGTACTCTGTGCTTCTAGTGACCTCGGCACCAAGGCAGAACCGGTCTCCATCATCATGCCAATTCTCTCGAGCGCCATCATCATCGACAGTTCTCAGTCTCGTCTTCTGCTCTTCGCCCCGACACCTGTTCAATGTGACATTCTTGCATCGTCAGTCATGGCCCTAGAGCCAGCGCCTCTGATGCCTCTTGTCTGGTATCACTCTGTCCGAATCTTACTTTTTCTGTTGAATGGAAATATGACATCAGAGCCCAGTAATATCAGCTCGGCCATTGCAGTGCATGATGCGTATCACCACCAACTTTGAATCTTTTTTCAAAAGTCCCCTTCTCAAAGCCTCTGAGGTCATATACGTGACTTTGACTTGCAATGTTCATCTAAAACGGGTGCAAAGCGTTGATAGCTAAATGAGCACTATTTGGACTACCGAGCTCGTAGTCCAAGGCATTATTGACCCTTGATCGTGAGACGTGGTAAGCTACGTATATGCAGGTTGGAGGCTGGATCATCGACGGCTTGGAGAATAACGCCTTAGCGTCACCATCGATCCAGAGATCAACGAAATACCGTACTGATCAGACAACCCGTAGGAAAGACGTCATACCATGCTGTGATGTCTGCAGCATAGACATTCCATCCTTCTTGCCTGGGATCTCATCCTTTCCGCTTAGAACAGGGGTGCCCTTCCACGTGGAGAGCTCAGCACGCAGGAAATCCAGAACAGAAAAGATTCAAGTCAGTTGACATGAAGAACGGGCCCTGGGGCTCTCTCAGACCAAGGATCGTTCCACCTGCTTGTCTGTCTAGTGAGATCTCATACCCTCCACGGTCAAGACCCCCCGTACGTAGTGGAAGATTGGCTCGGCCGCCCGGCTTGAGGAGTCCCCCTCCATATTTCAATCGAGAGATTTCGACCCATGCCGATGAGCTTAGTCCTACTGCTCTGGGCAAACGACGAAAGCTCCATTGTACAATCAGAGATCAGTCCAACCCGAAGGATGATGATAGTACAAACTATTGGCTCGATTCCCCAGAAGTAAAGTTCGGGATAGATGGTGTAAGGTGTAGTAGCTCACTCTTGCCACACAGCTCCCCTTTCGCCGGCAAGTCGAACTACCTCGGCCGCGGACAGAGCACTCATCCACAATCAAAGCATTGTCAGGTCCATCCAGACCAAAAGATCTGCTATTCCCGAAAAACAAAGTGTCCCCTCAAGGTCCCAATCTAACTTCCTCGATAGAGTCCTTGTTCACACCGATACGGGTACACTCTGGCGATCACCCATCCCGTAAGCGAGTGGCTGACTTCCAACGCCTCTTCTGCAGCGGTCTCACGCAGACTGAGTTGCGGGCGGCAGAGGAACGGGCCCAAGGGACCAATCAAGCCCATGTTGGGTTCCAACAGCGCCTGAGTGTTGGACATGCAGTTGGATAGTGAAGGATAACTCAATTCGTCTTCACGGGGAGATCCCGACCGGGACCGCTAGGTTCATATGATGTCACTTGGGGGAGTTGGGAGACTTCTCGAACAGACTGAAGGGAGAAAGAGAGAGAGAGAGAGAGAGAGAGAGAGAGAGAGAGAGAGAGAGAGAGGGTTCATGGGCATTTGACGATCAACTTCAATACACAAACAAACCGGCCTTGCCATTTCGAGCTCGGACCTGGGGGAAAGACCTCTCGCTTCTTCTTCGTTCCATCGCCTTACTCGGTAGAGAAAGCCAGTCATAGCTAACAAACAGTACCGACTCACCGAGTAGTCTCATGTTATCACTGTAAAGGGTCAACGTCGTGAGCTCCATCAACACCATGGAAATACCTGATGCTGCGGGCCTGACCTTACCAGTGCCTTCATTATTTACCAGGTGCTGGTCCTTTGAGAAATGGCAGAGCGGAGACGGAACAGGATGCCCCATCGCTGACCGTCTACACTCACAGGGGGAGAGGTTTCTCGAGTGGCATGGTTGATCTAGAACTTCGCGTAGCGAACTAGTTGCGGAGCAATGGATGTAGCGGTACGAGTTGCCAACGTTTTTCTGAGGGTGGGATTGGGAGGGCGTCACTACGAGCCAACGCATGAAGAGGGAGATGTTGGGGGTGAATTAGCTCCGCGACAGGAGGGGAGTTTTGAGGAGTACTGACTCTACTGATTAGTACTACTGGTCTAATACTGCGTTTTGAGTCCGTACCACGTGTACTTGGGCTGTAGTAGCAATATTTCCCTCTACATCGACAGCATAGAGCCATGATTGGTGTCCAAGATAGATATAGTAATACGAGTCTCCCAGAAGACTACTCGTTGTCGACAATTAGACAAGTTTAACACTCTTGCCTTCAAAGCGCTTGCCTGATTCAGCAGTGTCCATTCACTTTCAGTTGACTATTCACTTTCAGTTGACTATTCACAAAGATAAGGCGGCTCCTATATCCACATGCCGATTCTATTCACTCTGGTAAGTTGTGACAACCTTGAACCAGCATCATGCCTGGGGATCAGGAGTACAAGCAGAATTTTCTGGTGTTTGCCATCAATGGCAAAAACCCCCAAGTTGAGCCCCCATTTGCGAGACAGCAGCCTCTTACCAGAAACAACTCAAGGGAAAATTCTCCCACGGCATGCCACGCCGGATCAACAGCAGCGTGGCTTCTGCATAGACACCCACTCTTGGATTTTCACGTGTTGGCAAGATGAAACACTAATCATATACCATGTAGATTAGCACTAAAGCAGCACAGTAGTCCTCAGTCACCTATCCTATCAAATGTACGCCATGCGGGCTGAGGTTTTGCTTTTTTTCCCCCTCCTCTCCTCGCCTTATTACCTCCTGACGATATACGGACGAAGAGCCGTCCTCGACTGTGTGTGCTTGCTGACCTCCTAGGGGTAGGTTTTATGGCTTGGACCTTGCAGATGGATGATAGTGGAGTCTCCTTTTTCAACTCGACTCTTCGTTGCTTTAGTCTGCAACACTGTGCAATATGCAATGTGCATGCTGCATGTTACATACCGGTTCGATGCATGCAGCCACTCAAAACTTCATGCTCAAAATGGTAAATCAGCGGCTCATTTCCGCGCAGAGGAGATCATTGTTGGATCGCCTCTCGACCAGCGGAGTGGACTCTTGACATTCGTATGAAGTGATGGCCTTCTCAAAGCCTTAGCGGGTATCTACGTACTAGATCCTTTTGTTGAAAGTGTATCCACGAGAAAGAGGAAGATAAGACAAGTCTCTTCAGACCTAGAAAGTCAAGTGGCGATCGATGTGCTTGTTCCATTGACCTCGCCCCTTGGAGAGAATCTCGGTCCAAGAGGCGCACAC